GCCAGCAGGGAGAGCAGCCAGGTGTTCACTCCTGGACGGAATGCGCGCACTCTGACGAATTGGGCGTCTACGGCTTGCATGTGCTGGGGACGAGCATTCCGTCCTGGACGGACAGACTGCCCGCCCAACCATTTTCACGGCCCGCTCCATGCCTCTCTGCCGCTGTTCCGTCCTGGACGGAATACCTGCGTCCGCAAGATATTGACAACCTTGCGGTGCGCCCAGTTCCATCCAGGACGGACAGCGACCTGCAACAGATATTGAAATCATTTTTACTCACCTCCCCGTACGCCCGAAGACTCTTCCCATTCTCGACCTCCTTCTGCACACCTTCCATGATCGCCTCGACCTTCTCCATCTCATCGGCAGGCAACACCAGCAGCAACTTGTGATGCTCGTAGGGAGGCAGGCCAATAATCGGTTTCTTGTTGTTGTCCTCAGAGTGGATCGTCCGGCGAACCACCATTCCCGCGAACTGCTTCCGCATCACCATGATCCACTTCCCACTCACCAGCGCCAGCTCCGACTGACCTTGCCCGTCCTCTCCGTGAGAGAATTTCTTCACCGCTTCTAACGCCTCTGCCAGTCGACGTTGCTGTCGATCCTTCCGAGCAGCGCGATTCACTTCTCGTCCCATGTCCTTGTACTCCGTTTCGCCGTCGAAACCTGGGACACCCAAGATCAACGCTACATGCCACAGGTCCTGCACGTATATGTCTCAAGTCAGCTACCTCCATTGGCTCAGCACATCAATGCTGAATACGCACCTGTGGCTTCGTCTGCACTGGAGTCGCAGACATCCCAACGTAGAACGTGCAACACTCTCTCAGCTTCTTCGCCGCGAAGAACGCCGTCTTGATATTCCGGTTCTGGTGGATCTCGTCCCACGCCCCAACCAGGAACCGCTTTGTGAAGATCAACGCTGCCGGATTCGCTCCAACGATATTGATCGGACCCATCGGCTGCTTCCCACTGAAGCCCAGCTCTCGGCCATCCGAACTCACAGCCTGCTAACCTGTCAGCCTTCATCCTCTAGTACCACACCTTGAATGTACTCACCGTCGCCGTCGCAATGACCAGTCGTCGAATCTGAGGGAGCTTCGAGAAGTCCCAAAACTTCGTCCAGAACTCCGGTCGCCCCTTCAACGTCCCGTCGTAGATGAAGATATCGAAGGCCCCTCGCCTAAGGTACCGTTGGCACTCGTTCTCTACCTGCGCACGCAACGAGAACGGCACCACCAGAACATGTCCCAGGTCGGGGATCTCAGCGTTCCCCGCAAACGTCTTGCCTCCTGTATCCATATTCAATACACAAAACATTAGCGCCGACCAATGGACACACAAAGATCCACACTTACGAAACCACCCAGGATACTCGTTGCGTTTGGCGTAGAAGGAACGGTAGTGCGCCAGCATCGCCATAACCCCTATAACCTGCAACGTCTTCCCAAGGCCAACCTCATCCATCAACATTAGCGGACGTCCCTCGAATGCATTCTTCAGCATCTTGAAGATCCCAATCAGCTGGTGCCACTTTGGTGACAACTTCACCCGACCGTCGTTCTCGCCCTCGACGTAAGGACGCGCGAACCACGCTGCATCCGTCCACGGTGTCTTGACCCCATTCTCGTCGATGAATTCGTTGAAGGACGGGAACCCCTCCTCCTCCAGGCCCAGTGCATTCCGCACGTCCCTCTCGCTCCAGCCCTGGTAGTCCTCCGTCCCCGACTCCCATTCGATCACCACCGACTCGTCCACATTCATCATCGGCACTCCCGCCCCCTCTCCATCCAGAACATCCAACTGGACCTCCAGCTCCCGCTCCACCTCAGCGATGTCGTGGTCCCCAGCCAGCCTCAACAACGCCTCCCGCAACGCCTTGCTCATAGCTATCTCACAATGTCAGCATCAAGTCCAACAGCTCTACACACAGGTCTCACTCACTTCCTGTCGACTTCCCCTCTTCATCCACTCCCAAGCACGCCCGAATCTGGCTCAATCGCTCCCGCTGCTCCTCCAACTCCTTCTCAGCCGCCTCGTCGCCGAACATCTTGTACAGCCGCATCAGCTTCGAGCTGTCCCTCAAGTACTGCTTCAACTTCGCCGCCGTCACCTCCCCTGCATCCAGCTCTGTGTAACAATCACGTAAGTAATCAGTCACTCTCCAATCCACAGCATCCAAGTGTACTCACCTCCAAATGACATCTTCACCTTTGCCTTGATCTCCTCCAAATCCTTCACATCCTTATTGACCGCCTTTGACATCGTGTTCCACGCCGCCGCCAGGATGATGTTGGCAACTCCAATGACGCTCGTATGCATGATCGTGTAGTTCGACTGCTTCGTGCAGATGTCGGTACCCCACAATGCCTCAGCCAGCTCTTGTCGAGTGTCGTCCAACATCGCCGCCCCCATGTCTGGCAGCTGCACATCACCCAATGTCAGCCTTCATCCTTTTGTCACAATAGGTAAGTCGTACCGTTCGTTCTCCATGACGCCGAAGCAGCGACGCCCGGTCTCTCTCATTCTCCTTCAACACCTTTCCAACGATGGCGTTGATCTTCCACGCCTTCAACCCAGCTCTGATCGCTACCGTCCACGTCGCCCGGCCTGTAGCATGAGTGTCCGTCATCCGGGTCTTCGTGAACTCCTGGCGCTTCGAGGCGAGTGGCATCGAGCAGAACGCATCCACGAACGCCTTCACCTGCGCCCGAGCAGTCTTGTCCCACTTGAAGGGATGCTTCTCGTCGTCCGGCCAATCTTCAGCCCAGGGAGCGCGAGTGAACCCCGTATGCTTCTGCCAGACGATGAACGACCACGGCGCATCGGGCACCGGCGGTTTCATCTCCCGGAAGACTCTCGTCATCTCCAGCAGACTGGAGGGGACAGTGAACGAAGGCATGTCGATTACGATTTCTAGATAGCAGTCTCAGCAGCAGTAGTAGCAATAGAGAATGTGGGGAAATCGAATCCTGTCAGACCCCTGCCCTTTTAAATCATCCCCTCACCGCCTCATGTCATAAGAAGCAAACTTTGCCATCATTCATGAGGCCGCCATTCATTTCAACACGCCATGCCGATCACGCTAAGCCCACTATCCCTGCAGGCAATCATATTACCCATCTTCTATTCTATCCGATGGCGCCCCGCCCACTCCATATCAGGCTAATTCCTTCACCTCATTACTCTCTAAACACCTCATTCCCAGCTTAACCGACTGCACCAGTCACCAACCATTCTTCCATTTATGTCATCCCGACGTAACAGTCTCAATATAGCTTGATCTCCGTCCTGGAAGGAACCGCGCATGCGGAAATCGCGTGGCTAATCGTGTGCTTGCCTCAGAACAGAAATTCCGTCCTGGACGGATTGCGCGCACCCAGCCATTCAGCGTCTCTTCACGAGGCCCATGTGTCCCCGCCTGTATTCCGTCCAGGACGGAATGCGCTCTTCACGCTGCTCTGCAATCACATGATCACCACTTTCCTGATCGGTCCGCCCATCTCGCTCCACGCACTCCGTCCAGGACGGAATCTTCGCACTCATGAATCGCTCTCACACATTCTTCAGTGCACGCATTCCCTCTTGGACGGAATCTCCTCTCCCTCTCATCCAACCTACTCTATACCCATCTTTCCACTGACACCTATCCTCGTTACATTTATTTACATTTCGTTATTCATTCTTGTATCATTCACACTCAACGCAATATATATGTATCGCTCTTAAGAGACCCTGCATCTTTCCCCTAGAAGTATGCAACAATCAGATATGTGTTCAAGTGTCTAAGAGCCATTGACGGCCACAACGCTCTAGCTTTCTTATATGGGTAGATGAGAAAATGCTCATCGGCACGCTGTTTCCTGACAGAAACAGCGCACCGACAATCATTTTCTCATCTACCCATATATGCAAAACTCAGAATGCTATGGTCGTCAACGGCTCCCAGTCGCTCAACCAAATACTCTCATTCTTTCACACTTTTAAGGCAATCGATCAGTGTCTCTTATGGCACATACACTACATCATATTATCATACAGTGCATGTCCATAGTTCACTCCTCCTTATCCTTCACCCACACATAATCACTCATCATCTCCGCCCACGTCTCCCGCCACTCCCCCTCCCTCTTCACCACCTCCTCATTTCGCCTCACCAACGCCTTCAAGAACCTCCCCAATCCCTGCCGACTCTCCCCCAGTCGCTGAGTCTCCTCCCTCACCAACTGCGTAATCATACTCAACATCTCCAACCGCCATCGACATTTCCATCCCAACCGCCTGATCTCCACGCAATCCGGCTCAACCTCCCCATCCTCCAACTCCTCTATCATCTCCTCACACTTCTTCATCTCCCCCTTCATATCCCACAGCATCCACTTCAGCACCTTCATCGCGCACCAGTCCTCCACTGCACACTGTCGTCAGCTCGCCATTCATCCGCTCATAATTCCCAATTGTACTTACAGCCTCCAACCTCCAATCCCTCCTCATGTCGCGCCGGCTTCAACATGTTCTCCTCCGTCCACTTCTCGAAGGGCCCTAAACTCTCACTCATCAGTATTCTATACACATCTCATCCGCACACACAACTCACCTTCTTCCACATACCCATTCACCCGCCATCGAATGACAGGCAGATTCTCCATACACTCGTCAGCCCCTACTCCTTCCTCGTCAGTCCTTCTCTTCAAACCCTTCAACCAACTATCCATTCAAACTTACCGTCAATCCACAGTCGCCCCACAGCCTCTACAAACCCCTCCCCCCTCTTCATCTCAATACTCCCCATCATCTCGATCCCCCCCTTCTGTTTTCATCTCGTCATCTTCCCATCTCGCCACTCGGTCAATCTCTCAGTACTCACCTCCAATCGCTCACGCAGCACCCAATCGTTCTCCCACCAGTCGATCTCGTGCTTGAAGCAAGAATACGTCTCCATGATCGAGAGTCTGCGAACATGCCCTTCCTCTCATTCCCTCTTCATCTATATACTTTTTCTCTCCTTCTCTTCACATATTGTCTGCCGTCACTTTCTTCAAATACTCTAGTCTTCTTCACGTACGCTGTCATCAATGTAGCCTAGAATACATCCAATATATCCCTTCCATCATTCACGTTTAGCCTAGATCCTCTTCACCTCATTTACACTCCACTGCTAATCTCCTCGCCCATCATCACATCCTTCCTTCATTCGGTCTATTCCATCTTCGTCACATTTTTTCTCACTCGCAACTGCCGCATGTCAATTTAGATCAACGGCATTCTCATCATCCAATAAACAGTAACCTCATGCACACAGAATTCCCTCCAAGACGGAATGTATGCACCCAGCCCCACCGGAATCCCGTTCTCACTGCATTTACATCCATCTCCACAGAATTCCGTCCAGGAGGGAATCTCTGCACCCATCTCTTCGGCGCTTCTCCCACCCATGTCTGCCGCTCTCTCTTTCCGTCCTGGACGGAACGCTCGCCTCACACCACCGACGTCCATATGCCCCTGCCCACAACCACCGACCCTGCCCCACAGATGCCCAACCCTGCCCCCTAGCCGCCCAACCCTGCCCTCTAGCCGCCCAACCCTGGCCCACAGACGCCCAACCCTGGCCCACAGCCGCCCAACCCTGGGCCCTAGGCGCCCGACCCTACGTCAGCCCTAGGGTCGGACGAGAGTCCCCATAACCTTAGTCATGTATCGAATCATTAGGGGTTTCGCGGAGTATACCTGCGACCATGATAGGTCTTCATCTCGAGAAATTTTCTTGGATGGCTGAACGTCGGATTGGAAAAGCAGGGCGATAGTGTCGCCTCTTCGTATGATGTCGAAGGCCTGGTCAGAGTAAGCGCGTTGGCTGCTCTCGGCTTCTGCACACCCTTCAGCAGTGAAATACCAGAGGAGAAAAAACTTCATTTGCGACAGTTTGTCAATGGCGACTTGAGCCGGCGCCTGGTCAGCGAAATCAGGAGGCTTTGCAGACTGGTTAACTGTGGGGATTCGCCCGGTCTTAGTGGTCAGTTGGATGAAAGCGACGCGCAGGGGCTGGTCTTCATCCACTGGGTCTTCTGGGAGCGGTGCGCCGCCAAGAGCCTGATTGTCTGGCTCTTGCTGAGCAGGAGGCTGCTGTTGAGTGGGAGGTTGCTGTGGCCCTGGAGGCTGTCGCTGATCGGGAGGTTGTTGTTGACTGAGAGGTTGTTGTTGACCAGGAGGGCATTGTCGCTGTTGCTGCTGGCATTCGCATGCGGCATCACTTGCCACCTGCTGATCCCATTTCTCTCTTTCTTTCTGGTTTCCTCTGTTCCATATGTCCTTCAAGTGCTCGATTACCACTTCTTCTGAGTTATGCTCGGCGGAGACTAAAGCTGTCCGCATGGCGGCCCACTCGTCGGTGCTGTGGTCGGGACACGCCTGGGTGTAAGGGTTAACCATGAGACGTGGCATGCTGTGGAAGAAGGCTAGTTAAAAGGGAGCTATAAATACTGGATTATGAAGGGAAAACTTCGTGACCCTGCTAAGACAGGTGTATCTGTATGCAAAAAAAAGTGAACAGAGGGACTAGAGAGCAATGTAGCGAATGCGGCAGATGGAGGCTACAGGCAAGAAGCCAATGACCTGTAGCCGCCAAATCTGCCGCTCAGACATAGACCCCACTCTAGGGTTCTAATCGTACCTCATGGCACCCTAGACTAACTAATTAAACAGGTGCGATCGCTCAAGTAGCGCCCAACTATGATACAGTACCCGCGTCCTTGGTCACAGTCAGGCGTATGATATTCTGAGGCACAACAGTTGCGTGCCTCAGCGAGACTAAATGCTGGACCCGCTTGACACAGTTCCTTATTCCCTATCACAACTTCCAGAAATTTGCTGTGCAAGTCGTACTCGACACCAGTAGAAATGAGTCAATGAAAATAATATACAGTGCCTAGTGCGCATATTCATGTGATAATACCGTCATAATTGGAGTGTCCACGATTTACGCTTCACTCTCAACTGTGGGCTCTCGGTCTTTGTCGCCTGTGATCTTGTTCTTGATATCATGCGCTCGCTTCTTCAACCCCTCTTTGGACCATTTCGCAGTCCTGGTACCGAAGGAGCATTAATGATGGAAAGAAATAACACCAGGTGACGACTTACCGAACCGGCTTGTACTGCATCACTCCTCGATGCCGCATGTTCAACTGGTGAGTCTTTTCAGCATCAATCTCTTTCTGCTCCTTCTTCGAAATGTTGCCGTCATCTCCTGCATGCGCAGTACGCTCTGCGATAGCTTGTTGCCCTTCGACGCGATCATATGCTTCATAGCGACTATAGCGAAGGCTCAGCGACGCATCCGGGCAAAAGAAATGTACTTACTGTTTATCAGGACGAGAACCTTGGCTGACGGAATGAATAAGCACTTAGTACACGTCACAAAAATATAAGGCATAGACACACAAATCGGCATGGTCTGGATCGAGTCCGGAATCAAGAACGAGAGAGCAGGTGAGCCAGCCAACAATGTCATACTGGTGTGCCTTCGCAGTCTCTTCATTAACTAACAACGAAATCAACATCATTCAATATGGTCCACGAAGACGGAAAGCTTACTGTAATTCTGGCGGATCTGTTTGAGATCTTTGCTTCGAAGCACTGGTACCCGAACCTCCGTCTCCTCATCATCAGCTACATCCTTCAACCAACACATGGCTACAAAGTCTGAGCTGGCGCCAAGAGGTCCTATACCACCGCTTCCAATCTCGAAGAGCACCGCGCTGGAATACCGATTGTATACTGGCAACCGAACCTTTTCAACAGGGACATTCCAGACTACTTTTCCGCCTTCCTGCTTCTCGGCCGCACTAGCGGGTACCTTGTAGGAATCCTCGGTGGTAGAAACGGTGATCTTTTTGGTTTGGAAGCCTTCCGTGAATTCTGGCACCGGCTCGATACTGATGGGACCAAGGATTTCGGCCGTGCCTGTGTCCCAGCCCAGTAGGTTTGGAGGAAGATCAGTCTTGACTTGTCGGAAAAGGAATGAGATGTTGGCGCGACCATAACCTGGGCAAGTTGAAGATGAGATGCCGAAACACGCATACAAGTATATCATACATACCAACTCCCTCCTGAAGAGAAAATAAACGCGTTACTTCGGAACTGTTTTTGAACAGCTCCGAAAGCTTCACAGTGACGATACCAAGCACGGGGTCATTCTCTCTCACCCTTTAATCCCAGTGTCAGATCGGCAAGTCAATGCTTTACCAAAAATATAACCAACTTACCGAGCATCTCGGACCTGAACGCGGACGACCGTGTCTCTCCAGTCACGAACAAACTTTTCAGTACCAGCCTCGAAGTAGGGCATACTCGTGTATTGCTTGACACGCGTTTTGTAGATGAGATCATCGTTGACAATGATCTCGCAGTAACCGTTAGGCATATTCTGGCCCTCTTCAGCTGGTTCGGCAGTGTCTTGACCTGCTTGCCCTTCGCGTTTGCCAGTATTGCCTTTAATGTCCTGGCGTTCGACTGTATGGAAAGCCTTCTCGTTAGAACGTGCTGATGATTGAGGACGGGTAAACTCACGATTATTGATTTGATGGATGATGACGGAGAGAATGCCACTGGCAATGTTCGGGTCTGGAGGTGTACGCAAAGCGTCTGCTTCTTCTTGACTATCAGCGACTGTGGCTTGCTCCTGCGATTGTTTATTGTCTTTGATAACATCTGGAAGGTTCGGATTCTCTTCCTTCTTCAGATCCTTGTTCAGAGGTGCCTTCTCGCTGCAAATGAGTTGATCGTAAGCAAACATCACGAAACTTAGATGTGGCGCAGAAAACGTACTAAAATCCGATTTCCCAATGAAGTTCGCCGGGCATTGCGTTAGCATCCTCGAAACCCTGAAGCTTGTCAACTCTCGGGATCATCTTGTTGGGCTGCAATCAAGCGAAATCAACCGTTTAATCGTACACCATGATAATCACTATGAAAGCACGCACCTCACGCATCAATTCAGTCAAAGGAATAGTAACCCTTCCCACCAAATCATCTGCGCTCCTCTTGTCCGAATCCCAAAGCATAGCACTAACGTCTTCTTCTCCCTTCACCTCGTCATCCGTCACCAGGAGAAACGCTGTCTCCTCCCAAACAGGGTTCAAATCTCCTTCGATGATCCTCGTGCTGTACAAAGGTTTTCCGAACTTGGCGTAAGCGAGCACGATGTAAGGATCGGATTTCCCATTGCTATCTTGTGCACTGAGGTCGATTGCATGGTGAATAGTGATGACGAGGACGCCGAGGGCCTGAGTGTCCTTCTTGATACCGTCACCTGCGAGCATCTGTGCAAGGTTGAGAGTCAAAGATTTCGGTGCGACATATTCTGCACACTATGAATACGAGTCAGAACCCGAAAGACAAAGGACAGCAGAAGACAGAAACATACAGCGGCTGCGATACCCATTTCAACGAATGACTTAATCAAAGGCAAATCCAAGATGTTCGGCAACTTCTTCGTGAAGGGTTCCACAGAGACTTCCACTTTGGGTACGCCCATCAACGTAATGGTCAGGTTCCGCACAAAGGGAGGGTTCTGAATGAACTGGATCCGCATGCGAACGGTAGCGACAAAGCCTTCGACAATCGCGTAGATAGGAACGGGCACCCGGAACCAATCCAAGACACCAAGGAAGAACTCCAGCATGAGATGCATATTGTGTTGACGTAACTTGTGGGCTTGACCCGGGAGTGCTTGGTACGATACGCTGACTTCGTAGTTCTTTTTGCGAAATTGAGTAAATTACACGGCTTCATGAAAAGGAGGAAATGTAAGGGTACATACGACGTAATCTCCAGTTTGGTCTGTATCAATCTCCTTCGAAGGATCTGAACTGGCGTCACCGTCTTGATCTTTCTCGGTAGCCTGAGCTTTGCTTTGAGCATCCTTATCGAGTCTAACCCACTCTTCGCGTGGATAGTCAGGATGATCAGGTTGATCTGCAAGAGCACGCATAGAGACGATCCGGATTGGATTCGTGCCTTGACCGATATCGGCAATACGAACAGCGTCAATGAATCCTGGCAAAGACGCTTGAAGGACATCTTCAACCATCTATGCAAATGACCAGTGTTAGTCTAGACGAAACGAATGAAGAGAAGGCGAAAAAGAACGGACATCAGCGATTGGTACAAACATCTCCGGATTGACTAAACCCCAGACAACTTTGAACAACGCGTTCATCCACTCGGCACTTTCAGGCGTAGGTGGGCTAAAGTTCTCCGCTCTCTGCGTATGCATGTTCATCCTCACTCTCTCCAACTCCTTCTCGACCTTCCGACCCGCATTCTCGCTCCCCACCCAGGCGGCAAAGATTGTACCACACAAGAGACCCGTCCTCAACATCCAACTCCACCAGCCCAAGCCGTTTCTAAGTACGACGCTGAACCATAAAGCAAGGCAAGCAACAGTGGTGACCATGGCTCCTGTTCGAAGGATGAATTTCGCTTTACTTATATCGACAGGTTCCAATGGAGGTGGGAAGGATTGAAGGTTGATGTTCCCAATATCAGCGGATTGTGGGGCAGCGAAACGTTCATCTTGACCGTGCTTGGTCGGGTCCGGGGGTACCTTGAGAGCTGGTCCAGCTTTGTCTTTCTCAGGGTCGAGAGCGTCGTTGTCAAGACCCTTCTCGCGGAAGTCTGTGAACAATGTGTTAGAATAGGGTGAACGGCACACTCGGCTGGTGAAGCAGCAGGCCTAACACGGCAATAGAGCGATAGCAACATCATAACGAAGCAAAACAAGCGCATACACTCGGCGAAGCGAATGATACAAAAGCAACGACCGTGTATAATCGGCCTCGAAAGAGAGGAAGACTATTGAAAGGGGGAACGCTACTCACCTGCCATCTGTGGATTCTTCAACAGCACGGTTTGGCCTGTGACGGGATCTTTGACCCATTTGCCCCCCTTCTGCTTAGCAGCATCCATGGGTGACGAGCCCTTAGGAGGCTGCATACGCTCCATAAGCTCTTTCTTGTCATCCTGTTTCGGCTGCCCACGGGGAGGAGGCGGTTGGACAGCAGGAGTGGGTGGAAGAGACTTGTCTTTGTCGACGTCCCCGTCTGGCGAGTATTCCTCTACGGACGGATATTAGTGTCAGGATATAAAGAATACATTGACTTACCTTGGAACTTCTTGATAGTGGGGACGGGGTTGGTCGCTGAATACCCTTCACCTCCGAGGTGAGCAGTGGTCATCGTGTCGGTTGTTCGTTAAGATTCGTTAGTGACTGTTATGCACAGCGTGGAGATTTAAGGTGAAGGGGGAACGAATGCGAGACAGCCCAGTATAAGCATCAGGCGGGTGGTGGAGTGTGACGTCGAAGGCGTGGGCCAACAAGCCAGCTCGCCCCACATTCGCAGCAAGGTTTGTATCCGTGAGGTCATCGATCGCACCACGCACTAATGTGGAATTATACCGACAATTTCAAAGAGACATAGGCTGAACTAATATCGACGTGTCAGTGTTCCTAAAACCTACCTCATTCGACTGCACACGTGAGATATCAGACTACTTGGGTCTTGCGGCATCGACACGTCGAAACAGCGAAGTGAAGATCACAATCGAATACACTCAAATCTAGTGTGAGATGTAAAGATCATCGCAAGGCAAAGAGGTGGAGTTGGCGAAAGTGTTGACTTTAGCATTGATTGTCGCGCTCAAAAGCCTCAGTACTGTTTGCGCCTGTTTGGCAAAAGCGTCGTTCCTAACCACGCTCTTGGAAATAGCATCCTTCCAAAAGGTATTTCGATAATGGTCCCGAGGAAGTCCGACGGCCCGGCAACGAATCTGGCGACCAGCAAGGTTTGCAGGCAACGTGGTGAACTACACGCGCCCAGAAAGATCGTTCACGAAATGATCGAGTACATTCTGAACGGTGCATAGAATAGCAAGCTAGTGTTCAGTAAATCCGGAATGGAGCAGGAAGAGCCACCAAAGCCGATGATCGGGGGGAATCCGGAGAACAACACTGGAGACATGCTGCAGCATATCCTTCCCAGACACGCCATGACCATGAAAACAAGCTTCAGAGTGTGTTGCCGGACGCGTGCCAGAGGCATCTGTCATTCGAGCCCACGAAGATGGTTCATTAGCCCCTACGTTGCACATTTCTGTCTTGGCATTCTCGACGGTCCCATAACGTCAAGCTGAAGGGAGCGGTGTGCTGCGCACCTTGAGAGAAATGCAGCAAGCTCCGTCCATTCCACGACCCGGGCTGCCAAAAATAGCGGCAACGCGTTCTTGGGCGTGAGAGGGGTCGAAGAATGTGCTGAAAGACGGGGTCAGATGGCAAGAGACAACAAGTTCAGAGAGGGCGTCTATTGCGGCCAATCACATGGGCGCGAATTGCCTTGTTAGGGCGGCTAGGCGTATCAGTAGTTGACTGTATTCACCTACGCCCTTGTATACCCACCTAATTGTCCAATATTCGACCACTGCGACGTGCAGCAGCAGCCAGAGACAGAGCAAGAACACGTTCCGGGCTGTAGTAGAAGAACAAGTTGAATAGGATTGTGGAGATAAGGTGAGCTAGGGTTGGCTTATCTCTGGAGGAGCGAGACGAGTTGCTTATCTCCCGCATCACAAGCAGTCAGAAATTGCGGCAAAAGGAGGACAGGATGTCAGACGCTGGCTCATACGACTCTTCTCATTCCCATTCTGTCATGACCGAGGACGAGGAAGACTGGGAGGACTATGTCAAAGGCGGCTACCACCCCGTTCACATTGGCGACACATTTTCCGACGGCAGATATGTCGTCGTTCGCAAACTCGGTTGGGGCCACTTTTCCACCGTCTGGCTCGCAAAGGACACAAAGTCTGTACATCCCCTGATCGCGATCGGCTTCAATATGTTTTTCATTTACCAATTATCTTTCTGCACGTAGAATGAACCGCCACGTTGCCCTCAAAGTCGTCAAGTCCGCTCCTCGCTATACAGAGACCGCACTCGACGAAATCAAACTGCTCCAACGACTCATTACTTCCACCTCCCCGCCTATCCAACCTACACCCGATAATCCCAATCCCCCGCTCTCCCCATCGCAATCCCATCCCGGCCGCTCACACGTCATCTCCTTTCTCGACCATTTCAAGCACAAGGGACCAAATGGCACGCACGTCTGCATGGTCTTCGAGGTCCTGGGCGAGAATCTCTTAGGACTGATCAAGAGACATCAGAACAAGGGCGTCCCGATGCACTTGTGCAAGCAGATTGCAAAACAGATCTTGCTCGGGCTGGATTACATGCACCGTTGTTGTGGCGTTATCCATACCGGTGAGTCCCTGTCTATTTTTCTTTCAATTGCGATGTTTACTCATACTGCACTAGATCTAAAACCAGAGAACGTTCTTATATCCATTGACGATGTCGAATCGATCATTCAGGCCGAACTCACTGCGCAGTCGGCCTCTCAAACGCCTCCACCGACCCGACTGGTCGGCGTCCCTCCTTCTCGCGGGCGTGGTGGCAATCAAACGCCGCGCTCCGAGTCCGTCTTCATCACTGGTTCACAACCTCTACCGTCTCCAAGTTCATCCTTTGGCTCGACATCACACCTCGACCGATGGGCGTTTGGCATGAGTAAGATCGATGGTGAGGGAAGTAAGCCGGCGTCTATAGGTAGCAGTAAGGATGCCCCACAGAAGCGAGCGGATTCAACGGAGCAAGCTGCTGAACGCATATCAAACGTGAAGCTGGAGAGCTCACCTTTCGGCGAGAAGTCGAAATCGAACGGTCCAAAGGGCAAGGCGGGCGGACCTTCGTTATTGTCACAGCAAGCTCCGCCACCTGGATCTCAGCCAACTGGATCTCAGCCAACACCTGCGCCGCCATTGAGTGCACATAATAGCAGTCAACCACCACCTTATTCACCTGCCGAGGCCACCGGACGACAACCCGCAATCAACCAGCCACTTTCGAGTAGTGCGATGAGTGTGGATAACATGCCTGTGATGGACGGCACGGAGAAGATTACTGTCAAGATTGCTGATCTCGGAAATGGTCAGTCTAGTTGTTGACTTCTCGTGGAGTAGAATCACTGACTTTAGAATACCTAGCTACATGGGTAGAACACCATTTCACTGATGACATCCAGACAAGGCAATATCGCTGCCCAGAGGTCATCCTAGGTGCACGATGGGGTCCTTCGGCCGATATCTGGAGTGTGGCTTGTGTGGTATGCCCCCCGCCCTATATGACCCCCACTTCTCTCCTGAACGCGCTGTGCTACGTCTTCTCAGATTTTCGAGTTAATCACTGGTGGTGATTACCTCTTTGACCCGGCGTCAGGGTCGAGATACAGCAAAGACGACGATCATATAGCTCAAATCATCGAACTTATGGGCGACTTCCCCAAGCCGCTGGCGTTCTCGGGGAAGTATAGTTCAGACTTCTTCAGTCGGAAAGGTCAGAGCCGCCCTCTCTACCTGTCCTTGCGTCGTATTAAAAATCGATTCCTCCAGGTGAATTGCGACATATTCAGAAACTCCGCTTCTGGCCTCTCGACAACGTACTACATGAGAAGTATTTGCTACCAAAGGAAGAAGCTGAGCTCATCGCATCGTTCCTAAACCCTATGCTACGCCTTAATCCAGAGAAGCGAGCAAAGGCAGGAGACCTCATCCATCATAAATGGCTAGAAGGTATTGTTGTTCAAGGCGAGATCGACATTATTCGACGAGCAGAAGATGAGGATCGGAAACGTAAAGCTCTGCTTGCTGACAAGCAGGGAGCAAAACAAGAAGGACTTGATCAGGCTGGTGGAAAAGGGAAGGGAAGGCCCTTGGAGTTGGGCGTGAGGGAGGGTGAAGAAGATGCAATGAAGCCTGTGGAGGACGATCCCGTCAGCGGCGTTGAAGAGAGCTCTGTCTCGCATGTACCGAAGTTGAGTACGCCTGTACCTTCATCAGCTGCTGGGAAGGAGAACGCGACTAGGAGTGTCCCGACACTAGCAACACCACACAAATCCGGCGATAAACGCACATGACAACTCGCTTCACAGGACGAACGACCTGTATTTGTGCGTGTTCTGTTCCGATAGCGCGCTCGTCTTACGATGGACCAAGTGTTCTTCTAGAGTTTACGACCGGCGTTGTTGTTTTCCGTTGTAGTGTGTTCTGTATCTGCTACGCTGGCTGTGCCTACTAATATTTCTAACTGCCGTTCATGACAGTCTTTCATACATTGAATGTACGTCTCGATTTCAATGTTCTGCTTCAGTTGGATTTTCACACTTCTTGGTTTGCCGATCTTTCACGTCCCTTTCTTTGTTGTCCTGATCCGAATCACAAGTGTATTGCTCAAGTACAGGTAGCGATAGAAGCCAGATATTCAATATTCCCTCACAAGCACGTGCACGTTCGTCTGCATGTTAATTTTGGGTGTAACTGTAAGCAGCGTCATCATTTCTTCTGACGGGCGTCTATGCTAAGCCAACGTTCTTGAAGGACTTCATAAACCTCGTTGAAGTTGAGCCACCCGTACGATCGCGATCATCGTAACACTATCAGTCCTTCGATCACGTTCGTTGGATTCGTTTAGAGGGCAAACATTCCTTCCGGATGCCTCCCGGAGCACCAAGAGACAGTCGCTGGGATTCATTTTCGATGACACCATCCATAGGATAGGCGAGACAAACTATACATAACGACACGCAGTGACAACATCTGGTGGCGGATTGGCGTGATCGTTGACAGACAATTGACGTCTGTTGACCCGCTTGCTCTTGCATACAGCTTCGCCTAGCATGGACTGCGATAGGACCGGGATACTTGAATATTCCTATTCAACATTCGAACATTCTGGGCAACACGTTTAGGCTATTCAGTGCGCCCGCATAACGCTAATAATGAAGCAGATACTTCATGTCGAGGTCACGCTCTAATTTAGGTACCTTTTCATTATAAAACGGTGGCACAACCTGGTAGCTTTCATACCTACCTCGAGAGCACCCTCATTCGACTACTCCCTATCACACCTCCTGGTGACTATCGATGGCGGTCAGAGCACCTACCGCGTGGGATACAGCAGGACATGTTATATTCTTCGTACGTGCACAATTTCGTCTATCCGAACGCCAGACCAGACTGAACGTAGGGACCGCTTGCGAAGGGGCACCAAAATGGTATCTATTCAGAGTGAATTCGAGCAAGCATCAGAAAGCCTCTTCGATATGTTCAGCCTTCTGAATGTGATTAGAGGGGAGGACATGAGCGACGACAACCCCATGCGGTTTGATAGTCTTAACTGTGACGAGTTATCGAGGGTTTCGAGCTTTGGGTATGTACAGTGAATTGTGACCACGTCATCTGGGCTAATCCATGCTATGTACTAGGGGGTGAGGCTGATACTTCGACGCTCTCGCAGTGACTCTCAGTCCTCAAGCTGGTAGATCTGTGGTGGACCAGATCACGACCGTACCAGAACATCATCCCGATGAATGGATTCTACTCGCTCTCAGTGAGCTTGCTAAGAGAATAAACGTCTTGAAGGATAAATGCTAGGGCTTGAACGCATCCTCGAAATTGTCGCAGCATTCCTTCAAACTCAATGGAATGCGTCTATTGGGGCGGAGAATCCTTCATCAGAGAGACGAAAATGGTAGGCGTGGTATCATAAATTCCATTAGTGAAATTCCTCCTGCTCGCCAAAGTGTCATATTCAAGTCTTCTCTTGTGTACAAGTGCGAGAAACTGTCGCTGTCACCTGGCATATCGGTATTGTGGCTGAGGATGTCATCGATGAGGCTGTAGAATGAGAATCGTCACCTTTGGAGACCCTCGTGCACGAGCGCTCATTCAACGAGTTTCGTGCAACTTCGTCTGAGACGAGCATCTTCTGCGCTTCCACGCTAGCTAAGCTGAGATTACTGGATCTCGATAACCAGGCACTCCTCTGGAACTTCTAAGACGCGGAGAATACTTGCATAACCCAGGATCGTCAGATATATCCCACTTGTAGGCGTGGGTCCAGAAATATTCCAATCCTTTCAAGCGGCTTTAATGGCCTCAGATGCAAATGCTCCAGGCGAGAATCAGCGAGACCATGTGTTCTACCTGGAGCATGTAATATTTCTGGTATGGTCTTGTCCCATGCCTGTACGGTCAACTAACCGGAGTTACCGGACTGCATGTGAAGGTCGAAGGGGTGCTCTTCAAAGTCTATCGTCAACCATTCGAGAACGCATCAGATGTCTTCTCTGATATGTTTGATCTTCCTCGCCCAAGGACCATGCAATGTCATCCGAAGGTCTTTCAGATCAGAACCCAATTCGACTGGATGGCATTAGCTCTAAAGACTTTCGGGCACTCCTAAAATATATGTTCCCTCAAGTGATGTGAGCACGCTATCCTCAATTCGGTTCAACGAGTTAAATATTCTCATACTCCTGACTAGCGATCCTTCAGCAGATAGCAGAAATCTGCTCACGGAAGAGTGGATATCTATTCTAAAACTATCTACTATGTGGAACATGGTTGATCATCGAAAAAGCTCCATCCAAAATCTCAGGATGCGTTTCGACTATGACCCTGTCACGCGAGTTGTTCTCGCTCAGAGTCATGGCATTGACGAGTGGCTCCTCCCTGCCTATCTTCAACCGGCTCATCGAAAGGAGCCATTATCAGCCCTAGAGTCATCTCGTCTCGGATACGAGACCGCCTTCAAGATCGTCGAGGCTCGTGAGCGGGCCTACTCTAACATGCTCAGTGAGGTCTGCAACGCATGTGCGGACAAGTTTTCACCTGCTCGATCTCGTATAGCTCAGACACATGCGGGGCCATTCGGCACTTTAAGTGCATCAACAAGCTTCGGAGGTGCGTTTTCGGATGCATCATCCTCGAGACTCTGCATTCAGCCCATTTGTTCCAGTCCCTCGTACTCATGCGCATCCTATCACAACATATGACATGACGGAGACGATCAAGGACATATTTGGTATTACAGCATGATGTTAGGTGCCCAATTGTGAAGGTCTCCGAGCTCTCGTGAAACGGTTCATTTTTGTCTTAGTTTATATCTTATGTTTTGAATCATCAGCAGATCTCGAACAGATTTGTGTAGAAGTAGGTGTATATGAATGGTCTACTCACCAAAGATGGCATGAATCGCACTGGAGTAATTAAGCGCTTCGCGCTTTGGCTCTATCAAAAGATTTCGACCAGGATTGTAAATTTGTCCATAGCTCCCTACGATGTCAATGGCCATCTCGCGAAGCTGACAGACCTTCAGCGCGCATTCCAAGCCGAGCGTTTGAACGTCAGCTGAACTAATGGGCTGAGGTCGCTTCGCAAGAGCCGTGAGTGACGGGACCATCCACTCCTTTATGTCGAATTGAAGACTAAGCGCTAGGCAATGAACGGGGTCCTTCTCATGGTAGGACTTTAGATGCTGTATGGCATTTTCACGGACTCGCGAAAACATCCAGAGCGATGAGAGTTTCAGGACGGATGCCCATTCACATTCAGTGAGACGCTCCTCGATTCCGTAGTTCCTGGAGACTATAATGATGAGTTTCAGTTATGGTTACAGAAGCAAGTTTGACCCACCGCGGAAAAAGAACTCTTAATAGTTGATTGAAATCACTCCGATGAATCCCGTCGAGTATAATTGGCGTCTCCTTGCATGACCCTTCAGTGGGTTGTTGGGAAGATTGCGGTAGAGCAAACATGTCTTGGAACGTTTGAGAATCCTCGACAAAGTTTCTTCTTGGAAGTTTGTACAGCATTCCTTCGACCTGTGTGCCATATGTGGAATCGGTGGTCTAGGCAACGGTGCGACATCTGGATTGCGTACCAATAAGAATATATCTTCGAAGTAGAATTCGTCATCAATTTCATATCCAACAGAATCCGACTGCTCAAGATCGAGCGTTCGGGTGCGTCTTTCAATTTTTTCCATGCCTAGGTCAGGATCGAGGGACGTATCAGAGGCTGAGAGACAGATGCGAGGGAAAGCACTGATAGCCTCATACGATATCAATCATGTAATCAGTTGCAGGGTCCAGGGTCCAAATTGGAAGTACTCGGCCTCGTTGTTTGCTCCTGGCGGCGTTCGATGTGCGCATCTGTCTGTAAAAGGTAACTCTTCAGCTTACGCAGTCATCACATGTGTAAGGATGGGAGCCATATAGACAGTGCGAAAAAAAGATAACGCATCGGGTATGGAGGTTTGCATCATGAAAACTGATCTTCAGGTTACAAATAAACACCCCTCCTAGTAAAACGACACGGAAACTGGAAGACTATGTTTCGCTGAAACACACATAAAGGCACCAGGATTGGAAATGAAAGACAAACATGACAATAACACCCTGAACACGTACGACGTACAGGATTGATATCACAATTATATCTGCAAGAAATCTGTCTTCGTGAATGTGCGGATAGTTGGGAACGAGCCTGTGATGTGTATGTGCTTTCTATTTCAGATACGTTGTCATTCTTGTCTGCAGAAGGTAAATGTCGAGCAACGATACCAAATCCTGACGAAGGAGGGAATGTCGACTCAATTGCCGATAGAGATCTTAGGTTCAAGACTGACTGGCTCGTCGCGGCGCCCCATCGAAAGAGAAGTGCCAGTTGTGCGGCAGATGCGTATTGACATCTGCCATATCATGTGTGGCTTGACAATATCCGACCGAGTATGGCATAGCCCAACACCATTGTGCAGGCGACGCCAAAGGTAGTAGGCGAGGCTAATGAGTAAAAGGAGGCCGAAGAAAGAACCGAAGAGTGCTGCAAGCATAGTGGGTATCACCCTGGAATGACCACAATCTGATGTTGTTAACAGAATCTGACATCCGGAGAGAACAATCCGTCAAACAGAAGCTTAGCCCGATGCCGCGTCAGAAATGGAAGTCAAACTTGGTATCGATGACGTGTATGTTAAGGAAGTAAGTTGGGACTTGAAAAGCGGAGTATCGGCATCAATATCTGGGGGAACTCATCGCGAAAAGAGGTCGCGGAGGGCAACAAAGGATCATTCACTTCGCCTGCCAATAGAACCTCTGTTGCAATGGGTTCTGCGCTGGATACATTGCTATGATGAGAGATTAAGAATGTGGTCAGGCATGAACCGTTTGCTGTATATAGTTGTTGGGCCAAATAGTAATGAAGGCGAAATCCTGCCAATTCCCAATGCCGGTCGGATAGGCCGTCAGTAAAAAGAGTGAAAAGATTTAGAAGAAGGGTCGAAAGTGCGTTGAAGGAATAGATGCAGATGTGGGGTCTGGTCTTCGTATGGGGAGAAGAGAGCGATAATGTCGTTGACTTGTACGCTATAATTTCCCTATATGAATGTAACGTGAGGGTTAGTTCAAGGTACTACGGAGAACATGACTGACGTGTTCCGGCTCATTTGAACTGTAGAGGTACATAGCTCAATCAGAAAGTGACATACCCATGTTTGCTCCGTTGGATTGGGCTGCGTTGTATGTCCCTTGGAAGCACTGGAATCTATGTGAGTCAGTATCCGGCTGAGCGCCCCATCCCTCGGTGGGATAGATAAGTTGAGAGGACATGTCGTCGACAGTAAAGTTCACATACAATGCAGTAGATCAGACCGAGTAAATTACGAACAGAGAAACGGCGCGGACAGAAGCCAAGTTGGGTCGAAGTATTGCAATCTAGAGAGAACGGTAGTCTGGTAAAAGACCGATGATGAAGGGCAGACGATATCCAAGGAAACAGAGAGTAACGAGCATCACGTACAGCGAGGTCGTAGTCGCAGGAAGCGAAGAGACGGCGGTCTGGCCTTAGATATTGAGCCGCCTAACAATGATGCAGGGAAATCGAACAGGATGTCTGATGCATCAACCTGTCAACAGGAACAGAGGTGATGATCGTGACGAACACTTTCAATCGTGAATTCAAGGCCCTACATGGGACATGAAGTCAGCCGAAAACGTTGAGACGCTAAAACACCCCGAATAGATTACTGGCCAAGATGTCGTGCAAGATATTAGCAGTATATCATGCTCAAATTTTCTGCTGTGTATGGCGACACCAGCCAAGGATTGTCACTAGATTATATCGGGATGTTGCTGGCAATGAGAGTTGAGAAAGAGAATTCCTGACGAAAGCAATGCACTCACCCGGGCCGGGATGCGGGTCGGCTTGAATCGATTCTCAACTGGAAGGAAACTGAACTCCGAACCAGTCGAAGGATGAATGTCACGGTGGAGAAGGTCCAAGCCTAGCCTAGCAACTTGAAAAGGACACTGTAGAGATCCTTTGATGCGTGGATGAGGTCATCTACATACGCCTATATAACGTTGTGTGACCATGCGCGCATCCTAGAATGCATAACTGACCGTGCCGCGACCCTCAGGTGTCTCTGGCGTTCAAGCTCCCCTTGTGTTCAAAGTTTAGCATGTATTTCGAACGTTCCGTTCATGAATTCGCAAGCGAGAGAATTTGCACACCATTCTGATCTAACATGGTCTTTCCTGATGCAGGATTCTGGAAGCCAGTATGACGGAAACATCACGGATGTAGCGTGTTTTGTCACGGTCGCTCTGAGATACGTGAGTTTTACAGAACTACGTTTGTCTATGGTCAGTACTGAACGTTTTCTGGTGAATTAGACTTGTACCTACTTCGTTAAGTTCTGATACTGTCATCCAGACCGTATTCTCTTCCCGATGTCCACTGCAAAGCCACGTCGCAGCTATAGTCCTGTCCAATATCTGTAGTGGTCTAGTACAAACTTCAGCACTTCTGGTAAGATCTCGGATTGTACTTACTCGAATCACCATCCTCTAAAGTCTGTCGCACCCATCCAGGCATTCAATGAGAGTACCGAAGCTTGGCACCCACAGGTCATTCCTCCGCGTCATTCGACTCGAGGGCCACATCCTGGAAGGTTCTATGTTCATCCGTGCTCATCGAAAATAGCCTTTTGCATGACGCATTCGTCGTAATCGGACTCTCGTGAAGGCTGAGTGTCGGAACCCTACATTAGTCTCTCTCGCATTGTGTAACGAAAAGCGATGGCGCAACTTACGCCCCAAAATCGTTCTGGAAAATGGTTTCCCCCCATGACACAACGAAGCCTTCTCCTTCTCAGCATGTACTCGGAATCTTGGAATCCACGTTGAATGCGGCGTGAGGATGAACGGCGGAAGAACGTTCGGACTCCCGCGGGATGATGGAGATCATAGTGTTCTGTAAGACACCTGAGCTTGTTTATCTGAATCATTCTATTCTGATAGCGGCCAAGTGCCGCTCTACAGGTCTATTCCGGTCCTAAAGGGTTTCCTGTGCTTCCACGGTTGTCTCTCGGGCCTCACTGCGACAAGACGGCAACTTTCGCCCCACAAACCTTCTCGTAAATTCTGGGTTCTGACGGGGGTTTTCTACAAATTACAAGGTAAGACGTCAAGGGTGCATTGTCCAGAAAGAGCATGGTGATTCAACGTGCTGTCAGGTCTGTATTCCCGTCCCCATTCTTAGGTGGCTATCAAGGCACTCATCACTATCAAGTGTGCTGGTTCTGATTTCTATTTCTCTTCTGCCTCGTTGAGACCCCCTTTGTCGGTTTCTCTACCCACGCCATGCATGCCATGACGTTTCTACGGAAGACGAAGGGCAAGGTGGGCAGACAGGGAGGACGAATGTGGTCAAATGAATCATTCGTGGAGGCGCAGCAGGTGATGGGGAGGCTGCCAGTACGCCGTCTCAAGATGTGCGCTATCTCACATCGATCCACGCCCCGGGAGTTCCCCTTGAAACCACTGCCGTTCGATCCTCAGCATATCCGGGAGCTTTTGGTTTCACGCTGAAGAGCCCTCAGTTGACCGTTCTCAACTCTCGGAATATCCCATCCGTTCCTTGCTTCACATTATTCATCATGTTCTATCCTTGTTCAAGCGATAATAAACATGCAGCAAGCCGCGTTGAACAACATGTGACAACCTCAGCGTAATACGTACAGTCTCACAGCCTTTCCCAATGACTGGCCCCGGGAACACATAAACTTACGGCGCAATGGAGTCGTCGAACACGCTGTGTAGGCTACGAAATTATTACAGGTCATATGGGTAGGTTTTTCTCCACTCTCAGCTCTTCCGCAACCGTATTAAGTCTTTTCTAGAAGCAGCATGATTGCTCAAGACACTGGACGTTCGTTGGCCGCTCAGGCTGGAGTTTCCAGGGCCCGAGAGCAGGCGTCGCGGATTGGGTCTTAACGACGATACCCTAGGGGTGTTCACCTTGCTCCGTGAGTGAGGTAACCTCATCTTTTATTGAAGAGTTTAATTGCATTTCTTGGAGCAGATTAACTACAGTAGATCTCGTTCTCTGACCGGCCGCCCTCTCTCCCTGCTTCGTATTCGTCATCACATCCCATCCGCCTTCGTCGCCTTCGCCGTGCCATCCGGATACATGGCTCTAGCATGAGGACCTCCAACAATATTTATTCCACTCTACGCCAACCAAGATCCGCTTCTTTCGCGCCACGCTCGTTGCAAAAAATTCCCTTCCGCCGCCTCTTATCATTCACCGCCGTATGTCTAACATCGCCCTCACCGAAATTAACGTCGAGGGCTCCAATGCCCAGGCAGCGACAGACCTCGAACTTGAACAAACACGCGGAACCAAATTGAGAACCCAGCGTGGGGCTGAAGATGGCTAAATCTGACAGATAACTTCGCGCGCCCCACACTCAGATAGGTCGGGCATACAGATCCGGATCACTCAGGCTGCAATGTGATTTGACAGATACACATCGGCCCCTTTACTGATAGATTGCTTCTATGGATCTCTCCGCGACTGCCGCCGGCCCAGACCTCCTTCACAGCCTGCTTTCTTTGTTTCATCTTCTGCTTCGCCTTTATCCTGTCAAAATCCCGACGATGGGCACGTTTTGGACTCTCTTAAAAGTGCGAACGTCGCAGCGAGGCTCTGTCAACTACGGCCTCCGATGTACGTTGTTTGTACATAAACATGTCAAGTAAACTATTCGATACTTGTACCGAAGAGACGTCTTACCTCCAATCGTATCAACTCTTTGGACGAGGCCTGGACGTAGACACTGCCTGGACCCATTGTTGCTTTGTCTGCTCCCGATTGCTCCCAAGCATGGATTTGCGACAACGGTGATTGAAGGAATGAAGTCGTGGCACAGTCAGACAGTCCACCAAACGGAATACAGCGCAACCTCTGCTGCTTGAAGCGCTATGTCTATCTCCACCGGCAAGAGGACTTGCAACAAACACGAGTAGGAAGATGCCTGCTATTATTGGTGTTAGCGTGGGTACTGTGGAGCGAGGAGTGGGATTGCAAGGAACTAATTTGGCAACGATATTACTCTTTCTGTCGGATCGATACCAGTCCCGACGACTTCTTCACCACCTACCAGAGCTTGCCGACAGCGAACTGCGATACTCTATTTTTTTTAGAGCCGTCTTGCAGTGCATTCGTCCGTCTCCAGGCTTCCCATGTGGACAACCTACTTTTGCTCCTCTTCCCCCTCTTTGCCGCCGCCATTCGTAGCAAATAAAGATTATTTCTTGCCTTCTCCGGCAGGATTGCCGCCGGTTTTTATCGTAATAGGGCTGCGCTGATAATGGCTTTCCTTGTGATCATGATCAGCAAAAGAAGAGCGCCATTCAAAAGTCTGGTATGCACTGAAAACTAGACACGCCCAAACCCACCATCATCGGTGAAGCCAGGCAAGGAAGGTTGAACTTGGGTTCAAGACGCACCTTCTGCCGGAAATAAGACGGACACGAACAAGCGATGGTCCATCAACACCGCAGTGTCTCTACCACTCCAGACTGCTCGCCGATAGACATCGCAATCCTTTTTCTTTTTCCAACGACATTCGTCAGCAGACACGTCTTCGGCGCCGCTGTAAAGGTAAACGTTCCGATATCCTCCATGCAAAAGAGCGCGAAGGGCATGAAATCAATCTGTCCAAGATTGGTAAGAAGACTTGTTTTCTTTTCTCGAGTCGTTGACGCGCTGACCAGTAGATCCGTGCTTTCAGGCCTTCTGGAGTGAAGTGCAAGATAGTGTAAAGGCAGATTACGTGCCTCCATTGGGAATTTTCGTTCCTGTCGATGGATGCGAAAGGATCGTAGCCTCCATGTCCATCGTTGAATGGGAGATGGTCATCAATCTGCGGATCAAGGGCAATAGGTGTAAGTATGCCCCGGATGTGCGTCTGTTCTGTCTGTCGTGATCTGGAGCCTATGAATGGGAGAGGCTTTCTCAGGGGAAGCCGTATGATCGAAAGGAATGTGGGCGAATTAGACACGGTGAAGATGTACATATCTCATCTATCAAAAAGCGTAAATTGTAGCGCACTTGCTCGATTGGTCGAATGCAGTTGGTGGGGACTTTGACATGAGAGGGAGAGCCAATCTGTCTAATCTGGCACGTTGCAACATATATCGAGGATTTTTTGCAAACGAGAGATACTCTCACGAGATGCTAGGGCGTCGAGATGACTGGTATCAGTAGTATCGACGATCAACTGAGAACACGCGCTTGGCACGTTTTCAATTGTCGACCTCGCCAGTTTCGAAGTCTTTTCTGGGCAACGGCCACGGATGCATCCGTGACCCATAAGTACATTTGATCACGATCGATGGAATATGGGGAGAGGTTTGGGGAGGCCGATCAGGAACGGAGGGAACGCGAGGAATCAATGCCACGAAAGAGCCGTACCGTGTACGCGTGTCCGATTGACAGAGAATGTGTGAGTTTGTTTGACTTGGAAGCCTGATGCCTCTGTCCGTACCATCAAAGAGTGGGGTTAGTAGGGACGAAAAAAAAAGTGAAGGTTTGCGCAAAAGTGAGCGCGTACTTGGAGTTGAATTCCGAGATGTCGCCAAGCGGATGTTGGAATGGTCTTTGCAGGGAAAAGGAGCCAGCTGGGCGCAGTGGAGAATTGGTCCCGTGAAGCTCTGCCGGCAGGTACGGACCATATGTGATCAATTCCCCGGACCGGTGATTCGGATCCCAAGTTTTCCTCGCTTTCCTCGCTCGCCTCGTTCAAGCTGCTGCTAGGAAAAAGCCTTGCCATGGGTCGCATGGGTATGAGAATAAACCAAGTTCCATTCACTGCTTCTCTTCTTCTTCCTACGCACGTTTAGAGAACAAAGCAAGGCCTAGACTGGGATGGAGATAGCCTTTCCCGAGTGAATTGCCAGAGTGTGGTGACCCACTTTCCACCTGAGGTGTGTAAGCGTTTCGCTGGCAGCTGGTTTTCACGGAGACAATGTCAGTCGATGGTCTCGACTCTGGGTGGTGATGCGTTCAAACTGTCATGGCATGGCATAAGATGGCCGACCGATATGACCGAGAGCTGAGATTACGAATTTGGAGATAGCGAAATCAATCATGCACGGGAAAGGACTGGAAAGGTGTATGACGGCTGCCAGCTCACAAGGGTTTGCGAAAAGTAGCATCTCAAATTCTTGCACACAAATCGGGCAAAAAGAGAGCTTGTATTCGTTAGCGGACGGAAGGATGCTAAGACCGAGTGGTGCTCTGGTTGTAAAACGAACAAGCGGGATTTTGGAGGAGTTGCTGGATCTGGAGGGAGTTCACCGCCACCAGGGACAAGCAAGAGGCCGACGGTTGTAGTCCGGAAAAGGAAACCCCGGGGTCGGAGTTGACAGTTCGATGGCGATTTGCAAACTCAGCCAGATGGTGTGATCGAAGCTTGGCGCGATTGAGATTTCAGTGATCGCTTGACAAGTTGTTGAGGACGGCGGCGAGGCGAATAGAAAGGCAGGGAAAGGGATACCTGAGAGGGACATATTACAACACAGGAAGCAATGAGATCTTTCACAATCCGGCGGGATCGGACGGATAAATGTGAGCTGAAACCCGCTGGGATGTCAATAACGCTGAACAAGCAGTGTCAAGCAAAGCAAGGATTAGCTTGCTTTGAAGGTAGAGGGAATTTGACGGGAGGATTGATTGCATTAGAGTACTCAAGTAGACTCGCGGTAGTGACGGAGTGATAGTTGGCTCCGGACTTTCAGAACACCGAAGAAGTGAGCCTAGAATAGCCAAGGACTGAGCGTGGATAGATTGGCTAGCGTAGACACTCGAATACTTCCGTATAGAGAATAATGAGAGTTGGCTAGGCGTTTGGGATAGAGTTGGTCTAACACATGTCAATGTAAACTACGGCGAAGCTAGAAAACGATTGGCAGGTTAGAGATGGCGAGGATCTGCAAAAGGATGCGCCACGAAGGGTAGGGATTCGAAACGGGTTTGAGAGTGGCAGGAGGAAAAAGTATAAGCCGCAAAGCCAAGGATGCGAAAGCAGTTGTGAGCGGAAAGCCGATATCGTCATTGGGAGAGCTGGGAAAGAAGAGACAGATTGGTATGTTTGACAAATAATGTGGACACGTGTATATCAGCCCGCTAATTCGCCGTGAGTGGAAGAAGGGTGTGAATGAAAAGAGAGAGTGGCCCTAAGAGGCAGGCGTTGTTTTGCGCGAGAGAGTGGGAGAAGATGCGGGAGTAAGATTGGCGGTGGAGGACGGCAGGAATAGCACAGAGAGAATGCGGCAGTGTGCCTGTCTGCGCGACGTCGTACAGGCATCGAACACGGTAGAGCTAAACGCAGAGGTGGGCGTTTGAGCAACGAAATCGTCGGGCCCGGAACGAGAGGAGGGTGCCTGATGATCCGGAAGAGTGGTAAAGTTGAAAGTCCGCTGGTGAGCTGTACCTTAATTGTCGAGGCTCAGGCACCTTTTAGGTTCAACCCCTGGCTCATCCTCAGCTGGCTTTTCCCCGCCAGCCAGATGGACATCCCTCCCTCTACCAACGTCGACGACAACATGGCCGCAGTCGCCACCATGCCCGCAGTCGCCACCATGCCCCAGCCATCGTCTGCAGCGACGACAAGCCCTGGTCCGCCCACCACCCCAGGCAACAGGCGTTATCGTCCTGCTCCCGCCAAGACGTTTCAGTGCAGGGGCTATGGCGATTGCAGGATGGTCTTCAGTAGGAGTGAACACCTTGCCAGGCACATCAGGCACGTACGCCCACCCGCATCTCCTATTTGCCCCTCTGACGCATTTCCTTCAGAAAACACACCGGCGAGCGGCCCTTCACTTGTCACTGCGGAAAGCAATTTTCGCGTCTCGACAACCTCCGCCAGCACGCTCAGACCGTGCACGCCGACAAGCAGGACCAGAACGAGCGCATGATGCAGGAGCTCACCTCCTTGCACGCGTCTATGTCCGCTGCCAGCAAAGGCGGTCCTGCTCGCGGAAAGCGCGCTTCGGCTGCCAACTCCAACCCCTCCAGTACCTCCCCTACTGCAGCTGCCCTTGATGGTTCCGTGCCCTCCATGTCCATCAAGCAAGAGGACTCCCTCGCCGCCATGTCTGCCGTTCACCCGCGCCCTGGTACCAGCACTGGCTACGAAGACGGCAACGGCCTCATGTACCACACTGGTCCCTGGCAAGTCCCCTCCAACGTCGATCGCCGTTCGGGCAACAGTCATTCCTTTCGTGACTCCAGCCAGTCCTTTCGTGCCCCAGCATCCAACTCTCCAACATCAGGCTCCCCCACAGCTCCAGCCTTCCCTCAGCAACAGCTCCAGCAACAACACTCCGGCCAGTCCTTTCTCGTCCCCCCCTCCACCTCATTCAACTTCAGTCTCCCCAATATCCCAGACTCTTCCGCCTCAAGTACTCGCCCAGGATCCAGCTCTGGCCCTCGCCCACCTTCAGCAGACAACAATCGATCCCTCCCACCCATCTCTACCATCGTCGCCGCATCCCTCCCTTCAGCCCTCTCTCTCCCGCACCAACCCTACCTTTCCGGTTCAGCGTTCGGCCTCCCGCATGAGCAACTCCGACCGCCATCATCGCTCACATCTTCACACATACTACCCTTACCCACCCCCTCAGCACACTATATCCACAGTCGACGACCATCCACAGCAACTCGCCCAGGTACCGCTCCAGCATCGTTCTACTACTCAGCAGCCAATGCTTTCGCTCCAGGATCTGGATCCTTACCACCCCTGGCCTCCTCACGCGAACATCGTCCAGAGCTATCCTTATCCTTCCTCTCTGGACATGGACGCTACTCAGGCGGGGCCGAGTCAGTACTCCGATCAACTGCAGTTGCCGATCCAGGAGACGAACCCACATCTCCAAACAACTACGAGTCTCCATTTTCCTTCCACGCTCCCTCAACAACAGCAGCAGCAGCAACCTCATCCTCAGCGTCGTTCACCGACTACCGCCCAACATCTTCCGTCCCCAACCCGCGCAAACGACCTCACTCAGGATCCGATGATGATGTCCCACGTGGAAGAGGAGATGCTGGTCGCCCAATTAGCAGTAGCGGCGGGCGTAGACCAGGTACCAGTGGATTACCCAGCTTCGCTGCACACGCATCAGAGTACGAATACGGCTCAGAGTCTCGGCCACAATCTCGACGGCTCTCCGTCATGGAACTCTGCAATAATGACGACGACGCAGATGCAGCAACTCGACCGTTTATACCGTTTCCAAGCGCAGCATCAGTCTCACGGCCCACAACTTCGTCAGGACTCGTCACGTCAGCCTCTCAACTCGCACTCGTCGATAGGCCAACACCACCACCCCCAGCAATCGCCGCAGCCAACTCAGCAGCAACAACGGGGTCCCCAGCCTCCACCCACTCCTATCTCTCACGGTCCTCTTCCCCAGAACACGTCCGTACGAGCCCATCTTTATTCACAAGAGCTTCGTATGCAGCAGGAGGAGCAACTGCGCCGACAGCAGCAGGAGCGGAATTTCCAAGAGGAGCAGCAGCAGCAACGCGAGCATCAGGAACGCGAACGTCGGAATTCGGAGGAGGAATACCTTCGTCGGCTTCATGGGGCTTATCAGGGTACTCACAGCAACAACCACAGTCCCCACTCTCTCGCTCATCCAACGGGGGGTCACCCTTACTTTCCCGCTCAGCAGGCGGCGGCTCAACAGCAGCAGCATCAGGGGGAGGTCACTTATATTATAGAACACACTCCCCTACCGCATCACCACCAGCAGGGAGGTACCACTCCGGAAGGGCACCAGGCGCAGTATCACCCGTCAGTGATGCTGGATCGTCATCAGGGGGGTTATCACCTGGTGGACGGTCAACTGGAGCTGGCAGTTCAGGAGGGGAGTCCCAACGGGGGAATGATCAGGTACGATTCGCCACTGCCGTTGGTATGAGGGCTTGACCGCGCGCTGCTCCTTCACTCTTTTCCCTTTTTGCTTATACGAATCCGAGAACCTACCTTGAATGAGCGAACTCTCTTCTTCTATTATTTCGCTTCAACTGCAGTTATTTATACCTTATGGGGATGGGTAATGATGGATTCCTTGGCTCTTTCTTTCTTCTTGTCCTGGTTCGAGATCCAGTCCTATTGGTTATTTGTACGCCCCCACTGCCTGCCTGCCTGCCTGCCTCAGTTACAACAACTTGCTGTAATCGCTTCGCTTCAACGTTCTCATGCATGCATTTTTTGGCTATAGGGTACTTTGTAGTTAGAACGAGTCTTTGTGTTTTCTCGCTGGTCTGGTCTAGTCTGCGTTCGTTCCATGTCCGTTTTCGCCCTTAGGAATCTTGTAGTATACTATCAATGTATGTAGTACTGCTCGGAATACCATAATACCCTTTTCCGAGCACTTTTACCCGGTCGTTAGATCTCGTAATCCTAGCCAATGGACGCGTTGGACGTTACTATTTTGGGTTAGGTACGAAGCCTTTGCCAAATAGCGCCAAACAAAACTCGAACTGATCCAGGAGTCGGCCGAACTTTGTGCTGAGCCTCACCGCTGCTCATCTATTGTCAATTGACCTGTTGAACGTCGAAGACACGTCCTTGGGCTCATTTCACATTTCATTATCGTAAGGATTCCTGAATTCTTCCACGAACCTCATTTGAGTGGTCTTGCAGAGGGTAAGTAGTGCTGATTCGGAAAGCTGTCATGTTCGACAGTACGATAGCCAATCAAACATACAAGGTAACATTGGGTAGTGCGCTCTTGATTGAATGTATTGCACTCACAGTCTTTCTGGTCATGGTGGAGGTCGACCTCGCTGTTTTGGCGAAGTTATTGGGAACATCCTCACGCAGCGTGTCGCATAGTGACGCTCAGATTTATTCCAACCTACAGTATTATCGCTGCGAAACCCTACGCTTAAGACGCATACAAGTTACGTTCCTTGTTTCCGAACCTGCAGATGTTCAATGGATTACACAGAGGCGACTTACCAGAACATTTCGGCCCTTAATTGTGGTCGAATACCTCCATCAAGCTCAAAGAATCCCACTTGGATTCATTAAATATGATGCTGGCGGTGCAAATTTACGGGACTCAATCTTTCATTCTCTCCATACTGTTGATATTACTATCATTACAACAACGGTGTGTTCTCTTAATCACTTCTCTGGTATGAACAATCTCAGAGATATCAGATGGCGAAGACCGTGTCTTCTTGCGAAGGCCTACGTTGTTCGACAAGGGTCCCGCCGGACATGAAATGACGACAAAAGCTACAAACGCAGTCTATTGACTAGCGTGCATGGTCAACTTTGTTTTCAATCTCCAACATCGCACAGAACGCGGTGGTTTGTGGATTCGGATAATACGGTGCTAGAAAGAACAACATGATTGAAGTTGATTGACCAAGCGCGAAAAATCAAAGCATGATTGAAACTCACGCTGCTGTTTGCCATCAGCACCCTCCTTCCCAGGAGCAGGCGCGGTCATCACAAACTGTTGACAATCTTCTACAATCTTGATGCCTTTCCCACCATCCTGTGGATCCGCAAATACATGTGTCTTGACCCATTCCAGTTCACGCTGGACGGCCTCTCGCGCTTGGGATTCGTTGGGGTACGTGAGCTGAGCGCGAGTCGTCGATAAATGGGGGTTGAAAGCGCGTGTGATAGCTAGCCATTCTGGATCAAATGATATAATGGGCCGTGAGGAATCGGTGTTTGGAGGTGGGACAAAATCTGATGGAGATGGAACGTCGATGACCTGCAAGTACATAGGCGAAATCAATTAGCAGTTCAGAAGAGATGTGTGTGAGCGTACCTCGAGGAAGTTCCGTTGAGGTAGACATTTGTCCAATGCAAGGAACTTGGTCTGAAGTGGCGGTGGCGGCGGCGGCGGAGGTGCAACGACATCTTCCTCTTCATCTTCAAGCAAAATCTCATCGGGATTACGTGACACATTATTTGTTGCTTCAGTTTCCTTCTCATTCGTTTTCTCCGTAATAACCTTTTCTGGCTTGTCAAACTCGTCGTCTTCGATTGCAATCTCATCAGGATTCGTTCCTTCTGCACCCTTCCCGGCTTGCTGACCACCGACTCCGTTATCAGACGCATGTACGACGGCAGCTTCAAATCGGCAATGCAAATGAGCCGAAAACCACCACTCGGGTCGAAGTGTCCTCAACAGACCCATGAGGGGAGGCGATCCTAGTTGACCGGTCTCGATATCTCGCTTGAAGAACGGTTTTCGTCTAATGAGGCCACGCAAGTCGCCATGTTGTTCAATGGATTGTGGCCAGTCGTGTGAGAGGAAGATGGTCGGGCGAGGTGAGAGCTATTACTTCGTTAGCACATGATGAAGATCTGCGTGAGGGAAGAGGAAAGGCTTACAAGAGATAGTCGTCGGATGTTGTATTCTCGAATATGATATATACTTCGCATAGCACTAGGTGTATATGGTAAGCGCTCCCAATGACCTACAGCGGGAGAATTATGAACCGAGTGAATACAACGCACACGGGAAAGACGTACCTTGATGGAAGTCCTGAGGTTTGAATATCCCAGAAGCACCAGCTATACGAAGCCCGTTCACTTGGATACAACCAGCGTGGCCTAGAAAGTACATGCTCGGCGCGATCCAACCTCCATGGTACCTATATGGAGGAACAGGCTGAGAAGTTGTAACGAGGCTGAAATTCGAAGTATAGCTCACAGTTCCCAGAAATAATTTGAGGCTTCATGGTTTCCCCCGATGACGATAGTCAAGACAGGCGCAGTCTTTTCCCCCGTATAGTATCTACAAGAGCACCAATCAGCATCTTTTCAACGGCGCCAGCCTAATTAGTAGAACGCCTACCTACTTCCAGAACTCTCCAAGTTTCTTGTATTTGTCTGGTACAGCCATACATTGTAGATCGCGTTCGTTTCTGATAGCTTGGAAGTCTCCGCAGATAAGTAGGAGGTCTACTTTATAGTTGTTTCGAGTTTGGAGAGTCTCGATCTGAGAGTAAGTGGCATCCAAGGCGCCATGACAGCATCCTTCGATGGCTATCTGAAAATAAAATGCTTCCAGATAACGGCTAGGCTAAAGATACGATAGCAATACCTTCATTTTGAGATTCAGATTGCCCTGCTATGGCGGACGCAGCAGAACAAGTGGGCATGATGAGAAGCGCCCAATACTGAGAAGTTGTTGTGGGGCGTCTACTGCTCTATCTTTTCTTTCCACTCGCCCTTCGCCATACTGAAGTCGCCATGTTGCGGACAGTGTAAGTATCCTTGATTTATGGGTACAAATAACAGAAACTGAGCCGCTCTCTTAGGAAGCCCAAAAATGCCCGCTCAAAACGAGCGTTGGACGCACGAGAACCGAAGGAGGTCGAGGACGCAAGGACGGCGATCTTCGTCAAAGGTTCACATAGTGGAGAGAAAGTCAATAATGTTATGAAGGATTTGGTGAGTCATCTCGCTCTCTTGAATATGCTGTTGACTGAGTCCTCTTCTAGATGGCTCTGAAAAGACCGAATGCTATCTCGTTTTCGAAGAAGAACGTCGTTCGGCCGTTCGAGGATGCATCCTCTCTTGACTTCTGGTCTCAGAAAAATGATGCAGGCCTCTTCATTGTTGGTCAAAGCACCAAGAAGCGACCGGATGGACTAGTATTCGTGAGGATGTTCGATAACCGGGTGCTGGATATGTGCGAGATCGGTGTAGAAGGTTATCAAGCTATGAGTGAATTCAAGGTGCGCGTTCTAGTCGTCTATACGCCGTTCAGAATATTGACGATACTATCCAGACTCCGAAATCTACACCCGGTCACAAACCACTCATGCACTTTGCATCTGAGTTGTTTGATACCCATCCTCGCTTTCAACAACTGAAGTCAATGCTTATGGATTTCTTCAACGGTGAAGAGATCGACTCAATATGTCTCCCGGGTATCGAGCATGTCATTAGTGTCACACTCGCTCCTACACCTTCTTCACTCAATTCCGCAACGACCAGACTAGACCCATCCTCGTCCAAAAACGAAGACGACACGAAATCTCTACCAAAAATCCATATACGGACATACACAATTAAACTTCTTGCATCCGGTACACGTATTCCACGAGTGGAGTTGGTTCCTATGGGCCCTTCATTGGACCTTGTGCTGCGCCGACACCAAGATCCGGACGCAGAGGTGCTAAAACAGGCGATGAGACGGCCCAAGCTGAAGAAGCAAGATGTGGAGAAGGGACTTGGGAAGAAGAGGAAGAATATGGAGGTGGACGAGATGGGAGATCTTCGGGGAAGGATCCATGTGGCGAAGCAGGACCTGGGCAGACTCCAGACTCGAAAGATGAAGGGGTTGAAGGCTGGGCAAAGCGAGGATGTGAATATGTCGGACGCAGAAGAGGACGGGAGGTCGACAAAACGACAAAAGAGTGGTTGAATGTGTTGTACTCGCTGTACTTATGTTTATTTTGAGGGCATATGGGATTGTCACAGGTGACCAGTCATGGGAATGGAGATGATTAGATAAGCAAAGAATTGGATCAATGAAGCACTGTGCCAGCATCTCTTCAGCAGTTCCCACTTCTCTCGCTGCCTCTGTCTCCTTTCTCCTCTCCTTCCCCGAGGAAAACAGCCCTTCCGGTTGTGCACAGGGACCCAACTCGACGGCCTCGCTTTTGGCCGACTTCTCACGCTCGTTTTCACTGTATGATCGATTGAAGGAAGAAACATGGCGACCTTGTGTGAGTTTGTTCGTAGCTAATATATAGTTGTGAGGCCTTATCACTTTCCAAAGCAACCCCAATAATCCCATTGCCGACTTCGACGTCTGAGACGCCCCCTTCAACGTGCGTTCTATCCTGTTTTTCTGCTTTGAAGCGTTTTATGAGAGATGTTTTGTTAGAACCGAGGCTCCGACTGAAAGCTCTAGTCCTCCTCCTACCACAACTCCTCCAACTGAGACATCCACTCCTCCTCCTACCCCTCCATCATCTACTCCTCCTGCTTCCGAGCCAAGTTCGATACCTTCGTCATCTCCGTCCAGCAATCTTCCCCCAAGCGATACCACCAGCTCAATTGAAATTACCAGTAGCTCCATCCCTCCTTCGACCACATCCTCTTCTAGCTCCTCTACCATAACACCCCCACCCTCCTCAACCATCAGCAGTACATCAAGCACAGGTAGTTCAACGTTACCTCTTAGTCTATCAGCATCCACTTCTGGAACGGCTGTGGTCATCGTCACTGTCCAGCAGCCTCTTGACCCTTCTGGTACGCCCGGAGATGTCTCCGCTCAGCAGAATGATACAAAGCCAAAATCGTGAGTATCTCAGTTCGATTTTCTTATTGTCGTTTTGGCGGCTTTCCTCGACCGATCGATCAAAAATTGGATCGCATTCGCATGTTGTTCTACTCTGGCTCATCACTTTCGATTTCAGGTTCTTCGATAATAAAGGTGCTGTCGCTGGTGTGTTCACCGTCGTCGGCATTATTGCGCTCGTAATCATCTTTGCTCTGATTACGAACGCCGTTCGCCGTCGCAAGGCCAAGAAATTCGATCGAGATGTCGCAGAGGCAGCAGCCGAAGCAGCAGCGCAAGCACACGGTGCTCCCGGTTTCGACATCGACGATGACCATGAATTTGCCTATCGTGATCCTCTTGGAGCTCAGAGCAACTATACGGGGTATTCAGGTGACAGCCACGGGACCTACGGTCAACCGCCTATGGCCGTTCCTGAGAGCTACAACATGAGCGAGATGCATGCCTACGACCCGTATGCGGCTGCTGGTGTCGGTAGCGGTGTTGCTGGCGCAGCTGGCGTTGGAGCTGCTGGTGTCAACAGGGCAAGGAGCGTGACTACCCCCTACAACGCTTTTGCAGGCCCACAGGTTGATCCTTATGCGCCTGACCCTTCTGCCCAACCTCAAGGAATGTACGATATACCACCTCAAACGCCCGGTCAAAATCTTCGCTATAGACAACGTGGAACATCTGGCGGGAACGAACTTGACCTTCTCGACGCAGCTGGTCTTGGCGGTGGTGCTGCTCTTGCTGCCGGTGCCGCTGGTGGCCTGGCTCGAGGTCCTTCGCACCATCTTGCATCCACAGCGATGACAACATCTCCTGCGTCGTTGGCTCGAAACAAGAGCCTTGGTTCCCAGACTCTTGGCGGAAGTTCCTCTGGCGATCATGAGTCCTACGCCGCGCATTATCAACCTGGATTCAAAGCGGAAACGTACCAACCACCTGCGGCTCAAACTCAAGCTCAGACTCAGCAGTATCTGAGCTCTTCTTCTAGACCTGTATCGACCGAAGATCCCTACGGCGGTATTGATACTTCACCTACCTCGACCGAAATGCCGAATCCGTTCTCACCTCCTGCCCATGGTCAGCCGTCAGACCCTAGACCTTTGTCTGGCAATTATAGCTCTCCAGATGGTAGTGATCAGGATGATGGCGGTCCCCATGGATTTGGATACCACGACGGTGCTGACAGTCGAGCAAGTTTGAGAGACGAAGAAGACTATGCCTACGGAGGCGGACGGCGGGTGTTGAAGGTATGTTTTGGGCGTCTATAATCTGAGTTGTTTTTCGATTAACACATTTGCTTGGTGTACTGTAGGTCGCGAACGAGTGATGTAAGATTATCTCTTCTTGATTTCGCGTCAAGCGTTGTACAACATCACCCTTCATCTTCGTGTCCTTCTATGCTCTCCTCCTAAATTTTCGCTTTCGGCCGGCTGGTTGTAGACTAGAGCCGTACTTGCACGCCGTAGCTCTCGCATTGCCAGTACTCGTATTGCCGCATTGACATTTGCTCAGCTCACGCGGTCTATTCCCCAATTTCTCTATCCCCTTATTCGTTCCTCGCTATTCCTCGTTCCGATTCTTCCAGAATCACTGCACTGGACTTGTCTTCTCCCTCCTGCTTCTGTCGCTCTTTACTTGTCCCTTCTTTCATCTCGCGTTCTTCGTTTTTATTACTATTCGTCTAGCGCAGTGATATGCATGTTGTTTTTGACTGAACTCTATGCATCGCACAGGTTACAGAGATACAGTTCACATGTCCTTATGCGCAGGACAATGAATACTGGTATTACTCACTTGCGCACTATCGTTGTTTGCTACCTGCATTTGTTCAGGACATACCCAGGCAATGTTGCTTGATGACATCCCAAGGAAACTTTCGTACTCCTTCGTGAGTGGTATGTATCCTCTTCTCTTCATAGCTACTCACGGATCTATGGACCACGGTAGAAGGGAAAGAACGATAGAGATTTTCGAGTGATGCTGAAGACTGAAGGTGGCACTCATTCAGGATGAGTACGAGACGCTGCAAGCGCTCCTATTTCACAAACGCTCCAAAATATGTTCGAAAGCCACTTGGAAAACAACAACCAGTTTTCATTCATGTACACTCCGTTTTGTTTGCATCGGCCTGATGAGTTCAGCCTGTCCTTGTTGCTTCGATTATCTGATATGAGCAAAACAAGGTTTCATCGGAACGGCGATCGTTCTATCGTTCGGCAGTGCGATCTTAGGATTTGGCAGTTTGTGCGATGCAAAGTAAGCAAATGGCAATGCCGTACATGGTCTATTGCTATTGCTGCTGATGTTTATTCATTTGCTTGTTTATGTAGTAAGGTTCGTATTGTTCTTTAGATAATTCTAGCAACAATGATAAATTTTCGCGATGACTACAGTCATATACCCAGAGGATGCCGTCTTCTCATATTCGCAATGACTTCGCCGTTATATGTGCTGTTCAGAAAGGCGAGCCACCGGAGCGACCAGTCGACAGTACCGTGCCTCCAGAGCTTTGGGACCTGACACAGAAGTGTTGGGTTCAAATAGCTGACACTCGGCCTTCCATGGACCAGGTTGTGCACATGCTTCCTAGCCTGTCAGCAAGAAATAGCACCCCCTCCTTCCTGCAGCTGAAGGGCAATGAGGCACTGGGCATCGCGCATCGTCTTCAGGCACGGATCGCAATATCCTGGAGTTAAGCTACCCTGTATCTCAATACATCCACAATCCATTTATTGTCCAATGAAATCAACTTGAAAAAACCTAGAACAGCAGCTGATGCGTAAACTACCTCGCCGGCGTGAGGATAAGCATACTCTGCCTAACCACTTTTTGCATGAGATACTCTTGAAACCCTTCCTAACAGCAATACAATAAACACCCTATGGTTCAGCGGACTGTTGGAACTTCTACAAGGACTGGACGATCAGTCTTTGAGATGATATGAAGCATGAACTTTAAAGACTACCTGGCACTCGTCGCTTCATGCAAGTAGAAGTGGCAAAGAAAAGAGAGACATAGTCTGAAGAGGTGAATACCCTCTGTGTTGCGGAGCATACAAAATAGCAGACTCACCTACAACCTATCCTCGCCGTATTGGTCGCCGGTTGCCTATTCCTTGCGACAGACCTGAGACTGTAGAACAGAATGCAACGTATGAGCGCATCGCAAGAGTATGCTGTCGAATTACATGGGCCACTAATACGACAGAGCTATCTAGCTATTTCACACCTGGATGATTGGATCCGTACGTGAACTGATACAGAGATAACGTCAAACGAACTCAGAAGTAGCGTGGCTGAAAAGATTGGGTACGTGCAGGGACTCGGAGCCTGTCCGGAGAGGCCCATGTGATCAGATCGGGCACGAGAATAGAGGTGACAGATGGAAAAGTTGCTGAATGTTAGCGGAGAAGACTTGGAAATGATGGGCTCTTCAAATCATGGGTTTGAGTGTCTATTGCAGTAGAACGACTTTGTTGTGATGCAAGGGAGTGACAAGGCTACACTCCGAGTTTCTCTTGGCAAATGCTCACCGCTCTAGGATATACAACGCTTGTGAGTTAAATGCCACGCTCGCCGACCATACGCAGGTGTGACAAGGAGCCAACAGTGAGGAACGAGGAACAAGCAATACTTAAGTATCGACCGTAAAGCCGCATGAAGAGGACCGACAGGGGGGTCGGGTGGGATGAACCTTAGCCACAGTCACCTTGGCAATCAGAGAGGCATCTAAGGGAGCATTGAGAGATTTACAGCAAAACGGCGTGGAAGTGGAGCGCGAAGGTTGTCGTTATAGTGGTGTCATAATTCGCGTGGATGCCATGGTATACGGACGGGAAGGTCAGGCCTTCAGTACTCTGCAGTGTATTCGACGTCGCAGCCTGGAATCGTGACGTCATTTCAAGGTTGAGTCCTGGACCGTGGTTGTAATTCTATCACCTATGGCGTCCCATTCTCACTCCCATAGTCCACGTCTTGGGAAATATATCCTTCCCAGTCTGCAGCCATTCTCCTTCATTCATAGTATCCCGGATACTCAGCTCCTTCAGCCAACAAAACCTATCCGAGAGCAAACTATCCAAGTGTTCAACTTCATAGGGATCATAAGTGGTAAAGGGAAGGTTTAGACAGAGCGAAGCAAGGAGATGCGGAGAGGGCAGTTGTTGAAGCCAGTCGGTGGCTACTGAGATGTGTGAGGGAACGTCAAGAGCGAGAGAGGTGAGGGAGGTGAGAGATGTCAAGAGAAGCTTTTGTGGGAATGCTATGAGGAGAATACGAGTAAGGTTGGTGGTGACGGCGATAGGTGGGAACTGACGGTTGAAGCATGACTGACCTGTAGTGTGTAGCACATAGCCGTTGTAATCACCGGGTTTTGGCACTCGAACACCTATGGAGAGGTGACAGAGCGATGGTTGATTCTGAATGAACTCGCATACGGTCGACTGTTTGACCTGCTCCATATAGTGGAACTCGACATCTAGACTGTGCAATTTAACACCAGAATCAACCAACTGGCGAAAGAATGCGCCATCTTTGGGGAAACTCCTCACACTGATCTTCAAGGAAGACAGCATAGGAGGGGGTACTACAGATGTAGGGACGGTCCAGTCCTCGGGATTGAAGTCCGCGAAGCCAACCATGTTGAGCTCGCAATGCTTCGCGTGAGAGAATACGGAGAGGACTTGGCATAAGGCGGAAGTAGGTGCGCTCGCACGTACAAATACCACCTTACCCGGTGGAGAAGGTAACAAGGTGAGACTTTGGACCAGAGGCTGAAAATGAGGGAGCTTTATCCAGGCAGGGTTGGCCAGTCCGACTATTCTGATTGTATCAAGCGAGACTAAAGTTGTCATTAGCGAGACTGGGAGGGGCCTGAGAACCCGAAAGTCGAGACTGAGATCACGAATGTACGATGTGAGAGAGGGGTTTTGGCAAAGGCGTTCATGTAGAGTGGAGACGCGTTTATTGGTATGTAGAGTAATGCAACGGAAGAGATATGGCTGGAAGTACGCACTCCAAGCCCTACAGGCGAGAGAACAAGCGTGTAAAGCAGAATAGTCGTGGTCATCGCATAGGTACTGGGCGATGATTGGGAGGATGTCGAGCACGAGTGTCGGTATTGTAGACGGTGCTACAGGCAACTTTGAGACTTTCCGCCTGGTAAAGAGGCTGCTGAGAAGTCGACGAGCTCTCTTAAGCTGGCTCATTCTCGTGGTCAGCGTCGTGACGCGTGAAGGCCAAGCCTCTGCAGATCAACCAACAGGTAAAGATGCACTGACAATGGTTCATGGGAAACGTTCAAGTGATCTGGGCTGTCCCGATTTACGATCAATCGATCAATGCTGGAAAGATGCGAATGGACGGCTACTCGAATTACTGTACTCAACGTTCGTTTACTGTGACGCGTTTGCAACCACCCCAACTTCGAATGTTGTTTTGGCCGAAGTCTCCAGTCCATCTGGAGAATGGAATCATTTAACACAAAGATGAGTTGTTTAAAAATGTTACACTCTCCGATCAAATAGATCTCAGTCCTGCTCAAGGCTCTTTCACCGCAACATGGAGATTTTATAGAGCATGACGAACGTTCACATGTCAACTCTCTGTTAAAGCTCGTGTTTATGTTCGTCGTATTTGGTGGTCATGTTTCTATAGGTTCCACGGAACTTTGCGTCATGCATGATCTCAAGCGTGGCATCGTTGCGAACTTCTTTTATAGCCATCGCTCGCCACGCCAGGTCACTGAGATCCTGCAAACGGTGAGGTAGATAATGTGAACAGTGTCCATGATCAATCAGATATCTTCCTGTTCTGGAAACTAACTCAGCCACTTGTCAATTCGCCCTTCGATAGTAACATTACCGCCAGATTGGGAGCAAGAACGAAATTCAGGTAAGCATTTGAGCCCATTCACGATGGTAGACTCCCGAACACTTCGACATTGTTCATATAGAACCTTCTGAATAAAAGGTCGGACATCCAATTCTTCACGTATTGGCCGGCTTTCTATCGTAACGTTCAATTTCAAGAGGTGTGGCGTTTTCCTTCGAATAGATACAACTGCTTTCCAAATGGCGAATGGAGATAAGGTGGACATAGACGATACGTCTATGAGATTGGGATGGATAGAGTTCAAGTCGCATATGCGCCATCTTGTGGTTCTGAGCTTGGGTAAGTGTCTCTTTGCCCAGCTTTCCACGCCACCTATGATGATGTGGTCGATTGCGCAGGTTCCGAAGTCGCCTGCTAATCTCCCGTTGAATCATATGACCCTCACATGAACAGCTTTTTATGAAATGCTACCCTTTGTTTGCATTCGAACCAATACTGCTGCTACTGTATACTCAGGGAACGCTGACGAAGTGATTTGGAGCACAGACATCTGAGCATCTGAGGGTGGGGTGTATTTCAAAGGACTACCGGTGGGCAAAGGGTTCACAATACGTCTATCTAGAGCTTCGAGCCTCAACATTCATGGGTGGACAAACCAATATTCCTTGATTTCGAGGTTGACACCAGTCTGGAGACTACCAACGAACAACTCAAGTCCTTCCATATTACGTCCAAGTCATTAGTGCAATTTTGCTATTCGCTCAATCTACAGTCTGGATGGGGTATGCATTGCGGCCACGGTTCCAAGGCGCCTTCGGTTATTAGCTTCCATTCCTTCGGCAAACTAGTCTGACGGTGTGCCTCTAGAGTCACTCATGGTCTCGCCTATTACTATTTGTCAAGAGCGAATTGCTCACACGGATTATGATGGTGACGCAAACCCTGACGAGAGAGGACATATTGTCCGTTGAGTACAAAAGGTGGGCCGTCCTTCGTTTAACTTTCTATCACCATTCTCTCATCAACATGCCTCTAGCACCCGTGGATGACAAAGGGACTAAGCTCTACTACGAAGATAGTGGAATACCGCTCGATGAATCTTTGTATCGTACAATAATCGTTATCCATGGTGGTTACTTCAACGGAGGTATGCACACCTATGACATTTGGTCTTACAAAGCCTGATGCATGGGTATCTATCCCAGGCATTTTCAAACCGGCCTTTCCTTGCGCGAAATTGAAGAACCTTCGAATCATCTCGTTGAACAAACGCGACTACTCCTCCTCGACACCTTACAGCGAGGAGGAGTTGGCGGAGCTCAACAGTCCTGATGAAGCGATAAGGATTGGCTTCGTGAAGAAAAGAGTCGCGGAAGTTGGCGCCTTCATTGTTTGGCTTATTCAGAATGAGAATATCCCCACCCCTGTGGGCGGTTCAGTGGATGACTCCAAGGAGAAGGGTGGGCTTTCAATTGCTGCTTGGTCTTCCGGCAGTTGTTTAGCTGTGCCATTCCTTGCCTTCGCGCCCGAACTCATTGGGAAAGATTCGCTGGACTTGATACAAAAGTATCTCTGCTCTTATGTCATGTACGGTATGTCATATCTCACATTGAACGCAAATGCTTCCTAATGTACTTTGTCACTTGTAGATGCACCGAATTTTCCCCACGGGCTCCCAGTCCCGGTCTTGGACGGACAATATTACTGTCCCATTGGTGACCCAGCCCTCACTCACGCAGAGATAATCCAGCAATTCCCAGACTGGTGTTCAGGCTTTTACACTCATTCACCGTCGGCTCTCTCCGAACTCTCAGCGCCCCTCGATGCACCCTCCAACTTCAGTAATGTCACTGAGTTCCTAAGCGCCCTTACGCTAAACCAGGACGTTGAACCAGCTCCTACGAGTATTCAAATATTGCAGGCCGCCTCAGACACATGTGAACCGGTGCCAAACGTCGCTCGGGCACATGTTCAATTGCTCTTCGTCAGCTTCCCGTTCTACGCCGAATGTTCTGCGAAGGTCTTCCTTAGCCCAATGCCAATTTGGCCGAAAGTGAGGAGAGAAGTGGTGGTGTGTGGTCGAAGTTTCGGATTGACTCTATATGCCGCTTGGGAATTGAAAAGGTTGGTGCAATTCAGGAAGTCGTTGATAGAAGGTAAAGGGAAGGAAGGATGTACGGTGAGATTTCATGTTTGGAAGGATTTCAACCATACAGTACGTCTCCATTCTTGTTCCTGACATCTGATAAAGTTCACAATGCACATGCCAGTCTCATTGGGATCAGCCGAAGACATTCGTTGATCTCCTTGCCAGCGTAGCATGATTTCCCTTCGCAGGATCCGAGTACTTCCCACATCATAACGTCTCCTCTGCAATCTCGAATGACGGTCGTCTTCCTCGCTTGCTCGAACCGAGGGCGTCGCGGACGCGCTCAATCTCTCGCGCACCTGTGCGTTCAATCAGAGCGTCTGCGTCAGTACTGCAATGATCCTATGCTATGAACTTTTACGAAAACTCTTGCGTTCCTGTGGCAACTCCTCTCGCTCGTTCTCGTGTGCTAGCCATGTTTATACACGTTCCCGGATGTACTCTTCAAGTCTGAACTCAACTTTGAATTTAGCGCTACATGACTCACTTTCGGGCTCTCTTATGTTTGTGTCTACCTATTCTACAACAATCCGGCCTGATCTACGCTGTCGAATGGGAAAGGCTTTTCATTCTGACACCACATAGGGCGAAAGATGATCTTGATCTATGTTGATGACCCCATGGGTCGCTCGGCAAGCGCGTCTGCAGAATCCTCGTTGGGCGGGATGATTCTACCATCGTCGAATTCGCTTGGTCTCCGAACCAGTTCAGACATGCCTGCGTTTATTCCCCTTGCCCCTCAAAGTTACCTGAGTTCAACGGACAGCTGCTGGTGACTCTCTTGCCTCCGAGAGGGCCTTGACACTCCACAACGCCAACTATCAGACGCCACCATTGGCAGCTAATGCGCTAACATCACCACTTTCGGCGGAATGAAAAGAGCTTATACGTTATGTCAAAGTAGGTGGCAGGCTTCTATGTTTACCCCGGACCAGCGTTCCTTTAAATCCAGTCCCTTCCTCTCATCCCTCTATCCCACACCCCTGCGCTTCACTATGCCTTTCATCTCCGTTGACACCAAAGGTACTCAGCTTTACTATGAGGATAGTGGCGTACCCGATAGTGCACCCACTGACTACAAGACATTGGTGATCGTTCATGGGACCATGTTCAACGGCGGTACGTATCTTGAGACTAGTATGCGAGGGTGTGCTCATTAATTCTGATCACCAGGCATATTCAAGCGTATTCTGCCTTTCGCATCTCACAACAAGGCCCGTGTTATTCTTGTGAATCAACGTGACTATCAGCATTCGACTCCATTCAACAAGGAAGAGCTCGAGGCATTGACTAGTCATAACAAGGACCAGCAGGATTCTTTCATTCGAGATCGAGTCCGTGAGCTTGCAAACTGCCTCATATGGCTTATCGAGCATGAAGACATTCCTCCCATTAGCTCAGATAGGAAGACTGGTGGACTAGCTGTTATCGGGTGGTCATCTGGGAACTGTCTTATGTTTCCGTTCTTGGCACTGTCAGATGAAGTCATCAGTGACAAGAACCAGAAAGACGTTCTCAGTAAGAATATTCGTGCAGTGGTAATATACGGTGAGTTCGCAGGACAATGTCTGCCTACCCGTCCCATGTTAATATCGACGGCAATCTTTAGAAGCGGCAGGACTGGCCTGGGGCCTCCCTTCACCTCCTTCAGTCGAGGACCTCGCACTCACATACGAGATGTTTGGGCCGTTGGTGGGCGCTTACTTTGATCACCGCCCCGAGATCCTTGATTATCTCGAGTCACCATCCCTCGACAAGTTTACCACAGACGACGAGGTCCACTCCGTCCTTTCATACATGCCCGCAACCGATCGTACTCCTACGATGGATCGTGTCCCTGCCGAGATACTGTCGGAAGTTGCAGAACCACCTGAGACCTTCTATCGCTCAATGATTCCTGTCTTGATCTTGAACTCCGAACTTTACAGAAGCTATGCTACTCTCGCCGTTCGGGCTGGCGCTTTCCCTAACGCTCCAGTCGAGGTCGTAGTCTGTGGAAGGAGCCTAGCCAATATTGTTCATGGTGCATACAGGTTTCAGAGGGACTTGCTAGAGGATCGTCTTGTGAGGAAGATAGAGAATCAAAGGAAGACTTCGTTCCATGTTTGGAGGGAGTTCAACCACTGCGTAAGCTTGCGCATCACCGTTTGGCTGACTGATGCGATGCTGATCACTATACCTTCAGCCTCAGTGGGACGAGCCCGGAAAATTCATTGAGTTGATGACCGACGTTGCTTAATCTTAGTCAGAGTTGACGGTGCACATCTAGAGGTTATTGCAGCGGTGTTTGTTCTTGAAGTGAAGCGCTTGTCTCAGTAGATTTGGGCAGTAACCTAATGGACAGTTTCTAATCCGGAGTGTTCTACTAGTTTGGCGCAGGAAGAAAGCCATTTGTTAATGTATAGCTTACTAAGATGCATCTTGCTCTCTGAGTCAAACTTTGAATATTCTGGCGGAAGTTCTGAGGCTTTACCATGCGGGCCGTGCAGACCGAGCAGGTACGACGGTTTAGAGAAACGTGAGCAAACAACGATGATTTTCTATAAGTACTTCCCCCGTTTACAAGAGTCGATCCTACTAACCACAATGTTTGTGCCTCAACCTATGCTTTTTTCTGTGTGCGAAAAATCCTCCATACTTTCGAGAGTCGGTTTACAGGTTTGTGACACGCAGCCTTCAGGCGATTTGATGTCAGGCGGTCGATTCATCTCTAACCGCAGCCTTAAGAATCAGTTGTAGAAAACACTAATTGACTTATCACAGGCGTTGGTCCAGAGGTCCAAACATATATTCTAGCTATCGACATGCCCTTTTTCCACCAACATGTAGACAAACTATGCTTTGGGGAGAACGAAACCGACTCATGCGATCAATTTCTGGTAGCCGAGATGTCGTAAACAGGAACGTGGCTGCTGCATATAACGAAACATAAAACGTTGTTTCACGTCATCATTCCCCATGAAATTTTCATTTTAACCACCATCACCAGCTACACACGAAGCTTGCATGACCTTTACGCTCTAACGACCTAATGGCAGAGTTCGATGACCTTCCCCCAGAAGTACTCTACAATATTGTAGCTCGAATAGCCACACAGTATATTGACCACTATGTCATCTCACCACCTCCTCTACGGGTGAAGTCTGTTTACCAGTACGACCAGTGGGGCCCGGATATTCCTTATGACGAGCCTAACTTGCTTGTACCTCTGCTGTTGGTATCGCATCAGATGATGGACGTGACGTGGATGGTCATCTGCGACGCACTTGATCGGAGAAGACCGTATGGTATCTCGTGCGTTTCACGTTTCTGGTACCATCTGGTACCATTCACCAGTCAGTTGTCTAATCTAGCAGCAAACCTGCTTTAGACCCTACATCAATCCATGGAGACGTCTTCAGTACCTCCGTAACCTGTATCAGTACGCACGACAGGGCAGGGAGGAAGACATGCAAACATACGAAATCTTAATCGGCATTCCTGACATTCCTTACATTGCCAATCACGGTTCATCAATAGTTACATCTACTTGGCTCAACAGGAACTTTGGTTCCATAAAAATGGCGTCGTCGTCGTGGAACATGTTCCTGAGGACAACAATCCGCATCTATTCGGTACCTTGCAAACGGTTAAGACAATTTGGCCCAGGGTCTTCGCTGAAGTCATTTATGAACGTGTCAGATGTCTGATCATTTCTTACAAAATTGGTGAGTTTATATTCCTTCCTCAAGGCGAATAGTGATTAATCTGGTATTTTGTTAGTGCATCGCGCCATGCGGTGCTGTGCAAGAGTCGAGGAGCTCGTGAAGCCGCGTTCGCCTCTTCGTCTTCGTTCCGCGACTAAAAGACAATATGAGGTACGACTGAAATGTTTTTTCTTCTTTGACTTTCTGATGTATTTATACTCCCTCACGTCTTTGTAGGAGGCTAAGAAGGAGATGATGATTAATTTCGCTACTATCAGTGCATGCTTCCCTATGAAAAAGGGCGTCCTTTGGGGCCCCGAGCCATCCAACCTTCAAGCAGATGTTCTTCATGTACGTGTTCTTCCACAGGAGTTATTTCTTATCCATCGTTAATGCACTCTTTCATCGTATGTAGATTGTCATTCAAAAGGTGATGTCAAATCAAACACTCATGAAAGAGGTCAAGTTGCGCGATCCATCGGACCATTCCCGTATGAGGGATCTCTTGGAAATCCTCTTGGAGAACGGCCTTCCGGTGATGAGAGAAGTTAGAGAGTACATGACTGCGCAATTAATGAAGACCGCTCCTGAGGCTCGTGAATTCCTCAAGAATTTGGAGTGAATTATCACTATTGCGAGTCTATACATCTTTGAGTAGGGTATGTTCGTGGACCACTGGGTAGTAACCATGGCATTTAGATAGAGAAAGTTGCTGTTCGGTCATGCTCACGTTTGGCCTTGATATGGATCGTTTGTATCATTGCTCTCATTTCTCTCGTCTTACTGTTCCCTCACTGGATCAACAATACACGTTAGACTCACCTCACTTCTAGACAGGCGGCGGTGAAACAGATAAAATCGACGGTGCTAATGGTATCGATAACCTGAACGATCGGGGCTACGGATTTGCAGACCTCGGAGAAATGCAATGATAATAACAATGCGACGAACGAAAGCGTGAAAGATTTCAGCTGCAGAATTTCCTGTTCAGATCAGTCACCATAGATCGCCATCAGGTTGGTGTATGACCACAGAATCGACTCGATGCTACCGATAGAGCCTTAAAAGACCCTGTGGGACACTCACATATGATGCTTCTGTTCATATTCAAGTCAGGCATTTATATGAATAGAGAGAACAAATAAGGTCATTAAGAAAACAATTGTTAAGCAAAGTACATAGGATGATAATTTACCGAAGATCCGCGACGCCTAAGAAGGTGCCTGAGCACCGAAACCATTCATTATCAGCACAGTCTTCACAATCTTCGAGAACATGCATCTAATGTAGTTGCCACTACCGATTCCTCATTCGTCGACAAGTCGTTTTATGGCCGCCATCACTCCAATCCCTGTAATAGAACGTCAGACCTGATAATTTGTCCTGCTAAATGTTTGCCGTACCTTTTCTGGCAACGGATACCGCAATAGTAAGTCCTCCAGCAACCTTTACAAACATGGACTCGATGGTTCGGCTTTGGCGTGTGTGAGCATACACAATCACGCCAATGGCACCTTCTAGACCACACAAGCTGACCAGCTACCACGTCTTCTGCTTCATCGGGTTGTACATCTGAACGAATGTCGTGAGCCTTCGCCAAATCTGTCCAAAGTTTTATAGCTCGAACTCGAGCGAGGGAGATTGGAAGAGCACGCAAACTCTCCAGGGTAGGCGCCAAAATGCGGCCAATTTGGGATCGAAGACTCGCTATCAAATCTGAGTCTACCCGCCAGGGCATTATGCCACTCGCAGTGTAAGTGAAGAGGATGCCGAAAATTGAAGCTAGAATACAGTTCAGTATCCACAGACCCAGAGTACTTGGCCTACGAGACTCACATATAAAAGCTTGATCATCGGCTGCAATAGCCTGGGCGTGAAACTTAGAGCTGATAGCTAGCAGTTGTAGCTGGTTGACAGATCGCATCAACGCCTTAACTTCACGTTCTGGGTATTGCGCGCCTGGTGTTTGAAGCCCCCGAAGAAGGAATCTACGTGTACAGTCAGCAAGGGCCTAATGAAAAATATATTCCAATTCTAACTGACCCGATACTGCTAAAACCTCCCCTTATGATGAAATATGTTGGATCCGACAACCCCATGCATATTTGCCTTTGACACGCAGCCGCAATGCAACTGATCAAGTTAAATCCTTGGGACTGATCTTGGAGAATTGTCGCAGTGGGAGGCCAGTGAAAGAGAACGTTCACTATCAGAGAAAACGAGTTGAGTAATTGTTCATTGAGGAACTCCTCATTCATAAGCGTGAGGCGAATTCTGTCCTGGAGGCCGTGAGAGTATGATTGTGGATCAAGAGTCTTCTCCATAAGCCGTTTCCCGGCATTAAGGTCGCCACTGTTCTCCGCTTGTTCCAGCAAAATAGCCAGACGATTAAAGCCAGCCTTTCCTTCTGCAGGAGCATCACAGTAGATCCATGTCAACAGAAGAAGTTGACCGAGGTGACACTCGTCCACTGTAGGGAACCGGCCGCTAGGAACGGTCAGTACGTGCTACAGATCACCCGTGGATGGATAGTGCTTACTAGTGATCTACATATCCATCCATGTAATTATGCAGTAATTGTATGAGGTGACAGGCGCATGTAGATGTAGTATCTCGGGGTTCTTCAATTTTGTTCGCACGTACCGGATTGAACAGACTGGTGCGATACACCCATAGCTTTCCGAGGAGTACTGGTATATTTTCAAGGAAATAATTGGCATTCTGATTTTGTTGACTCCAATCGTGCATTTTGTAGGAGTAGGTAGCGAGTCCAGACAGGATCTGACTGAGGTAATCCTGACTCGTATCCGTCAGACTTATTACGTGAATGCCAAGTTCAATAGAAAAGAATGTACCTGTGCTAACTTTTCGCTCTTCAATAATCGAAAAACGCGGTCATCCAGAGCCATGTCCATCATTGTGCTTGGCAATCCCGAGGCTAGGTATGCCTCCCAGGGACCATTTGGACGGCAACATATATCCCCAATAATACATGCCATCAGACCATAGACACTAGCACTACTCTGTGAATGTAGCGCACGTAAGAGGTCAACCACTTTATGCGGCTGATTATTCCTGAGGATGATGTAGTCGTGAATGGAGATCCCCGATGAAGGATCATGCTCAACCGAAATAAAGGTTGAGTCACTACAAATCCCACAACGAAACAAAACAATCAATGTCAGCAAGACTTCAACCACTATAGTTCAGTCGTTACGCACCTCGTGATAGTACTTCGTCTCCCGGTATGCACCGAAGAGCTGCTGTGAGCAGGGTTATGATTCTGCATGTCTTCAAGTTCCCGATGAAAGAATTCCGTATAGTGGAGCGTTATAAATCCCGGTGAAGTTTGCTAAAGCCGTAGTCAAAGGGTACGTTTGCAATGAACGATGCGTGGTCTTCCAAGTGGTCGATGTCTAAATGCCCCTGTCCAAGACAGAGGGAGGCATGCTGAAACTCCGATCCGCTGTAGGAGGCTGACGGTCACGGTAGCAAATCTGGTGCCAAACTGAGCTCCGCGTCGCGTCGTATCCATCCAAGGAGTCTATTCCGTGTCTGAAAGAAGTCATTCCGGTGCACGAGTATTCCTATGGTAGTTGCCCAGCACAATGTTCGAAGATGAGATGTATTAGCCATACTTTTAAAACGGGACCTTCCGATTGAGACAAGTTTGGTATGATACATACACCTCTGGAGGAATCATGCGAGAACCCAGTTACTTACAGTATAACGGTACTAGATTCCAGAAAGGGTCAAAAGTGACAATTGGAACTCAAGAGTGATTAGACGCCGAATGCTTCGTAAAATCAATTGAACAAGTTAGCATCGTCCACAATCAGGTCTGTATCCTCTCCCTACCTGATATGTTTGCTTGATTACGTTTCAAGTGTTAATGACCATCATGAGCAAGGTGATAGTATTCTATTCGCTTTCCGCAGCCTTCAAGATATGAAAAGCTTGCTGAAAGACTCGGATCCGTCGGGGTAGACTGGTACGAAACTGGTAGTCTATCCTTCCAAGTATCACCTCTGTCACATGCTAGTCTATTTCCCGCAGACTCTCCGTCTATATTTGTTACATTGGATCAGCCCGACGCCATGATATGCTGAAGTCTTGCAACGACAGCACGAGCAAACGGTCTATCCTCTGGACGTTCTTCCCAACAATGCTGAACTAAGTCCCAAAGAACTTGTGGCATTGCCTGTCCCATGTCCAGTTCTCCCATCGGTCGTCGAGGACGGTCATTTCTGTACAGAACGGCGGTCATCACAGCCGGGTGAGTCTTGAGATGTGCGAAAGGCGCTCTTCTGGTATAAAACTGGCGAATGCAATTGGATGCAATGCGTTAGTGAGAGGTAAGTAGATAAGCGTGTCGACTGACCTCGATACACAAGCATGCGAACGAATATATGTCACAACGAGCATCAGGGATTGCGATGGTATCCTCAAGACTTTGAGCATGTAAGAGTTCTGGAGCCATCCACCTTGGATTCCCACCACTGGAGGGCACGTCTGAACTCGTGGAATCAAAGAAGGAGGCTAACCCGAAATCTGTGAGTTGGACACGCAAATTCTCATCGAAGAGGATGTTAGGCTGTGTCACGAAGAAAAGACCATGAGTCCCGGAGTCTCCGATCATGAAAGGGCCGTACTCACTCCACGCAGGTCGCCATGCACTATATGTGACTCATGTAGGTGCTCCAACCCACGTGCGACTTGCCAGAGCTGTGATCGTGAGGTATAAATGACATCAGTGGCATGTCTACTGAGGTGTAGATCTAACCCTACCCAGCTATCCAAAGGCAATACTTTACCGGCTGATATAAGTGAACTAGCAACAGTGTAGAAGTCGCCCATCTTCATCCATGGCCAAACGAGGCAAGCGGATTCTTTGTCTGAGAACGTGACATGGCAAATACCATAGAATGGTAGGATGTAAGGATGATTGAGTTGTCTCCAGACAATCGCTTCACGGTACAAAGCCTTATCATAGTCTGTCAGTGATCAATTCATTGGAGACGCTGGGGAACCCACTTTCAGCTTGCTTGTACCAGAGACCGCGAATTCATGATGCAAACACTTCAGTGCAACCGGCGCACCTCGGTATCTGGCCGTGCGTATATCTGCAAACCCTCCGACACCCTGAATATCGCGACCGACATCGTCCAGTATGTCGGTAAGGAAGAACGACGAAGGTAGAAGACCACTAGTCTTGGTCAAGTGTATTAACACAGCGCGAGCCTCTTGCCGCCCGACTGAGTGAGGAGATGTCAGGGGGGACCAGTCGCTGTGTCGAGCATACTGGGAAACATCCAACACCTGTGAATTACGGTACAAAAGATAAATATATCACTAGAATGAATAAAATTCTCTGCTCACATGCTGCAAAATGCTCATGAGAGAGAATGCAAGCTCCTCTCGCGCCGCCATGATCTTTTCATATGTGTCCCTCTTCTGATGCCATATCCAACGTTCCAAAAGCAATCTAGCTTTCATATCGAACAACGAACCCTGGAAGTCAAACGAACGTGATCGGGAGAGTATTGAAAACTTGGGTCCCCAGGGGAAAGCCAGCCATTGCAGAAGCGAAATATGCAAGATCAAGTCTCCGTTCCTGTTGAATTTCATGTCCTCCGCCCACGCAGTGACGGTGGCAGAATTTACAAATGGCCGAAGCGTCAAAATGACGGACACTGCGTATGAACACACTGCATCTATGATCTGATCCAGTATCATTTCCTCCGAAACGAAGACAGGTTCAATGGACCGCAAGGGAATCATACGGTGACGATCCAGAGATGATGCCGGCTGCGCGCTGTTCGACTGAAACAGGTCAACCTGGGTCCTGCCTTGTGAATAACTTGCAAGGGAAGGTAAATCCTGATGGTCAACGATCATCCCGTACAACTGAAGAATAGTCATTATTTATGCTCATGGACTGGAGGAAACCTAATCACCTGTTTCTTCGCTTCAGCAACATCGCTGGCGTCCACTTCCTCATGCGACCAGAACCATCGACGCCAGCGTGACACCGATTGGTGCTTTTCATCATCCATTTCGAGTCTGGCACACATATCAACTATTGACTCGTTAGAATCGAAATTACGCCAACGTCGAGGTGGATTTGCGATGATCCAGGGACACGCCTCACGTCGTAGATCCAGAATATGACCCACAAGCGTTATCCTCTCGTCATCCCAATGTCGCAGTAGAGGCGTCCTGACTAACAGGGTGCCAAGAACAGGATGGACGATATCATCTATGATGCATACGTCCACAACCATCACCGCGTACCCAATGATAGCTATGTATCCAAGTCTAGGACCTTTCTTGCCTGGTCCCTTGAGGTAGTACACCTGCCAGCCATGGAGCTCCGTGACAATAAGATAAACGATCAGCGTGGATACGGCCGTGCACATATCCAAGCGCTTAAGAGTCTTCATATACTCGTAGATGAGCATAGTGTATGTCAAGGGAAACGCGATATGCACAAGGTATCTGGGAGGAGGAGACCTGCCATCGAGTCTGATGAAGAACCAGATAAGAGCGCCGATTTTGACCACAAGAACAAGGAAAGAGGATCTTTGCGGAAAGGTGCCGATCCATGTATCTCTATCCTGCACCAAGATGTACTCGTATAACGTTCTGGCGAATGCGGGAGGTGACACAGCAACCGCAAATCTTCCACAGCAGGCCATCAGAGCCTCAGAATGACATGGAGCAAAGCGCCTTAATGCGTTATCATCCTGCAACGAACATCCAGCGTAGGCTGTGAATGCTCGGTAGACTAGCTTAAGTATGAGGGCGCCAAGGAAGAAAGCAGAAAGTTCTCCCTATTGCACTATATATCAGAAGGTTGTCGAACAAACAAGCTGAGAAATATTTGATTTACCAGAGGTTCCCTATCGTCTTCAAGCAAATCTTGACGTGGCTCGACCAAGGTACGCCAGAGTGTTCGGACTCGGAAAGTGGCAGGTCCATCTTGAGACATTATGCAGCAGACATTGGAGAAGCGAGTAGACCTGTAAGATTATATAGACAGAAGGAGCACTGGGATACGTGGGCGGCGATACAGGTTTGCATAATATCACCGCCCTGACGCATTGCACTATTCAGTAAATTTGAACACGAGCATCTGCACGGTGAACACGTTTAGGGCCATGCACAAAGCACGAAATACCGTAGTTTGGGAGGATACATTAATGATACAGACTAGCGGCAGGCCAAGAAGCTACAGGTCCACATTGAGGTCGCAGAATGAGCGGCTGAGAAAAGGCTTCTTGGAGCGGGTCGAAGCCATTCATGCTACATGAAGGACAGCCGTTTCCTCAAGGACGGTAATTGAAGCGAGTTCTATGCTTGCAGGAGGTACCCGTGTATCTCGGCCAGAGGATTGTGGCAGTAGTGCAATGAGAGACGAGAGAAAAATATGACCCTGGCCCGGACTGAACCGATGACCTTGAGAAGGGTAAAAGCTGGTATCTCACGATCTACCACTACTGTATGATGTGCAATTTCTTCGATATTTTTTACATCATCTCAGGATAACTTTGCAACTCAAAGCTCGAATATCTTGGGGGAACTTGAAGCCATCTATAATCAACTCGCATGTCGTCGCGGTCTTTTCCTTTTCTTCACTGCTAAAGTTCAATCAGACTGAAACTTTCACCCAAAATCACTACATGGCGTTTACACCTATGCATGGAGCGTATCGGAGGCTTTCTTCGTCGAAATATCATCGAGGACATGTCTCCTGATCGCCTTAACCATATCATTGCCCAGCCCAAATCTTCACATCTTGGATCCCACACGTCTAATCGCCACCCTTTGTAAGGTAATACGGCTCGGTCAGACGCCCTTCTGCAAGGACTCTGTATCCGTTAACCTTGCAACTCCGAAAGGATTATTTTAGTTCGTCACTAGTCAATCTATCTTCAGACTTAGTTAGGGCGACGTATTGTAGACAGCGAAAGCGCTCAGACTCGCATACTTATATGTTGCCGTGCCGTCTCCGTCGCAGTTCCTTCAAACGATCACCGATCACACTTCTGTATATGGTATGCTAGGTTCCTGTCCTCGCCATGAAGTGGCTTGATCGTCTTCCTTCGTTCAGGATGGATAGCCGGAGAACCCGATGCTGGCGTACGGGATGCGAAGAGAAGTGAATCGCCAGCCGAGGTGCCCGCTGAGGATGCCTTCAATTTTGAGTCGGGCTCAATCCGATTCAATCGCTCAACGTATAAAGACATGAAGCCCGTAGTGCAGCGTCTCCATTGCCTGCATTCTAATACCTTCTAATATTCTGCTCATCCCGGAATGCGTCTCCGCTATGCTGCTCTCCTTTTCCTCCCCGCGGCCTTTGCTTTCCCCCACTTCAGAGGTGCACGAGACACGGCTGCCGTCCGGGATGTCCTTGCCACCCTCTCACAGCACCCAGAGCTTATGGCGCAAATCACGTCATTACAGCAAAAGCAACAGGCGGAACTGAATGCTTGGAAGGCTCAAAGCAAACCCGATCCTTCGTTCAATAGCACGGCCAACCAGCCCCAACGCCGGGATGAGCCTAACAGTGTGGAGGGCTTGAAGAGATTCCCGGAGGACGAATTTCCTTTCATCCCACCTAGCAAGACCGACCAACGAGGTGAGTAATCCTGTCTCAGTTTCGTGGCAATAGTGCTTATATTCATCCGGCTCGTAGGCCCATGTCCTGGCATGAATGCTCTTGCCAATCACGGTTATCTTCCTCGCAATGGAATAGTCAACGTCTTGCAAGTCTTTGAAGCTGTCGATCGCGTCTTCAATATGGCTGTAGACCTGGCAGCTTTCTTGACTATCCCAGCTCTTGTTTCGAATGGTGACATTCAAACCTTGACTTTCTCCATCGGTATGCCTGTTGTTTTCACTTTCACAAAGTTGCGTTGTCGCTAATGCTTTGCTCGTCAAGGTGGCGCCGACCCTCGTAAGTAGCTACCAGGCTCTCCACTTTCGTCGGCTCATCATAAGTATAGGAACAAACAGTTTGGGTGATCTGGGTGGTATTCTTGGCACGGAGACTGGTCTCGATGGACATGGTAGAAGCAGCGAAGGCGATGTCAGTGCAACTCGGTACGTATCGTCTAAACCGTGTAAACGATGCTAGACATATAACACCCGTCTTTCTAGATGCGATTTCTACCTCTGTGCTGGTGACAACCACAATATGCAACCGGAACTCTTCTCTCAACTTCTCCGTGTTGCTGAATCCCACTCCTCCCCGGGTGAAACGCTATTCTCCGTCCCTGTGATGCAGGAACATTTCCATAACCGTTACGCCCACTCTCGCTCGCATAATCCCAACTTCTACTTTATGCCGCCAAGCGGCCTAGTTGTCATGGGCGCGAACTATTTCTACCCAGGGTTCTATACGAATGGGACGTTCGCCCCTGCCAGCGGAGGTTTGACGGGTGCGAACCTGGCTAGCGTCGCTTCCTTTGTTGGTGCGAAAATCGGCGACGATGGCGGTATTACTTACGTCCCTGAGCGCAGTAAGTGTTGGTTTGGTCATGCTTCTGCGTATACTCAAATGAGCATATCGTGTAGTTCCACCGCAAGGCTGGTACCGTCGAGGCTTTCCATTGAATTTAGTCGAAACTCTCACTGGGATCCTCTCAATCTACCTCGTCCCCGAACCAGTAGAGTTCGGAGGTAATGCCGGATCAGTGGACAGCTTCGTACCTGGTTCAGGTCTCCTACCTTCCAACGTTTCCGGTAAAGACGGTTTGGGTTGCTTCTTGTATAACGCCCTCTACGCCAACCTGGCTGGTACGTCCTTGACATCGTCACATTTATCCGCATTTACTAATCATGATACGATGTGTAGGTGAATTTGAAAATGCCGTCTTTGATATCGAAGGAGTCATCAACTCCGTACTCGGATTTTTCGGACCCGCCACATCGACTTTCCTCTCTTTACAGTGCACTCCTAACTACCCAGAAGAGACATCACCAGATAGATATGGAGGATTTGAAACGTTTTTGAAGGCTACCGAGAAGTTACCTGGTGCGCCGAAAAAGCAGGCGTGTTTGGATGCGGGTGCGGGACATTTGGAGTGTAATTCGCAGACAAATGTGTATGGTGGGAGTTCTTGATGTTTTCAATGCTGGTATGTCTGTCGTCGAAATATTTCCGTTTGTGGACGTTCGCTGTCACTCCTTAGTTCTCGATCACATTCATTGTTAGCTTTGACCCTGTATATCCTTACCGTAGTGATTCCCTATACATAATAGCTCGGTCGATGATTTGTCACCGACTTTATCCCCGCTTTAGCTATATCTGCTGCTGTTAATTACCTGGTGCAAGGACGATTTAGAACTTTAGCCAGGCAAGAGGGGGCAAGAGCTTCGGTGCCAGACGTTCTCGGCACGTTGCCGGCGGTTTCTGGGAACTTCTTGCCTCCTTCCTCTTCGGCCACCATTACCTATGGTTCATAGCAAACGTCATAATTCTGTATCCTCAGATATCTCAAGTACGGCTGGATGTAGAATCTATAGGCGTACAGTTCTATGCTGTTGCAGCATCTGTCAACAGGACAACGACCAGCCTAACGCATGTAGACTATCGTACCCACCGATGAAACATGGTTCATCTTTCAAAGTACACTTGCTTGCTACGTTTGTGAATTTCATTATATTCGTGCGGTGGAAAATGTTCGTTCAAGCATATATATGTCACCTGGCCCGTCACGTTTGTGTATCATGGCCACACCCTGGCCACATTGATATTCTCAAGGTGGCTTTTATCTTTAAACTGCCACTCGCCTAAACAACCGTTCTCCCATTTATCTCTCTTCTTTTTCCACCTAACATGGACCCTCCCATGCGTCGTACGCAGCAGAAAAGTTTCAATGAACACTTTCTCGATATCGCAGTGGTCTCGTTCGACGCGGACGCAGAGGTGCGTTTTTGGCATTTTTCACCTCTTACTTTCGTTTGTGGAACTGAAATTCCCACCTTCAACAGGTGTTCCGTTGTCGTTGGGACGGATGCAATTATATTGCGTCGAAGCATTATAGGTTCAAGCTACATACCAAAGTGCAGTAAGTCCGCTCTACTCCAGAAGGATTGCCCTGGAAACTCACGGACACTGCCACACAGCTTCGAGGCCAAAGATTTCCCCTGTGAATATGGTAAAGCCATTGATTCAGGTGATCCTGCACATCCTCAGGTGATTCGTTGTCCGTATGAGGCTTCGAGTCCACAAGCGTACAGACAACATAGACATGCATATCACTGGGGTCAGGATCCACTCTTCTCTGCTCCGACATCCCCGCGGGATACGCTATACTACTGCGATACACCTCCTCAGTTACATGCTGCTATATCACGATATCTGATTTCGTCACAACGGAATGCTGCTCTTCCTCCTGCGAGTTGTGATGAAGGTGATAACTCGACGGATGTGGATTCTTCTTTCCAATCCTCCTTGGACGCGCCTCCCATTTCGCCCACCCGAACAAGTTCAACCACCTCAAGCGATGTTCTCGACATGAATTTCTCCTCCCTTTCAGTTCCGTCGGACCATCCTGTACTTTACCCATATGACGGTTCGAGTAGTACTCACAATCCCGCGACACGTAATTCGAATGACATTTACGGCAACAACATGGTCCATCCACCTTCCCCTCAATTCCTGATTTCATCCACCTCTCTGGGGCCATTCAGGATCCATTCTTCGACGCACTCATCGACAAGCATGCAGACCTTGCCTTCCACCTGGAATCAACCTACGAATGATAGCGTTAACTTCGCCTCTGGGATGACTCCATCCTTCGCGTCTCAGGGGAACTACTTTCCGTACGTCTCGACTGCAAGGAGTAACAGTTTTCCTAACGTACTTCCTCAATTTGATTACTCTGGATGATCTGACCAGTATTCCTGAAGTCTCTTCATCTTACCGATAGCCGTTCCTGACTCTGGAACATAATGATCTCCTCCTGTTTCGGATATTTCGTCCGTTATGCTCATGTTCATCTCGCAAGCCTCTCGCTGCCTGTCTTGATACCAGATATATCGCCCGGACAATAGGATTGTTTGCTACCTACTTGCGGAGAAGGTGTCTACAGGAAAAATGTCGCAGACTGGTATGTAGACATATGTTAGAGGCCGCTATAACCTGGAAGGCCAATCTCTTTTCCAATGTCATCAGTAAGAGCTCTAACGGCCCAGAAAGCATAGTCAGACTCATCCCCAGACCCATGTCCGCGCGAACTCAGTAGACGACTGTATCGCAAGTTGAAGGTGAAATGTCCCTCAAAAAGCTCTACAGGTCGCTTGTTCCTGTCCTTTGATTCCTCCTCCCAAACCTTCCGCAGCTTGATTGAACCTGAACCAGCGCTAAGCATGCAATCCCCACAGTTAGGATCGAGCTGAAGCTCCGCCTCGTAACCAAAGCCTTTTCCTACGGTGCTTGGATGAGCTGATTCGCTGTCATCGAGCTCGACGTCCGCAGAAATAGCGCCATTGGTAACGAGGATGTCCTCGACCACTTCCTCGCTCATCGGATTGACCATGTTGATCGACTGAAACCTGCCAAATTTTGGCACCATCTCAACCTCCCCCTCAACGTTCTCACCGTCTCCGAGGGTAAGCTGCATACTGAAGTCACGTTTTGCTTGATACGTCAGAATCTTCTCATACACGGCCTTATACTGCGGCGTGGTAGTCCCGGAAGGTTGGTACTCGGATTTGAGGAACGGCAGGATGCATGCGTATAGGTCAAATTTTCCTCTGAAATCGACTACGGGAGTTTTCGTCTCTTTGGCTGACTTCAATTCCGATGGTTTAGCAGCAGACGCAGACGTGACTGCAGATGCCTTTGACATGATCTTCGAAGATGATATCGTCGGAGCCACCGTCGATTTTTCGGCCTGAACTTCTCTTTTGTCGGATGATTTGGCTACACCGGAGTCTTTGGTATCGTCTGGTGTAGATTTTGCGGCAGCCTTCCGAGATGGTTCGGAGGTAACAAGGGCCCCGGTTGTTCTCGAACTTCGTATTTTTCTCGTGTGGAGGTCGTTATTGGCATCAGTTATACTTCTGGTAACCCTTTTCGTAGTTGTCTTTGTTCCCTTCACATTGCTCTGAGAGACGTCGGCAGATGTTTTGGGCTTTTTGGACGGCTCCTCAGTGCTGACTGCATGCGATGATCGGCGTCAGACGTAGTATATACAGTCGAAACGGAAGAGACACATACTTGTCTGCTTGCGTTTTGGAGGCATTGGTCACTCCAAACACTGAAGACGTCACGCGAGAGTGGTCGCAAGGGAACACGTTAGCGTACGGGGGAAAGGGACCTCAAGGCTCGATAGTTGACTTTTTGTGATTCTTCAGCAAGGTCAGCATTCCTACTTCCATTGCGAACGCCATCTGCCAAACTTGTAGCAAACGTCATTGGTAAAGCGATTAGGGGAACTAGGCACACAAGATGATAAATGGGTACATATTGGCGTAGCGCGACGTACAATGCACGAAGTCGATTGGAGCTTCATGCACGTCTGGAAAGAAAGTGCGTCAGTTCTCCTTTGCTACAGTACGCCCTCGTACCGATGATAAGAGCACTATCCTGGATTATTATTCCAATCTCTGGGCACCATCCATGGTACTGCAGTATAGTAATACCTGCCGTGACTATCCAGCGTATACTACTCCATGTAAAGGCACAGCAGCATGCAAGTCGACCAAACAACACGAATCGCGCAGAGTTCGATTCGGGGTGAGTGGTTGATCTGGCATGCTTCTGTGACCTCACATTGAAGGAGTCAAGACCCTGACCCTGACAGTGGATTAAGACATGACAGATCCGTCAACTGCCAAGCTTGCAGTCTAGTGGTTGTTTGACGGTCACCATAGCAGGACTGTCAAGGCATATACCGGATGTAGAGGGCATGAAGCCACTGAAACGTCTTTCTGCTAGCCCTACACTTTGCACATCTTGATACAAGCTGAGACCGAGCTACGATGAACGATCGCGGCAGATCGAGAATGATCGCGCACCTAGTATGAGTGTGGTTATCGTCTAACGTGTTTAGACGACATAGATCATGGCTGAATGCAAACGATGGTGAGGTAAACGATGGTGGGGGATAGACATACCATGACGCAGACGATCAGAAGAGCTTCCGAATCGTGGCAAGCATAACGCGAAGAGGGTATCCCAGAGACAGCTGTAAGGCTCAACATATGGCAAGATTGTGCGAACGAGAGCGGAATGAGGGTTGCTGTTGCTTGCAGGGCTTGGAAGATGACCGTCAAGATGAAGGTGGATAAGCGCCGCGAAGTGAAAGCTTGGACCACTAGGGACCACTGAAGTAGCAGATTCGAAGTCAGCAGCGCAAAACTGCCACATCTCATGGTCTCTTCATTATTCATTTCCCGGCGCACTTAACATAGAAACTGGTGCAATGACAGTGGCCGACCGTTCTCCGTAGGGAAGTGTCTTTATTAACTCTTCCGAGTGGTTCTCTTTTATTCTATAAGTATAAGACCTTAGCCAAAGCAGACCGCACTAACCAAACCAAAGTACCATGATATACGTTCAGAGGGCATAGAGGAATATAGCTAAATTCCGGGTTGCAGAGCAGCGAGACGACCAAGGATTGTGGCGGTAAGCATAGATGATAGTAAGTTCACCTAGAATTCAAGCTGTTAGTCTGTAAGAGAGAGACAAAGGGCCGTCTACGTACCTGGTTATTCGTGAGGAGGTTGAAGCCGCTAACAGTCCTAAGATCCGAGGAGGATTGAGGCACATGCGACTCATCAGTCAATATCTTCTTCGTCTTTGTAGAGTACTTAGTTTCTTGAATAGTGGCACCCATAAGAGAATCAATCTAAACATATTCAATAGTCAGTAAGCCATCCAACAGTATCAAACCAAATGAAGCTTACCATAGACCCAAGTACACCAGCAAGTGTACCCCACCAGATCAAGGGCACGACATTATACCACACAGCCCGACACGCGCTACTCTCGATGAGCAAGCTTGCAGTGAAGGTTACGCCCATTATGAAACCCCCTAATAATGAGGCAAATGTTCCATTTTTCGAGATGCCGCCGTTCGTGCCAGGCGGTACTGTCTTTAACGTCGTAATAAGCACCGGAGGAGTAGTGGAAAGGATACCGAGCTCTGACGCGAGTGTATCTCCAAGACAACAGGCAAAATGTCTAGTCATTTCCCAATGTCAATATACGGGGATACAAGCAGATGATGATGCATACAAACATTGCTTGAAGTTTGATTACTTACCCTAGTGCCACAAACAGCAATATTCGACTCCTTCCTCCTGCCACTGTCGTCGACAATGCACACCACTCCGAGGAATCATACGGCACTTCCTTAGGCGCATACCCTCCAAATAATTTCGCTTCCCATGATTGAGGAGCAAAATATGCGCTCCATAATACCGCAGCCAAGAAAGCAGACAAGGAATTGCAGAGGACTTGAGTAGCGTTTCTATATCCTGCTGCCTGATGACCGTCTTCCAATTTGGCTTTAAGCTCTTTCCCTGCCTTGGTAGCTTTTGAACCGACGAGATAGAAGACGATCAGAGAAACGCCAAATGAACGTAGAGGGACGGCTAGCATAGAGAACCCAACAATAAAGGCGGTGATTCCGCCAGACGGTGATAGGGATCCCTTACGTACTCCACTGAAGCCCAGGTAACCAGCCAGGAGAAATTCAAGCCATGGCTTGTCGAAGAGCATACTAACTTGAACACGGTCTTGCAACTCGATGATAACGAAGAGCAAGACTCGGCAAAGTATCTGGTGTTGAGCGCTGATAGAGTCGTCTACTGTAGGCGCTTTTGTAGCGCTAGCGCTGCGGCTTGGCATCGTTCCTTCATCTCTCCTCTCATGTTTAATCGTTATGTTCTCCAGCATCAGTTTCTTTTCCAAATCGTTCGTCGGCTTTGAAGGTTGAACGGTCCACATCATGCTCAACGTTATGTATACGTCTCACTAGGCCGTCGGTCGGCCGTTATTCGGTGGAATAGGAGTATGTCGGTCTTTGTCCAATTAACAGTTTCCCGTGAGTTCCATCACACTTGAATGTGTGGAAAGAGAACTCGAAAAGGCTTTTCTTTGAACCACTTCATTATGCAACTTGAGGGGTTCCACGATGTTAATCAAGGCGTATGTTGTCGAACATATGCAATCAATTTCCGGATGGGACACATGACACATGTGCGTATCATGTTTCAGATTATCGCCCGATGAAATGTCGACCATGGAGGAACCGGTCTCTTTCCAACGTCGCCCCCGACGAGCTCCCTAATCCATTGCCAATTTACGTTAATAGCAGGACGTTCTTCTTGCGTTCTGGCTTGCGAAGGCTATCGACTCGATTTGGGCCATATCTCGCCAGTTTAGGCAGATTACATACGCAAATATTTTGAACCAATAGACCTTCCTGATTTGGAAAGCCAAGGACAACCATGCATTTTGCAGGCACCAGACCGGAACTCTGGCTGAAAGCCACACTCTCGCCCCCTCCCCGACGGGCATAATTTACCGTATCTTCCCTCTAATCGCCTTTATTCCGGCCATCTTAGCCCTGGTCGTCTTTTATTTCTCTCCCCACGTTCTTCCCGCTTTGAGTCTGTCTGTCAACTATGGTCGTCCGGACGTCCTATCCCTTTCTGGCTGCGTCCTTTTACTTGAGCTTGGCACCAGCCGTCCACTCTTTCGCCAGCTACGCAAATGATTTTGTTGACCCGAGCAAAATTCTGTCCAAGACTTTCCCTCCTACTACTATAGACTCACAACAGGCTATCGTTTCTTGGGCGAACGAATTGGCTACCATAGGTCCATGGAGTGAGTGTGTAGTGTTAGCCGCAACGGATCAATCGAGTTCATCGTTCTACAGGTGTCGTTCAGAAATCCTACACGCCACCGACTGGGAACAAACATGACTATGCGAGCTTCGCACCATAGTGAGTACTGTCGTCATTGTATGCTCGCCGAACCACCCTTATGTATTCCCCAGTTGGTGGCCGGATTGTTCAAAAGTTGGAAACACCACAGCTTTGACAGATGAACAAAGTACATCCCATTTTCCCCGTCGTGTCTGTCCGTACTAAAGTTGAATCAGTTTGGACCACTTGTCCCTACGTCGTAAAGGATGGCGAGTTCAACCCGGATGTCCGCGTTCTAGTCAACGATATTGGTTCTTTCGGAGAGTTGTCCGATGCTGTTCTCTACAGTGCTCTTGCCTGGGCGATTAATGGCTCATCTTCCTATGCTTCTGCTGTCAACAATTGGGTCAAAATTTGGTTCGTGGACCCCAATTCAACAATGAATCCAAACTTGGATTACGCGCAAATGCAACGTGGTCCGAATGGGCAGAAGGGCACGCATACTGGTGTCTTGTGAGTCACGATAGCATGCGCTCTCGTTGATTACAGAACGGAAACTTAAATGCCCGGACTATTTGGCAGGGACTTGAAGAGTATGGTGAAGATCGTCAGCGGTGTTCTCATCCTTCGAGATGGCAAGGCGGCCGAATGGACAAGCGATGTTGACGACGGCTTGGTATCCTGGGCGAAGGCATACATCCCTTGGCTGGAAACCGCTACCATCGCTATCGAAGAGCGAAATTCCACTAAGTGTGTTGTTCCCGCCGTTCGCCTTGCCCCTCTACTTATGAGTTTGTAACGCAGCAACCACGGCTCTTTCTATTTCAATCAGCTCGCTGCTTTACAGATTCTTGTCGGCGACAAGGATGGAGCAAAGAAGACCATAGACGACTACTTTAATGGTATTTATTTAGGTCAGGTAACCGCAGACGGTAACCAGGTAAGATACGGAATAGCCACCAGTTTTCAATTTTCCTGACTCACGGCTTGTTTCAGCCCCTCGAGAGTGCGCGGACACGCCCATACCACTACAGAGCTTATAATCTTGCGGCAATGATTGTACGTCATTCCTCCATTCTAATGTGCCTCCCTACATTATAACGTCTCCTCTGTCTATTTATTATGCGCTTATACTCCAACTTGTGCCACAGACCAATGCTCGACTGGGCTCATACGTCGGCTACAACGCCTGGAACACCACAACCACTAAAGGTGGTACTATTCAATCGGCTGTGGACTACGCCATGGCTCACTTTGCCGACGAAGCTGCTTCAGAACTGTACCCCGTCGTCGGAGCTGTTGCATCTACATATGGAGACCCGGACGGCAAGTACGCCAACTTCCTACTTAAGAATGCCGGCCAGAGCTACCCTTCGGATGCGAGTTTTCTGTGGAACCAACCGTTGTCTGACAGCGGGTTGGTTGATACGAGTAAGGCCAACAACAATAGCGGGTCAGGGAACCCGACTGGTTCGAACTCACAAGCAGCGAATGCTGCACTGCTGGCTGCGCCAGGAGTTTCGTGGACGACTTGGATGTTATGGTACCTTTCGTGTACTGTTGTGATGGCGTTCTCTGTTTTGGACTTTTGAACACTCGGACTATAATGTACTTTCCTTGTTGTGTTTTTATATCCTACATTACTAACGGTTGAATGGAATACCTGTGATATCTTTGTGAATCTTTTTCGATAATAGTTGTGGACATATCGCCAAAACTTCAGTTCAAGTTCCAGCAAATAAGTTACACAAAAAGGAGAAACTCAGAAAGCAACTTCCAGCGCGATTCGAACCTAGCTAGATGAGAACACTGTTTTAGCCGCTAGAGACAGGGAACGGAATTTTCCAGATTTAGACATTTGTACATTCGTTACTGCATGTTGGACATCGACAGTTGGACAACAAATTCCGTGAAGTGGTCTGAAGGCGTCTCGTAGAGGTACGTATTTGTATAACATCGTCATTAACAATACAACTTACTAAAGCTGCTCTTGTACGTTTAATAGATCACTGGACCGCAATCTGCCTCAAGCGTTGCGCTAGTGGACGACTTTCATTTCCGAATTCACGTTTTAACATCGTGTATACACTATATTCTGCCTGCATGCTACCTCATAGACACGATTCTCGATGTCTGCTGCACTGAACACTAGGGCCGACACGTCCAATCAGTCGGCCTTCACACAACCTGACTTGTCATTAGGGTCTTTTGCCTCCGGGTTCTCAACACCTGCTAGGCCTGGGCGGGTTCCATCTTCATCTACAGCAACATCTTCAGCTCCATTATCCACGCCTTCACCCCCGAATGCTGCTCTCTTCACGAGGAAGCGACTGGAGGAACCCACGTCGGCCTTGAGACGGTTTGGAAGCTTAGATGAAGGAGATGAAGGCGATGTGGACGCGTTGGACACACCAGGGAAAGAGAAGAAATGGGGAGATGCATTAGAAACACCTGCACCAGGTCGGGCCAAACGGACTAGGAGTGCGGGTACCGCGAAAGGTGGCGTAAATCTCACTCTACGAGACCAAGAAAAGGTGCGTTCTGGATTTACGTCTATTTCATTCTGTCACTCACGGAATTCAAGCATATTGACAGTCTGAAGAAAGAAAACTTTAATATCAAGCTCAAAGTCCACTTCCTCGAAGAACGTCTAGCCCAACTCGCACCAGACCAAATCGATGCCGCGCTCAAACAAAATATCAACCTCAAGATTGAAGTTCAACAACGCGGCATGGATATCAAGAAGCTAAAGAAACTTGTCCTAGAGCTGGAACGTGAACTTGAACGTTCACATCGCGGCCAAGGCGGTTCACAAGCACGTGCACGCGAGTTGGAAGAGAAGCTTGAGGAGAGGGAACGCGAAATAAGAGAGTTGAGGAGGAGGAGGGCTGTCGGACCAGACGATGCAGCTTTGCGGGAGTTCGAGACTCGTAATGCTCAGCTCGAAGAAGAGTTAGAGAATGCGAGAGGTCTTCTGGAGGAGAACATGGAGGAGATGGAACGTCTTCGGGAGATTGTTGAGCAACGAGGGGACGACGGCGATAATCGAATGCGGAGGCGTATGGAGGAGCTCGAGGATGAGAATGAGGACCTTAGGGTGCGCTTGGGGGAACTAGAGGAAGCTCTGGCTGCTCGGACGGACGAGAAGGAAGACTTGGTTGACGAAGTCGAGACCCTGAAGTTGGAGATCGAAGATCTTCAGCGGAGACGGGAGGCAGAGAATCTGGAACGAAGTCAGAGTCGTGCTCAGGTCATGGAGGAGAGGGAAGAACGCGAAGCGGTTGAGGATGGTCTCAATGCTGTCCGTGACAAACTCGCAGCGGCCCAAATTGAACTGCAGCAGAAGGAAGACGAGATTGAGATGAAGAATCGGGAGATTGATGAACTTATTGGGGAACATGAGAGAATAGTCGACACTGTAAATGAGCAGTGGAGAGGAGAGGTCGATGAGGCTAGAGGACAGATGGAGGAGCTCCGTGATGTGAGTTCATTTCCGTTTCCCATCTGACTACATATTGAACTATGTTTATTATGACTAGGCACTCGAGCAGCGTGACGGTGAGTGCAAGGAGCTGCGCATGACGGTCTCGGACTATGAGGCAGACGCAGACGACTTGCACAACAAGTTTGAACATACGCTCGGACATCTGGAGCGCGAAGCTGAGGAGAAGGACGCCGAGATCGAGGCTGCCAATCGGGAAATCGAGAAACTCGGTCAGCAGGTCTATGTGCTTGAAGAAGAAAACGAGCGAATCAAGGAGGACTTTGAGCGAGCGCGCGAAGACGACGCCGTCGAACGGGAACGCTACGAAAGTCTAACAGCGGCGCTCAAGCAGGTAGGTAATTCATTCATCTTTTGAGCCCGAGCTAACATCAGATTGATGTTTCGCAGAAAGTCTCCGACCTCAAGGCACAGCTCGAGGAACTTCGCGACCTATACGAAACTCGAAGTCAGGAAGTTGAGGATCATCGTGCAGACCAAGAGGAACTCGCAAAACACATCGAGAACGTCGTGTCAGAACTCAAGCGCGAACAATCAACACGAGAACAGCTCGAAGCAGAGCTTGACAGGACCAGAGTCGAGTACGAGGATGCTCTTCGTCGAGAGAAGCGTGGTCTCGATGCCAAGGAATCTGCTCTGCAATCGACGCTTGATGATTTGGCGAGAACCCAATCGTTACTGACTCAACGAGAAAGCGATCTGGCTGCGGTACAGAGTGTCCTCCAAACTCTAGAGTCGGAGTCGAAGAAGCTGGGAGAGTCGCATACTACTGCTCGGTTCTCTCTTCAACTTGAGGTTGATCGTCTCAAGCGTGATGTTGAACGTCTGGAGGACGAACTCTCGCGGACCAGGAAGGAGCTGGATGATAAAGATGGGAAGAGTCGAGACCGAGACGGTGTCATCGACAAGCTTCATGCTGAGAACCGAGACCTTGCTTCTCAACTTGCTGCTCAAACTCAGGCACGTCTGAATGTCTCCGAGAAGCTTGACGACACCCAAGCAAGTCTGAAGACTGCTGAGTCTGAGGTGACGACTCTACGTTCGAAGATCACTGAACTTGAGCAGAGACTATCCAAGGACCAGAGAACTCTGCTGTCGACCGAGGCTCAATACAGAGATCAGTTAACGGAGCGTAACACACTGCTCCTTACTATCTACCAGTACATGGACAAGATCCTTGGAGTCGACAAGACACCGGTGAGTTTGTTTCACTCCTCGGATTTCATTTTGGCATCTTACGAGCTTTCATTCTCATAGAAGAAGAATGGTCAAGCGGAGACCAAGCCCTTCACTAACTTCAGCGTCTTCCATGACAACCTCATCACTCGACTGAAGGCCCTCAGTCAAATTCAACTTGACTTTGACAAGCGAGTCAAAGATGCTGAGTCGAAGTATGCCGAGAAGCTGAACGACATGAAGAAACAACTCGAGGCGCGTTGGAAACAGCTTGATAGGTTTGAGAATAGTGTGAAGACTCTCGCCGAAGCGAAGCTGCAGTGGAAGAAGAAGATGGGTGCGAAGGAGGGTGAGATTGAAGCGTTGAAGGTAAAGTAGTTCAAAGTTCATATCCTCAATTTTCTGACGGGACTCATGTAGGCCACCAACGCGGAGCTTCAATCAGCCGTCTCCAGCAAGAAAGCTGGACCAGTCGATCCAATGGAAATGCGCTCGCTAACCGTCCGTGCACAGAACGCCGAGCGGCGACTGACCAATGTGCTCAACCAACTGGCAGCTTCTGAAGAGAAGATGGCAGCAATGAACCTAAAGATCGCAGCCGCTGACAGTAAATGGGAGGCACGCGTGAAGGAGTACGAAGCGCGGTCCAGGATTGCTGAGGAGAAGTTGAAGAGGGAGAGGCAGGGCGGCAAGGAACGCGCGTCGGAGCTGGAGACACAGGTCAAGTACGTTGTCGTTTCGACTTTTTATTTCGTCCCAATGCTCATGTTACGAACTTCTACAGGGCGTATTTGCGCCAGATCGAGCTAGCACAGAAACGGATACAGCAACTCAACGAAATCATCGAAACCGCTGGACTGAACTCTAAGCCATCAACGCCCCGGTAACATTCCTTTCTTCTTTACTATGACTCCTTCTACGTTCTTCGCATTCGGGACACTCATCGCTCATTGCTCCTTCATTGTTCATTCGTTTGTTCATTCGTTCTCTTGTTTTATTTTATTTGTGTTCGATCTCCATCGCATGCTGTCGCGTCGCATCAAGTTTTCTATGGGCTACAATCGTCTAATATGTATACAATCCGCATCGATATACCTCTCAGTGTATCTGTACTGCTTTCCAATCCATTTTTAATAGTCTAGCTTCTCCTTCCCGATCGACTTGGCACGGTACTCAGAAACCTCCCGAGGTCCAACCACCATCGGCAGCAATGACCTGAGTAAAATCAACAACCGTGTTGAACAAAACTGCGAACATTCGATGAGATGGTTCCTCGCCTTGTTCGTCATGTAGCCATTAGTTGCGCACAACGCTACAATGGACGCAATTTCGTCTGGCTTGCCAAGGCGTCCAATGGGTATCTTGGCCTGCAGGCGAACGCCAGATATCACTCTGAGTGTCGTTTTAAGTGGCTTCAACGAATTCAAAAACCCACTCTAATTTCAGGGGTCGGATTGGACATCATAGCAGTATCTGAAACGTTCCAGACTTTGTTTGAAGAGAAACATGCTGCAGTATTCGAGATACGCACCTTCTATCAACGCTGGAGCAATCGCGTTTGCGGTCTTCCCACCAAGAAAACGATTAGTAAGTATAGCACGGTCGGAAAATGACATTGTCATTGTCTTACGATGCCGCTCTTCGCGTATCTTAACGACAACCAGTGGACAAGGCCGTGCAGAGCGGATTTGGAAGATGCGTAGTGAGGGCCAATCACACCACCAGTACCTGCGTGTCACTCGTAGAGGCAGTCACTAAATCCAGCATGTTGAATGCCTACCAGCTGCAACACTGCGATATGTGATATGAAATAGTTGAACATTTCATGCATCCAGAGTACTTACCTTGAAGTAAAAATGACACGGCCCCACCTCTGTTCCTCCATATGAGGAATACAGAGCTGGGCGAGCTTTTGTGAAATGCATGCTCAGCAGGCACGGCATATGAGGTATATCCGATGAACCTTACTCGGAAGCTTGTCCCAGTATTCAATCGCCAGATGTTTTCAAACATCTCGACCGGTATATCCTCGATATTGCCGTTAGGACCAATCACTTTCCCGGTAGCACCATGGTTGCTAAATAGTATGTCAGGGTGTCCTAACTCACTGATGACTTGTTGATAGAGAGCATCAGCTCCAGGGTAAGTCGATAGATCCGCCTGGAAAGGTTTTGCTTGAACACCTAGTTCGGTTAGTTCCTTCACGAGCGCATCTGCCTTGGGCTTGGAAGACGACGATGAGTGATGCACTGCGATCGAGCATCCCAGGCGAGCTAGACTTCTGGCAGAAGCTTGACCTATGCCTCCACTGCAAGGTGCCATACTTCAGTACCACAATGCGATACCACATTGTGCACACAATAACACCGCACCTACAACCAGTTATGAGGGCAAGCTTGCCCTTGAGAGCGTTTGTTTCGCTCATGATGGGCAGCTAGGAGATTCTGATTATATGGTGTGAAGGTGAACAGCGAGGGCCCTACTTGAATATTTGGATATTCATGGTGAGCTACAAACCTATAGCCTATGTACAAGTTGAAAGTTGTCATGACGTCAGGTGTGATTGCAGTATGGGTTTAATGAATAGTTTAGGTTACATAACTCAAATCTGGTAACTTAACCATCGTTTAAGCGAGATGTTCACCTTCATTCCTGCTTCCTCTTGCAGGTTCGCGGTGGTGGTTTGCTTGTGCCTGCGCAGTGTGTTGTCTTTTTCTTTTCAAAGGAGCTCAACGAACTTCGCCGGTCGTTGTTCTTGTCACGATTCTAAACACTACGTTTCTTGAACACGGATCATTGATTCTCAACACGGTCAGCAGCCATGTCCATATATTCCTTACAGCTCTCTGCTCCATTTCTCAAAAAGTGGTCACCTTTTGCTACCCCCAACACTGACACAACTCCTCATCCGCGAAAATCAGCGCATTGCTCGCCAAAGGTCGCGTTAAACATATCTACCAACGTGTTGCGTCCGCCGTTACACGCATCGTCACATAAGCACGCGCACTCCAAGCAGCATCCACATTTACGCGTCGTTGCGTCAAGCAAGGCTTCAGCTACAGTCTCTTTGACCAATGCCAATGCCAGCGCGACTAGTATTGCCTCAGAATCCCTTCCTTCCTCTGGTGGACTACCAGGCAATGAGTTAACGAACTCCATACCATTCCCGAGTGCACCAATAGTTTTTCAGTCGTCTCGTGACAACGTACCACACGACTTCGACTATGATTCGGAGTCATACGTTATGGTCGACGCGGGTGTACGGGAATACCCTTGTGTGAATAGCTCCGGCCGCGATTCCCCAACCGCTTGGCATATTGACCTGAGGAGACGAAGAGGCAGATCCTGTCTCGCTTCTTCATATGTTCATTCTGACAGCGTTGACTCCCCGACGCGACCAGCAACTCCTCCTGGTCTTTCTTCGACACCCAGTGCCGGAAGCGTGTCCGCAGGTGGGACGCCAGCTCCGCTTCATCCTATTGGAAAGAGACCCAGGGTACCTTCCGCCAGTACATTGAAGTTGTCAAAACGAGCTAAAAGGAATCGAAAGCAGACAGCAGATTTGCAATTTATTGCTCTCATGCATCGTAGCCTTGCGAATCACCTTCGATCATTGCTTACCGTGAGTGGACCAGAGCTAGGAGAAACGGGTATGGATACCTTGAGTGGTCGTTGTGATATTGTCCTGGAGCAGGACTTGCTCCTCGTTGAACGGCTCTGGTGTAGCCTTGTTGAACAGGGTTTCAAGCCTATCCTTCTGCATGGTATGTTGCATTACCGCGGCACTAAATGTTCTCTATGTGTTTTCGCGACTAACTTGCAAACAACATAGACGCAGTACCATCCGAGTCTATCCCGAAAATGCCGGGAACAGAGTTACCTGTATCTGATCAGGATATGATCATACCCTCTTCACCGATCCTCTCTTCAACAAATAAGGTGGTGAATTCCGAGCTTATGACCGTTTCACAACTCGTTGCAAGTTTGATTCTTCGAACCAACGATCGTCGCGCTACCCGTACACGATCTAGCAGGTTCAAACGTTCTTCTATCCCGAATGCAAGACAGACGACACGTTCTCCACTTCACCAGGTCGTGTCAGAGACTTACGACCTTGATGAATTCGATTTGTAATCGAAGCACTCCGACCCTTTACGACCCTTTCACTTCCTCTTACGACTACGCCTCCCTCTTCTCGGACGCATCAGTTTCTCGCCACAAGCTCGTGCCTCATTTCGCGACATCGCATTGCATTCCGACTTGTATCCCTATTCAGCTCATCCGCAAGCCAAAGGCTTCACCGTCCCATCATTCCATCACACTCGTGCGCCCATTATTTTCCCTCTCAGTTGTATCTTATACTGTACCCACCTGGCATCACCCGTCCGAATCTATCACACACTCGTTACGCGTCTACTGTGCATCGTGTGATACGCTCGGCCTTGTCCGTCCATTGTTCTTGTATATGCCGCTCGCTAGGCTTGATTGTTCCGAACTGCTCATGTTCGTTACCCAACTTCCCTTGAGGGCTTCTTTCCTTCACGCGACCTGAAAACGTGCCCGCTCTGGCGAGATACTCGTCAACACGTGTATCGTAGAATCAGAATACAGTCCCTTCGGATGAAGGTCTCCTTGGAAGGATGCGTGATTGTTGATAAGTAGGTCTCTTGGATCACCATGTGGTCTGCGGTGCGCTTCTTCACTCACGAACGGACGCCACAACGACATAGCTCCTTTCTGTCTGAAACTTGGGCCCTGCAAAAGGAGTCCTACTTCTCAGGAAGTATGTTTGTATGTAGGTGTCAGTGGGTATGGTCAATGCAAATACGAGATCGTTAATCTCTTGAGTACCCGTTTACGACGTTGTCATAACCTTATATTGCAAGAGCGCCGGACCCCAGCCACGTAAGAAAGTCGTTTAGCAACGGGCCTCCGCCCCTTGAACCCATTTTCGTTAGTATAAAGACCAGAAGGGTGCTGTTGTCCTGCAGGATCAGTGAACAATATGTAAGAAATGAGTTTAGCGAAGGGCACAGGAGCAAAATCCACTAAATCAGGCTAATCTAATCTAAACGGCATTATCACGATTTTCCGGGTCCCAACAGAGCCTTCTCCTCGTGTTCTCTAATTACACTCGTGTAGCTGCCAGGTGGAAGAGGGATTGCTTCGTGCACTCGTCGACCCTTTCAGTCTTTCCATTGTCGTTGTAGGGCTTCATTGCTTTCAACGATGTCGCAGTAAACTTGTGCTAGGACCATCCTCTACGTTTGGGCTGATCGCTACAGTGAGCATTATACTTCGATGTTCATCACCATGCTTACATCCAACAAGTTACTTCTGTGGAAACTGCGCTTAGCATGGGCCCTCATATGGTTGTCTATACGCACCAACATACTGTCCTTCCCGAGGCTCTCCCTTCTAACCCATCAGCTACGAGATCCACTCGCTTCTCACTATCTTGTGCTCTCCCGGGTTTTTGCATATCTCCCTCTGCGGGTTCATCGACATCTTGTTTATCATCTAGCTACAACGTCTGCTCGAGCTGTGATCTATTGCAGTCATCGACGCCACACTATCCTTCCTGGGGCAATTTTTCGCGGGATTATCCCTCGCCACCTCTCACCGGAAACGCCTTAAAGCATTCCGTATCTTTACCAGACATTGACGGCGGAGCCAGTATGGACTATGATGCCGTCCAGGATGTGCGACCTGGCCAGGGAACGTGTGATGCGCTCGATCAGGCAGGACCATCATCATCGTATAGAGATGTGGCGTCCGTGGCACGCGAACCTATTTCACCCCCACTGACAGTTCCTATGAACTCGAAAGAGCTGCCTGATCTTGATACCTCTGTGGCGGGTTTACACCCAGCATTCGACGCGCAGTCCAGATCGGAATTTTCGCCGTATGACCACGACGATACGTCGAGTATTGACTGGCACAGCGATGGCACTCTCCTCGATTGGGCTTCGCCAACAAGTACGCTGCTGGATCACTCAGATCTTGCGGCGAGCACATCCAGTGGCAAAACAGGCTTTTTCGATATACATACTTTTGGATCAACACCGTTTCGCGATCTGGAGTCTGAGCCACCACCAGGCTCTCTGGCTGATCCTTTGTCACTCATTCACCATGATTCAGGACGGCCGTTGTGGCAACAGCCTAACGGTTTTGAAGATGCCATGGATCTTGACCCTCTACCTCTTACGCCACCTTCGCCACACTCGGACGCCTTTTGTTTACCGCCTCCTCAACCATCCTCAATTCAAGCATCTGGAGTCTGCAGTTCGTTAGAAAATCATGGTTTCTTTCCTTCATCGCCTTCACGCAGGTACCATTCCTCACTGCCGGATTTCGACTCGCCAGATCTTGGATTTATGACACCCGTGCCTCACTCACCTCGGGGACCCTATTTGACCCTGCCTGACCTGGAGATGGCAGATGAACGGTTTCCGCCGTCGTCGCCATTGTCGCCACAAATCGATCTTCCCTCTTTCCCAGGATCCGAAGCTTTCGATCAACCGGTGACAACGATTTCTCCATCTCTTCTAGGCCCACCTCCTCCTTCGGAGGAAGAGGGTCTAGGGTTGTTCGTACGTCCGTCGGCTGTTGAACCGCCGTTGGCCAGGTCGCCATCTCCCGATCAAGATGACTTCCGTTTTCTTGATGTTCAGCTGGATCCTTTATCATCGAACTTGGACAACGACGAATTTCTTCAGTTGCGAGCGCTGCGAAATCGTGCATTGGACGCTGAGCGTGCGGCGCGACTTCGTGAAGAGTATCTTGCCGAGCGCGTGGAAAGTGCCTCACATGCCCTTCTACCGTCTGTTCTAGAAGAGGATGGAGTGCTCGACGACCCGCAGGAAAAGCGAGCGCGGAAGCATGATCTTCATGTCGCGATGGATTTACGAGCTGAGGCACGGAAGGCACGGAAGCGAGAAAAGCAGCGGAGTAAGGAGATTGGACTGTTGCTGGAGCTGAAGATGTGTGAGGGAGGATTTTCGATGTTGGGCTTTGGAGATGGACCGGGGGATGCGAAGCATCTGGTGGCGAGTATGGTGATGAAGAGGAGGGATACTTCTCGGCCTCTGGCGAATCGCAAGGCTGCGTCATCTGTGCGATCAAGCTCGAAGACTTCACTGTCGCGTTCCGTATCGCATGAAGACTTGTCTGAAGCATTGATGGACATTGAGTAAATGTTACTCTCATTCCTCGTTCTTGTCCTTCGTAAGTGTTCTATTGCCACTGATTTGTATCATTTCTGACTGACGTGTATGTAGGCCGGAGTCAACTGTACAATAATCAGAATCACCCATGCAAGCATCCTTGTAGCATTTAGTGTCACATTAGTCTACACAATTGTCCATACCCTGCTTCATGATATCGGAGATCCTTCACATCTCGCCTTTCTCTTGCATTTCTGCTTCATTTTCCGAATGGTTCCTCCCTTCAGGCTTGTCCACCCCCAAGTCCCCGCTTCTTCCTGCTACGTTCAAAAGTCCTTTCCATGACGTCTGTTTGAACACTTCACCTCTCCTACACTGCATGATTTATAATTGCTCCGAGTTCCCATTTAACATCTTATATCTCTCATCCATGCTCCCGTCCGTGTTCGCTTGCTTTGCTTGACTTTTATCCCGTACTCGGATTCATTCACACTGAGTCCGCTACAGTACTTGTAATATACATTCCTCGACAATTATTGTCATACAACAGGGTATCATGAGTAGAGGGATAAGTACATTAGAGAAAACGATCGCACCGAAACAGGGCTACATAGTATAGATAGGATGAAGATACAAACTAAATGACCTATACAGAGACACCTCCGAAAACTGCTGCAGGCATCATGCAGTTAAGTCTATCCGAGGCTCCGATGCTGGGCTGATGACACGAACAGAGGCTGCGTGTACCAAGGTCTCCTCCCCTGGCTGTGCATGAGGTTGCAACTCGTCCTGCGTAACACCACGTTTCGACATCGCGTACGCCCGACAAGCATCCCGACTCTGGGCTAACCTTGGGTCATTAAAGTCAAAAGTATGGATTGTGAAATCGGGGAAGTTGTATTGGAATAACTCCTTCAGGTCCGCCAGACCCATAGGATCCGGTGAATATGTCCCCGAATTATTGTCTATGATAAATTCCCAATGGACTTGATCGTCAGGTATGCTATCATCGAAGTTCTCCCAACCGCCCTCTGGTCGAGGATGGAACTCGCCAGAGTAGCGGACAGCCTCGGCGCAGTTAGCGTGCAGGGCATGTTTGGAGGCAAAGTCGACGAAGAATGCAGCGCCAGTCTCCGAGAAACGGAATGAATCGTCGTCGACAGCAATAATGTAGGTGTACACAGCGGGTTTCACGCGGTGAGAGGTACCTGTACCATCTTTTCCTCCGTGAAGGATAGCGATGACGTCCGCAGGTCCGTTTATAACGCCGAAGCCGTTTGTGGTTGTTCGTGCATAAAGCATGCGATGCGCAGCTTGGATTGTCGATCGGACCGCCACAGATGCAGGTCCTTGAAAGATCGCCTGAGCAGCTTTGTAGTTCTTGTTCCAAGGCTGCACACGATCACCGAGGAACAACGGTACACCTTTCAGGAACATCTTCCATGTAGAGTATAGATGAGCATCCTCCATCTTCGCTAGAATGCCCACCGTAGGCGAGAAGTGTCGAGAGTAACGGATAGGACCGTCAAAGATGTATGGATGCTTGCGTGGGTCGTTCACCGTTGTCGGAAAGGTTTCGATCTAGGACATGTTCATAGGATGTTCAACCGGATACATGAACGCAACGTACCTTTACCCACATCGTTCCCCTGTTTCGGCGTAATGACGGACCAACTCCCTCGAGTGTGAGCTCTTGAGTTCCGGGAGGGTCTATTTTGATCTCAGCCGAGCCGATGAAGTCATCTGTAACGGTGCCATTGTCCTTGTCAAGAACATCAATATGCAGCGTTGCGGTCGTTGGTACGTTTTTGATTTTCCAGTATTCGTTCCATACCGGAGCGAGAGTATTCACCTGAACGGTGGATCTAAGAACCAGAATGAAGTGAACACATGCAGAGTGACCGTTGGAGTAACGATGCTTACACGAAGGTAAGCGCAGTGTCGAGCTTGGCAACAAAATATGGATCGGCCGTCCCGACCACATCCATTTTTGGGAGCCCCGATGCACCGATGAAATGGACAGACAAATCGATATATTCCACCTCTTGTACATCCTCTTTTCCTCCAGCTGCCCACAATCTCGCCTTCTGAGTCACAGCGTGTGCCTCCTCTCTCGCTCGCTCGGCTGAATGACGAGCTTGACCAAGTATCTGTGACAATTGCATTGGATTTCGTATGCCCGGCATCCTAACTGTTGAGAGGATATGTGATTAGGTGTGCAAGGGGGTACTTCGAGCTTGGCACACACCTGATGAGATCACCTTTATAAGATGAAGCAAGTGCGCAGTTCCTTGGCTGTGCGAAACGAATTGCAAAGGTAGTCAAAATGCTACAATCGCAGAGGGTATGTTTCGGGATCATCGTAACGGCTTGATGCATGATGGGCGGTGTCGATCCTTCCTTGATATCCGCCTTCGGCCGCGTTTTGGGCAGGCCAAACCAGGATGCAATAATTTTACTACATGTTGAAATATTATGACTGTATCGAAAACGGCGAACTTCCATCTACTTGCCAAACGATAGGCCGCCTTTCGAAAAATATCCAGCACACGAGTTTCAATCCTCAAAGGCTGATTGCAGTTTTCCGAGCCATTTGGGAACAGACTTCGGAGCATTTGTGGAGCAGGGGAGCTTGGGGCATCTCAGCCTGAGTGAGTGCCACCTTCAGCCGAGAACGGATCTCGAAAGCCTCTGCGCTGTAGTTTTGCTAAAGTGGCCTATCGTTTCGCATGTAGCTGTCATTTAAAGTATGTCACTTGGTAGTGTCCACATCACCTACAAACTGAGGCTGACAGATTGAAGAATCGTGACATGTGTGATCTATGAAATGTGTATGAAATATGGGTATCGAATCTAAGTCTCTTTTGAAATAGCCAGCATTTTTACCGCGTCATCCACCAAGATGGTACCACTCAATTATCGCGAACAGTCGAAAATCCAATATCGACATATGCACGCATTCGACCTCCGTATCTGATGACGCTCCAGATCATGCTGTGAAAGTTTGATCATGTCCAGAAAGAACAGCACCGTAAAGTACAAACATGCTTACAGGTATCCAGTCCACGCCAGAACGGCTGCTATCGCATTAGTCGGAACGACGCCAATGTTGTCCACAAGAGGAAGAAAGGTGCCTGAGCTGAGGCCCAGAATTGTCCCGCGGAAGGCCCTAAATAACCTCAAGTAGGTAAGTGTAATACACCCTCGCGAAGTTTATAATGCGCACATAGTCGCTGCCATGACATCGGCGCTACGAGAATGTAAGATATCGACGTAGTACGTAGATATCGGCCCAAAGACCATGTCGACCTGGGTAATCCTTGTCAGTAATTGTGCAGATAGGCGTGTATTCTTTGCTAGACATACCCCCATTCCATTGAAGAAGAGGCATATGAGAGCCAGTACCACTCCAAGCGGGACGTTGTCGATATAACGAATTACAAGGCTAAAGGAGAGCACAGATATTGGTGCCAATATTGCGGCGGCAAACCAGAGACCACGAAGGCGATCTTCAGGTACCCACTCGCCTCCACGACGTTTACGCCCTTTGACCACTTGGTAATCAGAGATCCAGCCAGCAATTGGTGCGCCCACTGTATCATTTGAGAACGTAAGAAGCGACAGCGTGGATGACGTATATAACACATACCCATGCTTCCTAGGCCATCAGGTATGAAACAAGCACCTATAAGAGCTTCGTTTGTGATGTTATACCTTGCCCCCTAAAAGAACGTAAATGTTGGCAATGTGAAAACGGCGATAGACAAGATGTAATGAATACAATTGTGTATGCCATAGGCATGAGGAGCACTGGCGATCCGTTGAGCATCAGAAGGGGACTCAAGCAAAGGGCTCCTCACCATAATCAGTTATCAACACAAAAGCAGTGGCTAGAGCCTACAAGGTAAATCCATGAGAACCATCGGCTAGAACGCGTGACGTGATTAGCCTACCAGGAGTGTAATATTCGGACTTTGGAGGATTGCAAGGCTCGTGAATGGATTCAGCCACACCCATTTTGGTTTTCCTTCAACCTGGATCAACTTGTCAACCCCTCTCGTCCCGGGGTGACTCGTTTCAGGAAGCCAAAAGAAGGTCACGAGCAGCATCACGAAGCCAAAACCACACAGAATGGCTTGCATTAGCCTCCATGAGTAGTAATGCGCTGCTACACCTCCAGCAACCGGAGCCAAGGCGGGACCGAGCAGAACGGCCTGAGATTTGCGATATCAAAATTGAATACTCGTGCATGTGTAATTCAACTTACGCCCCAAAAGATGCCGGAAGCGGTCCCACGTTCTTCCAACTTGTAAATGTCAGCGATGACTGCCATACCAACTGACAGTCCACTCGAGGTACCGAATGCTTGCACAACGCGGAACGCGAGCAAAGAGGGAATATTCCATGCAGCTGCGACCCCGAGAGAGCCAAAGCACATGGAAGACAGTGAACAAAGATAAACTGGTCTACGACCATCTGCAAAGGATTAAAAACTGCTCAGGTCAGTACTCGAATTGTAGGATTGAAATGACCAACAGTAGCCAGCATAACGAGCCCATAGAAGGGTTCCAATGGAATTTGTCAGTAGTGAGACGCTTACAGCAAGGCTGTGAAAATGAGATGAACAGGTGTCCAAAAGGTTACGGACGATGCCAAGACATACCTGATGACTGCACCGGTCGTCTCGAGATCGCGAGCTATCTGAGGAATCGAAGGAATAAATGAACCAGAGACGAAGACTGTCTCAAGAATGAGCACATAAACTCTTCCAAAAAGAGTTCAATCTAGACTTACGAGGAATAAGGCCTGAAAGCGACACAATAGCGACTATCGCTCTCTTTCGAGGTCGACTGTAACGCGAATAAAGTGCTTCATGCTGAATCTCAGCAGTTGGTGACGCAAGCAAGGGGCTCTCTTCCGAAGTCATGTATGAGTTTGGAAGAAGCGTGTGCAGATTAGGCAACACCTGGCAAAAATTGCGTACTTATTGAGATACTGCAGACGAGTCAAAATGTTGCATCAAGTGGGCGCCTGAATTATCCGGTGCCGGAGAGCTTACTTTCTGGGGTCGGCCTCGATAACAGAGCGGACGTGCCTGACTCTAGTAGCTCTAATCAAAATTGGAGGTCTGCGTGCGGGTCCGGGGATTGAGGTTTGCGTCAAGCCGCTGGCAGCGAATACACTCGAGACAGATCAGGAAGTGTTGGCAAAACGTTTGGATGGAATATAAAAGCCAAATAATGTCATGAATTCTACCTGACGTCACAGATATGAACCGAAGGGTATTGTATCGGAAAATCTAAACCACAGCTGCACCTCGTAGTGGATGGGGACAGTCTAGACACCAGACTAATTGTTATGCACGGTTGAGAAGCCAACATCGAGATAGGCTCGCATTGTGCCGCCGTACTTGATAACACTCCAGATTAGGCTTGTATTCGTGAAACATGCTCAGATACGAAACAGTCCTGAAGAAGTGAATAACCAACTCACATGTATCCTACCCAAGCGGCAACAGCCGAGATTGCATTCGTCCGCGCGACGCCGATCGATTGGACGAGCGGGATGACAGTTGATGAGCCAACACTAACGATAAGGCCTCGATAAGCCCTGTATCATATCAAGACGATCAATAAACATCGAACTGGCGCTTATAGGAGAGACAAACGTCATGGCAGCCATAACCTCAGCACTGCGGGAATGCAGAATGTCTACGTTGTAGGCTGAGATAGGTGCAAGAACGAGGTCGACCTAGGTATGATGCACCTTAGCATACACCAAAGCATTCGGTATTTGACCCACCCCTAATCCATTTATGAAGAGGCAGACGAGGTCCAAAACAATACCAAGTCGACCTTCGATATATTCGGTGACAAATCCGAAGAGTAAGACCGAGATTGGCACACATAGGGCCGCACCGACCCACAGGCCTCGGAGACGATCTTCAGGTACCCATTCGCCTCCACGTCGCTTGCGCCATTTAATCAGTTGTCGGTCGGAGAACCAACCAGCAATTGGTGCGCCCACTGTATCACGCCAAACACATGAGAAACAACGTCTGTTGCAGTGCGTAGAACCTACACAAATTCCCCACGCCAGCGGGTATGAAGCATGCTCCGATAATAGCTTCGTTTGTTATGTTATATTTCACACCCTTGTTAATCATCAGCAATGAGCAAATGGAGCATAGAAAATACACACGATGGTATACGCCAGAGGCACGAGTAACACTACATGCAGAGCAGTTGAGATACGGCATAAACGCAAATACTGCTGTAAGTATCCTGCTCACCGTAGTCAGTCAACAACACAAATGCTCCGGCAGATGCCTGTTATTCAAAACAAGTGTGAGCACAGAAGAATCACGACTCGGAACTTCAAGAATGCGACCGCACCAACAATACAATATTCGGACTCCGGAGAAGTGCTAGACATTCGAGGGGGTTTAGCCACACCCACCGAGGTTTACCCCCTGCCTCGATCAACTTGTCAATTCCTCGTGCACCAGGATGACTTGTCTCAGGAAGGAAGAATAAGGTGACCAATAACATGACGAAACCGAAGGCAAACAAAATTGCCTGCATCAGATGCCATGAATAATAGTGCGCTGCAACACCTCCCGCGAGCGGTGCCAAAGCCGCACCCAGCAATATTGACTGATGAGAGTGGTTCAACGCCAGTTCAAGAATGCAGACTCAAAGGTTTGACTGACTCCAAGGAATATACCAGAGGCGGTACCTCGTTCTTCCAGCTTGTAGATGTCGCCTATGACTCCCATTCCGACTGAAAGTCCGCTGGACGTACCGAAGGCTTGTAAGACGCGGAATGCAATCAGCTCAGGGACGTTCCGAGCAGAAGCAACTCCCGTTGAGCCGAGACACATGCAGAAGAGCGAACATAAGTACACCGGTCTACGCCCATCTGCTAAAGGTGAGACCATAGAACATAAGTGTAGATAGAAATACCTACAGAATCCAGAGTAAGTGGCCCAAAATAAGGTACCAATGGAATTTGTCAACACTGACACGCTCACAGCAAGGCTAAAGAGTATATATTGAAACCTTATACTGGCAGACGTTTACTAGAGAGTGGCGGATTCGCACCTGATGATAGCACCGGTAGAGTCAAGGTCGAGAGCGATTTGAGGGATCGAAGGAATGAAGGATCCCGACACAAACACTGCAAGACGTATGGGACAAGAGTTCATAAATCCAAATAATACTCACTTACAAGGAATCAGGCCAGCAAGTGATACGATGGCGACGATGACTTTCTTTCTAGTCGGGCTAAAACGCAAATAGACCGCTTCATGCTGGATCTCCCCAGTATCGTCAGTTGGCGTGCCGAACAGGGGACTATTTTCCGAAGCCATGAGAGACTCTCCAACAGGTGCCTGCCCTTATCAACAGGAATCTTGACTTGATGCATCGAGTCAGAGTTGGTTTATTGGCAATCAACCTGCCGCTGGGAAATGACTAGGAGATTCCGCGTGACAGACACGTGTACATGCGAAGGTTTGTTTCCTGAAGGTTCGAACTACGATGGTCGCTCTTTGAGTAAAGACATCGAACGTTTGCAGAGGCACACAGAATACGACATGCATGCAAGTCGAAGCAAAGAGGTGCGGAATGAAGCAAAACTCTGCTAATTTGGACGACAGAGCCGCTCAAGAATATTTTACCCAGGAATGAGCGGGAAAACTTCGGAACTCTCTTCGTCCAGCTGTTCATCGCGGTGAATCGTCCTCGTCGATGTTGAGCATACTTATAAAATGCATCGTTCCACCATGTCCCGTTATCTCAGCCCCAGTTACTCTCAGGTACATCTGGGATACACCCCCTTCAATTGCCTACCGATTTCTCTACGTGATTGACGAAAGTACTAACGCTTCATGGCTCCCTCTGATTTTGCGAAAGCCTCCATCCCAGACGTGGTGGAACAGCTTACGACTGATGAGGCCATTTTACTGACAGCAGGAGTGGGCTTCTGGCACACTCATGGCGTGCCACGCCTGGGCGTCCCTGCAATCAAGGTCAGCGACGGACCAAATGGTGAGTGATACTGCAATTCGGACCGATTGTTTTCCTTTTTCTTTGCGTCCTATCGAAGCTCAGAATATCAATGTCATCGCTCAATAATGGTCTAGTCTGATTTTTAAAATATTGTCTCTTGAACAATGTCGATCTTCTGTGGAGACGAGCTGTATTCTATGGGACTCGATGTCCTTTCCTTATGCCTTTCCACGCTTGAAAACTCATGTGTATAACTAGGAATTCGGGGTAACCATTTCTTCATGGGCACCCCCGCCAAATGTCTGCCTTCCGCAACCGCCCTCGGAGCCACATTCGACCCTACACTCATCGAAGAAGTGGGGCTGAAGCTTCTCGCTGAGGAAGCCAAACTCAAGGCTGCCTCAATCCTCCTAGCACCTACATGCAACATCCAGCGTAGCCCTCTCGGCGGGCGGTCGTTCGAGTCATTCTCTGAGGATCCATATCTCTCTGGTATGATCGCCGCTGCCTACGTCAGAGGCGTTCAGAGCGGCGGCATCGGCACCGCTATCAAGCATTTCGTTGGAAACGACAAGGAAAACGATCGTATGGGATCGGACTCCGTTGTTTCTGAGCGGGCCCTTCGGGAGGTATACCTCATGCCATTCATGCTGGCTCAGAAATATGCCCAGCCGTGGAGCTTCATGACTGCGTAGGTTTTCCATGTCCGGCATGCACACTATCAATTGAATATCAGTCCTCAGGTACAATCGGGTGAATGGCACTCATGTGTCCGAGAATGCCCACATTTTACAAGAAATTCTTCGCAAGGAATGGGGTTTCGAAGGGACCATCATGAGTGACTGGTACGTTCTATCATGTTTGGTCTAACGTTTCAGTGGTAATTTTATATGTGTGTGTTCTACCCGTAGGTTCGGTGTATATTCCATTGATCATGCTTTGAATAATGGCCTTGATCTCGAGATGCCTGGTACAAACAAATGGCGAACTCTTAATTTGGTTAACCGATCGTTAGCGTCTCAATAATATATTGTTACTTACCACGGGACTAATGCCTTCGCCTCAGGATCGAGAGCCGCAAGGTTATGGCTCGGACAGTGAAAGAGCGTGCCAAGAAGGTCCTGGAACTAACACAGAAATGTGCTCAAGGTGCTCCCGAGGTATGTCACTTTCGTATTATCACTTGTGCCCAGTGTTCTTCAAGTGTGTCCCCTTTAGGTTTTGAACGGCGATGGTCTTGAGTATACCCGCGAGTCTGATGCCGACAAGGCCCTCATGCGGCATATCGCTTCTCAGAGTATCGTTCTCCTCAAGAATGATAACAATCTTCTACCTCTGAAGCCTAAGGTACATTTTCGACGTCTTTTTATCCTTCACATGATTCATTGCCGCCTTCGTCTTTCTTTTTAGGAACAAGGTCTAAAAAAGATCGCTATTGTTGGTGGAAACGCGAAAGCCATCGTTCTCAGTGGTGGTGGATCAGCAAGTCTCAAGCCTAGCTACTTCATCAGCCCGTATGAGGGAATTGTCGAAGCTCTCGGCTCGGACGTTGAGATAACGTACTCGGAGGGTGCCCGAGGTGTGTTACAACTTATATCCACCTTGCTGTCGTGTCCCTGATAATCGATAAAGCTTACATGCAGATGCCGACATTGGAATATGATATCTTTACCAACGAGGGTAAAAGAGGTTGGTTGGGAGAATGGTACACGCATGAGAACGACGAGAGCATGACACCAGTTGACCCACCTGTGAAGACCCAATACATTGATGAGACGAGACTCTTTATCAGGTTGGTCTTACTTCTATTAAACCTATCGATCGTACTAATAGACATCATAGCACTTCATACCCTGAAGGCATTACTAAACGGTGGACATTGAAGCTGCGTGGTCAGCTCAAGCCTCGGGATCACGATTGTGATTTCGAGTTTGGCTTGATCTCGGCCGGTCGAGCAAAGGTGCATATGCCCATACTTTCTTTTCGTTGTTGACCCTGACTAGTCCACAGCTCTACATAGACGACAAGCTCGTCATTGACAACTGGACTCGCCAACGTCGTGGCGAAGCTTTCTTCCAAGCCGGCTCAGAGGAAGAGCGAGGCATCTTCCCCGTTAAAGCCGGCATCGCTCATTCTATCTATGTCGAGTTCTGCAATGTTCGCGGCCCCGCAGACACCGATCCAGATGAAGCCGTTATGGACGCTAACCCAGGTGTACGTCTTGGAGGTGCAGAAGTCCAAGACCCAGACCAACTCATGGAAGCTGCTGTCAAACTTGCATCCGAAGCCGATGTCGTCGTTGCTGTGGTCGGCTTAAATGCTGATTGGGAGACAGAGGGGTATGATAGGACGACTTTGGCTCTTCCTGGTCGAACGGATGAGCTTGTGTCTCGCGTTGCCAAAGCCAACCCTAAGACTGTTGTTGTAACTCAAGCCGGATCAAGTATCACTCTTCCCTGGGCGGATGAAGTTCCGGCTATAGTACACAGCTGGTACTTGGGTAACGCAACAGGGGAGGCGATTGGAGATGTTCTTTCCGGCAAGGTCAACCCCAGTGGAAAGCTCAGTTTGAGCTTCCCGAAAAGCTTGGAGGATGTCCCAAGCCACGGCCATTTCCACACAGAGCATGGCAGGGTACGTATGGCCTTAATCAGGTTCTACCGAATCATTGACAATCGCTTCGTTTAGGTTCATTATGCCGAAGATCTCTTTGTTGTAGGTTTCCTCTTCATCAGCTCCAAACACGCACTGATTGACCTGTCATAGGGATACAAACACTATCATCATCGCAAGATCTCCCCCTTGTTCCATTTCGGACACGGTCTCTCATATACCGCCTTCGAACTATCTGACCTCAAGCTTTCAACTCCAGTTGTGAGCCAAAGAGATGTTGAGATTGTGGCTTCGGCCACAGTCAAAAACACTGGCTCTGTCCCTGGTACAGAAGTCATACAGCTATACGTCACTCTTCCGTCCACTTCTCCGCTGACGCACCCACCGTTGATGCTGAAGGCTTTCACAAAGGTTCGCGACTTGGCCCCAGGACATAGTATTAGCGCCACTCTCAAACTCGACAAGTACGCTGTCTCATACTGGGAGGAGCGTATTGCGAGTTGGGTGGTGGAGAGTGGCTCGTACGTGGCGCGGGTCGGAACCAGCAGTGCGCCTGAGAACCTTGTTTTATCAGGCCAGTTTGTGATTGAGAATGGCTTCGAGTGGAATGGACTCTAGATACTGCAACTCCGGCATCAATAAAGCCAAGAACGACACCAATGTACACTAGATAGAACCAGCTATACCCCCATTAGCCTTGGTTCAATTGTAAACTTGTCAACGACTGGATAGCAACTGGGTGAGTTATACTGTAATGTATGCCTCAGATAGGGTCCGAATTGGGTGGTACCGTGATGTCCATCACAAATGAGTGGTGGTGTGAATTTTCGTGTCTAGCAACGATGAAAACATAACCTGAGTATGCAGTAGTGACCAGCTTCACAGAAATATTACCTAGGAGAATATAAGCGAGAAATTGAATCCCGAGGGGGAAGCAGCTCCACTCGGAGTCTACCAACCAAAAGGACATTTTCGCACGATGATGTTTGCCATTATTTGAACGCTAATGAGACACGATCGCGTCGCGCCAGATGACTTCGGACTCTCTTTCATCGATACCGTCGCCTTGTTCTTCGTCAGAGCATTCAAGGCATTGAAATGAGTCGAAGAAACAATGTACGAGGTCCCACGTCGGCTTTGACGGAGTTTCTAAAGGTGGGTCGGCTTGAGGTCTCTGGCTTCAGAGAGTTGACGTGACACAAAAACTTGTAGGAGTCCGGCATCACACCAACGACCATTGCGCGTCGTGCTAGGACACGTCAGGTGGAACAACCTGCACAACTCGAAGCGGGGCCTAGCAATGCTCAACAGAACGGTGATCAGCCGGAATCGGGTCCCCGTGGGACTAACGGGGTGAGTAACCAGTATTCGTAGTAATGGGAGACAATATTTTTGCACTGTCATAATATGAGACATTCATCCTCACTAATATTTTCTTGTACTCTCAGAATGCTGAGGAATACGCATCAGACCATCTCGACGAGACAGATGAAGAACAGCCAGCCCAGAAAAAGCGGAAGATGACCAAGACTGCAGAAGCTAAGGAAAAGGCTAAAGCTAAAGCCAACGCGAAAAAGAAGAAAGGCGACGACGAAGATTTCGAAGACAGTGATGAGGACGAGGACGCGTACACCGCTTTGTCAAAGATGTGGAAGGACAACAGTAAGCCCCCTGTGGGAAGCTTCGAGAATTGTGCGCGCTGCAATAAGCAGTTCACCGTGGTATGTTCTTTGTATCGTATATGTCGTCATGTGCTGACAGCACTGTAGACTAAATATACCATGGCAGCAAATCCGCCTCCAGGGTTTTTATGCCATCTTTGTGCCAAGGCTTCAGGAGCAGATCCATTCAAGAAGCCTGCAGCGCCCAGGAAACGCAAAGCAGCAACCGAAAAGAGAAACGTTGTTCACTTCGAAGAGCGCCGTTTCCCAAGTCTGGCATCCTTGTGTATAAAGGTATACTCACTACTGCTTTACTTTATAGCGATACCTTGTTGACCGACAAATATGCAGATCATCAGTCATTACATTGACGACGTCGAGGCTCTTGGTGATATAGGTAGCATCAACCTAGATGAGCTTGCGAAGTCGCTTGCGCGTAACCGCAGCTTGTAAGTATTCTCGATACTTTCATATGGCTTTGAACTGACTCAAGGCTTACAGGACTCCCCAGAACGCACCCCTTTTCTACAATGTAGAGAACACGAACTTGACGCTGTATGATGTTACACGTAGGTATTCTACACTGATTCGGATAAATTTGACAATGACCGATGATTGTAGACTTAACTCCGCCTGCGTTCAACACTTTGGCGGCATTGAATCCCAACCTAACTTCTCTCCGACTGGACTTCTGTGGTCGCATTGACGATACCGTCATGGACAGCTGGACAACATCTTTGCCGCACCTCAAGCGTATCGAACTCTTAGGTCCTTTCCTCATCCGAATAGCAGCCTGGAAGAAGTTTTTTGAGACCCACCCTAACCTCGAAGGATTCTTGATCACTCAAAGTCCTCGATTTGATCTTGAGTGCACCAAGGCCATGGTCGATAACTGCAAGAACATCAAAGAACTTCGTCTGAACGAGATCGGCAAGATGGATGACGCAATCTTAAACGAAATCAAACAGTACGGCGAACAGCTCACGTACCTTGAGATTGCGTACCCAGGTGTACCTGAAGCGCTTTCGGACGATGTTGTCGTTGATCTTATGAGCGCTGTCGGAGCAAGCCTCAAACACCTGAATTTGTCCAACAACGTTAACTTGACAGATGGTTTCCTATTCCAGGGCTTGAAACCTCACGCAAGACAGCTATCCACGCTCGTTCTTGCGAACCTGCCCGAACTGACTGATGCGGGGGTCGCTGAATTTTTCGATACTTGGAAGGCAGCTGTCCAGGATCACCCTAACCGGGCTTTGGTCAACCTTGACTTGTCACGAAACCACGAGCTTTCGGATAAAGCTCTTATTTCTCTTCTGAAACACTCCAAGAAGAGCCTGACGAACCTAAATATAAATGGCTGGAAGACAACCTCACAGGAGGTATTGAAAGGTATCGCCAGGCAGTGTCCTCGCCTGCAGAAGCTAGATATCAGCTGGTGCAGAGAGGTCGATGATTGGGTTATCAAGGAACTCGTGGAGAAATGCGATAAGATCCAAGAAGTCAAGGTGTGGGGATGTCAACGGCTCAGTCTCCAATGCCCTCGCAAGGTACGCTTTACACCGAGTCATCACTAATATGTTCAACCTTTTGACTGACGTCTATTTTCCACAGCGCGGCGTCACCATTACTGGTGTCGAGATCCATGTGGCTGCATAAAATTTCTTCTGCATTCTCGCTCGGATGAGACACTGGTGTCCTTTTTTTTCGAGCATCATAGACCTTCTTTTCATTCAAATTGGGTGGATTGGATATAATGTAATGTTTCCCTGGCTTGTTGTAGATTATTTTTTGGTTCGTTTTTGAATAAGGTGCAATTTCATCTTGATTCAATGAAAGATCATATACAAACGCGATCACTTGGAATTTCATTTGCTAGGTTTTCTCGCTATCGCTATGGTTCATACTGATGTGAAGTCTTCAAACTCGTTTACTATGTAGGTTTAGCTGCAGATTGTTCAAATTCCAGGACATAAAGTGCACTTTACAGTGTATATCTATGGGGCACGGCTTTGAAGACGGCCAGGAAAGAGCTAGACAAAGAGCTTTTCTGCCCTATTGGAACTAACGTTGAACGTAGCTAGCCTTGCAAACGTAGACGCTGCAGTCTTTCTTTCGGCATTTTTGAATTGGATAATTTCTGAGCAATGTATGCATATTGCTCAGAGTAGTAGTAAAGCCTAAACAACAATCTTTCCAATGTTCTTCCATGCTGCCGATCGGGTTTCCTTATATATCTTCAGGCATCCGAATATGGCAAACGCTTCTGCTCACGAGGTCGACAATGACTGTGCTGCACTTCACATAATGCAGCTGCAATTGTAGTAAATATATAAGACGCACCAAGTGAAGGAGGGGCTGATACGTGTTGCTAAAATGTTGGCGTCACGCAATAACCTTAGAAGATCGGCTGCGAGGCGAACCGAACCGAGCCTTGGCCGGCACGTGAGGAGATCGTGTTCACTGAGGGATGTTGTTCTCCGCACGTTGAAGTGCATCCTCAACGCCGACGTCCGCGATGAGCAGGCGGCAGTCGCGTGTATCTATTGATGTTCGCCAGAACGACACCCTGCTGGAATTCGAAAATTGTGCGTGTTCACCTTGCACTTCATCTTTGGTTTCAGACTCCATGACTTACCACGATCTCATAGTCAAGAAGAAATTCCTACTCGCCAACAAACATATCACCAAGTATATAGCCCCCAGAGACCACACATTCGCTTGCTGATAGTTTGCTTTAGATTAAACTCAACTTTGAGTATACGAATTGAAGAACTGAATGCCCAGATATCAGGCCTTTACGTCGAGAACCTCCGCCTGCGAGCGTCAGAGATAGCGTTGTCTGCGCAACTCAAGAAGGAACGTGAGAAGTCGAGAAAGATACTAGCAGATGCGGAAGCTGCAGTGAGTCTTCTTCTATATAGTGATATGGGACCTCTCATCCTGTGGCCACAAGACGCACAGCTTCATGAAACAACTGGGATACATCAGAAAGGCAAATAACATCTCACCAGGAAGGTCGAAGACACCTGAATCACAACATGCACCTGTTCCTCGTGCACGACGTCCTATTATCAACCCAGACTCAACACCGCCTGTTAATCGAATAGCGCGGCCGCCGACTGTACCGGGTATCATCGAAGGCGATGAAACTAACTTGTCTTCTCCCGACAGCCCTGGAGCGGACCCAGAAGACGAGGACGAGCCACCGAGCCCTACACCTGTACGCCGGAAGAGTAAAGCACGGGCTTCAAGCTCACGACTGCCCTTGCCGACACCACGCATAGCCTCACCCGACCCCCCACTATCGATTGATCTTCCAACCGTAAACTTTGCAGAGCAACTCAAGGCTGGAAAACGGAAACCTACAAGGCGACAAAGCGGACTGCTTACGACGAGCGTGTCTATTACAACAGTGACGGAACGGCCGCCAAGTCCCGCTTTCGGCTCGCCTTTGAGGAGAGATGCGGCACTTGAAGAGGAGGAGGAAGAAGTCCTAGCTGTGATTGGTGGTATTGACGGACAGGATGACGACGAGCCCGAGATTATCACGCAAAGGATCACACGGAGAGAGAGAAAGAAGAAATCGAGGGAGAAGGAGACCGAGAAGGAATCGGGCGGTGAGGGTTCGACGAAGGAGCGGGAGAGGAAGAGATCACGAGACTCGGAGGAACAAACATGGACTGTGGAGGGCGGAAAGAAGTCCAAACTAAAGGACGTCACTAACTCTCCACCAAGCCGCTTACCGGCCTTGGATATTCCCTCCTCCGGTATGCTTTCTTTTATTGAACGAGCCTTTCATACTAATTGGGAACGCAGATCGCGAACGACTACATACCCCGGAACATGAGATACCCACTTCAGCTACATCCGCCACGACATCTTCCTCATTAGCGACTACACGCACATTCCTCACGACCCCCGCTACGACCCCTGCACCTTCCCTCAAGTCCGAACATCAGTCCCAACTTGTTACTCCACGATCCTCAAGCCCTGCACCTGATTCCGAACCTGCTGGTGGTCGGGAGCGGCGAGCACGGAAGAGCGTCAACTACGCAGAACCGAAGCTCAACACGTGAGTTTCATATGTTTCTGGTTTACTCATCATAAAGATTAATTTGTCGTACAGGAAAATGCGGAAACCTGACCCTCAACCGTCTAGCTCGAAACGTGCCTCTACCTCGAGCTTAGGTCCAGACGCACCACGTCGCTCCCTCGAAGGCGCTCCTCCCATTCCCTCGAGCTCTTCTACTGACAACACTGCAATGACCCAACCCCAGCCCGTGGCTGGTGTGAAGCGGAAGAAGTCATTAAGAGTACACGTCTTGTCTGAAGATGGTGAGGAGAGCGAAGGTACTCAAGCTGATGCCGAGTATGGCGGTTTGCGAGTGAGTGCAAGTAGCTGGGTGAATACCGATGGCAGACGGCGAAGTATTCATACGGGAAGTTCCAGAGATCCGAAAAGATTAGAGGGAGATGATGGAAGGCGACATAGTATGGCTGTATAGGTCAGGTTGCTTGCTTTGCGATTACTCTTTGGATTGTAACTGATTCACTGTTCCGCTATGTTTGGTGTACATTATCAGTGATAACCTATAGTACTGTATGTTCTTATACATTCCCTGACCCATGTTCAGTCTTATTTTACACCTTTCAGGGCTCTGTCTTGCGGCTTCTCTGTCCCGTAGTTATGAAATTACGTCGACCTCGTTGGCGCTCCTCGGATCAGTTAGCCGAGCTCCTTCCAGTTCATTTCGCCGAGCAGGAACAGACTTTGACTCGGAAGCGACCAAGCTTCCCTGTCACGAGAACGCCCTACCGGCGGTCAAGATGAAATACATACTGCATTGCTCCGCCAGTCAGTTGATGCACAGCCAACCGCAGTGACAGTATTCCATATATCTTACTAGCCATCAGCAAGGAAGGTGTGATATTCCATCGACATTGCCAAACGCAAGACAAAATGAACTCAGAATCCAATTACAAGACCTTGATATTCGATCGTGATAGCTTGCTGAACGCATCTCTCGTCTGTGCAGATACTAAGGAACCTGAATACCATGTTCAATCCAGGGTTACTGCGCGTTCGACGAAGATCCACGTTCTGCGCAACGTCAATGGTCATTCCGCAGAGGTCTCTTGTATCACGAAGAAGGATATGTTTCGATCAGACACAGTTTCCTTCACCGGACACGGGGAGATGAAGCTGAATGACTGGATACGAGACTATGCGTTCTTCGATCCGTAAGTAACGATCTCAAGCCTCTACCGTTTATGCTTGTGTGAACTGTGTGTCCTTTAGCAAGCAAGCTTCCGAATCACATCCCCAGAAGTATGTATGGAGAGGCGGCGCGCCTGGCGAATTATGTGTGCGTGATGATGATAAGTCGCATACCCAATTGAAGAAAGTCTAACCTGATGGCAGCTTGTTCGAGAGGACGTTCAGAGTACCGATTTCCCACTGGCCGTTTTCCGCGCCGCCTTGCCAGGCAAAGAACTTCCATCTCTGCTTCTCACAGCAGAGGTGGAATATATCCAGGATGCAGTAGTGACATCCTTACTTGTCGTGGCTCGCAAAATACGAAGCCGAGATGAGAAACGGGCTGCACAACCCAGTATGCCTATGTATGCACAAAGTTCACCGTTGGGTTGATCCGATGTAGAGATGTGAAAGATTGAGACTGTATTGTATCGTGTATTGTTTAAATGGATAGCAATACCCACGGCTTCTGTCATAATATAACAATATGGATATACAAAGTGTGACTTGAACGGGATATAAACATAGTCATAAATAGGGCAAGCATTCAAGCCCTCACTCAATCGCACGTCATTGTACCCCGACTTCGCCTTGACTGTGACCAAGTGGTGGCTTACCTTGACTCTGACTCTCCATCTCTGCCTCGACCTCGGGTATATCCCTCAACCAACCGTCAAAGTCGACGTCCCTCTCTAAGAACTCGCTCACCTGGTCGATGCGACCATCAACATCGAACTGACTGTTGAACCCCATAAAGCCTCCAGCAGCCGGAGGCACCAAACCCGTCTGAGTCTGACTCTCAATTCCAGCCCCGAACACGGGTCCTCCGAATTTCTGAGTAGAGACGAACGCCGGTACAAATCGACCCATCTTCAGAGCTGGGGATGCCAATGGAGAAACAGGAGATCCTAATCGTTTTTGTCGTATCGACTGAGGCGTCGATTCGGACGAGCCTGAAGCTGGAGACGAGAAATATGTCCTTACTGGCGATGGCGAACGTGGGTTCTCGATAATCATAGGAAGAACATCTTTTTCCTCTTCCTCCACGTCATCCCTATCAGCAACAGCAAATGGCTTGGTAATGCGCGGGCCATGGCGTGAAGGCGTACTAGGGGCCGACTTGAGTTTGCGCGAGGGCGGCCTCGGTCGCGGTCTTGACCGACGTGACGAAGCAAGTAACTCCGTGAGGGTCGGTAGCGCTTTGCGATCGGGGGTCGAAGGAATTGGTAAGCCTCTGGCGTTACCCAGATCCTTGCTCTGAGTTCGAGGTGATGGTGTCTTGGATCTTGATAACGGTGGCGTGGCGGGTGGAAGAGGTGGGGTTGATGGTGGAAGAGGCGCACTAGAAATAGGTGCATGGTCCAGTACGGGATCGGGCTCAGGATGCTCGTCGAGTTTCTGCTTCTTGGACGGCGGAACATTCGGTCTCGAGATGAAAGGATCGTCATCTTCATCACGAGGTGTCAAGGGCCGTTGCCGCTTTTGCGCATTCCGTAGAGATAATGTCGGCGAGCTAGAGAACGGAGCTACGAGTACATTAAGCTTCCGCCGTGGTTGGGCGGGATCAAACTCAGAAGACCTCGTGAAAGGAGGGGAACCGGGAGAAGACGATAGGAAAAGTCGAGGATAGATCGGGGGAGGTTTCTCTCGGCTCGCAGGAGGTTTCGCCTTGAGGCGTGACTCATGTGGCGTTGATGTCTGTAGGTATGTAGGAAACGAAGGTGGTAGGAAAGACTACCAACAACAAAAGAATCATTAAAATGATCATAGAGGCTATGTTTTGAAGATGTTATGCTTACCATCTCAGGTATATCAGAGATGCCTGCTGCTTTCTGCTCCGCCATGGGTTCAGAAGCTAACTGATCCGGAGGTTTAGCTGCATCAGCTGCTGGCGAAGATATTTCAACATCCATTGGTGACGCAGTCGGCAGTTTGGGGTCAATCGAAGGCACGACGTGTTCCGGCCTTGGTTTCATTCCGTGTCCTACAAGGCGTTTGACCACAGGAAATTCTAGAGAAGATTGTTTGGGTGCTTCCAGAGTAACTTCCTTCTGACCATTCGGTTCGGGGACCACATCGAGCGGAGGCGTTTGGGACGGTGTCTCATCAACGAGGTGAATCAATTTGGCCTGCCAACTCTCAACCTTTTCGCGCACCCTCTGGGATTTTGATTTCGTCTGTTCCCCGTTGGCCATGGCTTGACTAAGGTTGGGCCGAGGCGCTGCGTCTTGAGGCCAATATTTCGAAATCATTTCTCGATCCTTGCCTACTATCACGCGACTGCATTTCTTCCACCGTTTCTCGCATTCCTTCCACTCCTCTTCTGTCTCCGGAAGCGTCCATTGATAACCATGCACCTCCACAGCGGAGGTAGATCCCACCCGAACGCCAGGGGCAGCACCTCGGTACCCTCTGCTTGTGCAACCCATTCGGACCAATCTGGTAACATGTCCCCACTTGGGATTGGAGGATTCGCCTCCTGATACGTTAATAGCCTCAAGAATCCTCTCGCGAATAAGTTCTGCGTGAGATTCAAAATGTGGCGATGGAGGACAAGAAGGTGGGCAGAGCTCAGTTGGCAAGGATGCTAATTGCTCATGAGCTCGAGATAATTGTTCCGTATAACTAAGACGTAGTGCTGGTAGTTCATGTCCAGAATCCACTGAGCTTGTAGACGGTGTTGACTGTAATTGTACCGTGAGGTCCACAAGCGGGAAGACAGGTACATAAGCCGGCATCACTTGGAAGTTCGATCGGGGTAATATTGAAGTATTCGTCAAGCTATCGTACTTGCAATTTGAGCGTTCTGGAATTCATGCAGTTGTAGATTAACCAAGAAAGTTATGAGTCTTTCAGAAAGTGGATGCACGAAATGGGAAGTCGAATCAAGGAATCTCAAGCTGAGGAGGGCCAGACGAATTTGGCCAGTTACGTAAGCATATTCATCTGCCCAGTTCACTTCGCAATACCCATGTTTCTCACCAAGTTTCGGCTCAAAGACCGTCGCGCAAACTTGAACTTCTTGGCAAGAGAACGATGAAAATGAAAACGTTGAAACTTATGACCCGACTCCATATTGAGTGCCATGAGACGTCCGTCGGATAACGCCACGTTCCAAGATGCCTCGAGCAAAAGCACCTTGCGTTCACCGCTGGTTGAATCCGACTTCCCAGTATGTACATGATGGATTATTGTCCAAATGGTTAGGCGTCGCTTGTGAAATGAGTACTGGTTCCCGCCCAATAGAATAACATACAAGGGTGAGCCGATATTGCAGTTCGTGAACCAAGAAGGATATGTACATCGAGAATCCAGTACATCTGTGTTCATTTCACGGTCCTCAAGGTAATATAAGGCTTCCACCCCATGCGTACGAACCCATGCCAACTCATGTTCTATCGCAACATAGACACAGCGATATCCTCGAGGCGGATTGTGAGAGCAAAAGATGACCGGTAAGCACTGCCATGCCAGCTTCAAGGGATGTCAGACAGCGTGCTATGATAAAGTCCAAGAGATCGATTACCTACCATGCTGGAATGATGCATGCTAGCTCCGAAGAACTCAGGGAAAGTAGATGATGAGTGCGCCTGAGATGATTGACACAGTTTCTGGTTGTGAAACCCTGGTGGAGAACTTGAATCCATATGAAACTGGTTCTGACCGATACGAACGTATTCGGAGGAACGGACGCCAAGACCAGAATAAATCAGACAAACGATACGCTCTTGCGAGACCTTTCCTGGAGTTTAGCGATTCCCTTCTCAATTGAAGAAGAAACTCCTTCTCCTGGCTTCGTGCGCAATTTAGCTTGCTTCTGTTTGGCCTTTTCCTTCTTCGCCTGAGACTTTTCGGCAAGAATAGCTGCCTTAGCTTGTTTCTGTTCGATCACAGCGGAGCAGAGTTAGGAGAGGGCAAATCTCACAAAGTTTTCTCCTCACATACCAGTCTATCCTTCGAAGATACAGAACCATGTTTGCGGCCAGAAGCGCCGCTAGTCTTCTAAGAAAATGGTGAACACTCTGATTATGTTGGGGTCGCTGCGGACGGGTCAAGCAAACCCACTTGTGCTAGCTCGTGCTGATGATGTCTCGCAGCCTTATCTTTTGATTTCTCCTCCTGCGCCTCAGCGATTGACGTTGCCAATGCGAGGGCTGCGTCCTGAACACAGCAAATCGTCAGCCAGACAGATATCTCACACCTCCAACAGTCATCGCTCACTTTTCTTTCTACGAAAACCTTTTGCTTCTTGCCTTTCCTCAAGTTCGGTGTCTCTTTGGAGGTTGTCTCAGTGGTAGACTGAGTCGCTTTAGCCATTACATGAAGACAAGATCAAAATGCTTGGCGCAGAAGCGGGCTGAACAACGGTATCCATATACGGCAAGTCTAGAATTCAATATTCAAATATTCAAGGTCAGAACTAGCCTGTGCTCCCGCGGTACAGTGGCAGTGTGCTCGACTTCCTCTACTACCTGGTGCATCTTTCCTGTGTAGGCTATCCCTTCTATCACGGTTTTAGGTTAACATCTTACTTCTGGAGACAGAATGTTAACTCTGGCCTTCGTATCTCACAGCCTGTTGCAAACTCGACGGTGCTCTCGGGGTTATCTTTGTCTGAAGGATGGGGCGAGTAACGGAATCTACTGTTGGGAAAATATATGAAGTTTCGGAGACGAAAGGATAACTTACATGGCCTCTTAGCCCTCGCTGCGCGTTGTAAATGGATTTACTTAATTGTGTACGCTGATATAATGACTAATCAAGTTTTTGCACTGACAGTTGAATGCGATGCAAGCTCGAGATCGTCTCCTAGTCACTATTTTCCCGCCAAATCGGCCGCCCTTCGATAACGGCAGGGCTCCGTAACGATATTTCTTTCGGATGGTTTCTATAATCCTTCGGGTCGAGCAACCGCATGTTACCAGAGCGGAGGCAAATCTTCGCGTTCATCTTCTGGAACTCAGAACGATGACATACCAACCTGATCTCGGAGTCTAGATACACTTGATGCGCTCAAGGGCAAGAATAAGACCGACCATTTCATCATTTCGATTGAGAGCGAACTGCATCGCCAAGTTCGCCCTCGAGTAACTCGTTTTCGGACCAATCTTGCCCTTGAGTCAATCGTTTTTACAGAATCCTCAACTGGCGAAGTGATGTAGTTTCAAGGACACCACCTTCTTGATGTCCGCTGAGTGAGCTCACTTCGGTCACCAATGTCCCCAAATTAGCTTCCCCCGAGATGAGCGAGGGCCAACGCATCGTGCTCTTTCCGAATCCTATAAAGAGGGCCACAATGGGCTGTATATCCAACCAGAAGTCGCAGGATCCTCGACTCTGTTCTACATTCCAATATCTTTGCATTCATAAATACCTCTGACATGTGCTGCCGTCGCCAGTAAGTACCTAGTCCATCTTCAATGAGGGTGGAGTCTTAATTTTTCTCAGCGTGTGCTATATTTACTCCAAGTGTGGTCATGCATATGCGATGGTGCGTAAAAACATACTTGAATAGTGGATGTGGAAGGTTAACCCGCGACGCTTTGTAGCCCGAAGAAAATGTATATAGTCTCTTAAACTTCGCCGAACCTACATCAGCTTACTTTCCGACTCACAGATGCCGTGCGATAATCCCCATTGCAAGTTCAGCCCTGCCCATCCGTCCACATGCACAGGTGCTTCATGCAAGCAGACGTGTTGGCAGTAGTAAGCAGTAATCTTGTTTCTGTCTACTCAGGAATATATGCTTAATTACCCGCCGTGTATAGCCGTCAGCCGACCCAGCAGTACTGTAAGTTTTATCTAAATATCTGCAAGTCCCTTCTGACAATCATGCAAATGCCCCCTTCAGCGCCTCAGGTTTCAGGCTCTTGTCCACGCTGCGGAGGTGGTCCGGCTCCCACACATTAATTGTGGCAATGGTAGCCTCCCCTACACAGACCTATACTTACACACATAGACTCTTGATTCCCTCATCGATATATGCCGAGTTGAGCTAAAGAATGTACATAGAGTAGTCGTCTTGTATCCATAGACTACAGGTTCTCATCGCTGTATTCGTTATCTATTTATACATGTTCGTGGCAGCATGCTGTTACAATCTTCGTCGGCATTCCTACAACAACCAAGCTACACTCAGAAATAAGCCTGAAAAGAGAGCGATATAAGCAACACTGTGGTGAAACCCAAGTGGGGACCTACAGCAGCATTAGGAGGACTTGCTACGCCGCCAAGGCTTTTAAATTGGTCAAAACATTTCCACATAAAGTAAGTAATCGAGATAGAAACATACACATTGAGCGGCCAAGAAGAGAAGAAAAAGGTGTATCTCCCAGTCTCAGAGCAGAACTTGGAGAGAGCCTCCAGATCGAAGAATTCGCCTTCGGGATCATGAATGAATGTTCCATTTCACATAAGAGGTCAAATTCACCTATGGGCATACCAAACAAGCTAAGAGACATCAATCAGGACCGAAGTTCGGACAGGAGCAATCCCTAACCACGCACCCTAATATTGTCTGCGAGCGCGTAGTGCGATGAAGGCGTGTAAACCGGAGTATACATTCACTGCGTACCTGATGGAGTTGTGGTATTCCTTGTGGAGGCGGCACACGCTATGAATGAGCAGAACCAAGTTGACTCTACAAATTATTTTCCACCAATCATACGCACCTCCAAAGCGGGCTGATCGGACGCAACGGCAGCGAAATGGTTGTTCCTGGAAGTCGCATCATATAAATAGTCAGCGAAGACGTAATACAAGCAGAGAGCGACATACCAAAGGAATCGTTTCATGTCTTCAGTTTGCTCAATGCCAGCGCTTCAAGTTGTTACATTTTCCGATCGGCATGGGATTGCACACGAATTCAAAGTGAACGATACTCACAAGGTCTCAGGCTTTCCATGAAAGAATAAACGTTCCTCAGGAGTTGCGGAACTGAATCTCTGAATGAAGCCCATGCGTAGCAGGAGGATGTCGCCTTGTCTGAATTCAACACCTTGCTTTTTAGCGCAGTCTTGAATGTCCTTCAATGGTATTCCGTGTGTTGTCCATGGATCGTACGGTAACGGAAGGCCGTCAGACGTATAATAACCCACCAGATCCAGGAAGACACCACGTCCGCATATTCCATGCTGAGACCAGTCTGTTGGACTTTGGCATATTGCGGTTTACAGTTGACCATCGGACGCGACTCACTGTGAATACCTAACTTCATCAATTTGGGGTCAAGCTTCCCTGGGTCAGGAATGGAGATGTGTCCTCTGTACAAGGATTCTGAAGGAGTGCTAGGGGATCGTGAGCATCAAGCATCAATATTGCACTGGTTTCCCAAACAAATTCACTTATTATAGAAAACCTTGTGTTGCGCGATACCGTAGTGCTTCAAGCCATCCCACTGAGACCCCGACTGTGTGTTCTGGAAGAGTATACTTCCATATGAGATCCACGACTTTGATATTTGAAGAATGACCACTTACGATAGAAATCGAGTCATCATTGATTGTGTCCGACTTCCGCCAAGAATGAATAATAGGTGTCTGTCTAGTGTAGAATGGCTAATGATAGTAAAGTACGAGCTACAGCAGAGTGTCCGCATGAGCCGGTACAACACTCACCTTCTCAGGAAAGTTGACAGGCCTTCGGGATAAGATAATTTACATAAGCGAGCAAAGGACATGACGGTTGATTAGAGACGACGCACCAGTTCAAGCAAATGGTCTTCCCCAATCTAAGAGGTATCGTTAGTAAGAATCACAAGATAGTCCACATGCAAATGCGACGATCAGTATCTGAGTTGCTTACTTGATTTCTTCTGTGGCTATCTTCACAACGTCTTCCGTCAACAAGTTGACAGTTCCCAACTCATCGTCTTTCCCCCATACGTCCCAAGCACACCCCGAAAAATTGTGGAATTTTGGCAGCTCGTCGAAAGAGGGCAGTTTCCTGCTGGACATAATGGTGAGTAACAAGAGGCCTGTGAGACAACCTTCTATATGTACGTGCACAACGGCATTCGGCTCTCCGTAACATGAGAACCTGGCTAGTTCATCAGGGAACTCCACAATGATAGAGAGCCAATAATGGCCACAAGAAAGCTTGATAAGAATCTATGAATACATTGCGCAAGATTATTCTGTAGTACGAGTTGTCACATTACCAAATACCATCTATTGTAGTTCATAATAATTTATGAACCCTTACTCTCAACCCCTAATGAATGGATGCGCGAGAGCTTCTTTCGGCGTAATCCTCTTCGACGGGTCTAACGCTAGACATTTATCAAGGAGATCAATAAAGGCTGTAAGGGTCTTTGCCTCATCATCCTTCAGCTTGGAAGAAGACGGCATCAGCCGTGACCTCAGGTCCCGCGTCGGCTTCGTAATGTGAACCTTCCGTATAACCTCCTGAGAGAACGTCAATATCTAGTGGATCAGCCAGGGTCGAAAATAGAACTTACAGTTCCTGTCACCTTATCAATCTCAATACTTTGAAAGTTGCCCAATTCGTCGAAGTACAAGTCGCCGAATTTCGCTTTCTTGATCATCTTCGTATTGAATCTACCCTTCAGTTCCATCATGAGCAATAGCATATGGTTGTTGGAACGTCCAGGAAAGAGTATCTTGCCGGTATACAACTCGTAGAGCGTGCAACCGATGGACCAAATATCCAGTGCAGGATCATACGGCACACCTAGTACTGTGATGTCGAGGTTAGCACAGTGTACACAAGGGTTTGAAGAAGCGATGACAAAAACACTCAACTGATCTCGGGCGCGCGGTAGAAGCGACTAACGAGGTAGGGTGTGATTTCGTTTTCAGATGCATCCGAAGCCGAACCAAGATCGCACAACTTGAGCACGTTTTTCTGCTCGTTCACCTGTCATTGATGGTCAGGAAGAAGACTAGACCAGAGGAACTATCGCTTACTAGAATGTTGTCCGGTTTGATATCAGCATGCATGATATTGCACTTGCGTAAAAGACTCATAGCCAAGAAAAGCTGATGAGCGTAGGCCCGTACCGCTCGAATATTCAGCCCGACGTCTTTACCAAAGCGCTTGATAACATCCCGAAGGTTCATGCTGAAAATGAAGTAAGAATATGATGACATCGGCATCATGAGCGAAACAAACCTCATAGATTCGAACACGAGACAAAGATGGCCGCGATGTTCGAAGGTACGCTCGAGACGCACTATATGTTTCTTGTCATCTGGATCAGCCAGGCGCAGCTTGTTCAATATTTGTGCTTCTTTCTGTCCAGCACGATGCCTTTGACAAGTCAATATAGAATCGAGATAGTTGGAACGGGTGCAGAGGCTCACATAGATTCCTGACAGCGAACGATCTTGATGGCAACTTCCTTACCCACCTCGCCAATGTCACTCTGAAGGACCCGCGCTCGCACGACGTTGGCAAACATGCCCTTGCCAAGAGAGGAAAATACCTGATATCGTCCCCCGTCGAGAAGTTCACCAAGAATGATTTGATAATAACCTTCGGAGTCAGCGGCCGAATCTAAAGTTGTCGTGATCAATGCTGGTGCAGGTTTCTATAGGAAAATAAGTAAAAGTACGTTCACAGTGGAACTGAAACATACCATAACTCTCTTCACCTTCTTGACCTTCTTTTTCTCAATGATGGCAACGGCGAACATATCGTCGACATAGTCCTCCTCCTCCTCTTCCTCTTCCTCCTCTTCCTCGATCACCTCCACATCTGCCTGTGGTTGTTCGACCACTCCACGGACCCGTTTCTCCTCGTCTTCACGACGATCCAAACTAGGATCATAGTCAGCAGCGAGAATCTGTTCGGAGGCACCATCTTGTGCTTGGACTTTTGCTTGCACATTTTCTTCCTCACCATCCTTGGCGAGTGCGAAGGCAGCTGGTGCCGGTGTCGCAGATAGTGATTCGCGTTTACCTGCACCACACGCGTTAGCTACAGAAATGAAGGGCAGATTGTACATACTGGAGACACCGATTTCTCCTTTGGGTTCAATGGCAGATACGGGAGGCGTACCTGCAGCTCTGTGGGACTGAGATACGTAATCAGAAATGGACGAAATGGCAGGAGGCGGTTCAACCGCACTGCTAGGTCCAGAGATCGGAGTGGCGTCCGAGCTATCCTTTCCGGCATGCTTCGCCAAAATGGCCTGACGTCTAGCCCGTCTTGCAGCAAGAATATCCTCCACAGGTGGCGGAGAAGTTGCTAGTTCGAGCTCTTGTTCTTGTTCCGGAGGCGTAGGTGGTGGAGGCGTCGCCGCTCGAGTCGGGACGCTTGATATCGACTCCTGTCGCAGATCAGGCCGAGGGGAGATTCTGTAGAAACATTATTAATGTCTAAGCACGAAGCGGCGTATGGTTCGCTTACGACACTTACTCGCCTTCTTCCTTCTCAGAATCCTCTCGCAAGACGGGGACTTGTCGGGCAGGTTCACTAGTTTTCCTGTTCGTTGGGCTAGACGTCGTGCCTCTCCGGGAACCATCTCGTTCACGATGATAATCACGACTGTGAGGTCGCGACCTGTCACGCTCTTCGCGACGAATCTTGTCCCTGCCTGAGTCTCTGCCCCGCTCATCCCGACGGTCCCTATCTCGTCCGTAATCGAGGGGGCGATGGTCATGGTCTCTGCTAGGGCCTCGATAGTCGCTCCTCCGTCGCTCGTCACGATAGTCGCTACCATCTCTCCTTCCATGAGGAGAGAGTCTCCTAGGTGATCTCAAATGAACATCCCTCCAATCCCTAGCGTCTTCCCGGGGTCGTTTATGCGATGACGGCTCATGGCCACCTTCGTAAGAACGCTTTGAGCCTGAAGATACGTTAGTCATTTTAGAAGAAAGTTGGGTTTTACGGGGCACCGCACGATAAGAGAAACGGTCGTCGCTGTAAAGGTTACCGGAGAGACCGACGTCGTCGCACAAGACGTTGAGTACGAGAGTCAAGTCCAAGCGCCCATCTTTTAATCCTGAAGTACCAAAGAGTTCCCACGCATTCATCCTTGAAAATATAGATTCAGGGATGCCGTCTAATTTGAACTCGTTGTGCTTATGACTGCAAATGATTACAGTATACGAAGTCTCGAAATAAATGGCCATTAATATTACAGATTGACAGCCTTCAGGTCAATGCCTGAGCAGGAGTTCTCCCTTGCCCATCCCCCATCCTTTGGATCGACGCGGACTTTGCACTCATGCGAATCCGGTGCTCTAATACAAGGCAAGCGATGACGAGTGTGTCTCTGAGATGTTGCACTTCGTTCGTTATAGTCAAGAAAGCTGGCATCACATCCTCACGACCGTCGGAGAGGCGACGACTTGATTTCTGGAACCAAGATAAAGGTTCACTCGAATCATCATTGGCATACATCTATTGAGAGAGATTGTATGACACGGATGAACATATAAAACACCTTATGATACCTTGAGATGACTTACGCTCAATTGGTTGTAGACATTTTTCCTCCAGACGTACGTCCTCCCCTCAGTTTCCATCTCCACGGGGCTAGACGTGAAGCCGAATGCACAGTTAGCAATGTAAGGATAGTATTTATTATGACTTACAACATGCTTAGACCAGGTTTCTTAAGCCATTTGCTGAGTCGCATTGGCTTTCCGTCTTTGATGGTGATTTGATCAGCCTTGATATTGTTTCGCTCGACGTGAGCGACGAGAGAGCGCACGGACCAGTCATCGACGTAGTGTATCCATGTACTCGAGTTTGTCCTATTCGATTCGACCACATAACATCTTGTGCGTTCCCCATCAATGCAGATCGTGGTGTGATTCATGTCATCTCTGGTGAAACGCAGAATTAAATAGCCGTCATCCGCACGTTGAGTGACTGCCTGTCCTACGAGGGTGACCTGAGAGTCCATGGGAAAAGCCAATGACGTTCGAGGCTGTTGCGGTACCATCCTTTATACCTTCATTTCGCCAGCAAATTAAGTCATCGGATTCTGACAATGACAATCTTCGGTTCCGCTGCGCTGGGACATATGACAGACCATATGTATAAGCACAACGCCATCTAGCATGACAACCCAGTAAAAAAGAGTCAGCTGGCTGGCTCGAAGTAGACACAGACACACTACTTGAAGCACCTTTGTAGGGTTGAGGGGACTCGGATCCCACGAAGTTATGATAGGAGCTGATTAGACCGCTAAGCAAGATAGGGCTGTGCGAGGGCAGGAAGATAATCTAGGGATGTCACCGACCGATGATGTGGTATACTGAGGTGAACGTGCAATGCCTATCAGTTCATGTCGGTGACACGACGAGGGCGATCCCTATAGACCATTGCGGGGAGTAATCAAAAAATGTCTCACCATTATCTTGGGTCAATCCGTATGAGCTGAAAGAGGGCATAAGACTCTAAAAAAATAGAGGTCGAGGCTCGAGACGTCGACCTGAATGAACTTAGAAGACCATTTGAGATAATCGACGGACAAACCTCGGATGTGATCGCATATCCATTTCAGGCAAGTTCAGGCTCCGCGACCTTGGCCGCCTTGCACCAGCCTGAGCCTTTATGGCCTTTAGCATTCTCCAAAGCTTCAAAGCTTCATGGCCGACCGTAACTATCGCTATTCCGAACATATGTGACAAATGATTCTTTCTACCGCAGATGTTGTTATCGACTCGATTGATTCAGCGGACGAAGACGACGGTGAGGAATTCCCTTCCTGAAGAATGATCACGTTACGATATTCCTTGCAGTCGATGAGTATATAGAGAAACTCAGGTTTCTCTTCTCAGAGAATCTGCTTTTGGCCGCCTTGGATTTGATAGATAGGGACAGCGGTGAGTCACGTTCTGATTTATTTGCATCTAATACGTCGTTCGCCTTGCCTTAGCTGATCCATCCATTCATTCAGTAATCAAATTCGTCACGCCTTGGAAGCATTCCACGTATCACGTCCTTGGATCTACTACTACATACACTGTCTTTCCTGGCAACTCCTCCGTTTCTGATAAGCTCCCTGCATATTGCACATGCCCCGCATTCGCGTACTCCGTTCTTCTCTCGGGATCTGAACTCATGGCACGTTCTATCCTTGATTGTTGTCTTTCGTTCCGGCTCAACCTTTGTTGTATCTAGTGTAAGCATCTTCTCGCAACAAAAATTGCAATCCAACTGTCGAGGTGTATTGAACGTCCTGTGACCCGGGATGACCTTGCCGACATTGCCGTACGACGTCGTATGTAGAATGTTTTGCCTTGTTTCAGTACCCAAGTCCGATGTCAAGAACTGCAAAGCTGTATATTCACTACCCACCGTCTTTCTCGATACAGTACGTGGTGACCTTCCTGCACGATCATTGGCCATCAAATAGTTTGCAATCAAACGTGAGACCAAGCTGTTTAGATAGGTACCTGCTAACGACTTCTACGATGGTAAGGTCGATGTACCCGAACCGAATCAGTCCGCAATTCCCGAACCTCAGTGTTTGTCCACACCTACATTTTGGAGCAGGTTTTCCAGTTCGTGTACTATTCTGTTAACAGTTCTCTCTTGATCGGAGAGGACACGAAGAAGTTACATCCCACTTTTCAGGTTAAGGCCTCATTCGAAATGCAGAACATCGCTTTCAGATGAAAATGTTAACTCAGGCCTTCTGATTTTTTTGCCTTTGATGAAGACCATGAAATCAGGCCATGGCATGCATTTTTTCTTACAAAAAGGGACTTCAAATGGACACAATATACATATAAAGACCTTTCTTGTACTTCCGAAATGTTACTCTATCATGATCCGTTCTTTCGGTCGCGCCTTCGTTGGTATATACAAAGAGGCTAGAAGCTACCAAGGGGTATTACTTAGACAGAGAACCAAAATGTGATTTCGGTCTGGCAGATCCTCCACTTTCAAGATCCAAAATGCCGTCCGAGGATTCATACGTGGACATTCGTCGAGGCCTCCTCACCGGGATCGCGGGTCGAGTCGGCAGGACACTTTCTTCCTCTTCCTCGGATACTGCGACTTCTTCAACCTCTTCCTCGTCCTCATCATCGTCTTGAGTTTCCTCCAGTGGATTGATTGGTTGTGGCGCAGGTTCTGGACCGATACCCTCTACAGAAAGACTTCTGGGTCGCGCACTGTCTAACGACTTATCCGGTATCTAATAAGGACGAATTAACACAAAGACACAGAGAGATTTACGCAAAACTTACAGGCAAACGTGCCAAGTATGCAAGGAAGGTCGACACGGCAGCCATGATGAACACAGCACGGAGACTGATGGCGTAAGAGTCTCTGGCAGGTCGTTGTAATTCGGGAGGTAGGTTTGCTACGAGCGTAGCGGAATGTCGTATTTTCCTGATGATCTGTATTTCTCATGTCAATCGAAGGAATGCTGAAAGCATTTTTTAAATTTGTTTTTACCTCCTCGGCATTTTCACCTGGAATGCGTTTGTGTAGTTCTTTATTGAGCATAGACTGGAATAGGGCAGCAGAAATGGCAACGCCTCCAACTTGTCCTGGAGCGGAAGTTATGAACATTTGCGATAGATCATGGGTGGATAACAGCATTCAAAACTAACCGATGCCACGGAAAAGTTGAGAAAACCCAGTTCCAACTGCCATAGCGGAATCTTGAGAATAATGGACGTTAGAAGAATCGCAATTAGAATTTACTAAACTCACGAGGAAGATGGGCAAGCAAGGCGACTGGCACAAAACGTCAGATGTACGTCCCATGTTGGCTACGCAAAGACTTACTGAGCATTGTCTGAAGCACAACAGCATTTCCAAAGCCCAGGGGTAGCTACGAAAAGAAATCATTCGTATTGAAGAATAGATTGCGCATGAGCTCAGAACTCACGATGCTGAGCCACAACTGAGCTGGAGGCGAGTCCTCGCGCATCAGACTGATAAGGATAGTGGCAACGAACGGGAATAGTCCAAAAATGAGGTTAAGCATCTTGTATCGCCCAGTGCGATGCATTACCCAGCTATCAAGAGCGAGTCAGTAAGGTTAACACAACCTACTATATACCCAATGGCGCTTCAGAACAACTGAGAAGACTACTCACCCAGCAAACAATGACCCCAGCGAGATGGATATACCATTAGGGATCAAATGGGCACCTAAACGTACATCAAATCAACACACGACCAATTGCATAACCGGTATACAACTCACCGGCCTCGCTGGCACTCGTTAAGAGCACAGTTTGAAACCAAGTTGGGAAGTTGTACATGATAGTGAAGTTACACGTTGCAACCAAGAAGTTGCTGATGCCGACGAAAATTGGTATTTTCCTCTTCAATAGGAACGGCGCAAGCACGGGTTCTGGGGCCAGATAGAGCTCCACGATGACGAATGCGATGAAGAATATAATGGAGGCTGTGAATGGGAGATACACGGATATATGTGACCACTGAGTAAAAATCGCATTGAGTAATGAGTGAATAGAAGGTTGGACGACAGAAACATCATACCGGGTATTCTTCACTGAAGCGAGTACTCAAGAAGATTAGGAAAGATAGAACCTGGCAGAATCACGATTAGAACGACATAGCATGGACCGTCTGTGGAACATACTGCGCCCAGAAGTGTGAAGCTTCCGCCGTAATCAATTCGTTTGAGCACATCCTTCGTGCTTTTGCCCTTTCCCTGGCGGAGAATAAGTGACGGAAAGCGATGGTGCAGAAAGTGCTCACTGGGGTGACATAGTGAAGATTAATGGAAGTGAGAGCGAAAGAAATCAAGAATACAGGGAGTTGGATGAGAAACGCCCATCGCCAGCCGTACCTATTACAATAGGCTGAAGGATCAGTAACCGTTGCTGTGAGAATGCTAATGAAGCTGACCGGTCAGCAATCCACCCGCCTAATGGACCACCTAAACCCATACCAGCCTACTTGTCATGTTAGCTTGAGAACCGATACAATCAATCCAGGGATAAACAGACACTATTGAAGACAGCAGCAACACCTTGAGTTAGACCTCGGGACTATGATTAGCGTAAGTGAATAAAAATGCACACATCAGTGAGCACTACTTACCCGAAGACTATACATATCACTCGTAATGATGCTTAGAAGTAATGAAAGAGTTAACAAGCGTCCTATTAGACATGTATGTGTTAACTCACGTAGCAGTAGTCATGATGCCACCTCCGCCTATACCGCCGAGCTAGAGCTGCAGGTGAATCATGCTGTCTTGATCATATCAAAGGTTTCGACTCACGAATCTCGCTGCGATGAGTGTCTCCATGCTCGTGGAAAAACCACAGGCGGCAGTACCTAATGCAGCAAAGAAAACGGCAGTTTGATTGGCACCTCGCCGTCCCATTACATTGCATAGTCGGCCATACAAAGGTGTAAATGTACATGTCGCAAGCAGATACCTGCGCAGAATCTCAGAATTGGGCAATGAGAAAACATTGAGTATCGTACGCGGTGCCAAGCCAACTAGCTTGATGTGATTTTTGAAAATCTGAAGAAATTCCGGGCAAAACTTCATGTGATAGTCGTTAAACAAAATGAACTTCTGAATTGTGGAGGACCCAGCTTACGAGTAGCAACGAGTGTAGCTGTAATAGTAGAAGGTGAGATGAAGAAGGTTGCGAGTATTAGGATATATTCTACACGCACTGTTCAACGACTTGCGTGGGAAGTACCGTTCAATTAATGCACAGTTTTCCATTGAAACAGAATACGCTACACACAGATAAAAATGTTGCAGCCCATATACCCGCAAGTATACCATATCTCGTCGGCTTCGATATATCTCGTGGTCCTAGCTTTTCAGGTTCGTCTGTGAAAAGTCCATCGTGCGTGTGAGTCCAAGAAGACGATGATTGGATTAAAGGATCCCGTTCTGTTGCTTGAAGCATGCAGGAAGCGGTCTAAGCTGGAGTTCGTGATACAGGAATACTTCGAGAAAGTGAACCCCGCTTCAAAGTCTCGGCTGTTTTGATAGTGGGTCGGGCAAGGATGGTGGTATAATGGTGGTATGATGATGGTATATTGGTGATATTATATACTCCGTATTAAGGGCTGTAATAGCACTATTAATAGCCTTATATGATACTCCACTATTGGTACGTCGGACGCATTCGGATTTCGGCTTTCGGCGGTGGAGCGAATAGTTTCAAGAGGGTTTGGTTTCTCGTTGAGCAGTCACTGACTATAGTATAATTCACCCCACAAGCACTTCGATAATCCATCTTGAAACTATAAATCAATCCCGCTGCAGGGTACCAGGTATGTGTGACAACAGAGCTGAAAATAGAATCACAGTGGTATCCTGGGCGCATCCCCGAAGGCCTCAGTCACCGCCCAAGAGAATCAAGCTTCAGGACCCTCCAAGCGGGCAGCCATTAAATACCAACCAGGCCATATGCACGCCTGCCCATTCTTTGATCTTGTTTCCCTCAGAACAAGATGGATTCTCAACTCACCCTCGTAGACAACATAATCCTTCCAGAACGTGAAGCCAGCACCGTCCTAACATTCACTCGTGATAGTCTACTGAATTCCACGTTACACCTTCGTGGAACCAGTCGTGTTGCATACGTGATACAAACTAATAACCATTCAACACGCACCGAGATACGGAAAATCATTCCCGGCAATGACGAATCTCCTGTTGTTGTCAGGATCGATCGAAGCGATCTCCTAGCGGACAAGATCACCTTCACGGGCATTCCCTCAATGAAGATTAGCCAATGGCTCAAGAGCAAGAAGTTCACAGATCCGTACGTCTTACTCTCAGTCAATATCCAGACTCTGGATACATATAATGATGTCCGTTAGATACGCCTCTTCCACTACCAATAGCGCACCAATGAGATACGTCTGGAAACCTACTAGTGCCAGTGAGATTGCAGTGCGTGTTCCAACTTCTTCATACATTTATGATGTCCTCACCTTGCAACATAGCTTTACAGAGAAGACATACCTTTCCGGCCGATCGTGTGGTTCAGGTCCTCGTTACGCTCAGTTGAACCCGCGTATCTCGCCCTCCAACCAGAAGCAGAAAGTCTACAGGATGTCGTTCTGGCTTCTTTGGTAATTGTCGAGCAGCGTTATCGGGTGAAGGATAGAATGGCTTCTGGACGACCGTCTTCTTCCATGTAAATCTCCCCCTAGCCGTAAGCGTGCACCTTTGGCACACTAACATCTGTACTTCTAAGACTGGGCAACGCAGCGTGTATCTTGTTATCCGAACGAGCCCGTTGGCATCTCAAGGCACGCTCAAGTTACTATAAGCCGTATTGGACATATGCATAAACGCCTGCTGCTTCATTCAGTTATCAGGGGCATAGAGCAAAGATAGGTTCCACACCCGTGCATCCTGCCGATCACGTAGCACAGTGACAGTTCGTCGGCAATTGCAAATGAATCACAGAACCTCCTTCCCCTGGGATCTTTATTCCATTTCGTCCAATGGAATACGTACACGTAGCAAAGTCGGACTTCGCTGAAGTGTACATCTTACAGGTCTTCAGCAGAGACATTCAATGCTGCCCTGATAGCTAATGGTGCGGCCATTGTCGAACGTCGGACTTTGCGAACATTCACCGGAAACTTGAAGTAAATAAGGTACGCGATTCCCAGGTTTGTTCTATATTCACCTCCGCAATTTACGTCGTCCACATGTGCTAACTTCTTATAAATCAGTGTTCCAGGCATTTATTGTAGAGCTTAGTGCATAATCGTGTAATTCGTCTACGAAGGATGCTCATTTAGCATTACAATCCTTCTTACAAGGTGGTATCCGATATGTGGATTGACGCCGTTCATTTACTGAAGGGTTAGCGGTCCTTACTCAGGTCCTTAGATGCCCTTACGTACGTCTCTTGTGACGACAGATCCGTCTAGAATGCTGGCCTGGATGTCCTATATCAAAGTCACTTCAATCCTTTGATGCAGGGGTACCTCCGACGAACGACTGGCGAAGTCAGATCCGCAAAAAGAACGGACCATCGAGCAGATGCTGCCACAGTTCTTGAATCCGATGATAGATACCGAAAGTCAAGTTTGTCTCAGGCCTGGCATATAAAGGGACTCGAAGACAACAGTGATCTTCATCCTAAGCATCCGTATCATGGTCGTCGTGACACTGTGGCTTCTCAATGCTTTGGTTAGTTGTGTCTGGGCAGCTACGCTCCCCGAAACTACGATCAAGAGGGCTCCTTGTCCATGCCCTCTCGATACCTTTGGAGACACGGGAGTTGCAATCAACCAGTTCCCTTTCTTCGAATGTGCTTATACTGCCGGAGCCTGCGATTGGAACATGAACGTATGACATGATCATTTTTGCATCGCCAACTCGTCTGACACTGTTTGCATAGAATGGCGAACTCGAAAATACTGCGCAGAGAAATTGTCCTTCTTCGGCTTCATGTGTCAACGGATGCGCGTGTCCGGTGGATAACGACGGCAGCACCGGCCGTTTAATCGAGTTTGGCCAAGCAATTCAATGTGCTTATCCCAATGGAGCCTGTACTTACAATACCGTACGTTTTGCACCAGTTCAAATTCAGATTCTCTTCTTGACGGTTCAATGTCAACTTTGCAGAATGGTGCCCTCATGAATGCTCTGGGTCAATCCAATTGCCCAGCTGAGTCCGGATGCGGGACCGATTGATTCGTTGTGTTCATTAGCAACATGGTTAGCTAGAAATTCATTAAAACGCATTATAGACAGTATTATCTGGTTAAATTGACCGGAGCGAATATGATCCATATAAGGGAAGCGTAAGACCCATAGGGAACCCAAAACGGTACTTCAAACTCCAGAAAGTGAGGACTATTTCACAGGCCGCTGCCTAGCGCCATTAACAAGTGCGGCTGCACGTGTACCAGGAGGCGGTTTGAAAGATGAGACTGCAGACGAATCAGCTTTCTGGGTAGCATCAGGCGTCTTGAAATCATGAGCTCTTGACCGTGATCGCTTCTGCGGGATTGTAAGGAGATGATTATGGTTTGGAAGGGACGTCCGCCGACCTGCCGATGGTGTATTCAAGGACCTCGCCTTGTCACTGTCCCGCCCGTAAGAGTAACGCGGTTGGTGTATACGGTGCGTAGCTTGACTTCGCGGTTCAGTAGCGATGTCGGACATCCTCTTCTGAAGGAAGAGTTGTTCTTGAGTTCTCCCGTCATCTGAGCCGTACGTAGAGTGCTCAGGAGAAGGTGCAGAGGCGCGAGCTCCACTAGCTGCAGAGCCTGCGTTCAAGAGGTCAGACACGTCCTGCTCCTCGTCTTCATCCATATTCTCTTCGACTCTATCCATCGTCGCCTTTTGCTTTCCCTTGCCCTTTCGCGTCAATATATTCATCTGGACTGGTTCGACGGAACGAGATCGAGCTCTGGTGTTTTGAGCAGGTGGACCTTCGGTAAAGATTATGCCAGGGGGAGGTAAGACTACTTCGACACGTCGTCGTTTCGCCGGCTTTTTGCGAGGCTTTGGCACAGACTGGACACGATCCGGAGATGGTCCATCCATCGGGGGGTGATCATGGCTCGCCACCTGATCTTCGTCCGCTTCATGGGTTCGACTCGATTGCGTAGGGTTCACCAGTGTCACCTGAGAACTTGCTGGAAAATTACGACTTGGAGAGGTGACGGGTTGAGCCTGGCTACTCTGTGCCAATAAACGACGTTGAGCCATCTTCCCAGACACAGATTGGGGTTCAGCATGAGGATCCATTGCAGGGTCATGCCGTACGCTCTTTATAGGCGATGTTGGCTCACTATATCGAGAACCGGATGGTCCCGTCTCTGGGTCATCGGGACTGTTCATTCATCAGTTAGGTTATCGTATCGACTTACGGCGAAGATGAGAACACTTACTCTACTAAATGTGGCTTCCAGAACGGGTCGTTGTCATCAGACCAGTTGTCATCAGAGTCCGAGATGACGATTGGAGCATTTGCATCTGCACCCTCCACCTCCACCTCCTCTGCCTCCTCTTCCTCTTCCTCTTGTCGTGCGGCTCTCTTTTTGCCTGATTCGGGTCCATTATGGTTAGGCTCGGCCTCCTCGTCTTCCTCGTCCCCACTATCGACCTCGTCTACATGATGTTGAACTGCTTTCCTACCTGCGCGGCCTCGCCTCCTATCGCGTTCATACAGAGCTTTATTGACGGGCGGATTTTGCTTGGCTAGCCGCTCGATTATGGGGTCTAACTCTTCCTGATGCATCTTGTAATGTTCGCGCCAGGCTTGCCATGGATGGCGTTTGGCCCATCCATTGATATGATTTTCTCCGTACTAGTCCGTATTAGGCTATAGTGAATATTTGGTAAGTTTAGTAGCAAAGACGTACCTCGTAAGCGTCTTCAACTGCCCTCTTCCATATAACATTTCCTGCGCGTCCCCCTTGACTCTTTGAGGGTACCACACGAGCTAGAAACTTGCACAGACACTCTCTATCGAGCGACGTGAATTCTGTGCGACTGTAATAGTTTTGTGAGCCAGCTCGAGAGTTGTAGAAGTCAAACTTACGTTCTACGAGACTTTGATGGACCGCCCATCCCTTTCCTGGCTGGTAGATGAGGCTCGAATTTCCGACGTTCAATCGACTCTCTGATGAACGAAGGTAGTTCCGTATACACGGATGGGTGACTCCAGTACTTGCGCTGAAACACGTCAATGTAGTTCTCGCTCGCGATGATGACATCTGCGTCAGATTCTTCAAGGCAGATTTTCCCGCCATGCTCCTATGCATTGATATTGGCAAGAAGAGTCGCATATATCTCGGCAAACAAACTTACCGTGACCAATCTGGACAAAGTCCGGACATGATTGCGCGGCAGCCGGTCATGGAACCAGAAACCCAAGGGTTCACCCCGAACTACAAATATGTCCTAAGAAGAGTAAGGTCATAGAGTCCGCGGCAATTATACCAGGTACATACATCCATACCCTCCTCCAACTCTACTTGTTCGCTAACTTCACGGCTAGACTCGTGTTGAGATTCACGTTCCTCTTCTGAGGAGAGGACTTCTTCTACATCGATGCTTCGCGCCATCTTGATTACAACACGATATTGAGAGTCGACAAGAAAAGACTCGAGTAGGCTGACCTTTGAGAAATCGAGGCGATAAAGTCATAAACGGTAGGATAGCTTCAGAGTTCCCAGAAGAGTGTGGTAAAGCTGGAAATCTCAGAGAATCCGAATGAGCCAGAGATAGCGGCGGTACTCGAAAACCGGCAATAGCTGAGCTGCTAAACTTTGTACAACAGGTTGCTGACAAGAATCGAGGCAAGTGAGATGGAAAGCAGCTAGCTGTGAGGAGAAAATGGGGGCTATGATAATTCCGTCGCCAAGGAGAGAAATGAAGCTTTAAAGAGCGAAATACGCGACTGAGTCGCGCGGAGAGATAAGCGCCAATCCACTACTTACTTACTTGGTCTTACGTCCGATAAGTCTCTTCGCAACGAGTCTCAATGGGATTCATGCATATAATGAACACAGTAAGAAATGAGGGTACGAATCCCATGCATGAATCAGAAACTGGAGGGGTGGCCGTTGCGCCAAGCCACGACAGGCCACAACGACTCGCGAGCAGATTCAGACGCGGTCAGGTGCTTAGTTCAGGGCCGGTTTAGAGGCGTTCGATGGAATGGAAGGGGGATGATGACCCCGGGCTCGAACCCTATTCAGCGCCGCTGACTTACGTTTATAACATGGAGCAGCCAAACTATGCATTTTGTCATACTAGCAGGTGGCCAAGTCACCTTCTCTCGATCATCCCCCACGTGCATACACCTCAGCGTGATCGCTGTTTCTAGAGGTAAATGCTTGAATGCAGTTTGGATTCTAACTCAAAGATGAAACTTGAATAATATACTATTATGCAGCTCAACTTTCCATAGTCTCGGCACGCTCTCAAAGGATTCATAGACGTCCAGTGATATGTATCAGCTCTTTGGCTCGTTCAGCATTCACCATAAGGCGACGTTGCGAGCAGCGGGATTGCTCGTTGGTACATGGGGATTAAATTATACCTTGTTCCCAAACCCGTTCACTTAGATGCTCCTCGCGATGAACCTCGCAAAAGGCAGCGTTTTCAGTCGCAAGCTAGTTACTCCGGGCTCTCCGAACAGGCCCTCATAACAACCTCCCTTCTGGCGACGCAGAAGGCTGTTTCCAGCTTCGACTCTAATCCTGACATTGATCGTCGGTTGCGCGAATTGGAACAATCTCACACCCCTCCCACAGGTGCTGGAATTTCACGCTTCTATGTTGCACAGACAACAAGGTAGGTTTGCAATGTTCTTCGTTGCAGGTCCTATTCATTGTTGTTCTAGTAACAACCCAACTGAGGATGACCACGCCGAAGCGGTTCTTCCAGTGCCCTCTGGGTACTGGTCCTTTTTTGCCATCTTTGATGGTCACGTCGGGTGGGAAACCAGTGCGTGGTTGCGCGACAATCTTATTCCTGCCGTCACAGGCGCGCTTGCCGACCTCTACTCCAACTTCCACAAAGAGTCTGGACTTAGTCAGACATCAGTTCCTCTTCCCCAGGACATTGAGATCACCTTCAAGAACACGTTCAAGTCCATTGACCATGACCTCGTTCGTTCGGCGCTCGATAGATTTCTTTCTGATCCTTCACGCGCGAAGTCCATGAATGCCCTCGCTCCGGCTTGGGCAGGCTCTTGTGCTCTCGTATCATTCTACGATTCCCATTCGAAGTTACTGCATACCGCAATCACGGGTGACTCTCGTGCAGTTCTCGGTCGTCGTGTCCTGGACGATAACGGGAAGACATTCTATACCGTTCATTTGCTTTCAATCGAGCAAGATGGCAAAAACCCTGCGGAGGTAGCTCGCCTACTCGCAGAGCATCCTAGAGAGAACGTTGTCCAACAAGACCGTGTTCTCGAGATCGCTGTTTCCTGTGCTTTTAGTGACGGTCGATGGAAATAGAGCGTCGCTGAGCAGAAAGAATTAAAGAAGAAGTACCTCGGTCGCACCCCGCCGTCCGGCCTCACGACGCCTCCGTATCTTACTGCTGAACCGGAGATAACGTCCATACGAATTCAACCCGGAGATTTCTTGATCATGGGCACCGATGGTTTATGGGAATGCTTGACGAGCGAAGATGCAGTCGGTTTGGTTGCGTGGTGGAGAGACAAATCTTCTCAACGTCGCGTACCTAAACCGAATGAGTTGCCTGTACAATTTAACGGAGCTTACAAGGGCAAAAGTATCCGCTATGAGCAGTGGCAGGCGCAGAAAGCGTTTGTGAACGTCGATCAGAACGTCGCTACACATTTACTTCGGAATGCTCTAGGAGGCGCAGACGCAGACCTCACTGCTGCTCTCTTGAGCATGCGATCTCGTTCGAGGGCCTTCATGTAAGTTTTCCCAACTGCTAACTGTTTTGGTCTTGCTCTTACTATGTTTAACGATATCCAGGGACGATATAACAGCGTTGGTGGTCTTCTTTGATGACAAATAGACTCCTGTAACCATGGACATGCCGTTGACTCAATATGTTCAGTCGAAGAGCGAGAACGTCGGACGTCGTTCAATGTACTATTATTGATTCATTGAGTGCGCCCCGTAAAGTCTAGCAACAAAGACATCGAGCGCAAGCTCTGAGCTCGCGGTCGCACTACTGTGGCCTTCTTTGTGCTTCGCTTCACGCGATAAACGGCCTGTCACATTATAACAGACCTTCCCATACTCCGGCGATGTCATGTTTGTACCAGGAAAGATGATGCATTGACCGCTCAGGTACGTCTTTCATTCCCACAACGCCAACTTTGAATCTCATTGAACCCCGTGCAGCATATCGGTAAATGCGACAGTGGCCTGTCGAATGCCAATGGTTCCGCACCCACGACGGGGAAAGCTATATGCGTTACGCTTTGACTTTCGCAGCCTGCAAGCAGAGCCGTAGACCGAGACCGAGCGCTTCGATCGCAGGGTCTAGGTCGTTCAACTCTGTGCTCACTAAAACTATATCACGATGACCCTGACCAACTGACCTCGACAAGTCTCTCATCTTCCCAGATGGAGCCGCTTGACTCGAGCCCTGTGCGAGTTTCTGCAGACTTGTTCCCATGAAGTCCTTCCTTCGGAGCCTCAGTCTCCTGAATGAGCACTTCAGGACCGTGACGTCGGAGTGCTTGGACAACTCAATTGCTCTTCAGCAGCTGCATAAGTTTTCCACTCTAGAGATCTCCTGGATAGCCGGCGGAATTGTAACATAGAGCTGTCACGGTAGTCTCTCATACGTCCCGATCAACGGTGACTATTGTACGGACGTTTTTACTTTGATATACAGGAACTGCGATCACTCTTTGCTCCCTTTCCTGGTGCATTTTCTCTCTCAGTCAAGGATATGTAGCACAACATTCAAGTTGTTCCGACGAACAAATAACTCATCGAGAGGTCACAAGGCTGGAGAAACTAGGGAACCGGCAGAAGCCTGACAGCACGCGTGTAAGACGCACTACCGTAATTCAATAAAAGCGCTGAGGTTGTGCAATATTACCCAAAAGGATCTAGCCCAAACTCTCCCTGAGCTCGGAAGTTCGAAAAGGCGAGGGATAAGCCGGCGGTCCGCCTCTCAAAACTCTGAATCGTTTCTCTGTTCGATATGGTGAGCATTAATTTACCTTCTTTGTCGAATTGCCTGACTGATTCCTCCGCAGTTTACCAGAAGATTGGGAACAGAAACTCTCGCGGCCCCCAGTCCCGTCGCAGACAGGTACATTTCTTCCCGTGTTGGTCTCCACGTCTCGCTTCATTCAACATCCATGCTAGCCACTTTCGTTCTGACCTGTCACGATCATTACTACTGGGAATTTTCTCCGCCCGTATTTAAGAAGCTCCGGCATCCATCGGGTTGACTCTTATTGCTGCTCCCAGTAGTCAACTCAACCAGCCATGCCTCTGTCGCTGCCGTATCTCCAGGAACACCCTGCTTACTTCATCGGTCCCAATATCATGGGCATCTTTATACAGGCCATCGAAATGGGTTTCGTCATAAACCAGTTCTTCACCTTCTGGTCTCGAGCAGACCGCGAGAGTTCAGTCATCAAGACCATCGTTCTTATTGTGACCTCTGTTGCAGTGTAAGTCGTGTTTTATTTCATTTGGCGCATCATCTATTTATTAACGAACCTATAGGCTACAGACCTCGTTAGCGTTCTATAGCTTATGGAGAGCCCACGTGCTCCATTTTGGTGATTTCGTATGCTGCCGTACATCCTCGTGCTCGATATTGAATTTCCTAAAGGCTTCGTGTTTAGATTATTGCAACAAGCTTCATCTGGGTAGACAAGCTATCTCCCATTATGGTTCGTGTTCCGCTTTCATGCAATGACTGCGCGAAAGCGCTAATGAAACTTCTAGACTGTCTCGATGGCTTCTCCAGTGCAAGCATTTCTCATATGGCGATGTTGGACGGTACGTAAATGGAATCATGAATCTCAAATGTCGCATCTCATTATGTCTAGCTCACAAGAAGGAACTGGATCATACTTGTAAGGTTCCATTCCGACGGTAATACAATTCAACTCATGCTAAGACTTTCAAAGGGATCCCTGTCAACCGTTCTTCTAGCTTCAGTGATCTCGAGCATTGTCGTCACCGTTGAGACCTTTAATATAAACTTCCAAGTACTAGTGGAAAGCGTGGACCAGCTACCCAGAATCAGAGTGAGTCGCACTCAATACGTACCGAAATATTATTCTCAAGACGCACTCTCCTCAGCCAGATGTCACTTGTGAGTTACAGGCGCAAATCTTCTTTCCTGCACTGAACTATTTTTTGTCAGTCATCCTTGCTCTCGCGTCTTCTGCAGGTAAGCCGGACTATTTCGCGTACTACACTGCTCTAATTTCTCAGTAGCCTTGGACGTTGCGGTTACAAGTATACGTAAGTCGGGTCTTTCTCCTAAAGTTATTTGGTCAGTGAGAGATTCTACAGTGCTCACATATCTCTCGAGAGCAAAGGCTCACGTCTATTCCTCACGATTTCGACGCGTGTGTACCCTCATTCGAGTCATCCCCCAATCCGGTACTTAGTGCTACCATCTTCTAGGTCATGCGTAAACTGGTCATTCTGATCTGGGAGGCCGCTGTTCCTCCTGCTGCATGTGCCATCGTGGTGGTAGTGACATATCTGACCATTGTATGTGACACACAGTATGATTCCTCCATCACGAGTTTATCTTTCTCGCGAAGGTCAATGACAACTACTGGGACCTGATGTTCCAGGCAATCCTCGGCAAACTATACGTCATCTCTCTCTTCGTCACCTTGTACGTACACATTTGCATTTGTCGAACAACTCGTGTTTATCGTGCGACGCAGAAATGGCCGGGCAGACTTGGCAAAAGTAGCGGCAGGCACAAACCCTCGGCTAACAAGTCTTGGGTGGGCGGGCCCAGCAAGCCATGCAGTCACTCTGAACGTATGATATATTGTCTACCGCTAGTTCTCTACGTGCTGACTTATTCTTGCGAAGATACAACCGATGGACCTTGAACTCGGCCAACAGCACTCCAGTGGTCCTTCTGAAGCTGAAAATAACAGTGTAGCCACGATTCAGGAGAATAAGTCGGAGAGAATCCAGGTCTCATGAGCGTTGTCATCGTTCTTTTCTCATCTTGGACACCTGACTGCATTCTTGACAACCAACGTCCTCGGACCCTTTACTCGCGGCGTTACTTACACCGACTTGCATATAATTTTCGAACTTGGGAAACGTTCTGTGAATGCCATCGTGTGAGTGATGAGATCTATTTATGGTGTTTTTCAAGTTTCTGACCCTACTTTGACCAGCATCCAACTGTACTACCTCCACTTTATAATCTGCTATGTCTGTAGATAGTTATCTTCAAGGTGCCTGGCTGTTTGATATACCGTTGTACATACTGTAGTATCAGTATTATAATACGGCACTCCGTTTGCTTTCTTGTCCATCCCACACAATGCTTCACTATCTCACGGCACATGGATTGAAAGCTCCCTGCCATATATTCTACATCCACTCACGCTAAGCAGTGCAATATAAACGCAGAAATCTCGGGATTCAATCGCATGAGCCTTCAGCATGACTCTCAACATGACACTGGTAGGTGCTGCAGTGGGAAGATCTATCTTCGGAACTAGGAGTTGTTCGAGGCCTGAAAGGTCGTTACATGGATATAGCGTTCCATGGACAACAACTTGAAGTATCTGTTTTTGCCGGAACGTGCGCATGTACTGGCAAGTTTCATCTACAAGATATTATGATTAATAATACATGGCATCGAAACAGCCAGGTGTACGTGTATACAAAGATTCATTCCACCAGAGACGTGTCGAACCCGAGGCCTGTCAGAAAAGGAGTCGACCTCGGGCCTCTGATGAATCTGGGTGTTGCTGTCAGAAGATATCGACCGAGAAGTCCGAGTGATCTCGATCAAGCTTTGTCGCAGAAGGCAAGCGACATGCTTAGTTCACCGATGTAGATACAGTATGTTTGCAAATACACTGTGAAAGTGCCAATCGTACGTGGGGAGCGACAACAAGAATCACAACGATGAATTACACGAGTCAGAATACGTAAGATTACACAGGTACACGTTCTATGAGATGAGGGATTGCGATGCTTTATAAATTGTACAGATGACAGCGAGGGGAATGAGGAGAACGATGAGTGAGCTATAATATTATGCGTCAAAACCAAAAAGGAAGAAAAGATGCGGGGATCCCAGGGTCCACCTGAAACGTCCAATGATCAATAAGAAAAACCGTACTCCAACGTGAAAAATATTCGTGAATGGGAATGAATGAGGGGGGATGTAAAGTAGTTTTGTGGCTTGAGCAGCCAGCACGACGGGCAGCGAGGACAAGCGTCCACAGTAGCAGACTCCGTGCTTTAAGCTTCGACCTCGACCATCTTTGATAAGCAGCTCTTCACGTATGTCTTCTCTCCACAATCCATTGGTCTCCGACGCATGGGCCGTCCGCACGCCCTACTCAACAGCACGTTTGCAACCAATTTGGCTGCCCTGCGTTCGTCCGAGCGTATTACGGGTACGGGTGTAGGCTCGGGCTCGGCAAGCATAGATGTGACTGACGGAGGAGGTACTCGGATTTGCGAGGTCTGGGAGGGCATTTGTGTTCGCACAACACGATGAGGTGCTGGTAGCGAAACGACGACGCAATCGGTCGCGCTGTACATGTCTGCGAAAGGGTCCTCCGGCGCAGTCTCCACCTTGGGCGGAGGCGGTGGTGGGGCGCGACGTGTGCTTACTGGGGCAACGAAATTATTGTTCCGTACCCTTGGTGTGAAGAGTGACCCATTCGCCGCACTGTTCGTTGTGAACGAGAGTGACGTGCGTGAATTCAGAACCGACAAGCCCGATGCACGAGCCCGGGAGGACGCGTAGGATACGTTTGGTAATGAATTGAACGAAGATGCTTGAGCAGACGAGGATGCGGGTACGAGAGAGGAGAAGCTTGGACCGCCAAAGGAACCGTGAATGGTATGGATGCGATGAGCAGGTGCGACGATGGGCATGATGAGGATTATAGCTTTGAAGAAATAAGATAGAAAGAGGTTCCAAGGGCGATAGGAGTGAGGAGGAGGAAGAAGGGATAAGGACCTTGCTAAATAGGAGTCGCGCTTATACGATCCTTCTAGCCGGGTGCGCTCGGCCTGTCTACGGCTGATGCATAGACCGGCCTGGAGCACCGCCCCACTGCCTCACATGGCACCGAGCCACTGCACCGAGACGCCCGTTCCCCGCCGGGACTTGGCCGTCGCCTTCCCCAACTAAACAACGACTGCCATCCACAGACAAGGTTGTCGACGCAACTGCACAATAGGAACTCTAATAAAAAAGCACACACTATGCTTCAGAATATCCTGCATCAACTTTGCAAGGCATCAGAAACCGGTGTTCGTTTCGATATCGTTTTTCAGGAGAACAATAGACTGCGTTTCCCTGCCGTTCTTTCTTCAGAAATCAATATCTTTCGCGACACGGCACATTGCGAGAGAAGATATCGAGGCTTGTCAGCTGGACACTCTTCTCGTTCATGCGAGAATCTTTCCGCAGAGCCTTTCGGGCTTGATTTGACCATGTACCGCTCCTCGTCGACTCATACCGCCTTGTATAGAAGGCGACGTGCCTTACGAAGCAATCATTGTTACAGCCTGCATTGAATTGAGGAAGTTTGCGAGGGTCAGCTTGCCGTTCGTAGTACGATAACAGAGCTCGTTCTTTGCTGTTTTTGTACTCTCTATCCCATGCAGGTCGTTCTCGAGAGCTCTATGGTTTCGTAGCCTTACGATACCGGTGAGGTGATACAACACGTTGCCAAAGCATGGCTACCCAGCTCGTCCATTTCTGGTCTGCAATTAAGCTTTGAAGTTTGTCTCCCTGAACAGGACGAATAGTTTCTCACACGTCGTGATGGTATCTAGCTTGCTTTGAGTGCGCTTGGTGGTTGCTTAACTTTTGGCCTAGCGATTATCTAGGAAGGACATTCCAATTCGGACTGACAGCTCTTTGGAATTCGTCAACAATAGGTAGGGATGGAGACGACACAGTTAGCCCAATAATAGTACAGATGCGATACACGAGACAGAACTTGTACGTCACGTCAAACTCTATTCTAACTTTTGATAACAGACATTGCACAGGTGCCATTGGGCTGATTACTCGGACAAGCTGAGTGCTGTGTCCCGAAGAGAAGATATGGCGCTGTTCATGTCAGCTTTATTCAATTATATGTACAAGGCCGACTTGGACGGCCCCTCTGCGTAGCCCTTAATATCTTCTTGAGGATTCGGTACCGTGCTCCAGCGGCGATTCTTTTTTGACCAAGAAAGTCCGACAAGGCTTAATTCTGGTTTCAAAATGCCATATTCTCATGCCGAACGTCACGCAAACGATATCCAATAAGTTCTTGTCTTCACAGAAGGTGCAGGTCGTCGCGCGTTGACTGCGCTCGCTATGGTACATCTAGGCATGTAAAACCTCTTGACAACAATATCTCTGGCTTATTGTTCTCCAACTGACGCTGACAGGGATAACAGTCTTTAGATGAAAGCCATTGTTGAGCCTTGGTGAGTAGCTGCGATGGCAACCGCTCTCAGCGCTATGTAAGTACATTGTTTTGCTTGCGTTGGATGGGGACTTGAGTCTGCAATACGGTACGATTCATAATGCCCGCTCGAAACAACAGTAGTTTTGGATCGAAGGTTCTGAGTCGCAAACCGCCTTCGACTGCGCTCGAAAGTCGTTAGCATGCTTTATTGTCGGCGTCTCACGAGAAGCCTGTATTGCATGTTCACGACTGCCAAGTGTACTGAACAGACACTGCTATGGGCATAAGTAGGCCGCCAAAGCATTAGAACAACGAAGACGGTTTGGTACAATGTGGTGCTTCCATACTATCTGGAATGGGTATGTGTACATATGACAATCTAAGAATCAATAGTTCGTTCATGCCTTCTTGCGCACTAGTGCCAAAACATGCTGTCCACCACCAGAGACGTGTACAACAGAAAACGTCGGATGGTCCTTGGGTATAACAGCCGTCGGAGTCTCAACGTCGTCGTCATGTCCCAGTCCTAGTTCACTTGTCACCTGTCTGCCCCAAGAATACAACGCCCCAGCTTCAGTGATAGCGAAGTTACAGTTAGCCCCGCAAGAGATCTCTACGACTCGATCGTCGGGTTCCGGGAAACTGACTAGTGTCGGTTCTGGAAGTCTGTCACCAAAACGGAGATTCTGGAGTCTCTCGTCGTCTGCAGGAATACCCAACCGTCCTTCGGTAGTATCGCCACAAGCATAGACTCTTCCATCAGAGGTGAGGAAAATGGTATGAAACATTCCTCCAGCGATCTGAACAACAGTTGCCCCATCTAAATCAGAGGGACTCAGTCCAATCACAGGTTTTGGCGTATGAACTGATTTGTCGATTTCCACATTGTTCATGCCTGTCCCAGTTTGACCACGGGAGTTGATTCCCCATCCCCAAGTTGTTCCTTGGCTGTCTACAGCAAACCCAGTGTTTCGCCCGGCTCCGATGACGACTGCGAGACGAGACCGGGTCCCGAGTATGATTCTACCTGGAGAGGTACCATCGACTGTGTGTCGTGCTAGAATACGTCGACCCATTTGGCCATCTTCACCTACACCAAGGGTGTAAATGTGTCCGCGCTGAGTGAGCAGGATTAGGTGATTATCACCGCCCGCGGCTGCGACGAATTTCTCGTCCTTCAGTTCCAAAAGTGAGGTTGGCAAGAATTGCTTGCTAACTGATTTGGAAAATCCAAGTTTTCTTCCCTCACTTGCCTGTGATTCACCGAAGTATGAATCACACATCTTCGGAATGGACATAGATCATGAACTCACTCGGAATGAACCCCAAAGACGTAGTTCTCCCTTGTCACTTATGGCAATAGACGCAGTCTCGCATGCGCTGATTTTCACTGCACGGAAACCTTCTTCTTCAAGGCTTCGTATTGGTGCAGGTAAAGTGGGGGGATCTAATATCGGCTTGTCCGCGTCTGCAGACTGTTTCTTGTCTTTGACGACCTTGTCAGTCAAACGTCCGAGACCTCCCTCTTCATCGACTCCAAACGACCACACCTAAAATGATCGAATGATATTCAGATTCTTCGGTTCGGGAGTATACCAAACATTGAACTTAACTCACCACTCCCTTCTCATCTATAAAAAGACTATGCATTCCAGCAGCAGTAATAGATTCTAGACCTGCTTCCGGCTCGTGACCAAACGCGCCTTCCTCCATCTTCTGAGTCATCCATCTATTCTTCTTCGGTTTTTTGGCCTCGTATTGCGCCTCCGTACCAAGTTGGCCATCTTGTCCGCTGCCCCAACCCACAAGCTCTAAGGCGGGTCGATGGTGTACAGGAGGAGTAGGTAACGGAAGAAAAGGTGCAGGAGTTGGGACGCGCGCTGTAGCTGCAGTAGTTGGCCTTCGCGCTCTTCTTGCTGGGCCAGCACGTGGTTTCTGTGAGCTTCGAGTCGAGCGAGTTGTTGGACGTTTCGGCGGAGGGGGAGGGGTAGGGGGAGGAGATAGTTCGACGCGTCTCCTCTTCGGTGCCATGTTATCTGTATTCTTTGGAGAGATCTTATTCAGACCGTGACTGAGCCTTTGTTCGGAAGGCGCACAATTCGTGTTGACACGAATAATATGGCGGATGGATAACTCCAGCAACGAAGATGCGGCACCTACTGGGCCTAGGATAAAGATTTCTCTCGAGATAACGTCCTTATTTGCACGTGGACTTCAGTTACCAATACAATAAAATCTAAATGTCACAAGTTAGTTCGAACGGAACATTCATGAGACATGACTGAACTGACCAGAGGGTGTCGCCGCGTCAGTAAAGTAATGTTATATGCCCACCTGATCGTGTAATTGGTTATTTGGTGTTTAGGGATCTGAGTCTCGAAGTTCGCCCACCGAGGGATGGTCGAAGGAGGTTTTTGAACGTCTGAGACACAAGATACAAACACCTGCCATTCTCGGTACCGAGATCGATCGAAATGGTGTAACTTCTTGCAAAAACGATTCTCGAGTCGTCGGTACTTCAGTAAGTACTAGCAGTCTTCGAATCCCCTGCCAGCAATTGTGTGAGATAAATTCTGGGGATAAGTTCTGTGAATGGGCTAGTGATGTAGATTACTAGATTATATACATTGAAAAGGAACGATACCACTCCGACAGGGAGTCAAAAGTGGATGGGTTAGAGCCACGTTAGCAACTTTAGCAAAGCCCCTTCGCCAAAGTTTCAAAGCAGGTCCTCCATTAACGACCTCACAGCCGCAGACTTCGTACCCGGAAGTGGTGTATACTCAGAGAAGGTCGACTTCTCCAGGTAATCCTCTATGACGCCTTGCCCAACATTTTGAGCATTCTCTCTCATCTTTTTCAAAGCCACATCAGTCACCTCCAGATTCCCAGTTGCTTTCCAAATCCTATGAGCGACTTCTTCGTCGAAACCGTGATTCTTCGCTATAGCCTTGAGGGCCAAGTTCATAGCGAGCGTCAAGTCTCTGCCTTCCACCTCTTTCCCTTCGAACGTTGGGGTTAGGGAAGGTGAGATAGAGAAAAACTCATTCCGAGAAGTAGGCATGGAGAATCGTGATCTGAGCATGTCGCGAGGTTGCTGAACTTCGACCTGAGTTACATAGCCACCCAATGTATAACGTCTGTCAGTACGTTGTTTGATGATAGACGGCGGAGGAGGAAAGATGGCACGTTGTTTTCCCTTCGAGAGCGACGATCGAATGGAGGAGTCGCCAGGAGGAGGTAATAGCACTGTGGGCGACCGATACGCAGGACGTTCAGGAGACCGTGTTTCACGGCGAGAGGCAGACCCTGATGCAATCGGCGGGGACTCTGGTACCACTTCCATCTCCGAGTTGACACGGTCTTCTACGAGTCGTTCTTCGTGGGCTTCCTCCACGGAAACGACCTTAGCCACGGTCTTCGAAACACCTTTCAGCATAGCCAAGGCATCTTGCAACCGTTTGCTCTGAGACTCAGAGATCCTAAGATTGTTGTCGACTTGCGATTCCTGTGATATCGCATTCGACGAAAGCCCAGACTGTGGGAATAGGGCATTCTCCACAGCGTTGTCTTCACTTAGATCTGAATCAACCTCTGTACTGGTGACAGCAGCGGTGGCCAATACCGAAGAGCTTGTTGGCGGAGCAGACGGAAGTACTTCCTCTTCAGCTTGAATCTCTGGTTCAGGCTCATGCACCGACTCCGGTTCTTGCTCCAGTTCCTGTGGTGCAAGCTCAGCTTTTTGGAGTGGACGTGCGAGCATAGCTAAAGCCCGAGCAAGGTTTTCCCTTTGGGTGTCTGATATCCTAGGGAGAACTGGCTCCTCAGTCCTATGCTGGACTTGCGTCGGTTGGCTGAAGTCATGATGCTGTTGGACCGGATAATCGGGGAGTCGAGAAGTCGATGGCCGGGGGGTAGGGGAACGCTCTCGAAGACGAGCCTGAGAGGGTTGACTGAATGGATGGTGCTGTACGATGCTTGGGGCACTCTTGACACCTACCAAAGGCGCAGCAGTCGCTTTCTCCTTACCCTTGGTCTTTGAGCGTTGCGGAGGCCATGACTCTCCCGTTTGTCGTGCGTGACCTTCCTCTTCTGGCTCACTTGCGTGTATGTCTTCATCGACACCACTTCGCCGCCTCTTACCCCTTGCGAACATCGAGCCACCCTGGGCATCTGTGAACGCGGTGGTGAACGGTCCCTCGACGAGTACGGGAGGTCGTCTTGCCTGATAGCGTGGTGTGGTGAATTCATCCTCTCCGTCAGTCATTTGAGGTTCGGTGCGCTTCCGTGGAGTAGGAGACGCAGATCTAGAGTGTTCTGGTGCGGGAGAAGACGCAAACCAGTCCTCTTTTGTTTGAAGAATCCGGCGACGTTTGCGTTTCACCGTCGTACGGATCGTAGAAGGCGCGGTGTCTTCAGAAACTACTTGGGGCTGAGGAGTCCTTGAACGTGTCGGAGCATGATGATTGGCTCGAGGACTTGCGGCGTGGCTTGTAGGAGGTGTAGGAGCCTGTGAGACTTTCGTCCTCCCAGCCTCTGCTATTCTCTGTTCTTCAGCCAATTTAGCTAGGGTGTCAGGAGTCGGAATGATTTGGCTCTCTTGTGTATTGGTCTGTGGCCTAGCCGTATGCAGAGGAGTGGAAGTACTGGGATAGGCTCCCGTGATGTCGTTGGCAGAGCCGGAGAGATTTGGAGATGGTGCATTTGCAAGATCTGGGTATAATCGCTGTGGGCGACTTGCCGGCTCTACATCAACATAGTCGAGTGTTGGAGATCTGAATACAGTAACGTTGAATATGTTTTACTTCGGGGTTCAGAAGCAGGACGTACCGTCTTCGAGCACTTTGGTCAATTTGCTTGTTTGGCTCCTGCTCCTGCTCTTCAATCGGCCGCACCTCCGCTTCCACTTCCTCCTGCTCACTTTCCACGCTACTCTCTCTGTCAAATATTTCCTGAGAGTAATCGTCATCGGGTGCTGAACGCAAAGGACGCCCGGATCTCAATGTTGATGGACCCGCCTCCGCATTCACTGGTGGTGGCTGTCTCCGAGCAGGTGGTAGTTCATTCGCTTGGTGATTGGAAGGGATATCAAGAACCTGAGACTCTTCCTCTTCTTCCTGTCTCAATGCGACAATCTCTGCAGGTGTCATGGCTCGTCGTGTTGGCCGAGATGGCTCGCCACCAGATCCATTGAGTCGTCTCTTCTTGTGGGCAGGTTGGTCATTCTGCTCTGGACTCCGCCTCCGTTTCGACGCCGCCCCAATACGTGCGGGCGCAATCCTGTCCTCGCCCTCTGAATTGACCTCCTTCTTGATAGGAGCCCGTTTGCGGATTGCGGCTGCCTTGCCAGTGGAGACCTTCTTGGTCACGGCCTTCGCAGCCTGATTAGGATCTATACCCTTCCGCCGCTGGTACCTTTTAATCGCCTCGTCAAACCACTCTTCGTTCTTCTTATACCTCTGTTGCCACGAAGACCACGGATGTGTTTGGGCCCACGGATACAGTTCCGGCTAACATGGGATAAGGTCAAGAATTACAACGCGTCAATATAGTGAGGGCCACATACATGACCCACGAGAATCTGGTATAAAGCATTTCCGCTTCGTTTCGTCTTTGTAGGTGCTGCTCGTGCGAGGTATCGCATGAGCATTCTGTCTTCGTTCTCCGAGAAGGGCCTTCGCTGAGTCTTGACTGGCGATGCCGTCGGGTCGCGAGTGGGCTTAGGAGGTGGTTCAACACCTTCCTGCCGCGCTTTGTTCACGAGATACTTGTATATAGCCTCGTCAAAGTATTCTTTGCGATCTCTGTATCGTTGAAGCCAGGACTGAGATGGATGATTCTTTGCCCAGGGCCATGTTCTCGTCTACAGCATGTTAGTACGGGTGCAGTCAATGCAACCAGACATAGTAGAATCACGTACATTATCGGTTAACCTTCTGTACAGTGCAGGCCCTTGACGGCCTTTCTCTTGTGGACAGTTCAATGCAATGTACTCGAGTAAATGGTCGTCATCCTGCTTTGTGAAGTGCATTCGACTGTCATAGCAGAGTTTATCAGCGTGTACCTGAAGTTGAAGATATAAATTAGCTATACCCAGGCGCCATTAGAGCCAAGTCGCGTATTTGTCGCTCGACAAGACAATAGAAGGGATGTCAAAGATCCAACGTCGTACTTAGTCGAAGTTCGAGTTGATGCGATCGGAGTTGGCCCATGTAGCGCCCAATGTACCCAGCTTAGCCCAGCTTAGCTCAGTGGTAGGGCGTGCCACTCGTATTTTTCTAGGCCTTGTACAGTACTCCTCTCGCGCACACTGCACTTCGGCATCTCTCCAAGTGCTCTCGGGACAGCTACCACGTTTAAAGGCCACACTTATATTCCCATTTATGCTATCGTACCAGATACCACGTCCTAGATCAGATGTCCGATTTCGTTGTTGCCTACGTCTTATCCAACGAACTGGTTAAGGTTGTGCATAGCTCTGCTTTCCCCACTGGCACTGGATTTGCTCAACCTTGCGATATTATAGGTCTCTTCGCAGTTGCCTTCAAACAAGAACAGGTCCCTGCTCGTGCACTCTCTCGTGAAGGAACTCGGGTTGCTATCTCCTCGCTCGAGCAACTCACAATGCTCTCGATTACAACTATTGAGGCCAAATCTTGCATCAGCAAATGATCTTTCATCGTATCATGCTCGTGACTATTTGGACTATGTTCTGAATTGTAATCACTTTAGCAACGACGGGACCCCTTTCGATGCTGAAAAGGCTGCCGAATATGGAATAGAAGAGGCATGTTCCCTGCTATCGTCATAGCTCATCGTAATGACGTTCATTCAGGATTGTCCTTGGTTTCAGGGACTGCCCGCATATATACGCCTTGTAGGAGGGGCCTCACTGACAGGTAGGTCAATTATGAGTAGAAATTCTATCACGTTCCGACATGAAGCATAGCTGCGAATACTTTAGTTCAGGGCCAAGCTGACATAGCTATCAATTGGGATGGCGGAAGGTAACTTTGATTCTTCTCCATTATCTTGCCGGTGATTTCTTGAAAAAGCAAATACCAGGCATCATGCACAGAAATCCCAAGCTTCAGGATTCTGCTATGTCGCCGACTGTGTCCTAGCTCTCCTTGCCCTCAAGCGTTCCCGACTTCCTTCCTCTTTAGAAACTGTTGTTTCGCCTAATGTCTCTTTGCGCAAACCTCGAATCATGTATCTGGACTTAGACCTGCATTTCTCTGACGGTGTCTCGCATGCCTTCTATAACACTCCAGAAACACCTCAAATTCTCACTTTGTCTATTCACCATGCGGCGCCAGGTTTTTTCCCGATTTCACCCTTGTCATTACTTCCACCCTCGGAACCATCGTCATCTTTCGATCCATTTACACTTTCCGTACCTCTTGCTGTCGGCGCCTCTTCGCAAACATTCTTCTCTGTATGGAATGGCTGCGTTGAACGAGTGAAGGATGCCTTTCAACCTGATTACGTCGTAGTGCAGTGTGGCGTTGATGGCTTAGCTGGAGATTCGTACGGAATCTGGAACTGGTCCTTGGGTGGTCATGAAGACGTCACTGGAGCGGAAGAAGGTAGCCTAGGCTGGTGTGTCGAAAAAGTCTGTCACACGTGGGGATGCAAGACGTTACTACTCGGCGGAGGTATGTGTATTTCGCATATGTATTTCAGTCAGGCTTTGAGATCTCTGATTTTACTAGGAGGGTACAACTCGCCGAACGCAGCACGCGCTTGGGCATATTTGACATCCATAGCGGTGCGCTTGTCCCTCATCCCTGAATAAACCAGGACTTCTCTGATCGAAGTCCACTTTAGCTCTCGCGTCCCCTTCCGCTGTCGACTCATATCCCCGATCATACCTTTTTCCCTCTCTATGCGCCGTCTTTCACGTTAGATGTACCACCCAACACCCTCTCTGACGAGAACACTGTGATGTATCTTGAAGATATTCGAGATCGTTTCGATTGGGTCTGCGAGGGGATCCGGGAGCGGCTCACGTAACTCTTGCACTTATTGTTTGGATGGCTGATTCTCGTTTACACGGATCTCAGCACTTTCATGACGGGCGCATCGGGCAATAGAAAGTCGTGAGAACGCGGTAGGTCTTTGTTCACCGAGAAACTGTCTCCACGAAAATAGTTCTGATTGTGCAATGTCTTCCTAGTTGTTTGTTAAAGAAGTCTAATGAACTACACTCGTACATTCCTGCCTCACTACGTCTTCTTTATCCACGTCCAAACCCTGTTCTGGACGCGCCGTGGTGCAGCCTGATTTTGCCTTGAACGTTGTTGACATCTCTACACATAGATGTGCGCATATAGGGCGGCTTTGAAGCTGTCTCCCGAGGTCAGTCGGGTCCGACGTCACAACTGATATATCTCATACTCTCACTGGGCGCTCAGAGTGTCTTCAATAGGCAACAAGAAATGTTTCATCGGGACCCTATGATCCTTAGTTACACATGGTACTTCCATTTCTCGACGACAGTCCAAAGCTTTTGGGACAAATCAGGTCTATAGAAGTCTGGATCAGAAGACTTCTTTACGGTCAGTTGATTCAGGGCAAACAACTATGCGAGACCTTCCCTGCGGCATCTTCGACCCGGACTCTAGAAGACGCTTGCCTCGGCGTAGGCCACTTTTTGTATAAGTAGCTGAACGTTCGTGAGGTTGAAACCCCCAGCCCACCCGCTCGTCAGTTTCAGACAAGATGATGTGGAGGAGACTTACCGTCCTATCGCTCTTAGGGGTAGCTTATGCTACAATCACTGACCCTAGTGTCTTGGACGCTTGCCCAGGCTATAAGGCGACACATGTCAATGTCGGAGGCGCGAAGTTGACTGCTAATCTTGAATTAGCCGGAACAGCGTGCAATGTCTTCGGTCCTGACATCAACAAGTTAAAGCTTGAAGTCACTTATGAGACCAGTACGTGTATTCATAACAACTCAGAATCTTAGCACACTCATCCGCTTGCTATCAACAGAGACGCGTATTCATGTCAAGATTTCTGACGCGTCCTCGGCGCGTTACGAAGTCCCTGAATCCGTCTTGCCTCGACCGAAAGCAGACCCGTTCACGTTGCCTCAGAGTTCGGCGATTCAGTTCAACTACACAACCTCTCCTTTCTCATTTTCCATCTTCCGCAAGAAGACGGAGGAGGTTCTGTTCTCTACGGCCTCACACGCTCTCATTTTCGAACCTCAATACCTTCGCCTCAAAACCAACCTTCCTTCAAATGCGAATATCTACGGTTTAGGCGAACACACCGATACCTTCCGTCTTCCCACGCACAACTATACCCGGACACTTTGGAGTCGCGATGCTTATCTCGTTCCAAATGGCACTAACTTGTATGGAAATCACCCGATTTATTTCGAACATCGTACAAGTGGAACACATGGGGTGTTCCTTGCCAATTCAAATGGTATGGACATCAAGCTCGATGATACGAATTTGACGACTCTGGAGTACAATGTCATTGGAGGCATTCTGGACTTTTACTTCCTTGCTGGAAGCGAAACTGACCCTACTGAAGTTGCAAGGCAATATGCTGAGATCGTGGGTACCCCTGCCGAGGTGCCTTATTGGTCTCTCGGCCTCCATCAATGTCGCTTTGGATATCAGAGTGAGGATAGTTTTGTCTTAAGTATGAAGAGGATGCTGATTAGTGAGCCCAAATTAGACTATATCGAGGTTGCGGAGGTGATCACAAACTATTCTGCTGCTGCTATTCCCTTGGAGACGATGTGGACAGACATTGGTATGTCCTTGCCTTATGTGTACGCCTTGACGTTCACGGATAACATGGCCCCAGATTATATGTTCAAACGTCGCATCTTCACTATTGATCCTGACTATTTCCCAATGAGTCGCATGCGTGAAATCGTCGACTACTTGCATTCGCATGATCAGAGATTTGGTACGAGTTATGCTACTTACATTGTCTCCTTACTCACAACAGGATGTGATTTGCAGTACTGATGACCGATCCTGCTGTGGCGTACCTGCCAGGGGAAGGATATCCTACATTTGATCGTGGAACACAAGCAGATATTTGGCTCAAAGCTGCTAATGGAAGTGTCAGTTTGGGTGCAGTGTGGCCTGGTGTGACCGTCTTCCCAGGTATGTTGAGAAATTGTCCGGGCATCTGTTCAGTTGTTGACGCATTTATTCTTAAGATTGGTTCCACCCGAAGGTCCAGGAGTGAGTGATTACGTATCATATGTGGATGAAACAACTGACTGGCGTATTCTTGTACAGCTACTGGAACAGGGAGTTCGCTATCTTCTACAGTCCCAAAAGAGGTCTTGATATTGATGGTGCATGGATCGACATGAACGAGCCTTCCAGCGTACGTTTCAAGCTCTCCTTCTAACATCTATAGACTCACATCAAATTTTAGTTCTGCAACTACCCCTGCACAGACCCATTCCAACAAGCCAAAGAGCAGGACTTACCCCCACCTCGCACCTCATTGCCACCAGATCCTCACGCCCCAATATTCAATCAAACTCAAGGACAGACACAGACGACCCTTAGCTTGAATAGGAAGCGTGTAAACCACAGCGGGGAGGATTTGCAGAATCCTCCTTACGCTATTGCCAATGCAGCAGGTTCAGGTGCTCTGAGCGATCGTACTGCATACGTGAGTTATTCACCAATCATTCATTCGTTGTTTTACTAATGATATCATCGTAGGTTGATGCCAAGCATGCGAATGGGCTGATGGAATATGATACTCGTAGGTCTATCTTGGACTTCCTGGATTGACTTAATCCTCATGGTGTTCACAGACAACCTATACGGCACAATGATGTCTACTGCGACACATAATGCTATGCTAGCGCGTCGGCCTGGTTTGCGAACACTCGTCATAACTCGTTCAACGTTCGCAGGAGCCGGTACTCGAGTTGGCAAATGGCTTGGTGATAATAATAGCGAGTGGGAACACTATCGCAAGAGTATCGCTGGTATATTAGGCATGGCTGGTATTTATCAAGTCCCAATGGTTGGCGCGGATATCTGCGGATACGGTAAATAATTATGGTCTCTGGTTCTACGTGTTCCCAGGACTAATGTTACCTGCATAGCTGGTAATACGACGGAGACCTTGTGCGCTAGATGGGCGATGCTGGGTGCATTCTATACTTTCATGAGAGATGTGAGCACATCTTGTTTAACCTCCGTGATCAAACTCTGATATATTGAGCCATAGCACAACTCAGATACTTCCATTAGTCAAGAGTTCTATCGTTGGCCTACTGTTGCCCAGGCCGCCAGAAACGTTCTTGACATTCGGTATGCCACATTTCACACCTGTATCTTAGACTCTTCCTGACTGAGAGCACCAGATATCGTTTGATCGACTACGTCTATACTGCTCTGCACCAGCAGCACATCGATGGAACGCCCGTTCTCCAGCCGCTTTGGTACCAATACCCTCAAGATGCATCTACATTCCCCATTGACCTCCAATTCTTCTTTGGTCCCTCAATCCTCGTATCACCCGTTACAGAGGAGAACTCCACCACTGTCAGCCCCTACTTCCCGAAGGATATTTTCTACGATTTCCAGACTTTGGCACCTTTCGAGGGTCAGGGTTCAAGTGTAACACTTGAGAACGTCAACTTCACCTCCATCCCGGTCCATATTAAAGGAGGTGTCGTCTTGCCACTTCGCGAGAAGGGTGCCATGACCACCACGGAACTCAGGAAGACCGATTTCGAGCTTGTCGTCGCCCCTGGTACTGATGGTCAAGCCACTGGCTCGCTCTACTTCGATGACGGGGTGTCTATCACGCAGAAGTTCTCCACTACAGTTCTCTTCTCATTCAAGAAGTCAATCTTGTCAGTGACTGGCCAGTTCGGGTTCACGACACAAGTGAATGTTGCTAGGGTCAAGTTCCTTAACGTGAGCAAGGCTCCAAAGAACGTCAAGTTGAATGGGAGGGATTTGAAAAAGAGTTCCGTTGAGTACGACCCAATAGGTAAAGTACTGATTGCGAGCCTCGGTATTCCTTTCCGTCAAGGTTTCGATGTAGACTACTCTTGAGCATATGAATTTTCCTTGCTGACGTTCACGTTCATCGACACGCATGTGCCCCCACGTGTGGCGTCACATGCGGACTTTCAATAGTCAACGTTCAACTTTCTGTATCCCTTAGTACCTCTCATCAGTACCTCTCCTCCCCCACCTGAAGACAGTATTATGAAACGCGTATCAACCAAAGGACTACATGCAGCGTACAAGCCGCACTATGTAAGTTATTTAAATGCTTGAATCCCACTACGAATTCGTGCTGAGCGATTCTCAACTGCAGGACGAACGCATAGCTGAAATGGCGCCTCCACTTTCTGAGCTCCCGCCTATTATGATTCCCCAGACGACCCGGAAAGTTTCTCAACCACCAGTTCTACGCTATGGCGTCGAGATTCCGGACGAGAAGCTTTACGAGCTGGCGGACAAGTATTGTGACTATCGCCGGGACCAGTTTGTTAGCGATTGGAACTATGCTATATTGCACGACCTTCCGTTCTACAACGAAGCCATCGCCGCAGGACGCGCATTGGCCTACCTGTCAGAGCAATTTGGCCATGATATGAGACTCGAGCGCATGCCCGTCTATTGCTCAGGCAGTGCCATGAGACTCGTTTCCATTTGCACCAACTACGCGATGAGCGGTAAGGCTGTTGAGACGGCTCGGAAGCTTCGGGACTATTTTGAGCTGACGGAAGAAGCGCAATGGTACCTTGATATGGAATACTGGTGGTGGACCCTCCGTTGACATCTATGCTTGGGCTGCATACAATATAATAAATTCATTTTGTCCTCGTTCTTCCTTTGTACAGTACCTGCTTTCCACTTCTCCCGTTATCGCTACGCCCGTGTGGCTTTTCATTGTTCCATTCCTACTGCATTTGTCTTTCGTGGTGCTGCGTAGATGTTTGAGGGTGGCTCTTGACTCTGAACGCTCTGAACATTTAAGGTATTCCCCAAATCTTCAAGCTTCAGGCGCGACTTATCAGGTGTTCGTTCGTACTTGAACAATACGTGTACAGACGCGTGACGTCACGCGTCGCGGCCAAAAGTTCTATAAATAACTTAACCCCTTCCCTTGTTCACCTTACCACCATATACTTCATAACTCCACCATGCGTGTGAGTACCAAAGATCTTCCTGAGGCGTACAGGCCCAGCGCTGTAGGTGCTACTAGTAATGAACTGCAATATCTTCTAGTAACCCTCACTGTAGACTAAGGAACAAGCCCAACAGGCCAAGCCCTTCGAGGACCTTCCGATAATCCTTCGTCCGCACGCGCATCTTCCCTTCCCTCCACGCATGCATTGGGGCTATGCTATACCAATCGAATCACTCCTTGACATCGCAGTCGAGAAGATGGGTTACAAGATACCCGATATTCCAGAATCGGAGCTGCTACCCGGATGTCCTCCTTACAACGATCTCTTCGTCTCGAATCTTGCTATGATTTTCCTGGAAAATCACGTCGAGCACGACATGCAGCTTGATTATCAAATCGTTTTTTGTGAAGGGGAGATCACCTATGTTATTTCAATTTGCAGTAGCTGGGAGCACTGTCCGAAGGCCTTGGACACTGCGAAGAGATTAGCAGATTACTTTGGCATGACGGAATCTCCAAAATGGTACCTTGACTACCATTTGTGGCACTGGAGGTACGATGTTTAGGGCTTAAGGACTGGTTTCAAACAGCTTCCGCTGTTTTTGTTTTGTTTTCTGCATCGTACAGTAGTCGCTACGCTGTCATAACATTCTCATATCGTGTCCACCTCTGATACCAATCTACGCGCGGTGCAGGCGATTTAAGAAGTAGACCAACGACTAAGTTTACATGGGGCGTGATGAAGATGAAACATGTGCACGGTGAATCCCAATTTCTGGCCGGATTGAACCACCATTCTAAAATGAAAGCTCAAGGTGAAATCTCTGCACATTGGTATAAGTAGTAAGCGGATATGTAAACATGATGGAATGATAGCGACAACTACTACTCTGGGAAGGGAAATGGGTCTGAAAGCTTAGACATCGAACCTCCAACGCCAACGGTCGGAATCTAGATACCACATCGGAGGTTCTGTGACCTTAAAATATTCGGCCAGTTTCTTCGCAGTTTCCTCCGCCATCTCACTCGGCCTCCAATTACTAGAAATTGACACAATCTGGACAAGTTCTTCGTCATCGTAAACAAAGGCGTAAGCGAGCTTCACGTCGTGAACGAAATGTTCAGCTATGAATTCCATCGCGAGACGGGAGACGGTGTAATCATCGTAGTCGGGAGAATCTGGCAGAATTTCCGACTGTAGAATGCCGGGGACTTCATAGCCCTTTTCCTTGATGGCGACATCCAGAAGAGCTTCAGATGGTATAACAAGACCGAAATGCATGCATGGAGGGATAGGAAAATTCATTCGAGGACGAAGAATGGGCGGGAGCTCTTTGAAGGGAGTCGCCTGTTGAGCTTGTCTGTTGGCCTGTAACAGGACGTCAGAATTAGCAGGCGCTACTGGACGATATCGTTACGACTTACAACATTGGGCCTGTAGGGTATGGGAAGATCTTTGGTACTAAGGCGCATAGCGAAAGTGAGAGAGGTGATGTGTTGGTGAGGTGAGCAGGAAGGTGATAAAATCTATCAGTACTAGCAGTGAGGTCCTCTAAAGAGTCGATAAACATCCTCGCCACATCAAGATTTCAATAGCCACCACGTGACGTCACGCGTCAGGTTTGAAAATGAACATGGTAAGTCGCGCGGACTTCAACTTCACCATGTTGAAATATTCTGAATTTCTCACTAGATTGGTCCAAACATTCTAAAATGAAACCTCAAGGTGACATTTGTGTACGTTGGCATGGTAAGCGGACATGTAAGAGTAACGGAACGATAGCGAGGAATACTACTCTGGGCTTGAAGGGGAAATGGGTCTAATAAGTTAAACATCGAACCTCCAACGCCAACGCTCGGAGTCTAGATACCACATCGGAGGGTCTGTGACCTTGAAATATTCGGCCAGTTTCTTCACAGTCTCCTCCGCCATCCCACTCGGTCTCCAGGTACTAGAAACTGACACAATCTGGACAAGCACCCCGTTATTATAGACAAAGGCATAATCGAGCTTCACGTCGTGACTGAAATGCTCGACTATAAAGTCTCGCGCAAGGCAGGAGACGGTGAAAATATCGTAGGCAGGGAAACCTGGTAGAATCTTCGACTTTGGAATGTCAGGGACTTCGTAGCCCTTCTCCTTGATGGCGACATCCAGAAGAGCTTCGGGTGGTATAACAAGACCGAAATGCATACATGGAGGGATAGGAAAATTCATTCGAGGACGAAGGATAGGCGGGAGCTCTTGGAAGGGAGTTGCCTGTCGAGCTTGTCTCTTGGTCTATAACAAGACGTCGGAGTCAGCAGACGCTACTGGACGATGATATTATTATGGCTTACAACACAGGGTCTGTAAGGTTCGGGAAGATCTTTGGTACTAATACGCATAGCAGAAGCGAGAAAAGTGACGAGTTGGTGAAGTGGGCAAGAGGGTGCACGTAGTCATATCAGTAGCAGTTAGACCCCCGGTCCAGAGGAATGCATGCGCGAGACGCGTGACGTCACGCGTCAGGCTTAATATATTATACCGTTCAATTATGGACTACATAAGACTCGGTACGTCGCGCACATCGGAAACTTTAAACTACTTATTCTGAGATCAGATCCAAGCCTAATACTGAATGAGAGCCGTACAGAAATGCGTATAAATCACTATGAAAGATGGACTCAACAGGAATCTAATGATGAAAGACAAAATGAACACAAGGACGACAGGTGACTGTTGGACATGTGGCTGAAACTTAGACATCAAACCTCCATCTCCAAAGCTCCCAGTCCAGGTACCACAGAGGATGATCTGTGATGCCAAAGTAATCAGCTATTTTCTTCGCAGTCTCGTCCGCCTTCTGACTCGTTTTCCAGTTACTACAAATCGAAACAATCCGAAGAAGCTCTCCTTCACGATACACAATCCCGTATTCAAGCCGCAAGTCGTGATCGAAGTGTTTAATCATGAAATCTAGCGCAAGACAGCAGACTACGTAGTCATTGTAGGCTGGATATCCCGGCAAAAGCTCCGACTGTGGAATGTCGGGTATTGTGTAACCTTTCTGCTTGATAGCGACTTGCAGGAGTAATTCTGTCGGTACAACAAGACCGAAGTGCATGCACGGGGGGATAGGAAAATTCATCCTAGGATGAAGGACAGGCGGTAGCTCCTTGAAGGGAGCGGCTTGTCGAGCCTGTTTCCTGGACTACGGCGAAACATTGCAAGTCAGCAGACGCGATTGAAGAAGAATGGTCCACTCACGACGCAGGGCTTGTACGGTTCAGGAAGATCTCTGGTGCTAACACGCATAGTGAAGTCGGTTTGAAGTACACGTTAGTTGGGTGTGCAAAAGATGCGGTGGTTGGCTGATACTAATTAGGAAACAATGAACATATGCCAGCGGTGGTTGATTCTCAAACTTGCAAAACCTCAAGGCCACACTGCAGGATGACGGCTTCTCCGACGAATTCCGTTGGGATCATTTCTGGAGTATAGTCTGAAACGTCATTCCATGCTAACGTGCGATCTTGCGACGGCTATTCCTTCATGGTTGCACGTCACCACCATCATGATGTATCCAATCGCGAGGTCCTTCGTACGAGGATCATAATTCAATCGGATGATGGTAAGCAGTGTCGTATCTATACATTTACGACTGATATATGTTTCCTCCTTGGTAAATTATGCTATCGCAGCCCCGGACTGCAAGGACTTACTCGGGGAAGCTCGAGGCCTTTGGAAAAGCTCCCATTAGCGGATAACGACGAGATTGACTACCAAGCCTGGTTCCATGGCCTGAATCCCCTGCAGTTCCAGGCCCCCTGCAAACCCCTCAGCGATTCGTCATTTCACGAGCGATAAAGGCTCGTCTTGCTCAAATGGACGCTCTCCTTCAGCGCGAGAGAATCACTGGTTTCTTGACCAGGAAGTATTCTGTCGCCGTTCATCGCATCGTCCCATACTTATTATGGAAGTCAAACTAACGTCTGTAGCGTGATTTCTAGGCCTTGGAGCCTGAAGTTAGTCGCGGAACGTGCTAATTCACTATTCTACCGAGCACGGGCCCATTTGACACACATTCAGATCTTCGTAAAAGGTGACGATGGTTGCAAAGTACATGTCGGATGTGCTGGCAAGGAAAGAGAGATTGGCAAAACATGGACTAATGGTTTGTCCAGAGGATGAATCTCCAAAGATCGTACCCTCGCGACTGATGTGATACTTAGTCTATTTGCATGATATGCCTTCACGATACACTAGCACTCTTCGTGATAGTTCTGAACTGCCTATATGTATCGTGCAACATTTGCTCAAATACATGTCTCGACTACTTTAGCGCCGCGAACCCAACCTGGTTCTTACCCAAATCAAATGACGTGTAGACGTTCTCCAAGAATCTATCTCCCACAATCCAGAAACTCATATCATCACCAACGATGGATCCAACACAATCCTTTGAGCCCACACTCGCCCGTCCCAGATTGAATGAAGACGGTGGTATGGAGAATGCCTTACCACCAAACGTGAGCTGAACGGCAGGAATGGAAGAACAGGGGAAAGTATAGTATCCCACCCCTACAGTCTTGGATGCATCTTTAGAACCGGGAATGCTGGCATAGAACTTCTTCACATTGGCATTGTCGCCGATGATGAGAGTAGTGCCTGTATCGATGATAGCGGGGATGCTGCCGACGGAGGCCTTGCTGTTGGCAGTGACAGAGTCCAATTTAACTTGCCAGTATGCCTAAGAAGAGTCTTACAAATTAAAACCATATATCATTGAAAGTCGTTGACGGACCTGTGTTGTCACAGGGACAGTTGTGAAGCTGCCCGTGTACAGAGCCGCATTTACACCACCGAGAAAGACCTCCGAACCTGCCGCGGCCAATTTGAAGGCGAAGATGGGTTGAGTAGTCTTGCCTTGGGAAACAAGCGTTTGGAAAAAAGGAGGTGCATTGTACTGGGAGATGGACTGATAAGCCATGCCTAACAACCCGTCGGGTGGGAAGTTGGAAGAAGAGAAACCGGTAGAATACGTCGTGGCTGCACCTAGAGCTTGGCGCGTTCCCTAGATGTATCATGTGTAGCCGAACTCGATGGTGTGATAAGAGGAAAAAAACATACCGTCAGACGAGCAACGGTGACAGTATCACTATATTGCTCGCCGCTCACCGAGGAGCCATCGCCATATTGGAGGGAGAATTTCTTGCCACGATCGACGGCGGTGGTAGATTTTGAGGTGTCATAGGGATTGTGGCCCTTACAGTTTGTCGTACATTTGGAACCGGGTAAGAAGAGGTCACTACTTCCGGTGTCAAAGTCGACCGTGAAGCTCTGAGCCGGTGTGCCAACAGATATGGCACCTTGCCAGAGAGCACCGCCTTGTTCCTCCGTGAGAGGTTCTGGGCCGGTATCCCTCTTGGTGACATTGAGAAAGGGAAAATCTATAGCCAGAGGATGCTGCTCTCCAGTATTACGTTGATATGCCCGAAAGGTATTCTGGTATTTACTACAGAGAGTTGAGTAAAGCAGGACGATAGTGCGTAGTAATATTTACCTTCGGGCGAACAGTATTTGCGCAATGAGTGCTTCAATATTTGCGAGACCATCGTCAGAAGTCAACAAGCTACGCTTGTGAATAGCGATCTTTACGCCGGCATCTTGTTCAACGGGGGTAGCAGAAGAGAGAAGGTGAAGGGCAGAGAGAAGGAAGACAATGGTCAACATTGTGTGGATTAAAAAATTAAAAATACGAAAGCGAAGATAGCAAAACGAAAGCGAGGGAGATGAAGGTAGTAGAGGAAGTACCAGACTTGGGGAATTCAAACCAACCGTCGCGCTTTAAGTACGGTGTGAGGCGGCGGACATCGAAAAACTGTGGTCAGCCTCCGGAAAATGTGAGAGGCGTTGGGTCAGATCGCAACGAGAGGGCTGGGGGAATCCATCTACACCTGAATCGGTAAGATTGCGGCATCTTGGATACTGCATGGAGAAAAGATTGCGGGGTCCGGGTCTGCTTATGAGATTTTAGTCGGCTTACAGAGGACCTAAGTACTCGTCTTGTTGGAAAGAACGTCGGCTGGCCACATCATGTGCCTTATACCTTGACGCTCCCAGTCCATGATACGCAAAAACTATAAGACATTATATAGCGTAACATGAGGTCATACAGTAAGTTCAGACTCTTCAGAGTGGTATACAACGAAGAGAAGCGCCCGACGCCAACTCAACTCAAAAAGGAAAGCTGTGTCAGTGTGCCTCATTTCCTCCGCAACACTCTCGACGGTTCTTGAATGAACCCTATCCTCTTCAAGCCTGTAGTTACAATATAGGCGGCCTGACATCTCTCGCTCACAGTTTTCTCTGAGCGTTATGCTATATAATTACTTTCCCACCGCATTACAATACCTTCTCGCAACCTACGTACTTACACCGCCATCCGCTCCGCAACCCCTGCGATTCAGCCTACGACATGAGTTTGGCCTATCGAATTCCTCGAAGACTGTATTCGCAGACCTTAGACCTGCATCACAACTCACTTACGACACTTATGACATTACGACTCGACGAGTGCAAACGTATAGACCTAGAAACCAAGAAGCTTTCTTCCGATCCCGGCATTTTGACCGCGAGGCACGACGGGAACTACCATGGGATGAGACTGACTTAGAAGGTCCTAACGTGAATGATAGAGAGACACTTCTATTGCTGGCGAAGATGACTTCCAATGCGTATTCCCGACCAGGAGAGAAAGACTGGTATGACCTAGGACCGGATTGGAATAGTGTACGTCCCAATGCTCCAGTCATCTTCCCCCTAAATCGCTCAGAGAAGACTTACAGAGCTACCCATTCGGTTGGGAACCAGATTCTGATGGTTTTCGCGGCCACATCTTCGCTACTGAGGATAACTCCACCGTCATCATCAGCGTGAAAGGAACGTCTGCTGGCTGGTTGGTAGGCGGGGGCGGATCTACAACGCGCAAGGACAAATTAAACGATAACTTGCTATTCTCTTGCTGTTGTGCTCGTGTAGGACCGACCTGGCGCACTGTATGCGACTGCTATGAGGGCGGGTACAAATGCGACCAGAACTGCCTTGAACAAAGTCTGGTCGAGGACAGTCTTTTCTATCCTATAGGAACGGTATGTTTCACATTTTATTTTCTATGATCTGTGGGAGTTATAAAGTCATCTTTCGTAGAACTTATACAACAACGTCACTTACATGTACCCAAATTCGAATGTCTGGGTCATAGGTAATCACAGCACTGACTTGTAACTCACATTTCCGCTCACACGTTCTCAGGTCACTCATTAGGTGGCTCGCTCGCCTCCTTACTCGGTGTAACATTTGGTGTCCCAGTTGTCGCATTTGAAGCGGTTGGCGAGAAACTTGCTGCGCGGCGTCTGCACCTAGCATTGCCAGTATGTCAAATTGAAATTATTTTAGCGTATGCAGTAAATTCATGTCATCATTAGCCCGATCTCCAGCATATCACGCATATCTATAACACGGGCGACCCAATTGCAATGGGCACTTGCACAGGCGTGGCTTCCACATGTGCGATTGGAGGCTTCGCGCTTGAGACTGGGTGCGCCGCGAATCTCCCCCGTTTCCAGTCTGGCTGCGCTTGCTGAACAGAGACATATTTTGGTTGTAGGTGTCACTTAGGTAAGGTCATTAAATACGACACTGTCACCCATCTCAAGTGGTCCGTCAATGTCGGGAACCATGGTATCGCTGTTGTTATTGACCACCTGTTGTCGAAGGACTGGGAGTATGACAACGAGGAAGATGGCGTGAAGCGGAGCGTGCCGAGGATAACGGCAGAAGAGGATTGTGTGGTGAGTTACCTAGAACCTGTGCCATTTCTCATTAAGCGTACTGATTGAGTGGTGTAGGATTGCTTCAATTGGGAGTTTGGTAACTATCGCAACGCTTCGATACACGGAACTTGCGACCGCCGTCTTTAGTACCCCCATAATGCATACCGTTTCCATTAACAACATTCACGTACAGCAATTCTGTTAAGGGGGCTCTTTGGCCACAACCCCTTTTGGACTCCATCCAGTGGAACTGGGTGGAGTAGTGCCACGGAGCCATAACTGACCGGTGGGGATTCCGAGTCATATCGGACGTGCCATTGGCACGCCAAGCCTGCGCAGCGTGTCACTTTCCAATAACTGAAATTTCTGAACTGTCTAAAGTGGCTGCGCCATCACATATTGATGTCTAGTGTAGTATAGATATATCCCAGTGTTCATTCGTTCAAATCACCCAACGCCCCTTGTCATTCACCATGGAACTCGAGCTATCGCGAGACTCGACGACGAACACCGTCCTTAGAATCCCAGGCGGTCGACCCCTATACCACATACACACCCCGAGTATGTTCTCCAGGACCACGACTATCTACAAAATACCTGAAACGAATGTACAACGATACGAGGACGCGGAGAAGATGACAGACGTGGAGCCAAAAGCTGAGGAGGAGATGGCAAGGATCTATTGGCATACGATCTCGAGTTCGAGGTTGATCTATGATGGAAGAGCCCTGGAGTTCAAGACGTTCTTGAAATCGAAAGGGTTCCGCGGGTCCGTCTATATCTCTTCTATGAGTCTTGATCACATCTCACTATGTATGAATGCAGGGACCGCGTCTTCATCGGGCCAGACGGGAAGAACTACAAGTGGCATGAGGGATGGAATGGGCCTCGCGTATGTTCTCCTGTCTCTTGATACCGCTTGCGACTCACCGGCTCGTCTTTGTATGCAGTTGGAATTAGCGGATGGTTCCAAACCAGCTAAGACCGTCGCCAAACTTCGTCAAGGGAATTTCTTCACAGGGAGGAAGGCGGTGCTCGAGATTGATCCTTCAGTGGATCATATGCGCGACCTCGTCGTGATCACTTTCGTATTCATTGAGACGCGGAGGAGGGAACGGGAGTTACAACAGGCTGCTGCGGCATGAGGTCCTTAAGATGCTTTCGTAGCCTGGCCTGCGATCTCGATATCGGGAAGTCTATGGACGATCAATGTTCAAATATTTCTACAGTGTACTGTAAAATGCCTTAATCTGTTATATCATGGTTAGTATCTTGCGCCTGTAAACACCTAGGAACAAAGCCTGTGGTAAATAGGGTCAAACATGTGCAAGCGAGAATGTGAGTCTGCATCTTCCACCTTCCATCGTCCTCGCCGGCCAGCGCGCAGATATTACTCCTTGGGCTGGAGCGTCAATAGTCTCCGGGGCCGGTGCGCAGACCAGTTGCCTAGTGTTGCATGATGCATCGATAAGGTTCTAATCGCCACGTGGACGTCGCGTCTGCCGACTTACCACCAACTATGATTGCATGACAACTTCATAATGCTTTGCAACTACTCGTACACTGGGATCTGGGTATGTTTAATTCTATGTATTTACTGAGCCCCGCCTCCAGCAGCCTTTTGCAAGGCTCCGATGAATCCAGCGGTGAACTTCGAATCAGTGAACTCCTTCACTTTCGTCAGCACTAGTTTCCCTCCTTGCTCCGCGACGGTGAAGATCATGATATACTCGGCGACGTAGTCAAAGTTGATCGACGTATCGGCAGTCGCATTTGCCTGCAGGGTGTTAACTGCCTTAGAACCAAGATGATGTCTAGGGAACAGGACATACGTGGATCACCACTTTTCCGGGTGCATCAATGACTTCGTTGATTTTGGCCTGAAACACTCAATCGATAAGTAATTAGTCTCTGCCACAATATCCAGTTCAAGCTTACCTTGAAGTTCGAGAACACAGGAAGGATTTGCTTGAGGTGGTCGATGAACGCGGACTTACTAGTCAACGTGGGAATTCCGAGATTCACGGGGTACGCTTCCTGGATAAAGTCGTCTGAAATGACACTCTCAAGTGTGGCGAAGTCAGCCTTAGCCATGCCCCCCACCCACTTCAAGACGACCTGGAGCTGGGCAGATGGGTTGGCGATGGCGGGAGTGGGTTCAACGCTCATGATGCTTCAAGGTACGGTCAGTAATCGAGGAACAGTTGAACGTTGAAGCCTTAGGAAAGTGCAAACCTGACTGAGGATGTTCTAAGGAGTGCCCGTAAGTAAGTTTGCTTCAGGCTGTGCTATGATAGGCTTACTTTCTTTCGAGTAGTTATGAGTACGACGATAGGTGCGTTGTGAGGATGGGAGTCCAACTCGATCGTTTATATACCCCTCACACCCCAGTCCGTTATATCCATGGGGAAGAAGCCGCGAAGTAGCCTCAGATCCTGGGCGGTAGACCGATATCCGTTGGAACCGGGGTTTCCTTGTCAGGCGTCTCGGGACATCATATGGACTTCGAAGGCATCATCTCTCAGAAGGTTCAGACGTCTTCGATCTGGCACATGACTTGATGCTTCAAGTCTTCAGGTGCTGTTTTGTTATCTGTCGATCCACTTCGACGCTTGGACCGGTTGATATGAAAGTGAGTTTCCAAACTTTTGACTGTCTATTGTGTATGCGTCGATCGTTGGAGACAATACAACAGCTTAATCGTGGTTACACAACACTCCACGAGTACTTTACACCTAGCAGTGGCCTGCGTACTACGTTTTGGAGTGTTCCTTGGACCTCCCCATGCCTCATACAACTGGACCTACTAAGCAAACAACGTCTCAGCCGGTTGATCGAACAAAGTAGCACCAACGTACCACTGAGTACTGATGGGTAAGCCACTTCCGATCGTCCTTGCGTTTTCGCTGGTCGTTGCTTATTTCTTAGATTGCATTTGGCTGTCAGGTTCAAACATTACTTGCTGGACGAATGGGCAAGTTATTATGAAATCAGTTCATGACTGTCTACGTCGAGTGCCGGTCTGCACATGAAAGCACCGTGAGTTTGCCAGATATTTTGGGTATGTGCTTCTCTGTTATGGGATGGGATGAATTGATCCGAAGTCGTACGTTCGACTGCTCCGTCATCGCGCAGTTCCAATTTGACCTAGAAGATACAGAGTGGGGTAAATCTATCTGTTTATGATGAGCTAATTCTTTTCTATCTGTGCTCAGACAATGCAACGCAACCATTCCCTTGCCTGCGCGATTCTATCCTTCTCCTGAAGCGCTCAAACTAGACGCCGGTTCAGAGAATCCAGAAAACCCTAAAAGGCAATCCTTCAACCCAGGCTCTCAAGTGTTTCCGGAGGTTTCCTCTCTGGTTCTTCGTCTCAAGGTGGTCCACTTTGTTTTCAATGATGAGAGGGATGCTATATATGTGCCTGTCTCTTTATGTAGCCTTCTTGCTTCCTTTCTGCGTTGCTTCTCTCTCGTGGAGGGCTTTTCCTGGCTGGTAGACTTTCTACTGTCTGCGGGAACCTGGCACATTCTGGAAGCAGCCCTGTGCGCCATTGACCTGTTTGACATTGATCGCTTCTAGCATCCGGTTTCTCCGTGTTCGTATAGCGCTGTCGGGACGACATCTATGAGCTTGGAATGTATGTGGGGTCAGGAGAAATCGAATAAACAAGGGGTCTAAGGTGATACAGGCCAGTCATTGACACCCTATTGTGGCAACCGCACACTGGGTTGGCGCTTGTCGAACCGCGATATTCACGATGTTGCCGCCCTGTTCCTCAGGCCTCAATCCTGGTACGCGCCCTAGGTCAAACGTTCAGGTCAAACAGCCATTGGCATTGATGTGAGTATTTCTTGGGCTTCTCCATTTCTCTCATGGTCACCACAACGTCCTACCCTTGCCATCCCCGGCCCCTCTTCGCTCGCTCTTGGAATTTCTATTGTTTATTTAATTCCAATGGCTCTGAATCTGGTATTCGAACCACACCTCGGTGTACCCGTCGATAACTTGGCCACATTCGCCGAGACCATTTTCGAGAGAGCCGCAGGGGGTAACATTATTGTGACACTCAACGCGTAGAATGCATTAGTAGCACTTCTTGTAGCTACGAGTCCTTGATATCGCGTCGCTCTTCTATTTTTATTAACGTGTCATTCAACGCTATAGGTCTCAGACGGACAGACGGTGATAAAGACCTTAGCCAGATGCCCGTCGGGTAACATGACTGTCAAAAAGTTGGCCAGTCTCATGGAGGGCTGGCTCGTATCTGTGAGCTCTCCAAGATGGATGTTCTTCCTCATCGTTGATGTACTGGTCGCACTCTTAGCATAATGTGGACAGGAGGTTATGTCTACTCAGATCCGAGCAAGTTACTAAGGACGATGCTGGACCTACGAACACGTTTAATGCCTACTTCGGCTCTCGTGATTGAGGATTCCCTGCTCCCAACTGGAAAACTTGTCCCTGGATTGAATCCGGATCTGCATTCTGCTCAAAATCCCATTCCGTCCCTGTGCGTTAGGGTATCCAGTCTCGTTCGTCAAGCGTGTTGGATTCGACCGGTCATTATTTGGGTTTCTAAGGCTGTCTCTGAAGCTGCATTCTCATTCTCATTCGCTCACAAATTCTGCCGTATCGCTAATACTTTCTTACTATCCTCATCTCATCACTCCTTTCACTCAACTATCCCTCTCCTAGATTCCTATAGACGTCCCCCGTTATCCCACTCATTCTCAGTTATCTTCCATAGACACATCCCACTGGGTGGTTTTCGTCCCGTACTGGATTAATCGCTCCTTGATGTCATTTCTGTGACGACCTCTGCACGAAATACCCCGACATTCACTCAAGGTACAAAGATCCTAACCTAGGGTCATTATGACAAATATGTTGTTCAATTTGTAAGGCAATCATTCGTGTATTGTCTACTTCAAACACGTTGCGAGCAAGACAAAGACGCGGCGAGAGAAAATATACATTGGTATTACCTATCATAACCACAAAATGTGATCACCATAGAATGCAAAGTTGCCCCAACAGCCCCAACAGTTGAATGAAGATCTGGTTGGAGAAACAATCATTATCATTCACCAAGGTAAAACATCTACCAAATCCTTCAGCTTGGGTAGACAATGATCATCAATCAACTTCAAGTGCTTAGTGGGTCTAATTCGATCTGCAATGGGGGGCACCTCAACATTGATGGGCACAATGCCGCATTATAATTTTGACGTACCGGTGGTATGACAGCACCTTCGATACCGCTCCTCTGGCCCTCCCGCACAAGCTCCCAGACAGCTTCGTTACTCGCCATAGCCTTTGCGGTTTGGGACTTGCTGTTAAGGCGCATTTTGGCATGAAGCTTTCCCAAGGCATCGAGTACAAGCGGAGCGGGAACTGATGCCGTTGCGAACGCGGTAGCATTTTCCATGTCATTGCCTTGCCCCGTACCAGAGTATTGTCTTAGATATGTTATTAGTTGTCGATAATACCTGGCAGAACCGCACCACTCGGCATTCTCAACATCGAGGCTCTCTAATGGCTTATGCTGAATTACGAGCTCTTTTGCCGCCAGTTGAGCTTCAGCAGTCCGCCCAAGGAAGACGGCCAGGAAGAAGATGCGTAGTGGCTCCAAATGTACGTGGTTCATCCACTTCATTCTGGCCGCTGCCAGGACATCTTCCTCAAATTGATACTTTGCAGCTGAATCAAAAACCTTTAGGTCCGTTTGAAACGGTGTAGTACCATCTGCGCTTTCCATTGCGTCTATCCGGTTTCGAAAACGTGCTTCACCAAACGGATAGCATAATCGCAACAGCTTGATCAGAATAATTCCATTCTCATCGAGCTCTACGACCGGCATTCCATCTTGAAACGCGCCTTCTACATCGCCAGAGCAGCGCCGAAGGATCTCATTGTCTGGCGATGCGAGCTTCAGGATGGCCTTGTGGCAACGAATGTCAATTGAATCCGAGGATCGCAAAACGACATCGGGGACGAGGTGATAGATTTCTCCTAGGTCAAAGGGCTCCGTGGTGTTGTTCGACCCTACGGTGAGATCGAAATTAGACTCGCGATCGTCTGTCTCCGCCAGTGACGATGTCAATGTCGGCGGGTCACAGAGTGGTCCAGAGTCCGCAGATGATCGGACGAACTTCAGAAATCTGCAGAACGCCCCTGCTGAGATCTCATTCATTTCATCCCGGTAGCTCTTAGCTACCAGAGATCCGTAGTCTAAATCTGTCACCTCCTCCCTCCAAGTCCGTGCTGAGAAAATAGCTTCTTCCTCCAGCCGGAGCTGACAAGCAATTGCAAACATGCAAGGAGGGTCTTGGACACCCAAAGACCGTAGGTCTGCTTTCATGAGCGAGACGACCTTATTCACGTCGTACTTCAGAGCCGCACGTAGCACTTTAGACACGAATGAGAGATCTGTAAGGGGCTGTGGAGGGAGAATCGGGTAACAGAGACGAAGGAGATAATCCAAAGTCTCCTTGTCTTCCTGAACCGGGATGATTGGGTGACTATCTGTTGTAATCGTTTGAATGGTAATGATATCGTCCTGAGGTTGATGAAGGGAGAACATGTCCTCGAAGAAAGAGGAGGCAAGAATGAGGACCTCTTTGTACACGTAGAAATCGGTATTGTCGCATGAGCGAAGAATAACATTTGCTTTGGTATTGTCGAACGGGGCAGAGGCTACTTCAAGAGTTAGAGACATGATGGAGGTGCAGAAAGACGAAGAGAATTCAACAGTCACCGTCAATAGTGCAAGTACACGAGGCTAGCACGAGGTTTGCAGCGTGTTTGAAAGCATATACGCAGCTAGATGGTTTCATTCGAGCACATCTTTCTGATACGGAAGAGTACTTGCGTTGCTTCACATACCTTTATTACAATGCCCATCGCACTTTGCCTTTATTAATAAATAAGTACAGTGCTGGATATGCAAAGTGCTTGTATCATTTAAGAGGTTACACAAAGGAGGGCAAATGCGGGTCTGCAAGCCCAAACAGTATTTCAGAGTAAAACTCGACAATCATAAGCAGGGGTGCACTTACCAGACTGGCGTGTATACTGCGGCGAGGAGGCTAAGTTTTCTAGGGCCTGTATTTAGTCTAGGACGCAGTCTGGCGTACGATGATATTACGTGGTTATTCTGTCCGATCCAAACCTGCGCATATCAAAGCCGCATTACCGTATACAATCGCACTCACCGTGATAACTGCCGTTGGTTTTGGAAAGACATCCGTAAGACATTTCGATAAGCAAGAGGCAGAGAAACTGGGCGAGATAAATTAACATGTACCCTCGTGAACTTGAAGCGTCAGAGACGTGGTTGAACCGAAGGAGTTGAACAACCATTTTCAAGAAACCCAGCAGCTTTGCAGAAGTTGCATCAGGTATGGAGAGAAAAGACGCGGGATTCTGGAAGACGGTCGCAGGGAAGTGTGCATATTAGCAGGTCCCTAGTATCGCTTCGGAGTGAAAGATATATTCGACGTACTGTACATCGTGCCTTAACGAAGGTACTTCAAATCCGGTCTAGTCGGTTAGTGTGAGCAAAAGAAAGGGAAGAACTGGCCGTTCCCTGAAGATCGAAGCAACTTGCAAGTGAATCTCATCACCTCAGCTCTGAAAGGATGAACTAAATAATGAATCCGACAGACTCGACCCATTTGCTTACGAATTCTGAAATGTCGCTTCCTCGTTAGCTTCCGTAGATTCTTATATAGTCGGGGTCGGATTGCTGTAAGGGATTGACCATTATGTCTTGAAACTGTACCTGCAGATCCGGTGAGCAATATGAGCTGGCAAGTCAGCGCACAGTAGCCAAGAGTAGTATACTACACCCACATACTTCCCAAGAACCACATTGAGAAGATCCAGAATGGGGCTGGAGGATGTATGATTTCGGCTTTAGTGTGCATTTTGTATCAAAAGTTTCGAAGCACTTACCGGTTTTCGTGGCCCAAGAAATGAGAATACCTGTCAGAATCGGTTAGAATCAAAAGGCCAGAAATATGTTTTGAAAGGATTGCTGCAACACAATTGGATACTACACATCTCTAATGAATCGACAAGAGGGATCAGCGGGAGAGACATCGTTCTATTTCCATGATGCAAGGAACGTCCATATCGTACAAATCATGAAATCCAAATGAGAAATTGAAACTGAAGTCATGAGCAGTATACACATTAAACCAAGGACGCGCAGACGGAAAAAGAAAAGAAAAGAAAGATCATTATGCTCTATACAGTCAATGAAGGGCAGAACGTAGCCCACAACTGCGCCCAAACACTGGGACTCTCCTCCTGCACAGTCTTGATAGCACCACCATCACGCTTCACTATAATCGTATATTCCCTCTCGCCTTCCGACGGAACAGGGTACCACCATTTAAGAATCTGACCGTCGACAGCCCATCGACCCTGCGAAGCTGAAACGGATAACGACAGAGGTGCAGAGATCGACACCTTCGGTGAGAGCGTCAGGTACCATGGGTCGTGGCTTGGAGGGAAGTTCAATTCACTGGTGATCTCGTGAATAGTATCGGAAGATGATATCTGAGACGCAGCAGAGCTCTTCGGTTTATCGTCGTCTGCTTGGTCTTGACTGGATAATCGAGCGATGACTTCGTCATTGGCATAATGGACGAGAGGAATATAGATTTCGGTAGCCAGCTCTTCGTCGTCTTCGGTGTCCGAGGACGAGATAGAATCGGATGAGGATTTGACACGACCAAGAGCCTCTGGACGTGGCTTGTCTTCCGATCGCACGCGGACAGTGAGCTTGAACTCGCCTTTCGCGATATCGAATTGTACGTTGGTCGGGGTACCAATAGTGGCAATGGGGTATGGACGACAGAACGCCTTGAACGCCCGTGCGCCGTCAGTTAGGAAGTCATATGCGTTTTCCCATTGCGACAGAGAAGAGATTCTCGAGATTTTGGAAGCACCATCGCCAGATTGTATAGCCTGTATTGTAGAAAGCGATAGTGATGACGTCGCAGCAGAATCCCCAACTTTCTTCAGCAACCCTGCAGACGAAGAGTCGCCAGTCTCCATTCGATAGCCTGCTTTCCTTCGAAGGTCGTCCGGACTCCACAAACTCAAATCCTCCATGTTCCATCCGTCACCCCATGCATGAGAGTTGTCAGGAGAGTACGTCCAGATCGTGAAATTTAGTGTATTGGGACCGTCACAAGCATTCAAGCTCGCGTCCAAGGCTTTCTGCTGACCTGAGTAGTCGCCCTTGTATTTCCCATCGTCCGTCCACCCATACGCCTTCTTGTCATCCATATCAAATGGAATGCCAATCTCGCCGATGATAGTTGGATAGGCACCTAATATCTTCGCGTCGTCTTTGAGCACACCGAGTTGCTCTTGGAGGGATTGTCGAATAGCTTTCTCGCCGATCTTGACAGCAGGAAGATGTGACCCGTATTTGCCTCGGAGGATCCCTAGTGCATCAGCGTTGAACCAATACCAATGGCGGTTGAGGAGAGTAAGTCCGTCGTAATAATGAGTGGAATGACAACACCGGCCTTTCAGTAGAGATTCACTAATAGGCGGTGGAGGTGCGAATACGGGAGGTGCGACGAAAAGAATGGCTTCGGGATGCGACTGACGTATCCGTTTGCCGAAGGCCTCCCAATGTGGTTTCCAGAAATCACTGAGGAAAACAACCTCTCGATCTGTGTCGTTCGGGGACGTCCTAAAGTAGTCTGGTGTGATCACATAGCCAGACTCCACGTCCCAAATACCATGTAGTGCCCAAATGCAAGTACCCAATTTCCAACCGGGGTCTCGTTTCCATCCCCATTTCGGATGAACGCCACCAGGCTCCGTAGATGGGTCGGCCCAGAGTTTCTTGCCTTTAGGGTCAACGAGGATTTGTTTACCCTTCTTCGGACCGAATACGCTAAATGTCCAGGTATCAACCATCTGCGCCTTGCCCATACCTAATCGGAACGACTGAGCCGGGGTAGGGAATGTGCCCTTCTTGAGCGTAGAAGTCTGTTCTGAGGGATATTCGTTCAGGTCGGGATAGCCGCAGAAACCTTCGAATGGCTCATTTATGCTATCCCAGCCGATGACACAATCATCCAATAGATCACCTGCGTCTCGTATTCGATCTGCGAGTAGTCCCATCGCCTCAATGTAGTGCGATTGGAGGTAATCCTGAATGTTCATGCCATCGATTATACACTTTGGTGCATAGTCACGACCGGCAAACCAGAGTGTGAATAATGCTTGAACTGCGAGACGGCCATAGTTCGTGCTCCAAATCATTGCGGGAAGATCGGCGGGATTTGGATCTTCCGCGGTAGGATATTCGCAGTGAACGATAGCAGAATTGGTGGCGGTGATATTGCGAGCATTCAGACCACAAGCCGCCAATGTCCAATAGGGTGCTCCAGAACCTCCAGTGTACCGTGACCACTACACCGGTGTACTAGGTGAGGAAATGAAGGTCGTAAAAACATTGCACTCACAGTGTCTTGGTGCGGGTCTATGTACACTCTGAAGCCGTACTCTTTGCACTTCCGAAGTACGCGGATGGTGTAGTCCATGAACTCGTAGTCGTATTTTCCTCTGAATAATTATCAGATTGCGAGCAACGTGTGTAGTCACAACCTGAGCTCACGGTCCTGCATGTTCCAATGCTTCCCAGGTTACAACGTATCGGAGCATGTTGAAGCCCCAACCTCTCAAACGAGCGAGGTGGATATCGGCCGAACCATCATCCAAGTTTAAGGGTCTCCCGACGAAACTTTCTCCGCCGTTCTCTGCACTTTCCCAGAAGTCATCCAAAACCTGAGAGGGATGGTCAAGAGGTGCCTTATCTGAAGCGGATAAGTTTACTCCACGCAGGAGAATGGTGCGTCCTGCATTATCGACAAAGTTGGTTTCAATGGTATGTAGATACTCTGGGCGAACTGGAAGGCCTGTTGCGGGTGAGACAGAGGGAGCTCGAGGCATAGCGAGTCGTAAGTCGAAAGCGTCGACAGCTCGAACCAACTAGTACAGAACTATGGGTAACTGATGACGAGGAGCAGAAAGCGACACCCAGTGAATTGGGACTTTGTCGCTAAATAATTCGTATGAGCTCGTCGTTGTTAACGTCGACGATGAGAATGCTACTCGACGTCGATGGTCGAGTGCAAGTTGTAGTAGACAGAACAATGCGGATCGCCTGGATCGTCCCACTTGCAACTATATCCGACATTTATCCGAGCGTCTAGACCAAAATAGCTCAAGACGAGTCCGAAACGAGTGTCGGCGAACAAATGATCCAACTGGTGCAGGGAGGCCCGGACGTTCACTCCAGATGTCTTTCTGACCTCACGCAGACCATCAGCAAATTTGGGCCACAAATGATGCAAAGCCACAACTGAGGGCATGAGCTGGGGTCTTTCTCCTTTGATCTTTGCAATTGACAATTGTCCTCTGTTCTTTGACCTCGCTTGTTGCATAAATACGCCTCAAAACATCTTCTCATGAACCGTCAACGCATCAGACATCTCCTCGTCTGCTTTCTGATCTTGTTCCTCTTCTAATCTAGCTCTACATTGCAACTTTCTACCCCTCTACGCCTCTCATGTCACTGCTCAGCAATCGATACGACAACGTACCTGAAGGATCCCGCTGGGTGTGTATCCGAGAACCGATCCATGACGAAAATGGAGAACATCTTCGCAAGACGAAATTGGTACGCAAGCTTGTGAAAGAATGCCCCGGCATCCGACAGGCATACCTCGACAACTTGAAGAAAGAAGTGGAACGAAAGCTTGCCGAAAGAGGGCCAAACGAAGATGACGGCGATACACCCGTGAACTACTTTGACTGGAACAACGGTTGGCCGAAACGCTCGCGCACAGAACTTGAGGATGCTGCCAGAGAACGCGAGAACCCAAACACACGCCAAACTGTACCTGCACCATGGCCTCTGCACTGTACCAACCACTGGTATGAGTTCTCCTCAGTGGACCAAAAGCTCGAAGGCGCGAACGTTGGCCAATACTTGGCTGAACTTCGGAAACTTTCTGATCCTAGCTGTCCCGTTAGACTCTTCAAAAGAATGCAGCCCAACGATGAGATTGAGATAACCCTCAAGGTGAGTGACTGTCTGACTTGTTTGAGGTTAATTTATTTTTCATCCAAACAGTGGCCTGGGTACGACGCCTTCACACGTACTGCTGATGTTGCTTGGGTGGGCACTCGGGCACTACTTTTCAATTGTCTTGTCCTTATGCTAGACGACTTCATAAACGAGATGTCGGAGGTCTGTTTTTATCCTTTTCTTCTTCCATTACTTATGTTCCTGACCTGTTTCTGTGACCATATAGGTTGAGACACAGGAAGAATACTACAAGGTGGGCCCTGGAGGCATCACAATTGACAGGATCTGGATCGTTGGGTTCGGCCAGACCCCCGACAAGAAGTGGATACCGTGGTTCGAGGTCGACTTTCCGAAACCTAAGTTTGCGCTATGCAATGATGCGACGTCATCCTCATAATTGGGAAGTTTCCCTCTGCACATACATTGATTATTATTCTGCACTATGTGTCCGTTCTAATATCATGTAACAACAATCTGATATACTAAACTTTTACTTATAAATTCAGTAGCCTCCGCCATACCCAGTGCTGGCCATGGCCGCCAGGTAATCCCCACCATCTGCATCCCCACCATCTGCATCCCCATCATCTGCATCCCCACCATCTACATCTGAATCCGCTCCTAACCTTTCTCGTTCCATGAAAGCAGCACCGACAATGATCAATTCCAGCATATGTTCAGCCTCTCGGTCGATCTCCATGTACGTTCTAGAACTCATGAAAGGTTTGCGAATCCGCATGACACGCTTTGCTGAACGACCATTACCCGATTCACGTTTCAGCTGTATGACCCAAATCATCAGCAGCTCCGAGTTATAGCGCTAGCGAAATAGTCTTACGTCTGCCGGTTTTCCCCAGCGTTTCTTCCAGTAATATCGCGTTCCATCCGGGCCTGTGAGGGTCCGCTTCCTACTGGAGGTCAATCAAGAGATCCTTTCTAATATTGATACACTACTCACCCTGACCAGAACCCAGCTTTCGGCATGAAAGTCTTCATATCCATCTTGAACCCTCTATAGTTCACTTGTGTACTTCGATAAGCACGCCAAGTTATAGTGGCAATTTCGCCGGTCCCATTCGCACCACCACCGACTCGATAGATCCTCGTAGGTCCAGCCTTCCACATCCCAGTCGAGGTCGTAAGGTGATATAACGGTCGTCCCCTGTGGTCGGTAATGACAGTGTTCACAAATGAACTACTGGACAATTCCAGCTTCAGCATGGTGTTTTCTGAGGAGGATCTTGGGGACACAGCAGGTTTAAGTAGGGACATGCTCAATGGACCTGTACAGCAAACGGGTTGTGCCCTCCGATCCTATGTAAGCTCGGACTAACAGGATGACAGGTTGTCATGAATAATTGCTACTTATAGATGAAAGGATCAAACTTTATCCTTGGCTCCATGACAGGCGCAGTCAGCATGAACCGTTTGACATACATTTCTACAGCGCGAGGTCTTCAAAGAGAGAAATCTCCAACCCCTACGTGATTCGTACCGAGAATCCTGGCGGGTCACATCGACATTTGTGCCTGCGCCGTCACTCTTCAGGCACAAGCGCAGTCTAGAGCACAGGGCAAGGTACAGACAGTTTTTTTGTTTGGGCTTGTATTGCAAAGGCTTTGTTACCAACGCCAAATCGATAAGTATACTAATCGACGATATATATAGGTAATTTACTTTTGATCCTCAACATTCAATACCGAGCTCAAGTACATGCAATGACTCACGGAAACATTTGTTATTGTTTACTGCGAAGTAAGCACAGTAGTTAACTCATAGACCCAACGGTACTAGCATTGACATAAATGGACTGCGGTCAGTGATGCGCTGTCCCTCGCATTCTGTGATGACACCTTTCACCCTCCAATTCGCTACAGTAACTTAGATCCCTCAGGAAATGGCATCCTCAGCTGGTTCCTACCAACACATTGAATGCTATCAAGACTAGCTAGGTGGCTTACGACAATATACGCACTCCGACCTGAACATTGCTCTACTAGGATCTTGAACCTTGAAGATATGTACGAGAAACTTAGAGGTTGAGTTGATCTCCGACATCTGCATGTGAACTACCAGACCTCCTGGTCGCTAAACTCTTCCAGCCAAAGTGGCATCCTTGCTGTGGTGGCTAAACTATTTTAATGTGATACATTCATGTAATGGTCAACATTACATAAACCAACCATGGCCATTCTTCTCTAAGACTCATTTCCTTGGTAGGCTATCCATGGACTCTCTTATCTACAATTGTGCATCTCCCGTTTAGGCAACTGACTTCATATGTATTTCCATTTTCCTTGTCCTCCGTCATTAGTTTCCTATGGGCATGGAACACCCCGTCTCTTATATAGCCTCATCTGCATTCACTGTAGGTCCCCATTGTTCCAATGCCAGTAATCCCATCCTGCTCTTCTGTTTGCTTCTCCGTTCTAACTTCTAAGCCTTACATCTTGTTCAGCCTAGCTGTTATAGTTTGGAATGACCGTTATACACAAAAACTTGCGTCGTTGGAGTCAAATCCACTCACTATCGCTGAACCTCTGTTGTCCATACTGTTGGACAGCCATTAGCCAGGAGACCGGACATACAGTCAATTTGACACTTCTCTTCTCACACTTGACAGATCATCAAAGCTCCTAGTATGTCTTCTATTTCTGATATGTTCACTGATTCCCTTCTCTCTGGAATGAACACCCCAGCCCCTGACCCGACTCATATCCCTCCTTACACTCAAGGTGGGAATGGGCAGTTCTACGGGGGCATCCCTCCTTAATTCGCTCTGCGTCCTCAGGCTGGCCCTGTCCCTCAGCTGCCTGTTGGGACTTCTTCACCAACACCTCAACTGCTTCCTAACCAAGCTGCTCATGAATGCACATTGTTCGAGGCTGTCGTTGGCCTCGGTCAATGCACTGAACACCTTGGCAATGCCGTCTTAGGCATAGCAAATCATTTCACTCATTTCCAGTCCCAGCTGGCTCCTGCTCAGCCAGCTCCTCATCCAGTCTCTCAAGAACGGCCATCTGCTATACAGCTGGCCAAACCGAGGGTCTTCGATGGCAAGGCTAGCTCCGTCGTCAGTTTTCTTCAGGAGGTTCACACGAACATCACCCTTGGCAAGGCGTCTGTCCCTACAGATGCCAAAAAGATCGCTTTCATGACCAGCTATTATAAGGATGGTAAGCCCACACTTTGGCACCATTCTCTCGAGCTTTCCCAGGACCCTGTTCTGGGAGACTTCGAAGCTTATCTCAAGGCTTTTAAAAACCGCTTCGAGAGTCCTGACCTTGTTGAACGGATGATGGACAAGGTCGAGACAATGACTCAGACCTGCTCTGCTGCTGAATACTCTGCTCATTTCCAGGAGGCTCTCAAATACCTCGACATTAATGAACTGCTTAAAATTCACTATTTCCATCGAGGTCTCAAGGAAGACATCAAGAATGCTTGGGTCTTCTGTCGTGACAAGCCCGTCATCTTCCAAAAGTACATAAGTGAGTCTATTGCTATAGATAATCATATTTTCCAGTGCACCCGGGAATGTCATTTCGAGTCTTGCCATAACTTGGGTCCTGCTACCTGTCGCGAGTGTGAGCGTCCTCCTGCATTCAACATCAATCAAGCCCCTCAGCCTTCGATGTCTTCAATGGCATCTAATTCTGGCATTGTTCCTATGGAGGTTGACTCTGTTCAGCATGGGCCTCTTACTGCTGAGGAGAAAGACCGTCATCGAAAAGAGGGTCTTTGCTTCTATTGTGGCAAAGGTAAGCACCAAGCTTCTGAGTGTCCGAATAAAACCACCAAGCCCAAGAAGGGCAAAGGCCAGGCTTCTCCCTCTGCAGGAAAAGCCTAGCCAGGGGTTCCTTTGTCCCAGAGCCCCCAGATGACTTAGGGACTCAGGCATCCACTTCGGGGGCTAATGGCTCTTTTGTATGAATGGACAATGGTACATGGAGTTCGAAGTTGCCTGTGAACACTCCAATTTATATTCATTCTACTCATGTCCATAATAACCTCCGAAGTCTGGAACATTTCTTTGTTTCAGTTACTCTTTCTTTTCCTCATTGAAAACCTGTGCACACTTATGCACTCGTTGACTCTGGTGCTATGGCTTCTTGTATTTCCCTTGATTTTGCCAATAGACATTTGCTTCCTTGCCATCTCAAGGATGAACTGGTACCTGTTACTGCTGTGAATGATCAGCCAATTGCCTCTGGCTTGGTCTCACACGATGTAGTAACTTTCCTTTCTGTTCGAGCCCATTCTGAAATTATCTCGCTCGGTGTTGTTCAAGTTTCGTTTCCTGTTATTCTCAGTCTTGACTGGCTTTGACATCATAATCCTTCTATTGACTGGGTCCATTCCCAATTGTCATTTTCATGTTGCAGTTCTGACCCTTCATCTTCTGTTCCTGCTCTTGATAAAGGCTTCAGTCTCGCCAAGGCCCATGTGCCTTCATATTTGCATTCATTGTCTGCTACCTCTGTCAGTTTAGGCCTCAGTCTTGATGGCAAGGTTCTTGTCTCAGCACACCCTGGTCATCAGCCATGTACTGAATGAGTTGGGATTCCTTCAGAGAATATCAACTTGCCCTATTTATCGCTTTACTTCAAATCACCCTTGTCTCCAACTGTCTTGTCCAGTGTTGGCTTCGGCCAGCCTGGTCACCTTGTTCCTGTGTTCAGATGTCTGTTCTCTTCTCTTGCATCCTCTCTTTCAGAAGACCCGCCTTCATCTCCACCTCAGATTGACATTGCCTTTGTCAATTCTGCACGTTATCGCAAGCTTGCTAAGAATGGCAAATGCGCTGTTCTTTATTACTATCCAAAAGGGACCAGAGGCTATACTCTGGCCTCCATGCATACTGACTCTAATTCTTTGTCTCCTGATCCAGTTTCCAGCCCTCCACCTCCAGAACCTCCTCCATGTGATGAGAACGATGTGCTTCATTCCGTTCCAGAGAAGTACCATTCTTTCTCATCTGTATTCTCACCTACTGAAGTCAACAATCTGCTGCCTCATCATGAAGGCTTTGATGCAGCATTGACATTGAAGAGGGGAAGACTCCTCCCTTTGGTCCAATGTATCACCTCTCGCAGCCCGAGCATGAAGCCCTTTTTGCCTATATCGAGTTCAACCTCAAGAAAGGGTTCATTCATCATTCAACATCTCAGGCTGGTTCTCCCATACTCTTCATGAAAAAGAAGACTGGGGAACTACATCTTTGCATCAACTACTGAGGTTTGAATTCTATTACCAAAAAGAATCGCTATCCACTTCCACTCATCGATGACCTCTTGGACCGAGTCCAAGGATGTAAAGTTTTCATGCTTCTTGATCTCAAGAATGCATTTAACCTGATTTGCATCTGAGAAGGGGACAAGTGGAAAACCACTTTTTGGACACCTCTTAGTCTTTTTGAATACACGGTTATGCTGTTTGGCCTGACTAATGCTCCTGCCATTTTTCAAGGTTTTATTCAGGACACACTACGTGACTTGCTCGATGTCATCTGCATCGTCTACTTGGATGACATACTCATCTTTTCCCGCACTCAAGAAGAACATGACTGTCATGTTGCTATGGTGCTCAAGCATCTCCGAAAAGCTGGACTCTATGCCAACATGAAGAAGTGCTCCTTCAACCAGTCCGAAGTTGAATATTTGGGGTACCTGCTCAATGCCGATGGCATCAAAATGAGTCCCGGTAAGCTCAATGCTATTGCTTCATGGCCGGCTCCCTGATCTGTGAAAGATGTTCAGTCTTTCCTTGGCTTTACTAACTTTTATCGTCATTTCATTGATGACTATGCTCGGATCATCCTTCCTCTCAACGTTCTGACCAGGAAGGATGCTATGAGTAAAGGGTTTGTTCTTACACCCAACGCGCTTGCAGCTTTTCAAAAGCTCAAACATGTCTTCACTTCTTCTCCCCTTCTTCGCCATTTTGACCCACTTCTTCCATCAACATTGTCTATTGATGCATCAGATTTTGCTATTGCAGCTATCCTTCATCAGCCCAATGGTCACAGATTTCTTCATCCAGTTGCTTACTACTCTCGTAAGCTTTCACTGGCTGAAATCAATTATGAAGTCTACGACAAGGAGCTTCTCGCTATTGTTGACTCATTCCGTCACATGTGAGCCTGGCTTATCGGGACTGTGGCCATGGTTTCCAATCATAAAAACCTTGAGTATTTCATGTCTTCTCGCATTCTTAATCGTTGACAGGCATGTTGGTCCATGTTCCTCAGCGAGTTCAATTTTCGCTTGGATTATACTTCTGGCATTAAAAATCCTGCTGATTCCCCTTCTCGTCGCCCTGACTATGTGCCTCGAGAGGGAGATGACATCCTTCAGCTCCAAGAAAAGGTGTTACTGACTTCTCAGCATACAGAATGCCTCTTCGGTTCACCACCCACTAATTCGGCACAAGACACATCATCCGCCACTTCAAATCCTGCTCAACTCACGCTTTCTGCCATTACTTCTGTCAGATTGGATAATTCCGAGCTCGTCAACAAGTTTAAATGAGCTTATAATTCTGACACTGAATGGTGCAATGCTCAAAGGCATGGAAGCCCAGATTTCATTATGGAAGATGACATTGTCTTTCATAAAGGTCGTGTCTTTGTCCCTTCTTTCCTTCATCCTGACATTCTCTATTCTCATCACGACTTACTTCTTTCTGGTCATCTGGGAAGAATGAGAACTCATGCCCTAGTCTCCCAAGATTTCTCCTGGCCGGGTATGGACACATACATTCACTGCTATGTTCAAGCATGCAATGTCTGTGCATGTATCAAAGCTCCAAGACACAAGCCTTATGGCCTCTTGCAGCCTCTTGATATTCCGTTCCATCCTTGAAAATCCTTATCCATGGATTGGGTCATCAAATTACCTCACTCGCATGGCTACAGCTCAATCTGGGTTGTATGCTGTCGACTCACTCGTGCTGCTCATTTTGTTCCCTGTAGTGAGACAATTGATGCACCTGGTTTGGTGTGGTTATTCGTCAACCGTATTTTCTGCTATCATGATCTTCCAGACTCAATAGTCTCAGACAGCGGGTCTGTTTTCATCTCGCACTTCTGGAAAGAACTCACCACTTTGCTTAAAATAGATACTCGCACTTCTACTGCTTATCACCCTCAATCTGATGGCCTTACAGAGTGTACGAATCAGACACTCGAGATGTACCTCCGAGCCTACTGTTCTTACCAACAGGATGATTGGGTGGACTACCTGCCATTAGCCGAGTTTGCATTCAACAATAATGTGAACTCGTCTACCAAGCAAACTCCATTCTATGCCAACTACGCTTTTCATCCCACTTTCCAGCCACAAGTCTCTGAATGCTCCACTGTCCCCACTGCTGCTGACCTCGCTCAATGCCTCGATCATATCCATGAAGAGCTCCATGCCAAGCTCAAGGATGCCCAAGATTGACAGGCTCATTACTACAACTGACGAGTCGCTGACTCCCCTTAATACAAGCCTGACCAGCTTGTCTGGCTCTTATGTCGAAATGTCAAGATGGCCCAGCCTTCAGACAAGCTCGACCATTGTCGGCTTGGCCCCTTTCCTGTCGAACAAGTGATCACATCTTCCACTTATCATCTCCGTCTCCCTTCCTCTATGTCATGCCTACATCCCATATTTCATGTTTCCCTTCTCGAGCCCTATTCAGACCTGTCCGAGTTCCACCTTCATGCTGACCCTGACTCTCTTATTATTCAACCCGCTACAGGTTCCCCGATGTCGATCCATCAAGTCCTCGCATCACGTAAAGTCAGCCACCATTATGAATACCTCGTATGTTGGCATGACTTACCAGCTGAAGAAGACTCCTGGGTCTCACTTACTGACATCCCCTTTTCTTACAATGAACTCATCAAACACTTTCACCGCTGTCATCCTCATTTCCCACGTCCTCACTAACTCCTTCTCAGCTATGCAACTCCTACATTCTGCGACCCTACTAATACACCTGACCACATGTCTACAGAGCCTTCTCTCCCACAGATCCCTCCTCCAGAGCTGAGCCATGCCCCATCCATTGCCCCATCAGTTGCCTTCTCTGAGCCTCTCCCCACATCGTCCATACCTGTCATCCCTCCTGCTGCTGCACGTCCTGCCTCTCTACCTGCTCCTCCTCATTTGAACCTGCATGAGCATTACATTCTCCCATCGCAGACCATGACTTGTACTGGTCGTGTCTCATGTCCTCTACAGCATTTGGATCTGTAGGTGCTTGCTGATGAACAGAGCCATTGCACTCACCCTCAAGAGGGAGGTGATGTAATGGTCAACATTACATAAACTGACTATGGCCATTCTTCTCTAAGACCCATTTCCTTGATAGGCTATCCATGGACTCTCTTATCTACAATCATGCATCTCCCATTTAGGCAACTGACTTACTTCATATGTATTTCCATTTTCCTTGTCCTCCATCATTAGTATCCTATGGGCACAGAATGCCCCATCTCTTATATAGCCTCGTCCGTGTTCACTGTAGATCCCCATTGTTCCAATGCCAGTAATCCCATCCTGCTCTTCTATTTGCTTCTCTGTTCTAACTTCTAAGCCTTGTATCTCATTCAGCCTAGCCATTACAGTTTGGTTCTCTGAGCTCTGAATCCTACTTCCTTTAGAGGTAGGTTGTTAAATAAATGGTCCACTCGGTGGATCAATGAAGAAAGTTGCAGACATTCGATCAGCAAAAGAATTGTCGCACTGTAGGGTGATGCCCCTTCACGACTCAGTATAAGAAATGTCACTCATCAGAGTCGTGATTTATTAAGGCAGTGTTTGGCTCTGTATCGCAAAGGCTTTATTGTCATCACTTGATCAGATATCTCTATTTCCCAATAAAGAAGATCATACAGCATCCGGACTGGGTGCCATCGCAGGATTTGCAGCCATTTGTCTGAAGATAATTAACTCTCTTTTCCATCCCAACTGGCAACAGCCTTTGGCGAACAAGTCAGATTGTGATTCTCGATTATACATATGTGGAGTGATACACATCTTCCACATATTTTTGAAGATGAACTTGTAGCTTAACAGATAAATAGTACTTATGCTGAGAATGAACAGAAACAGACCAAGTGAATTCTTCATAACCGGCTCCTTGAAATTATTCGATATCACAACTGACCTGTGGAAGATCAGCATTCTGATACTATTAATGAATGACAAATGGGATGACGCACAGGATAGTATTGTGAAGAAGTTCTTCCTCAATGTACGCAAGGCCAAGTGGGTGCAGTTTGCAGAATCAAGTCATACTGTGCATTACGAGACTGAAAGATATATGGACATCATCGCGAGCTTCTTGAATGACCATCACAGTCCTGGACTTAGCATCACCATTCCACTAGCTACAATGCAAAATCCTTGACCTTTTTCTATGACCTCGGGCTTGCTCGTATTCCAGAGCCACATATGGTGTGCAACTAAACAGCGTATTGTATGTTCATTATCACTCCACTTTGTCATCATTATATTATGTATTTGCACCTGTACAAATGTATTGCAATTATCAATGATAAGTTGTATTACAACTACTAGAATCACTAAATTGGGCTTGCAGGTGATCGATGGTTGTTGAATCAAAGAAGGCGTAGCTTCAGATCCAAACAAAAGGAACCAGAATGCCATCATGGCTTCAAGTGCTAGTACATGTTGCAGGTGCACAATGATGGCAGCAACTGCTTGATGTACATCACATGAGCGCATGCACAGAACATTGCTATGCCAAAGAAATAGCATGACGGTTGAGATTGAGGTGCCAATAGTGCATATATGAATGTGGGAGGATGGGAGTAATAGTCCATCAACTGATCGCAAACATGGCAGAGGTACAGCGAAGACATCAACTGCAAAGGTATGCAAAAGAGGTGACCTTCAGATGGATACTCTGTAATGAGGAGAATAAAGAGCGCAGTCAGCCTTGAATACAATTCCAGGGATCAAAAAATGAACTCGCGTGCAGATGAATGAACCTAGGGAAAAAGACAGGGGTTGAGTGGGATGGTCGGGACAATGGGATATCACTGAAAAGAGGCTCCATGTAAAGGTTGAAGGTGATGAACAAGGAGTAAAAAGACGTAAAGAGGTGATAATTTACAAGAACTTGAATGTCATGTGAAGGGTATCGAGGGTATGGCCAGATGTGCAGAATGAGCAAAAAAAAACTGTGGAGTTGAATGTCCAAATGGAAAAAAAATGATGCAATGCTTAGGGTGAAAAGGAGAATATAAGGGTTGCAAAGAGTGGACTTCATGAATCCGTGGCTAGTGCCTCTAGATAGTGCATGATCTGTGACATATCAGGTCAATCATTGGGAGGCATGGACCAGCACTGCTGGATGAGATTCCACAGATCGTTAGACATCTCCTTCCCAGTTGCAATTGTCGGGCATTCCGGATGGCCACCATGAAGGACAAATGAGACCACTTGGGGATCTAGAAAGATATTGGAAAAAAGCTTCATGCGAGTATACACCTAAGGGAAGCCATTTAGCGATGCAAAAAAAAAACTTGCAAAAAAATTCAGACAACAGACTTCTATGCATACTTGACCAAAGGAGAATACATCGCAGGCATGGTCGGGCAGTGAAATGGCATTGTCCAGCAGCTCTGGGGATAACCATCTTGATGCACTGCCAATCTGCAAACTGAAACTTGTTGTGCTTGCACCTGAGAAGAAAGCTAGGCGAAAATTGCTCAGCTTGACATGAGAGTCCTTGTTGATGAGAATATTTGCCTGTCACGACATCATCAGTCTGGCTCATGAATAACTTCTATCATTGACGTGCTTACCCCACGAACATCACTGTGTATGATTCCCTGTGAGTGCAGGTCTTTTAGATCTTGAGCCATTTCTAACAACTGATTAGATCTTGGTAAGTTTCAAATTACATGAAAGATGACAGTGGCATACCCAACAATTGTAGGGGATGTCTTCAGTCTTCAACCAATGCATGGCTTTAAGAATGTTTTCCATGGGAAGCAAAGGAGAAACTATGCATGGCGCATTCATAAAGGTCTCATTATCGATGCCATAAAAAGGCAAGACAAACTCATGTTCCAGTTGTCACCAGACAACAGTTTCACGATAAAATGCCTACAGAAAATGTCAGCAAGGACACTAAGCATGCATTGCACACATTAACAGACCTCCAGCATTTTGGACTTGTCTTCTGTAGAGAGGAAAACTCGCAGATGCTTCAGTGCTACCTTCTGGTCCTTCCATATGGCAGTGAAGATATCGGAGTAACCTCTGCACTCAAGTGCGTCAATTGAGATGCCTGTCACCCCAGAAACACAGACCAGCTCCGGAGGAACTTTGGAGACCTTCGAGAGTTTCACGATGAGCTGGCCTATTTGGTTTCCATGAAGAAAGCTTGATGCCACAGAATTTGACTGATGGGGCACGAGTCTGTGGTGGTCGAGGGTCTGGATGGTGAAATAAGCTTATAGAGAAGTGTGATAAAGCAGGAAGTTAAACATGCCTTTTGCACGATTCGAAGCAATGTCTTGGCGAGCTCATCATGGCATGATAGCATGCTGTCTGAGGGCGCATCTGGCGATGTGAAAGTATCACATAGCAGGAGCCTTGCCACCATGTCGAAGGTTGCATCTTCACCCTGTTCTGCAGGCACAGCCCACGGACAGACCTGAGAATGCAAAGCAATATTCTGTGCTTTGACATCTTGGATCTTCTTTTCAGTTTGTGCTAGGTTCTCTTTAAGTTGCCGAATCTCAAGATTCTTTGTGACAACAGCCTTCTGAGAAATCGGAGATTCACTGCAACTGTCTGATTCATTCATCAAGCCATCACTACTGGGCTCTGATGACACCCAGTCATAATCACTAGGATAAGGTGAAAGTGGAGACCGTGAGGAACTGTGACGAAGAGGACTGTTGACTCGAGCAGGGGTAGTACACAAACTAAGTGAAATTGCCTGGTATGCACTCCGCCGACCCACGGGATCTGGAGATAGAATGCACCATGAAGGCTGTATATGCCAAAATACTGGAAGTTGAATTGACAACATCTCAGATGGCACCAAAGATGTTGAACGCCTTGGCCTGGGTGCAAGTATGCCATTGGAGACAGAAGGCTGCTTCTAATGTGAGCAGAAGGTTGCAGGAATACATTTGGATGTACATCATAAGAATGAACTTCAGGATGTCACCTAATCAATTCGATATCTACATTACAAACCACAGTCTTGAAGTTTTGTGGTGACATATGGGGGAAATTCTGTCAATGTGATAGATGATTGTATGAAGATGCATTCATCGGTGTTAATGTAGATGGAACTAGAGAAGTGATTAGCTTGCACAGTAATTGTGAAACACCAAGTGAGATACCCAGTGTTCCGGCATCACGGCGGACCAATTCTTCAAGAACATTATTGGCGACTCTATTGAATTGCAAATCTGTAAGTGAAGAATAGTAACCCATATACCCATCTTGAGAGGGACAGTTGCTCAATGTTGAGTCTGAGAGATCGAAAAGGATGGTAATCAAGTCTCAGTAATCTCAGCGATACCAGACCTAGGATATGAGGTGTGCACTATGAGCAAGGTGTACCATGAATGCACTGTGCAGGACATCCGGAGTTGAAGAAGCTTCCTCATCTTCAGGTTCATAGATAGGATTCTGGCTGACAATCAATTTGGACATTGCAATGTTCGATGTCTTCAAAGCCAAAGTGGGCACATTTCGCATCACCGATGTAGTCATCATGAAGGGCTTAATCACAAAAGAGCCCACCCGATATTTTTTTAAATTTTTTATCATCAGCCTTTTGAAGAATGGGGTGAGGGAGCCTCATGTCTGAGCACCAAAGCAGGAACATGTGTATAACACACATTTGCCTGCCACCAATTACTTACTATAGAACCCTCTTAATTTCTAAGCAAACATCACCTTCACAGCCAAAGATGTCAAAGACTGGGAGGACAACGAGAGACATTAGCCTGAGTTAGACAGCCTGGAAGTGATATAGCATGTCTTCAAGTAGAGTAGAATCTGGTTGAGCATTGTTAACGCTGCGTGATAAGGCCTTCGCGCAACATCATTGACAAAATAGGGCTGTTTGAAAGCAAACCATAGGTGTGGAAATGATCAATGAAGAGTTGCAGATCTCAGCTTGAGGGACACTGTGCCATTGGATTCCAGTCATGCTGGTAACTGGTTGACCTGCAGCTCGTTGCTTGTCCTTAAAACATCAAATGCTCGTCAATATGCAAAATATTATTGCCATGATATTTCTCTACGTAATACTTTCACATGAGCAAAAAAGCAAAATATTAGAACAATTCGGGACCACTCATAGAGGGGGGGGAGGGACAACAAAAGTGAACATACTATGGTCCATTTCGAAAAATACAACCAAAAGAAATATCTACTAAGGACAACAAGAGAAATTGAGGGGGCAAAGCGCTTAACATCCAAGATACGCTAAGTTCTCTATAATGCACGAAATGCTGGGCCTTGCCGAATAGTTTGATGTCCAACAACGTTGAACGAGCTCCCATAGCGTATCTGACATGACTCTGGGGATAGTCGGTCGTGAAGGTCGATTGCCTCCACAAACATGCAAATAGACCTGATGCTGTACCCTGATGAGTGGATAGGGAGTTCGCAATGTATAGAGCTAGGATACGTGAAGTAAAACAGGGTTGAAATTGGATACATACATCTTAAAAAGAGGTTCACTTACCTCCACACAAAAGCAGCCAAACGAGTATACATCGCACTCCTTCGTTGGGCGCCTGATTTCTTTGCCCTCTAACAATTCGGGGGACATCCATTGTAATGTCCCACCTTTGTGAGAGCCGAGAGTGATCGTGGTAGCATCGGTTATAGTTGAAAGGCCGAAGTCAGTGATTTGTACTTGGTTTGACTCGTTGACCAGTATGTTTGCCTACGAGAATAAATTTACGACACCCGGCAATAACCAGTAGTTAATACGCTTACGCCGCGTATATCACCGTGTACCACTTCCTGCTTGTGGAGGTACTCCACGCCCTTCGCCGCTTCGAGTAACTAGCCAGCATCCCATATGGTGAGCAAAGAAGGGAAGTAATAGAGAATGCACACTAACCCATCTATCCACCGGGACAGACTCCTGTTGAAGGGTCATTCTTTTTGCGGCATCGATGACGTTACCGTTGACCATCCAGGGCGAAACCATTCGCGGTTTGGGCGGTCTTCCTCTGGATGTCTCGATGTCGATACCTAGGAACGGAAGTATGAAGGGATGCCGCAACTGGCGCCAGACAATTGCTTCGCGAAGGAACTCCTGAATGATATGTTAATAACGCGAGTTGCAGCATAAGTTGAATCGAACAACCTTGCTTGATTTATCTACATTCATGGACTTGTTGAATCGAAGTTGCTTCAAGGCAACAACTTCACCATTCAAGTCGCCTTTAAATACGTCAGAGCAACCCCCGAACGTTGTGGGCTCGCTCTCGCCGCATTTGACGCCCTTCACATGAAACGATGTGGGTACGAAGCCCGGATTGCGGGACAGCTTAAGCAAGTACCGCAGGAACGTGCGATTCTCACTTGGAACAAACTTATCGTCATCATACTCGCTGAAAAAGTCGAATTGGATGGTGGAATCCACTCTAGACTCATCAAGTTTCTGAAAACGCTATGGTGTCAGCCAGATGACTTGAAAGTCGGTTCTTTCGTACCTCTTGGAGTAGTTGTTGAAGCGCAGTGGCGAGCTCACCGCGGGTCGCCTTAATCAATTCCTCAGCTGTCTCCGGGCTCTGCAGAGCATTCTCGAACAACAACTCGGCCTCATGACGAGCTTTAGCAGGAGCGACAGCGTCAAGGATGTTATTGCCTTCGCTTGGTGACAGCGAGCGATCCGAACCATATCCCTCATCGCGCTCGTCTATGGAATAATAGATCAACGTGTTGAATGAGCATGAACATCAATTAAGTAATCACTTATGAGGTCAAGAGAACACCCAGGGGTAAGAGGGTAGGAATCATTCCTGGACACGGCATCTGTGCTCGGATCCGCTTGAACGACCTGGACGGACTCATGCCCTCCGTGCAAAACGACAGCGTAGGATTGCGGATCGGCTAACGACAACATATCGCAGTGGTATCAGGAAGGAAGAATACGCACTGAAAATCGAATATTATCCCCGAGGTCGAGACTCATATAGGCAGCCTTTAGGAAGCTCACACCTCTCAGTCCTGCGGGGACTAGAGCGCCTTAAACATGAGGCAGTTGACAGCACACCTGCAAGTATCATTTTGCACCTACAACGCTCATAGAAAGGTCCATCACACACAAAGGTGAATTCTCGTGATTCATTTCCCAACGAGTTGTCTCCGCTGGATGACCGGTGTCTGAATGCAAGCGCTAGTAGCATGCATGTTTCACGATGCTGCAAAGAACTCTAGGCTGTGATCAGTGTAACAAGTGAACCGTCAAAATCTATGGATGGCACACCTCGTGAGATAAGCTGCAAGTTGAGCGTAACGAGACATCACACTGTTTAACGAACGCCAGGAATATTACTGCAATACTGGAGGAAGGTGGGATTTATTGAAAGAAACTAGAATCTGAGACGAAGGATATCAAATTTGTGTTAGAGCTGCGCAGTCAGAAGTTCCTAACAACCTAGCTATTCCACATACTGCGGCGTAAGGCCTTCAGTCGATTTCCACAGATCCATAGCTTCTTGGTCGGCCGTGCTTCTTGGATCGAGTGCTTCTGTTCCACATTCGACAGGAGCAATCGTCTACACTTCTGGGTTCAAACTCCCTTGTGACATCAAGGGGGTTTCTGAAGGATCTAGAGGACGTTGAGTTATTTTGCCTCCAAGAATGGAATGCGTGCTTTCTGCCAAGAATGTATTGCCAGCAGAGGCTGTCTCATGCAATACAAGTATCATGTGTATACTTGAGATAGCTCCGCAGCAGACTCTATCTAGACGAGGCAATGAATGAGCCGGTCGATATGCCTAGTACAACTCGAGAAGGATGACTCGGAACACGTCGCAGCTGGGAGGTAAGTTAACAATGAGGATGCAATCAGGTGGCGCAAGCTTCTCATTGAAAGGGTATTTCCGCGACATGCAATACCCTCACTCGGGGATAGAGATTGCTATTGCTAGCGATTATGAGGCTTGCGGCTGAGAGTTCCAAAGCAAGAGAACGGAAACAGAATTACGTCTCAGGCGCCTATGGCGTCTGAATCTCGGACATGCGGATCAAGCTCTCAACCTACCTTTAAGTGCGTGGTGCTCCTTCAAATCAAAGCTCCAGTCGAGATCACAAGATAGAAAGATAAAAAGAGCTTTGACGAGAGCTGAATGTCCTGAGCTATCACCTGCATTTTACCCCTCTCTGGGTATAAATCATGTCAGCGTCGAAAGTTCTTTACTCGTTCACGAGGCTGGCGTTGTTCAGGCTCTGATAGGTCAAGGGCTGGCCCTGGCGGATACTAGCTCGACAGGAGTGGACGACAAGTTCGGTAGTACTCAATCCCCGATGTTCTCTGGTGACTAGACTAACCAAGGCTTCTTAGAATTTCCACCTACAATTGTACACAAGTTCGTTCAATTGTTCTCTGCTTTACATGGTCAGCCTATATAATGCCTTTCCTTAGTAAAACCAAGGCTCTCGCACGATGGCTTCTCTAAGTCTCCATGATCTTGCACAATACCGATCGATCAAAGTGCGTTGCGTAGTTGAAACCAGTTCATTAAGACAACGAAACGATCTCCTCTTGATATAGCCTCAATATCATGGCAAATATGCGTCTGTCCAGTCAAAACCACGGCTCAGTGTCCCCAAACTATCGGTGTGTATCCGTTTCGGATGTTGCCTGCGTCCCCTGTGAAGTCATCTGAACGCATTAAATTACCAAAGATCTCTACTCCCCAAGAACGCACTACAATCCTTATATGTCATGGCATGTTGGGAGAGTATCCTAACTTTGTAGGTAACGAAGATGTCCGTGGTGGCATTCTCGCTCCCACAACTACTGCACCGCTTGCACTACCCCGATTGAAGCAACATAACGAGCTACACAACAATCAACTGTATAGACGACGTCCTTCTGTCCGGCGGCGTGTTTGCAGTCAGCCCACTCCATATCTACCCGAAGAACCGGACGAAGCGCCATCCCAAAATATTACCCATCCTTGTCAAACTAGGTTCAACAGAAATGAACATGAGGTAACCCGTGCCGAAGCGCCATTGGAGAACTCCTCGAAAAACATACATAAAGGGCTAGAAGGTATACCAGAATCGTTGGAGAACATTCCCAATGACAAACCATCCATAGATATATATGTCCCACTAGCGGTGAGCGCACGTGGATATAGCGTGCTATACATGATGTTTATTTATCTCGTTATTCTAGGATGCTTGTCAATGTGGTGCAACGCGCCCTCGATATGATGAGTGTAGACGGGTCTTGAGATCATGCCAGCAATCTCGCACTCTACCCACTAACTTCTACCTCCATGGCGTGATGCGGCTCGAGGGGGATCCCTTAACAGATGGAGGATTTTCTGACGTTTATATGGGCATCTACGGAAATAGGATGGTTGCCCTAAAGCAAATACGCTTCCTCAATTATGATGCTGATGCGGAACGGATTGACAAGGTAATCATTATCAAATTTTCTTCCATGCTACTTACAGAACACCTTTCCAGAGAATTCGTCGCGAGGCCATTCTTTGGAAACAATTGCAACATCCATATATCCTCCCGTTTCTTGGTATTGATCTCGAGACGTCATCGAGTAACCCTCCAAAGCCTCGTCTGGTCTCTCCTTGGATGAAGGAAGGCAATATCCGTAAAGCTGCATATTCCCTGAAGTGTAGTGGACGACATTATCCTGTAGACGACTGGGTAAGTTAAACGGTTGGTTTAAGGAGCATTGCACTTATCTGTTTTAATTTAGCTCCTACAAGTTGCCAAGGGTTTGAAGTATCTCCATGATATGGGTATGATCCATGGCGACCTTCGAGGGGTAAGTTTTACATCCTTTTCGTATGGTTTATAACTACTAATGGTGATATAGGCGAATATCCTGATAACAAACGACTTTCGCGTTCAATTGGCCGATTTTGGCATGTCTTCCCTCCTTGAAGCTACTAGTGCCAGCCATGGATCGCATCATGGCGGCGCTCAACAGTGGCTCTCGCCTGAGCTACTCAGTGGCGAGGTTTCTCGGCCAACACAAGCAAGCGATATGTATTCGTTCGGATGTCTATGTGTCGAGGTTAGTTATGCTTTTCTTGTTTGGACCCTCGATCTCTCATATGCTGGCGTCCTACCATTAGCTGTACACGCTGCAAAACCCATTCCCCCATGTCAAGTGGCAGCAGCACATCTATACCGAGATTTTGGCCGGCAAACGTCCGAGTCGTCCCACCGTAGCGACTGGCAAAGCAATGTCGGACGCTCTATGGGCGTTGGTCCAGCAATGCTGGTCCCAAGACCTGAGTCAAAGACCTAACGCTTCGGTGCTCGTTGAGTCGCTGAGTCGGATCATCTCCTGAATGTTGATTATTGGATTTCCCCTTCTATTCCTTATGGACCTCGAGTCCAAAAAGTCACTTATTCATCATTCCTTCATATTTCGCGCGTTTCTAACCACTCTTTATTCTATTTATGAATACGCCGCTTGTAGCTGTAGCATAGATTAGTGGTAGCTTATACGTCTTCAACTTTACTTACCACCTATAGTATATCCGTATTATTATCGTGCTTCTCAATAACGGTTTTCTGGACAACAAGACGATCTCACTTCTTTGGTATATCTTTGCTTTGCAACGTAAAAAGACATGGGAGCTTCCGACGGCAGATGTAGAGCTGCGAGATTAGTAACAGGATGAATATGTTCACACTCCTAGATACACAGGCCTTCCTGGAGCAACGTACGTCTGGACCAAAGTGACGTGAGTACGTATAGCCATGGAATCACCTGAATAGTACCGCATCTTGTTCGCAGCATCGCCCTGGTATGGGCTGAAGTGGATGTCAGGATCTGTGGCCGAGTATGCGCCGGGGAACGCAAGTCTTATGGAGGAATCCCCAGTCTAACCTCGGTTGCAATGGTGAACGTCGGATCGACATACCCTGATGAGGTCTTCGTACCAGAACCAGTCACTATGGGAAGCTTAGTCTGAAATTCTCTTCAACAACGTGTTAAGCTGCTCACCAGTGAGCTGTACGCAAACTAAGTCAAGGAAGATCAACGTCAAACTTCTGCTAGTGTCCCGTTGTTTGCTCACCAGGGTAGAGCTATTGATTTTTCAGTCATTAATGACAACATATTGGAGAAAGTGCGACATACCTGTGCACCACCGATATTTGTCGCACCATGCAAGGCGAGAATCTCATGTCTGGATTCGAGAATATTGTACTCTATGCCCCGAAATGACCGAACTAGTACTTACGTATTCCCCAGGCGCGATGGAGCTGGATATAGTTACTGTGTAGCTGTGGTTGTTGTTTGCGAGAGCATCTGATGCCCAGATACCGTTCGAGTATGATTCCTGTTGAACCTGCGCATGCCATCTTAACTGCCCGACCGTAAGATAGGATACAAAAAGACACTGCCTTAAACCAAGGAGTTCCGATGTCTCCCTTGTAGGGAGAACAAGTCCTTGGCATCTAGCCATGTAATTCATTACCTGAATGCCGAGTAGCATCAGTGCATATTGTTGTCATCGAGGTCTGAACTCACAGGACCGTAGTGTCCGAGAGGCCGTGAGAAACGCGTCAAAGCAGACAAGTCTATGCTCGCAAAATGCCTCATTCATCGATGGGAGTGGGGAAAGGAAAGCAATCGGTATGACATACAGTGTCTTTGACAGGACCAACCAACCGAGCAAACCCCGGCCTATATCAAGTTTTCAGGAGTCAGAAGGTGATCTATTAGAGTTGAAATGCCAAGACACAGAATGATAGACTCGCAAGGCGATAACGGGGTGACCTTCGGTCGAAGCGCTGTTGTAACAACAGAACAAGGAGTCGAGGGTGATTTAATTACTGCGAAGTGCATCCACCTGTGCACCCGATAATCACAAAGGTGATGTTGTGAGAATAACGAACTGCCTTAGCGGATCAGAGTATAGCTGCTTAGCAACGGAGAATCTATGTCAGATATAGTCATTGAATGAGTATTTGGAGTAGAACTAGCATGGAACCGCATACTTGCGAGTAGGATCGTCCCTAGACGGTCCAGTATTCAAAGGTCGCCCTCGACAACATTGCAGCACTGACGATACGAGAGGAGAGGACCAAGTTGGAGGGTCATGCGGAATGAATCCGCCCTTTCGCATTTGTGGCCCATGGCTTGGAAGAGAAGTCAGCTAAAATAACAACAGGCGACCGAAAACATGCATGTACACTTCCATTTCAGAGGACAGGACTAGCGATACTGAGAACTGGTCAGTATTCGAGAATATCTGAAAAAGACAAGTTGTGGATTGAAGACAGACAACACACGATGGGGAGTCCGGAACGGAGATCCGATGGAGTATTAAGCACCAATCCTGGAGATGCTCAAAGATGCATAGGCCAATCACGTATAGAAGTCAAGTTAGAGCATATACTGTATTGTGACGGGTTAAAACAAGTATAGATGATGATTTTGATTTAGCATAAGCCATCTTCAAGAGTACGAGCCCTTGGAATAAGGAGTTCGAATTCAGCAGCCCACTCATTCTTCTGGAGGTCAATACAGCCAAAAGACATGAGCCAGATATGCTTGAACGTCATCGGGCCATCCTTGTTGACTCGCCATTGCTGATCCCCTGGTTCGGAAGGCTTTTTCTAGAGACCAGCACTGTCAAGCCACTTACGGAGGTGAACAAAGGACGAAAACGTACCTTGTTAGATTCCACGAAATAAGAATGTAGGAGCTCACAGATCATCAGAGCAAGGTCTCGATAAGTGGTGATTGCGTCGAACGGGACATCGACTTCTATTTTTTCCCGATATCCGGGCCACTGATAGAAAGAATGTCGAAAATATAACATCAGTAAATTTGGATCAGGACTCACTATGAAGCGCCATCGAATTGTTTTCACGCTAGAATCGAAAGTAACAATGGGCTGGTCCAGACAGTCAAGGACCGTACGATCTTGCTCAAATTCCGCGAGACACACTCCAGGTTCATTACGAGAAGTAAAGAAAAGTTGTCGTCCTGGAACAAACTCTGGAATGGGCACGGTCTTCCTGTGGTACTCGGGAGCTGGTGGAACACTTGGTTGAGAGTATCCCGGATGCGAGCCCAAGAAGATAGCCTGAGGGTCCGCAATGGTAGAAGACGTAGCAACAGGTAAATACGGAGGTGGGAAGAGCAGGTTCGAGTAATACCGCTCTTCACTTTGGCGAATTTGATCATTGAACTGAGCTACGTCGTCCTCGGAAACCTGAGGAATCGGCATTACTTGATAGACGGATGAGCCAGTAGGGTAGGTCACTGGGATCAGTGGCAAAGTCAAGTCCTTTCTATAGAGATAGACAAGTTCATTGAAGGAGGGATTCCTGCCGGCCATGTTGAGAGCTAGAGTGAAAGAGTGCGATGTCGTCGTTTGACTTTGCGAACCTCGTTTTTATATGGCAACACGTTTCGGATAGTCAGGTCAAAGCCAAGACAAAGGGTCAAAGAACGCGGGAACAATGCGTCACCCGAGTGGCTCTGGCAAACTTTAACATGGGCCATAGGTCCATGCACTTGCGTCATTGCAAATACGTGCACTCTAGAGGTGGCTTCGCAAAGGGAGATGGATCTGTGCACATACTGGCGAAGAACGCGGAGATGTCAGGGAATTTAAAAAAAGACGTACCGTTCAGCCCGCATGTCTGTCCCGTGATGCATGTCGAAGTTATGACCGTGAGACCTAAGGAAGGTTCTTCGCAGAAACTGCAGTTGCCCCTTCGCAGACCAAAGTCAAACTGGAAATGTGTTATGAGTGGGGTTGCGACTGTATCAATATACAATAGAATAATGTTCATGCAAACGGAGAGGTGAAGATGTGAAGAGGTCATGAATAAATTATGAGGAAGACATGAAATCAATACAGAGAGCGAAGTGGAAGTGAATAACGGGAGAGTGACTTCGTGCAATGTTGCATGAAGCCACTCATGACTACTGATCCGTTAAAAGGTTAAGTATAAGATAGTCGGCACAATAACGGGTGTAGAGAGTGGATATGAAATCATAACGGGGGCATAAGAGAAGATGTCTAACGCGTTAGTAAACATTGTGCAAAAGGTGTGTGGTTTGGGCCTGTTAGCACGATTGAGACAATCGTGCTACGTTACTTGAACTTCTAGTTCGGCGACCCACATATTCTGGGCGGCAGGCTTTACAGAGAGAAGCCAGAGCTTCTCAGTGCCTATCCCCCGTCGCCCTACAGCCCAATGCGCATATTTTGGGTCCACTGTTGTTTTCTAAGAACGACTCGTTAGTGAACAATCGCAGAGAATGAATTTTGTAACGTACTGAAAACCTAGCAAGCCGTCTAGCGATATTTACGCTTACCAAGTGAGCAAACCGTGCACGAGTAATGAAGCCGTCACGGTCCTGTACCGGTATATACATTCCCTCTTGGCCATAACCAGGCCACTGGAAGTACTGCGTTCAGTTTTTGCAGGTTAGGATGGTGACGTACGACATACTGTCAATATGAGCCGGATCTGCCGAGACCCCGTGGACGTGAATACTTTGTCACAAGCGCCATCTAGCACTAGGCCATTCACATCTTTGATCGCATCCTGCAAGGAAATGCCAGGGATGCCGTTGACGTTGAAATCTATCCTAAAGCTGTTATTCGTATCAGCTTCTATGCGCTGGGGTACTCGGACGCGAGTCAATGACGGATATACGGAGTTGGCGCCTGATATATTATTCGAATGACTTGACGGCGAGGAGATGTGCGGTTGAGATGTATTCGGATAGGGAACGGTTTGCGGCGAGTACGGTGATAGCAGGTGTGTTTGGAATGCAGGAGATATGTTGTAAACCGACGGAGAGGGAGAGACATACGGCACTGGAGAAGTTCCAGGAGAGAACCCCGGGGAAGGCATAGACGAGGTCGACAGCGAGGCCGAGAGCATAGGTGTGAGCGATGTATGTGGAGAAGACCAAAGGGGAGATAGCGAGTGGTCAGTCGTCGGTGACGGAGAGCAGCCATAATCGAAAAATTGATTATAATTAGCATTGTTGAAAGGTGACGGTACATCAAGGCCCGTAGGTGGGAGCTTTGGATAAGGTGAGTGAGTTTTGGGTGGTACTGAAGTCATGAATGAACGTGCCTCTTGAGTGCAGGGATAGGTATGCGGCGCGGCCGTATACTGATTCTGTGAGATATAAATCAGGTGGAGTCACGGTGCAAGTAGGAGTCAGACATACATTGGTGTATTTCCCTGGGTCAGCTTGCGGAGCATACGAGGTCGGCTCCGTAGGCTGGTGGTAGTAGGGATTGTACATGTATTGACTTTTCGTGGTGACCAGCAGTGAGAGATCTTTATCAACGCGTTCTTGCTGCCTTATAAGCAAATCCCCAGAAGCCTTGCCATGTTCAACCTGGGTATCCGGGCCTGAACGTGGCAGTACATTGCATCATCGGCCATGGTCCTCAAAGGCGAAAGGTGCTAGAGTTCGAGGAGGCGCTTCTCTACATTGCTAGAATCATCGAAAGGAAAGCGACACGACAAAACCACGCTTGGAGGCGCAACGCAAGTCACAGCCAGGAAATGGGTACAAAAAGTATTCTGAGTGATATGCAGTGTGACGCCTCAAGGATCACGCCTGGAGAGTGCCATACAGCTTTGAACTCAGCTGGAATATCAGCCAAAGGAAGGAGGATGCTATGCAGGATATACTGTACTGATGAATTCGAGGGGCAAACGATATCCTAATCTCTTGGGCATGAGATAACTGCACACCGCCATTGGCGAAGCGCTGGAAGAGCAGTGGTCAAAGTCGTAGCGCTCATCAAGGGAATAGCAAACCCATGTATACCGGCAATTATCCTTGTTCGACCACTGTGAGGCGTGCGATCCCAAGCGACTGAAGAGCGTCTTCCCTGCTGCTTTGCCGGAGGCGTTCTCTACGAGCTGAATGATTCCGTTTCCAGCGAGGCACTGCAGGATTCTCAACACGTAAAGGTCCGGGGACAATGTGAGTATGTATATCTTACGCTTGATACGTTGCGGTCGTGTGGTCTCAGTTAATTGACCGTTCGTAGTGGTAGGATAGAAGGACAGCTGATACGTCAAAGAAGCACCCGCCGGCCGTCCTAACTTGTCAGGCTCCAGAAGTCTGGGTAACCAACCCCCGAACGTGTCTCTGCAGTGCATATCGCCTCCGGTACACCTGAATATTGAATGACTGACATTGAAGCGCGTATATGTTCATCCTGTCCATTCAGACATTTTCAATTGTGGTACGAGATTATAGAAAACTTTGCAGCCATACCGTGAGCTGAAACTGCAGCTGCAATCAGTTTCTAGCATCATCAACCGACACTCTGGAGCATCCTTGAGGGAGTGCGGCCTTGCGGTGTTCCGACGACTTATGTGAAGACCGACAAAGTGCGATGCAAGGGTACGCCAATCCACGTCTCAGAGAGGCCTTTTCTCTGGTTTGTGACAGCAGTCCCGACCAGTATTCTGCTTCACGTCGGTGAGGCTGATCAACCTGGCTCTCCCAACGTTTCACGGCGTGCAAATTGTGCAGAACATCAGCTCCTTGAGGTGTGTCAGATAGGTAATGTCTTTACAGTATACTGGCAAATTCGGGTTTAGAGGCACAATTTGAACGCGTCGACGCAAGCGATTGTGATGGTGTCTGGTCCCTATCATTTCATGCACTGAACAAAAATTTCGAACGGAACAGATGAAACAACCTTTCTACTTGAGCAGACGTACGATAACGGAGAGGTGCATGCAGCACTTATGCGTCGTAGAAAATCCTGATCAAGTCGGACGCAGGAGGCCACTGGCTGTACGCTTCCCTTGATCTCGATTTTGGGATTGAATACCTCTAGTGGGCAAATGTTCACCAATACGTCTTAGTATGTTCGAACTACAGTTCACGAACACAGATGCCTCGTGTGTTCAACGCGGCATCATTAGATGAACGTAATGTCTTCAAAATCGTCAAATTGATCTATGAACCCTGCCCCGATACGCTTATGGAGGCAGTGAATCTATGTGTGTACATGTGTCTTTCTCATTCAACGTACGACTACTGACCTTCTCAAATTACAGCCGAGTCATGCGCCATGGTATGGATTCTGGCCTATTAGGGTGGGTACGTATATGCGAATGCAGAACTTCATATGGGTTTCGTTTCTCAGCTCCTGTTGGCTCTATATTCACGCTAATGATACAACCAGCTACCTAAGGCTGCACAGTTAGAAGAGTAATGCACCCTTCGAATGTAACCCTCCTTAACCCCGTAGCAAAGAGCCGCTAATTTTCAGTCAAAAAACTCCCTATGATGTCCATGTATCTCTCTGTCTCCTCGTAGTGTGGCGCATGGCTAGAGTCTGCGAACTGAACCCACTTCACCTTCGGTATATTGATAAATTGCTTTTTCATCACACTATCCTGCGCCCCATCCCAACGGCCATTCGTCAATAACGTGGGAACGTTGATCTTGTGCAAGTCGGATACAACGTCCCAGTTCTTCAGAGATCCCGTTATGAAGAACTCACTGGGCCCATTCCTGTTCATCAAATTGAATGTCAAGGTAGTCCGAAGCGCGGGCCGAAACTTAAGAATACTCACATGGTAGTGTAGACAGTGGGATCCTTGGCAATCCACTCGAAAGCCTTGGCGAATCCTTCCGGCATAGGCTTCACCCTACAAGTGAATTCCTCATTGTATTTGTCCGAAGCAGCATGGTACTCCGGACTATCCACAGTACCCGCAGCCTCATGTTTATCCAGGACCTCTCGTACATCCTTGGGAAGCAGCAACTTCAAACGGTTCGCAGCTTCCGCCCAATCCTGCATACGAGCAGGCGATGAAGCGAGGATAAGGCGTCTTAATCCCTTCGGCTGACGAATAGCGAAACTCGCTGCTAACATCCCACCCCACGAATGACCGATAACATCATAATTGTTCTCGATTCCCAGATGAGCGAGCAGGTTGTCAAGCTCGTCGATGAAGAGTTGGACAGTCCAGAAATCACCATCACCATTCTTCTCTGGAAGGTGAGTCGACTCTCCGTTTCCAACTTGATCGTAAAAGACGAGTGGGATCCCGTGGGCCTTGTAAAGCGCGTCGAGATTAGTGAGGTAGGTGTGTGTAGCGCCTGGTCCGCCGTGCAAGACAACCAGAGGCGTCTTTCCCGACTTCAAGTCCCCGACAATCCAGTAATGAGTCTTGCAGGGTTTTCCTGCAGTGGGGATGTTGAAGTCCACTTCGCCTTCAGAGGATGGGGTCGTCATGGCTGAATGTGAGAGAGTACAGATATCAGGTTGTTGGTGGCCTTATATGACGTGCTTCTTCTTCTCACCAACCTTTTATATAAATACCTTGAGCAATGCTCCCGTATTGGCTTCAGACAATAGTGCCCCGCGGACTGCTAGCTAGTAAGAGATGATACGAGCATGCGAAACGATCAATGAAAGTTAGACGTTTCACCACTCGTGACGGGTCGACAGACGCCTCAGCATTGAAGCAAGGTACTCCAATGAGTCAACGCGTACCCTCCGAGGCATTCTGAATTCATTGTAGACTTCACTCACACGTTACATCGTGACAGTGTCAACCCAATAAATTATGCCATTCGCCAACGACCTGCGACAGACCATGCGAGTATATTCTAAGTAAGAGCGATAAGAGCAACGAGGGGTCCATGACCATAGCCGGATATAAGAACCTAGCACGAACGAATCATATACGGAGAGAAGTCTAAAACATACAGATCGTTGCCTGTCAGATCGGTGGAATGAACGAGGATATACGAAAGAGCAGCTATGACGAGATATCAAGCTTGGCAAGTTCGTTTCGGATCTCTGCCTCCGTCTCGATCTTCTTGAGCTGCGTGGCTTCCAGGCGTTCGCCCTTCTTCGACTTCTCTTTCAGTTCTTCGATGGCTTTAAGCTGTTAAGTGAAGCTTACATCAGTATTTTGTAGGTTATTCGAGGACAGATTATAACATACCTTCTTGTTCAAATTACGAACTTTCTTGGCTATGGGATCCAAAGAACTGCTGTCGGCGGGTGTTTGCGGCACAGAGCCGTTGGCAGGGCTCAAAGGACCATTCGTCGCTTTACCGTTCACCTGGATCTCGAGGGACGGTCTGCCATCTTCAGCAGCAGGCGTACCGGGTATGACAGGCGTCGTCGCCTCCTTCTTTGCGCCTTCTTTCTTGCCCTTACCCTTCCTTCCTCGCTTTTCGGGATCGGGACTGCGTACGGGAGAAGGAGAGGTAGGTGCACCGGGAACGTGTCTCCTCGTGCGCACGCGATCAGGAGCGGGGCTACGGCTGTACCGTCCATTCGGCGTGTTTGTACCGCTCGGAGTACCCTCATCGCGCTTGTACACAGAAGACGCCTCTAAACCTCGAGCGCCAGGAGGGCGGTACGAGCCCAACTTCATTGGCGCAGGTTTGGCAATATGGGCATTTTCTTGAACACTGGGGGAAGGTGCAGGTGCAGGTGGGATGCTCTGTGGGAACTGAGGAACAGCGTCGATGGGTGCAGGCCTCCACGATGTCTGATATAGCTCATCGATCAGTTGGACATGCATGAGCGGTCCGGAGCAATGCCAGATCTTGATGCCGTTATCGACCCGCAGGCGAGGGGATAGGGTAGCAGTAAGCAGGAAGCGTCCGTCGGGTGACCACTCGCAATGTGAGGTATTGGCAGCATTAATGCTTGTAACCTTGTTGAGCGAACGACGGTCGTGTATGTCGAGATTTCCAGCAAGGTTACCGAATCCAGCCAGCGCAATCAGCCTTCCTTGCGGGTTGAAGGCAATGAAGTTGCAGAACGCGGAACCAAAGTCATGTAGCGTCTTGGCACGCTGATCGAACAACATGGTCTTTGCAGGCATGTCTAACACCTATTATTAGAATCAATGCTAGAAGGACAGGTTGGGGAGACGCACATCCATACACGACCCCAAACTCCTTGGAGTTAGGGCTCCACGCGAAGTCGTGAACAGGACCTTCCTTGTCTAGTGTGACACGGCAGTCGAAGGTACCGGACGCGCTGAGCATGTAGAGACCACCAGTTTCTCCGTAGTAACTTTTATTCGCTTGATCCACATCGGTCTGAGTCAGGACGAGGACCTGGGTGCCAATAGTGTTCCACTTAATTGTCGAGCGGTCTGCCTTGAAGAACGTCTTCTGTGACATCGGCGCGCCTGCGAGAGACATGAGGTTGTAAATTTTCACACAGGCAGGTTGACCCTACAACGTGGATGAGCAGACTGACTAAGATAGAGTGAGAGATAATGCGCACCTTTTTCTCGGGCACAAAGACGGCAACCGATGGATTAAGTCCCGGACTCAAAGACATCGTGGTCGCACCCTCGACCTTGAGCTTATCGACCACGCCCTTAGACCACTCTGCGGGTCGAAATACTTGGATCTCTTGACCGACAAGACGAACTGCGTGTGATTCGGAGATGGTGTATTGCAAATCCCACCCTTCCTGCGACTTCTGGGTAAAAGCGACAAGTTCTTCGCCAGTGGAGACGGAGAATACTCTCAAGTTTTTGTGCTGTGAGCCATCCTCCAACTTGACAGGTCGTTCCCAAGTGGAAATGTACGTTCCACGAGGCGAGAAATTAATCTCGACAATGTTGGGCAACGGCAGCTCCTGTAGCAGCTGAGCACCCTCGGCTTGGTATATGTGAACACTGGTTGGAAGTGTGTATGCAAAGAGCCGACCATCAGAGCTGTACTGGTATGCGCGAGCTGGTACATCGGGTCCATTGAAGTTGTCGAGAGTCACGTAGTTGGGGGTTCCCCCGACGAGACCCAGTTTCTTTTGTGCACGGACTGTGCAAAGTCTCAGCACGTGTATCACACCGAATGATAAGACGACTTACATGCATACTGCTGAGAGGGTTGAGAGGCCATCTTGAGAGGATATGGGCGGAGAAAAGGGCAGGAAGGGGGCAGAAGCAACTTAATGCCTCACGATGGTCGAGGTGCAGCGCAAAGGTGTTTTATTTCGATTTTTTGTCGATTTTTGATCCATTGTGCAGGCCAATAAAGGCAATTCCTTCTATATAGGGTAATTACAAATCGAGCCTCATGCTTTAACGGTTTAGTCATGTGAAAGCTATTTCCGGGCGCTGCGGGGTCGATTTCGCTATGCGCCGTTCGACTTTTCTTTCTCTTATGTTCTTTCCTTGGGCATCTGAATATCCCGAAGTCCCAACGAAGTCTTTGTTACTATTTTTGCGGAATAATCATCGGAAGTCCACATAGACCTGCAACAATGTTCTCTCGTCCTTCTGACGTGCTGCGAAGGGTTGTGTTAACTTGTGTATAGTGAAGCTCCATCCGTCTCCTAACGTTCAACATGGGCATTCCGTCTCACAATCACAATAATCCGTCACTATACTGGAACATGTCTCCTCTCTTGTCACCTACAACAGAAGACACTTCTCTACGTGGCTCTCCTGAAACCGTCTTCGAGAAAGAAGAATGGACCTCTGACACACCTGTACTTCGCTAACCCGGAACAAGAGTGCGACCTTGTGGCTGAAAAGCATAAGAAGATGAACTTTGCGAATTGATGAGTACTTAATGAGCTGAGAACTCATGTTCATCAAGCACAGATTCAAGGTAGGCTTATTTTCTGATATCCGTGACATGCAGTTGATACCTCTTATAAATGGTACGAAGAATATCATCGAACTCATCTCTAGTCATTGAAAGACCCTGCTGATGGCAGGAACCTCCTCGCACGGACGATTTTCATTGAAACGAAACAAGGAATGACTCGCCAGCAAAATTTCTGCGACTGGGACAATCCTGCCGGTATCCCATTTCCGGTAATCGGTGTAAGTAGGGAGAGCAGAGACCAGACAGGATTTGCTTCTTGCGTTTCATTGACAAGAACAAACTTTAGGTGAGTTGACACGTATAAGGTGTTCATCATGTTCTGTCGCGTCCATGGACTGGTTGCTGTTAAGTGGACGTGCGAGAGGGATCACATATGTTACTCACCACAATACATAATTGTCATTGGTACCATTCAACACGTTACGTTTTCCGGACAGCTATCTTCAAACAGTATCAACTTTGTGACTAATACGTCCATGCGGGTGTTAGGTTGGATCTTCCATTCCTGCAAGACAGCTTGCGGATGATGCCGTCTCGTCGCAGCAACTACACTGACAGAAATGCTTCGAACTCATAGCAACAATGAGTTGCATCTCCATCGTTTCATCATATCTCTACTAGGAACGGATTCATTTGGTGGCCAAACTCAACATGTCATTCAGGAATGTGTGGTAAATGCATGGCATGTTGCGTCGCTTGCCCCTAGCAGGGTCGGTTTGGAGTGAGTATTGTTTGACTATGCGATGATTATCCTTCTGAAAGAGTACAGTATATAGGATGTACTCAGCTGTCCCCTGTATCCCATATCTCCAGCGACGTTCTCTATTTGCCATTCACCTCGGATACCTCGATGGCTTTCCAACTCTCTTCCCGATACATTTCCCTGCAAGGCAGTGTCTTGATGGCCGAATGTCGGACCCACAATCGCTCATGGAAAATATCTCGCCTCGATCTAAACTATTACCTTGGTAGTGTCGACGGCTCCTTCACCATCCACGGTGCCAATTTCTATGCGGCAGCTGCCTACGTTGAGCTTCGCGGTGCTTTCCTCATTGCCGATCTAAGGAAGCTTGACGGTAGATGGAACCGTGCCATTTTCAATTTGAACCTCTGCGTTCAGAATGTTGATGGTGAACTTCAGTTCAAGAAACCGTGAGTATGCTCTGTATTAATCCTTACCATTGCTCATATACATTCATAGAAACGAGTCCATCGTTCCTTCAACTTCTTGCTTAATGGTAGAAGGACCTATGCTGAAAGCCTTGTGCATGGGCTATGATGGCTTAGCTCATGCGACTTCCATAAACCTCAATGACTACTATGAGAATGCCAACGGCGACTTCGGAGCAGGCCGCGACTTTTACTTCACTGCTCGTAGCATCTCTGTGCAACCATCCCAGACCTCGATTCTCTTGAAGGCTGAGTTGTCGGGTAACCATTGGTGGTCCGGAGATTTTTGGAACCAGTCAGAAATTGATCTGGCTATTTGCATCCTCAACCGTGGCGGAAGTTTTATATTCGAGCAGCAGTACGTGTTACTAAGTAGGAAAAGTAGTAATGTGCTAACACACATTCATTAGCGATGGACCTTTTGATCGCGATGGTTTCTTCGCCAGATTCTTCGAACGCGTCCCATTCGTTGGCTTCGTCATCGCTGGTATACAGTTCCTGGCGGGGAATGAGGTATAGCTTCACTCTGCTGCGTTGATATCTGATCTAATGCCTCATTTAAATAGGAACATGCCAAACGTGCCTTGGCCTTTTGTGCTAACTCCAGCATCGTCTGTTGTGGTATCTTCGTGGGAGCTTTGGCAGGTGGGCCAGTTGGAGGAGCCATCGGTGCAGGTCTGATGACGCCGTTGGGCATACTGGTCGAAACCGAAGTAGCTGGATACATTAAAGATCCACGTCTTCAGGCACAGTTCGAAGAAGCGACTGTAGGTCGCTATCTCTATGAGACTCTTCGCAATACCCTTGCCGCAGGTGCTGCCGGGTATTTTGGTGAATGGCTTGGCCATCAAACTGGGCAATTGACGACTGCTGCGATAGGACAAATTGCAGGAGCCTTTGGAGGGAAGGCTTCGGGTATCTCAGGCGAGGTCGTCTCGTATGCGATGCTGAAGCGGTACGTTTTCTATGATCGTCACAAGATCGCCACTAACAGCGTTCGTCAAGGTTGGCTGACGCGCTCAAGAATGAAGTTCTTCCTGAGGAATGGCTGAAGGCCGAACTAACTGTTAAGAGCCTCCGGTAGAAGGATCATGGTTGAAACCGTTGGACAATCATCACTAGTCCCATATTCTCCGCCTCAGTGCCCCGCCACTGCTACGTCAGCCTCGAATTGTACGGTCGGTGCAACTATATCATCAATTTATTTATTGGAAACGTGTAGGGAAATTTGGTACGGCTCTCTGATCCTATCCTACAGTACTGTTAAAAGAGGTCGGTCACATGGAAGGGTAGACAATCCGGCTTCTGATTGGCTGGCAACTTCCGAGTCATTTACTTACACTGTCAATGCTCACTTCTTGAACCTGTATCTCTGACCCTGTTCCTCTTTGTTTTAGTATCCCGGACACTGCGAAATAGCAAGAACGCAGTAATCTAGCTTTTCATTTTCCATGCTTTACCAGCAATCTCAGGGTCAAGGCTGTTCTGCCCGACTCTTCTTGTTTCCGCCCTCGATTCGATGCTCCCGAATAACCCCATCCATCGAACGGCCAACTCTTTGATAATAACATATCGACTCGCGATCTCGCCAGGCTTCATATCTTCAGAGCTTAGAGCACGGCGTTATGAATAGGGAACTGTATCTGCTGACTTGGAACTTGAACTTCCCTGACAAAGTTCTTTCTGCTTCCTGCCTAACGCCCTACGTAACGGCATATATCTAACGGTGCCAAAAACAGCCGCCTTGACTTCTCTACGTCGTCTTTGGACATATGCGCTACATATACGCATATGTCTTCAGCCTGCTGTCTCGATTCATTACGAGCCGTTATATACGGTTCAAACCTTGCAGAATCCCGAATGACTAAACTCCGATACCCAATGGCAGACTCCGGGTGATGCAGTCACCTTGGGACTGGAAGCGAATGATTGAAATGCATATGTTTGGATCCCTTTCGTCTTTCTAGGTGGTACTTATAGTGGCTGAGGCCCGAGGGCTTTGTTTCGGATCTCAAAACCCGCCGTACCTCGAATGCTGCTTCTCTACCTAGCTTTCCCCTTTTTTCCCGCTCTGCGCAGACTATTGTACCGCCATGCCCGCTACCATAGCAAGTCTTCCCGCAGAGCTGTTACTCGACATCTTCACAATCGCGTACACTGATACAGGGCATACCAGGTGGTCGCTCACAGCCGTTTCGCAACATTTTCGGACGCTCTGTATTGGTAGCGGTGTCGATATCGAGACCGTTGCTTTGCATGGAGTCGACAAGATGAAAACGTTCCTGGTGGTTTTAGAGCAAAGGGAGAAACGAGCTAGACGGGTCAAATATCTCTTCCTCACAGATCGTGTTGGAATTGAGGACGCGAATGCTGGTCGGAACCGTTGGGTCGCATCCACTACTCCAGAAACCTGTGCGAACTCCCCGGTTTTCCTTGCGGACCAGATCCTTCGTAGCATCTTGGACCACGATCTACGTATCCTAACTGTCCACCTCCCTCACTATCGCCTCGCAATGCCAACCAGTCCCTCGGTCTTCTCGACACCCTTCCCCTCGCTAACCGACCTCACCCTCCACGCAGCGCTCGATTGCTGTTTCTTCGATGCCTTCTGCGCATGTCCGAGCCTGAAGCGCCTACATATTGCCGCTTACAACCAACTACCAGAAGACTTCGGGGGTTCAATCAAGTCGATTGCCCCGAATCTCACCCATCTCAAATTGTCCGCTGTCCGCAGCCTTTCAACGTCCGGTAGCTTGATTGATGTTCTCCGCGCATACGCTAGCGGAGTTGATACGATTCAGAATGCCACTATCAACGCCAAGGACAACCGCCCTGTCAATTCGATCGCGAAAGGGAATAACGATGCCATACCTATCGATCCCGAGCTACCTTCTAGTGTTCATACATTGATCGTTGGATTTGCCACGTTCTTCCAGCCCAGCGTCGGAGGCCGTTCAGGAAGGCAGCAGATCAACTACTTGCGGACGGCTCAGACACTGCGTCAGCTGGCTGGTTCGGGCAACCATAAGCTTCTTGTAAGCGATGACGGTATTGCGAGTGCGGGTGGGCGGAGGTTGGTGGTGTGTCCTCCTCCTGCGATTCGTTCCCAGGATGACATCGAGGAGGACACTAGAGAGTGTTACGTACGACTGCGGACGGAGTGGGAAGAGAGAGTTGCCGGAGAGGAGGCTGGTTGGGATGTTGTACATCATTCCGTTCCATGACCTCAAATAGTTGCAGCGTTTGAGTGGTATGTTTCTTGGCTATTTGCATGGTTTTTGAAGACCTTTAACTAAGGAAATATAATCTGTAGGGTCAATGGAACCTGTTTTTCGTTTATCTTACTGTCGATGCGGCCAGCGATGATCCTGGGAAGTGGTCTCGTCTGTTCGTTAACTTTTGACGAGTCGCGGCGCTTTTCCATGTCCACGAGCATGCGAATTATGCCACTATCCTTAACCTCAATCACATCTAACTGATTTAGTGCAATGAGAAAGGCATTCAATGTCTTTCCAGTAGTATTGACCTTCGAGACGAGCTTGTCTCAGGAAGGTTGCTTTGTGAGGTCAGACGATACATGCGGCCGTGACGTTTCCCCATTCCAATCATTGACTAGTCGTCGCTGCGGTCGTCAATGCCAAGTCTGCACTGATAGTTGCATCCTGTGTGCTGACAGAGCTCTGAAGGGGTTATCAATTATTCTCTAGTCCAACGTATCTCAATTCGCCACCCAATCAAGAGGTTCTTTTGTCTCTTCAACCATGGCCACACTCAAGCATTTGATTCGCATCACTGGCAGTATAAAAGGTCCTAATCTCACACCCCACACCATCCACTTCCCACTTACAATGCCTACAGTTTACATCTCTTCCCCAAGTCAAAGATGTTCCAGGCCTTCGACTCGGACGGCGAATTGATACCAGCAAAACCCCTGCTGGACGAGGGCCTAGAAGAGTGGCTTTTGAATGGCCCTGATGAAACGAACAGGGTGGCCAAGCGAACCTATGAGTACATCGACGGGGAATTCTACCTGGAGCATGACACTGGGTTGACAACCCTGTACGACGATCGATTCTCCCAACGAACCAAAGCCGATTTGATAGGACTATTCGATCATCTCAGGGCGGATCATCTCATGTAAAGGCCTTCTTTCTCCGAAACTGAGGCAAAAGAAATGAGAATGGGTCTGTGCTCGCTCAACCATGTCATTTCCTTGCAAAACAAATGGGTTCTCCAAGCATCCCACCGCTTTTACAACTGTCGGTCTGCAGGCCATGATTCGACATGCAGATGCCGAGGCCTTGAAAGGAACTATATCGGCATTTCCCATCAGGGATGAGGTACAGTATACCTCGAGTAGCCATTGGACGAGAGATCCTACAGTCCGGTCTCCAGGCTGCAATAAACTTTACTGTCAAGAAGAAACGTGGTCTTTTTCTTAACATAGTTTCACGACCTTGGTTTGGGAGAATCTGGATAACCATTCTGGTTTCGTCTGGCCGTACATCAAGAGTGACAAAATTACTGCCACTGTCAGTGTAAGCTACATCTTACTCTTTTCATCGTCACAAAACTCAATGCTCACTTCTTTCAGTATCCTGAATACCCTGTCCCTCATTCTACAGTACCATTCATATCCATCCAGATATGACTCGGTATGACCTGGCGGTCGTATTGGCTCATTATCTGTGGCATTGGTACTACACCTCTATTGTATGTTCACTTTAATTGTGCAGATCTGAACACAGCCGCTCACTGATTCACTTAGGAAATGAAACCATGGTCAGAAATGGAACACGAACTAAAGTTTTTCTTGCCTGTGAACCCTGCATACTGTATAATCCTCATTGGGAAAACAGTGAGTGCAAGCTCGGCGAAAATCATCTCAAGGCAGAACACATCTGGTTTCATGCTCTACGTCCCATGTCGTGAGACTCGGCTCATTGGTCTATCCAACTGTATGTTGACAGAGACATGTTTCCTACATCCATATCATAGACTAGAAGTTCGATAGTAGGGTCAGTCACAGACGCCCCGGTAGTGCATAACATAACCGCCGTGCATCCATCACAATAAGCGCTCATATAATCAAGCTCTACGTGAGACTCGTCGAAGGTTGCAACCGCTCTCCCAACACCAATATCCTCAGCTTTCCCCCCACTTCTCTTCTAGGAATTTGTAGCCATTCATTGCATCATTGCCAATGGCGACGGTTAATGTACATCAAAACAAATCATTCATTTCTCTCGTACTAAATACTCGTTATCAGGGATCCAGTTACAATGGAAGCCCGCAGCCCCTTTTCCTCTATGGAACACTTCTTGCTCCTCCTCTATTAGCTTGGCTGCTCACGGGAAATCGCGCCAACACAAATCTCGTCGCGTCTATCACCAAACCTGCTCGCCTGTACGGGTACTCACGGACGTCTCTACATGGTTATGACTACCCCGCATTGGTGCCTGCAAGCAATGCTACCGATTTTGTTGACGGTCTTCTCCTGCGCCCACAAACATTGTCGCAGAGGCAGAAAGTCGACAATTTTGAAGGGGAGACATACAAGCTCACAACCGTTACGGTTAATGTCAGTGACGAATCTGTCGTTGAAGCCGGGGCATATGTGTACTGCGGAGACCATGACCGTGTAGCAGATGAGCCTTGGGATCCAAGCACATTTGTAAAGGAACGACTGGAAGACTGGCTGGATATATTTGACGGCATGGAAGTATTGGATGACGAGGGCAATTGAGACCACTTACCGTGAAGGAAGTCAGCGACAACCTTTATATCCGACTCGAACACATCACGAGATAAATTCAAGACCCGGGTGCCGAGACGGATACCAGCCAGGACTTAAGCGTAGGCGTCACCAGAAATGGCGTCATCTCCAAGATACACTCTGGATGAGCAACAAACACAGCGAGACGAAGAACTTTCGAAGATCGGGAACTGTCAAAGATTAGACTGGATATTGTACAAAATCAGTTCATTACTAGTGCCTCCGCAGTCAAAGACCGAACTTGGATTGTACAAGGGAACTGCTTTGGATGACTGGACAAAACAGCAAATCCGATCAGCAGAAGCAAAACAATAGAAATCAATACTTACGCTATCATGCCGGAGTGCATATGCAGTTCCACTACAACTGGCTTGCCATCTTCATCCAATGGCGGAGCGATATCGAATGTGTGCAGAACGCAAGCAATAGTGCTGAATAGCGAGCTTACGCCAAAAGAGCTACCCGGGCAGATCCTACGATTCCAGTCTTGTGAGTAAAGCCGATCTTCAAGTGATGTACTTTTTATCACCTTCGTCCAAAGCCAAAGCAGGCTATACTTGGATCAGAAATATCCGGGTTCAAACTTCCATCTGACTTGAGGAATCTTTCGGGTCGAAACTGGTCTGGGCAAGGATATCTCAGTGGATTGCGCAGGATTTGCCTGTCCAGAATAGTGAATGCGAGTTCCGCGGGCGAAGACGAAACGTACACCTACCACACATTCTTTAATGATACCGTCAGTACATGGATGACAACGGAGACAGGCTTCACTCACAGCGAGCACGATGGATCCCTTGGGAATATAGTACCCTCGATATTCGTCACTCGTTGCAGTATAGTGAGGAAGGGCTTCGCAGTTAAGTGAGCTTCAGCCTTTGCATGCGAAACGGCTCACGTACCTAGTGGAGTGACAGGCCTCCATCTCAACAACTCCTTCAGTATCGCCTCCACGTAGGGTAGATTGGGTAGATCACTTGTGATAGGAAGCCTGGAAGGGCCTACGACTCTGTCAAGCTCTGCTTGAGCCTTCTTCTGGACATCTGGGTGCGTTAGCATTGCATAGAAGAAACACTCAAGAGTTGATGTGCTCTAAAAAAGGTGAGTCTATGATATGTGGTAGAACTAGCATCCTACCGTCTCAACTCCCGCTATAGACATACGCTTATGTGAGTTTTGTATCAACGATCAGAGGGGACATGTCATACCACCAAATGCACCGCCCAGACTGTATCGGATCATCAACTCTTGCTCGTCTCTGTCCGGACTGTTTGCAATGTTCTCGAGAGCGTGCGTGACTATAGATGGTGTCACAGTACCTAGCATCTGTAGCGACTCAGCAAATGCACAAAAATGGAAAGCAAGAACGACCCGCATACCAAGCTAGCCTTCGCCTCATCGAACGGGCGGTCACGGGCATGATACATGTGCTGCCGCCATTGAGAAGCTAGTCTTTTGAAGTTGGCTCCAGGTATCCATGCTGGAACATACTTCACTGATCGAGTGCGTGTGAGGATCTAAATGAGACACCATGCGTAGATGGACGAACAAATATGGAGATAGTCCACCCAAAATCTGCCGGGTTGTATAGCCTGGTTGAACCCCTGTTGCCCAGCTTCGGCTTCAACGACATGTTCGTTGGACTCGTCTTCAATGCGCACACCATAGGTAATGTTCATTAACAGGGCAGCGAACACACTATACGAATCATCTTAAGCCATAGATGCGCCAACATGCGAGAAAAATAGTACGAGCAGATGTGAATGATCGAAGAACTTATCGGGGTGGGCATGAAGCCTTTTCAAAAATGTGCGGATAATGTCAAACCGAAGCGCATCATACTGTTGGATGATGCCTGCACCGTAATATCGATGGAAGACCTTGCGAATCTTGCGCCACACATTGCCATAGTTCATAAGGCCGAATAACCAAGACGCGTCCATCCTAGACAGGCAAACGGTAAGAAATTCAAATCTCATTGGAAGCGCTTACAGTTCTGTAAGCATAACGGACTGGAATCTGTCCGAATATATAGCGTGTCGCTTTTCGAACAAGTCGGAGGCTGCTTCCATAGAGGAAATAACGATGGTGTGTTGACTCAAGATCTTCAGATGCACTACATCACGTGACAATTTCGAGAAGCATGTATCAAATCCAGATATCCAATAGACTGAAAAGACATATAGCTACCGTATTTCTGAGCCATAGAAGAGAAGGTCTCCCAAGGAACATCGTCCGGGATATCGAAGAGGTTGCCTATCACTGGGTACTTCGCAGGACCTGGAGGTAGAGGAAGTCTCTTCGGATTGTCAGTTTGCTTCCGCAGTAGACTAGCAGTGAAGAAAACGAGAAGGGCAAGTAGCGAGATGCACAATACGTTGTCCGTCATCGCGTCGAGCGAAATCAAGATGTGGGGGCAAAGTGTTGGAGTCAGTCGAGATATGCATCACATCATGCACTAAATAGACATAGGTCATTTGAATTGATGCCGATCGAAGGCTTCTCATGCAAGGATGGTAGTGGCGAGCCCATTTATCTTCCACGCAAAGAGGTTCCATGATCTATCAGAGGAAACGTCGGTTATGGCTCCCGCTCCTATAACGCACTGAAAAGACAAGTAAGTCACATGTAACAGGACAATGGTGCAACTCGTTTGACAGCCCAACAGAGGATCGTCCCAGTATATTCTCAATAACGTCGCTGATGTGACAGAGACCTGGCCTTACGATGTCCTGACCGAACAAATAACCACCTTGATCAACAACTCCGCGGAAGCAAGCGAGCCCTGAATTCAGCAACAGTGAGAGCTATTCGGGTGACGAAAAGGTGTCATCACAAATCCTGTAGGAAATGTATTGTCCAATTGCCGAATCACATCAATATTATTTCTTCCAGAATCTTACATACCTTCCGACCGGAACATACACAACGCGTGAAAACGGTAAGCACAACCCCTAGAAAATCACGGAAGCGCAGCTTTCACTTGCTCGATCCTCTGGTCCAAGAGCCCCAAGACAGTATCGACACCCTTCAAAACGCCCTTATCAGGTCCTTGACCCGGTACGATACGAGTATGCGCGAAGTCGATGAGCTTGACGATGTAAGGCGGTCTGGGACGTTTCTTTGCCTCCTCTTCATCCTCTTCCTCTTCCTCTTCCGTTTCCTCTTCCTCTTCCTCTTCATCCTCCTCTTCCCCTTCCTCTTCCTGCTCTTTGTCGTGCATCTCCTCCAAGTACTTAAGCCCCTCCTGTGCACTCGTCCAATCTGCTTCGTAGATGATCAACAAACTAGCGCCGACCATCCGCATATCAACTCGTTGTAAGGCCTCGCGTATCTCTGCCACGTCCTCTCGTAGATACTGTAGGATAGGATGGAGGATGTATGGGGGAAGACCTGTACCAGTCTCAGGAGGCGAGGCAGTTTCGCCTTCTGTAGGTTCTGGCGGAGGAGCGGGAGGGGAAGCGGAAGAAGCAATGGGAAAGAAGAGACTAAGACCGTCGATAAGTTCAGATGCCTTAATCGACTTGCCGTACTCTCGACGCGCGTTCGCTGTTAGGCCTGAAGCGAGGTCGTAAACCTTGAGAAAAATCAATATCAAAATGGCCCACAAGGAACCTGCCATAGGTCATTCACCTGAAATCCAGTTAGCCGTACACCGGTTTCTAGAGAAGTAGTCTCCTTAGCAGTCTTCTCCATTCGCGTCTTCTTCTCCGGCGTAGCGTCCTCATCGTATAGGACAGTACCGAGTTTGATATCCAAGATATTCGGCTTCAAGAATGAATGAGAGAGGTTCTCCAGCACTATGGATTGTAATCATCGGAATGACATCAGGGTCAATGTCGTAACGAAAGCAACCAAGTATAGCATATCTTTGTCTTTCCCTGGTACCTCCTTCACTGTTACGCCTTCCCCTTCAGCGCTCTTTTCTTGATCCACGACACCTTCTAACTTAAGCGTGCCATAGAATTCTGGTATGAATGGACGCAAAGGGGCAAACCCGGGATCCGATGCTACAGATTGGTAGAAGTTGACCTCAACGGGGAGAGCAGGTTTGATCAAGAGCGATCCGTTCTCAGTGGTCATTACTCCGGCATGACCACCCACCTGGGCAGCTAAAGGGACATGTACGGGTTGGTTTGAAGAAGGTGCAGACATTGTTGTTATTATTCTAGTCAGATGAATGATAGAGCAAAGAGCAGTATACTCGCGCGCCAAATAATAGGGTGCTTTCACTTGATCGTGTAAGTTCGACAAAGCTTCAGTGGTTTACAGCTGTTGGTAGACATCGTAAACGAGGTCCATGAATCGAGGACGAGAGGCATAGGTGAATATTCGGACTAGAGAAGAAATTCAACATTCAACACGTCAACGGAGGAACTCAAAAGTCTCAAAGTGTTTGAAACGAATAGATAAGATCACTTACAAGTGCGATCATACGACTAATCTAATCTATAGCAGCTTGACCCTGTACCGCGACGTTCAGACGTTCAAGACCTCACGTCGACGACTGGATATTCGCACATCTCTTACCTTCATTACCTGTAGCTCCGGTCATACTCCATCATGAATGCCATGGACTTCAGTTCAAATGTCTATCTGGCTGTTACAACAGCACCGAATCTGTCACATAACCCTTCCTCTCTCGTAGTCCATCCCACCGTAACCTATGTTGGGAAGGTCGGTGAACTCGCAGACGTTCAAGTTGTATCCGTGCCAAAGGATGCATGGGACAACGTCAAAGATGATGTCTTCCGAGCTCTGAACGCTTTGGATGGCGTGCAGAGAATCGAGATCCAGAGCCCTCCCCGTCAAAGAGTCAAACGTGGCGACGAGTTATGATCTTCACCGATGTTTGTATGCTTCCCCGGAGCTCTGTACAAAGTTCATGTATGCTCAACCGATGGATTTTTCTAGTTGATACTTCTTTTGGTATGTCCTTGTGTACATTTTACCCCGTGGTTTGTGTTGAAACACAGTTCTCAGGTGAACTTTGAGGCTGATATCCGCTGTATACTATATTCAATGTATCCTAACAGAGCGGCTCAATTTACAACAAATTAATCCCAATTTCCTTGCATCCTTCTCATCCATGTACTCGAAGGCTGCAAGTGATAAACGTGACACTGCGTTCACTTCCCCGTGTCGTACTATACTTGTCCGCCTCTATGCTTATTCTACGCCAACGTGCTTACCTATATGATCATTCCATCCATATCTAGTATCTACATTCTATGTCATGTCAAATTCAGGAGTGGTGTTTATATCGTAATAGACAAGGAAAATGCTTGCCGTTACGCCTGAAGCAAAATATAGGATGTAATTGCTTCATCGACTATGATACTTCCTACTAATAGAGCAAAGAAACATGCATATATTAAAGTCTAAAATTGACAGCCGTGACATAGGGTACCTTCAAAATCAAGTGTTCCAGTAAAATAGCAAAAGAGTGTTCTAGACTAGCAAAAGCAGTCTCGGAGAAGATAAATAAAACAGATCGTACTATACCATATCATGTCCGTACCAATCAGCCAAGCCCTATTAAATTCCGTTTCTAGAAGTACGAGCTGCAGCACGTCTGTCAGCTTCGCGACAAACCTTGCTGACCCTCTCGATGGCCTGCATCCAAAGTTGACAATTCCGAGCAGAAGTTGCACGAAGTCCGATCTTTTCACCTCCTCGCGGGTATGCAAGTGACAGCTGAAACGCCAAGTCGTCTAACGTACAACCAGTTCAGAAGCCATTGAGAACGGTAAAGGCTATGACTCACCTCGGTTTCCCGAGTATTCCGTTACCTGCAGCTCGGATAATGGAATTGGCTAAACAGTGTGCATGAGCATACATCCGCGGTGAGAATGCGGTTTAAAGCAACAAACCATGCGATAGAGAGATTTGCCAGTCTCATCAGTGAGGACGAGAATATCACTGCATAAGAAAGCCCGCAGCTTGCGACCACTCTTTGCCTTCGTCAATATTCCTTCCTTGAGTAGTTTCCGAGCCCCCATATTGCGCGTTGGCTCGGTCAAGTCCAAACGGCTACAAGACAATAGTCGACATTAAAACGTCTGAGTTGGTTGAGTATTGTCACGCACCCTTGACCAATCCACAAGTTATTTGAGATAAGTCTTAATCGTTCCCTGCCTTCTTGCTCGCGAATGGTCTCGTTGATATGACTCAAAATCCTTTCCGCCATGTCGAGTGCGCGTTCGCATTGTTTGCGATCCTCCGCCAGCTCTGTGTAGTGGATAACCTGAAAAACTCAGTTGTTAGATGATCCGCTAAATCTTTGAGACTCAGCATACTTGTTTGATAAGGAGTGGATACCGGGTTAGTCGTTGCACTGACAAACGGGAGTAAGACAATCGTTCATAGGAGCCCACAAGTTGGACTCACTTGGTGCGAGGAGATAACTGGAAAGGTCCAAGTTACGGACAGCAGGGTCGTCACGAAGGCGCTATAGGCAAGAAAATAAGCATTATAACTTCACGCGAAAGCTCATATTCTCACCTGCAGCTGTGCTGCCAAATCAGGTCTACCTTCTCTCAGAGACTGAAGGACTTTGATGGCTGTGGCTTGGTTTACGCAGTACTCCTACAGCAGAGTCAGCGATAAACTATGTGGGAGACGCGGTAACATACCATATATACAGCCATGTTGGACATGTTATTCTTCAGTATGTCACCGATCTTGTCAATATAAAGGCGACACTCTTTTTGTCGATCTTCTAGCGAGCTCAAGAACGACTAACACAAGTTTAAGCATTCCGGAAGGATTAGAATCGAGATAAAAATACATACAGTGTTCGTCAAAAGAATGTCTTCCACGTTGGCGAAGATGACGGTGATAGCCTTCTGATCCAGCAGAGGGAGGAGGCTACGGTAGAAAACCTGCAAAAGCTTGAGTAGTGCTCTTTAGTGTGTGTAAAGATGACAATGATACCTCGACAATGAGCTGAAGGTCCCGAACATAAGTTGCTTCTGTCGCAACTAGCTCAAAAATCGCCTACGCCGAATAGTCATTTTAGTGCCCTAAGAGCGCATGGAGTGCAAAGGTACGATACCTCCTGACGACGACGCTCTTTTGGAGGAATGTCCTGCAACGCTGATTTGTCCACGAGACTAGCCCAAGACTGAAGGAAAGTTAGACTGAGGCAAAATATGAACGAGAAATTGACGCACCGTTCCAAATTCGTTATCCACCTCAGGAGAAGCACTTGGATCCTTCTGCAATATGGGAGCCGAGATAACTGGCATTACACGAGTCTCCCCATCGTTAGCTGGAGTCCTACGACCGAAGAAATGCAAAAAGTGAGAGTGTGATCGACCTTCCACGTCGGCAGAAGGGCTTCGAGGAGGGATGCCACCACTATGAGAAAGCGATGGACTAGCTGGCATGCTTGTCGAGTCCATGGAAGCCACAGATAGGCGGTTGACGTTGGCCTGGCTCTGCTTGTACGCTTCATACCGTTCGAAAGCATCGTCCAAGCGTAGAGAGTTATCCACGGTACTAGGTTCCGGCACTGACGGTAGCTCTTTCAGGGTGTGAATAGAACGTTTAGCCCTCTTAGGGACTGCTGGCGGAGCACGGTGTCGACGTCGGCTTCGAGTTCTCATAGGTCTTGGAGGTGGCTTTTTATCAGACTTGATGATGAGACCTGCTGCTTCCAATACCCTTCGACGCTCCGCCTCACGAGCCTCATGTTCAATCTTCCGTTGTTCCTCAGTTAACTCTTCAACTTCCGATGATGGAGATTCCGAAGCCGTGGTGAAGGAGTCGTCGTCTGAATCGTACTCATCAGTCTCCTCCACGTCTTCGCGATCATTACTGAAAGATGGGGTTGGAAGATTAACTTGGCCCCTTGACGATTCCTCGACGGTCGCAAAGTGGGTATCATCAGCCGGTGGTATTGGGCGAGGTGTTAAAAAGGAGTCTAGCAAGGTTGAATCAATTACGGGCGTATTGCAAGCCGAGAGTTATTGACGAGATACATGTAGAAAAAGAAAGAAAAAAGAAAGGATATTTCAGCCTGTTGCCAGACAGCAATGTAAACGAAAGAGCGTAAGGAAGAATATGCAAACTAACCCTCAACAGTTTCCAAATAAGCGGCAGGAACCACGAACACAACACCATCCTTCTCAGTCTCCCACCAATCTGCATCGATCTTGCCAATGATGCTGAGGTCGTCACCTTCTTCGAACGACAACTCGTCGGAGTTGCCACCGGCATAAGAGTATAAGGCTTTGGCTCTAACTGTGGGCAGAAGAGGGTCAGTCGCAACAACACATCGACGGAAAAAAGAATCCTACATGTCTCATATTTCTGAACATAAGTGCTTGGGAAAAAGCCGGACTTGCCCTCCTGCAAGAGAGTACCATACCACCAGTCGCCTCCCGATTTAGATGGATGAGCGAGCACCACATGGTTTCTGTCGAAAGCTACATAGCAATGAGTATTGAGCACACAATTACGTTTATACAGTCGCAATACTCACACAGTTCCTCGGATCGCTGAGCTTCGTATGCATATAATGTACGTACTCGGTACTCTGTCATAGACATCAGCCTCTGCACACCATGTGCAGTATTTAACAAACTTACCAACTGAGCGGTCAACATCCTCCATGGGATCGGCCTCTTGAGCAGCGTCAACGTGAATCTGAGGCACAGGGGTTGCAGGTTCCTCCTCTTCTTCAGCCATAGCAGGAAGATGTTCTTGAGAGGTCTGAATAATTCCATTATCTGCAGCCAGACCAGCATACCAATCAACCGATTCCCGATTACTGGTTCTCGACCCCGTGCTTCCACCAGCCGACATCGACGGTAACTGTAGTACAGGCTGTGTCACAGGCGGAGGTGCAGGAGGAGAAGGTGCCCTAGGCACAGCACTGGTATGTTCTGGTGGTGCGGTGTCACCACCGAGAACCCTGCCCGAAATAGGAGCAGCGCTCCGGTCATTGGTCTGCGCGTGCTTCAACCTTGCACCAGCTTGGATTGCGCTGAGAAGGGCATTGCGATTACCGGGAGGAGCAGGAGTACCAACAAGAGCAGCCGGCGCTGCGGGTGCAGGTGGGGCAGGTGGAGGTACAGGAGCACTCGGGGCGGGAGGAGGTGCAGGTGCAGTAGGTGCAGGGGGAGCAGATGGCGGAGGGGGAGGTGCAACAGGAGCAGCAGGAGGGGAAGGTGCAGATGGTCCAGCTGCAGCAGATTGAGGTCTCGAAGGAGGCATGATACTGCCAAATAGTTGTTGAGCTAACCTATTGCGCGTGTCACGGGAGGAATCCAATTCATCCTCGCTGCTTTCCTCATCTTCCTTCTCGCGAATATCATCCCACTCATCCTCGCTCTCAGCAGGTGCAGTGTGGTAAGATGTCTTCACTGCAGGAGGAGCAGGGCTTCTGGCGGGAGGGATCGAAGGGGCAGGAGGCGGTGAAGATATCGAAGGCTGGCTCTTAAAGAAGGGGTTGGTACTGCCATTCACTGGCGCAGCCGAAGGAGTTGTCGCTGTCGATCCACCTTCTTGTAACAACTTGCTGAACGGGTTGGTTTTCGCCTTATCCACAGGAGGAGAAACCAAGGCTGCTGGGGGTGCAGGAGCTGCAGGTGGTGCGGGAGGTGCGGGAGGTGCAGGAGGGGGTAATGTGGGAGTGACTGGAGGAGGAGAGACCACAGCAGCTGGCGGTGGCGGCGGCGGCGGCGGAGCTGCAAGGACAGCAGCGGGAGGAGTAGGAGGAACAGGAGAAATAGTAAACTGTGCCCTCCTTGCCTTATATTCCTCTTCCAATCGACGTGCGGCCTCTTCTTCCTCCCTCTCCATCTGGCGCAATCTCTCCAAACGCTCTTCGCGTGCTTTGCGCAAAGCCGCCTCACGCGCCCGTAGTTCTTCTTCCTGGGCATCAATTTCCGGTTGAATAGGTGCGGGTGGAGGAGCTGGAGGAGCGGCAGGCGCGATTAGCGCAGGGAGCGTCGGTGCGGGAAGTGCAACACGAGCAACAGGTGGCTTAGGTGCAGGTGCTTTCCGGGGAGGTGGAGGAGCAGGTGCCCTGGCTTTCGGCGCTGGTGGAGGAGGTTTAGGTGCAGCAGCCGGTGTGGCTAGGACGGCGGCAGTTGTCGTTGCGTCTGGTGAAGTAGGCGAAGGGACACCATCCCTTTGCAAACGTTCACGCCTGAGCCTCTCCCTGTCCTCCGCCTCCTTCTCTGCAGCCTTAGCCTTCTCTTCAGCTTCCTTCTTCTCCTTGGCCAGCCGATCCTCGACGGTCGTATCCAACTTCGGAGAGGGAGTCGCAGTAGACACAACGCCCAAAGCAGCCATACGCTCTCTCAGCTTTCTTTGCGCTTCAGCCTGAATGAAAGCTTTGCGTTCCTCCGGCGTCATATTCTTGGTCGAAGGCGCTGCAGTGCTAGGCGAGGCGGGTGCAGGGGTAGGAGGAGCACGGGCAGGAGGAGCAGATGGCACAGGTGTCGGAGGAGCGGGTGAACGAGCAGGTGAACGAGTTCTTGGTGGGCTGCGAGGTCTGTCGTAATCCCTATCCCTGTTGCGAGAGTACGGTCTGTCCCTGTCGTAGTCACGATCTCTGTCCCGTTCATAATCGCGGTCGCGGTCTCGGTCTTCCCTGTCATACGACCGGTAGTCTCTGTCGCGCTCGTGGTCCCTGTCCCTTTCGCGGTCGTCGTATCGCGAATAGTGGTCGTCACGGTCTCGGTCACCGAATCTGCCGAACCGCTCATTACGACGATCACGGTCCCGGTCCCACTCCCTCTGCTCACGTTTCTTCCTCTCCTCGCGATCCTTGATTTTACGCTCGAGCTCGGGAACCCGCTCATGCATCAAGCTAAGCAACTCTCGTTCCAACCGCCGCCTCTCCTCGTCCTTTGCAGTCGACCTAGGACCACGCGAAACATAGTCCAGATCCTCCTGAATTCGCTTGATTCGATACCTAACGTCGGACATCTCCCTCTCCAATGCTTCATCCTCAGCAGTTTTCGAAGCACTTTCCTCTGCTGATCGATCGAGCATCTTGGCCGTGTTTTCAAGCTGACGCTTCATGTCATCTAAATCCGCAGCAGGACTCGCGCTCTCGCTCGCAGTTCGAATAGCACTGCGGTCAACGTGACGAGAACGAGGGGTGTAGAAACCACCAGGAGGAGATTCGTCAGAATACTTGTACACAGTTGCATCTTGCCGACTGCCTGAGCCGAGGGCAGAAGAACCGTTGAATGACCGGTCCTTCAGCTTCGAGACAGGTGACGAAGAATCGAAACCGGGTGAGCGGGCACGAGTGTCGTGTTTGAGAATGTCCTTGAGAATATTCACTGAAGCATCGAGGTCGCGATGGGATGGAGGAACTAGCTCCTCTGGTAGCTCCTCAGGAATCGGGTTGCCGTTGAGACCTATACAGATAATGAAGTCATGTACGCTAATAGAAGCCGATTTACGTACGTCGGTAGATGAGGCCCATTGCAACATGGAACTCGGGCAAATTGAGCTTTCCTCGGTTATCCTGATCAGCCAGAGACCTGTGCTACGTGTCAGACGAATGCGGCATAAACATGAGGACAATAGATGTACCAAATCTTCGCAAGGTCGTTCTTATCAAGACCACTCTGACCGAAGACCTCCAGCGCAGTCTGTCCTGAAATGAACCCCTCGTTCTTAGTGTCCCAAGCTCGGAAAATCTGATCATAGCTCTTCTTCTCTGCTTTGCTCAACGCCCATGGAATCTTTGGTGCAGCAGTACCTCTCTGTGCTTGATTATGTTGCATGAATGATTGCTGAAGGTTCTGCTGTTGTTGAAGCTGAGGCGCGCCAGCGGGGTTGTACGGCATCGAAGGATTGGCAGGCAGGAACGTACTCGACATCATCTGAAGACGAGGATCGATGAAGCCTGTCACTTGAGGTACAAGCGGTCGCAGTCCACCACCAAAACCGCCTCCATATCCAGTTTGTTGAGCAGTGAGAGGACCAGGAGATGGTGTTATGAAACGACTCGGCTGCGACTGAGCCTGTAGGAAACTACCACCAGTCACATTCTGCGGCTGTTGTGGCTGTTGGAACTGTGACGGAATAGGTGGAACTGGTGGTGGACGCTGCTGGAAGTTGCTTCCTTGGAATCCAGTGGGCTGTGGTTGGAACCCTGTCTGTTGCGGTACTAATCCTGAAGAAAACCCTGTTTGCTGAGGCTGCTGATAGCCCTGAGGGCCACCTATAAAGCCTGTAGGCTGGGGCTGCAAGCGTTGTTGCTGCTGTCCGGGAAAGCCAGTTGGCTGCGGAGCTATTCCTCCCTGCGGAAATCCTTGCTGTTGAAACTGTGGTTGGGAGTTAAACCCTGTCTGCATTGGGTACTGGTATCCTTGTCCCCATTGTGCCATCTCCTACACAAGTGGACGTGGATGATGAGAGTAACTGGAAGAGTGATTATAAGTGACGAGTCTGCCGCCCCAGCCGGCGTTCACCTGCGCCTGCGCCTGTAAACCCTAACCCCGATTCCGCTTCTTAGCCTGGTGCTTAACTCAGGCGTGCTGCAACGACGTTTCATGTCTATGGTGGTTCTCTGAACGTAGCGTTACAGAATCGATAATGATATATAATGATTCGTACAAAGCTATCCTACTACACGAGTAATTATATATGAGATGAACGATGGCACCCGACCTCTACCAGTTTTGAGAATGACCTCCTACGTAAGGTTCTAAGCATTAACGTAGTCAGTACAGGGCTTCAAATAACATAGATGAGAGAGAGAGAGGTCAGAGAACCGGGTCTCGACAAAGTGCAACTCCCCGAAGAGAGTGCTCTCAGACGGCACTTCCTAATTGCTTTCGGTTGTAATCATCTTGCAGATGTACGTCCGCGATTGACAGCATAACTTATAACAGAAGTACTCACAGTAATACGGTACGCAATCAATGCAAGACAAGCGATTAGAGCTATATAGAACCTGTTATAATGGGTCAGCAAGTTGATTGATATTATAGAACGATCACGAAAATCAGTGGTGCAAATGGTTTGGCTATTGCTCTGCCTGTCGTCAAAGCCTTCGGCTACGACTGGGGCGGCAGCGGATGTCATCATTGAGAAAAGACGGACTAGAAACTCACCAGTACAATCACCACTCGCGACGGTTCTGTTTCAAACAAAACTCACACATCGCAAACTGAATACGACTGTACATCCAGATCAACAAAGATACAACCACCAATGCATACGACAATGCATTAAAGCACACAGCCAGAATAGAAATGTGGAAAGTGACCACAAAAATTGAGAGGCAAAGACGATGAAGAAAATAAAGAGGCAAGCAAGGATTGGCGCCCGAAAGGAGTCTAGATATGAAAGTGCTGACGTAACGCCATCAGTCCGGTTTGCACGCCCAAACAGTCCAAGTTCACCTTCCTGGCCACTATCCGGCTCGTGCTCATCGCTGTTGAGCTCACTGCCTATATTTGACTTGCTTTTCACTGCTGAATTCGACTATGGCTAATCTCCAGGACCCCTTGCTCGCGTTGAGACAAGCCATCAAATCCAAAACACCCATAACTTATACCGATGCATCCTCCAAGCCAACACCCTCTCTTGCCTCTGCAACGCATCTCATACTTTCTGGAAAGCCATACCCTAAATCTACACCAACACGGCTCCGCAAACCTGATGCAACCTCTACTGATCCCTTGACGTCTCCTGCAGATTTCTTCGCTTTGGAAGCCGTATATGTGGCTTGGCTAGGTCGAGATGCAAGTGGTGCAGAATATATGAAGCAAGCGCGAGAGAATGGGTTGACTGTGGGATTCGTAAGTGTCACAGAGCGGAAAGGCGTGGTTGATTGGTTGGAGGGAAAGGTTTCCGACCTCGAGAGTATTATTCCCTCAGCTTGTGAGTCATTGTCTTATTTCCTACGGTTCCTTCATTGGACGACTCGTGTGCAGCAGAATCAACAACACCTCCCGGTACTCCACCTCAGCTGAAGGGAGCTGGCGCTACCGTTACATCTACACCGTCAAAGTCCGCATCTGCGACTACACCCGCGAAACGTAGATATGTGGCGGACTCTGCAGACGTCGAAGTCGTCAAGAAGATCAAGGCGAATGAGATTGAGTTGCGTGACAGAAACTCCGTTCTACGGGGAACCAAAGCAAATGTTGGTGTCCTTTGTCCTTTTTTCGTATGTCGTGTCACTAAACATCTACGCAGAACTTCAGCAACGTTCGCACATCTTTCGCGGAGAAACTCAAGAGATCCAAGGAGTCCGCGAGATCAGGAGCAGTTGCATCTTCCATACCAACACCGGACCCCAAGTTGCAAGCTCGCAAGGCTAGGAGTCAATACCCGATCATCATGATTTCGTCTTCGCCAACCGCACTTATAACCATGCACAACGTAAAACGATTCTTGCAGGATTCTATATACGAGCCTTCGCAGGATGCTCGAGCGAAGGCTGCTGCAGAGGGAAACCCGCGGCCCGAGGATATGATTCCCATCTATCGAAAGAAATCGATGATGGACAGCGCTGGAAGAGAAACGGAGAGTAGTATGCGGTACGTTAAGTCACGGGTGTCATAGAGGTGAATGACTCATTGACTTGATACCTCAGGTATTTCATTGTTGACAGCACGGAGGCATTGTCAAAATTCGGCGCAGATGCATGGGACCGTGTGGTGTGCGTGATGACCACGGGACAGGCATGGCAATTCAAGCCGTACAAATGGAGCGACCCAAAAGTCTTGTTCCATCATGGTATGTAGTTGTATCCTGAGCGCCGCGTATCTCCTATTTAACATTGCTGGACATACGTAGTGAAGGGATTCTACGTCTCGCTAACGAGCGACCCACCAAACCCCAAAATCAAAGACTGGAACGTCACAGAACTAAAGGTCTGTTGGTTCATATGAATGCAATTCCGTAGGCTAATCGGGCTCTTGTTCAGCTGGATCCCCACCGACGGCACGTCGACCGAGCCGTTGTTGCTTCATTCTGGCAGGTATTAGACAACTGGATAGCGACTAATAAGCCCTGGTTGGTCAAGACATGACCGGTCATGACCTCTTACGCCATTAGGACTTTCTATCTTGTACCATATGTTCCTCGCTAGTCTTTGCTCTGTACCGATGTGATCTTCCAGTTATCTTTGTCGAAAGCGAACTAAGTATAGACCGAACCGATTTGATGGTATTACATCACTTTCTGAACTGTCTCGGGGGTCGACGCGTCTTCTCGGCGCTCCGATCGTGCTTGAGCGCGACTCTCGACAGGCTCGGACAAACTGAAAAGACAGAACATCTTGTAACTTATTCCTCGCCCCATCATTCTACCATTCCGTTGAATCCTCGCTAGAAGTGAGGCGACTCTTTTCTGAGCCATAGAACGACGTTCTCTTTGCAATGGCATCTGCCAAGGTCGCCCAGCTCGTAATTCGAGTGAGTCCCATTCCTGTTGTGTCGTGCTATAACCGTGAATCCTTAGAATCAGGGAGACTCTAGCCAAGCCTATCAGTAACCAGATCAAGGTCCAAGCGAAAGAGTGAGTACTTCCTCGACGCCACAAACACAATGAAGGGATCCCAAATATTATTGTACTCTGGTAGACATGAGACTTTCCGGAATTTCTGCGTTAACTTGGCACAACGAATGCATCGCGTAGAGGTGAACCTCCGAACCAACCTTCTTGGAGAGCCCGCCAGACATGTCCGGCCGCTTTCCGAGACAAGGTACCGCCGTTTATTCACTTCTGCATGTTCGCTAGCTGATGATGACTCGACAGGGCAATCGAGAGTGGTGCCAATGCTCTAGCGGAAGGTTTCCTCTTCTCCGTTGCAGCGGGCTTGATCATAGGCGAAGCCTGGCGATCATCGCGAAACCAATCCAAACGCAGAGACAGCGTTGATGAGGCTTTGGAGGATTTACAGACAAAAGTGTTCAGTTTGACAGAGAAGATCGACGAGCTTTCGACTAGTTTTGATGAGAGAATTTCGGAGGAGAAAGAAAGGTAAGCGGGCTCACCGAGGGCTAACCGTTTGATGATCTACATTTTTATTAACAATACTACACAGAACCGAAGAGATTACGCGAATATTAGGGCGCGTGGTCGAGATTGGTCTGCGTGGTGGCATGACAGAGCTCGAGGGTACACCTTTACTCCTCCCACGAATACAGCTCAAGCTTGGACGCAAACAACAAAGTGATGACATTCCAGCTTCTCAGGATTATTCACCTCAGTCGTCAAGCTTGCCGAATACCGACACTACTAGCGATGATACCACTTCTAGGCCACAGTAATATGATGGATTCCTTGCTTAATATTACAGTTTCAACCGCAACATATGGTAGTGCGTCACATGTACAGATACTTCTAATGGTAGTCATGAAGGTGCACTTAGTTATGAAGGTGCACTGAACTGAACATGTGCTCACGCCGCTGCCGCAAGATGGCTAGTTCCTCCCGAAAGGAATAGCCATCTAGTTTGGAATACGAACTGATGACCTTCAGGCTTGAAGAGGCTATTGTTAAACTCCAGACGTTCAGAATCTGAATTTCCTTTGGGGTCAACATATTACTTACGATGGTCTACCACTGGATAGTGCCAGTATTACTTCCCGCGAACCCCTACAGGCTGCCAATAGGTCCGATGTTTTGTCACTGGTTGGTACTAGAATGGAGACCTTGCCGCTAGGCGTCGCCTCCTATCGTCACCGGTAAGCAAAGTTCTCTTCTCTTCTCGTATGCGAAACTCCGCTCATGGTGCTTGGTCAAGCTGAACTGCATTCTCAGTGACCCGTCTGTAACATTAGCCTCATTTAAATGAGTTGAATTTCTTCTAATAAATCAACACAAGCCAAGCTTCTTATGCTTCTTGTATACATTTAGGGCTCAGACAGATCCGGCGCACAATAGACTGCTTCTTTTCAGTATATCCTAGTACAATGCACTCAGGCTGAATGTCCGCGTTCGAACTGACCCGGCTCCGATATGCACACCCGGCGGGACCGAATTGTGTGCACCTACTCTCCATTCCACGGGTACTTAAATCCGATGAATTGAAAGCGTGACGAATGTTGGACCTGGTTTGTTGCTGGTTGAGCGTAGAATGGAGAGCTTCTTCTGCCAAGCGAGGGTACATACTCACCTGCCTCGTTTGACGAACAAGCGAGAGTTGAATCGAGAAGTCGAAATCGTGTTATTCGTATAAGTTATCGATGGTGACTACATAAACAGAAAGCAGACCGTTACAAGTCGTGAGGTGAAGTTCGTAAAAGTACAAACTTTGCAGCAACAATACAGGTGTATGTAATGAAAGTCCAATGGTGCAATAATTGTACACTCCATGAAAGAGAGAAGCAATAAAGTCAACATACATTTTGAGTGAGATATCCGAGTGCGTCGAGCATTCAAAAATCAATAACTTCCTTGAACTTGGTGCCTCCTTCAAACTTCTGCATAGCTCGTACAGATCCTGTATGACTTCCAGAAGGAACAGAGAACTGTTCATGTTCTCGAGGTTCAGGCCGAGCGCTATACGCTACGGTCTCTGACGACTCCATGGACATGGACATGGGTGAAGACGAAAATGTGTCCGGATAAGACGAGCTGGGTGTGGGTGCATACGCGGTATCCACAGCTAGCGGTGGCGACCGATCCTGACTCGGCGGTACGGATAACTCGATCGAGTCTGAAGTGGCACTCCTTTCTATATGTGGCCTTGGCGGAGGTATGAAAGAGCTAGAAGTAACGTCTGTTCCTCTGTCTTGCATCTCCCTAGGTCCCGTTAACCGGGGTGCGTAGGAAGGGTTGAGATCCGAAGCGTCCCATTCGTCGTCGCCAGAGTTAGCCCTCACCCACCCCTCCTGTTTCTTCCTCAGTCCAAATAAACCTTTGAACTTGTCTCGCATTCCTGGTGGCCCAAGGGGTAACTCATAAATGCTGGTTTCGCGTTTGCCGGACATCACACGACGAGCGTGACGTTCGTACGGATCTGGATTATGGTTGCGTAGGAGAAAGAATACCCCTATGCAGGATAGAATGACTATAGATGCAAGGACAACGACTACGGCTATGAAGCCGGCAGAGGAGCCACCGATCTTCGGTAAACTCGATTCATTTCGGACCTGCTGATTGATAAAATAAATTGTCTGTAACATACAAAAGAGCGGTCAAATACTCACCAGTGGCGATGGTGAAGGTGAGGATGCTTGAGAAGTATAGTCTTCCCGTTTTAAAAGTTGAGATATAGCATCGTCCGAGTCCCAGATGTGAGAGAAATACTCCGTCCCTTGCCAGTCCCATGGTTGGTTCCGTAATCTGCCCTTGGGTGGCATTTTGGAGAGAGTCGAAATGAAAGCAAGAGGGTATATCAGAGGATGTTTTTACTGTTACACGTCGTGGTTAGAGTGCAAGATTTACCTGCATTCTTGTGGTAAATTGTAAAGCATGAGGCATGGAGGTCCACCCGTGCTGTGTCGGGCCGCCGTCCTCCGCTAGTCCATATACGGGTGCTATCCGAGCGGTGTGGGTGTTTATCTCTGGGAAGCGAGGAACGATAAAATTTGAACGAACGCTAGGTGAGCAGTGTTGAAGTTTCTCCCTCCTCTACGCACCCCTCGATGAGTGGAACTCGCGTTCCTAGTTGCCAACAACGCCGCTCGATAGACTCGACGCACCAACTTCTACCATTAGCCGCCCAAGAATGTTGGAACTTGAAGTACTTATCCAAGAATCACTCACTACTACATGGGGTTCAACGGAGCCTACAGTGTGAGTGAGTGTTCATGTCTACGAGGTAGCTACAAATGACATTCGTAAATATCAACTATAGTTGGCCGACGTTGAAGTCATTGAACAGTACTTGAAAGACGAACGTTCGGCTAGCGCCAGTGCGCCTCAATGTTCAAACTACCCGGTAACCGTAATTCGGGAACTTCAACTTGACAACCAAATCGATGAGAGGAACTAGCTGGGCATCCTTCCTGGCACCAAGTATCTCTCTGAAGCCCTCGTTCATTGCACGCTATCGACAAAGCGACATAGAACCTGCGTATGTTCGACATTTTGTCCCACTGGTTATGCCGACACACTGCCCTGTCTCGAAAGCTTGAAGCTTGGCTATCTTGACTTTTGGTATATGGTGACCAACGGACGGCCAGCATATTCTCTCCAGGCTTCAGGCGACTTTTAAATGCAATTATGCAAACGGGCATTTATTCATGTCCGCTGAATGCAACTACGAGAAGGCCAAACTACCAACGAAAGCGACCAAAAAACTCTATGGCACAAAACAAACGACCGGATCTGGGGTATACGATTCGTTGCGAATCATGGTGTATGTGTAAGTCAGGTAGATACAATGAAGATGAAGCAAGGACTGATGATGATGGAGCATGAAGGCAACGAAAACCTGAAGCGAGAATACTCGTCAATGGTCGTAAAGGTGGTATAAGACTATGCTACATGAAGCTTTTGGTCATGAAAAGAGAGGAAACGTATGAAGGAATAAACGTCGCTCGGTGAGTCCTTTTCGTTACGGGTATATGGTCGTAAATGCCCCGCCTATGGCTCAAGGGCTGACATGGAAGAGGTCGCTGAAGTTTAACTCGTCAGAGGACGGGATAATGTCGTACGTCTCCGGCACGATGCTGAGGGCCTCTAGGCCGGCTGCATACGCCTCCAAGTCCGCGCCAAGTTCGTAGCTAGCGTCCCCTTGAGGGTATTCTGGATACTGGAGTGTGCTCCGCTCGCAAGCGTTGGTGTTGTTGCTTTGCGTCGTGTATGGGCTTCGCACATCTCTGGGGAAATCCGCCATCCGAGGAGTGCGATCGAAGTCAATGCCTTCGTTGGGCACGAGCGCGCCAGACCCAGCGGAGAACATGAGGGATGACTGTGTCCCCGGCTGTGTCGTCTGAGCATTAGCTTCACTGGCGACAAGTCGGCGATTCAAATCATGCGTGGGCGAAGACTGCCCAAAGCCGAAAGTAGGAAGGCTCGAGGTTGACGCAGCCGCTATGCCGTTCCAGTTGGCCAGAGATGACGACACGACATGGAGTGGAGAAGGTGGCAAGACCGACGTGGTATTAGACCTTTGGCGTCGGTGGATCAGTGGATCTCGTGTTTGAGCTGTGCCAGTCTCTGGTATGGAACCCAGACCGCTGCCTTGGACGGGAACGTCGGATAACATGGACGAGCCTGTAGCCTGGGGGGACAGACCGCTAGACACCTGAGAAGCCAGCCGCGGTTAACTTCTACACGTCCGTCTAAGAGAGCTCAAATACTTACGGACAACAGGCCGTCGTCGAACGAGAGGCTGTCAAAAATGCCGACGTCTGGAGAGGAGGGGGAGGTCGATGTAGAGTCCCAAACCTGATAGAGGCTCTCATCTATATAGGGGCTGGGAATCTCGTAAGACGTCTGGCCACCTGAGGTCGCGTAAAAAGACGATGGACGGGTGAACGATGACCTAGCACGCCTCGACACAGTCACATTCTCGGGCTCCAGGAGGTATGTGCGTAAAGGCGGGTATTGGTCTGGGGCAGGAGCTCGTGAAAGAGGAAGTGAGTACGAACGACGACGACGGACAGATCGCGTCGGTGTAGTGACTCTTCGGGGCACTTCAGGCGGCTCTGGGGAGGACGAACCGAGGCTGATATGATCGGCCGGGGGAGAATGGTCGAGATCAGAATCACCGACTACATCACCCGACTCAACCCTCTCCATGAACGATACAACTTGTTCGCGACGGCTTATAGAACTACAGGTTCGACTTTCCTTGGTGTTACGTCGTCGGGGTCTGTAGCGATAGTTGGGGTGAAGTCTGCTGTGTTCTACCTTGATTTCTTCCGCCCTGTCCTTATATACCTGTCGCTCGGCCTGAGACATCTTCTTCCACGCCTCCGACGCCCGTTTGGACAGAGTTTTCTCAGCCACTGCGGACGACGGCTCGCCTGTCTTGTGCTCCTGAGCATGCAGGCGTGAATACTCGACGCGGAAGACCATGAACGAATTCAGGGGTCGCGGCACCCAATTCGGGTCCGCTTCACGTTTGTGTCGAGCGCGACGATCAGAGGGGCTGCTGGGATAAGAAGAACGATGGTTTTGAGCCATATTGGCTGGAGGTAAGGTCAACGACATGCTATGTCGGTGCAAGTGAGGTCGTGTAGTAGGATTGGAAGAAGCACGTGCGGATGATGAAAGAGGAGGTGCAAGATCCCTGCCGTTCACTGGAGCAGAATCCCAGGACTGAAACGGGGAAAAAGGAGGCATATCGGCTTCCTCGTTTTCAGACGTAGAGGTCCAACCAAGAATCGTACCAGATGGCGAGGCGGTCTGGGACATGGCTGCCAATACCTCTATAGGGCGGCTGACAAGCGGAGGAGGGAGAAAGAACGAAAGGTGGGAATTGGTCAAATGCGGAAATGGTCCGCTATATATTTGATCTCCTGAGTCGGCGAAGATGTCAGCCCTGCACAAGTGGACGAACTACGCCCGGTGGGTCCCCATTGTTCGACACAAAGTTCTATGCCTTCTATGATCTCGCTCAGTCTGCACCCCGATCTGTGCGGCAAGCCTTACTATAATTGGCACGTTGTTCCTGCTAGAGTCTGGATCGCCTAACGGAAGTCTAATCCAATCCCGACAAAAGAATTCCGTGCTTTATTCCTTTTTCTCCCTGCCGAGATACAACATGAGGCTACCAGTCGTCCTTCGGAAGCACCAGACCCCAATGCAGGCGCTCAGTTCATAATCCGCTCTCACTTCCAGTTACAACGCACCTCGACCTACACATGACGCTAAAGAAATTCGCAACCCCTCTCACAGCGCCTGCTACTAGCACGATATCCCTGTCGTCGGAGCAAAAGTCGGATGACTGCCGTCTTTTTCTATCAGCTACGTATATTGAGCCACAAGCTTCAAGTTTCCTCGGTGAAGCTGTCCCGTGGGCGCCGGTTCGTGGGGATAGTTAACTAGCGCCATAGAGTATTGCTCTACAAATGCAGCCTGACCCCAGTTTCACAACAAAAGATTTGCAGACCAATCGGATGTTACCGGCAGCAATTGACAATAACAAGCCAATGGCGATCCTATAATTGTCGATCTTTGCTGTGACGTCTGAAGCAGTACTAGTATCCCGCCTTACAGCTTCGGTGGTACCCCGGTGCCGACGGATATATCTCTTCAGGTTGCAACGTTCTCAAGCTCCTGAGTTCTTCGTCTCCCAAACCCTTTCTTCATACACCAGTGACGCTGCCTGACTGATTATACAAAGGCACTCGAGCATATAGGGTCAAGGTTCCAGAACGCACATCGCTTTGAGACAGAACTCCTCGGCCCGGGGACATCTTGAGATTTCGCTACGTTCCGTCAATCGTTGTTTGACAGCTCTCGCTGTGCACTGAGAGTCCTTGACTACGCTCACGATACTTGTCGTAGAGTACGATGACAGAAATACTCTCGGGTTTCGATGTCGGACTCGTAGACCCAAGCATGGTGGCGTTTTAGTTACCGGTTCATTACGCTGCACTGACATCCGCCGTTGATCAAGTTCGCCTCCCCCAGAAGACGGCTGCAAAAGCTTGATTTTCCAATTCGTGAAATATTCTTCCCTTGGGATCTGCTATGGCGGTAACAAGGAATACAAGGCATACTATGTGGGGTAGTATGCCTTGTATTCTTGTTACCGCCATGAGAAACCTGCAATCACGGCTCAATATTCTATATCGCGAGTCTCAAGAAGCTAAACACCTACCGTCAGTTCTGAGTCAGAATCGTCGTTTGCTTAGGATGCATCATCAGAAGTCGTGCGGCGCAATTCCATGATATCACGTCGGGCCATCGTCGGAATTTCACTTTGGCGGCAGCCAGCTCTGAACTCGGCCTTCGGCTGCAATTCATTGAAGACACTTCCCGCTCTGATGCAGGCTTCGTCGATCGGACTAAGCGGTATACGATTCCACTCCGAAGCAACCTCATATGCTTTTAGTCTCGTACTTCGTCCCAATCTTGCACCCACTGTGCGCATTGGAGAGCAGCAGAATAGAAATGCTCGTGAAGTCTGCAGGCTTCTTCATCGTTCTCTCAGGCGTTCAGTATTGGACCTCGCTTAGCTCGTAGAGGCATGTGGTCCATGCTCAATAGGCGTCCAATCATGTGCTAGTAAGTAGTGATAACCAATAACACGAAACTCAGCGAAAGTTCTACTATCGCCCTCAATAGCGTCCGTTTCCTGATGCAGCAACCAGGCACCATAGGATCATCAGAGTCCGAGGAACAATAGCGGGCAGGTGTGCTAGGATTTCCATACTGAGTAAATGTGGGAGAATATCATGGTCACTGACAATTAAAGGGTATTGAAGGATATGTAGCATTGTGCACACGGCCTTGGACACCCCAAAGGACGTAAAAGTATGGACATCTAGCGTCCACAAGAACTCACAAGAGATACCGATCCGTGCAAACAGTCAACTGTTGGCAACCGAAGTCGATCCACGAAGTGTGGTCAGTTTCTTCTCAGAAGCTCTTTTTGCGAGTCCTGCCCACTATACATACCGTCATTCTGACTTAAGTTCCTGGATCCCACCCCTATATTATTAGCAAGAGAAATAGGTGAAATTCCACATGGCTGTGGCAACGGCGGTATGACCCTGGAAGCCTCCTACTGAACGCCATTCCAATCAGATTCGAGAAAATCGACAATATCCTTTCAATTGTTCCCGGTTTACATGAACCAACTATGCCGGCCAGTCCACCGCTCCCACTGCTTATCTCGCCGACTCCAGTTCACTCTGCGGCTAAAGCCCTTGTTTCCCCTTTGAGCTTAGAGTTTCAAACTCGGTATCGCCGCTGAACAGTATGAGTAAGGACAATTCGACCGTGTGAGCATGGTCATGTCATCCAGTCGGTCTACGGCAAGTGGCGTAAGGAGAAAGGTTTGTGGACATTACCCACCTCCGATGCTTCCCGCGAACAGTGTGATGACTCACTTCTTGTCTGATGGAAGATACGTTCTAGAGACTCAAGCGGACTGGGTGCAAAATCCTTGACGAGTCCGTTGAGCCGTCCTCAAAGCCAAACAAATACGCATCCACAGACAATGCAACAAGGGATTGCCGGATCCAAACCGAATCTCTCGGAGTGCTCACAGGGGTATTCAATTCCCCTAAAGAGGGGCAGCACAGCGTACTTCCCGCAACGTATTCGGTGTGTGAATGACTACCCATTATAACGGATTCTACATAGAAATCAATATAGGTCGTAAACGTCCTGGGGAGCGGAAGCAGGGGAAGTGGTATTAAACTAAATGGCGGAGAAAGTAACGACATCATATGTCCGAAGGAATGCAAGAAGTTCATGTAAAACCGTGTAAAACATGTCCGACAGAAGTCCCATCCGTTCCAGATCGCGGAGAATATTCTGTGCAGGTACAAATGATCAGCCTGAGCGTCGACGGACGTCGAAGTGCGGCTCGATCAACGGAGTACGTACCATAATTATTTCCACGCAGACGAGGACAAGTTAGAGTTGGTCAGAGTCCACAAGCGGAGGCATCGAGCTGCTCCACAGTAGCATCAACCCGACCCAATTGCTCGGCCTGACCTCCCGTGAGGGTGTTCATGGCTTCCTCCGAGACATTGAAACCATCTATCGCAACATCAATGGCCAGAACATTGATGCTTTGTCCATTGTAAGTCAACTTCCAACAGGTCCCGCATGCAGCCGAGTTCCACCCTTCTACTGCAGCAGCTCCACCGATGTTCGGGAAGTTCTTAAGCGAACCAAAGGTATCAAAGCCCTTGGTGATGAGACCGTTGCTACCGTCTGAGCAGGCGACATTGCCAAGAGATGCTGAGGCTTGGTCGTACGTCGGATCGAAGGATACGGAAGTCGCAAAAGTGGCGGCGACGAAGGAAAGGACGACTGTGACAAAGGTGAATTGCATTATGGCGAAATGAAAAAGAGCAGAGAGCTGAATGTGTGCTTGAGTGATTTAAAGGGACAGCGGATGAGAGAAGGCGAGGACAATGCTGCCTATGAGGACAAGTCCTCATGGCTTTTATAGACAACCCTCATATTGAGGCTGCGCAATTCGCATCAGCTACGAATTGGTTTTGAATGCTTCTCAGCTGCATCCAGGAGGTCACTATTCTCCGAAATACGAAAGAGCAGGTGTAAGATGAGCCGCAGTAGTGTTCGCACGGTGACAAGCTCCCGTAGCGCACAGCTTGCTCGTCAACTTGGTCCACGAGGCAATGCATCCGATTGCCAGCGCACATTCTCGCTCTGTATTTCCTATGCTTCGAATGAGATATGTGCACAGAGATGTGATTATATGGGCGTACCGAGAAGCATGCATCTCACGCAGAATATGAATCAGCAATTACCGACTCGGAGTCCATCGGGAGACTTCCTGCTTCCGCTAATGCATGTGAAGAAGACAAGGAAAGCTCTGAAGCTTTGGATCAACGACAAGGGCGAATAGCGTGAAGTTAATTGATCTGCTAAAAAGAAAACATACTTATCTATGCGAACCAAGTTTGGAGAAATGAGTAGACAGCAGGACGCAGGAGCAGGTTGGTTGTCAAGAAGAGGCCTAGGTATGTGACCGTTAGTACAGCCTGTATTTCGGACTGTCGACTCACGACCGGCTAAATTCACCACGTGTAAAATGGGAACGTGGACTTGTAATAAAAAATGTACATCATCTGCACTAACATCTCTTGTCATGCGCAGAGGAGCCTATGGTCAAATAACCGTTTCTTGTTGCCAGGCGGAATATACTTCGTTGCACTGCAGCCACAATGCAGATATCATATCTGAGGCAAAATATGTAAACCAGTCCGGAGTTCAGACGGATTAAATGTAAAGTTCTCAAGTTCTGGACGGATGTGTTGTATGTCCATAGGTCCTTAGCCTACCAAACGAGGGTTCCCTGAAGTTTCAATACGGAGAACGAGAACAAGTTTGATGGTCAGGCTTAACGGCGTTTATTACTGAAGCCTGAGGTCCTGAAAGGAAGGTGCTCAAGTTCAAGTAATCACCTCAGACTCAGAGTCGACAGTTCAGCCTGCAACAGCTTCTACAGCAGCCAGTATTACGAGAAGATCGCAAAAGTATGATTGCTTCCATAACTGTACATATCTGATAAAACAGCATCTGCCAGTTCTTTCAACAGTGTTACAATACAGTGTCCGTATGAGTGTCCGTGAGTGTCCGATGGTTATTATGAATTGGTTTGTGTATCAAGTGGCTTACTACAAAAGAGCTCACGGTCAGTGATAATCCCACAGATTACAGTAAAAACGAAGCCTACCAAGCCACAACGACGTCTCGAGACCTGCCTAGCATCAGCCTGAATGACTCCCACTTCCACAGCCAGCCCGTTCGTCAACTCATCCAACGCCGTCTGGGCAATATTGAAGCCATCTCCGGCATGATCAATAGCCAAGACATTGATTTTCTTGCCCTTGTACGACAACTCCCAGCAAGTCCCACAGTTCGGTGAGTTCCAGCCAGCGACTGCTTGGGCACCACCGATGTTAGGGAAAGTCGGCAGTGAAGCGAAGTCGGTAAAGCCCTTGGTAAGAAGGCCGTTCTCGCCGTTAGAGCAGGCGACGATGGAGAGAGAGTTGTCAGGGTTATCATAGGTATTGTCGTAGCTGACTCTGACGGCGAGAGCGGGGGCGACGAGAAGGTAGAGTGCGGAGAGGAGAACGAAGAATTGCATCATGATGAGGATGTGTAGGCTTGAAGATGCAATACAACAGGTAACTGAGTGAATACTAATACGAGTGTGCGGCTCGATGAAGTTCATCCATCCCGAGTAGCGATATTTATACTAAAGTCGAGCTCCACTGTGAAATGGTACGTTAAACGTTCGTCTAGACAGGTATGGACTTGGCTGCCGTGAAACGGGAAAAACAGACCGATCAATACTGTCGCCGTAAGTCCACTTCAGCCCTGTATGGGTACACTTCCGATTGAGTAGTGACAGGACATGTATTGCCCAAGAGACATAGACACTCTGTCGGACATCGTTCCCGACAGAGCTAAACTAAAATAGGCGGAGGGATGTGACAAATTTACGAAGGAAGCAAATGAAAGAACTCACAAGCGGACAGGATGCAAGGCAGGTGATCGCCATCGTGCACAACTTCAAGCCAGATCCGTCCGCAAGAGTGACGTCGGACAAGACGTAAGACGTACAAACGTACTCCCACTTGACGGTAAGCGTCGCCGACGCGGTGCACCTAAGGACACGAGCAATATACAGTAACCACAGCCGAACAAATGCAATGATGCGCACGGACTCGGAGAGCTGTCTAGTACATTGGTGAATGACCTACCACAAGACCTACCATGAAACGCCATGCACCTCGTGTAACAGTCCAGGAGGGTGCGAGTGCAGAAGAGGCTTTAAGCATTGATGGAGCACGGCGAATATAGTCCGTCCAATATAATTCACAGTTCTCCCGCTCTAAATTCGACATCTGCGTCTCAGGAAGTTAGACTCCGCACCATCATTGCATGTGCATTAGACAGTGCATAACATTCTAGGAAAAACATGAACGGGCGATTCAGAGGTATGAGTCGACTCAACTCAAACTTGGAGACAGAAAGCGTTCAGTAAAGTGACAAACATATGCAAAGAGAGTCGCCCCGGGACGGTCCGCCTTCATTTCTGCCATTCTAGGGTCGAACCCGACTATAGGTTCATTCTTCATACCTTTAATTCTTACTTCTAGCTCACGAACTAGTTCAACATCTACGGACTCGTTTATTCAGGCTGTATCGGTTCTGAAGATATTATGATGGCTACGGTGGCAAATCCCATGCCACCACTCCCGGTACTGCTACCGCAGGGCTCAAGGCCTTCGTCTCAAGTTTCTCAGCATGAATGGAGACCAAAACGAGACCTTTCGATACCCCTCCCAGCCCCGCAGGAGGATTCTATGACTCAAGAACAACAGATGGCTATGGCTAGGGTAGGCCCCGATGGGAAGGTGAAGAAGGTGAGGCCAAGAAGAACCGTGGATTACGGGGGACCAATGGGTCGTTGGGCCCTGGTGAGTATTTGTATTGACAGCTCCAATGAATATATCTTAATTCTCTCTGCCAGTTACGAAAGCTGCGACCGAACCAAACGTATGTGCCGTTCCTACGGCCTGCGCCGCCATATATCATCGACGTACGATTGGAAGCAATCCATGGATGTACTTTACCTACAGCTGAAATATATATTGCTTTTTTTGCAGCTGCTTCCACCGAAAGCGTACCCTGAAAACGCTTCAACATCATTATGTACCAAGTTCGTACACACTTCAACGAATAAAATCAGATGCCCTGTGAACTGTGTGACGGTTCGTAATATAGTTCACGTATCTTCCTAGGCGCAGGTACTGAGTGGATAATCTGAGCAGTGGACACCAGAAGGCCGACGGATATTGACAGGCTCTACTAGTGGTGAATTCACGCTCTGGAATGGCCTGACATTCAACTTCGAGACCATTCTGCAAGCGCATGACACCGCCGTGCGAGCGTTCGAGTTTTCCCATTCTGGGTCGTATCTCGCCTCGGCGGACCAGAGTGGTATCATCAAATACTTCCAGCCTAATATGAACAACTTGACAGCTTGGACCGGTCACCGGGAAGCTATCCGAGACTTGAGCTTTAGTCCTGACGATGGCAGGTTTGCGACTGCAAGTGACGACTCGTCCATCAAGATTTGGTCGTTTGAGGAGAGTCGGGAAGAGAAAGTCCTTACTGGTAGGTCTCCTTCATAGTTTGATAACCCACAAAACCTTATTCGCAACTGTTCAGGACATGGTTGGGATGTCAAATGTGTGAAATGGCATCCGACAAAAGGTCTCCTCGTTTCAGGAAGTAAGGACAATATGATTAAGTTCTGGGATCCTCGAATGGGAACCGTGCTCTCCACACTGTAAGTACGTTTTATTCCTCTCCTCGGCCGAATGTTCAAGCTCTGGTCCCAGTCATTACCATAAGAACACCGTACAGGCTTTGGCTTGGTCGCCAGATGGTAACTTTGTTGCTAGCGCATCTCGGGACCAGACCGTTCGAGTGTTCGACATCCGCGCTATGAAAGAATTCCGCGTCTTGAAAGGTCACAAGAAAGAAGTTTGCTGTACGTTGTCATAAGCATCCTACTTCCGCCCATAACTTACAATACCTATCTCTAGCTGTAACATGGCATCCATTCCATCCTCTACTCGTATCCGGAGGTTCTGAAGGCTCAATTCTTCATTGGGACCTGTCTTCTTCAACAGACCCGCTTCCAACTCAATCCGCTTCACATGTCCCAGGACCTCGAGCCACTCTTTCACAAGCACATGATTCTAACGTCTGGTCACTGACCTTCCACCCTCTCGGTCACCTCCTTGTCTCCGCTTCCAATGACCATACAACACGATTCTGGTGTCGCGAACGACCAGGAGACGCGACTTCAGTGTTCTCCGGTGGCGGAGAGAAACCACCCGAAGTGGTTGATGGCGGAGGACAAGACGAAGATGAAGACAACTTTGTTCCTGGGTTCAACTTCGCTTCTGGCGCAGGTGCACCAGGACAAACTTGGGACGACCAAGGGCCGAGTGGTGCAAGCGGATACGATGGTTATGGTCGTGGCCGAGGTGGTGGATATGGTGGAGGATATCAACAAGATGGCGGAGAGGGAGAGGATTTCATCCCTGGATTGGGACCTGGACCCTCGGATACCGGTGTGTCGAGCTCGATTGCGACGCGTCAGAGTGGTCCTCTACCGTCGCAGGAAGATCTCTATCCTGGGGATGGCGAAGAACAGTGGGGACGTGGTCGCTCTGGTGGTGGAGGTGGACGAGGCGGGGGTGGAGGTGGTAGATGGGGAGGGGGAGGAGGAGGCGGTGGAGGTGGTGGTGGTCGCCGCCGATATTGACCACCGATTTGCTGCTTCGTGTTTCGTTACATCGTATTTAGTTCTACGTGCAATGCAGCTCTTGTGTGACGAGAAAAGGCTCCACGTCATCTGCCTTATGATGATCTTTGTTTCTTTCATACTTGCCTTTCACAGAGGTAAGATGCTAGCCGACGTTCTTGAGGTCTTCATAATACTGAACAGTACACGACAAATCTCGACTAGTATCGTTACTTCAAGATGCACGGTATAAGTGACACTCTTCCCTAAGTAATTGTAATCCTATTCAAGCAGTTCGCACAACAGCAGACAACTGAGGAAAGAATCATGACATTGCATCTCTAATCGATTCGGAAAGGGAATCCTGCATATGAGCTATGCTACTAAGCAAAATGTATGTAGAGTGAGACTACTGTACAAGAGTCAAAGGCCTAACGCCTGAAACTCAAGATGCGGCGGAACCGACTCGGCAGTCCAAGGTGTACGTAGTGGATGAGGAACAGAAAATGAGATAGACGTAAAGATAAACCAAGCCAAAGATGTGTAATGTGAAAACAAAGCGTCGTGAGCTCTGGTTCACGTATATCTGTCAAATGGGTAGGAGAAAAGAGATATGATGAGAGGAGGATTGTCCGAGCCTGAATAAACATAAAACGAAAAGAGAAACAGAGGCGAGTAGGAAGCAAAGAGAAAAGAAGCAATGGTGATGTCGTGACTATGTGAAACCGAACCGAACCTCGTGCAAATGGGTAACTCCTCTCCGATGAGGGTTGCTTTTTAATATGTACAATAGCGTTGATGTGGTCGTTATCATGATAATGTTGCTTGTGTGCACAAGGTATTTGGGCCTCGTGCTGGTAGGTATCGGGGAGGAGATCTGTCTCTTTAATCTTCTTTGCGCATGGAGGATCTCTAACAGGTGGTGCAAATGACGGACGGCAGTGCAAGAGCGAGTCAGGGCCAGTGTACAGCCATCGACGAATCAATGGACGAAGGCGACAGGTGCAGGCGAGGGTGAACCGAAGATGGAGTGCCCAGTTGGAGTACTTGAACCGCTCATGCCTGCTACATCGTCGAAGCTCGAGGAGCGAGTAGGCGTATGTGCAGGAGAAAGGTAGTGAGGAGGACTAGGAGCAAACAAGAGCTCTTCAACACTCGACGCCGAATGAGAGCGGTGGAGAGCGTCGATGGGGACATCAAGCATGGAATCAGAACCCGTGTAGAAGCAGAACCTAGATTAAAAAATCGGTTATTTCAAGTTTAGAGAGCAAGCACAGCAAAGCGTACCTGTTGAGGAAAACATTGTAGTTATTCGACTCAACCGGGCCATCATCAGCATGCATGGGCCCCTCCACAGGACTCGGCATAGGCGAAGTGTTCCTCGACGAGTTCTGTGAGCTACCCTCGTTCGACGTGATACTCGGTGTTGACTCCTCACTCCCACCGAGCCCAATAGGCCACGATGGGGAGAGCATACCATTCCTGGCAGGGCTGACAACACGACTGGAACGCATAGATGCGGAACCATCTGTGGGTGGGAAAGAGTTGTATCTGAACACTGACTCCATTCGAGGGGTACCAGGAGGGGTTCTCTTCACTGCGGAACCGGATGATCCCATACCGAGGTCGAAGTAACCTCGTTGATGATTCCGAGAATTATTCCGACGCGAAAGGATCGCCTGAGGGACTGGTGTGTCCTCCAAGTCTGAACCACCATAGAAAGGCACAGGGCTGCTATCTCGGCTATCGACAATACGAGGTGAACCACGAGTATTGAACTTGGATTCGAGGGTTTTCTGGTTGGCAGATGACCGACGAGGCATATGAGTGTATGTGTTTGCCTTGGAGCGATCATCCGAAAACGGCGAGCCACCTTTCCAGGGGCTCTTGAGGGATGCAGAGAAGTCATACCGCGAGGACAGCGGAAGTCCGGACTTCAGCGTGAAGTTATCAGACTCGCTCGCCGTCCTGCGGGACAACATTCTCCTCTCTTTTTGAACCACAACCTGCTCCAACCTCGTCTTCAAATCCCTGAGCTCCGTGGTTTTCCCCGTGGCTGAATCATTCTCGTTCGATGGGCGCTGAGCAACTAACTGGGGCGAAGGAGCAAGTACAAGCTTCTGTCTCCTGAACTTCACCTCGTAGTTCTGTCCATTGTTGCTGTCCCAGATCTCGCGTCCTACAACGGAATAGCGAACAGCGAGGAACAGCGTCTTCTCCTCGATCCGTTTTAGCATGTCGTTCAACCGAATGGAGAATCCAAATCTGTCGAAGATGCCGCCAGGAAGAGACTCGATATACTTGGCAGTAACCTCACTTGTAGTTTGCCACCAATCGAACGTAAAGCGGACAGCAATCCACTTCTCGAACGCGATGTTACGAACGCGGATTCGGCCGTTAACGCTACCGCCATCTACGGCGAGGGTAAGTGACTCGAGGGCAACGTCGTTTTCTTCGAATATCCGAGGAGGAAGATTAGTGACATCGATAGCCAGCGACTTTCGTATCCTTTCTTCATCAGACATGCCACCATAAATGAAAGATGGGAAGTCGCTATCGGTTCCACTTGTATCATCCGTAGGACTGCCCTCCCGAGAAATTGCCAATGGCTTTTGCTCAGCCAGGAACAACTTGACATGCTCTAGCTTGGCGTCAAAATGAACGCTCTTGATGTGGGTGGGCGTATTGGGCTCGCTCTTACTGGTAAGGGCTGCCGTAACTACTGACAAGTCGCCGCGAACCACAGGCCGCCGAGATTTGAGCGACGACTTGAGTGGTTCGCCAGACTTCTTGCGAGCCAGCTGACCGACAGTGACTGATTCGGCACGAGACGGTGGAGAGGTGGCGGCTGCGAGACTCTCCGATGACGGACCGGCACTGGGTGTGTGTAACTCAGATAAGTCCAGCCGTAAATTGCTGGTCTTCTTGAAAGAGGCCGGCTTCTGTGAAGAAGAGGCACGAGGAGTGTCATCTTCCCTAGCCGTTTCAGACTCAACTTCGCCTGAATCCTCGCGAGAAGGCCAGGCGAGACGCGTGTCGTCCAACTTTGCGTTTGCTTTGAATAAAGCAGGAGTGGGTGTTGACTGTTCGGGAGGGCATACACCGCCAATGTGCTTGGGGATTGCGCGAACACGTCGCGACTTCGAATCTGACATCTGCACATATGATGACTCAGAGCAGGAAGAGCTTGAAGCGGGCTCGTCTTGTGTATGGCTCTTGCTCTCAGAAGGCATGGACTCCAGAGAAGCACTGGGTGGTGTGGGCGGTTGGATTACAAAAGTAGTCTGTGAAGGGGTGATGAAGAGGTTCTGAAGCGCCGTCGCAGCCATGGTATTCGATGGAGAGCCAACAGCAGAATGAAGACGCGACGAAGGTGGCGCTCTGCGAGGAATTCGGGGTAGTGGTGCTCCTGCACTGTTGGAATCCCGAGTGTAGATACGATCCATATAGGGCGTAAAATAAGGTGGAGGGGCGCAGACCGCAGAAGTCATAGAGATAGAAATAGAGATAGAGAATCAAGGAGACGGAGAGACGGTCCTATGAAGATGGCGAAGCCAAAGGTGTCAGTAAATTGACCGCCCGGGAGTGGCCCAAAATGATTGAGCCACTCGATGTGAAATAAATATGCTCACCAGTTGAAGGTGATGTCGAGGACAGCTTCACCAGAGATGTACAGGTTCAAAGAAGAAGTAATAATGATATGAGAATAGATTGCGCGAACAACGACGCGTCGTGAAACCAAGCCAGAAATGCCGCAGGTCAAAGCTGGTTGGCCCAAGTCAATGTGCCTCGCGGACAGAAGAGACCTCTGGAGGAGTGTAGGAAGATACGCTGGGTCACCGACGTGAATACTTAAGCCGGTCAAGGATGGCACGACGGTATCGGATGGATTGCAAGCAATCTGACAAAGTCGGTCAGCCAAGGTCAGCCCAACACCCCTGTCTCGGGTTGCTAGCAGAAAGATGGCTTACCTGGATACAAACGAAGCTGCTCCTGCGTGGCAGATGGCTTCGTCGTCGTCTTCAGCGTCCTGCTCGACTCCTGTGAGACGAGGCGGTGGTGGTGGGCGGGGACAGGAGTGGTTGGGGAAGAAATTCGTAAAACTGAACAGCGCAGATAAGTTATGCAGTCTAGGCGCTTGCGCAGATAGTGGCATTTACAAATTCCTTTCGCACCGTTTTCCCGCCGCCCGATTCCTGCTCCGCCCCTATGTCTCGCAGGAAAACTCTGGTTTTTCGATCTCCGTGAGCTTGCCGGCCGCCCCTGGGTCGTGTCCATTCCGGTTCCAGCCACCCTTGGCGGCCACAGCATTCTTAACTCTCACCACCATCATGCAATTTTCGAACTCGAACGTGTCAGGCGAGAACAGATATGGAGCCTTTCGCATGCTCCTTGGGAACAGTCTAGAGGCTTGTGTTGGCTTGTACATGTGGCATCATTCTGGACGTTTAAGTCTCCGTTTGGCAGAACGTCCAAAACGTTCAACATATTCTCAACACTAAGCTATCGTATAGCCTAAGCTGCAGAGCTTGCAACGCGAAACACGACTCAGCCCTGCTCACCAAAGCAAAGGCGTGTTTCAGCGCTTGATAACGAAATCTTCTCTATTCTCGCGATTTAATTCGGAATCTCGACTCAACGGATTGCAACTCTTATTGCGGAGTTCGGCTTATAAACAAGCCTACTTGGGACCGCCCCACTCATTGCTTTGTTCAGCAGCGGAATCACACCATCCTATCTGGACATCGAACCTCTTGATGTGAGTATTCAGCTCCAATCTTCTCGCGTTATCTTACGGCCTTCGACTGTGCATTCTGACACCTGTACGTATTGATAAACAAACTGGAACGCCTGCGAGGAGCTTCATCTTTTGATTGGGCATACATTACTTCTAACAGACGAACGTTGAACACCGATGTCCGCTGGCATTCAATTGCCTGCACACCCAATCAAGACGTTTGCTAGAAACGCTTCACCTCTCATTCATTCATAAGATTATACTTAGTTGTCATCTGCTTATTGCTATCCCGCTTATATGTCCAACAAGGCTTAGATAGCAGCAAGTGTCGGGTTCGCATCTTCCTTCACCGGTCTCCGATGCAAACCCACCGCGCTTGCCCAAGGGGGGGGACAACGGTTTTCTGATCCTGACCGGTGCGGTATTCACGTCTATAATGGTGGATTCATGAGAAGGTAACCATCTGTCCTTCTCGATCTGCTTGTCCAAGATGATCTTTCACATGCAGATGTCTAGTTCCCAATGGTCGTTCTTCTATCTCCGCACTCGACCTTTAAGGCGCGATTTTTTTGCAAGTGCATTTCGACCATAGCGCGAGGTCAAGCCAAAGGCGTCCTCATCAACTCACGCTGAGTCCTCATACTTCTCTATGGTATGTAACAAATACGAATGTTGAGACCCCGTACGTTTCCGCATATCCCACTCATTCATTGTGTCGGTCCGACTGCCATACAGATACACTCTTCAGGTATACCGACGATCCCACAACATCTATCTTTCTGTCCTTTCTTTCGTCTTCCTCCTTCGGCCTATGCATCCGATGCCAAACGTTTTACGTTTTCGACGGCACTTCCTGGCTTCTCGGGTTACCCTAGATGCCACAACCGTGGCGCCACTAGTATCGATGAACGTTTTCTACGAAAACCAGATCAGATTTGAACGGGACATCGGCTGAAGTGAGTAGAGTTGAAATTGGAAAGTGAAAGTGATCGGGACCGAATGGACCGACTTCGGCGCCCGTTGTCAATTGTGCTCGTGTCTTTTGTGGCTAGTCGTAAGTTACTGAAATGAGATTCTTTCCAGAGAGATCCCGTTGCCGCCTCGTTGCAGGCACGAGAAAGGTATGGCTTATCTTGCTGATACTGGGGTATAATTATGGCGTTTGCGCCGCCATCCTTTTTAAGTCAAGTTTGGATTGTGGTCCTAAACCCTCATCTCAGGTGATTGTACTCAAGACCACGTCGCTCGTGCCTACATTTAATTGGGGTTTGTTCCGCCTTCCTTGGACGATCTGCAGGCTTGGGAAGTGGAATGGACGTAGATTTGTTTCACCGCAAATGCAGCTCAACGCTTCCCATGAGATGACATCCAATGTACTAGACAGCCATCTTAATGTTGGCTCCTCACAGCTCGCAGCAATGTATCTTTCACGATACCGGAATGGAATGGAGTCTGGGTATCTCGTTCACATGACTCTTCGTTATCCACTGTCAGACTTCATGAATGTCTATCCCATCGACCCACACCAACTTCACAAACGGCGTAAAGGACTCCTGGCTACCTTCCCCCCGGATCCCCAGTTCGTATATTCCAGCACCTCTCGTCTGCAACCAAGAAATCTCGCCGTCACCTGTCGGCGTGCTTATTCTCAGCTCTATCACCCTTTGCGAAGATGAATCCGAAGTGGGCGAATGCAAATGCAGAACACGAGAGTCCGGATTTGAATCTAAATTGGTCGTGGTAGAAGGCGATCCCGTCACGATCGCAAACTGGTCAAACAATGCGGGTAGATCTTCCCGCGAAGTTAGGAGTCGAACATAGTCAATGCCGATCGCGTGGTTTGAATGCGTTATTTCCCCAGATTCATGCGGAACCTACATAACAAAAGAATGCAAATTAGCATTGCCCCGGATTCAGTTTCATCTTCTGCACGTTAATTAATATTTCACTGTTCACATTAGACATGCAGGCCGAATGGACAGGTCATATGAAGACTATGGTTGGAACTCACCCTTAGTCTGCGGGGAGTCAAATCCCCACAAAAGAATGGAAGACGACCCCTGACGTCCCCCGCACCCTTGCTGAACACAGGTTCCTCCTCTACCAACTCCTCCACTGGGTCCTGTTCTGGTGCTGTGATCAACCACTCCAATTTCTCCCCATCCACTCTCGTCCTACCGCCTCTTAGTTCGTTCGCGTACCTCAACTTAACACCTTCCTTTGATTCTGCTGCCCGGCGATTAATGATGCCAGCAATGGATGGGTCACCATCATTTCCTAAGAACGCAAAGTCAATGAAACCTGCTTCTTTCTTGGCCCATGGATGTGACTCTCGCGCGTGTCTGGAGGGGCTGTTGAGCGGATAATCAGAGAGCGGGTGTGTGAAGGAGATGAGCTCTATGTATGTGCCGTCTTTGAATGCTACTAGTGCGTTCTCTGTCAGACCGTCTGCATGTGTACCTCCTGGAGTCACGCTGTCGATTGTAGAAACTTGTTCACTCATGTCTACATGTTATGATATGACAACTCACTTGAATCCCAGTTTCTGCCAAGTCTCGACGGTACTTTGAAGCGATCCTGGTGGGCTCAGATGGACGATATGATCCAATATATCAGTTGAAGGATCCTGCGCCATGCGTGCCAGCCCTACAGAGTCCACGATTGGAGCTCGGCTCTCAAATGTCCTGTTGTGGTATTTATATCGCTCCGAATCTGACGTCGCTCGATGGCGCCATAATGATATAAGTGAGTTCTTTGATGTGTAGCATAAGACCTTTTACAATCATAAAGTGTGCCAGTGCAACTAACAAGAAATATATAGTACAGTATACTCAAGCAGCGCTACTCGTGCAGAAAACGAAGCCGACACCTGTACGAAAGACATCGCACACGCAGAGCAACACATGTTTGAAACAAAACCAAAATTCATGTTCTCCTTCAATCCACCCTATTCGCAGGATCTGATCATGGTTAAGTCTATCCTTGGTTCTCTGGATGGGGTAGGGCTCGCCGACACGCATAGCGTTCGAACTTCGACAAGAAGGGCGCACTATCCATAAAAGGTAATGCCGCATTTGATGATCGAGATCGGGATATGATTGATGATCGTCGGTGAATGGTGGAGCGCCCCGCTTGCCCAACCATATTGCATGCTCTCAGGCTGCTGTATCCCCACAAGTAGGATTATCGCATTGCACTTCAAGTAATGGTACGTACAACTGTCTCAAATCCTATACATAAACGATTTTGAGAAAACAGCATGAAATCTCGATGCCAATGAAGAGAACGCCAACACCGGTTCTCTTGACAGTAAATATAATCCACTCAAAACTGGCAAGCTTGCGAGAGTAGTCTGAATGAGACGACTCCTCTGACTCTTCCCAGGTCCCAACCATCGCCTCAACCACGTAGTCCAAATGATATGTACGCCGGACGCCGCATGCCAAGCAACACAGGTAACCAGACCTGTATACAAGAGCCAAGATCTCAAAGGCCATTCCTGCAAACCGATCTTGACGAACTCGAAGTCGAGTTCTGATGGTCCTACAGAGTAGATTGGAGGCGAAGGGTCGGACGGGTAGACTCGGTGGGTGAGGTAATGGATTGGGAGGAAGAACAATAATGCAGAATAGCCTGTGAGAGTAAGGATGCTAGAGATGCGTCGGCGTAGGGTCGAGGGCGTGGTTAGCCGTTTCAGGACGCCTGACACGACATGTGCAGCAAATGGAGCTATAAGCAAATACTTCTCGCCGAACGAGGTCTGATAGTATTCCCTGCCCAGTAGCTGCCATGCCATTGACTAAATGAGAATCGAGCTTTGAATTTCCAGATGCTATATGGCTCACCATGACCTGGGACGCTAGACACGAGCCTCCCAGATTTGCCAGCGCAGGCGCGGTCAGATGTATGATGAGAAACGTTGCGATGAATGGGGTTGACCCATGGGAAATCTTCGTAAGGTATGGCATTACAACTTGTCGAAAGCCTTTCAGGTTCAAGTTGACTTCTTGTTCAGGCGTGGCTAGACCTGAAGGGTCGTCCGAGGTAGTTAAGGGTTCCGGTGAAGTGAAGGAAGGTGGTATCTCCGACATAGTAAGATCTATTATATATTTTATGCTGGAGTATGTCACAGCGTTAAAAGCTAACTCGATGAAGCGACGAATAAAACGTACCTTGAACTTGTTGTTGCTTGCCAGAACGTTTGAATTTCGGAGTTGCCAACTGGTTCGGCAAGTGAACAGATCTGAGATCGGTTTATTTGTTCCTAAAGGCGTTGCTAAACATCGGATATACCGGCCCGGAGGTAAGAAAAGCTCTCAGGCATTGGGAAGTAATGTAGACCTCCGAGCCACAACTCTACGCTGAACGCCTCCACCGAAATGAGCTCTGCAAACGCGTCGACATCTACCAAAAAGCCTAAGGAGAAAGGCAAAAAGAAAGAACAGACAGGTCAAACTTCATCTGTTGTCACTCCTCATGGAAGGAATGAAGGATCGAACACTGATTGGGAATACAAACCACCACCGGGAGCCGTGCTGGTTGACCATTCTGTGGATGCTGGAGAGTTTGACTATGACTCGCTGAAGGGCCAAGAAGACCATCTGGAGATGTGGATTATTCGTGTACCTGACGCGGTATGTTGTGCTTTATCTACAACTGGCAATATCTTGACATTTTATCCAGGTGAAGCCGAAATACCTACAAAATGTCTCAATAGATGTTCCTTCTGGGTCCACCACGGCCAAAGTAGGCTCGTTAGAAAGGAAACACGCCTCATATGACACATGGTGCTTGGGAGAGGACACCAATGACAATGTCGGTGGAGAAGAGGTCAAAAACCTATCTGTGCTTGTACCGAGGGCGAGGAAGGGTGGGAAACTATATGCTGGTATGTGAACATTGACTATGATTTATACATTCCTCGTCTGAACACCGCAAGTAGCACCAAAACTGCCAACCAGGCATTTTGTATTCTCAGGACGACCTGCTCTTCCTACACCGGAACCGTCCTCGGAATCACCCTCGGATAGCTCCCCTACTTCGACGTTCAGGAACCCTCCACGCCCCACATACCCCAAAGGCGTTCTGAAGCATCGATTTATGCCCTACGGTTCGCTTTCTAGTGCCGCTGGCACTGAGGAGCAAATGGACGTTGATGATGTCAAAATGCCACCATCTAATCAAGCCGCACAAAAGCCCTCAAAGTCAAAGTCGGCTTCAGAGGAGGGTGGAAAGGCAAAAAAGCGAAAAGTCGAAGCCGACGACGATCCCGAGAAGAAGTCCAGGAAGTCAAAGAGAGCACCACGGTAGTATGGTTTCAGTTGTGTATGGTATCTTTGCATACCCCGTCGTATTCATGAACGTGTGAGCGTTACAGGCTGTCTATCAACGTTCAACATCATCGGGAAAACTCCGAGAAGTTTCCAAATAACGGTGTAGCGCCCTCATGTTTGCTGTGTGGCGATACCTTGAGGATAACATCTGTTCTACTAGGATCATCGATTCGTTCTCTAGGTCTATGAGATTCGAGGACCAGTGCATGTCTACGTACTCGAAGCATATGTTCAGGGCTCTTCTTATTCCTGGTGTACAGCTCACGCCGATCTTTTGAACATTAGTATAATAATCATACAGCCCCCTCTTCGTTCTGTCCAACCTACTGATTGTATCCTCGAGTCATCATGTCGCGGACAATGAGGCTTCAGCACAGCATCGATCACATTCAGCCACCGGTTGGCGCGGTTTGTGGACACCAAGAACGCATCATGCAGTCCTCGAGGATGCCATACCATTCTGATCAGGTGTCTCTTTTCATGTTATCGCTAAGCGTCCTATTCCATGTACACATTGTCACTGCCCCTTCGAAGCCGAAGTATTCCTCCTACTACATTATAAAGGCACTTCCGTTCGTCCCTCCGTCCCGAACACTTCGACATCACCTGACCCTCTCTGTCCTCATCAGCATGGCTGCACTGAATAGCACAACAATTATGATGAGCAATACGATCGACTCTGACCTGAATTCCACAGGGTATACAAAAGAACAAAACGATTCTGGGTTCGACAATCTACCTGTTTGGAACATCCTCCCATACATGGTTGCGGGCGCAAGCTGGTGTGCCTCCTACGAATGATATTATCCCTGCCTGATCTCACGCAATCGATTACAGTACCATGGTTGCATTTATATGGCAATATGTCTTGTATCTGAGGAAATCGCATTCGGGCAAAAACTATAATCATGGCTTAGTAAGGACTATGTTATCTCTGTTGCTTGACAGGAATTATTCACTTCGTTGTAAAGCTCGCAACAATGGGGTGAATACGCTTACGACTCCAGCACTCGCACCTGCAATTGAAGTGACTTTTGACAGGATTTTGCTCAGTATGAACCTCGCTTTCGCGTGTGTGGCATTAGGCCACTATTGTAGCCAGGCACGCAACGTGGTATTCGGTGATAATCTCGACGAGCTTCATTGGCAAGTATCGTGTCGCCTGCTTAGCATCGGTACGCAAGCTGATACATAGACCAATGTAGGAGTATAAGGGTACGCACAGTGCTTCTTGATAATTTTGACTTAGAACCTAAATGATTCCCATCGTTCAGGCTACACTTGGTCTTACAGTATGTAATTCTTGTTCAAGAACGGAAATGGTGTGATAAGTATTCCACTCCCAACGTACCCAGTCTACTATTGTCTTGATATCGCAATTCGAACTGCTCAACTTGGCAAAACGGGGTGTGTGGATCAACTAAAGGCTTAGCTATGCTCTCGTTCCTCATTTCGTCTTATAGCTCATGCTTGGGAAGGGTCCTTCATCGGAGAATTTGTGAGTATCTTTAGGATACCGCCTGTCAGGCGTTGGGTATTGATTGCAACCGGCCTTATAGTGGGTCACGATGATTGTGCTCTGGGGTACGCACCGATTTCTGTATTAACTGGAGTGAGCGCTGACGATAGCTATCATAACCAAAGCATTGGATTTATGTGAGTTTACGCGCAGTTCTACGATTACTTTCTTGTTTACTAAGCTTTATGCAGGTGCGATGTGAGTCTGCAGTGCATACGGCAACGTGTATCGTCGTTTGAAATGCGTCCCCTCAGGTTTGGTGTCAACATCGCGAAGCTGACAACCATTGGCGAGTACTTCCGGGTGAGTGGACATCTCACTGTCATCCGGTCATGTCACACTCACTTTCCCTCCTCTGCTAGTGCTCGTTCGCTCTCGGTGGCTTCGTCTTTTCCTTCATCATCATCACCTGGCTCATCTTCCGCATTTTCCAATTGCGCTCAAGGAAATATTGCGAGGAAGACATCTTTGGTGTCTCATGCATCATTCTAAAGACTCTTCTGGAGGACGCAGAGCGCGGAAAGCCCGCCAACGCAGCCAGAGACACACAGCAAGTTAGAGCGTACCGTACTGTCAACTTTCTCGCTACATGGTTATACGCACCAATGTGGTTCTGGTATGATAGGCCCAGATGTTACACGTCATTCGCACTAAGTCTTTGAATTCAGGTGTATCGCTACAACCATAGCTGTAGTCTGTGCTGTGAGTCGTCAATCTAACAACCCTTGATGCTACCGTTTGCTGACATCATCATTACTTTCCAGCAAAGCTTTGACAAGAGTTTTGCGAGCCTTGTCGTTTGTGTAAGCTTGGCCGAAGCTGTTGCTTTAAGTAAGTTTTTTCTCCTGGCTTACATAGTCCCATTAGTATCATATGTTTAAGTCGCGTCTCCTTCGCTTTTAGCCCTGCCTGTCATCCTGACTAAGGCGTACGTCTGTTGAATTGTGTACGGTCGCTTCTCCTTATTAATCTTGTGATCCAATAGTTTGTGTGAGTTCGGTGATACAGAAATGATACATGAGAAGCAGGCGGAAGAAAACGGTCGCAGCTTTAATACAGACAAAGAGATACAGACCGTGGAATGATCAGCACTCCTTGGTATCAACACCATGTCAGATTGGCACGTAGACACTTATTTTAGTCTTTTGGGTAGTAGTCTTTCGATAGTCAAGGTTATTCGTTCAGTGCACGCCATATGCGGCAATAGGGAAAGCGGGGAAAGGTCAAAAATGGGACCGATATCCGGGTAACGATAAACGGTTAGTTGGTCACCAGAGCCTCTGCAGCCAGAGAGCGAGGTTGAATCGAACAGGGGAATGGCTCTGGATGGCTAAAGTGAAAGGTCAACTTTATTATTTGCAGTAACAAGACAGTCAGCACTTACGGTATCATGCCTGACTGCATACGTAGTTCTACCTCAACTGGCTTGCCGTTTTGATCCAATGCTGGTGTGATGGTGAACGTGTGCAGAACGGCAGCAATAGCGCTGAATAACGAGTTCAAAGACAGAAAGCGACCAGGACATATCCTATGAGCCAATTAGATGAGTAACCAAACCTTCAATTGATGATTCTCAATTACCTTCGTCCAAAGCCAAAGCAGGCTACACTTGGATCAGGAACATCTGGGTTCAAACTTCCATCTGGATTAAGGAACCTCTGAGGTCGAAACTGGTCAGGACAAGGATACTCCACAGGATCGTGCAGCATTTCCCTGTTTGGGATAATCAATGCGAATTCTAGAGAAATGACAAAGACGAAACGTAAACTCGCCAGGCATTCTTGAATATGTTCAGTACAAGTAGTGAATGACAAACAGTCAATGAAGATTTCACTCACACCGAGAACAATGGATCCCTTGGGAATATAGTAACCTCGATATTCGTCACTCGTTGCAGTGTAATGAGGAAGGGCTTCGAAGTTAAATCAGCTTCGGTCTTCGCAACGTCATTCGGACATGTACCTAATGGAGTGACCGGTTTCCATCTCAGTACTTCCTTCAGTATCGCTTCCACATAGGGAAGATTGGGTCTATCATCCATGGTGGGAAGCCTGGAAGGACCTACGACCCTATCCAGCTCTGCATGAGCCTTCGTCTGAATCTCTGGGTACGTGAGCATTGCATAGAAGAACAATTGAAGAGTCGGAGCGCTCTGGGATAACGTGAGTCTGCGTAAATACATAGTGGAAATGCAGATAACGAAACATACAGTGTCAACTCCCGCTGCGGGACATACCGATGTGAGTATTATATCAGCAATCAGAGGGGATGTGCCATACCACCAAACGCCGCGCCCAAACTGTATCGGGTAAGTAACTCTTGCTCGGCTTTGTCTGGACTATCTGCGATACTCTCAAGGGCCTCTGTAACTATCGAAGGCGTGGCAGTACCTATTATCTGCGGTAGCTCGATGAGCTCTGTAAGTGAGGATTAATGGAAATGTCGTACCAAGTCGGCCTTCGCTCCGTCAAACGGACGGTCACGGGCATGATACATGTTTTGGCGCCATTGTAAAGCGAGCCTCTTGAAGTTGGCGCGAGGCATCCATGCTGGAATATACTTCACTGCCTAAAGTTCAGCTGAAAGTTTCGAAAACGATAGAATATTTGAATGTACAGACAAATAGGAAGATAGTCCACCCAGAATCTGCCCGGTTGTATGGCCTGATTGAACCCATGTTGCCACTTTTCAGCTTCAACGAGGTGTTCGTTGTGCTCGTCTTCTATGTGCATACCGTAGGTCACGTTCATCAATAGAGCCGCGAATACGCTATGTAACATGTAAGCCATATTTCTTAGAAAAGCAAACATGCATTGTACGAACAATCGTGAATGGTCAAAGAACTTCTCGGGGGTGGCATGGAGCCGTTTAAGGAATACGCGGACATTCTCCAACTGAAGACCATCGTACTGTCGAATGGTACTCGCACTGTAGTATTGATGAAAAATCTTGCGAATCTTGCGCCACATGTCGCCGTAGTCCATCAAACCAAATGACCAACCCATGTCCATCCTGGATAAGCAGGTAGTAAGAAATGAGGATAGTAGCGGCGCGATAAAGGTGCGTACAGTTCAGTAAGCATGACAGACTGGAATCGGTCTGAATAGATCGCAGATCGTTTGTCAAACAAGTCAGAAGCTGCTTCCATCGAAGAAATGATGATAGTGTGTTGATTAAGGACCTTCAGATGAATGATATCACCTTGCAGGTTCGGACAGTGCAAGTTAACTTCAAGGACATCGGTGTATTAAACGCAATTACCGTATTTCTGAGCCATGGACGAAAATGTGACCCACGGAGCATCGTCAGGTATATCGAAGAGGTTACCTATCACTGGGCGCTTGGAAGGGCCAGGAGGTAAGGGAAGTCTCTTCGGATTATCACGTTGCTTCCGTAGAAAAGCGACAGTAATCCAAACAACAAGGCCGAGTAAAGAACTGTAGAGCAATGCGTCCATCATCAACTGTCACCCTGAATGAAAGCAAGTTGTGCTGCTTGCAGTGAGCAAGGTGTGGGAGGAAGAGGAGAGATAGATGGAGCAAACAGACGCAGATCACTTGCAAAGGACATGTGCCTGTCGAATGTTGCTCCCGATGCGAAGAAGGTAATGTCCTGCCGACGTATCTTCGCTTCAGAAACCTTACGTATATGTACGTGTGAATTATCATGAATTGCGCGTCACAAAGAGCTCTGCAAAGAGAATGTCAAAGCTCGTACATGATGTAGGTTGTGGACAAAGTGCGACTCATTCAAAAACATACCAATGCCGTGACATCGGAACCACGCCGCCGCTCTGGCGGCGCTGAGGTATCGTAGATATCATGGGTTGCTCTTCTCAAACCCACGACAATTCGAAAATTGAGCCATCTTCTCGTCGGTTCACGAGGCAGGACGCAGGCATGTCAAGTTCCAGTTTCCAGACTTCCAGTTAACTTGTGCTTGAGTTGAATTCGAGCTAATAATTTATATCAACCCTTACGGCGCTATAGCCAAGTGGTTACGGCGACAGATTAGAAATCTGTTCCTCTTTGAGGGCGCAGGTTCGAATCCTGCTGGCGTCGAGATAATTTTTGCTTCCAGCTTCAATGAACTTGAAGCAGCCGCACTTCTGATTACTCCTTCGTGTTAATAGTGGTGGTGGTCCATGCAAATTGCAAGAACATACAATCATAGCTATATGAATCATGCAATATCGACGTCAAGCGAAGCCGGCGTTGCAGGTGTCGGTTCATTATCGACAGCCATTGCCTCACTTTCAGATCCCTTGTCTTTATCTCGATCCCTATCTTTTTCTTGTGCCTTGCCGCGCCCTCGACCACGACCTCTTCCCCTACCCCTTCCTCGACCACGAGGCGCTGGTGTTGGTTCGTCGGCCTCCTCATCACCGTCACCCTTACTCGCCGCTGCAGCCATAGCGGTACCCCGCCCTCGTCCTCTTCCACGCCCTCTTCCGCGTCCTCTTGCTCTTCGCCCTGATGTTGCTCCTCTTCCGCGCGTAGGAGGAGTTGATGTCGATGCTGAGGCCGAATCGTCTTGGTCGACGTCGTTGTCACCATCGAAGAATTCGTTCCTTGCTGTTGACCGATCTTCCCTGCGTTCACCAGCTAGAGCAGTACTCCTCTCTTCATCCTTCTCCTCTTTCGATCGCTCCTCGTCCTCTAACCATCCAGCAAGGTTGGGTGGTATCTCTTGCAGTTGGACGCTTGGAGCACCCTGCAAGTAACGTAGTTTATTACGAATATTGAGGGTGATCCGTTGCAACGAAGCTGCTGTATTCTGATTGTCAACTTTTCCTGTCAAAGGTGGATGTAGCTTCCAGTGGGAGTCCCGGAAAAACGCGTCGTAAATCGTCACAGGAAGCTCGTCGGGGACGGCTGCGCCAACGAGTACAGCGGTTTCGTAAGTCCAACAGCGACTGACGTTCTTAATGTTATAACCTCCACCGCCAACGACAAGGAGTGGAACGTTGTATTTTCTGACGAAGTTGACACATTCTCCGTGAGCAGCGATTGATAGGTTGAATGCTCCTAATCGATCGCAGCCCAGAGAATCAGCACCGCATTGAAGTACAATAGCGGCCGGTCTGAACGCTGTTACTGTGTCATCTATCACCGTCTTGAATAGTGTTAGGTACATATCATCGTCAATGCCGTCCTGCAAGGGGACGTTTAGACAGAAGTGTTTCCCTAGACCAGCACCATTGTCATCTAGCTTTCCGGTTCCTGGGAAGAAGTCTCCAGTGTATTTGTGGAAGGAGACGGTCATGACACGGTTCGAGTGGTAGAAAGCATGTTCGACACCATCACCATGGTGGATATCAATGTCAATGTACAAGACACGAGGATGATATCTAAGCTTAGTCAGCGACACTGTTCATTAGTTTGTAAAAATGAAATACAAGGGTACCTGAGAAGTTCAAGAATAGCCAAGACGATATCATTGACGTAGCAGAAACCACTAGCTTCGGCTTTCTTCGCGTGATGAAGGCCACCAGACCAGTTTATAGCGATATCGGTAGTACCGGCACAGAGTTTCCGAGCAGCGGCCAGTGAGCTTCCAGCATAGGCGCGACAGAATTCGTACATGTCCGAGAAGATGGGACAGTCCTCGACACAGTTAAAAGTGTCTATCAGATGTTTCATTTCATTCTGATTTTGTGGAGTGACCCTTAAACATATGTCAGTTATTAAAAAGCATGTTACAATGCAATGTGCGATACATACCGAGAGAGAAAGTCGATGTAATCATGGTCATGGTATACTTCAAGCTCAGCTTGGGTCGCGGACCGAGGACTGTAGATGTGATGTATCTGCTTGTCCAGACCATATCCCAAAACGAGCGCATTGGTCAAAGTCAACCGGTGAGGTTTCATGGGATGATGTTCCTACAGGCGAATCAAGTTAGAACGACTCGAAACATCGCGAACCAGTACCTACGCCATAGTGTTGAGCGCCTACATATTTTGGGAAGTAATACGAAACTATAGGGCGCGAATGAGGCTATTATGCGTCAATTAAAGAGCAGAGAACGAGAGGTGGAAGCCTACATTGACATGTTCAGTGATTGGTTGTGCGTATCCGTGATGACCACGATCGTCGAAGTATGATGTAGAAGAAAACGTCGCGAGAGGTGGTCGCTCCATATGTCAATTTATGGAGGTGCCCTAGTATCTAGTAACCGATTTCAGGCAACCTAAGAACAAATGAAGTGAGTAGATGAGTAAGTAGTTCAAGAAGAGGTTGAAGACACGTTCTTGTCCGAATATGGACTCATCTACAGTAAAAGCTTTGTCAGCGGGCGCTCATGTACCACATTCGACAAATTGGAAATTCAGACATGGTTGAGGCCGTATAACTTCTCTTCTTCTCCTTCGACTTGGTCTGGAAATACCTCTCTCGACGCGTAGTATTGGCTGACTGGTATTCTCGTAACTCTTACATGGCGTATGCATTAACATTCAACGTGTTTACAAAGCATGTGCAGAATAACAGATAAGAGCATCACTATATATCAGACACTGGCATGGATCGCTCAGCTTCTCAGCAAACTGGAAGCAGGTTCAAGTCAACTCTCACATGCACAAGTGACGCAGATGTTGGGTTTTCTGGCTACGGCTAGACGATTCTTCGATGTGATTAGTTTTTCTCTTTAAAAAAAGTGCGGTCGCGTTGGGTAGCGCCGCAAGTCAGTACCTTTCACGATCTACTTTCGGTCTTGAATCGCATTCTCCACCATTCGCTTCAGGTTCGCTTGTACGCCGTGCGCCACCTTGCAATATCCGTCTACTTTGGATATATGTACATGAATTGGATTACCAATGCCTTTTCTGTATCAGGACGAGCTTCGATGCATGTGTAATCTGCACTATGCTGCTATTTATACGCCCGACAGCCCTGGGGAGATCAGCGTTCTCTTCCTCTCTCCCATCGCAATCCCCTACAAAGTGATTAGTTCTTTTTACTCCTGACATCATCTTCAAGGGCGACTATGGGCACATTGTCGTACATTACATTATTCGGTCTGACAGCCTTGTTTACTGCATTCTACCTGAGAAGGAAAGCAAACAATCCGAAGAAGCTTCCGCTGCCTCCAGGCCCTCCTCCCCTTCCCTTGATAGGTAACCTCTTCGATATGCCTGTGGCAGGGACTGCGCCGTGGTTGACTTTTTCCGCCATGGCCAAAACATACGGTAAGCTGGCTGTTCTCTTCGCCTCGATTACCACTAATGCAATTATGGGAAGGTGACATTGTGCATCTCAAAGTTCTGGACAAACATACCATAATAGTTTCGTCATTGGAGACTGCCTCTGATCTGTTTGATCAACGATATGCGATCTATTCAGATAGATTCCCTTCCGTCATGGTTTCTGAGCTGTACGTATATCATCCCACAACATTGACCTCCACTGATTTGATTATCATGCGTACCAGGATCGACATGCATTGGTCCGTTGGTCGAATGAATTACGGCGACAAGTGGCGCAGACTTCGCAAGGTGTTCCATCATTACTACAGTGCGAGTGCTATCCGACAATACGACGGAATTCAGTTTGAAAATGTCCGCGCCTTCCTGAAGCGACTTCGCGACTCGCCAGAAAAGTTTCTCATTCACTCGCGATTGTGGGTGCTCTCACCTTCACATGCATACTCACGTAGCTGGAAAATTGAAAGTACTCACGCAGTGTATTTGCTGCCTTGATAATGAACGTCACTTATGGCGTACATATCGAAGACGAGCATAATAAGCACCTTGTCGAAGCGGAAGCTTGGCAACATGGATTCAATCAAGCCATACAACCTGGCCACTTTTGGGTAGATTATCTGCCCATTTGTTTGTCTTTCACTTTTCTTGTCAGTTCAACTTTCTTACTCGATTCTTGCAGTGAAATATGTTCCAGCTTGGTTTCCAGGAGCAAGTTTCAAGAGAAAAGCTCTGCGCTGGCGACAACATATGTACAATGCTCGGGATGGCCCATTCAACGAAGCTAAAGCTGCCTTAGTATGTAACTCCAAACAAAGCTCCTCTGCTGAAGTCCGATAACTTAGCTTTGGTATTGCAGGCTGCAGGCATGCCCGTGCCGTCAATCGTAACGGATGCCTTGGAGAACATGAGAGGTAGCCTGGATGAAGCTGAACAGGAATTAAGAACCCGGCATAGTTTGGGTACTGCGTTTGGCGGTATGTCATGTCCTTCTCCATTGCGATACAAGTCTGACTTTGGTGCAACCAACTTTTCAGCCGGAGTTGATACAGTAAGGTTCAAACCAGATTTCATAGTCACAGACGCTCATGAGAAGCATCGTTCAGAGTGCTCCCACTCTCCAAATTTTTTTCTATCTAATGCTCACAAATCCCGATGTCCAGAAGAAAGCACAAGCGGAGCTTGAACGAGTGATCGGCTCCGACAGGCTCCCCAGCCTGGACGATCGACCCAACCTACCCTACGTTGAAGCTGTATTGAAAGAACTACTGAGATGGCATCCTGTCATTCCTCTTGGTGCGCTCTTGAGTCTTTCACATGAGAGATGGCCTGACTTCGCTTCCAAGCTCTTCCTCATGCCACTGCAACCTCAGATGAGTACCGTGGTTACCATATTCCGAAGGATGCTATCGTCTTGGGTGTACGTGTCATTTACATGGATTACTTTCTGAGTACTGACGATTGCGCAGAATGCCTGGTTTGTATAAATTGTCACTCTGCTTTGTCTATCTAAATCCTGGTTGCTCGATGTTTAGGCATATCCTGCATGATCCAGTCCGGTATCCCTGCCCTGATGAATTCCGGCCTGAAAGATTCCTTACTCCCGATGGCGCTCTGAATTCAGATGTCACTGATCCAAGCGTAGTTTGTTTTGGCTTTGGTCGAAGGTACATCGACTACATGCCCTCCGAGGCCAAGACTCACCGTCTTCTGGTAGAATCTGTCCCGGTCGGTATCTGAGCTTGAACTCACTGTTCACTGCAATTGCATGCGTGCTGCATACGTTTAGTATAACTCCCAGCACGGGTGAACGCGGGCAGCCAATCAAAGTAGAGCTTCGTATGCAACCCGGTATGATATGGTAAGCATTAGCCAGCTTCCTGCGATGAGCGTGCTGAGCGTGACATATGTTCATAGTCATCCAGAATCATTCTCTTGTTCGATTCAAGTTCGCTCTTCATCTGCTGAATCATTAATTACCGGTTGAGTCGGAGCCCTCCCTTTGGCTCATGAATAAGATATCGTTTTGAGCACCACACACGGGACCAACGGAAATACTACTAGGGAAAACAGTTTAGCCGAGGATCTGACCTGATGTTGCTATCTTTAATTAAGTTCATGGGTCCCAGTACCCATAAACGCGTCTCCTTTTGGTCTTCAAACCGATACACGCCGCTCACCAAGTAAGCCGTCGTTGCCGCTCGCTCTCTTGTCTGACAGAGTTGCATTCAACAGGCATTCGATATGCTCTGCGGCGCAACGCTTGAACAGAAAAAAAACCGTTAAATATGTCACTACTCACTTACTTTTGCTCTAGCAGACGTGATGCGACCTGAGTTCTTCCAGAGCAATGTCAGAATGTGCCCATTATCTCACGCAGCATATCATGAGATTTACGACAAGCCTAACTCAGTCATTGGCTGGTATTGTCTTAGAGCGGCGTAAGCTCCATAATTCCCACAGCCGAGCCTTAATCTCCACATCTTCATCGTAACCCCATTGAGGAAGTGGGTGAAAACCTGATGTATATATAAAGGCTTCTAGGTTCCTCCGTATACGATCATCCCCTCTACTCGTGACTTCGCAGTCTCATCACGCTCCAGAGCCAGGCAGCGGAAGTGACTATGTCTACACTGCTGAATCTTGTATTCCTCTTCCTGGGTGCATCCTTCACATTGTACTACCTACGAAAACGCAATGACGATCAGAAGAGTCTTCCCTATCCTCCAGGCCCATCGCCACTGCCTGTCTTGGGTAATTTATTTGACATGCCTCAGGAAATGCCTTGGCTCTCGTTTTCTTCCATGGCTGAAAAGTTTGGTGAGCCCATACCATCCTGGGACACCTCATCTACTTGTGGCTGACGATATCATGGTTGCAGGTGACGTAGTGCATTTGAGGGCACTGAATCAACATATCATAATAGTCTCATCCCTAGAAGCTGCTTCCGAGCTGTTCGACAAAAGAGGTGCCACGTATTCTGACAGATACCAGAGCGTCATGGTGATTGACCTGTGTGTTGTCGTCCTTCATAGCAGTACGCATCAAGCCACTCATTTGTTAAATCTGCAGGATGGGAATGTATTGGTCATTTGGCAATCTGAATTATGGCGACTTGTGGCGCAGGACCCGAAAAGTCTTCCATCAGTATTTGGGTGCTAATGCGGTCCATGAATTTGAAGAAACCCAGTTCGAACATATTCGTGAATTCCTGGTCCGGCTTCGCGACACCCCAGATAAGTGTTTTGACCACATGCGCTTGTCAGTAATTCTCCCTTCGTCATTGTTGCCTCATATTTATTTCGACGTATCAGTGTCTTTGCTGCCATCCTGATGGATGTAACCCACGGGATACACATCAAAGATGTGACGAACAAACACGTCGTAGAAGCGGAAGAATGGCTAGCAGGATACAATGAAGCTGTGATACCAGGCCGTTTCTGGGTAGATTTCCTCCCTTTCTGTGGGTTCTGTCACTTCATCTCGAGAAATAATGAGTTATTCTGAACATGACGTAGTGAAATACGTCCCCGACTGGTTCCCCGGTGCTAATTTCAAGAAATTGGCCGCTAGATGGGGACAGAACAGTCGCAACGCTCGAGACGGTCCATTTTACGAGACTAAAGCTGCATATGTGCGACTGCGTTACTTCTTTCCTATAAGCCAAAGAGTTGACTTACTTACATCACAAGATTGCCGGAACTGCAAAACCCTGTGTCGTCACTCACGTGCTAGAAGATATTGCGGACCTTCCGGAAGGAAACGAGGAAGAACAGACGGCAAGGTGGAGTTTAGGCACCGCCTTTGGTGGTAAGTCAATCTATTCAACTAACGCGTGCGCCGCTCAACGGAACGAATCTATTAAGCCGGTGTTGATACCGTGAGTCGAGGAGCTTCAAAAATGTTGAGACAGTACTGACGACACTTTCAGAGTGCCCCTACTCTGCAAATATTCTGCTTTCTTATGATTAATCATCCGGAAGCTCAGAGACGAGCCCAAGCGGAACTCGATGCTGTCGTTGGACCTGATAGGCTTCCTACGCTCGCAGACAGAAAACGCCTTCCTTACGTTGAAGCGCTGCTAAAGGAATTGTTGCGTTGGTATCCTGTCACCCCACTTGGTGCGTTTGTACTTGGATCTAGATGAGTATATAAAGACAAGCCTCCGCGTAGGTTTACCCCATTACACAGCAGCCAGTGATGAGTATCGAGGATATCATATCCCTAAGGACTCTATCGTGATAGGCGTACGTTCATATCTCCCTATCTCTTTCCTAAAGCCACACTGACCTCACACCCGTCATAGAACACTTGGTAGGTCTAGGAACCACGTTCATCAAGCTGTGGCTTATATTTTATTGCGGGGGATAGGCACATCTTGCATGATCCAGCGCAATACCCCCATCCTTATATGTTCAAACCAGAGAGGTATCTCAACCCAGATGGTACTTTGAATGCAGATATGCCTGATCCGAGCGTCGCATGCTTCGGCTTTGGACGAAGGTATGATAATAAACCGTTGTCCGTTCGAAACACTGAGTAATTCATTGCTCGCTCGTCTTCCAGACTCTGTCCCGGAAGATTCCTCAGTCTGAACGCGTTGTTCGGCACTATATCCTGCCTACTTCATACCTTCAATATCACACCTGCCCTAGATGAAAATAATAAACCCATCGAAGTCGAACTTCGTATGCAACCTGGTCTAATATGGTGAGTCTTGATGACCTGCGGTTCTTGGCATTACACATAACTGAGCGGATGATGTATGGCAGTCATCCCGAACACTTCCCATGTTCCATTCGAGTTCGCTCTCCTTCCGCTGAAGCATTACTCACTAGTTGAAAGTGCAACGAGTTACGCATACTATCGTATTACTGTAAAGACAGAGATCTTATGCCACACGAACTAGTAAAATGTGCTGCCTTGTGAATAAGTACACCGTATACAACTGGATTAGGTTCAGGCTCCATGAAGAGCCTAAGATATACCATTTTACAGACTTGTTTGAAGTACCGTGCCAATGGTGCCGGTGAGGATGAAATCGGAGGTTATATGTCCATCTGTAATCATGCTTACGCGTACACGATCCAAACAAGGTTTAGGTATGCAGGTTTTCAGAACGCTATTCTCAACTGTACGTTTCGCAGCGTTGATTCTCTTTGGGAAGCCTTCTACCATTCTACGACAACTGGGTGGTTTGCATCTTCCTAAACCCAGAGCTTCATGTAACTCGAAGAAAATCAAACGTTTCAGATGTCAATTGGACGATTCACACAATGCTGGCTCTTCGTGATTCTGTTTGCGGCCACAGCAGCCTATGCATCTTCGGGGGACCGTGCAGATATATACACATCGTGTGTCTCTCTGTGTTCTAAGCGGTTCTGCGGTGAAAGTTCGCCCAATCAACTATCCCTCCTACTACGCTTGACACGTTGGACGTGTACCGACGAATGTAGATATGGTTGCATGCACCTCATTACCGACCAAGCCATTGAGCAGGGGACCAAAATACACCAATATCATGGAAAATGGCCATTCTGGCGATTCGCTGGAATGCAGGAACCAGCTTCTGTCGCTTTTTCCCTCTTCAACCTAGTTTACCATGTGAAGGGGTTCACTGAAATTCAAGCCAGGGTGCCCGATGGTCATCCTATGAAACGTTACTACCTGGGCTTTGCCCTCGTCAGTATCAACGCCTGGATATGGTCGTCTGTCTTCCATACACGAGGTTCGCATCTTTGACCTGCAATACTGGTCCCGCTCTGAATTGCATCTTCAGACCTGCCTACCACTGAGAAACTCGACTATTTCTCAGCTGCTGCTGCGATTCTCTACGCCATTTATTATACCGTTGTCAGACTCTTTCACCTCTATCGAGATGATCGCGACCGTCTAACAAACCTAGAGTCACAACCACGAATCATCTATAAACTCTGGACAGCTATCTGCGTCACCCTCTTCATAGGGCATGTTTCGTATCTCACCCTATTACCCCGCTTTGACTATACATACAACATGGCGTTCAACCTCATCATCGGAATGATGCACAATCTCCTTTGGTTATTATATTCTCTTCCGTCGTCAGTGCAACTCATCCGCCGATTCCCTTCTCGTCCTCGATCATACCGTCCGACGTACGCTAACAAGCCTGGGATCTTCGTCCTACTCATGACGGCTGCGACGTCTTTGGAGCTGCTGGACTTCCCGCCAGTGCTGAGGATCATTGACGCACATTCGCTCTGGCATTTGGCCACAGCACCGATTGCTGCGTTGTGGTACGAGTTCCTGATAGAGGATTCACTTGATGATGGCTGGAGAGGGCAGAGAAAATAGAGCCCCAACATCATTGTAGGGTTATGAAGGTCTGGTTTTGTGCCTTTCCATGCGACAACTTGCTGATTTCGGTTTCCTGTGCCTGTTTGCAGTTTTCTGAAGGACCACTTGTATCACGCACTCCTTTCGTCAGTACTGCATCATAGGCTTCCTGTACGTCCTGTCCTTCTTTGACTTTCATCGTATACTTCCTAATGTCCGGCTTATAGAATATTCTCTCTTTGGGGACATTATAATTGCAATGTAACTTATGAGGTCATCGGTGTTCACTGTCAATGATTCCACCCAACGATCGTGTGCCTTTGGTCTGCAATCATTGGTCGATTCTCACTGTCACCTACGGCTTAGGGATCAACAAAAAAGTGCCATTCAAGACTTCGCACTTACATCCTTTGTAAAGGAGACAAGGTTTGACGATGTAAATGTAGGACGCACTGGCGGGCCGACTCTCACAGAGTATTGTGGAGCAGTGTGAGATGTTCACACTTGTCAAGCCTGAATATGCTGAACGCATATTGGAAAAGGCCTCGTTATGCGGCGTTGCTTACACCTTGAGATCCTCTTCAGTGTCGTCGTGCGTTTCTCTCCATCTCTATCTGATTTCCTCTGTTGCAGCATCGCCAGAAACTTCAGCAAGTCGTTTCCACTTGCACATGGCCTCCATGTATTCTCGTTCTCTTCCCAATGTGAAATTTTCTTCCCATTTCGTATTCACCTTCTCTCACTTTGGCCTGCTGACACGACGATGGCGGTCCGTTCATAGTGTATAAATGCGGCACTCCTCGTCGACTTGCTCATTAGTTAGGTATTTCCCTTTATTTCAAGACTTCAGAACTTGCGTCCATGGCTTTTTCCGCGAAGATCCTTTTCTTCCTTTTCACGTCTGCTTTAGTAGCGGTTTACTCTGCACCAGTCGGTGAAGAGACTACGTTGGCAAAACGTGGCGCCGTACTCACTGCACAATTCGCTACTGAGACTGAGGTAAAAGCTTTTGGTTCACCAAGTCTATAGACATCTGATATGAATCTTTCTGTAATAGGCTAATGGGTGAGCTTCATGATTGACTGTTTGCCAAGTTATAATATTGACAAGGTTTGATTCTAGTGCATACATTCTTGAAAATAACCTCTGGGGCATGTCGGCCGCCACTAGTAGTATGCAATCGTATATGTACTCCGAGACGTAGCAATTGATATTTTGTAGGATCGCAAAGCTCTCGAGTGACCGCGGTGAATGATCATACCATAACTTGGCACACGACATACACTTGGACAGGCGGCCCTTCCCAAGTGAAGAGCTGTCAGTATGTCTTTTCGTTTAACATCACTCAATTGTCTAAGTAGGCGTGTATTCTAGTTGCGAACCTCGACATGCGACAGAACCTTGGCAAGCAGCTCTCTGCGGTCGAGTCCGTTCCGACCGTATGGAATTGGGTGTATAGCAGTGCCTCTTCGGATCTTGTTGCAGACGTTTCGTACGACTTATGGCTTTCGAACCAGGCTGACTCGAGTGGTGCTTCTTCCACCTCTACCTTTGAGATGTCAGTGACCCAACCTCCCGCCAGGGTCACATTACCTAACCACACCTTTGTTAGCATGATCTGGTTAAGTACCAGAGGGGGGTAGGTCATTAACCTACCGCACAACACCACAGATTTGATATATTCTACACAGTGCCGGACCCGCCGGATCTCAGATCGGAACGGCTTCGTGAGTGTCGGCGGCACGCCACTAAATACTTACAGCATTCAATATTGATTGTACTCTTACATTGTGAACGGCATCACGTGGAAGTTATTCAAAGGAACCGTAGCCACCTGGACCGTGTTTTCATTCGTGGCACCCAGCGAGATTACCAATTTCAACCAGGACCTGAAGCCGTTCTTTAGTGCGTATATTTTGTACTTGCTGTTTCGTCAGTTTGACTAAACTTCGATATGTTTGCCTAGCATTCTTGACATCGACTCAAGGCGTACCGTCCTCTCAATTTTTGGTACAAGCTCAAGCCGGGACAGAACCTTTCGTCGGTCAGTCCTTTTCCACGACACTTATCAGCCATCGGACTGGCTCACAGTATGCACAGGGAGTGCAACGCTCACGACTAACTCATACTCCCTCGCTATCAATTAAGACCATGCATCTAGGATATGGATCGTGTGTAGAGTATGGTATCGACCTATATCCGAACCTGTGTAAAAGATAAAAAGACTAGTCTATATGATTGTGGGTATCTTCAAGTCCTCGGAGTGAGGCTGGACATGGCGAGAAAGCGCGTAGATTCAACGGTCTCACATCTACTCAAAGCTTCAATCTAATGTTCCCATTCTCACAATGCCACGCAAATAGCGCCATAGTCCGCTGCACCGTGCCACACCTTCTCATATCTTCCCATCCCTCCTCCTGCGTTCGACGAGCAAAAATGACACTGTGAGAAGTAAGAGACGAGAATATAAGCAAGGCATGTAAGAATAAATATAACGAGGTTAAAGTAGAGTTTCGCTTTGCGTTGACGACGAGAGAAGCAGGCACAATGATGGAATAGGTTTGACGCATGCGACGTACCTATGAGAGAATCAAGTGTGTCCATTGCCATATTGTCGACTTCCAAGCAGGGGAGTTTAGACATGCGAAGCACACCGAGATATCGCTTCTCTCGGTGATACCAGGCTACGGGCTGATCTTCTCTGAACAGCTTGCAATGAAAGAGGTTATTCGTTGACGTGTCAAGGAAGAGGAGGTTGAACATACCTCCAAACCTTCGTGATCGATTCGCCAGGTGTACGTTTTGCCGTCCTTCCCTTTAAATTTGGCTACCCGACTATCAGAATGAAAATGATAGAGTCTTCGTCTTGCAGCAGTGAACACAAACATACACACCTACTTGCATCACCATTCTGCAAGAAATCCTGAGTCGGAACTATGACTCCTCCATACATCTTCATGGATACTGGTTTGTCGTTCTCGTTCACCAGCTCGCAAATGAGGTCGAACTGTTTCGTATTCGGATCCAGTCGACTAATCTTCGTGAGGTGTCGTTCCCACTTTGGCGTCAGGACCTCGTAATAGATGACATCCGAGGTATTCGAGATGACAACGTTGTGCAAACTCGTAGTAGTTAGAAAGAGCTCTTGACGCGGCGTAGCCTTGGATTTGGACGACATGAAGAGGGAATAACAAAAGTGGTAAGAGAAGCAAGAGAAGTTATTGGCGCAAGGAAGTGCTGCAGCTAAAGGGAGCGAGCCATGTTTGCATTGCGGTTCTTATACAGCTCATGTTACCAGGTGGATTGGCGGTGGTAAGACGCGTCCTAGATGGTCAGATCGGACAAGGCTGTGGGGCCGATGGGAACCACGACAGGGTTGACATAGGTGAGAGTGTCGTGGAGCGGCCCAGAGAAGACTGTTTTCTCACCAACAGAACGCTTACCGGTACGGAAGACATACATATTTGCCGCGGCTGGAGTGAGAACATACCTCCGAAAAGCGGTTCCGAGAGAAGAACCCAGGTGCTGAACAGCTCCGGGGGGAATGCAATTGAAGACGTTCCGTGATGGCATCTGTGTATCGGAGAATCTATATCATATCGACAATCTGAAATACAAAAGGGAATGCGGTAAGCAATGACCTTGACGAGAGCGGTATGATGTTGGTACCCACGATGTAATTACATTTTCTTGCACCTCTAAGCTCATCCTCATGCACCCGCGCCTTCTGCCCACTCGCCAAACAGCAAACTGATACTTTCGCCATTATGCGTCCGGCGGATACTCTCCGCAATGGTCGGGCTCACGTCAATTGTGACGAGCTTTGAGCAACCTTCTGCATGCTGCTTCTGAGGGATAGTATTAGTTACCTGCGAGATGGAAAATTATCACAGATCGTGAATATTGGATCATAACATCTCGAATGATATACAGGAATACCCACCACTAGTTGCTCGAGTGGCAACTCCTCGATCATGGTCATTTTCGTTTCCGATAGTAGTCCTGTGACAAGATGAAAATGAAAATGAAATCAATTCAATCCACGAACTCGAATATCGGGGAAGAAGACAGACCATGAGAAACTATCGCATATACAGCTCTCGCACCGTGTTCCTTCAAGGACTTGGCTGCTACTGAAATCGTACGCCCGCTGTCGATCATATCATCCACTACAATAGCGACCTGTAAAAAAAAGTCTGAGCATGACGTCATCGCGATAGAGTCAAAATCTTTACCTTATCCCGCACGTCGCCTACAAGTACTTCGACTTTCTCTGGCGAGGAATGTTTCCTGTGAATGAGGGCAAATTCGACACCCAACTTGTCTGCAATAGCTGTCACCCTGCGGTGCTTTAGTAATCAGACTGCGAAGATCCCTCGGAAGGACTTACCGCTTTGCACCGCCAGCATCAGGGCTGACAACGATGCCGTTCTGCCAGTCGGGGATATTGCGCTTGATGTAGGCAATCATCAAGGGTTCGGAATACAAGTTGTCTACGGGGAAGTCAAAGAAGCCCTGGATCTGGCTTGCGTGTAGATCCATGGTGATGACATGGTCGCACCCGGCGACAGCGAGCATATTGGCCACCAGCTTGGCGGTTATAGGAGCCCTTGACTTAGCTTTCTTATCCATCCTGGCATAGGGGTAGCAAGGAATGACAGCAGTGATACGTCTTGCGGCGGCGCCTTTGCAGGCAGAGATGAGGATGAGGAGTTCCATCAGATTATCGTTCACGTCGCTACACCCAGACTGGATGATGAAGACGTCTTCTTCTCGAATGGACTCGGATATCTTGACGCTGATCTCGCCATTGGAGAATTTTTTGACAGTGCAGGGTGTCATAGTCACGTTGAGCCTGCGGTAACATAGCATGGAATGGGTAAATGACCAGTCCTCAAGACTGCTGGGCTGCCTCAAAGGGGCAAAGCTGCAGCTCACCGCTCAGCCACGGCATTGGCGAGCTCGGGGTGACTGTTCCCTGTTGAAGACAAATGAGAGGGGTGTCTAACGGAAGCTGGTGGACAGAACACATACCCGTGAGGATCCTGACGGAGTTTCCGTGCAACATGGTTGAAAGGTAAGAGAATTATTGCATGTAGATATAAGAGAGAAAGCGATGAGTAGAAATACAAAATGAAAAGAGAGAGCAAGAAGGAAAACCTGAAGCGGTGCTTGGGCAAAATAGATGATCTCGCGTATTTCACGCGCCGCCCCTCCATGACAAAATCTCCTTGTTTGTTCCGACCAAATACTTTCCAAACGTGCGAGAGGCGACTGGTTCAAGCCCCCGTCGTCGTCAATCACGCAAACCTGCAGCTTCCAATACGTTTCTGAGAGCCAAGGACTGATGGTTCCAGGTTAAAAGACTGATGATATTCCCTCAGGGGCTATGCTACACGTTCTACATAAGACGCGCTGCAAAAATAACCCACGGTGAAGCCTCCAGAATTTCTCCAGATAAGGACAGACGATCACGGCGGAACGCGGATCGTTACATTTTCGACAACATACTCAGAATCCGCATATCCAAGCGTTTGAGCAATGTATGAACTGTAAAGTGTACAGTTAGGACGTCCACAATGCGGAACTAAATGATACAACTTGCCTTTTGAGTCCCTTGACCTTGTCGATTTGTGCCCAGTTGTAATTTGCTAACCCTCTCCCGACCTCTTCAAAGTCCTCGTCCGCATCCGTGTCAACATTCGAGGATGGCGGAACAACTATATGGTCTTCTTCGGGGAGCACCTTAACAGTCGCCGACGGTGTTACCTGTTCATCCGTCGGTGTCGGAGAAGTGACCGGAACAACAGGTTCATGCAACCCATCTAAGGTGGATATGGAGGAAGACATGGAACCAACGGGTAAGAGTAAAGGAGTGTTCGGGGCAGTAGGAATATCACGGTCGTTACCTTGTCCATTCCTGACGTCGGCTCCCTCAGATGTCGACGTCGTAAGGGGCTGCTGATTCTTCTTCTTCACCAGAATCCGAACAGCTTGTCCAGAAGCAAATACACCTTTCACGCCTACTACACCAGCGGCCAGCAATCTCCCACCTGACTGCCTCTTCGATAACACCTGATGAGCACCTTCGTCGATGATGACACTGCCTGTTGGATGCAGTGTATGACTGGTCCAGGCTTTCAAATCTCGCATAGGGATGGGAGAAGGTTTGAACAACGTGTGTGGAGGTCTTAACGCGGACGGCGTAGCGCTTGGAGTAACAGAGCGAGAATCCTGGTTGGTGAGAGGCGTGAGCGAACCTGATCCTGAGACAGCGGGAGGAGATGGATGGGCTATTGGAGTTGGACTCGAGCGGCCTGAAGCGTTTTCTAGCGGAGTCGAGGTGCCGGAAGTGAGAGACGTATTGTACTGGATGATCTTCAGGATATTTCGTGGATCTTTGCTCGAAGTAATGACTGTAGTCACACCCGCAGCTGTCGCGATCTCTGCAGCTATAAGCTTTGTCTCCATTCCACCTGTTCCGAGATTGGAACCCAATGTTGTGGTACTGACTGTGTCAACCTAATATGAGCTTCACTAATCGAAATAGAACACTGCGACCCATACCTTGTGATCGAATGGCAGGTATGGACGTTACGATATCTATGGGTTTGGCCGATGGGTCCTTTCTAGGATTTGAGGTATAAAGACTATCCACATCTGTCAGAAGGAATAAATAATCTGCATGGAGCATTGAGGAGGTGATCGCTGAAAGTGTGTCATTGTCGCCAAATTTGATTTCCTATGGTTCTAGTATAAGCGTCTTTCACGTCAGAGAATCAGAGCACAGTACGCACGCTGACGGAGACAGTATCGTTTTCATTCACAATCGGAACAACACCAAGCGAGAGGAGCTCCTTGAATGTGTTTACTGCATTGAGGTATCTGGTGCGCTATGTCAAGCAATTCAAGTCTCAGGAACTCACAAGATACAGATAAACGGGAAGTGACTCACGTCAGAAATGTCGCCTCTCGTCAGGAGAACTTGTGCAATAGGCTGGCCAAGGTGTCCAAACAAATCGTCCCAAAGCGCAATCAGCCGACCTTGACCGATGGCTGCTAATGCCTATCAAACCATGCGGTGCGACGGGAGGTCAGGAATCCCTCCCTTATTGCTGAGAAATTCCGTGTGCATACCTGCTTCCCTGACAATGACTTTGGTTTGCTAGGCATCTCCATGCGTTTCAAACCTACACCAATGGCTCCTGAGCTGACCAGAACAACCTTATGTCCTAACGTCCGCAAGTGTACTACTGTCTCCACAATGGCAGAAAGGGTAGACAGAAGAGGCTGATGAGTAGTCTCATGGACGATGGACGAAGTTCCTGTCCATTGCGAATATTCTCAGTACGAGTATCACGCATACTACACAACGATCCTCACCGAGTTTGATCACTATGGTTTGTGAAGGTCCATGACGAGGTCGAGCCATCTCTGGTCACTTTATAATGCGTTGTATAGTATAAAGTCTAGAGTAGCGAATGGAATTTGGAAAAGTAACAGTGGTTGAAGTCGAAGTGACTCGGTCTGGTCATGGTGGAAGAGTAAAACGGACGTTTCTACGTGACGCCCATAATACATCTACACACCTCTTATTTACGTCCGTCTTCAAAGTTTCGAGGTTTCGAATACACGCAATGATACAGAAAAGTATACAGCAATGAGACCCAATGACATTAGAATGTGACCGAGGAAAAGAAAAGAAAAAAAGGAAGAGACAACAACTCTCCAACGATAGACATACGTAGTAGGTAAGACCAGTCAGTTGAGAGTCGTTAAGTCGTGGAATCAGATGTGAAGGCATATAAACAAGTGGATATACTCAAGCTTCAGCTTTCGCTTTCCCCTTATTCGATGACGATCCGGAGGTAAATCCTCCAGGAGGATCCAATCGCTCCAGTTGCCGCTTAACTTCTTCGTCGATTCCCTCGAAGACACTTGACTTGGGAAAACCGACCAACTGACCAGGACCATGGTACTCTTGAACGAGCTTCTCGCCGATCTCGTCCCACTGTCTCCGAGCTTCAATTAATTGTCGGAGTTGTTCTGGGACGGTCAAGTGGTTCTCTTCGTCGGGAACCAAACCAAGTGCAGCAGGTGGCGGTGGTATAGTGGTACTATTCGTGCCACCATTTGCCGCAGCACCATTGGGTTCCGCCTTCTGTTTCTTCTTCTTGCTCACCTTGGGGATATCTTTCTTCTGCAGTTTGGCATACTGATTGGCGATTGCTTTGTCGAGATAGTCTCGATCCTCCAGGAATTCCTGATAAGAAAGCTTGGCTCGCGCAATCTCAGCTAATCGGTGCCGTCGCGCCTTATTGGTAGCCATCACTGTCCGCATCTCACTCTGAGCATGTCGCAGAGCGGTTGCAATTGGATCGTCGACAGCTTCAGAGAAATCAGGCTAGGGTTCACAATGATGAGGATTGCACCACTGGAACATAACTACAAAAGAACTCACAATCTCATCAATAATGCCATGATATCGTAGCGCATTCTTGATACGATCCTCTAAATCAGCAACATTCATCTTATCTCGAGCAGCTTGAGCAGCTGCGCCATTCGTGCCAGGACGACCTTCCATAGCCTCTTCAGCCGCTTTCACGCCTTTCCAATGGTCGTTCTTCATGGGTATGATGGCACTAACTAGCCGCTCATTAAGAGGGCCATGTCCATGCTCCTCCGTCACACAGTCCTGTTCCATGAGTGTCGAGGGTTCCCACTTCGGTAGCGGGCCAGTAGAAGGGGCAATAACTCTCGGCCGTGCAGCAGCAGTGCCAGGCAGAGGCTCGCCATACGCAGCAACGTCCTCGTCATGCCATACTTCAGAGTAATGCCGCCCTAACTTGGGTATCACGAATGGCTCGGTCTCATCACCGGTGTACTCCAGGAAGCCAATATCCTCCTCCTTGATTGGGCGCAACCAAGGTTCGATGCTGGAATAAAACGTCGTCACGAGCACTTGTGACGGTTGTTTACTCTTGCTAAAGTCGTCCATCACATCAGTAGGTTTACTAGGCCCCGGTATCGGCGGCGGGGGAATAGGTGGACGAGGCGGCAATAAATTGACTGGGGGAGGGATGGAGAAATCGGGGCCACTTGCAGCCTACAGACGGTAAGATATGGCGAAAATCCAGGAATTCGGTACTTACTTTAGCAGGTATAGGTGGATGTTTGGACGCCTTTGGCGGCGGGGGATGTGGATGTGTATGTTGGCTGAGCGCGGGAGAAGTCTTTCGCATTTTCTGCGGCGCTATGAATGACAAATTAAAAAGTTGTTGATAAAAAGAAAAAAGAAGGTCGTACGCGTCTCAAGATCACTCATCTCTTCTCGCGCACGTTTCTTCTTCTTATTCTTCAATTCCTGAGCCAATCTACATTCATTTCAACAAGATGAACCCGCAGAAACCCACGGCCCACTTACGATTTCCGAGTCTCAAAGCTAGGCGTAGATGCACCAGAAGTGATACCACTGGCAGGAACTGATGGTGGTCGAGGTCTCTGCAAGTTCTGTGGCAAAGGAAGAGGTTTCTTATCCTCTCCGCTGGGTTGTGGCGTGTCTGTGAACGGCGCAAATGTTTGAATGGATAGCATGCAATGCGCAAGGAATAACGGGGATGATGAGTGGATAAATATTGGCGAGAAGGTGGATGATGAGACGTTAGCAAGAGATGTAGCACCCAAGGAAACAAAAAGGCAGGACCAAGGTTTCGGTTCGAAGGACAGTGCGCGGGCAGCGGAGGAGACAATAGCGGATGAAATCAGCTCGGGCATCGCAAGAGCGTAGATAATGCACGTACATGCGCGTTCCTTCTTGACTAGGCTTGGTGCCTTAGCTTTACCTTTCTCCCTCTCCCTCAGACGTCTCATAGACTCTTCAATAATTCTGATGTCTTCCCCAGCTCTCCGGGCCCGCTCAAGGGTCTTTTCCCGGAATAGTTTGAGCTCCTCCTGGAGTATCTGAAGCTCATCTGTTGGCGGTATGCTGTCCGAGGGGTTCTTGAATAGTGTGGACCGGATGGTTGGTGGTGTACCGTATGGTGATTTACCCGACGACATGGTCGATACCAGGTCAAATGCACAATTGACAGGGGCCCTATGGAGCCCCAGATCCTGCCAGATAAAGCTCTAGCTGCAGCGAAGCTACGCTCCGAGTTGCTATGTCGCCGGTGTGCAGTGGACGGAAGCAAGTTATTGAAGTCAGAGTGAACGTTCACGCGTTACGGCCACCGCTTAATTAGCGCTTTCCCACGATTAGTATCGGTTCCCGCGAACTGTAATGGATATTATATTCAAGTAATACCACAAGTCACTGCTACTAATTGAGGTCTATATACAGTAACAATCCGTTTTTACAGCTTATACCAGCCTTGTATTGGGACTTTATATAGAACACCGGATTGTCGTCGACTTCCACCATTACTATGAACTCCCCGCTGTAGTTGAATTTCTCAATCCTCCTTGAAGCCGCATGGCAGGATCCTATGAGCTTCTGGATGCAGGGCGTCCAGGTAGCCCTGCCGACACCAGCTCGGACACCATCGAAATGGCTACTCTGGACGCTGTAACTCCAGACCCAAGGCTCAAGCACGCACCATATGTTCATGACACTCAAGATTCGGAAGATGAAGAATCCGGCGACGAAGATGATGGAGAACGTGCGTTGCTGACACCACACGATAGACCTCGCGGTTGGGAACGAATATCACAGAGTATTAGCCTTTGGAAACAAGTACAGCGTATTGTCATCGAGGTGTGTCTGTTTTGCTGTTGCTAATACATTTGAGACAATAGAAGTTGAACTTGCACGACAGACCGCACCCACACTCCTTCTCACTACCATTGGACTGCTCTTCACTGGCGAGCTATTGAACAGTGTCTCGGTATGTGGTAAACATAAACTATGTTGACGTTATTCTAATCGAGTGGCTTATTGCAGCGCTGGAAAGCTATGGTTCGGATTGACGAACTCATAATGATAATACCTGTGGTCCTTAATCTCAAGGGTAATCTTGAGATGAACCTTTCAGCACGTCTTGGCACCGCCGCAAATATTGGTGAACTTGACAAACCTGATGCACGTCGGTCCATTATACTCGGGAACCTCTCGCTTCTACAAGTTCAAGCAACTGTAGTATCGTTTGTAGCTGCTGTTGTAGCCTTTCTTTTGGGCCGTATAATGCCGCGCTCGCCGAATGAACCTCAGCCCGAGGCGTCGAGTGACCAGCTTGTGCCAAGTATCTTCACGTCTCGCATGCTTTCTCCGCGCAGACCTCGTCCAACGCTACCTCAAGGGCCTCCGGGGGGTGTCACTGAGTGAATTAGACTGTTATTCTTATTTATTCCGTCCTTACAATTGTTTTAGGTTCCTCATGACTGCATCCTCCGCAATGTCCGCTGCGTGCTTGTCTAGTATTTTATTAGGTTCTTTCATGTGCGGCCTCGTTCTTCTTTGTAGGCGCTTTGGTCTTGACCCAGGTAATCTACTTACAACCATGCTCTACGAAACGCGTTAATCTGTTGTCCAGATAATATTGCACCTCCTGTCGCGTCCTGCTTGGGTGATCTTGTGACATTGCTTCTTCTTGGAGCTGTTTCGACCCTTTATATCAATCTCGTCAGCACACCGTTATCATTAATCATGATTATCGTTTTGGTGCTTGCAGGGGTTGCGTGGGTATTCGTGACCAGGCGCAATCCCCACGTCAGAGAGCTGTTGAAGGAGGGTTGGCTGCCCTTATTTGCAGCTATGATTATTAGCAGTGGTACTGGTATCGTCCTAGACACCTTTGTAAGCCGATACGAGGGTTTCGCTTTACTTGCAGTTGTTATTAGCGGTATGTTTGTATCTCGAGCCCCGCAATCCCTTGACTAGTCTAATAATGAATTACAGGTCTTCCAGGCAGTGTTGGTTCAATATTCGTCTCGAGGTTATCAACAGCGCTTCATGGTGCAGCGATCGCAGGATTCCGCTTACCTTTGTCAAACGACGACTTCTCAAAACCTTCACAACCTCAACCAAGCACTAAGCTAGTAATGATCACACTTCTGTGTGTCACATTCCCTGTCGAAATCATCTTCCTCTGTGTCCTCCGGGGTCTGGGATGGCTCCACTTTCCAGTCTTCTTCGTGGTCTTCTCCGTACTATTCTTTTGCGTCGCCGTAAGCATTAGAATCCTTGATACTGGTATTTGCCCTGACTGTTGTTGTTTCACTTCAGGTTATCGCATCCCTAGTCATCGCCAGATACCTCACCGAATTCCTCTGGAATAGAGGTTTAGACCCGGATATGTATGCCATGCCCATCCATTCGGCTTTGGTCGACCTCATCGGTCAGCTTCTCCTTGTATGTTGTTTCGAGATTGTTTCTCTCTTGGGTATCACGGTTAGGAGTCCTAAGGCCTAAGGGCGGCTAGCCTTGTTTGTCACAACTATCCAGGCGTGTTGGTTTCGGGTCATTCTTCGCACATCTTTATATACACTAAGTTATTGTCTGTCTGTCGCTCATTGTATCGTTATCTATTCTACTAGTCACGGCTATTATTTGGAGGATCACACAATCCCTTAACCAAACGCCGATGCCTTGTTGTGCGTACTTGTCGGGGCTTTGAGGGTTCTACTTTTCGGTATAGGGGATTTGGTAAGGTGAGTGAAGATAAGACGCTCCGCCTGTCTGAAATGTTGTCGTGCTGTCTGTGGCCTTCGGGAAAGTCGTTGCTCAACAAGTGAAAGGGTAGCATTTCCCCGGTAAGCTTATAAGATTTTTCTCAATATTTGCTGATCCACAATACCTGAATGATGCGCTCTTGCTGCGCGAAAAATCAAGATCGCACTCGCGAACATTCATGACCTCCAACTCCCTCCTTCATGTTGTGCTGCAGTCAACGTACTCTTCTTATGACTGGAACGCATTCATTATTCACACAGGGTATACAGTATGTAGAAGTGACCCATTTATCATCAGTCGCACTGTCTTCGGTCCTCGAGGTATTATATTACATGATTGCATTGCCAGAGCGGAGTGAAAGAGAACAAACGTTAATCACTAGGAGCCTTCGCAGCCTCTTTCTCGTCCTTGAGAATCCGCTCGACGTTGGCTCCAATTTGCTTGCGTTCTTCCAACGTGAGCTTCGGCGCATTTGAGGAGTATCCTAGCTCTGAATAGAGATCAACAGGGTGTATGCACAGGGGTCGACGTGAACCTACTGAGACTTGCATATTGCAGAGGAATGTTTTCGCTCCTGACTGGTAGCATTGAAAGATCAAGAGGAAACGACGGGCCTATCCATGTGTGTCGAACTTCGTGATCCCTGTAACACCATGGTGCGAGAGGTCCGTTGACGCTAAGGGCCCAAAGATGTAACGGGAAGCCATAACTTACTTTCTCTGTAAGAAGCCATGGTCTGGCATGAGCAGCACATTCTGTATTCTGCGGCGTCCGTACTTACCTCTTCCTTCGTCAATGGATGTACAAGAATGCTGTCAGATTGAAAGAAATCAACATGATGCAGATCCTCAAGAAGTGATATCGTACTGACCTGAGGTTACCTCTATTCATGCAAAGATACGAATATACAGAAACGAAAGACTCCGAAGGACACCAGATCTCGTACGATCCTGAGCACAGTGCGCTTAACCTCACCATCATGACGGCATATATTGTCAACGTACTTACCGACTGGATGAGGGCCTATCGGATCTGTGTTCACTCTGAAGAGAGGTACTGCGACGAAGGCACCATCCCTGCGAAGACGTAAGACGGCGTCACGAAGCTCAAGGGCAGCGTGGTGCTCGTCTGCGTTTCTTTGGTGAAAGTAGATATCTGTGTACTATGTTAGAAAGAGCTGCTACCCTGTCGTGTGAGAACATACGAAAGTGCCACTCTCTAGGCAACTCAGGGTCGATTGAGGCAAATCACTCGGCAAGCTTCAAGAACCAACGCACTTGATTTCAGAGTCAATCACCTCCTTTAAATCTGTCTGAGGGCTCATCGTGTGTAGAGTAAAAGCGAATGAGTAAAGTTCCTTGTCGGATTAGCTTGGATTAGTGTTCCACTCCGTTGTCGGATTCCCATGTGCTCCCACGAACTACACATACCATACTAAGTGATTACTCCGAATGTAAACGCCACTAGAGGCCACATCAGCGCCGTACTATACGAGCATCTCTGCGACCATCACATACCGGTTTCCTCTTTTGCGTATCGGTTGGTCAACCATTGAACTCTTTAGATGTAACTTCAAAAGGAGCGTCCATTGTGTTCTCCTACTCTGATGTTTAAATCATGAACTGGTTTAGGCTGGAGCCGACTGCGATTAAGGTACTACGATCCACTCGATGGCAGAAGATTAACATCAATGCAGTGCTGTACGACCGGTGAAACATAGGCCACCGGTCGAAGCGAGTCCCTGAGCCCTCAAAAGGGTGGCGATATGGATTGTGGTTGACCTTTTTCCCCGCCCAAGCCATCCTTGACCGCATCCACAGCATGTCGAATACCCAGTTCGTTGCGGTTAGTGATGACGATCCCAGCATCCGGTATGAAGGTAACTGGGCCCAGCTTCGTGCTGGTGGAGGATCAGCCCATGCGACGTTTTGTAGTGCCTCAAGCACTTCATACAGTTTCACGTTCTCAGGTGGGCAAACTTTTCATTATCAATTCCTCGCTGGAAATAATTCGTGGGCCCAGGTACTAGAATCACGGTAGGGGGAGTCCTCCTTCCCCCAAATGGGACGGCAACTCTCACCTCTACCTATACCGTTGATGACTCGCAGCCCGTAACCTATCGTGCCCCAACGAATACGACACAGGAGAGCGACAGCGTAGTCTTTTTCCTGTCGCCTTTTTTATCGGCCGCTCAGCACACGCTTGTTGTCGATGTCGCGTCCTGTTCAACAGAAAACCCGTACATAATCCAATTGATTGGATACATCCCCACGTCAACATCTACACTACCATCTGCGTCGTACATGCCAACGAATTTTCCCCTCCCAACGGGTTCCGCCGCCAATGGAGCATCCACTAATGAGTCACATTCTTCCACTCCCGTTGGTGCGATCGTTGGCGGTGTTATCGGAGGTGTAGCACTGCTGGTCATCACTGCCATCACCTTGTGGTATTTCTGTTTCAGACGTGGCCGTGGGCAGCCTTATTTCTACAAATCTGCTGAAGCTGGCGACTTGCTTGGCCAAGGTTTGTCGCATTGATCTCTATCTACAGTATATTGTGAATCAATTGATCCATAAATCAATCAGAGGTTAAACCGTATGACGGCCCCGGTCCACAATCCCCTCCCAGCACAGCACCGTCACAAGACCCTTTGTCGTATTACACACCCACCGTCACCGGTAGCCACTCCCCACCTGCAAGCGATATGGGCGGAAGTTCCTACATACAGAGCGCTTCCAACTATACCCGTCAAAGTTATGCCCCGAGCACAGTACTCTCCATTGCCAACCCAAACGCCGGTCCTGCCGTTCGCGCTAGTCCCAACCAGCCGCCGAGCAAAGCTGCTCAGGCTGGGCTTCTGTCTATTCCTCAAGAAGCTACGTATCACGCAGATTCTGGAGTGCGATTTGGAGCACCTGGGGAGCCGTCCAGTTCTGGTGCTTATGTGGATCCCACAGTCCCAGCCGACATCCCACCCACGTATTCAGAGCGGTAGAGTAAAATGGTGTCAAGATTGCATGCTTGTGGTTATGGCGATGGCGGTTGTCGAACGGCGTATTCATTCTGAATTGTACTGTAACATGTCTCTCCTTTTATCTGCGTCACACGCTCTTTCCATTGATATCGTTCTATAACTTCTCTATTCATATATATCACATTTGCAGGGCACAATGTATACTCATACCATATTCCCGTTCATTATAGATATTTTTAGTCGACTGACCAATGTTCTCCGCAATCAGTGCTCGGCGCTCTGAGGTCCCGGTAACGTCCATCTCCCATCTGTTAGAGCTTACTATTCTCCAACTCGAACCACAATAACTACGCATTGAGCAACAACTTTAGCTTGCCCACAGGTACGTTCAATTTTACTTGGAATTTAGTAGTGCTGAGACGATTTCAATTCAGACCGAGCACTTTTCAACGAAAGTTCTCATTTGTACCCACCGCGTTTCAAAACAGACTGGATGAATGTTGAAGTCAGCCTCGGCAGGAACAACCACCTGCCCAACTCTCCATTCAAGAGGTACCATGGTTCTATCCTTGCCTTGCGCCGTCGCTATCCTGTGCATCTGCATGATGTCCCTGAAGGCCGTCGTCAGATTGCTGATTTTGGTTGCTGCTAGATCTGCTTTGTCAGTACCTTTAGACTCTTCAGACGGGGCTCCGCAGTCAACCAACATCATATATGTCACAAATGTAGTGACTTCGGAGCTAGACGTGTTGGAGACTGCCACTGTGATTGTTCCTATCGATTCGAGCTCTGGGCCGGTGTCCAGTACCTCAATACCTCCCTCTATCACCCCATCTTCCTCTGTTGCACCAATCTCTACATCCCTTGCCTCCGCTACTTCAAGTCCTCAAGCCGTGGTAACCGAAATATTCACTGTGACTGCAACGGTGACCGAAGCACCATCCACCGTCACCCTTTCTGAACCTGCCCAAACTGTTACTGAAGTAATCACAGTGCCGCCGAGTTCTGCCACTCCATACACTCAGACCACCTGGTCTGCACCTGGTCAGATATCGGACCTGAAGATATTCAATATATCGTCCTTCGCGTACGGACAAACCAACTTGCGTGTGGTTGACGGCATCCCAGCTACAGCGAGTGCAAGTGGCATTACCGCTGCAGCAGAACCAGAAGGAACACCTACTACGTCTAATATACCCATCTGGGATAATTCCAGCTCTGTCCTAGAACTACTTTATCCTGCAAACTCGATCAACCCTGGAACCGAACCCCAAGGCGGAGCCGATTTTTATGCGACACCGCTCGACTTACATGATGCCCAGATAATCGCATTGGAATATTCTGTCTTCTTTCCGGTCGATTTCGATTGGGTACGGGCTGGGAAGCTGCCTGGTGTTTTTGGTGGCCACAAGGGCTGCTCTGGAGGCGATGATGCTCAAACGTGCTTCAGTACACGGCTCATGTGGCGTGAAAACGGCGCAGGAGAGTTGTACTTGGTAAGCAGCACTTTCCCAAGTCGTTAAAGTCATTATACAAGATCGTAACTTGGCCTCTAACGTCTTGTATAGTATGCACCAAAGGACAAGCAAACGGCTAGCCTATGTTCAACGCCGCCATTATCCGTCTGCAATGCCGACTACGGTCTTTCGATAGGCCGCGGGTCTTTCTCCTTCACACCTGGTGCCTGGACCCATGTCAAACAAACAATTTCATTGAATACACCCGGGCAACAAAATGGCGGTTTCCAACTGCATGTCAACGGTAATCAGGCTATGCAGCTTTCGGACGTCTATTACAGAGATGACTTCCAGCCTGCATCACCAATTTCGGATCCATTACCCGACCTCGATGACGCTCCGGCTCCCCCACTTGTGCCGGACACACCTGTTTCTCCGCCATCTCCCTCTATACCTGAGGATCCTGAGCCTGAGCCAACGGATTCTGGAGGCGGTCTTCTGGGAGGTCTTCTAGGTGGCTTGGGGGGTCTTCTATATCGAGTGACAAACTCTCCGGCTAACCAATTTCTGAGACTGCGGGACGAAATCAGCAGCGTGTATTTTATGCCGGGGACCCCAGCTGAGGAGGAGGTTCAGCCAACTTTTCCTTCCGATGATCAACCTACCACTATCACAACCACTTTTACCCAGACTGTAACGACTCCTGCAGAGTCTCCTACGATGATATTTTATGAATCATACGTTCCTCAATATTCTGGAGAGTCATATGGATTCGTACATTCTTCAAAGCCAGCTGGGTTTATAGGACTGTTCTTCAGGTTCGTGCTATTCAATCTACTAGCACAATACTTGAGTTTTCGCAAGTGACTGACGACGACGTTAAATATCAGCACCTTTTTTGGCGGTCACGACGCACGATATGCAACACCACGAGACCAATATGCTTGGTTCAAGGACTTCGCGATGTCAGTAGGCGACGCTTCATCACAGACTCAAACTCCTTCGGACCCGATCTCCGCTTTGACTATCGTACCAACTAGTGAAACACTATCCGTGACGATTTCGACGACATACTCGGACGAGTCTTCCCTCGTTATGACCCCGAGTCCGGTCGGCACCTCCACTGTATAAGCACAATAGTAGCTTTAAGTAATATTGAGCGATTTACAATGGTTGTGTCATTCTGACTTGGCGCGAGCATCTCACTGCCTAATCGTCTAGTTTGGAAACGATCACAAAAACGTCCGCCTGCATGGCTTTCCTGGTTTCTTTGAACGCCGATGTTGGGAACTGCAAATCACAGTATGCTTCAATTTCTGATCCCGAGGTAGCGGATTTTGATTTTGATCTTCCCGGTGCCGCTCGATGATGTAGCTGCAGAAGTGCGCCGCATGTTGAAACTTGAAGTAGCTCAGAGCCATTCAGATAGCTTGAATGCATTTTCTCATGCGGATCAACAATTGCGAACTCAATTGACGACTTCAAGCTCCCTCAGGAACATCCAACATTCTCGGGACAGACAATGCTCGGCGAGTAAGAGCCGGGCACAGGACCCATATATTACAGATAAGTTCGAACAGATGCTTGACTCATTAACCAATTCCTATTGATACATTTATGATAGTCTGGGAGAAAATAGGTGTGGGGAAAAGGCAAAATCAGAAGTACTCCGGCATAATCTCAATGAGCTTGTAACGGTCCGTGTGCAAATGGAACTGAGTGTAACCGGCCGCGAACTCCTCCCAGCAATCCCGCTCGACCCCTTCTCCTAGCAAAGCCCTAATGCGCTTCACTACCGCAATTGTCTGATCGACCAGGTTTTGCAAGACTTCGGGGACCGTCATGTTATGGACTTCGCCGTAGCAGTGAAGATAAGTGCCAGTCTCCCCGAACTTGGCCTCCTTGTAGTAGGAGAATAAATCGCTACAAAATCGTACGTCAGCGAGGAGACAATAGGAAAATGCTTGAAAACTTACTTGATCAGGTTGATGAAGTTGCAGCAGTCACTATCGGAGAACGTCAGCACGCGTGTGAGAGTTGAAGTGATATTGCTCACGGAATTGCTTGGATATAAGCCTTGGTATCAAGGCACATACTTCGCGGCCAAATGAACACGGCGTACGCCTCTCCAAAGCCCTCCTTTAAGCGGATGAACTCGATATACTGGAAGGACTCAGGAGTCAAGCGCAGATCCTTTGCTTCGCGGAGGAACATCTCCGCATTGGCAAATTCCATGCAGCTGGAAATCAAGGCGTTGGCGCCGTATGCTGTGAACATATCGTTCATGTCCCGAAGGTTCTGAACGAAGAGATCGAGTACAGGATGCATCTGAGGTACGCCCATGTGAAATCGAGGAGCGAAAGCGGTCATGGCTTCTTTGCCCATGAAACCATCGTCGAATAGTGCGGTGCAGAAGGTATTGAGAGCGATACAAACTTGGACCTCGAGCGGCTTGACGTGGCGATAAGCTGTGGCCGCAATGTCCAAACCAGTCATGGTGTATTTCTCGCGAACCTTGTCGGCGAGACCCAGGTTCCAAGACTCAATGGCCTCTCTGGTCTTCTTTTCGACATCGGGATGGGCCTTGCGGGAGCCGAATCGGTGATGAACTCCAGTCTTGTGGAAGTATTGGAGAATGATGTCGCGAGCCAATTTCGAATAATCTAGCTCATCCTAGACATCGTGTGAGCTATGGGAGGGGGACGTATGACGTCTAGAAACTTACCGAATCCCTATCGCCAGAAGACGAGTCCGAGTCAGAGGAGTAGTCAGACCTGATGTTTGTACCAGTCAGCAATAAATGAATGTCAGAGAAGGCGGAGAACGCACTCGACGTTGTTGGCGTCGACCTCCGACATTGCAACGGAGTCCGTGTCCTTGCATGACAACGATGACGGAGCATTGGCGATGAGCTGTCTCAAGAGCATTGTAGTCATGATTGTCTTGGCTGGGAAATGTAGGTTGTGAATGTCCTAAAGTCGCAATGAGCTACCCACTCTTTATACAGAGCTGGTAAATCCTGACGCTCGATTCAAGGGCGTTTTTGCTCAGCGTTAGCTCGACGACAAGACGGAGTCCAACGGTGGTAGGTCCGGATATCTTTCTCAAAACTGTGATCATTGGAATCCCGTTATGTTCTGGGACGCCGCGAGATTGTGCCTCCGACTCGACTTTGTGATGATCAAGCATGGAGTGATACTTTGAAATTGGCCATGTCATCGACGTAACATCTGCCAGTAGACCAAGCTCAGCATAGAGCGGTGATAGCTTTACCCCCGTTTTAGCTCTTGTCTATACATTCAACAGGGGCAAGTGTCGTGAATCTTTGACTGTCCATATTTGGCAGAGTATAAGATCGAAATCTGAGCAAACTTGGCGCGATCGAGAGGTGTAACGGAGCCCTCCGGATGCCAACAGCGTCGAAGCGCTACCAGGCGTCCAAGAAGCATTGCGTCACGGTAATGGTAAGAGATTCGAGGGTGATTGTTTAATTCGTGGTCGGCCGTATGCTTGACAGGATGTCCAAATTACCTCAGAGCGCGTGAGGATAAGAGGATATTCATTGGAGCTAATGAAAAATACACTGCGACAGTGTAGCTTCAGGTATCAATCCCGAGGACTCGTCCACAACCTGTGTCTTGCGGGAGCTCGTTTCGGCAACCACACTGTCGGTCCGATATGTACGTGGTTAGTATCAACACACCCGAAGAGGACTGGTCCCTCCATCCTCCATCGTGATCGGGCATGGTCCGTCGGCGGAGTTTTCATCGACAACTTTGAACATTCCGTGATCGAGAGTAAGGGTCTGAGCTTAGTTGGCAAAGTAGATCTTATGAGATGATTGTGTAGCCGCGCCGCCAAATCTTGAAAAATACGGAAACAGCGGAACCGCATCCTTAGTCGGTAACACGGGCGGTGTAGCAACCGATCTTGACGTTTGAAAAGAAACATGGAAATGTCACCCTAGACATGTCTCCACAGCGCTACTACTTTTCCAGTAACGTAGATCGAAACAACTGCCTAGCCATTAAGGAATGTTCTGAAATGCGCGACCATGTCCGCGTTTCATATTAGGCCGATCGTTAGAAAGGCGCGCAATAGACGGCGAAGAGAACGTCACCGGAATATAGCACAGCGGTAGAGTGAGTGAGAGATATCCACCTGCGCAGCAATGGATCATACAATCTCTACACTAGAACTGCAGTTTCTGCAATTCACTGAGGCATTCCGTTTGTTCTTCGCTTCTGAAACAACGGTGAGACGTGGAAATTCAATAGAGAACACAAAACGCAACTTGAAATGCCAACACAATGAACAAGAAATCGAAGCTTGGTCGAAGTGACCGAAACAGGCGGAGCGCCAATGTCACTTTCTCCGGCAATGATGCATTCGTCTTACCCAACTCACAAAATTCAAGGTCTACTTTGCTTACACTATAACGGCCCTTACACCCGGAACATCCGTGAATACGGGAAGCCCATTATGAATTAGGTGTAAGGCGGACAATTGCAATACCACTCCATTGGCAATATCTGTGAGGCCATGATCAAGATTTCTGATCACAATTAGGGCAAGGGTCGGATACACTTCCCTGCGGACTGCAGTGCCAAGTCCACGCCACGGGGACATCATTAGTCCAATGTTCACAGACGGAGAAGAGGGCCATATCCGTGTCAGGAAATGTCAAGCAACCAGCGCGTAGTACATGTCGTATAATGTTTCAAGGGGGTGCATGCAAGCATACGAGAAAGGTGACATTGTGCCAAGGACATACGATCTGGCCAGGTACGCTTGTGTCCTCGACTACAAACAGGATCGATCGCTTCCCATAAGCGGTGAAGAAGGTTTGTGTGGCTGAGGGAAACGCCCCATTGCGTGGAAACATCCCGGCGAAAGCGTAGCCATCTCTAGACAGCGTATATTGTGTCTATTTAGATCTTCGGTCAGCTGGGGCTGATAACAAACCGATGATGGATAATGTGCCCTTGCCCCTGTGCGGATACAATGCTCCGGTCTTCATCATTTCACGCAGTTGCTCCAAGAAGACTAGCAGGGTCACCGTCTATATGTGGACTGACCTGATGAACTGTAGTACAAGATAGCGTCGGCGGAGAATATTGGTTCAACCAACAACTCACCAATATGACCCGATGTGTAGGATTGAAAGGAAAGGCGAACTAATCAGGATAGCGGATATCACCATTAGGCCGGGGTTCCAATAATGGCCATCCGAGATATCCATCGGGATGCTTCCTAAACCAATGAATATGAGAGGTGTCTGTGGCGTGCAACCCTTCCTGAAGTTGTAGTAGTTTCAGGTCGATGTTCGTCGAAGAGTCTGCCGAAGGCTGATGAAACTCCTAAAGAGTGAGTAAATGAACTTGGAAACAAAGAGCCAACGCGGTAAGCGTTCATAAGATCGATGGTATACAAAAGGCGATTTGAGGGTATTTTACACACACGGGTTTGTCCGTTAGACATGAGGGCCGTAAAAATGATATACAGAGAGAACCCAATCAAAGCTGTATCAAAACATCGCTGCATGAAAAGGAAGTGCATGAGAAAATTGAGACAAAAGCTTACAAGGTCGTGATAAGAATTGTTTATGCTTCGTTAGGCCGCAGGGTCTGCCCTGCCCCGGCTGGGAGGACGGGTAGGAGGGCGGGAAGTAGCTCGCGATGTCGCCCTGGACCTTCCTGACCGGGATCGACGGCCATCGCGGACGTCCACATAATCATCCGGACGTTGACCACAAATTAACTCAAACGTGCACGGTAGTGGGGCTTTGCAAATTTCCCGTACACGTTGTTCGTTCATAGCAATACCTCCAAACATTGTAGAAGTACCAAGAAAATCAAAACGATGAATTCCTGGTCGAAGAAGCCCGCCTGGTACTCCAGGGGCGGTAGAACGGTTGTGGTAGTATGTAGCATTGATTTGTCTCTGCAGGTCTGGGCTGGTGGCAGCGTATTCCCTAGATGACACGCGCTGGTGCAAGAATGAATGTACACCTTCCAGAACATCCCCACATGTAACCCCATTTTCAGGATTCGAAGCATCGATTGTGATCACCCAAGGAAAATCCCCAGAGACGAGGCGAAGAGAACTTACTCTTGGCCAAGTCGCCGGTGGATTTCGCTGAGACCAAGATCGTCCGGCGGGATCGCTGGAGCAGTGGCAACGGCCAGTGTGAAATAGCATGTCCCATTCCAGGCTGTCATTATGGTCTTCGCCTCTTGCGGGAGCATCCAAAGGCATGATCAGAGGATTCAGTTCCAGTCTTGCGTCTGTTTCTTTGATTAACATCGGTGATAGCACAGGTCCATCTATGGAAACAAAAGAAAGACAGAAAACAGAAGACGCTCAGCGAAACGTGTGACAATAACATGCAAGAAAGAATTAGGTAGTAGCCGACGCCTATTTACTTACAGCTCGGTGATTCAAACCATTTGTTGAATACGTCCATTCTCTCCGTTGATCGAGCACGCCTATGGGAGCTCTGACGCCGATCCATCCGTGGTGCACCTGGGTGGAGTGGGGGTGGCGGTCCGAAAACTGGAGGCAAGGTTGCGCCCGGAGGTGGATATGGTGTATATCCCCAAGCGCCTGGCATTGGCGCATTTGGCGCATAAGGTGTTGGGTAAACACCGGGGCCAGGTCCAGGATGCCATCCCATTCCAGACGTAGGCATTCCACCCATGTGCATAGCTGGGATTCCTGCCACTCCCGCCATTCCCGGCATACCTTGCATAGCTTGCATCGGATGCATTGGTTGCATTGGTTGCATCGGCGTCATACCAAAGCCAGCCGGTAGCGGCGTATATGCGGCGTATCCTGTTGCAGGTGCCTGACCTGTGTTATAACCACCCGGAAGTCCCCAGTGTCCGGTTTGAGGTGTGGGTGCGCCACCGCCAGCTTGACCAGGTCCTGGCGTTGGGAAACCCGTCCAATCGGGTGCTAAGCCGCCAGACCCTACAGGCGCCATAGGCGTATCAGGTACCCCTTGCGGTGGAAAGGGCAATGTCTGCGGCGCGATATAGTAACTTCCAGGCGAACCTTGGTTGAATCCCATGTAGGGTGTTGCCAAACCAGGATATACTGGAACACCACCAGCTTGCTGACGCCCACGTTGCTGTTGAGGGGGAGACTGCGGGGGAGAGAATGGCGGAATTACAGGTGGGCTTGGTGCTGGCGTGCCATCACGGCTTGACAAGGGTCGAGGGGGTATGAACGGACTTGGTGAATTCATTGTGACTCAGAGACCCTAGTGAAGCAGCTACCACAGGTATTCCGTCAGTGATGATGTATTCTTTGTTTCCAACTGGGCCCACCCTCGTAGAAGATCCAACCGGTGCGCCTAATCAAATCGGAAGATGACTCGGATTGTAGCAAGCGTCGAAATCGGCGACAATTCCAAAATGGAAGATGTTGTAGACCAGCGTAGATGCGGTGGGAGTCTGAATGCAGGATTCGCCACTTGTATATCCGAGTCGTATTCGCGAATTAAGGCGTACGAATCAAGTCGGTGTTGTTAAGGCGCCAGATGGCTATCTAGACGAGTGACTCTCACACAGCCCTTGAACCAAATTGACGCAGGCCACATCAGGACGTCCTCGAGGTAAGCATGAGTTAAAACGATACAGCAACTTCTTCACGGCGACATGAATTCAAAAACCGAGAGAGCAAGGAGATAAATGCTAGCCAGTTCAGTACCGGACAGTGAACTGTGAAAAGGTTTGAGTGGCAACACAGATCAGTCGACCGGCGATCACGATCGTGGGCGATCATAAAAGAGATCTCATTGGGCACGTCAGAATGGAAGGATGGGTACAAAGACAAATACAACGGGGAAGGTTAACCGGCTACAAGTTCAAAGATCCAAATGGCATAGCTTATGAAAGTAGATGTGGAAGAAAGAACAATAAGTTGATTGTGAATGAGAGCGAGAAGATTTCAAGCGATCGGAAATGCAGGATGTAGAGCTAGTATCTAGTGAGTTGCAGGACTAGAATATTTGGCGCAGAGAATCCAAGCCTTGTTCGTGCATATCCAGCATCATGTGACAATCTTTCGAAGATGGAATAGTCAGTCAACCAATCTACGAAGACGACGATTAGCTAAAGGTCTAGCATGAAATTGAGGGCCCAATAACATACCTACACGACGGGTCATACCAGGGGCAGGGGGTTGGTTGAAGTATGCTCCAGGACCCCATTGTGCGCCATGGCGCATAGCAGTATCGCGAAATCGGTTAATGCTGTCCTGTGCTCGTGGAGGAAGACTGTTTAATTCGGCTTGTGTGACCTCCCTCTCCGTGTACCTGAATTCATCACACACGATGCACATGAGCTTATGGATGAGCAACGAATGAGATTAAATGGTGTGGAGTTATGGCGACGCACTCTCGGAACAGAGTCTCACAGATGTCACCGCAAGTAACGCCTTCAGGATTCTTGACAATAGTGCACCATGGGCTCTTATGTGTGATAATCATCAACTCAGAGACGCGAGGTATTGTAGCCGGTTCCGATTTTGCAGTGAACTCCAAGTCACGATCGCCCCCAGGCCTGTGACCGGAGGTATGTCCTAAGCAATTTTTGAAGCAGGCGAGCTTTGCTTAGGATTCCTGAAGGAATGGTGCGTGATGTACATTGCTTACCAGTACTGAGATCAAAGTTGAGCTGAAACCCTTCATCTATATTCGCCAAAACAGGATGTATTTCCAACTGAATGTCCCTGAGCAAGTAAAGATCCGTTTGAGACAACACCGGGCCGTCTGTCAGACAAATCTCGGTTAGTTCTACCACCGGAATACGCCTGTGTGGCGTAAGCATCACTTACAACTTGGGCCCGCAGCCCACTTTGCAACCCTATCCCTGTCCATCTAAGCTCGCCTGACAATATAGGCGGAATGAGTGGCAATTAGACGTCTCCTTGGAGATGGTGGAAGAGAATAGGAGGAATCGGAATTGTGATGTGGTTGGAGTCAGGGTAGGTTAACCGGCCGCCACTGAGAGCGAGGATAAGTACGAGCTTAAGTATATCGATCAGACCTGAATTATACCTGTAGGAGGAGCTGTGTTTGTGAATAGCCTCCAGGTACGCTGTGTAGTGCAGTATTAGTACAGTAATTGAAGCGATTGACAGGAAGTTGGGAATAGTTTACTGTTAGAGGTATTTCGCTAGTCAAGTTCATCAGGCGTAGAGCCGGTGCCTCATGGCCGTCATTAATGTATAATATTGTACTGCTGCAGACGCGCAAGACGGGGCATCATGTTCATTGTTTTGTGCATGCCAGTTTGCTGCGGCCAAAATATTTCCCCAACGATAGAAACATATTGGAAAGGCATATCTAAGCAATGATCGCGAACAATTATTGAAGTTGAAGGAGTCAAAGCGAGCGGATGAACCTGTTATTTCAAGCGGTTAGATTAGATTAGATCCTCAGATAAAGGATAGTAGATTAGATTAGACGGCAAGTGACGAGATGGTAGGAGATCAACACACCTTCATCTCGTTCCATCATCTCCAATCAATCGTCCGCTTGTACATTTCCTATCCCTCAATCAAATATTCAATATATGGCACCGAAGGGAGGTAACGCGAAGAAAGAATCTGGAAGGGCCAAAAAGGCTGAGAACGAAGCGAAGAAGCAAGCGGCAGCAGAGGCGGAACGAGTACGTCCAGACCAATCGTAGCTTGAATTCCATGTCGAAGCGCATTTTGACAATATCTTCATCGCTCTACATTCTAGGAGCACAAAGATGCAGAAAAATGGCAAGATGGATCTAAGAGCAACAAATCCAAGGAAGAAAAGGAAGAAAAACGTCGTGCCGAACTCGCTCGCAGGGCTGAGAAAGCAAGATTGCTCGCAGAGGAGGAGGCGGAGGCAGCAGCCGCATCCAAGCCTAAAGCTGCCCCTAAAGCTGGAGCGAAGAAGGGTGGTGCAGCTAAGAGTGCCAAACCTGCTGGTCCTGGCGCGATCGCTGCCGGCGGAGGTTTAGGCCCCGTCGATGTTAAGGATGAAGTTCCTGCCCCTCCTGCGGAGCCTGAGACCTTCTCTGCCACTGGCATCGACAATGCGATCGACCTGCTTGAGATCGTAACCGCTAAGATGGACAAGGCTAGCGTTGGTCAGCAGGCTGCTGGACTTGAAAGGCATCCAGAGGTATGATAGACAAATCGAATGGCACGATCTCTGTGCAATGCTGATCATTGTGTTTGTGTCTGCGCAGAGGCGATTCAAGGCAGCGTTCGAGGCTTACAAGGAGCGTGAAATGCCGAATGTCAGGGCTGAGGTATGTATTGATCTGTTGTATCACTTTTTGCCAGTTTCTCAGACATCGCCTTTCTCAGCACCCCGGGTTGAGGCTCCAACAGTACCAGGTATACCGGCTTTAGTCATACTCTATGTATGATGCACCTTGCTGAACTGCGATGCGCTGCAGGATCTCTTGTACAAACAGTTCCAGAAGTCGCCCGAGAACCCGTACGTCGATTTTTGTTGTTGTTCATCCTCATTCCATAACGTTGACATTCCTTCTTCCAGTTTCAACCAGGTGACCGTCTCCTATGACGCCAGCAAGGAAGATAAGGTGGAGGCATTGAGCAAGAAGAAGAGGGCCGTTGAAGAACGGCTGCGCGAACGATCCTGAAAGCTGTTCTTGTCCTTTTGATTGTGTTTGCACCCACGGTCGCTTTGGCTATCCAGTGAGTAAGACATTGTTATAGTTGTCCCAGCGCAGCCAGCTGAATGTAACTGTGGCAATGACCGTCTGACTAATAGATCATTACCGCAAGACGGCTACGATCCTGGTGTTTATCGTTTTCGACTACAGTATCTATTGTCGCAGAGATAGAGAAGGGAGCTCTCCGCGAAGTGGAGGAGGCAGAGGGTGGGTAATCGTAACTGTAGGATGGCATGAGGGCGCTGTATCAACTACTTATTTGCTTTGCGGATGAACCTGTATCCAATAGCTCTTTTATTGCGTGCGGTGAAATATCCGAATCGCTGTCTACGTGTTCTTGAAATGTACAGCCTGTACATAGTCTGGTGAAGAGAGATCTGCCAGAACTTGCCAGAACTGCACAGTCAGAGGACGATGCTATATCTGGTAGTGCTTACGTAACCCGTTTTACCGCCATAAAATTCGTTTTCCAAGGGATTCGCTTCTTCGTCTTTCACCACCATCCTCTTCCTTACGTTCACGATGCCAGTACCAGAACTTTCACTATCAGTTCCCCCGTCTGCACAATGTACACCTCCAGAGCTTAGCCCATCATCGAGCCCGACGAGCGCAAATCGAACGAACACGCTGGTTGTCGCCTCCCTTCCACCGCCGTTCTTCGATGCTCTTGTCTTGAATGCACTCAGAGATCATTTTACTTCATTCGGGCAATTACATACATGGGCACCGCTACGGTCATTCGCCAGAATTCTACTGGTATATTACTCGGAACATGACGCCGAAATTGCTAAACAAAGCTGTGATAGCCTCGTCGTTGGACCTTTGCCTGGCATGTAAGTTTTACTTCGCTATGCCTTTCCGTTATTACTGAGCACTAACATGTATGACAGTGCAGAAGTTACGATCAGAGTATATCGGGCAGATCCCACGCCAGTATCGCCTGGTGGATCAAATTATCTACGACCACCCGAGATCGAGAAGAATTTCTTAATTTCGCCACCAGGTTCACCACCCGTAGGCTGGGAACCTATTCGTGAAGAGCCACCTAACGGTACACCACTTGCCGCCGATCTCGCTGTTGCATTGCGGAAGCTCCAGCTTCAGCGTGAATCGAAGCACGGTATTGAGGTCCTGATCGAACCCGATGACGGTCCCGGTATTGGTATCTACGTCGAGGACTGCGATGCTATGGAGGAAACTGAACCCAGTGAGGATGACTGGGTGTATGGCGAGCCTCCTCCGTCGCGCTTGCAGTACAAGCCAATACCAACGGCGTTACCTCCGATGGCCGTTGGTGCTTGAATATACCTTGTGAGTGTTGCCTTTCCATAACTTCTCGGGGCGTTATTTTTCGACGTGCTTCGTGTGATGATAAACTTCTCAGACCTGTACCGATCTCCCAAAGGGAATGCGGATATCCTATATTGCATCTTTTTATCTGATCTTCTGCATCGCGTTCATGATAAATATAAATATTCACGCTGACCCTTGCTTTCCACACAGGTCCTTTTCAGCATTGTCTTTTCCGGGCACTTCATCTGTATCATGGCATGTGAGTATCCTGTCTCCGTTATGTATCCCCATTTTGTTCGCGTAGGATGAGAAACATTCAGACCTGTTCTGAAACTACAAGAAGAAACCCAAACATTGCCAATTGTTCCTTCTGATGCTCCTTCCAACTTAGCATTTATGCTATACGAACATCCTATGCTAATCTACCTCTTTCAGGGACTGCGCATCTTTTTCTGTATTCTCTACTCGGTTGGACATTGTATATTGGCTGGATTATCTCTACTGTGCATTATGATTTTACTTTACTCATTCTCAATAGCTTTCGCATTTATATATTGTCATTATGTGACGCACGTACACAGATCTCTGTCGGAAGCGTGAAAGTAAACGTGGGGTATACAATAAGCAAAAGGTATGTATCAACGGTTGAAAAGGATAGTCGCGATGATGGGCACGAAGACAAGGGTGAAGAAAACGATCCACATCGAGTTGAAACCATGGATTCGTCCCATCTTCACAGCCCTATCCAAAGCCGTCTCGATGCCTTTCGCCATTGCTTCCATACCGAAATTCTCCTGTGCTCGCCGTTTTTCCCTCTCCCCCAACGCTACTCTCTCTTCCTTAGGCAGAGTGACGATCTCCAACAAGGCTTCAGCCCAAACATCCGGGTCTGGCTTTCGTAACCAACCAGTTCGGTCCTTCGGAGGATAATCAATGATACTTTCTGTGGGCCCACCGCTGTCGCATGCCAATACCGGAACGCCACAAACCATTCCTTCTACTGGTCCAATACCAAAGTGTTCGTTTTCTGGGGTATAAAGTAGTGCGAGAGTGGATGGGGAGGAGAGTAACGCCGATCGCTGAGAGGTTGTGAAGTTGAGTAAGAAGAGTATATCAGGGTTGTCCTTCGTGGTATGGAAGGGCGGAACATTGACATGGGATGAACGAGGTTGGACAATATCGTATGTGAGTGAGTTGGCTTTTGCTCGGTCAAGAAGCAAGACGAAAGCCATCATATTGTCCTCCAATCGAGGATCGTATCCGCCTAAGTAACATGTAAGTATGGCATATCGATGAAGTAATCAAAGCGTCTTACCAGCAATAACCAAACGCATGGACTTCAGGTGCGGTGTTGTCGACACTTTCTCTCGAAGACGAGCGAAAGCATTTATTGCCAATGCTGCATTCTTCTTCCTTTCAAAGCGGTTTAGTGAAAGCAAAGTGGGGCGGTCTCTAGCTTTCCGCCACTGTTAGTTTTGAACGTCGACAGCTTTCCGATGCACGTACGATGCAACCTGAAGGACATCAGGATCCTTGTCATCTACACTCGACACTTCATACGCTGCGAGATTGATTCCGGGATATACGACTTCTGGTGTTACCTGTATCGACCGGAAGTGAGCCTGGAACACTCGCGCCGTAAAGTTAGAATTGGCAAGAATGATATCAGCCTGTCCTGAAATGTCATTGCTGTTACTTTTACAAGCCAAGTAAGACTGAAAGTTACGTACGCGTCGTCGCTTCTTCAAGCCAATCCATAGGGAATCTATAGATTCTTTTGAGTAGGCCGCCTTTCCGCTGTATCCTATCTTCCACATAAGCGCCATCTGCTAGCAGCTTGTCGGGGAAGTGACAATAGAATACTACTCGAGTGTGCCCAAACATCCTGAGCAGTGGTACACATGTAGAGAGCTGGTCCACAAAATAAACGTCATATCTCGTTGCATTTGAACACAATAAGTGTGAGGTCAAGTGAAGTTGGCGGGCGTGCGAAAAGAAAATGTGGAATTTGCCCTTGAACGCCCGAGGGAAAGGCGGGTCAATGGCATGCACACTCAGGGTACCTACAAATGTACGTAGTACTCTTGAATGAGGATCATTACAGACTTTTCATAGGAACATGACTTACCATCTCGAGTTTCGTCAAAGCAATGCTTCGGGTCATGGTGTGACGTATAAATATCCACAGAATGTCCAAGCTTCTGTAGACCCAGTGCGGCATCTACCACAAGACGCTCTGCACCACCTAGATATTTACACGAAGGTGAATGCCTGAACTGTGTACAAAGCGCGCATCATAAAGCATACCGATTCCCAAATCAGGGTGAACGAACGCAATACGAAGCTTTCGTGGAGCTCGTGGAGCTGGCATGGTATACTTGTAGCTAACGTACAAACGTATACATCAGTACGGTTGACGGGAAATAGTTGTTTTAAATAACCACATACTATACGGAGTCGTGGATGGTCCAACTGAAGGACTTGCCAGCAACTTGCAACGAACTACAGAGATTACGTAATGTGTCAGTAGTTTGTGTGAAGATGCCAGTTTTGGCAGTTATTATAGTTCAGCTCGACATCTTATTGGCAAAGTTGCAAAATTTCACGAGGCGGCCGTTAAGCGTTGCACATAATGTAGTAGCACAGTTTCCTCAAGACCATGCCATTATTATGAAGATCCGAGTATCCCCCTCCAGCATTACAATCGTCACTCAATCTACAACCTATCTAGCACGAGATGCACCGCAATCTTCCGACTGTCTAAACGTCGACTGTTATTCCCAGCAAAGGTTCACGAGTTCTTCCAACCATCTCTATTTTAGCATACCCTCCACAGGATTCACAGGCCTGTCAAAAGTGTGAAATCCGCCGAACCCAAGGCATATCGACTTCGGTGGTTCTGAGATTCTGTAGCAGTACTAAATTGAAAGCCCCCGGCGATCGTGGAAACTTGGGAGTTATGCTGTTCAGAAAATGCGCCACATCGTGATGTCCGCACCGAACAAGGAAAGGATTGTCTTCTGGCTCCATCCGACACGCTACAAAGATCTTTTCGCCCGATCCAATGTTTACGCTCGTGGTCACAGGCCAGGGACGAAGGAATCCTGCTGCTTCGCGGGAGAAGAGTCGGCTATTTTACCGCAATAATTGCAGAGGGTGTAGTCAAAAGCCCGGTTCAAGCAGGGAATTGGTAGCCATGCTCGTTAGTGCCCCCGCATCGAAGGAGTTCTATCTGTAGTGATGTATGTAATAGAATTCTATCTGTGTGATCATGTCCCATTTTTTCTACCGTAAACAGCCGAGAATGCTCACTGCGTACTCGGAAGGCTTTGTCAAGCGTAGACCGTTCTCGATTGCGTCAGAGTCAGCATTGACACACTCTCATTGGAGCACATGGGATAGTGAAAAAGAAGTCCAGAATAGTCCGAAATAACATGAAGAAGGTATGGATGATAATAAATAGCAAAACGATGACCGTTCCGTATTACAGAAGATGATTCTCTTGAAACGTTCCGCTGATCGGTATTCACCAAATGTCGTCACCGACAAATGGGACATCATTCTGGAGAACACCGAGAGGCTTAGACATAGGTTCACGGCAGTTAATATCATGCAGACGTACCGCGCGAATGAATGTTAACATATGGCAGGTGATGTAACCTTTCGAGAAACCAGCCCCGGCATATGCGAAGAGATATTCCCATTTGCGCTTGAATGCGGCGAATTCCGCAGGGTCATTCAAAGCAGGGTGGGTTCGCGCGATCACATCTTGTCGGAGATTAGACTCCAACCGACGACCCCAGGTACGAAGCGTACGAGGGTAATCTACACAGGATAATATGAGCATAGGCTGCGACTCGGACAAATAGAATACACACGAGCGGCATGATTCTCGACGCCTTCGAGTGTGAATCGGCCGCGAGATGCCGCCTGAGCAGCAGTGACAAGACTTGTAGCGGAGGGTAGACATGAGTTCGGCCACATGTATTTACGCATGAAGTCTTCCGCCCTAGAGCGTTTGTAAATAATAGAACGATACAGTGGCATCGCGATGAACCACTTACTGATAACTGGAGAAACGCGATTCAGGGAAGGTGGACGACGTGACAACAGCAGTCGCATTTTGTGGTTTCAGAGCAAAATCCACTAATTGGAAGTAAGTCTTGTAGTGCTGGACAGAATATCAGGATAGAACCGGCAGAGCATGAATACATGACCGGAAGTTTGGAATACTCACATGAGCACCCACATGTTCTAGCATCTCAATACTGACAAAGGCATCGAATGCATGCTCGAACTCCGGAGGAATATCTCTGTAGTCCAGGAGATGCACTCGGACCCGACCATGCAAACCGGCAGCATTGACTCGTTCTTCTGCTAACATTTTCTGTTCGACAGAAAGTGTCAGCGTGTCCACCTCACAGCCAAACGTGCGAGCAGCCTAGATAACACATCAATGGACTGTAGAAATAGATGGGCAATTATGCGGCCTCACTTCAATGGCGAGACCGCCCCATCCAGACCCGAATTCTAAGATTCGATTCCCAGGCTGAACTCGAGCCTTCCTTAAGACATGATGAATCTTTCGGAGTTGGGCTATTTCAAGGTCGCCTGTAGAGGGACCAGACACGAGATCTCCATGTACGCCTCCCTCGGCGTCACTCCACAATGCACATGAGTACATCATCTCGGTACTCAAAAATGCCTGGCAAATATCGATAAGTGTTTCGTCCGCTGATTAAGTTTGATCATGGAACGGAACAGATGCATACCTTGAACAATTCATTTGACTGGTCGTAACTTGCAATAGCGTTGAGACGGGCTTGGGAACGAGTTTGGCCAAATACAGCATTGGACAAACCGGAGAGAACCGAAGAAACTCGGCCCACTGCGGATGATAGGCCGCTCATACTTGATTGGTTCTCGAGCCATAGCTGAAACGTCAAGAGAAGATCAGGTATAGCTCATACAACGTAAATTCACGAAGTTCACTCACGTCCATGACGCATTTCAGGTCATCGACTTCGATTTCACCCATAATGTAGGCTTCGCTAACTATGCAAAGCGAAGAACTCAGTGAATCGAGCGATATGTATCGTAAAGAGACACAACTTACAACCAAGATCTCCGGACCTTCGGCATGCATAGGTAAGAGATTACTCCCACCAGAGCATAAACCATTCACTTACAAAAAGATGCGTGTCCAAAATTCATGACCAACCACTCGCAGGCGCACGATGTTACCCGACTTGGTATGCAGGCCGAACTCGTGGAGGCCTTCATCGTCCTCTATGCAGAGGTAACCACTACGAATGCTACGCCCAAGAAACGATAGGATGGAAGACCGAGCTATAGTGCGATAGCAATGTCAGACACCTAGATGTAGTTACAAGTATAGTACAAACCGAATGATGCGAAATAGGATCGTGCTGTCTTCACCGTCAGCGTCAATCCTGGACCTGAGGCACGACAGTCAGAGAGTGGACGACAGGTTAAGACTGTGGAGATCGACATGGAGACGAAGAGAACGGACTACAAGTATGATGGGGAGAAGGGGTTGCGGTGCAGTCCTACGGTAGTTCCAATGGGGTTTTATAGAACAGCGCTCCATAGGAAGTCGCCCGTCGGGAAAGAACAAAAATAATAGCAGACATTTTGCTACGAGAGCGTATGGTGACTAGTTTTCTTCTCAGAGCGGATGTTTTCGGCAGCCGTCCTACATCTCGAAAGTTCATGACCTATTCGATACATCAGAACACGCACATCATTCGAAGTCAACGAATCTGGGGTGTCTGCCGCAGCAGGTAGAATCTTCGGTATGAGCACGCGTCTTCTTTTTTCAGAAGAAAGCGAAGCCCACAGTCGCACGCCAATGGAAAGGGGACAAGGCTGATCCGTCTGTGTAACCCGTTTGGAGAACCTATGCAGTCATACATATTATGTTATAGCGTGGGTCAGTGTCTATCTCGCTGTGCTTTCGACCTCTGTCAATGGCTGCAATGCATTTCAAGTAGCGTCCATCTCACCGGATGAGGGTTTTGGAAGCTAGGGCGCCGTATGAGCCTCAGAGATGAAGGTCAACGACGCGGCTCGAGAACGACATCAACATTCTGCGCAAGCCTTCCCTGTACCAGAAAGGCATGAGAAATACTATGCACAACATAACATGCATCGGTGCCCGTCTCGCATCTGATCTAAGGGACGTCTTTGAAGAGCCGCATGTATGATATGAATCTGGATCTCAAGATTAGAGGGAAAAGGAACCAGATGCTCTCACAAGTAGCATGGTTGATGCTAACCTCATTAGCAGTAATGATTTGAAGCTTTGCAGTCTGGAACAGCGCCGAATAAAAATAGTAGATTTGGTTATAGAACTTATATGATGTTCTTCGGAAATCACTGGCACAAGTTGAAGTTTGAAGCAACGAAACGAGGCAGCAAGATTACATAAGCGTCCATTTCAGGCTATTATCTTGAAATTGCACATGCGAGAGGACCCCATGCTCAGTGCACGTCTATATCCCATGTACGGACGGTTTCGGTCGCCAAGTCTCATAATAACGGTGATGAGAACGCCAAAAATTGGATGAAGCTGTATCCTTGAGGATGCCAGAAGCGCCACAGACAGCTCTACGTCCGCGCCCACCCTGTACTGGGCAGTTCCAGCGGTAGAGAGGATGATTGTGGCCACACCTCCATGACTCAGTTTTCGGCATATCCAACATACAGACTCCCTTCTACGGTGAACGAATTGATACGCCACCTCATGCATGCCTTTGATACATCAACAAAACATTATATCTAGTCGCCAGTAATGTTATATCGTTCGACCTCAAATAGCGTCTTGTATCCGACTATATGCGGACGCCGGAGGCAGCTATAATGGCCAAAGTTGTACGGTTGAAGGTCAAAAATTAACTCTTTTTGGATATAGGCTTTGAACGTATATTGGGGGTCCTCATGCGACCCACTGCCTTCCCAGCTTCTTTGAGATCTCACGCGACCATCGAATCTCTCTTTCGAAAGCTAAAGATGGTGCGTGTGTCTGCCCTGAGTACTGAATCTAATGCCTAACGCCACCGTCCATGAGATCTAGGACTTCTGTTGCCTTCGGCCTTCTCAACCGCCCCGATTAATCAACTCAATGGCCTGCAATGCATCACGGTACGGTGATCCAGATATGAAATCCACTCCATGGTTTGACTCAGTTGTTAATAAATGTTCAATGATATCGAATTCGTTTCCTTACTGGTCTTTTCAAGTCCACAGTGCCACGATTGACCGTATTGCCGAAGATGTTAGGTGCTCTGCTGCATCTAGAGTGTGACCCGCGACCTTCGTGCAAGATTGAGGGCTACTCCTCTTCGATGTCATTTTTATGTCATGACTGCGAAGCTCTGAGCTGCGCGGTTTAATCTTATCGTGTAAATGAATGTGAGTATAGTTCGAATGAATCGCTGTATGTCATTTGATACAATTCGATTTCTCGGGTGGTATAACCATAGCATGCAATGACTCCTATCCACACACAGAATTGTGGCTACGTTTCAGCGATAATTTGGGAAAACAAACATTATCAGACAGGAAGCTTCACCTAAAGGTGATCGATTCATTTTTGGGACGTTCTCAATAATAGTCTACGGCTCTGCAAGTAACCTTCACGAGCTCTCACTCCAATACACGCTCGTTCTCACGGCCCTTCCTATCGCGGGATAATCTCGCTTTGTGCCTTGTCAACATTTCTGAAGATTCACAACGATATGAAGAGACGCCATATGGAATACCGTTCCATCAACTTGCATTGGCCCCGGAGACGCCCACAATTGAGCAACCTTCTCAACGTGTGTTCTGAACCTACATTTGCGACGCTATTCTGAGACCTCGTCAATCATTAGTTCACAGATGTTTGAATGTATAACGATTACGTCATGTAGAGAAAGGCCCAGTGCATTACGGAGACAGTACCGCCGGTTTGCGCCAGGTTTCCTCCAACAAGCTAGAAAGTCTAGCCCTTTCCGCCGGGTAGTTCGCTACTAGTGAGGTCTTTAACACTCATACTTGAATTTTTATCCTGACTCGAGCCTCGCACTGATCACTCATGTTACTCAGCCTTACCACAATGTGAATGTGGTCTAGAGCGTTACTTCCCAGGGGAAGTCGTCCAGATACGTCATCGCTTAGGCCACCCAGAGAACCTTAATTTATTACTGCAAGATCCAACCTTTCCCGCGCTATCTTTCCATCGACGAAGTTGGCAAGTGTATTACTTTGTGCCTCTGTCTATGTGGCCAAATTGGTCGCCCTGGAGGCCTTGAGGTTGCAGCATAATGCCTTTCACGTCTTCTTGACATGGTCAAAGTAAGTCATTTTGAACTCGAATCTTGTTATCCTGATCCCTGCCTTCTGATGCAGGACGTCGTACTTAGAAGCATTTTACTTTTGTCGATATCTTAGGGAAACATCTCTGAACTCAACATGCGGCCTCTATATTCCTTCCATACCTCTTTGTCACCAAAGCTCTCTTGACGGCAACTACCGAGCAATAACGCACGAATACATGTGCCAGCGTATAACTATCTGTGGATCGTCTCAAGAACCAGCCTAATACATGCATTCATTTCCAGAAACTTAAACCCCGCTGTACTTGTTAGCGGTCTGATCCTCATTCTTCAGGTCAGGCTGGGTCTGCAGATCTGAGATCATGATCGAGCCTTCATGCATCGAAGGGAAGCATCTCCTGGAACCTATTCAGGTACCTTGGATTACCATTCTGACTTTTGGCGTGTTGACCACACGCCACACAAGTTCTAACTCCATCTTGTAGACAATCAGAGACAATCTTAACCCACGCCCCTCTCCCGTCGAATTCTCGCACTTACACAGGCAATCGCCGCAGTAAGCTTTTGTTCTTTGCCACCGAGGCCAATTTGCGCTACCAGGTATAGCGCGAAGAACGAACTAGCTCTTTGGAATTTGAAAGATCGACCTCCCGATGCAGAAGAACGCAGGGCTTCTGGTACCTTTGCTACCCATGACACAATGGATACTATTAGAGGAATGCTGCAGGCTTGCTTTTATTGGCCATATTAGCAGCCAGACATTTTACGATCTTGCCTCACGTCGTTATCGTCGCATGGTCCATTAATTATCAGCTTCTGACGTTAAGGTTAACAGGGTCAACGGCGGTCTTTGGCTTATGAGGTGCGGCACCGCGTAACGAGGCAAGCTTCCATAACGCCTGTAAGTCGTGCCAAGGCTCAACTTTCCTCAAACAAAGTTCGGTTCTTAGAATGATTCAAGCTCGCAAAGACGGAACAGGGGACGCTGAGCTAAAGTATGGATACATCCTGTGGTATTACTATATCGAATGTGTAGGTACAGTATGTGTAAGGTTGTAAGAACCGAAGTTGTGATAATGTGCGTGTCTATGCAATGTTGTCCAGATGTGATGCAAAAAATAACGTGATATCAAAGGTATATAGGTCATTAATCATCACCGCCTGAAAGGGTTGCGCGAAGCGTTCGAACTCCCCGTATTCGTAGGTTGCAACCAGTACGAACCTTGTGGCGGTACTTGATTGTGGCTCACCAACCGCGCATACTCCTGCGCAGGAGTCGGCGGCCGCGATGGTTCGAGAAGATCCACTGGTGGTGGAAGAGGGTCCGACCGAGTAGAATTCGAGTAGGAAGAACGAGAAAATCTGGATGGAAGCAAATCCCTTGCGTTCCTCACTGGTTGCCGGGGCTCCGCCGTCTTTCGAGGCATACCCGTCACCTGCGAGTATATCGAACCAGCAGACAACGGTGTTCCAGAATGGCGATTCGGATGTGTTGCCAACCTATCATGGTTGTAATCGTGAAGTGAAGGCAAAGGTGATGGAGCACGGCTGGTGCTTGCGCGCGAGTATCGAGAGTAATCATATGCATCAAGGAGCTTATCCATGTCCCTCTCGTGTCGTGCCTCCTCCGCAGCTTTAAGTTTAGCCATTCTGATGTGTTCGCTTTCTTCCGGAGGAATAAAGCGTTGACTGGGCTTATGTCCAAACAGACGTTCACCAAACCGAATTAAACGCCATCTCCAGTTCGACTTCGGCGCGATGTTCTTCGCGACAGCGAAGGCGATTGTTGCTTGAGCGCGTCTCTTGCGTGCGCGACGACGCCAGAGCATCAGGATAATCAAGAATATGAAGGCGCAACCAAGTGCCATGAGAAGAATTTCCCACCAAGCCAACGGTCGACTACTGGATGGTTTGGCTGGGGCAATGGGTGTATCAATACCGGTGACAGTTGGGAGCGGTATTGCTGAGCTCGTTCCGGATGAAACAGGAACTGCAACCAAGTCTGAGAGACAAAGTCCCAAACCAGGAATGATAGATGTGGATGAGCTACATGTGCTTGATACACATGAACCCCCGCGCAAGATCTGATTCGAGTTCGAACAGGCCAGGCAATTGTTCGGACCAGATCCGGAACAGCTGGAACAACTCGAATCGCAAGATTGACAGGAGGATGAAGTCTTGTCAAAGTATTGCGATTTGCTGCACGTTGGGAGGCATCGGCCACCAGTGAGAACGGGACGATCTTGGGGACAGCTTGAACATTGGTTGAACGACGATCCGGAACACGATGCGCAATCTGGATGACAAGATATGCAAGATCCGGAAGAGCTGAACGTATTGGACGGACATGAAGAGACACATTTCCCGTTGGAAGCAAGCTGATTGTTGGCACACGTCAGGCAAAACGTCGCCGAACCTGCGCAAGTACCACAGGAAGAGTCACAAGCTACAATGGAATACAAATCAGTCGGAGACAATAGAGTCGGAGAATGGGAAAACCGACCGGTGCACGTGAGGTTGTCTTGTGGATTGAGAAAGGTGCCCGAAGGACAGGTCGAGACGCACTTTCCCTGTGACAGCACGAAACCTGGAAGGCATCCGGTACACTGGAGCTGGTTCACAGTAGATGCGACATTGAAGTTGGGAATCTTACACGACGTGCATTTCGATGGGCAGCCTATTCATAACATTCCGATCAGAACATACAGAGCAAATAAGAAACTGAACTTACTGTCGCACTCATGTTTATTGTTATCTGCGATCATACTCGAGCCTTGACAGACACCATTCCCATCGGCTGCCACGCAGTTCCCATTCAAGGAGTACTTTCCAGCCCCGCAGATGATACAGTCATTCGATGTGGCACCCGTGCAAGTTTGACATAAGGGTGAACAGGGAGTACACGCCGTTCCGTTGCTGAAACTTCCGTCCGGACAGACGGTACCGGTTGACGTTGCGGATTGTGTTGCCGCACATTTTGTGCGATCGTTGGCGTCCTGAGTGAATCCGGACTTGCAAGCAATGCAATCACCGGTCTGGTCAGCACATTGAGTGCACCCCAGTTGGCAGGCTTGACAATTGCCGTCCGAGGTCAAGAAGAACCCTTGAGCACACTTTGCACAAGCGGTTCCATTGTCGGCGTTGGTCCACCCGGCGTTGCACGTGCACTGACCATTGGACCCACACACACCATTCAAGCAATTACACGATGACGGAGGGTTGACAACTGGAGCTGACAGACATCGTCCCGTACCAGAGATTCCCTCGTCACAAGAAGTGCAACCTTGAGGACAAGGTTGACAATTCGGTCCGAAGAATCCAGACGCGCAAGATTCACAGGACGAGCCTGTGAACCCTATGGGACATGTGCATGTTCCAGAAGCAGAACAAATCCCTGCTCCAGAACACGGAGGAGAACATGCAGCGGATTGTATATCGAGGATGGAAAGTGAGCTCCTGCTGGCGGAAGTACTGGGAGGAAGTTGTGAGAGGTCAGGTATTGAGTCCCATACAATCAATCGATCGGTAGATGATGAACTGGAGGATATCGCTGCCCATGCATTTGATGAAAGCATGAGGGAACCGGCGGAGAATGAGGTAGAGCTCAGTGAACCATTGGTTTCTGGTAGTTGTGTGAAAGTAGGGGAACCGGAATAGTTTGCATTAGGATACGCGGCAATACCGGCTTGAAGCGCGATCGTCAAAGGGAGTGAAACGGTCGTGGAGTTGTTGAACCCAGGGGAAGATGATAACGTTGCAGACGAAGATGTTAGGAGGGTATGCAGGAGTTGTGGATTCGTGTCGGAAGTGTATTGTCCTGGAAGAAGCTGCACGGCAATTGCAGCACCAGGAACTGATATCGTGGATCCAACTGACGGGAGTTAGTACTGTACCATACAGAATACAAGGCAAGTACGCACTCGTAGCATTCGTGAACCCCTGGAGGCATTGACCTGCAACGCAAACTACAGATGGATTAGACTGTGCGGCTGTTGTGTGGCCCCATCAATTTGTCAAAGTCTATCGCTACACAACCCAGACTGAATTACTCACCGACAGATGCACTGAAAATGAGTGAAATAACAGCAAGGAAGCTGAATAACATGATGGCGACACTCTCGCCGAGAGGAAAAGTGATCGTGGTGGAGGGAGGAAAGAACGAAGAGAGCTGCGCAGCCCGGGGGGTCCAAAAAGGATGGGTAACATCGTTGTTAGGCGTCACTTATTATCAACTTATAGGACAATGCCAAACGCAACCGAGCGGAAAACAATAAAGTACTTCCCGAACTTATTGTTCCTATATTGGGTAATTAGGCGGCAAGCGCCCAAATGCCGCTGTCCTAAACTGGCAAGTCGGTCTACTCGACCTAAGCGCCTATTGTCCGGTCGGCAAGAAGCTAAAGAAGTACAAAACAGAAATATATAAATGCAGGTATACAAGGACGAACGTGGGATAGGTATAGGGTTATACATATACCGGAGGGGATCTTGGAACTTAGCAGGCACACCCTCCTGATGATTCTTCCGTGTCTAATGAACGTCCGGGAGTGACTGTGCTTGCTTTGTTGGAACTGGAGGAGACGTCCGGTTGCGAATCGATACTGGGAGAACAAGAGTTAAGCATATAACGTAGCAGAAAGGCGTGAAAGGTCTACCTCTCCCGAATCTCTTTGGCAAGCGTCAAAAATGCTTCTTCAACATTTGTTGAATTCTTTGCCGAGGTCTCGAGGAATGGAATTTGTTTCTCATCGGCAAACTCCTACGTGCCATCAACAAAGGTGTCAGTGGAGCATAAATGGAGCAAGTATTGTTGTATATGGACCTTTGCGGTACTGTAACCAACGACCTTCCTGTCTACCAGGTCGGATTTGTTGCCAATTAGCAACCTCTTGACCGTCTCGGTCGCATGCCGATCAATTTCAGTAAGCCATCCTTTGACGTTCTCAAATGACTCTAAAACGCATCAAATGAGCAAGCGGCGCATAGCTAAAAATAGGAAATACATACCTCCATCTGTCACGTCGTAAACAACGACAATACCGTGAGCACCTCGGTAGTACGCTTGCGAAATAGTACGGAACCGTTCCTGTCCTGAAACCAAAATCAACTGTCAAAGTCACTCTTATCAAATACCTCCACATACCTGCAGTGTCCCACTGAATGGTAATCATTGGTATTGAGCAGCAATGTCAGATGCTGAGGACAGCGTTACGTACAATCTGAAGTTTCAACGTCTTTCCTTCCAATTCAACCGTGCGGATTTTGAAGTCCACACCAATGGTGCTCAAATAACTGTCTGTAAACGAGTTCTCTGCGAACCGCAAGAGCAAACATGACTGCAGGTACAGTTGTATTCTCAGTATATCCACGGAAACACCAGGGTGGAACCTGCCGCACCTTCCCGACGCCAGAATCACCAATTAGAAGCAACTTGAACAAGTAGTCGTATCCTTCAGGCATGTTTGCAGATAGTTGCAGTTACAGAAGACAGGTGGGAGGAGCTGCTTGCTGGCAGAGATAGATTATAATGGTACAAATCCAAATGAAACCAGTGCAGCGCTGTGCTGGTGAGTGAAGCCCCTGCAAACTCAAAAGCAGTACGGGCGAAGGTTACGTGTTATCAAACCGAGTACTTAGGGCAAAGAATGGTATTCTCTGCCACTTGGTGATTGGTAGGAAGAAAGGTTTCTGAAATGAAGACATCTCGACATGGAGGATGGCGAGGTGGGCGAGACGCCTCGATCAATTACGAGCGGAATCGGGGTTAGGGTTCTGTTTACATGATGGGCATTTGTCACGGCACCCTCTGTTAACCTTCACCACATACCACGATCACCACTACGGGACTTGTAGCTCCCAACTGCTCTGTATTTTGATTTTCTTCTTTGTTTTAGTACCCAATATCAATTCCTAACTTCACAAGAATCTTTCAAACTGACCGTTAGGATATCTTGAACGAGGACCCGAGCTCTATCCAACCAATCGACGTTACAATAGTGAAACATACAAACCCTTCGAACTCTAGGTCATGAATGGCACCTCCCCGCACTCTCGCCCCCTCAGGGAGCGCATCCTCAGATTACTTTGGGGACGATGACCCTGAGTTTCTGCAAGCTCTATACGAGACCGTCCTCCCCGGTGATGTAATGTTAGACAGTTCCAAGCAAGATACATCGGATGTCGAAGTTCCAGAGATGCCGCCCTGCGCTCAGCCTAGTCTCAAACGACTTCGCTCGCCAGACTTGGATGACTTAGAAGACCTCGTTCCCTCTGCGTCATATCACAAAATTTTATCCTCGGTGGACGAGAACAAAGAAAGTGCTGGATATCTTGAAAGTGATGTCTATGGCGCTGCTCATTTCGGTGATTTCGGAGAATACATGGCGAGGAAGCGTGCCAAACTTCAGATTCAGAACGCCGAATTGGAGGACGCTGACATGGTATCTGATTCGAAGAGCAAGATATTTCAAGGGTTGCAAATCTATGTAACTCAAGTTTCCTGCCATCGCTTTCTCAAACTGACATGCCGGATTCTAGATCAATGGATACACTGAACCGTCAGTTCAAGATCTTCGTCAGCTTATTATGAAGCATGGTGGTATCTATCATGCATATCTGGTCAAGAAAAGCTTAGTGTATGCGAACCCGAATAATCATTTCTGCCTCTAACACTGATTTATGTTGTTCTTAGTACGCATATAATCACCTGCTCGCTAACTCCTAACAAGATTCGCGAATTCAAACATATGAAGGTCGTCCGACCGGAATGGCTTGTTGAGAGCGCGAAATCGGGAGTTCTACTACCATGGAAGGACTTCATTTACAAAGCAAATGAACGGCTTGAGCACCCACAAGGCAAACGAGCGCCGCAAAAGTCTCTTTATGACACCTTTAGTTCACAGCGAGCAGCAAACCCGCAGACAAGTACAGCAGAGACGGCGCCAGACTCTTCGCCCCGTGTGGGACTAGTTCAACTGGACACAACTGAAACACCTGTGGCTGGACCATCTCATGTTACCCCACCTTCAACTCCTACGAAATCACAATCAACGCCACGGCCATTGCACATCACCGATCCTGGAACGCCATCTCAAGCCGAACGAGTACCAGACTATGCATTTCATAAATCTAACCCCATCGCTGAACGGGCAATGGCTGACCCTGCCTGGCGAGCCGCCCATACATCGGTCGCTCCAGATTTTATCGAAGGCTTTTATCGCAATTCTCGTTTGCATCATTTGTCGACTTGGAAAGCGGAGTTGAAAGGTCTAGTGACTGAGGCTCTTGAACGAGCGGAAAATGGTACGAACTTGGGTCGTGTACCTGGTGGTGAAGATGGTGAGGATGAAGCAGTCGGTAAGATCGTGGAGGAGAACATGGGAGGGAGGGCTTGGAAAGACGAGGGTGTGGATGTGAGCATGAAGGACGCTCAACTAGTCATGCGTTCTCCTAGTAGGAAGGGGAAGGAGAGAGCTTTCGACGATGACGAAGAGCGGATCATCATGCACTGTGATTTTGACAGCTTCTTTGTCTCGGCTGGGTTGGTTGACCGACCACATCTTAGAGGAAAACCAGTCGTAGTCTGTCATTCACAGGGTAATCAGGGTGGACAAGCCAGTACTAGCGAGATTGCGAGTGCTAGCTACGAAGCTCGGGAGTATGGAATCAAAAGCGGGATGAGGTGAGTTAGTTATTATTCAAGGCGGCTTCGAATTAGTTTACTGACATCCTGTCTTAAGTCTTCAGCAAGCACGGAAACTTTGTCCTACAGTCTTGACAATGCCATACGAATTTCAGCGCTACAAAACGTTCTCCTTACAATTCTACACTATTCTCATGGCACACGCGGATGAACTTCAAGCAGTCTCTGTCGATGAAGCGCTGATAGAGGTGACTACTAGCGTCCGTCGAATTAAGTCAGAGATGGCAAGAAGTCAAGGTTACACCTCTGCACCTCTCGGCGATCCCGCAAAAAACTTTGCAGAAGCTATCCGTGCTCAGGTCAAGAGAGCGACAGGATGTGAAGGTCAGTATAAGCAATAATAATGCGTTGTCCATGGCTAACCATCGTCTAGTCAGTATTGGTATTGCACATAATATCATGTTAGCCCGCGCGGCATCTCGCAAAGCTAAACCAGCTGGATCATATCATGTCACGCCAGATACCGCTCGAGAGTTCCTTGCACCTTTGGACATCGACGACCTTCATGGATTCGGTTATGCTACCCGCCAGAAGGCTTTCGAGAAGCTTCGTGCTACTAACCTCGGAGAGCTTGCGAAGAAAAGTCGGGCAGTGCTTTGCGACGCTCTGGGTAAGGGCACAGGTGAGACACTGTACAAGGCGGTCCGAGGCATCGATGAGAGGAAGATTGAGTCTGACAAGCAGCGGAAGAGTGTTTCTTGTGATATCAACGTGAGTTGCATGGTTGATTAAGGTCTAATGGATCGGCTTATAAACTGTGATAATCGTAGTATGGCATTCGCTTTGAGAACAACCAGCAAGCAGAAACGTTTATTTATCAACTCGCACAGGAGGTTTCAAGACGTTTGAAAACAATTGACATGCTTGGACGCTCGCTGACTATCAAGATCCTAGTTAGAGATCCGTCAGCACCAGTGGAAGCACCCAAAGTAGGTAGTTTATACAGTCTACTCCAATGTTCTGCTAAACTTTTATCCAGTTTATGGGACACGGCCTTTGCGAGGCATTTGCCAAGCAAGCACAATTGGTTGCTCCTGGTGGTCACGCAACCAGTGGTGACAAGGTCATAGGTGAACATGCTTGGCGACTTCTTAAGAGCTTCAACTTCGACCCGAAGGAACTGCGTGGCATTGGAATTCAGATTCAGAAGTTGGAGAAAGCATCTGGTGAAGGTGAAGGCGGTCCAGGGCAGGCGGTTTTGCCATTCAGACCCGCCGATGTCGCGAAGGCTATCACAGAGGATGAGAATAAGAACGATTCTACACCGAAGTCCTCACAGGTGACAAAGGCAAAACTTTCAGAGGCAGAAGTAACCCTCCAGGAGGCGTCAGTGACCAAAGCATTATCTCCTTCCTTGGTGCATTCGGATCTTCCTCGATTTTCCCAAGTAGACAAGTCTGTCTTCGACGCGTTACCAGACGATATCCGTGCAGAATTGGAGGCAGAGTACAAGCGACGTTCAGTTCCTCCAGAAGTTATCAATGCGATACCACCAGTGACAGTAACCGTGAAAGAAGAGAAGAAGACAAATTTTCCAGGACACCCGGCCAAAAAAGTTACATTTAAAGAGCCAGCTCCTCCCAACCTGGCCCGAATCACTCGACAACTTGCGCCAAGAAGTAAGTCGCCCCTTCCTGGGAAGCAAAGTGCATTGTTTTGCAAGACCAGGTTCGTGACTAGATCAAATGTCACCGAGTCTGAATTGCGGAGACTTGGTCTCGATCCTGTCGTCTTCGCCGGATTACCGCCTGACTTGCAGCGAGAGCAATTGGCAGGAGCTCGGTTCAAGAAGACGGGAAAGTTGGGCGTCACTTTTCCAAGCCAGCCCAAGAGGCTCAGGCCGATTGTCCGTCCATCAAAACCGAGAACAAGACCACGCTACATCCCACCTCCTCCCCCGAAGGCTCAGTATCCTGAGGTTCCAGTTCTCAAACAACAAGGGAAGACTAAAGGAGAGAAGCTTTTATTCACTGAAAAGGATGATCTTCAGAACGTCATTGAGCAATGGATGAACGGTTTCCTTGATCATCCTCCGAACCAGCGGGACGTGGATTACTTCGCCAAGTTTTTGGTTCAATGCGTCGATGGGGGCCGTGGTTCGGATTTTGGCTTCGAGAAGGCAGTTGCCGTTGTCAAGTGGTGGTTGGTTCTTATCAAGAGGCACTTCAGTGCATGGGAATATTACCAGTACGAGCCCGAACTGAAGCCCCGGAAGCGCTACACCAATGAAGCAATAGGTCGAGCATGGTGGAAGGCTTTCAGAGAAGTCAAAGCCAAGATGGATGCTGTCGCTAGGAAGCGGTTTGGAGGATATATCTCGCTTCGCTGATGCTTAGGATGTTCTCACTCGACGTTTATACCGTATTGATAGCACCTCTAACCCATAGTGTATCGTAGCCTAAGGTATTGTACAAGTATCATCAATGTATCTCCACCAATACAGATATATCTTGAAATCACTGCACTGGCTTCACGCCTCGTGCCAGGAAGACATCCATGTCGTTACCATGAAGCTTGACCGCCGTGATATGGCTGAAGTCAAAGTTTACTAGACCGGCTTTGGTGAATATCTGACGCATATCCTCTTCACCGAAACCGGCGGTATGTGCAACGACATGGTGATGGTCTTTGGCGAAGATTTCTCGACCATCGTCTTTTTTCATGAGGTCTGCAACTAAGAGGGATCCTCCTGGCTTCAGGAACGAAGTCAGAATACGAGTGGTGTCATCGACAGAGGGGAAATGATGATAGGCTGCTGAACACTGTAACACGCAAGTCAGGATGGCACTCTGATCAAGAGATTGAGTTGAGATACCACAATGATATCGAACTTGGTGCCGTCAAGTTCAGTGTCTTCACCTTTCAATTCCGCGCGTATGGCCTTCATCTCTGTCGGCTCAAGGCCTTGATTAGAGGCGCGTAGGTTGTACTGATCGACAACTCCTTGACTGATATCAACGCCGACGATTGACTTCACGTGAGGACAGAGTTCCCTGGAAATCAAGCCTGAAGAGAACGGAGTGCATACAGTCTCAAACGATGATTAGTAGATCTTACATACCATTACCACAAGCATAGTCCATCGCGGTAGTTGTATCCTCATTGAAAAGAGGTGGATACTTCGATACCATTGCACGAACTACCCTCTTTGCCATTTCTTTGGCTCCAGGGAATTCGTCCATGGTTTCTGCCCGACCATCGAAGAACTGTTGGTTCGCCGCAACATAGTCGTGACTCTCGTGATGAGGATGAAGATGTTCTGTTGTCATTGTGGTAATAATGAAATGGCTTGTGCAAGCCAACTCTGTATGTGCAAACTTATATATACCTTCTTGAAAGGCAGTGTTTGAGGACGGCGGTGGATAACAGTCGTGTTACTAATGGAGTACCGCATAGGTTGCCATCCTTATTGAACTGTACAAATTTGAGCAAGCACAGGACAAATTCTAAGGACATATCCGGAGGCTCGAAGGTCGCGTCTCTGGCTACTCTGCTTCAAGGAGACTAATTGATGTTATAAACATCACGATGCGGAAACACGAATTTCTATTCAAAAAGTCATGACAAGATTACGACAAGCAACTGGTGGGTAATGAGGATGAGAGGCAAAGATGTCAGCTGCGGTTTAGTACTCGACTACCCATAGAATAGATCCGAAGATTGAGTGGTCAAGCGTGGACCCAGTTTATTCGATCTTCCACGCCGCAAGTAAAGGTGACGAAGGCATAGAAGAGCCGTGTCCCTAGGCATGAGCGAGTGGTACAAAAGGAGGATTGGTTCAATGTGTCGAAGTGCGAAAACCGAACGAGTGGAATTGAAAAGACATTGTATTGTTAGAGCGTACAATGGAACACAAAGATCACGAAAAATGATCTATGATAGAGGGTCACTACAAAGGAGGAGAACTGAGACCGGAGAGAAGAGCTATTGGATACAAGCCTGAACGCGAAAATTTATATCAACAAGTGACGCCAAACGACCTGCCCTAAACTATGCACATGACTCAAACGCGTAGAGCATACAGGCACCGAAGGAGAAGGAAAACAAGACAATTAACTTGTACACATATGAAACGAAGTACCTCGCATTACATGAGTGAACGGATTTAACGAGAACTGGAGGTCAAAGCATCCTAAGCGGGAGATGCGGCTCTCAGTTGTGCAATCAACTGTGCAATCTTTGGTGATCGGGGTTGAATAACACTCTTGAACGGCAGAATATGGCTGAGAGCGGAACTATGAGCGAGTTGTTCTTATACGGTTGGAGTAGAAGACCTACTGAACGAAACCCGACTTTGATGAATGCTCTGGAGAGATTTCATTGCCATGCTCGTCCCTTGCTTTTGATATGTCCATAGTGGCAATGATATGTGCCAACACAAAGTATACATTTGAATCAGCAAAGTTCTGCGCTGGGCATTGCCTGCAAGGAGGTTAACACCTGAACCGTATGGGATGATCATCGGATGACAGACCTGCGACCGAAGCCAAAAACGATGTTCCGAGGATCGTAGTAAGATTCCGACTTTGACCAGTTTCGTTCAGCAAAGCGTTCGGGACAGAACTCCTCCGGGTTCGGGAAGTTTTCTGGTTCCCTCATCATACCCCTACGTAGGCTCTCAGATGCCGTGGCTTCGAACGGCGCTCGAGAAAGACATACCACATATTAGCAATAATCAGCGACTGTCCGGGTATGACACGCCCATTATATTCATCATCCCTCATAGAGCAGTGCGGAATACCTGTGTATTGTATCTGAATTGAACAACTGCCGCATCAGTCGGAAGTATAGGTCAGCTCACCTAGTGGCGTTGGAGGATGCCATCTAAGGTTAAGACAAAAGACAGCGGGTCAGAACGCAGGCGCAGAGAATAATCGGATGTAAACACTGACCGATAAACCTCGCGAATAATGCACTCAAGGTAGGGCAGAGACTCTCTGTCGTCGAAGTCGGGGAGACGGTCCGGCCCAATGACACGGTCGATCTCAGCTTGCGCTTTCCTGAAGACATCTGGATACATCGTCATTGCTAGAATGAATGCCGTGAAGACATTGGCCGTCTATCACCAGATTCTGATAAGCATGCTGTAACTCCATAGTGAAATCAGGATAACCCACGGTTTCGGTTCCGGCTGAAGCAGATAGCCCATTCAATCGGAGTGAATAGCGGAACAAAGTGCTAAAACACTCACCTCCATACAAGACCCCGGCAGCACATTTGATGTCCTCTTCGTCTTCTGAGGTTAGATTGCCGTCTCTATAGAATTTCTCAAGAAGTGAGGAGACGAATGATGGCTTCGCCCTGCCTTCTGCCTGGGAAGAATACATTCAGATTCTATGATACGGCAGTTCGGGGTAAGAGACTACACACCATCTTATCTTTGACCATATTGTATGGAGTATCGTTCATAGCGACACCGAGCTCTCGGATTCTCAAGGCGTTTCTCTTCCATCCCGATCCCGGAAGCCAAGTAGGATAATATTGTACTAATCATCAAATGATGCAATCAGTAAAATGCTCAACATGAGAACAGAGGACTTACGAATGGGAATGAAGTCTACCAGCATACTCCCAGGACTGCGAAGAATGAATAACATGCACCCATCGAAATCGAAGAAGAGAACCCACCTTCCGGCTTCGACAGTTTCAGACGCCGCCCGATCTGCGAGATGAATGTACTTATCGTCAAGCGAGGTCACAGTATGACCGTAGGCTATCTCCGCAAGTGTTGCAGCAGTAAATCTGTCCGATCTATTCAATGATCAGCGATCATAACAGTGGCGGGGGCGCTCGTACCTGGTGAAATGAGAGACAAATTCATTCGGAGAATCTACAAGACCGGAAAGCAAAATGTATGTCTCTCTTTCTTGGATGGGTCGATATGTTCGCAGAGCGGCTTTCGACATGAAGGCGTCATGAGTCCACTTGCGTAATTTCCGGAAGCGATCACCGTAATGTGCATGTGTGAGCATTTTGCTCCAACCCATACTGACAGAGTCTAGTGTCAGAAGGTGCGTGGCGAAGATGGATCTATACATCTTACAGTTCTCCCTGAAGCACCATATGAGGCCGATCAGAGTAGTTGGCACTACGTTTCTCCAAGAGGTCTTGAGCGATCTCAGGTGAATTGATCATGATCGTATGAGTCTGGAAAAATCTCGCATAGATGATATTGCCTAGTGCAGATGCGTTCAGCATGCGTAGTATATCGCATATAGAGTATGACTGACCGTATGTCTTGCCCCATTCTAGGATACTTCGTTCTTGATACTCCATCGGAAGCTGATGGACGTTTCCCAGGAAGGGGATCGGATTCGGGCCCGGCAAATAACAACAGAGCCTATTATGGATGTAGCGAACGTATGCAACATAAGTCGCAACGAAGATGAAGGCAAGAACAGGAACGGTCGAGGTAGTGTAGAATTCTGTTAAGGTCATCATGGACGTATCAAGAAACGATAGGATGAGTGTCGAAGAACTTCGAGGGGGGTATTTATAAAGAACATGCCTGGACCGCATTGACTCACAGCTTCGCAGCACGAACACAATACTTTGCCGATGCGATTTCCTCCCTAGCTCCATTCTTCAACAAGACCCTCCAAATCTTGCTAGGCCACCATCAGAGCGTCTCATTGCCCCCCGATTGCCGCAATCTCTAGAGTTATAAACATGACGCTGGTATGTAATCATATTGGGTTGCGCTAACGCATCTGCGTCAGCCACATACGGTCGAAAGGCATGAGACGAAATGGACAAGAACGGTGTTATGTGTGCTACCATGACGGCAGGGACAGGAACACGTTGTCAATCTGGTTCGAACGGTGTATTGGAAATCGACTCGCCTGTGCATACAGGGAAACGTGCTGGACAACAACAGAAAAGCTAAAAAAGACGGATCGATCGGAACCAACATCTTGAACTTAGCGTGGAGAGCTTCCGAAAGACCACCGCCGACACTTGATTACGGACCTTGCGGCGACTTGCAAGGCGGAAGCTAACATAACATCGGCACAATAGCATTGAGAAACCGAGGCTCCGATTTGATATTAGCAGGATAGACAATATTCCGACATCAAGCATTCTGTATTCCGGGTCAAAATGGTGACGTTGTGTCCAGCGGCGGCCTTTTCCGGGTAGTATCATTGGACGTTAAGAAGTTCGTGAACCGGGAAGCAAGGCACGAGACAGACAATAGTTGGAATGGAAGGGATATTGGAATGGCTTAACCGAACGATATCGCCATCCGTCGTTAATGACCGCCACAACACCACTAGACTCAACAGATCGATGTATATCCACTGCAAACGACAGGATAAAAATTTATGGAAATCAGCGGAGGAGATTGTAAAAACGCCGTTTGATTAAGCTCACCTTTACGCATATATGGTTGGCGACGTTAACATTGCTATAAACTGAAATGCTCTGCAGTCACTCAGATCTAAGCCACGACTGTGCCACAGAATCGCCACAAGAACTTTATCGGCGATCCGGTTGTTCACAAAAGCAATTCGTTAAGGCAAATAGGACAATCTGCTGAAAACCAAATGGTTCCTCGGCATTCACTGGCATGGCCGCAAGGTACTGCATGTAAAGACCGCGTGGTTATGTCATTCAAGAATGACATATAACCCGTGGCACAGCACGAGGGCTAAGCAGAAGGCGGGAGTCCATAACACAGAACGATGAGGCCTGAGGGGTACTTGGCAGGGAAGGTGATCCAAATCTGCCTTCCGCGGTAATATAGTTTCCAACGTGAATGCAAGTCGTCCCTCCTCCTCTCGATAGACCTGTATGAAAAGAGCGCGTTGTCTGTGGAAAGCTACGTCCGAGGTAGATTTCAGTGTATCACAGAATATGTGCACTGCTTCGACGTCGGTGCCAGTGGAATGATGTTTTGAAAGGTTTCGTCTAAGGAGAGAAGAAGATCAGAAGTAGCAGGTCATGCTTCTGGTGATTGCCAGGACTATACACGTTGTGCATGCGGTGAACGTTCAGACTAACAAAGTTCTTGTTTCGTTCGATCGTAACCCTACAGCTGAGTTTGAAGTTTAATTGATCGAACCGATCTGGCGTCTATACTGCAAAACTGGCGAGCAACCTCAAGCTGGACATTTGCCTCTCATTTACAGCTATTTGCGGAACAATAGGCCACCTTGGAAAAAAATCCAGGACAGAGGCTTTCAAGACCTGCTCTCAGCTGGAGGTGGCACTCACTCAGGCTGAGATGCATGGAGCTCTCTTGCTCTGCAGATGCTCAAAATTCTGTTCATGATTAGCTCAGAAAAGTGCAATTAGCCTTTAGAGATTGAACCTCATGTGCTGGATTTTTTCAAAAGGTGGCCTATCATTCTGCAAATAGCTGTAAATCAATTCTGCAGGTGAGTATGACAGAACCTATAGCTTCTGACTAATAATTCAAAGATCATTGATATTTCAAAAGTTGACCTCAAGAAGCATTCTGTGCATGGAAAGCCAGACCTACTTGGCCAGCCTTAAGTACTCAGGCATAGTACATGAAGTACAAGGGTTTGGTGTTTTCTTTTTACTGATCAGATTGATTATACTGCATCAAACCACATTGGCCTGCTGTTCGGAACAATGAAGTATCATTTCGACATTCTCTTCTAGCACCTGTACTGATTAATTCATTAGACTCAAGAGTGATCTTTCACAAGAGCTCATTGATATGATAATCAACTGCCTTGAGGACAATCACAAAGTTCTGAAGACATTTCAGTAGTTGAACATGCTTGGAGGGATCAGTTCCAGATGCATCTCTATCAGTCCACTATCATTCTTGCAGATGAAGGGTGTTCCAATGGAACAATCTATTTATCACTAAATGTTGCCTGACATGTATGACATGTTATGCTGCATGACATAACAACAGTCCTTCACTTTTTGGATGAAGCACCCACAGAGTGGAATGTCCTTTTGTGCCTATCCAATCTCAGTGAGCTGACATTAAGGTGTCTCCTCCTCACTGATGTCATGGATGGCAATGTTTGTAATCTCCCCAACATCTCTGTGCTGCATATTGAATCTTGCATTCATAGAACCAAGGACCTTATCACTCTTTTGCAAGCATTCCCTAATATTCATAGTCTAAGCTTCAACAATGTTGCATCTTTTATAGCTACTTCACCTTCTCTATTAGGTTCTCTTTATGGCCACTTGGCTAATGTGCAGAGTCTATCCTACAAAAGAGGTGATGTTGTGACTGTCAGGATGCTCACCTGGGCACTTCAAGGGCCTACTCTAAATCCAACATGTCTGGAATGCAGGAATTGCATAGATTGGCCTTCTGTCTTCAATCTAATACAGGCAGTTGGATTATGTCTAGAGGACCTCACAATTGGTACTTCCTGACCAACATTGCAGATATATCATTGTAAGTCCTAATTGCAGCCAGTAGGGAGGCTACTAATTTTCTGCTATTACTCAGATATTGATAATATAAAGGTGGTCTCAAAGCTTGTTGCTATTACCTTCACTAATGTTGGAAGCAAGAAAATAGGAATGGAACAATGGATCCTAGACTTCTTATGAGTTATACCCTCCACCCATCTACATCACATTACTTTTGACCTCTTCCATCTCATACATCAGGAAAAGATGCATCACTTCTGAGAGCTTCTGAGATAGCTCTCAGAAGCCTCAGAACTGGTCACAGAGCCTTTAGTGGCTCAGCCCTCAGTGAAGTTCAATTCCAGGCTGTGCATTCTCAGAGACAATTTTATTGACCATGCTACTTTGGCATTCTTTATTTATACCTTAAAGATTTTTTGTATATACATTCCCACACCCTAGATGTATTTTTTGAGCTATCAATCAGGCTGTTTACCCACAAGATGTGCTCACTGTGAATTTCAGAAAGTTGACCATATTTGGGCTTCATGCTCAGAGTGCCAGAACATGTATGATTTCCTGATGTAAATGAAAGGTTTGACCCTATTGCTCATTCCATAGACCAGATTTTATCCAGTTAGGCATTCCATGAGTTGTGCAAGATTTTATTTCACCCTGGTACAGGGATGGAGTGAATCACTTCAGCAAAACATCAGGAAAAAGCACTCTGGTATGGAGAAAATCTACTTGTTACCTCTTATTATACTGTCCCTATGCCATCATGTATCTTCAGACTAGGGCATGTTGAGTCCAAGAAGACTGTGCCAATCTGTACCACATGCTTATCGGCGGGCGGGATCCAGATTGGTACAGCCACTATGGCTACCATTCTGTACTCATATCTGACGTGAATAAAATGCATTGATATATGGCTGTGAAAACTATGTACTATACAAGTGGGATGAAAAGGCGTCAAGAGAGATGTAAGGATTAACATGAAATTCAGTCGCTGAATCAAGAACATTTTTAGTTGACCATGACCGGTCAATCTTCTGGCCACATTTGCCTACCAGGTGGCATGCACCGAGAATATGATCCACGGTAATGATTGATGCATTTGGAACATGATTATGCATCGAACGAGAAATGCAGTACATGCCTGTTGAGAGATCCAGTCATTGAAATGGAGTATACCATTCAATGTATGCAAGTCGATGTGGGAGGCAACCATACAGGGCTGGAAGGTCAAAGATTACCTGAATACGTCCTGCGCGAAGACCTATAGATATAATCCAGGTAAGCAGTGTATACAATGTTAGCTACGGGATGTTTGACATACCACTTAGACAATTTTCACCACTCAGCTTGAACAACTGCCAATTTTTAATAATCAATGCCACATCGAAGTGCGGCGGAACAAGCCATTTACGTCCCTTGGGCTGCACAGCAGGAGTTGCACGTATGCGGTGATATTGAACAGCATCAGCGATGAATTTGTTCCACGGTTGAAGAACCCAGATTTGCTTGTAGAGGTTGAATGTAGTTAGGCGAGTTGGGACAAAGTGTGACCGGGGGAAGTGAGCTCGAACAAAAGCTCTGACTGTGGCAAGAAAAGGTGTGGCGAAGTGAGCAGTGTTGAGGTAATCGATCGAGCAGCTTGGGTATGGGCATTTGTTTGCGATTCGGTAGGTGACCCCAGTAGACGCCATGAATGAGTCCTCCTCAGACTCAGACTCATCCTCAGCATCATCGGGGTCTTCCAAATGAGAATCAGCAGGATCGTCTGAGGTTGTCTCTGGTCCTGAGTCATTACGATCCTGAGCCTCTAACCACACAAGGAAAGACCTGCGAAGATAAACGGCTTCCTGCCTGTGGAGCCACGTCATCATGTGAGCTATATAGTCCCAATGGTTGCCTGCATGATAACCTTGTTTTGCGAAGTCGATATGGAGTCGTTCAGAAAGCTCAGTATTGAACCCATCCAAGGTGCCCTTCTCGAGAATCTACTCCAGATAATGTATCATTGAGTGCAGCTTCGGAATGTTGAAATGCTCACAGACACCAAGTTCAATAAATATTGACTTGTGAGCATGGAAGGTTTTGAGAGCATCGTGAAGGCCAGCAAGAGTCTCAGTTGTATGAATCTGGAATTGTGCATAGTAGATGAAGTCCACCACAGCCTTCGCGACTGTGAGAACTTCAGCAGAAACAGTGCCTGCCAGCAATGCCACAAAAACCTTCTGCATCTCCTTGTGTTCCTTTCCCATCCACTGCGATATGCTCGAGATACCTTTCTTGAAATGCCGTAGTCCAGGTATGTCAACCATTGCCCTGAACCGTCGATCAAGCTCATCGTCGCCAATGACACTCGTGCACCACTTAGCCAGGTGATCTTTAACATGCCTTTGTGCAGTTGGTGAAGAATATCGGGCGCAATGCAGGAATGGATTTCACAGTGAGGCAGCCCCTTCCAGAAGGGCTCGTATATGGGATGAAGTCCTTGTTCATCGAATTCAGGTAAGTCGATACCTCTAGAATGTGCATTCAGGAGGTCGAGTGTTTGATCAACGTGATGCAACAGACACTCATCGGGATCTCCTCACTTCTCTGGATCGACAAGCCCACGTGGACAGAAGTTCTGCTTCACATTGACGATGAGGCATTGTTCCGGATGGTCAGCCACATACGCAGCCAAGATGGGATAGATTCGACAAATGCAACCATCAGCGCAGACCATGGGAATCCCGTCTGCACCAGCCTTGAAGATGGGATCGAGGATCTTCCTCATACAGTGGTGGAAGAGGCGGTATCCTGCTACTGAGCGAGTGCTTTTCTGAAAGCACTCCATCTTGGAGACCGGTATGTACCCAATAAGAACTGTTGCCCTGGCAGAGACCTGATGCCTTGTCACTTTTGCGATATTACCTATGGACAGATACACAGGCCAGGCTGTTTGATCACCTCGAAACTGGGACAATTTCATTTGGTCAGAAGCGAGGATTATTGGCGCGATTGTTGCTCGCTTGGGTACTTCACCCTATAACATTATATTGGTAAGTCCGAGGCTCTTTAGTAGTGGACCAACACTTTGAACTTACCTGCTTTCGCCACCACCAGTTGCCGCTATTCATCTCATTATAAAGCCGATCTGTCCCACCAACATCCGCAAACACTTGTTAAGGTGTGTATGACATGACCTCACGGAATGCAGGGTTGCCGATCAACTCGCGAACACATTCCACAGGGTCCCTCCTCCATAGGTCTAACCACTCTGACATCATCTTTCCATCTTCACCAGCACGGTCGCCTGTCATGCTGACATCATCGTAGATCCAATCTGCACCTCTCGGGAGTTCATCGATTTTATGGAAGAACGTGTATTTACTCATTATGCTTAATTCACATTGCTTGATCTAGTAATGGTAAGCAATCTGTGATGTTGAACTTGACATGCAGATTGACATACAATTGGTAGCTTCAGGAACTCATCAATCTTATTCTGTCCAATGTTCTCACTTAGCCACGCAGCAAGCTCCCACTCCTCTCTGCTTTGGAACGGTGCCCAACGGTCAACACTGAAGGCCTTGTTTGACATTTTCCAGGTTTGAAAGGTAGTCTGGCCTTTACTGAACACTTCTGATTGCGCACGTGGATAGGAGTGTACAAAGCGAACACAATCGGCTTCAGACCATTGACATCTATTGTCTTGATTGTCGCCTTCCATCTCGTCATCTGGAGGAATAGGTTCATCGAATGCCATGCCAGTGTCATCATTAGGACTGTCATTTGGAAGTAGTGGAATAAAAGACCGTGAGGTTTCATTGTTCTTGACTCTGGACCTTGCAATGAATAACTCCCATTTGCGATGACAGACAGGTTTGTTTTGGATGTGTAATGCAACTCCCTTTGATGTCACAACCCATTTCTTGCAGTAGCCACAGCAGTGGACAGCAGTCATAAACATGAATGGAAATAGAGCAGAATGTGATCAGGTGAGATAGATTTCAAGGACCATACAGCAGCATCGCCGTTATCATTTCTAAGTCTGCTGAAATACCAGGCTCCTAGTGAAGCATTGCGTGCCTTACATCCAAAAGAAGAGTATCGATCATAAAAAGTGAGCTCCTTCCTATTTAATGCAAAACTATACAGTACCAAAATTCAAACAGACTCCGGCCATCTCAAAAATTGCTATAAGGCAGATCTGTACCATGGTGCTCGTGAATTATTTCAAGTCTTTTCCACTCGGTATTGATATGTCTACCCAGGCTGAAGGCCATCCTGGTGGATGCAATCACTGCCCGACTGAGCGACAGCAACAACTCAGTATGTTCCCCCACTTCTTTCATTGCAGAGACTAAAAATTGAGATACAATAGATGAAGAGGTTGCTGCCACACAAAAGCGTAAGGAGGCTCCTCTGCCTCCACCACGCAGAACAAAAGCTCAGGCTGAAAGCGAAAAGAGCACTGCGGGAAAGGCAAGTAGTTGATTGTTATGAGTGTGTTCATTGCTAACCACCAGTAATGCAGATCGTCAGTAAGACGATCAGCCTCATGAAAAGGGTCATCAAGCCCAAGATGGTTGCTCGCTCTGCTGTCCAACCACTGCACAGCATGCCTCCAGCTCAGACAGCCAAATTTGCAAATCTTGGAAGGGTTGGTACAGCTATTGCCAACATCTGAGGTGTGAAATCAACACCCGCTGCTACGAAAGATGAGTACTTTACACAGACATCTGGGCTACTACTTATAGAGGTACAGCCTTCACCACTTCACTTGTGGCACATGGCAAGGAAAATATTCCACCTCCTCAACACCGCACAGCTTCTCAATGTATACAGCCAGTGTGCTCTGTCATTTTCGATGATGATGAGTTAGACCAAGGTATTGTCTGAATTCTCACAAGTCTTTCTGGTGCTCAATTGCTGACAATCAACATCTAGATGATGAAGTCTTCTTTGTTGGTCATCACACCCCTTCTCGCAGCTCTGAATATGATGAGCTGATGAATGACATTGATGAGACTGATGACGTTGATGTGATTGAACCTGTTCCCCCGTCATCCAGTCCAGCTGGCTCTCCAGAGCCTGAAGTCGAGGAGGTGATGAACATTCCACGGAAGTGCACACAACCTGTAACCATTGAGGAGGTACAAGGTGAGGACTTGCCTGTTCCGAAGGCTCAGAAGATCAACAGCAACCAGGGATGAGCTAGGTGCTCTGACTATGATCGTCAGAGCTGTGATGTGATTGACACCTTATGTGAGTTGTATGAAGTGAGGTTACTTGCAGAGTCCGGCTTTCTGATGCACATGCAAGAAGAACAGTGGGCTCAAGTGAGCTGGAACGAAGCGTGCACCGCCCAGGATGTTCAACTGGGCATCACGCCTTCTCTTCTTAAGCTTGTAAGGCCCGCACTCCTTTCTGTACTTCATTTCTCACGTCCTTTACTAGATCATGCACAACAGCTCACATCTTTGAAGCGAGATCAAGATGACTGCACGTTTCATTACGAAGACTTGCTATGAGTTTCGTAAGGCACCTACGCTTCGCAGGCTAATTGGAGCAGTGCGAATTCATAACCAAAAGTACCTCCTTGCATTGAAAGAGGAGAATGCATATGTCTACCCTGTACGCAAACCTACTTTATCCTTTGTCAGTGCTATTAATCATATCTGACTGTATTCAATAGCACTCGCAGCTTCAAAAATCTGCTGACACTCGCATAGGATCCTACCGCCACCCTGCTATCTCCGAGGTCATTAATGAATGGTGGTTCAACAGCTCAAAGTCACTTGGTGCTAGGCATATCCATCATTTTGGTGACTCTATGCCAGACTCAATGATTGCTTTGGCATGCACAATAGTTTGTCAGTTTCTTATATATGCTTTCGGTACTGATTTTGCTGTTGCATATAGATATTCTATGCAATTCAGGAATACAGTTCCGGGTTCTGGGTTGACAGTGTGTTCCACGAGTGTCAATGGCAGTCTATCTACTTTGGTCACATCGAGAGCTTGAAGTTGCTGAAGGACACCTCCACTTCTGAGGCCCCTCTGTATAACTGGCTCAAGTCAGATCTAATGGAGGATGCAAGGTAAGTGTTTCAGGAACTCCGAGTTCTCTGCCGATATATGATCTAATGCACTTGCCAATACAGACGCTCTGCTGGGATCATCGGCAGTGAGAAGACACAGTCTGAGTCCATATCCTTGGCGGCATTCCAGGCAGAGATTGCAGCCTACGAATGCAGCTATGATGAATTTGGTGGTGAGCCCGCTGACGATGCACAGACTGATTATGGCGACTTCGAGGATGAAGATGATCAGATACCTAACAACCATGGAGATAATGACAGTACTAGTAGCAATGATGAAGAGGTGGATGATGGCGAGGAGGAAGAGGATGAAGAGGACGATGCTGAGGAGGAGGAGGAGGAGGATGCCGACGAGCAGGTTGATGCCGATGTAGAGGAGCTTGACATCGATGAAGATGCCGCTGTGTAGTAAGGTTTAAAATTGGTATTTCAAAAGGCCAGCTATCGTAGTATAATACTGTAGCCACCAAATGATATGATATATTCATTGCTGCTCAGTATCAGGTGTGACATATCTGGGCCAACCAATCTTGCATTAGTGAGGAAAGGACTGTCTAGTGGCGCAAAAGAGTGTAATAGCATGCTATATGTAGATATGATCTCCACCGCATCAGGTACAGTATCCGAGCAGATTGAAATGTACCAATGACTGTTAATTCTGTACCAATCTGTATCACTTTATATTCCTACATATCCACCCACAACCGGTACATGTGGTACAGAACAGGGGGTCATGTACAGTGATACAGGTTGTATGTACGATCCTCGCGGGCATGTTTCACCATCCCTTTTTCCAGATGAAGGTGATTGGCTGCGAGGATTGTTTCCTTTGGCAATGTGTCACACAGTTCTGGAGAATGATAGTACACCCTGGTTAATTCAGGATGATGTGAGTTCCTTCAGCCATACTTGAGCCTTCATTGACTGAATGTATCCAGGACCTTCGCCTTCCGCGTGATATGTTACAATATTAATGTCAGCTCAACGAGGAGAGCTCGAATGTTTCGACTGCAATCACTTGACGCTTCAAACGGCCCGTTTTGCCGCCGTGATTTGCTTTTGCCAGATACCTCCCTCCGCCTGCTCTTGCAGCCTCCTGAACACGTTCAACCAGGAACAAATGAGACTCATTCGACATGCCATGCCTTCCACTGACGCACAATGCAGAATTACTCGGTCTTGGAGACGGCCCGTTATCTTGTGGGGGACGCAATTTGCTCTCCCCTATAAAGACCTGTCTGATAGGATTAGGATCCCCGAATGTTTCTGATTCTTGGGCAAAGCTGCTCTGTAAGGCGGCACACGGGTAGGAGTTTGAGCGTAAAGAGTGCGGATAGACTCCGGCTAATGTCTCGGCATCTCTCGGATGGTGCACATACTGAAGATGTGAGGCTTTCTTTTTGTGTTTTCTTCGAGCATTTGCTTCTGAAGGTTATCATCATCCATTACAACACCAGGAGATCTTTATGCGGAGTCGAAATCGGGCCCGTACACCCTATTCTTTTCGATGCTTTCACTCGTTATCATGTAGTGAGAAGTAACATGAAGCCAAGCCTTTTGCAATGCACAACCTCGGTCACATTCCTGGGAACACTGGGGACATTCTGCGGATCGTACCAATACGGTAACCTAGCCGTAGAATATACCGAGGAATCATCCTGTGACAAGAAACGAGGCAGAATTCTGTCCTCCCGCACGAATGAAAAGCACAACGTTCACTATGGGAACGTTCGGCGTATCGTTTGGCCGTCGAAGGATTTTTCACCTCCGCCGTGTGCTGATGTGCGTGGCCAACACGAGTCCAATATTCCGAGGGTCTCTACTGACTGGATGATGCCGATTGATTCCACTTTTCTCCTCTTCCTCGGAATTTGGCGCTTCATTTTGAGTTTGTACGCTCTAGATTCAGGTGATTCCACGGTCGAAGACAAAGGCGGTCACCTTGGTGTTGCCAGCACAACGGCTTCAATTGGTTCACCTCGACTCCTGAAGCATATGACACTATCGCTGTTTGCCGGTTAGTGTAACATCTACACCCTCGGTCATAGACTTCTTGCAAATCTATCTAGATGGAGATGTTATCCGAAGTCTTGTGGTATCGTATGTTTCTTTCGTTCTATCGTAGCGGCACTGAGACCTATCTAGGGCCCTTTGCATTGAAATGCTCTTCACGTGTACGGAGCACCCTATGGCGAACGACTCCATTTTCATCTTCCACGTCGTCTGTCAATACACGAGACATTGCAATTATGGGCGAGCTTGTGGCCCTCGTACCTCTCCATGCTTTGGAAATTGTCTCCTGATGGTCTGTTCCTTCGGAATGAACTTCACATGTGCAAAACATACCTCGTGGAACGAATGTTCTCTTTATCCAGCCATTCGTCGTATGACTTCTATGCTTGGGTTTGCTCTCTGCGTTCGTTGCGAATGTCATTGCGTGATCGCGCCGGTCTTTATCTGTCCTGCAACTATATAAACATTCACTCGCTCTCAATGTTCGCTACTGCAGTCTGCCCTATTCCCGTCTCGCAAGCTCGTCTCCATCATGTTTACCTTCAGGCTCCTGGCCGCCACACTCTTCCTTCTCCCTGCCCTCGTCTCTTCTTACCCCACGAACGAGGCTCAAAACCTCACTGCCCGTGCAACACTCTCTAGTCACCTTTTGCCTGTTTCTCCCCAACTCGCCTACTGGACGACATCGTCCATCTCGGGTGCCGCCGTTTCGCCACTCTCTGATGCTACATTCCGTCCACACAACATCATCACTGCCCTGCCTCACGATTATGTCAATGCACCTGATGGCAAGCGGTCTATGAAGGCTCATTTCCCCAAGGGATCGTATACCTTTTCGCATAGTCCCCAAGGAGGCTTCTCGTTTTATGCCCCTGGACCCGCTAACGTCGACCTGACGACGGCGAAGGAGGCTACTTTCGGTTACACTGCATATTTCCCCTCCGGCTTCGACTTCGTCAAAGGAGGGAAAGTTCCTGGTTTATGTATGTCCTTCTATTTGAATTCTCAACTTCTTCACGTGCTTGGCATTATTGCGTTCCTATCTCCTATCAAAAGTTCACATGTTCCAATGATGACAACGCTGACTGCTGCGACTACTATCAGATGGCGGGAACAGCGACTCGGAAGCTCTTTCTTGCTCAGGTGGTCGGCGCGACAATGGCTGCTGGTCAGCACGGCTGATGTGGCGAACCAGCGGAGCAGGGGAACTCTATACATACCTACCGCCTGATTTCACCGAGAATCAGGCTGTTTGCAGTATTCCTCCATTCTCCACTTGCAACGACGTGTACGGCGCTTCTGTCGGTCGTGGTTCTTTCACGTGGGCAACTGCTGGAAGGACTACAGTTGCTCAGCGGGTGAAGCTCAATGATGTCGGAAAGGCAAATGGAGAACTTCAGTTATTCGTCAACGGAAAAAGCGTTGTCAATGTGGGTGGCTTGGTTCTCAGGAACAACGCTGCAGGACGCATCCGTGGCATGCAGTTCCAGACGTTCTTCGGCGGTGCGTATTTCATTCCAATTAACGTGTTCGGTGGTGCATTAGCTGACTCTTTCTCTGCATGTCTCTAGGTTCTGACACGTCCTGGGCATCACCCAAGGATCAAGACGCATATTTCTCTGATTTCTCTGTTGCGATTACCCAGAAGCTTTGATGTTTTATGATCTTTTTAAAAGTCAATTATTGTACAGGTTCATACACGGTTTTCCCTCGCATAACCAACATTGCTATCAACCACGCATCATGCTGTCCGTTCTGTATCTCTATGGGAATCTGGTCATCCTTCTCTGTATTGGTATCCCCTTCTGTATCGTTAATATTATCGCTGTATATTGAATCAAGAAACGTTCGAATCTCGACTAAATATATATTCGCTTATAAGTCGTAAAGACGCGATCGATTGAACGAGCTTCTTGAACTCGATCACTACGCATCGCTATTTTCATGGTCGTTCTGGTTATTGTACACTGAAACTCTGGCAACCAAGCAAGGTTGTACGCCCCTTTGTGCATTAGACGGACAAGGGGCATTATTCTTTTGAAATTGCGTATAAGCGCTCTTTCAGACATGAAGCGCTGAAGTTTTGGGCACAATGAACTTGCACTGACCCTCGCGATCGGGGGCAAAAAATGACAACGAAAACTCGTACTTTGAGGCCTTTTGAGGCCAGACAAAAGCAAGGTCCCCCGATGGTCTAGATGCTTTCGAGTTTAAGTATGTGCCCTGCCCCTTGCAGCGTGAATGTTCATACAATCATCTCTCGGGACATCAATTTTTGCCGTGCGGCGCCACCATTGCCGTATATAAATCCTCGTTGCATTTTCTTGGTTGCTCGGTCCCCTCATCTCTCCTTTCTTTACCCCTCTCTCCACTCTCTTTCCCCTCTCGTTGTGCTGTTGTGCACCAGTCCTTCTTTCCAGACAGCTCACTCTTTTATAGCTGTTCTTTCCCCGTGCTTTTCCATCCAAATTGTTCATTTAGAAATCGCACCGAATCGGAAAGATGTTTGTTTTCAAGACTCTCGTTACCGTCATCGCTTTCAGCCTTTCATCAGTTTCCGCTGCTCCTCACGGTCTTCGAGGAAGATGCAAGCACACCGGGAAGGGTACCGTGTCTGCTTCTGCTGCTCCTGCAGAAGCCACTACCACCGATGCCACCAGCACTTCGTCTGCTAGCGTGGCCACCCCCTCGGTAAGCAGCAGCGTTGTTAGTATTTCCAGCAGCGCACCCTCCCCTTCAAGCAGTGCTGCTGCTTCCTCTGCTGCTGCTCCCTCGGCTTCGGCCTCTTCATCTTCGTCTTCGTCCGCATCCAAACCTGCCAGCTCTTCCTCCGCAGTCCCTGCCCCTGCCCACACTTTCGCCTCCTCCGTTCTCAACGCGCTTCTTCCTGTGAGCCGGAATGTATTCTGGTCCACTGCTCAGGAAGCCCCCGAGGCTCGCCCATTGAGCGATTCTACTTTCCGTCCAACCAGAATGATCCAGGATCTCGCTCACAATTACGTCGATCATGAAGGCAAGAAGGCTATGCAAGCTCACTACCCCAAGGGCTCATACACTTTCACTCACTCGCCCAAGGGTGGCATTTCTTTCTACGCGCCGGGTCCCTCTGATATTGATTTGACCTCTGCCAAGGAGGTCACTCTCGGTTATTCTGTCTTCTTCGAAGATGGTTTCGAGTTCGTCAAGGGTGGCAAGCTTCCCGGTCTCTGTAAGCCGAACTTTTGATTCGTATATTCAAATTGATGCTAATCACTGCTACGTATTAGATGGAGGTGACAGCGACGATGAGGCCATCTCTTGCTCGGGTGGACGTCGCGACGACGGTTGCTTCTCCGCTCGTATGATGTGGCGCACTGACGGTGCTGGAGAACTTTACACTTACCTCCCTCCCTCCGCCGCCGCCAACAAGGCTGTCTGCAACGTGAAGCCTCTGTCCACTTGCAATGACGATTACGGTGCCTCTGTCGGTCGTGGTGCTTTCACCTGGAAGACCGGCCAATGGAGCACTATCAGCCAGCGTGTCCGTCTCAACGACCCTGGCCAGTCCAATGGCGAATTGGAATTGTTCTATGAGGGCCAAAGTGTCATTAATGTCGGGGGTCTTGTCCTTCGCGACAAGGACGTTGGCAGGATCCGCGGTATTCAGATGCAGACTTTCTTTGGAGGTTCGTTGTTTCATATTTTCCCATCAATATACCATAGTTGCTGATTTCGTGGCTTTTTGTACAGGTTCGGACAGTTCCTGGGCTTCCCCCAAGGACCAAGACGTCTTCTTCGCCGACTTCTCCGTCGCCGTCACCCAGAAGCTTTGAGCAGGCATGCGAACGACATTCACGACAGTCACAACACTTCAACCATCACGCGACCCCTCTTTTGGAGAGATTTAACACTAAGCCGGACGCCTCGAATACCTCGACGCTCCGCTCACCGTCGTTACTGACGCGCGTACGCACACGCACAACGCGACACTACCGCTCATTGCCCCACCCACTCACTCACTCACTCGCTCACACGTTCTTGTTGACGGTGTAGCTCAATGCTCACCGCTTACCTCGACCTTGCAGGTCGTGCTCTTTCCTTGCTTTCATCTATCGTTATCTTATTGCTTGATGCATCTTTTTTCTTTCTTGCTCTGAAATGCTTGATCGCATTGCTACTACTGACGACACTGGTATCCTGTCGTACGATACGTTGGACGTGTTGCTGGAGAGTTTATGGTTGATTTACCGCTCTGACGAGGCTCGATGCTCGAGAGCTTGGATGTCTTTACGATGTACGCTGGAATACATGAGGTCCTATTGCTCTGCATGCTTCAGAATCCGCGGCCCAACAACTAAAGGATTGACCTTCGCTGTGCACGCCAGACATGCTGTAACGAGTTTGATCAAAAATCAAGCCCCGCCCTTGCCTGTTAACCGGAAAGTTCACAAGCTTCACAGAAAAGATCGTGTGGTCAAAATAAACCAAACTCAAGTTAGGGCAAGTGTCATGCATCCACCGGGAGTCGAACCCGGGGCTAGGCCATGGGAAGACCCAATGTTACCGCTACACCATGAATGCACATCCTTGATACTTCAAGCAAATTATTGATTTTTGATTCATGAATCCGTCAATCCAGAACATATTTGGTTAGAACTTAGAACTTCTGTCTCGCCTCACTTACGTGCACGGAAATGAGTGATCAGGTTCCCGTATTGACGATTGCGGGAACGGACCCAAGCGGAGGAGCAGGGATCCAGGTGCGAGTTGCTATTCAACGTAAACCTACAGGCTTTCATTGACTTCTGGATATAGGCAGATCTTAAAACCTTCACTGCTCACAAATGCTATGGGACTAGTGTGATCACTGCTCTTGTCGCACAGAATACTACTGGGGTGCAAGCCGTTCAAGCATGTACTCCGGACTTTGTCGCTCAGCAAGTCTGTACGGTCACGGACCATTGCTGCATTTCTTAAGACGAAACTCTCATGTTCACGTCGCTATGTCCAGTTACGCTCTGTCCTTGAAGATATCGATATTCGAGCTATGAAGACGGGAATGCTCTTCGACTCTGATATCATCCGTTCCGTGACTCGGACATTGCGAGAGCATTATGGAGCAAATATTCCCCCGTTGGTCTGCGATCCAGTTTGCGTCTCGACTTCAGGACATACACTGTTACGTCCCGAAGCTGTCGATGACATGATTACAGAACTGTTCCCTCTGACGACACTGATTACACCTAACAAGTCCGAGGCCGAACTAATTCTTTCGACGCGGAAGCTTCCATCAAATATCACGAATCTGGCGGATATGTTGTCTGCGTCTCAGGATCTCCTGACACTGGGTCCCAAAGCTGTCCTACTGAAGGGGGGACACGTTATTTCTTCAATGCAAGACGTACTTCGGATTGCGGCCGATCATCCAGAGATGCGTATTTTCCGCGACGGCCTTTTGGACGAAAATATGGAAATTCTCCAAATCACAGAAGAAGACATTGCGGCTCGATCCCTTGTTGTTGATGTCCTACGAGACAAAGACACCGTCACTCTTTTCTTGCGCCCCCGCATCAACTCAACTAGCACTCATGGAACCGGTTGTACGTTGTCCGCGGCAATTACATGTGCACTAGGCCGCGGCAATTCCTGTGAGTGTGATGTTGTTTCCACTCCCGTTTAACCACTGAATATAATTTCCATTTAGTGATAGAAGCGACTGATCTCGGAACGGCTTATACCCACCTCGGTATCGAGACAGCATCAGGTATCGGTAAAGGTCATGGACCTCTTAACCATATGCACTCGATAATGCCGCGGAACATACCTCAGTACGTCTTCATCCTTCGAAATATCTCAGACACGTGTATAACGTAAGGTCTTAGGTCAACGCGAAGCGTCCCTCACCCGTTCACAAGACTACTGATCAAGTCAACCACGGACATTTGGAAGCAATACGTAGAACATGACTTCGTTAAGCAGCTTGCTCGAGGGACCCTTCCTCGAGAATGTTTTCTTCATTTTATTAAGTATGAAGCCATTGAGAGCAAGAGTTGCTTACCATACTGACCTTCGCGCATATAGGCAAGATTATCTCTATCTACGATACTATGCTCGTGCATATGGGTTCGTTTTGTTTCCCTCTTTTCTTCTCTGCTTGAAGTTGAATTGAGTAACTTCTTAGGCTCCTAGTAGCAAAGTCTTCGACATTCAGTGCTATAGACGCTGCAACGAAGACAATCATCAACGTCATCACAGAAGTCACCACCCACAAGTCCTTCTGTGCACAATGGGGCATCTCAGAAGAGGAACTTCAGTCGATTCCTGAATCACCCGCAACCACAGCATACGGCGCTTACATCCTTGACGTCGGTCTGCAAGGTCCGCAGGCTTCCCATTGTTGTTGTGTTCTTAGAAGGCACTTATGAGAATATATTCAGGTGACGCAAGTAGGCTCCTCATGGCCGTCGCAGCATGTCTTCTAGGTTATGGCGAAGTTGGCCTATGGATCAAGAAAGAAGCTGCGAAACCTGGAACGTGGGTAGTGTTGGATGGCAACCCCTACACCAGGTGGATCGATGACTATTCCGGGGAGCATTATCAAGAAGCTGTCAGGACCGGTATAGGTTGGTGCTACTGTCCTTTCCCGTCACGCGGTTGATAACTGACCGTCCTTCCTCTTAGAAACAATTGAGGCTATGGCGGCTGCGGACCCGCCTTCACCAGCGAGACTAAAAGAGTGGGTTTTGGTTTGGGAACGGTGTACTCGTTTAGAAAAAGGTTTCTGGGATATGGCACTAGGATTGCTCTAGTAGCAGATATGGACCAAGAGGTTACAAGAAGCACAATGTGGACCTATAAGCATACCATACGGCAGCGAATATAGGTACAATAGAGGTTGGTTATCGTAGAAACAGGGTATCACTCGATGTCAGACAACGGTGAAGGTGCGTCAGCTAGAGGCTCAAACAGTTTTTCTTCAGTCTGTTCTTCAAGAGTGATCTCCACTTTCGGGCCACCCTTTGTAGTCGAAGTTGCTGCGATCTTGCGGATCTTCGCAGTTTTTGTAATTTTCCTTGCACTTGGGCAAAGACCAGAGCTCAGTTCGCATTCATCACATCTAGGGCCAACAGGAAGACAGATAGTCTGTTGAATAGCGTTTTTCAACACATGTGGAGACGCGTAATTGGCTCTGGACATACCTGGCCAAACCCGACTAGTAGGTGGTTGATCTCAGGGTGAAGCTCAGTCGGAAGCCATGATTGCAAGTTGAGCCTGTCGGTCGAAGAGTCAAAACAGACCTCGTTGATAATCGTCATTTATTCGTAACATACCGGGTTTCTTCAGGGGTTTTGGTTGGTGGTTTATGCCAACCCAGCCGATTCGTTATGCGGTGTACGTGGACATCAACGCCAATACCAACATTTCTGAAGACAGCAATTTAGCGGACAATACGATTGAATCTATAGGTATTTGACTCACATTTTCCACGCTACCTGTAGTGCCAAGAATGCCATCTTGGGACCTACGCCAGGTAAGGAACATAATTCATCGACTGTCCTTGGTACGTCAGAGTCGAAATCATCCCTCAAACGTTTGGCAGTCTGCTTGATGTATCTACGACTGTCAGTCAATGATTAAAGTCAAGAGCTAAAAGTGGACCTTACTGCGTTTTTCGTCGCCAGAATCCGACTTTCGCAATAGCTTCTGAAATGGTCGTATCATCGGCTGCAAGAACAGCGTCCACAGTAATACTACCGCCTAGACCTTCACGAAGTCTACCGACGGCAGCATCAGTCACTTCGTCCCTTGTCTGAGAGGATAACATGAGGGAAACCAGAGTCGAGAATCGTTGGCTCTAAAGATACATTCAGTGTGCTATGTTGAAAAACACGATACGCATGAACATACCTTCGGATCAACTTCCTTCAGTTGAGCTTGATCGCAACCCATAGTATCCACGGGTGCTACGATGTTAGCTCGCATTCGCTTGATGGTGTCGTACGCTTCTCTCCATCGCAGAGGAGCGGGGTGAGGAACAGCCAATGACTGCTGGATAGGCTTCGGCCTGCGTGGAGAAACCTGTTTCTTAGGCTTCTTCGATGGAACTGTAGTAATTTCAAAGTCTACCTCTTCCAGCTTTACACTCGAAGAGGATGCAACAACGTTAGATCTGGCCTTCCGTTTACGAGGAGGTGAAGGTCCATCGTGGCCATCTGACTCTAGCTTCGGGATTGCAACGTCATCCACATCGTAATTCTTCTCTAACTTGATACGCTTCGAACGCCGCAACATGATAGAAGGATCCGTAGTGGGCGCGTCATTGCTGTTAACACTAGACGTATTTGCGGCGAACAAGGTCACTGAAGCGTGGAATGGACTCGGCTTGCCAATGAGGCCTACCGGTGATGCGGATCGTTTCGTTATAGATACCATGATACTTCTGGTAAGATGAAGTATAGTGGGCCAATCCACTGCGAGTCCCTTTCAAGACGTTCGACTCCTTGCAACCGTTGGTGATGAATGAGTGGAACAAACTTGCGAAGGACCGCTTGATCGACTTGGCCTGCCGATCGAGGTTACCAAACAGGCAGGTCCTTAACTTTGTTCACTCTCTTTTATTTCAAGACCCGCAGAACTAGTCCATGAACGTGCGAGACCGCCAGGCCAGCCATTATTATTCGCATCTGCGTGTATTTCACAATTTCTTACTAAACGGATGTTTGTGATTATACCCTCTGGATGAGATTTGCAAGTCCAACAGTTCACAGTACTTATGCAGAATACTTTTGTCATGAGGTGAGCGAGCCCCCTCGCAAGCCAGATTCATTCGTATTTGCAAGTATTATACAATCCATCACCAGAATAAGTAATAATGATATACACCCAAGTACCCATGAGGAAAAGATCGTCAGACATTCAAAGGAATGCACTCTTAGTCGAGGTCGTTCAAGCTCCTGTGAAAGACAAGGAGGTCAGAAGCAGGTTCAATAAGCAAACAGTTAGAAAATTACACACCTGGGGCGCCGAACGGGGATCCTGAAGGAGGAGCGGAGCGTGCTATCGCGAGCCTGAAGCATCTCTTCACGCTTCAAGAAGAAACCAGCAATGGTCGAAACGATCTTGCCAATGTCAAGAGCACCACTCTGGTCAGGCGAAGCGGCGACAGTCGCAGCATCACGAGCGATGACGTCATGGAGCTCACGCAACTGGAGGACGTCTTCACGAGCGAACATGTGGAGATCATCTCTCTTGAGGAAGTTAGAGGCGATACCGGCGATGGTAGACAAGATGTGACCAATGTTCAGAGCACCACTTTGGTCAGTGGGAAGGATCGTGGCATCACGAGCGAGTAACTCGAGGTCTTCACGTTTGAGGAAGTTCGAGGCAATACCAGCGATCGTCGAGAGGATGTGACCGATGTTAAGGGCGCCACTTTCGTCGGTGGGAATAGCGGCTGCAGAAGGAGCTGCGCGAGAGAGGAGTTCCAGGTCCTCTCGGCTGCGAATACATCATCAGTGATCAGTGTCAATGTAGTCAAGACGATCGACTCACTTGAACAAACTCTTGATGCCTTGCACACCGTTGACGATGCCATTGCCAATTTCAACAAAGTCCTTGATGAGGCCAGTATTGAGAGCGCCGCTTTCATCGATAGGAACAGCGGCAGTATCGCGGGCAATCATCTCGAGCTCCTCACGCTTCAAGAAGTTGGATACAAGGCCGGCGATAGTGGAGAGAATTTTACCAATGTCGAGCGCACCACTCTCGTCGGTGGGCAGGGAGGTGGTAGAGGGAGCAGAAGCAGGAACTGCACGGGCGAGGAGCTCAAGTTCCTCTCGGCTGAGACATTACAGTCAGTTATCAGGAATAGTGGAGCAGGCATATCAGACAACTTACTCGAATAAACTCTTGATACCTTGTACGCCGTTGACGATACCATTGCCGATTTCAACGACATCTTTGATCAAGCCAGTGTTTAGGGCACCACTCTCATCCGTCGGGACATCCCGAGCGAGAATCTCGAGTTCCTCACGTTTCAAGAAGTTCGAGGCGATACCAGCAATAGTCGAGAAGATTTTACCGATGTCGAGTGCACCGCTCTCATCGGTGGGCAGAGATGCGGCGGTCGTAGCAGGAGCCGCCCGTGCGAGCAGTTCGAGATCCTCACGCTTCAAGAAGTTCGAAGCGATACCAGCGATGGTAGAAAAGATGTGGCCAATGTTAAGCGCGCCGCTCTCATCGGTAGGGAGAGTAGAGGGGTCAGCGCGTGCGAGAAGCTCGAGGTCTTCACGAGAAAAGAGCTCAAAGTCTTCACGCTTGAGGAAGTTGGATGCGATGCCAGCCACAGTCGAAAGGATGTGGCCGATGTTGAAAGCACCACTCTCGTCTGTGGGAAGAGAGGATGCAGGTGCAGCGGTGGTAGGCACGGCACGGGCGAGAAGCTCAAGGTCCTCACGGCTATTGATAATTAAACAGTCAATACATAGCTCAATAGATCGGATTGAATCAGATCCCTTACTCGAACAAGCTCTTGATACCTTGGATGCCACTGACGACATCGTTACCGATGCTAACGACGTCCTTGATCAAGCCGGTGTTGAGAGCTCCGGACTCGTCGGTGGTAGTATCACGAGCAACGAGCGGAGCGGAGAAAGCAGGAGCAGAAGCGGAGAGGATGGCAAGAGCGATGACGGCGGAAGAGCGCATTTTGAATGGATGGGTAGGGTTAGGTAGTGTGGTGTTAGTCGTAAAGTGGTGAAGCAAAGTCGTAAACGAAGACGTTAAAGAAGATGCAAATAAACGAATGAAACGAAAAGATATCAAGCTAGCATGTTGGGTTAGTGGTGAATATGAAGGTATAGAGGTCTTGGCGAGTACTCACCAACCAGTGCCGATACCAAATTGGCTTGTAAGAAAGAAGGGAGGAGCTCAGCTGAGGAACAACGAAGCAACTCCTCTTGCTTTATACAAAAACCTCGTACAGCCCCGTCAATCTCTTGACGAGAAACAAATTGGTCGGATAATGCCCCATCGCGACGTTGACATTAAACATCAGAAGCACCTTATGGCTCGTTGCACTGCGAGCGGTTTCAACGGCTGTAGTTCCCATACTGACGAGGCATCTTTGGTGTGCATTTCACTGTAGGCAGTGCACCTATCCGGATTAACTTTATTACGCTCACATGAATGACAGCAGGTTTCCACCACACTTTAGAGTAGATATCAAAAAATGACTGGCGAATATCGTTGGCATCAGTCGAGGAAGAATTTGTGGCGACGAAGGAACCAAACATACCGGCTGATCCATACTGATGCTGTTACATTGCTGCAACGACGTAGAACGGCTGATGGGCATCAAGTTCAACAGGTGGCCCGGGGTGAGGGTGTCTCCCGACTACACGTCGAGCCAGCACTCGACCAGCATTCGAAGGGCCACGCCACAAATGAACAAAGTGCGCAATCATGCCGACTTGGAAGTACAAATCGAGCACTTTATTGCATACTGTAAGTCTGTAACTTCCGAAGTCATTCCATTAAGGTGGTCAAGCCTGTCCGAGTCGCGGCCATGGTTAGATAAAGTTGGACAGACTACAGCTGAAACATTCTGCGATTAGAGAAGACGACCTGTATGAATGCAGTCAGGTAATTGTTTCATTAGTATAAGTAGCATATGTATTGAAAATACACCAAGGTAGGATACGACTTGAACAAAGGTCCTGAAGTACTTAGTCACAAGTGCAGAGAAAGAAGGGAAGTCGGTGTTCCACATGGGAACATCAAACTCCGCCGCGAGCAGAGGGCGGCCGTGGCCAGCTGGTCTTGTAATTAGTATCCTCCCCTCATCCTCATTGCAAGACTCAAACCACGTAACTCGCTTAGCACTTACTTGATCCAACCGAAATGAAGTTCTACGCCGCGCTCTCTGTTCTCGTGTTTGTCACTTTAGTCTCTGCTTCTCCGGTAAGTCTAGGATCAGCGTGTCTAGTGTCTCACATCCTACTGATCAGATTATCGTACTAGATTCCCAAAGCTGTAAGCTATCTAGTTCAGTAGTTGAAGTATATTCCGTTTGACCTGATCTAATCAGGCCTCCGAGGCTGCCAAACGCGTATGTGTCTAAACCAACTTATTGGTCCATCAGGGATTGACCTGTTGCACACAGGAGAGTCCCATCCGTGGCAAGGCCGTCTGGTGATTTACAAGATATGCAAACTTCAGGCTCGTATGTTTGGTATCATTTGTGTCATCTTCGCCTTGTGGTTCTCATGACCTTTCTAGGTTCCCTTCTCAATCTGGTTTTTCGTCCCTATTGGTCTATCGTGCAAGTAAAGCTTATCGTCATTGTTTCTGTTAAGGTGCGCTATAATTATTTTAAAGTCGCGGTCAACTGTTAAGTATGTAACAGGATGCGTTCAAAACTTCTGGGTTCGATGTCATACTTTCATTCATTGGTCACACGTTCTTTTCGTTATCCTTTCACTTATTCAGTGTCAAGCAGACACGTCTACTGTAGCCATAGTATTGGCAGTTTCTCTCGTTGGATACGGATGTCAGTTGTCGGACTTAATCAGATGTACTACGTCGCAGGGCCGGAATCCCAGTAGGAATCACTATAACATATCATACATGAAACACGTCATTTTGTTCCATCCACCATCGTCGTTCGAAACACGCCTGACTTCTATTGAGGCCCCCGAAGCCTGTTGAAGCGAATTAAAATGGTTTCCATCTTTACTGTTCCATGCTTGAATGTTGTAATGTCTTCATCTTAAACGTCAATCTTGGATTATCTATCAACACACGATACGCCCGCGCGGGTCAAACTGTATCCGAGTACTGACATTCCATTGACGATCCTGAGCAGGAAAAGGCTATGTATCTTGTTTTAAACATGGGAACCAAGGATGGACAGTTGGATCCCATCGCAACCTCTCGCGCATCAAACCTCCGGTGCCGCCAGCAGAATCGCGATTGACATCTGACTGGGCCGCATCCTGTAAGTTGTCACAGACTGAGATCAAGGCTCGCACAAACTGTAATAGATGAATAAGTATTAAGGGGTTTGATCGAGTTAAGGAGGAATGGAAAACTCACGTCGATGCGATCTTTCGCTTGTGCCGGAGCCCACAAATCGTTCACATCTGTTTCTGTCAAAGGAACGAGATAATTCTTCGCTTCCTTGAACGTGTTTGCTAAGTGGGTAGAGTCCTGTAAAGCACAATTAACATTTCCCATCCTACAGGCAAAAACTGAGAGCTGCTACCCAGTTCATTTCTGCATCCGAGAAAAACACGTCCAGATCTGGTAAGGGAAGCACTTTTACTTCTACGTTATTAGGGAACGTTTTCGTGAATAACCATTTGTATCGGCGTTTGAAGTTGACAGATAAACGTTCTTTAGAGTGATGCAGGTTTTTCGCGGTGAGCTAAGAAGCAGATCCAGTATGAAATTAATGACCCGGTTAATTGCAAACTTGATTTCGAAGAAACATACCCCGTACAGAGCAGTGCATATTAGTTGCAGACCTTGATAATAATCATGCCAGAACTCCATCTCTGAAATCGCAGAGTTATCTAGATACATAGCCAAGAGCGAGCGTTAGCATTGCCAATATGATTATCAGTACGTTCTGTCATTTACCATCGGGTACAACTAGGCTCACTTCCGCCGAGAAGGCTAGATACAGTTCGAGAACCTGAGCAGCATAGTAGTACGCGATCGGTCGTTCATCTTGAGCGTAGAGCTCTTGTTGGAATCCGGAAAGAATGATATCCAGGGCGATACGCAATTGGTAGAAAGTTGGGACCAGTGGTATAGCCTTTGCGATAGCTTGGTCACCAGGATCCTGAAACGGGTAATGGGTAAACAATTCAGAATATTTTGAGTCATCAGATAAGTCTTACCTCGAAGATCGTTTTGGATGTCATGAGTTTTAATGCTCTATGTAACGATGAATAATCCAATTGCAGCTTCATGAGGCATCGCCTTCGTCTGGGAGGATTAAACCAAAATGCCTTGACATATCGTATCACCATCTTCATGGTCGCAATTAAGCAGGGCACAGAAAGCAAAAACGGCAAAACTCGCCTTGAGAGTGTGAAGCTCGATTCGTTCTATAGATAACTGAGGATCTTCAGGCTCTCTGTGAAGAAGGGAGGATATTTGATCCCATGACATTCCGAAAGTCTCAAGCCAAAAGCGATCAATAAGCCAAGTTTGAGGGTATTGGTGGGCTATCTTAGTGTTGTCAAAGAAACAGGTCTGAACGAGAGGTTAAAAGGGATGGAATCGGTTCACGAGGTGATCCACCCACCAGAATGCGAGAGCGGATGTAGGGCGGCTGAAGCGTGCGTTGTGGTGACCAATTCCTAAGGGAACCTATTGTCTATTCTAACATTAGTTGCTTTGAACAATCAAAACATCTCAAACTCGTACCTCCCATGCCGACAATGAAGTCGCATCAAGCAAATGGTCCAATTCATTCAGACCATCGAGTAGTTCACTTATCGTTTGCCAGACCTTCTCTTGCGAAGGCAGTGCTACGACGCGTATAGGGATGAAGTTGGGTAGGCGGCGGGTTATAGAAGGGTCAATGGCCAGGAGTGCTGGAGAGTCGGGAGGTGGTGTGGATATAGTTGTATGTTGGACCTTATGTAATTCATTTAGTGCGATGACCAGGAATGGTCGAAGTTTGTCTCGGTGCTGTGAGAGGTCTAATCTGAATAGTTCCAGAAGAGCCTAAAAAGCGATTAAAGCAGGGCCCGAGTACAAGGACGAAGGACAAACCTTTCGTAGCAGCAGTCTGTCGATCAAGGCGTCACGCTGGGGTATTGGAATGGACGAAGATCGCAGCCACGAACATGCAGCCTCTAATTTTTGGACCACGTATTCCACTGGTACGCCTTCCAATAGTGAGACTTCACACTTCTCACTTTGCCAGTCCTCGGTCTGAGAATCTTACTCATCAGCGAGCACACCAGCAACGAAACAAGAGTAGACACAACACATCTTGGACATTGTTCTGCGACATCTCTCTCCACGCGAGATCGCAGCACTTTAGCATCCCCATAACAGCTGCTCTGAGCACAATGGTAAGAAGTCCTAGTGGTCGATGCGGATCCTCGTTCATGGAGACTTGAAGTAGAAAGTCCGGGTCGATATTGGACAGATGATGGACATAGAGCAAAGTATAGACAGTTTGTGATAGGGTGCTTCCCGAATGCCATTCCATCTGAGTAGTAGACATACATGAACATTCATACGGTAGGGACAGGAACCGCTATGCTTAATCACCTCGCATGCGAAGCCTCTATCAATAATCCAGCAAACTTCCTCGGGCAGCAAGGGTGTCAAAGGATCGAAAGTTGGACGGCTGGTCGTTTCCACGATCATCCCACTATCCATTCGAGGTTCACCGATCTATCGAGACAGCTTGTCAAAATGCATGTATTCAAGTAAATGACGACTCACTTCGAACGCACCCATGCTATCAAACAAGGTGAACCCTTCAGAGAGGAGGACATCTCCAGGTGCCATATCTACAGAGAAAACGGTTTCATTCGTCAATGCGAAACATGTTGGACTTGGATTCCCCGCGCACCACTCGCTGCTTGTTCGAATAATTCAGTCACATCTTCGAATGCGTTCCCGCCTGGCATGTCAAACATGTCTTCCACGTCTATATCCATGGCACTAGACATAGCACTTCTTGTAGTCTGTAGAACAAATGAAGTAGACCGCCACAGTCGTGGAAGCAGAAAGCAGAAAGCAGAAAGAGTTTCGACCTTGACGCTCAACTTCCTTGATGTCCTCTTCCGTCAGGACGTTTCGTGTCCTGAACCGCTGTAGTCACTCGTTGCAAACATCAAGGCTCAGATGTCAACATGTTGCGAAACGATTTAATTCAACGAAGGTGACGGAGGAAGTAAAACATGGCTCTAGACCACGGACAGTTTTTTCAGGAATTCAGCCAACCGGTATACCACATGTTGGTCTTATTTCTTGGTTACCATTAGTTTGTATGTTCTAACCACAACATCAGCTAGGAAACCTCTGTGGAGCACTCTTAAACTGGGTGGAACTTCAGAAGAACGCTCATTCTGACGATGTTCTCATATTCTCGATCGTTGGCTGGCATGCCCTTACTCTGCCTCAAGATCCTAAGACATTGAGTGCGGCAAGAAGGGACATGATGGCAGTTATCCTTGCTATTGGAATTGACCCTGAACGCTCTATTCTGTTCCACCAGGATGACGTACGTCATTTGCCTTTCAATGGAATCAACAAACTCAGTGTATATGGAGTAGAACCCGCACCATACAGACTTGGCTTGGCTCTTCAACTGCATCACACCAGTTGGAAAGTTACGTCGGATGACTACCTGGAAGGTACGCTACAACACTAGCTAAACCCAGTAATGAATATAACTACTGACGGTTTTACCAGTCAAAACTTGCCACATCGCGGAACGCCGATGAATCGGAGGTGGACGAATCTTTGTTGAACGCCGGTCTTCTAACATACCCCGTTCTGCAAGCTGCAGATATCTTGTTATACAGGTGAGACCCAATGTTACTTCACATATGAATATTACCTTATTGGCAGAGCGACACACGTACCGGTTGGGGAGGACCAGAAGCAACACCTGGAACTTTCCCGTGATATAGCAGATACCTTTAACCATACCTTCAAAGGCAAACCTAGACTATTCCCCCTTCCCGAATATGTTGAAAGTATGTCCTCGAATATTTCGGTCTACGGCATTCCACTGACCACGTTCCAAGCTCCAAGTCGACGTATACTTTCTCTCAGAGATCCAACATCGAAGATGTCAAAATCGGCTCCCGACGTGGACTCTCGGATTCTTCTTACTGACTCCGACACTCAAATTCAATCCAAATTCCGTCGCGCGGTGACCGATTCCACAGTCGGTGTCACCTACGATCCAGTCGGCCGACCAGGAGTTTCCAATCTGCTGACTATCTTGGCCGCATGTACCGGGGAAAACGTACTTGACGTCGCGAAACGATTCAAAAGTAAAGGCCTTGGGGACCTGAAAGCCGAGGTTACTGATGCCGTCGTGCAACTCATACAGCAGCCTCGTGCTGAGTTTGAGCGACTACGGGATGATCCTGCGTACTTGTCCGCAGTAGCTCTCCAAGGTGCAACCAAGTCTAGACTGATTGGGGAAGAAACCATGAAAGTCGTCAGGTCGCGTGTTGGCCTTACTTGAGTACAACTCAATTATTCCTGCAATGCCATGTAATATTTTGCACACTATGTCTCAATAACCCGGTCGATTGCGATTGACTGTGTATTGCCAAAGGCGGTATAATCTAAGGAAGACAATTGCTATACTATCTCAAGCACGGACAAGCGAAACCAAGACCTCGACGATCGCGAACGTACACAATAAGGGGAAAAGTGAAAAAAGGTAGGCATATGAAAGAAACACGGCATGGATGCATTTGAGATCAATGGGGTACGATGCACCATCCTTCCCATCCGTCTCGTCCTCCTATCTCTTCGCCTTCTTCAATCCAGAAGTCTCCCTCTTCTCCGGCTCTCCCGACGACTGCTGCGATCAATAAGCCAGCAGCTTCCGGAGCCCATTTACTAGCCACGCACAGGGACTGACCGATCCCGAAGTGAAGTAGGCTTTCCCTCTGTCGCTCAGTAATGCGATCTCCTCGGTGACGGAACGCATCGAACTCATTCGCATTTCCTCCCCAGATGGAGACATCTCGATGGACGGCATCTATGTCCACTGAGATTGTGCGAGTAAAGTATTGGGTCAGGGGCTTCGGTAAGATGGCAAAAAGAGCGTGAGGGAGGCTGCTGATTGTCCGCACAATGCACTTGGTCGGCGGGTAGAGACGCATACTCTCGGTGAGGTGCGCTTCGACACTTGGGCAGGGTGTCGCAGTCAGCCAGTGGCTAAACTGCGTCGATGTGGGAACCCCCAAGTAATTCTCCAATGGCTCCCGTGCATCAGCACGATCATGTAAAAGCACTACTCCAACGGCGACGACGTGCGACATCGTTATGTACATTGGTACGATGTAGTCGAGGGGATCTGTGGTGCCGATGTTTGGAAGCCATCTTTTCAGACGATTATTGAGATTTTCAATGAGGTTCTTGTGAAGCGTGGTGAACTCGGAAACATTCTGTAAGGTGTTGATTCCCGTGATAATGAAATCAACGTCTGAGGGATTGAAGGAGGCAAGATCGACATTAAATAACGTCGAGACCATCACCTTGAAGGTGAGGGTTTGAATGAAAATACCAAATGGTATCGATTCTTTGACAACCTGGCCATTGTTTCCATGAAACATGTCATCCACTGAAACAGTGGCCAGGTTGCCAAAGGGAGTTCCAAAGTCCTCTCCAGGGATTAGTTTCTTTGTGTTGCAATAGATGGTGGTGTGGCTGGGTGTATCACTGGTACTAATGAAATTGTTCATTAGGCCAAGTACCTGAGTAAGGTGGGCATGCGGTGGCAGTAGTAGAGGCTGGTGGATGGGGGGATGAGTCTGGCGGGTAGGGTGAGCAGGGTGAGCAGGGTGAGCAGGATGAGCGGGATGAGCAGGGTGAGCGGGGTCGAAGGTGGACGCCATGGGGCGGGCTCGAATCCTGGTGAGGGTGAGTATTAGGGCTATATCAGATGGAGTGGTGTGTCGAATGGTGGCTATATACCAATTTGTTATAATCACACATACTACGGCGAAGCCAATTGAACTCAGGCAAAAAATGTAGGGTTTCGGGTCGAGAATCATGCTGTATTGGAAGGACATTCACTGGTAGATACAGGTCTTATATACTATAATGTGAGGTTGCCTCGTTGTCCGGACGAAGTAAGTAAACACCCCAAGTATGGACGTCTAGGGCAATGTCTATCAAGGCATAATTGGGGCGAGTCATTCCTGAAGCTGCGGTATTGTCAAAACAAAACAGTGGATGCCCCGAGAAGGTCCTGGAAATCTGATTAGAAACGTAGGTGAGGAAGACATTGTCCAGCCTCGGTGCTTCTGCAACAATACGACGGATGCGCAGACCTCGGCATTGATTTTCTGCGTTCGATTCGTAAACATGTGAGTACCGCAATAGTCTCCGACATCATTTCGAGTCAAGAGGTTGCAAAAGCGGCATCTATCCTGGAACGTGTATGATTGAATTCGGTCTGTATGTGAGGATCCGGGGGTTAAAATGCGGTTTAGTATACGGTACCGAGGTAGTGAGAAAATCGAAATGACTCTTGTCGCCGGAAAAGGGTAGAAGACTGCATGACTAGAGATCATGGAATCCTGCCGAAGAATCAGGCTCGGGGCCTGCGCAAGTCAACGGGTGCAATGTTGTATACGGAAACCATTTATGACGTGGGAGGTGTGATGAAAAATGAAGTAGAAGAGTAGAAAACGGTAATATGGGCATCTAGGTTAGAATTCCATCGACGATTGAAGAGATACGGACGCTGCGCAGCCCCACGTCTTGCGATCCACGGTGCATATAGTACCACATAGTGCGGGCCCAACCGCCGATCCTAGAACGAACCAGCGTGCGTCAGATGCTAGATGACTCTTGCTTGGGTCCGCAGCAGACACTATCGTTGCTGAATGTTCTAGTACATACTGACGATATCGTCAGTCAGCGTCAAAAGAGGCAATCCCTGCACAAAAAAATACCGGCTCAGCTCAGAAACCTAGGAGAAATGAAGGCTGCGCAAACAACGTTCCGCATCTATCGACACTTCTGCGAGGGTCTCTCAGAGGCTATTACTACGGAGAGAAACGGTATAGTTGCTTGTACGACTTTATTAGCAACTATATCGTCTCCGCCCTGGTGCACTCTCGTAGTCATGGTTAACGCACTTGTATATATTTTTATTTGTCGTGCCCTTCTTCAGTCAAAACGTAGGCATAGCCGTGGTATCGCTGGCAGCAAGCACTGGCAAGAAGGCTATAGTCGCGATAATGTTTGAGAGCCACCCGACTACATTACCTGCCACAGGATCCTAGATACGATATCGACTTTCATAGTGGTTATGCGCCGTCCAAAGCAAAGTAGGAGATCCCTGAGGTCTAAGTACTGTGCTGGTTGTAGACAAGATGGTAGTCGAGGTGAGAGTCAAGCATAGCAAAACAACCACCTACAACTGCGGTTTCGCGGTCCGCTATGTCCGATCTGTAGATCTCCGAGTCAACTTTCTTCTCTTCCGATTGCAGAAACACCTTTGTCCTAAGCACTAAAATGTACAGAATGACACTAGATTACTTCGGGATAAGTCAGTTCAAACGCAGAAAACAAGAAGATATGATACACTAATCCATTACTATAAGTCAAGATACGGAGGGGAGACATCATAAACTCAGACCTCATCTGCGACAGACAATACTCCATCCACTCCATCCGTCTCTGCCGCCGATTTCCGAACCTATCTGAATCTTAACCCCTTCCTCCTCGCCACCTTCCATCCTCAGGCTGGCAACGACAGCTGCGACCAACAGACCGGCTGCTTGTGGAGCCCAGCTAACAGCCACACATCGTAATCTCCCTAGCCCGAACTGAAGCAAGCTCTGCTTCTGTTCATCCGTAATAGAATTCTTGTGATGACGGAATGGGTTAAAGCAATTGGCGTCCGCTCCCCATAAGCTGATATCACGATGAAGTGCGCTGACGTCTGCAGCGATAGTACGGGTGAAATATCGTGCAAAGAATGTTGGTACGATGGTTGTCAGAGAATGAGGAAGAGCGGCGACAGTACGCGAGATGCGTCGAACGGGAGGGTGGAGACGCATTATCTCTGTAATTAACGCCTGAACACTTGGACGCTGAGCCTCGGTCTCCCAAAAAGCGAATTGCTTTACGGTGGGCTCCTCGAGGTATTCCTTCAAGGCTTCGCGTGCGTCGTTGTCACAGTGTGTGAGTGCGACACCTACTGCCACGACCTGCCACATCGTCTCGTATACGGGTATGATAAAGTTTAATGGATACTCAAGATCTGGTATCCACCGGGTGAGACGGCTATTGATGTCGTTCAGGAGGTTGGGCGGGAATGCGGAGGTGGATTTGGATAGACTCCATAACCTGTTGATACCTGTGGTAACAACAATGACATCCTCATAATCGAGGAGAGCAGGATCAACGTGAAATAATGTGGAGATCATAACCTTGAAGGTTAAGACCTGTATGAAAGTCTCGAATGGTATCTCACTTTCAGGGGACTGGTCACAAAAACAGCAACTCAATTCGTTTACTGTCAGTGTGGCCAATCTCCCAAAGGAGTCGCCGAAATCGTGTGATGGTATCAGTTTCTTTGCATTCCGGACAAAAGCGGAATGGACGTCCAGGTCTGCACTGACGAATGTGTTGCTGAGACCGAATGCGCGGATGAGACGCACGTTGGCCTCAGAACGGGACTGAAGGAGAGATGGGAGTGGGACTCGGGGTATGTTGTCGGGATCCATGAGTTCTCGAATCCGGGGCAGGGTCGAAATGATGATCTTCTGGCATGCATCAGCAACTAGATAGTGAATAATGAGCATGAGTATTGCTAGGCATGCTATGGCAATGGCAGCAACTATTGGTATGGAGAAGGTGAGCGACATAGTGCGGTTGTTGATTCAAACACACGTCGTAAGTGGGCCTTATATATGAATCCCGTAGGAAGGCTTACCTCATTTCAACTTTGAGACATGTCATAGACTTGCCGAGGAAATAACACGGTTGACACTTCGCAACGGCGACTGTGCATAGTTCAACCTTTACAGTTCATTTGTACCAGTGCGAGACTGCGGCGTTATACATTAACGACTCGGAAACTATGAAAGCCTAGTAAGAAATCTGATGTAAGAAGGCAAGTGTGGAAGACATAACTAGTGGCCCTACATGTTGATAACGGTGCCACCGAGTGCAGGACAATCCGCTGACGTGGTCTTAGTCTCAAGTGGACAGCAGAACGGCGTCTCGCCCTTCTCTCGAGGTCAGAGTGGTGCGGTATGGATGGACGAGATCGTGTATCGAGAACGTGCAGCACATCTTAGTCCGTTGAATGTTATATAAAGCTGTCACATCCATGGGAATAGAACGCAGCAACAGTCCTATGCGATAGGAAGCAGAAACCTAATCAGAAGCGCTGTGCGCTTAAGCGACACAGGTACTAGTTCGAGGAGCCCATACGCGAAGCTTTGAAGTGGAGCGTGTGGGTCATTCCAGCCTTTCCGTGGCCTATGAAGGCCTGGCATGACGGAGATACTTGAACAACATCAACATATAAAGTTCACCATCCAATGACTGCGCAGCCTTCTCGCAGCAGAACGGAGTCTATGGGGGAGAAGCCGATGAAGGACAAGAATCAAGATGAACATTTGTCCACCTTCAAATGACTCGTGCACAGCTCCAACCGTGAGCAGAATAGGTTAGACAGCTGCTCTGGACAACAAGGCAATCTTCCCAGAATAGACAGACAGCATTGTAGCGGGAAGGACAGACCACCACAGCATGTCAGTCTTCCGTCATTGCAGAGATTAAAGTTTGACTCCAAAACCCCCCAATCCCCGCGCATCGCAGGCTGTGGACCACATGCGACACAGAAGGACTCCCCGCTTTTCTGGGGGAGCCCCGTTGTAAGCGCAAGTGATACTAGTAGGGCAGGAATTACACTAAAACGGTATGCGGACTAGCTGCTTGTACGGCTTTATTAGCAGCTAGGCCGTTTACCGCATTATTGTACATAAAATAGAGCCGTAATATGCAGGATATGTAGTTACATGCAAGTATTTGTGAAGACTTGAATGATTGAGCAGCCTTGGAGCGGTCTGTGGTGTGACCTGCAAAAGGGAAGAGTCAACGGGATGCATGGGGAATCGCTTACCATGACTTCCTCCGTAAAGTACTAGTCTTGATTAACGATAGAGAGGTGCTTGTTGCCTTTATCGCCCCGAATAACGTGGATAGAATGTTGGATCCAGCAGTACTCTCGGTGCTTGGAAGGGATAGTAATGGTCGCGGAGAAAGAGTTGGAGAGTACGTTGACCGTGCCAAACAAGCACCTACAGCTTCGGCTCCCGGTCCGTCACCTCCACACCACATCCCTTTCTACCACCATCACTGTATTCAGTAGTCTTCGCTCTGACTATATCTTTGACGTTATAGGGCTTGTATATCTTGCGTTAGTATGCGGGGATTAATAAAAGTCCCGCGTGCACTATCTCCCACTCAGGAGCGAAAGCTGGTCGATTTCTTGGATGCCAAATTCCTCGATATCACTCGTAATTTCAAGAAACGGTACGTCATTCTGGTTATTACCTTCGAACCTACTTGTATTACTATAAGTTCTAATGCTCCGTTGTATCATAGCTCTGACCCTTCTTCGTCGCTACAAAGTCTCCCCTCATATCTGACAGAGACCCATAAGTTACTCTCGTTCATTCTCCAAATACCGCCCATAGATCCGTCCACATCCTTACGCACTACATTTCTGCTCCGCTTGTCAGGAGACGCAATGGAATCTATCCCAGGTTACAAGCCTGATGTTCAGATTCTATCTCAACTTCTTGACTGGCTGAACGACCTTGATCGAGGCTGGCTAGCCGTTTTACGCTCACAAACGTGGGATCCTGAGGAAGGCACCGGTCGTGATATCATAGTCGATACCTCGGAGGATGGTCAATCGACTGTCCGGTCTACCCCTATGAGCCAGACAGAACGCACACGGTTGAGGAGTCTTCTTATATCCGGAACGGCGAAATTGGAAGAGTGGCTGGAGAAGCTGGACACGAGCGGAGAGACCTACGATATCCTTTTGGAGAGACTTGGCTTACAACAAGGGTTCGATGACCTATTCTCTAATACTTTAGCTGAGATGGGGGCTCTTGGAGGTTCAATCAATGTACCCGAAGGCATGGATGGAACATGTTGATTTTCCAACCAACTTTAATCATCCGAGTTCGTACAAAAGTACACTACAGGCTCCATGTGAACGGAAAATCACCAGTACCTGGCGACGTCGTCAATGATCCTTTCCCTTCTTTTTCTCGTCCTTCGACTTCCACTTCGACTCGCTCTTCCCCTCATGCTTCTTTTCTTCTTCCTTTTTCTTGCTCTTCTCCTTCGCCTTCTCCTTGGACTCGGCCTCCTTCACCCTGTAGGGTCGGTAATGTTCCTCCGGGAATTGGGGATCAACTGGTTCAGGTATAGGCTCGGATGTGGGTGCGGGTGATTCAGGCCTCGGCGGAGGTACGGCCTCAACGTTCGACAAATAGTTCACAGGATGAGTTTCGCCTCGACGGTGGTTCGAAGCGAGATCCGTGAGCCCTGAGAGATCCTGTGCAGAGGGTATAGGCAACTGTCTAGTCTTGACCTTTTTCTTCGTTGTTGACTTATGTGAAGAGGGTGGAGGATGAGTCGAAGGCACCGGTGTCACCATGCCTTTGTTGAGAGCGGGGTCCATGATGATCAATGGATCGCGTTTTTGGTGGGTGTATGAGCGTCCCAGTAGAGAAGCGGGTTCCATAGGTAAGGCCGGGCCCGGGATAGAAGGGGACAAGTCAGAGCCGACAGGATTGTATTCCGCTGGGCGGGCTTGACTGTTCGAAACGAGCGACAAGGCGGCGAGAACGACGAGGGCGCGTAGTGAGGTTGGCATTATGTTTCAGATAAAGCTGGTTTAAATAGTACAAATCTAATAAATGCCGGACCCGCCGAGAGATTATTTACGAGAAGGTAGGATGTGAGAACGTAGAACAGAGTAAGCCTGAATTTGAACAGGGACGTGAAGAGAGAGGGGGATATCAGAAAGTTGACAATGATATGCAACTCAACATAGACCATACAGGGACAAACAACGTGGAACGTTCTATCCGTCGTAACGGATGCCAAAGGGATTGCAGTTTGGACCATGCACGGCCGGTTGGCGTTGAGCGTTGAACGTTGAGTATTGAGTACTGAGTTCCAGCCCAGGAAGTGTGGGAGTTCATTCAATGTGACCTAATTATTCCCAACGGGGTAAAAGAATCTATACGAAATCACTGTCAAAACATCCTCGCATGTTAAACATCATGTAGTGCACGAATGCGTATGACCGGCGACCATTGGACAATTCGTTCAACACTCTCCACAGTACAGTCATTATCAACAAAACTTAAAGGTCTGCGTATGGTGCAACATCAGAAACCACACTCAAAGAGGCAAAAAAAAAAGTACATATCTAGCTTCCAGTCAAGTAGCCATTGGTTTGAACTTTGGATCTGCCAAAAGAACGAAAGCACTTATAATAGACGCCCATGTACTTCAGTCAATCCCTGATCGCAGCGATGATCGCCAGGAGGACTGCGTTCATCCCTGTTCATCCTCATTAAAATGGGACCCACAATCACGGTGCCTTCATAAGTTCGGACTAATACCGTCCAGAACGAGATCGGTTTCAAATAACAGAAAGTGGCAATATTTCTCTGCTCAGGGTAGGCGTCAGACCAGAAACTCGGGGGTAAAACTTTGTGTACATGGCAAACATAAACTGAATATGCAGTGCGGTCAGTTCGAACATTTAGCAGAACTTCACCCTAAACACCTAATTCATATTTCATATACAATTTGGAACTCATCACTACTTACCAACCAGCACAAAAGAGCAGGTTACGCAGTTTATGATTTGAGTACTTGTACGTGTGAGACCCTCCACCACGCATTGATCATGAAAATATATCTTGAAATCCTGCGTTCCTTTTTATGTCAGTTACGGCAACCTGAAACGAACCTGAAGTGGAAAACTACACATACCTTGAAGACCGCCGATTCGTACCATCGCCTTGTACCTTGACAGAGCACCCCTTGAAAATATACCAAGAGAGAAACAGAACCCATCACTCTGCTTTTTCGTCTCCTGCTTGTTCATATCCCACCCAAACAACCTCCGAACAACTATTACATCCCACGAGATGGTGATCCTCCTCCATCATCCTCTCCGTAATTACATATCGCCCTCCACACCTGCAATCGTACGCCCAGCTCTCGCAGTGGTTTGAGCTCCCTGGCATATGACTGTCCAATCCGAGTTCATACAAGTCCTCTAAGGATATGACTTGAGCTGGCCGCGGACCGGCTGGTCGCTTTGTAAATGTGGCATCGTATTTGGCACGCGACTCGGGGGACGAAAGCGTAGTAAAGGCTGATTTCAGGAGTCCAATATCTACTAGGCTCGTACGCGGGGTGTTATTAGCACCCCTATCAGGTGAATTCGAGGCAGACCGTTTATCTGGGTGATGAAGAAGTAGAGCTCGGTGGTATGCGAGCCTGACTTCTGACAGACTAGCTGTCTTTGTTATCGAAAGGAGCGCATAGTAGTCAGGTAGCTTGTCATCCACGTAAGCATCCAGATTGATACTTTGAACGAATGTTCGAAGGTCTAAGATAAAGAGACGATGGGTGGAATGGGGTAGAATTGAATAATATTATAGCCGCCCATTACGAAGTGTTTGTCGTTGATCGGCAATGTAGGCAAGCTCGAATTGTATTATCCTCTTACAAACTTTCATTGAAAAAGAATTCAACTACCGAACGAAATGAAATTCACCGTCTACGAAGGCAAGGAAAGATGGAATCAATTCATGTATCTCCGCTGAGAAACTACCCAAAAAATTTGAAGCGAAGCTATTTTATTAAGGTTCAAGTCTTCCGAGCTTATGCAATTAATGAGAAATCTACACACATGACCGTCAGTTGGATAGCGAGCATAATATAGACGAAGCCCACCTATTGGATCTGGGGAAGACGTAATTCTCCGGCAGAGACAGGATTCTCTCCAGCCTTTATCACAATGTTCCCTCTCGCGTTTGTACCATCTCCGGGTGTTCCACGCATATCCTCTGGTAAAAACAAAGAGAGTACCTCCAACAAACTTTGTCTGACTAAATGCGGGACGCGGACACGGAGGTCTACCAGACACAATTTTGCCGAGCTGACAATCTCGATAGCATCGATGAAGGGACCTTCGCAAGAAAAATACGCTCGTAAAGCAGATTCAATATCTGACTGGACCTGCATAAAAATGCCGCAATGATCGTCAAGAGCAACAGGTGGACAATGGACGACGAAGCATAATAAATGGTGGCAGAGCCTAACGGTGTCTGCTGGACCCAGCAACACCGTGTCACCGTAGTGGGTGGACTTTGGAGCACCACTTGCAGTATATCCAATCAATTCTCGTCCAGCTGAAAGGACATGCTCGATATCTGGCAAAATTTGTAGAGCAGAACTGAATATGAAAACATCAACGAGACGTACAAGTCGTATTAGGGTGCTGGAATCCAAACTCAAATACGGGGTATCGGTAGCAGCTGCAGAGAGCGATTAAAACGGCTCCAGCCGATACCTTTCCTAATGAAACCATGCGATGGATGAATGCTCTGACTTCGTTTTCCGGATGAGGACCAGGACATGTCAGGACAAACATGAGTCCTTCATGCATTTGTTTGGACCACCTAATTATCTGACCATCCCCATGCGCGAGCATCATGTCAACCTGGTGGTTAAGCACATTCACCACCATGGTTCGCAGCCGGGTTGCGGATGGGCTTATCCATACGAACGACTTGAGGATTGTGGGCTCGGCCGGCACATTTCGACGGTGTTTGATTATTTTACGAATGCAATGCAGTGCTTCTGGGAAATCTACGTCGAGGAGGCATTCTCCGAGAGGCTGAAGAAGTTCATCGTCCTGGAACATATCGTCCGCTGCCACGAGAAAATCAATATCGTGGTAGCTATCAGCACGAATTTGACTCTCTTCGGTGGGCTTGACGGTCGCGATGTTCTGCTCCACATAGTAGAAGTACCACCATTCGAAGGCACCCGTAATAGATGATAGGAGCACTCGGAAGTGCCTTGCTGCTAGGGTTGGTAGGAGGGCCACATCGGGCATTCTTGGCAACATAAAGGCTACGGTGCCTAAACGCCTTCTGACCGTAAAGCCCCAAAGGCGAAGCCAGTTCCAAACTATGTAAAGCGTGGATCGCGCCGACTGCAAAATGCCTGTAAATAGAGGAGTCCTGTAAGGGCATTGAGACCAACACATTGGCGCAACCGTAGTGGCGATGAAGAAGGACAGCCAACATGCAATGAGAGCGGTTACAACCCATCCTATGGCAGGTGCGATATTACGCAGAAACTCGCTGAGGCCGATAAAGAATAGGAGTAAGGCGCACTGCAAGAGCATGGGTAGGAGAGCAGCGAGCTCGAAAACGCGCCCTTGAAGTAAGCCAGTATATCGGAAGTTTCGAACTCGGAATTGAGCTCGTGGTGAAAGACTGTCATGGGTCATATACTCACGTAGCCACTGTTTCACTAGTATTCCTAGCGAAGCAGTGACTAGACTGCAAGTGAGACTTGAGAACCAGAAGCCATTAATCCACAGAGCCGATGACGTTGCTTTGAATGGCAGCATTGTAATGGACGGCGCAGTCGAATTGACGGATGACGCAGTCAGCATGAAGTTTCCGATCTGATGTGATATGTGCAAGAGAATGCGAGTTGAAGCTTCTGCTGGGTCATCTTGTAAGGTTGTATATGATTCTGTAACGAAGGCCGTTAAAACTGCGGAGAATAATCCTGCCTGTTGCCGGTAAACATTAGAGAAAGGTGTGACTGCGTGGAGACTTACAAATACTAGAAGGGTATCAATATCCTCTTTGCAGTTCTGTATCTTACGTTCGTCGTGCTGTTGGAGCAACTTGGAAATCTTGGACCAGCCGTCCTGGGCGCCAGTCCGAAAACGGTCACTTTGCAACACCTGGTCTGGTGAAAGGCCTGTAGGATTGTGTTTGGGTCGCATAGGTGCCGCCTGTGGGTGACTCCCGGATCCTTCAATTACCTGTCAAACCCAAGGACGCTGATCAGCAAACTTCTAGCATGATTTGAATTAAAGGAGACTAGTAAGGCTTACCTCCCTAGGAGCAGCATCCCGAGCCTCGTTCGCAACTACTTCTGCCTTCACGGACATGATTGAGAGGATTGCTGGTACTCTGGTTGATGTGCTGTAGGCTAGTCTCCCGCAGCCCGGCAGGAACCCAACATGTACAGCCAAGCCATACTAGGCCATGCAGGATCCTGTACTGAATGTACCTATGCATAGACTTTACCACGACCGTCAACCGGGAATACGGTGTGATATTCTGCCAGTCGTTGCCAGGCCTCCGATATGATTAGCATTCGAGGATCAAAATGATTGGACAGAGCGTGGAGCAGCACAATGATTCGCTGTGATCGTGAGCCCACACATAAATGATTACCGTTACATTACGCTCCGCCAACATGCTATATGATATCCATATAATATGGTACAGTAGGGTAGTTTCTAGGACTGTGCGATGAGATGTAGTGGAGTGGAGACTTGTCCCCTTTTACGGACGTGTTGCAAGGCGAGGTGAAGGGCGAACCGCCGACCAGGTACGTGGATTGGCGAGCCCTCAGGCTCGTATTACTGCTCGGGGGTTTAGATAGATGTGACCTCCGGAGTGACGACTCTAGCACGAACGTCTCCGTACTCGTCAGTTATCCCAATGTTCACTGGCTGTGAGCAATGGAAGCCCATCAGAATCATCAATGCAAGGAGTAGCCTATAAAGACAGTGTAAGTTGTTTATTGGAGAATATCAATGGTGAAACATACCAGCAGCATACTTTAAGGCTGGACTTGTCGGACTCTTCGCTGGGGAACATCAGTCGAAATAGGTTTCTTGCCGTAGGGCACACTTTTCGGCATGGCCCAACGCTTAGGCCTAGACGGAGGCTCAGTTTCGCTCGGTTGTTCAAGCCGCTTTTGCTTTTCCACCCTTTCTACCCTTCCTACCTTTTCTAGCTTTTCCACCTTTCCTATCCTTCCTACCTTTTCTACCCTTCCTACCTCTTCTACCCTCCTAACCTTGGAATCAGGTTTTGTCACCCTCTGGGCAACGAACTTGTCTGAAAGAACGTTCAAGTACCACTCCATCGCCTTCTCCGCCTGCTCCTTCAGCTCAATCGCGTACTCTCGATCCGAAAATGATATTGGATTCCGAAAACTGAGCCAGAGGTACGCAATCAGACCCTTGTGCAGACTCTCCATCATAGTGAGTGCATCCGTCTTGTGGCTTCGAACCCGAGCTTTGTCGTCTTTGGCCATCATCTTTTGCACGCCTTCCAGATCGGCCAGTAATTCGGAGGATTTCACTAGCTCGCGGAGATCCACACGGAGCTTTTCGTGATACATTTTGATAAGGGCACTCATGAAACGGGCAACGGCCCCGTCTCGCCAGGGGACCGGAGCTTGTACTAATAGGACGCGATCCTCAAGTGTCAAATCTGAAGCGATGTTGTCAATGTAGTCCGTGGCGATAATTTTGGTCGTGACGTCCTCGAATTCATAAGAAGGATGCATCTTGGAAACATATTTGCATACCAGCATGCCCGTAGAGAGCGATGCATCAGATGGAAGAGCTTGAAGTATGTCGCTATGGAGGTTGATGTTCCCCGTGATATAGGCTTTACGGAGAGGGACAGGAGGGACAGCGAGTGCGTCGTCAAGAACAGGCAAGTCAGGTTCATACAACGTCGTGCAGATGCCGCCCTCATCGTCGAAGCCGTGCAATCCATAACGTCCCGCGCGACCAGCGATTTGCTTGAATTGAGGTATCGACAAAGGTCGCTCCCTTCGACCGTCGTATTTGGTGACTGCTTCAAAAATGATGCGCTTGATTTTCCTGCCGACAGATGAGCAAAGCAGGATGCCATTATTGACCGCTCCGACTTACAAGTTTAATCCCATGCCAATTGCATCACTACCGATCAGAATGTCGTAGCCGCTATTGGGATCGTTGAATAGACTGGCTTGCTCACTGCGGATTTCAGGTGGCAAACGTCCATATGCAACAGCGCATTTCCGTCCGCTAGCTTGTTCAACCTGTTTCTTAAGGGCAAAGATGCCGGAGCGCGAAAAGGATACGATACAATCGCCCTTCTTCACCTTCGACAGATCTCCTTCCAAACTGGTTTCTGCAACTTTCAGTGGTGTCAATCGCTCGTACCTGTTGACAACGAGCTCGTCGCCGGTGTCACGAAGCATAGCTTCAACAAGAGGAACGGCAGCCTCTTCACCACAAAGGTGAAGCTCTCGGGCGTTCACACCCAGTACGGCTGTTGTCCATGCTCCTCCTCGGTCGGGATCTGAGAGAAGTTGTATTTCATCGACGACCACGACGTCGTGCCTCACCATCGTGCTGATCATTTCGACCGTGCAGCTGACGAGGCCCGCTTGCACATCCACGACCTTTTGTTCTTCCCCGGTAACCAGGTTGCACGCCCTGGCCCAAGCCGGATTGCCCTCTTTCCGCATCACGACCTTCTCTCCCTCTGTAGGATCCATATCGACGGTGGATTCTGTGTCTGGTTCTGCATCGGCATCCAAATCTACACCCAATGGTGCGATCTGGCCTTTGTTCAGTCGCTCAAAAATCTCGTGCGCCAATAGACGGAGTGGGCCAGCGTAGCATCCAACCCTAGCTGCGGCGAGGGCGCGTAGTGCGTTGTGTGTCTTGCCACTGTTAGTAGGTCCAACGTGCATAATGACCTTGCGGCGAGGGGTAGCGCGGGAAATTGGATACGTAGAAGACGGGTCAGACATGTCTGCCGATCGGAAGAGCTCTGCCATGGAGGTAATAGTAGAGACCGGGATGACCTTTGACAGAGAACTGAACGTTTGTGGATGTGCGACCCACTCGTAGAAAAGTCTGCTGAACCAAATATCCAAAGCATCGCTATTTGATGAATCCTCCATATCGTAAATGAAACGTTGTAATCGAGCGTCATCCATGTCGATTGTAGAAAGGACTGTTTCCTGTTTCAGAGCAGTCGTAAACGCGCTCAAAGCAGGTTTGAGGACATTTGGGGGTATACCAAATCTCTTGAACCGCTGAAGAACATGTGGAAGCTTTGACCATGGCTTGCCGCACCTTGCAAGATATTTTGCAACGTCGTCAGGACTCATGGAGCCTTTAAGCTGTGAGCCAGGTATTACAAGTTGCTTTCCTACTACCGTTGCCACTCGATCTCGAGTCATCAAGCCACCCGGTTCAGAAAACTCTGCATTGCGTTGAGGATTGCGAGGTGGCCGAACTGTGCGACCTTTGCTGGCAGCTTTAAAAGTCCGAGATCGGCTGAACGTGAGGACGACTGACGTGCTTGAACGGGCTGCATGGTTGTGAAGCGTAAAAGCAGCCCGAGCCAGACGGAACATTAGAGAGAGACAAGAGCTCTCTGTAGCAGATACGCCAGCAAAGTGACTAGAATCTAGAGAAAAACAAGGAGGGTAAGTATTAATGGAAACCAGAGGTTGAGTGTTTCTTGCAACACACCCGACCTCTAAGGCTGAATCACTTCGGTGTGTGCAAGGAAGGGTATTCGAGAAGAAGGTAGGAGCATATGAGCAGGTTCAATTTGGATATTTTGCGTGCAACCCAATTTAGCAGCGTCTAATGACAGCTTATGTCATGACCATTGACCTAATATATGGTATGGTATCAATGCTCAAAATAATCATGTAATGTACTGTAATAGCGACACTACCGGGGTGAGTCTGCCAAATATTGCGTAGACTTTCACTGCGAAAATATACTTTATGTAAGTACGCAGTTTTTGAGAGCCTGGAGCGACATGAACATCATGTATATATGACAAACTACGGTGCGAGGATAGTAACGAAAATAACGAACTCGGAGCTACCTAGCTACGCCACTACTACTTACCCTGCATGGCCTCTCCTATTTCACGGAACACAATTCTCAATCCCTACAGCTGGGCCTCTGCATCTATAAACCCTGTCGCACATAATTCATGACGACCGTTGTTTCAGAAACGCCGCGATTGCACCCGCGACTGCAAGTGCGGCCCACAGCTTCCATCGCCGCTGCGGTGCAACAATGGAACCTGGGGCTGGGCGAGGCGGAAGCTTGTACTTGGCCAATGTCATGAGATCCTGAAGTTTCACGTCCTAAACGAGGAGAGGCTGAGCATGACTATGAGTGGAAAAGAGGCCTAAGCAATACGAACTGTGTATGGCGGGAAACGCGATCCCAAAGCAATTTTGTCAAGCCTGGAAAATGCATCGGACGTGAATAATTTCGTCAGTCAACCAAACCTACGGAGGACATACCAGCTGGGAACGTCGAGAGTTGTTCTGAAGTGCGTGAATGTATTGAAGCCCCACTTTCCTGTGGTATAGCCCCCCGCTGCAGAGAAGCAACCGAAGTCAGTGTCTGAATACCCAGAGCAATGTTTCAAATCGCGTACATCCACTAGCACCTACTCCGCCGAAGGGCATACCAGCCGCTTCAACAGAATGTAAGCAAGAGACATGATGGCATGATAGAAGAGACGAAGACAGCATACCAAGAGCGTGAATGGATACATCATTCACTACGGCAGCACCACTGTTGGTGCTTGAGAGAACTGGATGCCAGGACAACAACAATTAACCAATGTTATCTCAATGAACTAAAGAAACGCACTCTTCTCTTTGACTTTCTTATCCTGCGTGAAGATATAGAGTGCCAATGGATGGTCCCTGGAATGGTTAGTGATAAATATGACAATTTCGCTGGTACACTTAAGCAGGATAAACGGACCTTGAAGTAATGAAATTGATAGCATCGTCAACATCGTTGACCTTGACAATAGGTAGGACAGGCCCAAAGATCTCCCTTCGAAATGATCAGTCTGTTTCGTTCCATAGTTCTGATATTGATGGCAAAGCAAGACGTACTCGCTTAAAAGTGAATCATCTCCATCCAAGTCCCGGACAACGGTGGGTGCGACATATCTCTCCTCAACGTTAACTTCGCCTCCAAGGATGACGTTGCCCTTGGTATTGTCCACCAAAGCTTTAATGCGAGATGCGTGGTGAGGCGAGATGATCCGAGACAGGGAATCGGATTTTTCGGGGTGAGGGCCAAAGGATTTCGTGTGACTACAAGTAATCCAGATGAGATTAGTAAATAAGGGAGTCACTACAGATAGTTCACTCACACTTTTCGCACTTCTTTGATGAATGCCTCTTCGACGTCGCGATGAACCAACACATAATCCGGCGAAACACAAATCTACACATCGATCAGCTCCTCACGTTACCTCACAGGGATCTTTTGATATACAAACGCACCTGGCCAGCATTGGCACATTTACCCCACATGACTCGTCGAGCAGCCAACTCCAAGTCGGCGCTTTTGTCGATGATGACCGGGCTTTTGCCTAGTCAAATATTTTTACACGCCGTTATAGGGGTATCAAAATACTGGTACTCACCACCAAGCTTTATACAAACAAAACGACCAGGAGGCAAGGTCAGAAGACGTAACTATGCCCACAAGTATATACTCACCTCGAAAGTCACCGGCGTCAGAGTTTGGGCTGCAGCAGCGCCAATGATCTTCGCAACACGTCCGTTGCCCGTATAACAGACTGCATGCGGTGCACATATTAGATTAGGCTCAACTTTATACATGACATCACTTACGATGCCCCCAAGGGTATTCAAGCAGCTTTAGAATTGGGACAAATGCTGCATCAGCATTCTCGTTGAATGAACGAACATGGCATGACCCGAACCTTTGTGGCTTGAGGGACTCCTCCCCTCACAACTCTCACTACATCGGGATCAAGGTATTTAGGAATGAGCTCAGCGACCAAGTCCGCGGTAGCGGAGGACAACTCGGATGGTTTCAGCAAAACAGTGTTTCCAGCAGCAAGCGCTCCAGCCTGCGAAGAACCAATTATATCTGTGGAATATAGAAGCAAATGAGTCAAGCGACGAAAGCACTTACCAGGGGACCCAAAAGGCACCAAAGAGGGAAATTGAAGGGCCCAATAATGAGCACGACGCCTTTCGGTTCCTTTCTGACTTCAGGTCTCATGAAGAACCAATTCAAATCGAAATGTGGCTTCTCGGGTTTGGTCCATTCCTCAATCCTACTGAAAGCCTCATATGCTTCTGCGATGGTCCCATTGATTTCCAGGCTATAAATATGTCGTAGGGACAGACGACAAAATGGATGAGTATAGAACGAGAGTGCAGGAAAAAAGAACGGACAAGTTTGACTCAAGAACGGGCCGCTTGAGGTCAATGGCCAGGGTTTCAATGAATCGTTCCCGATTATCCTGAAGAAGATACGCAAGCTGGATGAGTTGTGTCTTGCGGAATAGGACGTTCTTGGTCTTCCCAGACGCAAAGCCTTTAACCAAAGCCTCCCGAATCTATGGAGCAGAATGAAACGCCGATCTGATCGTACGAAAAACGCCAGCATACTGCAGGGATTTCCTCGATGGGGGTACTGTAGAAGGACATAATGAGCGGATAGGATTGCAGAACGAATGTGAACCAGGAGAAAAATGAGCTGGCGAACGTAGAGTGGAAGGTGGCATCCGGGACCTCGAGTATTTATTCCCAATGGTGATTATCAATGCAACGTTCGCTTGCTGTCGTTTCGCGTAGAAAGCACGCATGGAAAAAGACAGCAAGCTATGATCGAGTCTCAAATCAGAATCCGCGACTGGCGGACTTCGCAGATTTCATCGCATTTGCGATTGTCCGGTTGCCTTGGCATAGGAAGGTGAGTACATTCAAGTATCTGATTTCCCATGTAACTTGCCTTAAGGCAACCTGTTGTGACTGAAGGTCGCGTGCGTTCAATTGAGAAAATGTTCTGAAGGGCGCAGCTGCCTGAAACCAAGCCTGTTGTTGTTTGATCACCACACGTCAAATTGAGGGACGATCGTTCTCCGGGTAAAGCATTCCTGCCGATCGCCAATAATATATAACTGTGGGAGTCCATCGACCGCGATTGCGGCCTCACTGTTCGAAGCAGAGTTACATTGAAGCTCTGGAGACGAATTTCGAGTCCGAGCATTCGAGGCGTGTTATTACTATTGTCTATTGCTTTGACCTTTATTGATGGTCATTTCTGTGGACTCCTCCCTATCTGAGTAACCCTGCCAGCTTATACACCAGACAAAGGCCGCCGTCATCGACGGAACACATATGTCTCTCTATGGCATGTGGATGTCGCTACAAGTGTTACACGCACGCATTTTCTTGTTTCGCTCGTGTCTTCTGCAATCCGTACGTGTGTTCTGCGAGCTCGTTGTCCTCGTTTGCTTTCTGTGTTGCACCGAACAAGACGACATCACCAGTTGAACGTAGCCTTCTTTTTAAGTGTTTAATACTGATCAGTCCCGTTAAGGATCGCAGTACTCCAGTCGGAATATCCATATACGACCGCCAAGATAGACCATAAGAGACGAGAGGACGATAGATGATGAACATCCTGAGACGGTCCAATACCAATCAACTGAACGGTCAACGAGTTGTCCAGAGTTGCTTTCCGAACCACTCGATCTCGTGTCGGTAGAGCATCTGGTTTAAAACATCTGTACTGCACCGAGGTGCAAGACCTATCAGACTGCGGCCCACACCTTTACAATCCGAACTCAGGCGAAGGATGCCCAGGTGACCACGTTGATATGATGGTGAAGTGTAGAAATAATTGCAGAACCAAGCGCTTTCAAGTTCTGCAACGATGCGCCAGCAAAGTGACCAAACAAGACATACAGCAGCAGTAATTGGCGCAAAATGCCCGCAAATTGTCATGTAGCGCAAGTCTAGATGTAAAGGGTGAAGGTCGAGATACGTCCTGCATCCGGCCTTCCGGGAGGACATATTGTATTGTCGGCGCTTCAGCAAGGAATTGCCTTATTTGAGTTTTCTCTGCACAAACGTAGCCTTCTCAAGCCACCACCCGCCTTCAATGGCTACCATCGCTGCGTCGCGCATTGCTGCGCTGAATCGCCTAAGATGTTCCATATTCCAAACATCCTATAACCCACAGTCTATCCGAACCGGTGCCAAGTACCTTCGTGCACGTCTCAAAGGTCCATCCATGATCAACTACTACCCACCGGAAGTCAATATGGCTACATTCGTGAAGGGTTTCCCAGATGAGGGTTTTGTGGATTTGGATGAAGAGCAGCGACTACAGGATGTCATTGACAAGAAAAAGAGAGGAAAGGGTGCGCCGAAGAAGGCCAAAACGCCAGGTAAGCAAAGCACTTCTATTTGTTCCGAAGTTCAATTACTCACATTGTGGCAGAGGAGAGTCGACGGAACAAGAAGCGACGATAGCCAACGTCGCCGATTGCTACATTTTCGTTCTCATGGTGTTGTACTATATTGCTCCTCTAATCACCTGTCCATACGCTTCACGCATCCCGCCAACTCAGTGGATATTTTCACAAATTCCTTTCTGCAAGAAGACCATAGCATGGCCCAATTTGCATGATACCGATCATGCAATGATAACGTACGAAGCCTACTGGCTAACATTCTCAGCCCCAAGCAAAGTCAATTCACTTTCTTTTTCTCTCGATCTCTGTTCTTCGACCCTGCTACAGAATACCCCAATGTTCCCACTAAAACCAACCCCGCCCCTGTCCACATCATGATTTTTCTAGCTCCCTCCATTCCCGTTCCAAACAGCATGACACTAATGACAAGCGAGACCGCTTTGCGTATAACAAGCACCAACGTCACAGTTAGTGACGAAACCCGTGAAGTGAGGCGGTGTACCCCGGAGACACAGACCAGCTGTGTGACTGTATTGAGTAGCAGGATGAGGTAACTTGTTGGGATGGGTATAGCTGGTATAGAGTGATATGCATCGGTGAACGTCTTGGACTGAAAAGACGATGGAAGGACAAGGTGCATGACAGGGCCATTGTTCAGAGCTTGAAATTGATCGAGCAAGTCTTGTCGAACAGAGTAGAACATTGGCATCGAGAGAAAATGCAGATAAAACATGGATTCCTGCCATGTTTCCGGACGATCATTCTTCTTCCCCGAATATTCCTTCGAATCCTTTGCGGGAGCTCGGTTTCCATACCGAGCATAGGTCTTGTCTTGGATTATGCCCAGAAGTCCAGAAAGAATGAGAGCAAGTAACAAGATCAATATTCCGCTTGTATATGTATATGTGTTCTCGCTGGAGTTCTCTATGGCTGACGTTGAAGTTTCGGAAAACGTGTCTGGTTTCGCCGATTTTGGTTTGGAAGCCGATAATGTGGTGAGCACCACCCCCGCGGTGACGAGTAAGACGGACGCTATTTGGGTCCAATTGTACCTACGCATGTCCTATTCGGGTCGCCTCAATGGAACAACAGGCTCACCACTCACCTGCGGCCTAACAGTAACCAGCCCATGAACATACTTATTACCAGTCCTCCGCTTCTAAAGATGATATGGACCGACATGGGTATCTTGTAGGCGAACGCCGCATTGTTCAGTAAGGAAATGAAGTAGAATAACAGCACTTGAATGAGATATGGCCAGATGGGTATCTGTCGTGGTCTAAGTCGCGGATATGGCGTGAATTGAACGAACTTGGGGATCCCTCGTAGTGTAATGCATAGAAATTGAGCAAATGTGATCAATGAACCTGCTTGTGGATAATATGTCACTAGTTGTTCTAAAGCCAGTGCGTTACTGTGCTCAACCAGATTAATACTGAAAGCATTAAGAAATAGGTCATTGAGGAGATATACCTGCAACATCCTCCGAATACTAGCATTAGGGTCGTGGTCCAGTCCGAGAGTAGGGCCAGAGAAATGCTGCATCCGTCCGCCATCGAGTGCTATAACGTCGCTCTAAATGCTAGGGCAAAAGATCCTTATATGTTTGAAATGGTCGTAAGTTATGACTCGTGAATGAGCCAACTAGAGGCCCCTACACCATAGAGGCACAAAAGTAAGGCCATGCTGCACATGCCGTTCACGCGAAGCGCTGACGCTCATGTTATAACTTGCCTTCAGACTTCCATGTCAATACTTATAGGCTCTCGACAAATAGATGGTATACACCCAATCTTTCTTCGAAGACACTATCACAATACTTTATAACCTGACTCTATCGAAGTAAAACTTTAAGGTATGTTCTCCAATGAAAAATCGGTATTGCGCGGACGCTAGGAAAGTCTGACATCGATGCTATTGTCGATGCATTGACCGTGTTATTGACCAGCCACGAGCAACCGTTTTCATGTTGTACCCAGGTCTCAAATCTCAAGGAAGAAATGTTGGAGGTTATGAGTTCACAACCTGGCTTCCTCCAATTTTGTGTCGCTATATACTGACTTCACATAGTTAGACCCACGGCCTATTTCAAGCTGTGGTTGAGACCAAAGCTCCGTCGAAAGAAAGAACCGAAACGGCGTCATCAACCCGGTGAGGGTCACGGAACTGAAGTCACGAAGTTCGTCGTGATCTATGCGTTCAGAGCTTTGGCGTTACATTGTCTTTCTCTGATTGTGTTTGAGAGCAATGCTCGTACGCTCATGGTGACATCGGTATTTTCAAAAACGAATGGAGGACCGGTCTGTCGTTTTGACAATAGGCTGTGATCTGGCTCGCTAACGCCTGTCCGTTGCCTACAGTCGTATAGAAGGATTTGAAGCTGTCAAACGGAAGATATGTGAGGAGTGGCGTCTGGTCTCCGGTCCTGCCTCCTTGCTGGTCAGATACCTTTGCATTGGTCACTCACTATGACCGCATCCTCACACTTGTCCTTGACTTTATTCAACGATCTATGGAGCCTTTGAGTGTCAAGATTACATGCCTGAGGGCACTTTCTGAACCCCTAGAGGTTACCGTACATAGTACGGGGCTAAATTCTTCACTGAGTCGTGCGACTCATCATTCTAAGGCAAGACCTTGGACGCCATCGCTCTGAAGCTCTGTTATCTTTGTCTGTTTGGCCTTGCTGACCCGATGTCAGCAGAGATCATGCGGGAAATGATGAAGCTTGGGGCTTTCGTGCGATTGAACCAGCATACCCAAGGGGGTTGGAGAGACATGAAGGATGTCCTCCGAGCGCATAACGTTTGGATCGTGACTTTACGAGTGTCAGATTCACTGGTGGGAATGAACACGATAGACCTCCTGTATGTCTTCCACACGCAATTCGAATGTTTAGAGCTATCCGTACTTCCGCAACCGACGGTTGGGAATGGTGTTTTCAACTTTGAGTCTTGTGGGTTTCATTGAATTTACCTCAGCGTGTTATTCCCCACTGCCAGGAAGATGCATTATTGATTACAGTAATGTTACAGTTGTGGTCAGGTCCTGTAAGAGATGACATCGATGAAGACTGGAGCATATATCTATTAATTGAGGTCATGAAGCGGTACCAGTCCGGTAAGATCAGCCGCTATGAAGCGCCGTCGTAGTACGCCTATAAAGACTCTCTTCTCGTCTGCCACGGTATCTCTCTAAGTCTCCCGCTCTAAACATCTTTATGATATCTCACTCTAAGCACTCCTCAATCACGTTTTGACAATGTCAGATTATACAGGCCCTCCGAGCGATGCTTATGATTCTGACGGGTCCGATTTCGAAGATGTAGGCATGGTCCGCAGTGTCTGGCCAGCTCCTGACCCGCGTGTTAGTTTCAGGACAACGACTCCGATTACGATGTTCCTGTCGCAAAAGACAAAGGAAAAGAGAAAGTAAATGACGTCGAACATCGTAGCCTCTCCGCTGTATGTCTGCAACAGACGTTAGACGATGACATACGCCGTGTGGCAAGTGTCACCGGTCTAGAGGTTCGCCTTTTTTGTGCGCCGTGTATGCTATACATTTAATGATCTACGTGTACATCTGCAGCACCCTATTGTGTCTATCCTACTACAGCACTTTCGATGGAATGAAGACCGCCTTTTCCAGAGGTTCATGGACTCGCCCTCCTCTGCCCTTCAAGAAGCTGGCGAGCCTAAGGATGAACTGACCATCAGTCGTCCCGCGAAGCGTGTCAAACTGACTCCGGAGTTATTTTCTTGTGGAATCTGTTGCGATGAGCCTGATCCGTCCGAGGTTTCCAAGTTACGCTGTGGCCACTCGTTCTGTTCCAACTGTTGGCAGACTTACATCCGTTCAAAAGTGATTGAAGATGGACAGGTTCTTTTCGGATGTATGGAAGATAGTTGTCGGACAGCAGTTGATGAATCGTTCCTTGCCAAACATGCGGATACTGCATGCCAAGATAGGTACGAGAATATCACGCACTATGCACATTCGGTGAATAAGAGCACTTAACTACTGACCGGTACAGATACAAGGAACTACTCAGACGCGACTATGTCGCTGCAAACCCCAACCTACGATACTGCCCTTACCCCTCTTGTACAGAGACGGTCTTCTGCACTGGAGGACGTGCTTCTTCACTCGTTGTGGAAGTCCCGACGGTCACCTGCGGCAATGGACACTCGTTCTGTTTCGGATGTGGTATGGATAGTGACCATCGGCCGTGCATTTGCAAGTACGTCAATTTATGGTTGAAGGGCGCCCGCGAGGATTCAGGGACTGCTCAATGGATGAAGGCGAACACCCGCGAATGTCCCAAGTGTCACCATAATATTGAAAAAGCCGGTGGTTGCAAGTATGCCATTTCACGTTCATTTGCTGAGAGACGCATGACGACGTTTCTTGCGACAGCCGAATTGTTTGTAGGTTTTGTCGATTTCAATTCTGCTGGTTGTGTCTCAAGGATTGGGATGTCCATGGATACAATGGAAACGAGAATTGCACCGCATGGAAGGAGCTGGAACCCGACGATGACGCGACTGCGGCTCAACAGCTGCTGAAGAAGTTCTTGTTCTACTTCGATCGATTCAATAATCACGAACTTTCGGCTAAGCTTGATCAACAGCTTTGTGAACAGACTGAAGAGCGGATGCTGAGAGTGCAGGAAACTGGGCAACTATCTTGGATCGAGGTTTGTTCCCGAACGTATGTTATTTTCCTGGTCAACGGACTAATAGACCATTGCTTTAGTCGAAATTCATGAAACAAGCTGTGGACGAACTCACCAAATGCCGGGTGTCTCTGAAATGGTCATATGCCATGGCGTATTACCTTGCACCAGGCAATCACAAAGAGATCTTCGAGGACTTACAGGCGTAAGCCCCACTTGATATATCATCACCTCGCATTGACATGGAATGCAATTGCAGCAACCTCGAGGCAGCTGTTGAAGAGCTGTCTCAGATGCTTGAGGAGGAGATCGAAGAGGATACTGTGAAGAGCCTCCGACAGCGTATGATGGATAAGACTGTTCGTCGAATTCTGAAACACTACTCGATCAGTACTGACGTCACACCTGTAGATCTACGTGCACCTCAGACATGACATTTTGCTCCGTGACACTGCAGCAGGTCTGCTTGAAGGTCGCTGGGAATGGGTCGACAAGTCACAATAGACAGTCGATCTATACTCGAGGTTGTTAGCACTCTCTTTTCAATGGAGCGATACCTGTAGTCTTTCAATGGCTGTTCAATACACAAGAGAGGTGGTTAATGATACTGTGTTAAATCTATAATGTCTTACAATTCGGATTAGAGAAACATAATACACTACAGATGCGCATGGAAGTTAGGTACAGGGTTGAAAAAGTCCAGAGTCGATGTTGCCCAAGTTCACTGTCTTGACACTAAATGGGCGACGTGTAGACACGACATCTCTAAATTTTGAACCCATAACTGCGCATGCAGGCAATGTGTTTCTGGACGACCTCTTGACATTTCTCGTCCGCTTCAGTGGCTTCATAGCGCAAGAAGCAATCATCCCGAAGAGACTTCGTCTCAGGGCAAGCACAACATCTGGCAGATATCATGAAGCCATAAGGTTCAAGTTGTCAAAATGACATTAACTTACGGCTTGAGACCCTTCGGATTGAGCGGGTTCATCTTAGGGTCTGTTGGGTCGAATTTGGGCTCGAGCACCGGAATCGGCGCTGGTGACCCTCCCCACCAGTTTGTGAGCTAGGAAAACGTGTCAATTCTGTACCACATAAAAGTATTAAGGTCTCTCACTCTCTCGAACATCGTGAGGTTCGTTCAAGACAGGATACTTTTGCACACAAACCATGACGCTTTGGTTGGATGACTAAAGGAAGCGCTCATTGTCGGATGATCCCGGGATTCCCCATTCGGATCGGTTGTTTGAGTTTGTAAGTTCGTTCATGATGTTCTTTTGGTAACGATCTTTAAAACTTTGATACGCAGTTGAGGATCGGAAATTGCTTCACGATTTGCACACTTCCAGCTTGTTCTCCCGGGAAACATACTATGGGACCTTATCTGCGGCACGTCGCCGTCGTTTGTTGGAATTCGCACGCCATCAGGCTCTGCCATTGTCCTGCTTATGATGACCTGCACAACGAGACGGTACCGCATATCTTTTCCGCATAGTATACCAAGTTCTCTACTTGTCTTGGCTTACTAACAGGTAGTCGTGTGAGGTGCCATTGAGTAGTGACATCGTGTACCCCAGGAGGTATCTCATGTATCATCACGAGACTCAGTCATCATGTCAAGCTCAAAGTACATGTGTCAACCTCTACTTTCTCTATTAGTATGGTTTACCCAGCCCTACAGATATAGATAATTGAATGTCGCCAGAAGACGCTTTCACCCTGATTTTCTAGGAAAGTATGCTGGTGGCGCAACCCCTTCTGCGAGCCAAACACTTGGGAAACGCTGGTATACCAGAGAAGATATCTTCTTCCTTCACATATGTGGAAAGCCTTGGCTCGCCGGCAACGCCGTTCCCAAGCAGGTCTTCGCCAGGCCCTGCAAGTTGAATCTATATCGCGATTAGGATAATCGTCACCTGAATTTGCTTCAGCGGAAGCTAACGTCAAGAGTTAGCCTTTGTTTATGGTACGTGCTGCCGGTGGCCCGCTGGAAGTCGGAATTCATTGCGGGTCCAAGTCTGTGGTATCGTCCTTCTCCGCGGTAACTTCATGCTGTTATGTGCCTATCTCCGAATTTCGCCCAACATCACTTGCTCCTGCTGCCATTCGTCATGTGTGCTTCGGGATAACATCACACCCATATTCCTAAGGACGTACTTTGCCGGCCGTACAAGGAACTGCACCAGTATACACCGGTTGCTTAGTGATGATTGTCTGCCGTCATCCAGGGACTTGCTACATACGTTCGATTTCGGTCTTAATACGTCAATTACGCTTGACTGGACCATTTCATGACTTTCGAGACTTTCCAGTCTTTCTTTGTTCCGAGGCAACTAGTCCGGACTGCCGAGGGTCATCGCGTTTCCTTTTGAGCTCTGGTCACCGTTCAAGGGGACAAAACTGGAATTGTCGACTCGGGGTTTCCGGACATACTTTAGCGCGGACTCTTCTTGTCGTGTTCCCCGGCCGCGTTAGTTTCTCACTGAATCATGCAGCAAGTTCGAAGTTACGCATTGACGTTGTGCTAAAGTCAAGCACTCGATACTGTTTGCACATGGGAATCCTCTATATGAATGAAGGATATGACACGTAAATGCCTCCTGTTAGAGGTGATCTCTGATGACATCCTCTTTTACAATGGGGCGACACTGGATAGGTCCTGTGGTCGTTTGGAAATTCCAAACAATGTCCTACCTTGTGCAAGTGTTGAAGGAACTCAGACTGAGACTTACTATCGTGAGTTTTCTGGTCATGTTCCCATGTTTGCAATGGAATTCAACTGGAAATCGACAGTTTCAGATCGAGTTCTTAACATCTTGCGACACAACATTCCTATCCTATCGTAGTTGATAGCAAATTTTCTTTTTGGCTTTTTGATTTTGCTTATTTCAAGTTGTCCTTGGTAGCGGTGTTGAAACTTCGTTAAGGAAGCGATACATCAATACCGAATTACAGCGAGTTCATGCTATCTTCCAACGTCCCATTGAATTAACCTGTGGGTTCTCATGTACAGTCAACTTCGACTTCGACTGCGTATAGCCAGCGATTAGCATTGCACTAACCTTTCACGGAAGATACGCGATTTCACTCAAATTGGCGCAGGTTTTTTTGTTTTTTTGAGAAAGACTCCTTGTACAGGTCTGAGACTCGGATGAATGATTGATATAAAGCATACAACAGCAGAGCTTGTCGTTGTAATGTACCTGAACGAAAGTAACAACCAAGAACACTGTTGCTATTTTTGGACGTGGAAACTAGCGCCTGCGACGTGTAAGTATAGGCGTGAGCGCGACTCGCAGCAGCTTCAACGATAACTCTGGCTGTAATGTTCGTGAGATGGGCTCTGCTGTTGGTACTCGGACTGGTTTCATGGGCTACCGCAAAGTCTAGCACAGGAGACTCTGTGCTTGTAATCCTTGAACCTAACCTTGACAAGGATAACTTCTCGATATTCTTCGATGGCTTGCGTGGTATGCATGTATATGTCTCGATCGAATGGCCACAGGCTGACCCTTGACATAGAGAAGGGATATGATCTGACGTTCCGCTCGCCCAAGGATACTCATCCACCTGTTCTGGAGCATGAACATGCTCAGTTCTCTCATGTTATTCTGTTTGCGCCGGAGACCAAAAGTACGTGTGCAATGAAGTCGTCATGATCCCTCAACTAATTCCCAACTAGTTTTTGCTTCCGATATTACTCCTCAGTCTCTAGTTACTCTGCTTTCGAAAAACACAAATCTCCTCATTGCGCTCTCGCCAAAACAGACGCCTCTCACGTCCCTCGCGCCTGAATTCTCTCTAGTCTTGCCTCCACCCGGCACACCACTCATTTCGCACTTTCCTGAGAGGGACACACCTGCCACCGTCATTCCCGTCAATGTTTCTTCTTCAAGTCCGATCTTGACTCAGGGCTTGGCACCTGTGTGGTTCTCCGGCATTCCATTCTCACTTCAAAATAACCCGCTTTTGGTTCCCATTTTGAACGCACCACCTGAGAGCTTCGCATCTGACTCTGAGAGTGACAATGGTGCTGACTCCATTGTTGAGGCTGCCGACAAGGGTGGTGAAGGTCTTTGGGCGGGAAGTCAGTTGGGTCTCGTTACTGGTTTCCACGCCCTTGGTGGCCCACGCGTGACTTGGGTTGGTGGAGTCGATATTTTCAGTGATGAATACATCCAGAAGGAGGTTGCAAAGTCAGTGCTACCTCTACCCGTTTCTGACCGCTTCTCACTGAAATGTTTCGTTGCAGAGGTGTAGAGTCTGGCAATGAGCAATTCATTGCTGATGTTGCGGCCTGGACATTCCAGGAATCCCTTGCTTTGCGTATTGATAGCGTTTCCCATCGCCGTCTGAATGAAACCGAACCTCGCGAAACTTATACAACCAACGACCAACTGGTAAATATATTCTCTACAGTTTGTTAGCTAGTTGGAAGTACTGACTAGGAAGCAGGTGTTCTCCACGCACATCTCGAAATATAACCCGGAGACAGCGGCTTGGGAACCCTACTCTGGCATTGATGACCTACAACTTGAGTTTACCATGTTGGATCCTCACATTCGGACCTCGCTGCCTCCAGTTCCTGGGACACCTGGCGAGTACTCGGTAACTTTCCGTGCCCCCGACCGTCATGGGGTGTTCAAGTTTGTAATCAACCACAAACGCAAAGGGTGCGTTGTGATATTTATCCACGAGTCAGATGCACATCCTAAACAGTGCATATTTTTATTTTCAGATGGACTCACCTTCAGAGTTCGACGGTCGTTCCTGTGGTACCCCCAAGGCACGATGAATACCCGCGGTTCTTGAGTGCCGCTTGGCCATATTACGTTGGTGCCATCAGCACGAGTCTTGGATTTTTCTTATTCTCAGCCTTATGGCTTGCTGGGGATGATAGGGAGAGCAAGAAGACGAAAGGTAGCAAGACTGAGTAGATAGATGTACAGCTATTTAATTATTCATGGACCATTGCTGGACTGCACATTTGTGGTTGCCTTTCGGTAGCCGTAAGTAACTTCAAATATCGTATCCACTTCACGCGAACAACCGAAGAAACCACTCACGGGACGCGTGGACTGCACGCCGTGGGTGGTTTCTTGCGGGTTTATTCGGACAGCTACCGGGTGGATCGGAAAACGCGCCCAGCCGTCGGTGCGCCTCTATCTCCGCCTTAACCGCTCGGCAGATGCCTTGCGAACACGACGTCAGAATTCTTGCGAGAAACGTTTCGTTCGACTGGGGTAACTCTTCGTTCAGCGGTTTCTTTGGTATTTCTTCGCGTTGCCTTTCATTAGGCCTTCTCGTTCACAAATATGGCTGGGAAGGATGAGTTGGAGTACCTCAAGTCGCTCGTCGAGCAGCTCAATGCCAAGATTCACGTCCTAGAGGCGAAGGCGAAGGAGCATCTCAAACCCAAGACGCCAGCACAACAACTCCGTACGATCCTCATGGGTCCTCCTGGTGCAGGTAGGCTCTATTCCGGTATCGAATAAAATTCGTGTGTCTGAACGAATATCTTACTTTGAACAGGTAAGGGAACTCAGGCACCTAGGATTAGAGACGAGTTCTGCGTCTGCCATCTCGCTACCGGTGACATGCTGCGGGAACAGGTCACTGCAAAGACCAAGCTTGGCGTAGAGGCGAAGAAGATTATGGATGCCGGAGGTCTGGTCAGCGACGATATCATGGTCGGCATGATCAAGGACCAGCTTGAGAATAACAAGGCTTGCAAGAATGGGTACGTGATGTTTTCCGAAGTCCGGACTTCCTCTGCTTTCTCTTTAGGCGCCATTTTTATCGTCTTCTGGGAAAGCCGTTGTGAACGAGGATATAGAAAGCACAAAGTCCTGCTTTGAGCGCATTCTTCTATGTTTTGCACGACAATCTGACCCAGTGACATGTTTATTTATTAGATTTGTTCTTGATGGATTCCCCCGCACGGTTCCTCAAGCCGAGAAGCTTGATTCCATGTTGGAGAACCGCAAGGAGAAGCTGGACTCTGTTGTTGAGCTCGTCATTGATGACCAGCTGCTCATCTCTCGTATTACCGGTCGCCTGATTCATCCCGGAAGCGGTAGAACGTACCACAGGGAATTCAGGTGAGCGAAGGCTTTCTCATCACTTTTCTGTAGCGCATTCTGAGCTTAGTCCTGTGTAGCCCACCGAAGAAACACATGGTTGATGATGTTTCTGGCGAGCCGCTCATCCAACGTTCTGACGACAACGTCGAGGCTCTCCGCAAGCGTTTGACAGTTTTCCACTCGCAAACGGGACCCGTTGTTGAGTACTACAAAAGGAAAGGTCTCTGGCATCCAATCGACGCGGCACAGTCCCCAAGCGTTGTTTGGGAGAACCTGAGGAAGGTTTTCACCAGCGGAAAGCAGTAGATACGTGACCATAGATCTTCTTCTCTGCATTTGGACATGCTCTAATGTATTGCATTTACCCATTGTTCTGGTGTATTCTTGAGCGTTCGATAGATGTATTGGTCAGCATGAGAGGCAATTGAGATGATCGAGGTAAGTGCTTTCCTACTGATGGGTAACTCTTCCATTGGTTTGGGTCCGGCCAACCGTCTATTCTCTTGAAACTTCGGGTAAGACGTCTAACGATAACCTCACAAGGATTGGCCTCGGACAATCATCATCTAGATTTCTGATTTAATGTCATGGGGTGCTTTTTCTGCTATCAACCTCAGGAATAAGTGCGGAGAAGACCCGACTTCTTAGACATTCATCAGTTCTGTGAGTACGTATCACTGCCTCATGCATATTGTTCCCAGCTTTCTTTCTGGAAAGTAGTTTATTCGAAGAGCCAACGCGAATCCAAAGGAAAGACGATCCGTAACGCGCTGCATCTTGCGACCCGTATCCGGGATAACACGGTCTATCGTTCCCAAGGGTATCCACGATTGACTTTACAGTCCAGACATTCACTCACTCAAGCAAACTTTGTGTTGCAAATTAATACGTTGTAACCATACCCGACCTCTACTCTGGATTTGGATGCTAGCGTATCGAACACGGAGCATTTTCAAGGTCCACATGCGAGGTGCCCCTGTTATGTCTAACAACACCTCCTGATCTCTATTTGTATTTTCGCCCCGCAATTCCATCTAACGGAATGCTAGATTCTGTTATCTAAACCTTCATGGTGATGTTCCTCCCGTGGTTCACCGCTCTACAAGCAACACTGTAAGGTGCTTAGCGTGCGTTGAGCTGATGAGCGCTAATATGTCGATCGATCATACTGACATCCACTTTAGGAAGTCAGTCAGGTATGTTCCGTAAACTGCAGACCCTAATCAGCGATGGGTTTGAACGTTGCGCGGAGAAGGGTTCAAACGGAAGCCAACAGTATTGAGTTTGAAAACCTGCCGGGGGGGGGGTCACTGTTTCAGTATCAACTGTCAGCAACAGCATCCTTGCACACCTGGATTCCAATGCTGAAATTGCTGTGTTGGCGTTGATCGCGTGGTACGAGGCTCTAACGCGCAGCTGCCACATGAGATGATGAGGTCGTATCATCGCCATTAACGTGGGTGTAACGTGGGTCAGTGATGCGTATGGACAGATGCTGGAATTGGCAAAGCACCAAGTCGGTTCACCAGGAACATTCACGTAGAAATGGCCGGTTTGTGGAAGACGACAAGTCGCCTTGAAGCCCGTACGAGCAGAATCCCGGTGCAGCCAAGAAAAACGATCGAACAAAGGCCGTCGGGCACACGAAACTGTCCCCGGTATTTATGTCGTCGAGCAGATTCTTCGTACCAAAGAAGAAAAATTGTATTTCCGGCATATTTGAAGCAAAAAACCCTGTGCGTCGCTGTTTGAAGGTTGCCGGGAGGATGCGGACGACTGCCACACTCTAGACCGATGAGTGAAGTTCGCGTGCTACGGACTACGGAACTCAATGTGGCATCGGTATACGCATGCAAAAAAAAAACCTCTGCTATAACAGTCCTCATTCAATGACTCCACTTGTGTCAAAATGCTGAAGATGTATAATGTGCTCTCTAAGCGAAACAGCGAGAGAAGGGAGGAAGTGAGATAGAAAGTTGTAAGCGCTTACAAAGATCTTGCATAAGCAGCACAGGGGGGTCACACAGGTTCCTCCATCATCAGAACCTTACTGCTACAAATTCTTCGGCTTCTTCGCTCTTTATTAATTATTCGCGATAGCAAGCGGTCTATTAACTAGGGTGTACTCGGAATGCGGAGGTTCAGTTGCGGAACAGTCTGAGCCTTACCTGCGCGGTTGCTGCCATGCAATCATTCAATGACGTTGTGTCTATTTTCTGCCAGTTAACAACGAATTATCCCACTGAAATCCCGCGGGGCGGCCCGGAGGATGAAGTTTCTTTGCTACAGCAGTCGAGTTTCAGGACGAAAATGACCCAAGACGCCGCTTTCAGCATCCCGACAGCGACGGTGTGAATAGAGGAATCTTTAGATCTTTCACTATTTGCTGAGCGGCAACTCAGCATCACGGTCAAGATTGCACGGCGCGTCCCAGATCTTCGCTTCGAACCGCCGCGACACCCCCGATTGGTTGAGTTGTTATTCGAAGTGCAATGTGATCGTTATAAATGCTACCGTTGTTCCTAAGCAGCACCTCCTCTTTCCTCCTCATATATCCCCTTCTCCTGCTTCCCAGCTCGATCTCTCATCAGGGTTCTTTGGGGCAGTGATCATCAGCTGTCCAATCACTCCTATCTCGGGAGCCGGTGGACGAATACTACTATTGAGCCTCACCTCTCTCTAACCTAACATGAAGACGGACACCCCTCTCCAGCGTGGAAAGGCATGTCTTTGCTGCAGGAAGAGGAAGATGGTACGCGTCATTGGTCGACGTCACTGTGGACAGAGCTTTATTCACACCCTATAGAAATGCGACGGAACTCGTCCTGTCTGCTCGCAATGTATGAAAGCGAACAGGGAGGCCGAGTGTCAATATCATGATAAGAAACAAATCAGTCGCACTCAACTCCTCCAACAAAAGGTCGCCAAGCTTGAGGCTCGCCTCCGCGAACTCGAGTCAGAGCAGTCGGATAGTTCTGCTGGGAGCTCTCCATCGCCATCCTTCTCATCCAGCTCAAGCGATGTCGGGTTGCATGGTCAGCAGTAGCGTCGTGTTGTCATATTTAGCTGACATTGAGCGCTGTTGCTACAGATCCCCCGTTAGGTGTTCTTGTTGGGAGTCCTTCTGCAACTCCTGACTGGGAGTCAAACCTCTTTGATGAGACAGCGTTTCCTGAGCTCTCAACGCCCTTCTTCGATTCATTAATATCCGGTTCTTCTTCCTCCGATATTGGAAGTTTCTCCGGACTCCTCGACACTCCTGCGAACTTTCAAGGCGGATCGCCGCTCCCCAATGTTTCGTATCCATATGGGCACGGGAACGCGATCGCTGGTCCCTCCTCAAGCTCTGCAAACTGGTGGGAGAACGCAAGTACTTTATGTCACAATAAGCTTACGCTGTGTGTCATGTTCTTTCATCTGATATCTGAATGTCCATACTGACATCGCTTCAGACTCGATATCTTCTTTGCACATCGACATCAATGCGCGTTCGATGTCCACGTTGAACGATTTCAGGCTTCTCTAAGTCTAGCTCCTCAGGATCAACCTCATCCCGCCCTCGTGGATGCGGTATATCTAATGGGCTGCTACTTCTCACGCTCGCCGAATTATACCCCACTGGAGTCGCATTTCCTCAAGCGAGCTTTGGCTGGCATCTCCGAGGCGCTGCAGGAAAACGATCGTGTCATCAATGTGCTTCAAGCGTCGTGCCTTCTCGCTCTCTATTTCTTTGGCCGGGGCCGCATACTCGAAGGATATTATCATTCATCTATAGCCGCCCGCTTGGCTGTTAGTCTAGGGCTCCATCAGATCAAGCCTGACAGTTGGTTTCAACTACAATTAGCATCTCTAGCTGGACCGCCTCAAGATGCAACTTCACTCACAAAATCTTCTGTCCAATTGGCACCACCAAAAGATGCTATTGAATCAGAAGAGCGCATAACCGCGTTTTGGCAGGTCTTCATGGTGGACCGCGCTTGGTCTGTCGCAACAGGGCTTCCTGCCGCTCTTCCCGATGATGACCATCCTCAAGCACAGATCGAGACGGTTTGGCCAGCACCGCCGGATGATTCGGTGCGCTTTCCCTCTCACTTGCAGCTTTGCTGAGATCGTTGAAGGTGCGGTTTCAGATTTCATCAGGTGGAGGCACATTGCCACGGTTTGATCCTGTTAATCCATATCCCACACTGCGGGCCAAAGCTGTTGCTCTGTTCGAGAGAACATTCCGAATGGCATCAGGTTTGTTGGAATAAACTTTATCAAATTCTTCAGTCCTATGATTGACGATCCTTTTGATCAGCATCTGTGAAAGGCAACCTGTACTGGGCAGAACATCGCGGACTGGACATGTCTCTATTTCAGTTTGCTGCGAGTCTTCCACCAATGGGTCTAACAGCATGCCTCGGTATCATTCCGCTGGATGAGCTAGACTTGCTCACTGTTCACACCCTTATACACGTGTCGACTATACACCTCCATCGGGATCTCTCTGACTCAACCCCGAGCTCGTATGAGAAATGTGTCGTTGCAGCGAACACGGTAACTTCGTTCCTTCGCCAACTTAGCGACACTGATTACCCATATTTGGATCCTATCAGTAGTGTGCGTCTCTTGCTTTTGTTCTTTCTCCATTAAGAATGCACTGCTGACCTCTGACGGGATCATTCCATAGACGTGCTGGTCTACCGTTGCCGATGTGTTCCTGCGCGCACTATCATCAACAGCACCTTCATTGGTTGCTCAAAGCACTGTGGATTTTGTGAACCAGGAACTGGATCTGATAGTGAACGCCATGAAAATGCTTAGCACTTTCTTCCCCATAGCAGGTATGAAATCCGGGCTCTTACTTTGAACCGTTGAAGATGCAGATTCTGACGGGATTCCATCTTTTCATCCTCATCAGGCATCCATGCAACAAAGATTGAACAAGATAGGACTATGACACATAATACATTGGGTTTCTCATGACCCTCGCCCTCATGCTCGCTTTACTTCTCAAACACTTCGCCTTTGCTTTCGTTATTCCGCCGCCGTTCTATTTACATCTCAGGGACTAGAAGTAACATATGTATCATTACTGCATATCTGAATCATCAAGTCGAACAGCATCTCATAGATTCTTCTATAACCTTCCTGTTATTCTTTTATTCTGGATCTCGGGTTCATACTCTTGTATACATACGTATTCTAGAATCATGTACACCATCCGGGGGTAAATCACTTCCGATAGGCCTCTACGACCATCTCACGAGTTCATCTTCTGTAATACACGAGCCTTTTTTGTTTCTTTATTTGGTTCCCCCTCCGCTGGAATGATCCTCAACTATACTGGACGCAGTGCTCTTCTAGCAAGTGCAGCAATGAGGGATCGAACCCTGGTTGTTGGAGAGCGAGCGCTTATCTCTGACATTCCGACTGGCTCGCTGCGGCCAAATTGAGTCTCATCTGCTAACTTAACTTGAACTTGCACTTCGATTCCAATACGTCCGCAATGGCGGACGAGTATCCTACCCTGTTCCGTGAGTCGTCTTATATGACGGCAGACATAGGACTAATTAGTTCATGAATAGATTCGGAACAGATGAGCTTGGTGCAGCTCATCGTTCCAACCGAAGTTGCACATGACACCATCGCAGAACTTGGAGAACTAGGCAACGTTCAATTCAAAGATGTACGTTTACAAAGCCTCTAACTCTATATGCTGGGGTAACCTGACGTTCTTGCAGTTAAATCCCGAGGTCAACCCATTCCAGCGTTCCTTCGTGAGCGAGATTCGTCGCATTGACGAGATGGCTCGTCGTGTTCGTTTCTTTGCGAATCAGATCGAGAAGGAGAAAGAGACAGTATCTATTCGCCCCCTATACGACTCCGCGCCTCTTGTCACCGTAGGCCCCCGTGCTGCCCAAACCATCGACGAGCTTGATGTCAAGCTGTCGGAACATGAAGCTCGCTTGACGCAAATGAATGAGAGTTATCAGTTGTTGAGTGAGCGAATGAGGGAATTAGTGGAGGCTAGGCATGTTTTGAGGGAGACTGCTGTTTTCTTCGAGAAGGTGCGTAGCGACGATGCCGATATAGAACAGTTTATGGACTGGTGTTGCACAGGCTGCTGGTCATGAATCTGACATTCGAGCTTCTCTCGATGACAGCGCTGCCCCTCTGCTGCAACATGAGGATAGAGAGAACTATCCTGGTCACGTCGAATTCGACCTTGAGTGCGTATCGACGTTCGTACGTGGCATCTCTATTCTGAAGCTCATTTTTACAGGTTCGTTGCCGGAACGATCGAGCGTTCCCGCCTGGAGACATTCGAACGTGTACTCTGGCGAGTCCTCCGTGGCAATTTGTACATGAACCACACAGACATTCAGGAACCCTTCGTTGACCCTGTCACTGGTGTTGAGACGCGCAAGAACGTCTTCATCATTTTCGCCCATGGTGAGGTTCTGCTCGCCAAGATTCGCAAGGTCGCCGAATCAATGGGTGCGACGTTGTACCCGATTGACTCGAACGCGGATAAACGTGTAGAATCTCTCCGTGAGGTCACCGGAAGACTTGAAGATCTTCAGGTTGTTTTGTACAATACTGGGAACAATAGGCGCATGGAGTTGGTCATGATCGGCGAACATCTTGCGAGCTGGCAGGACGTCGTTCAGAAGGAGAAGGTCATTTACGAGACTCTCAATCTACTGAACTATGATGTTCGCCGTAAAACGCTCATTGCTGAAGGTTGGTGTCCCACTCGAGACATTCCCATGATCCAAGTTGCTTTACGGCATGCTACGGTGAGCAATTTTTCTTCATTGTATGTTCTTCCTACTGACAATCTTTCCATTCTTCCGATGACAGGAGGAGTCGGGTACCAACGTCCCACCGATCTTACACGAACTCCGTACCAATCGAACACCGCCTACGTTCCATCGTACGAACAAGTTCACAGAAGGGTTCCAGACCATCATGGATGCCTATGGTATTGCTTCCTACCAGGAAGTCAATCCTGGACTCTTCGCAGTGATCACGTTCCCGTTCTTGTTTGCGGTCATGTTTGGTGATATAGGGCATGGCTTCATCTTGTTCGTCTCGGCACTCTTCATGATCTTGAGGGAGAGGCAATGGGCCAAGCAGGATCTTGGTGAGATTTTTGGGATGTTCTTCTTGTAAGTATGGTCTGCTTTTATGCGTGGTTTAGTTGGCTGACTTTGTTCATAGTGGACGATACATCATTCTGCTCATGGGAGCGTTTTCGATGTATACCGGTCTGATATACAACGATATCTTCTCAAAGTCCTTGCATCTCTGGCACTCTGGCTGGGACTGGCCTGAGGTACATGCAAATGAGACGGCCATTGCCATCTCCAATGGTCATACTTATCTTTTCGGTCTTGATCCTGCTTGGCACGGCGCGGACAACGCATTATTGTTCACCAATTCATACAAGATGAAGATGTCTATCGTTCTTGGTGTTATTCATGTAGGTATTGTCGTTCATGAGAACTGAAGGTTGTACTCATGGTCTTGCGCAGATGACCTTCGCTCTCTGTTTGCAAATCCCCAATCACATTCGTTTCAAGCGTTTCTCGGATCTCTACAGCAACTTCATCCCCCAAATGCTCTTCTTGCAATCTATCTTTGGCTACCTCGTTTTGTGCATCCTCTACAAGTGGTCCGTTGATTGGGAACACTCTCCAACAGGACCTCCTTCTTTGCTGAACATGCTGATCGATATGTTCCTCAAGCCAGGCACAGTGGACCCCAACACGCAGCTGTATCGTGGCCAGCCGACCGTACAAGTGATCCTCTTACTTATCGCTTTCATCTGTGTCCCATGGCTATTGGTGACAAAGCCATATTTGCAGTACAAGGAGACACAGAAGATCCAGGGACAAGGATATATCGGACTTGGGGGCGACGAGAATGCGGTTCACAATTCAGATGAAGTCCTCGAGGGAGAAGAAGAAGGCAATGGCCGTGCGATCGCAGAAGCGATGGACGAGGAACACGTAAGTTAGTTTGGAAGCCATTCATATCAGCCATACTGACTCGGCATGTGTGATAGGAGCACCACGACTTCGGAGAAGTTATCATCCACCAAGTCATCCATACTATTGAGTTCTGTCTGGGCTGCATCTCACACACCGCCTCGTACTTGCGTCTCTGGGCGCTCTCGCTTGCACATGCTCAACTGTCTGAGGTACTTTGGGAGATGACTATCGGGACGGTATTGGGAATGGAGGGTATTATCGGCATAGTTGCCGTTGTGATCGTGGGCTCTCTTTGGCTCATACTCACAGTCTTCATCTTGTGTATCATGGAGGTGCGTGTTCCGTTTCATATCGATACTTGGCTTCCGCCCCGATTGCGGGAAGATCAGGTCTATTGTTACATGCGACTGACACCTGTCTGGGGCTTCCAGGGTCTATCGGCCTTCTTGCACGCGCTGCGTCTGCATTGGGTCGAAGCGAACAGCAAGCACTACGAAGCGGGGGGATACGTGAGTTCTATTTCATATTCTGCTGCCAACCCGTGAACACGCCTGCTGACTTGTGCATGTAGCAATTTACGCCGCTGTCCTTTGCAAAGCTGAACGAGAAGGAGTGAGGTGGCAGGTACAACCCTCGGATAATGTGCTCGGACTCCTTCTATCTCATGTAGTTATTAATGCATGTAACTGGTATTCCCAATGTCCGGTAGTCAGCTGTAACCGATGTCGGAGGAAACGATGTGCTTCCCATTGGCCCAGTAAGCAGTGTTAGTGCGGGGTAAGCCTGATCGTAAGCACAGGCGAGGAATTTCGGACGCCTTCCCCTTCTCTGCCGGCCTGGAAAGACCTCGGAGACGCGAGAGGCCGGAAGCGCCCGCACTTTGAGCCTGGAGTACGCCACGTTCTGGGGGATAGCACCGGAGGCTGTGCTATTTTTCAATGTCCGCATAAGGAATGGTGTCGCTATATAAGCACAGCTGATGAGAGCGAGTAATTTTATCCCACCTCTCTTCCTCCTCTTCTTTCTCTTTCTTTGTCACCTAGACGGTTAGTGTCCCTCATCGTTTTCGACACACGGCGCCGTTGCTTACAGAGTCCAACGCAGACCCCGTCTTATTAGAATAGAGTGAACTAGACGTCCTTGTTCGACTCCGGCCTTCTCGAGCGTATATCACCCCTTTTTACAAGTACATCAACCATAGACACTTCAAAGGTACGCATATACCCACCTTCCTCGTGTTCTCTCAAGCAAGTCTAACAGTCTTAGAATGCAGATTAACGCCATGCCCGCTGTTACCGCCTCAGCCGTTCCCGTTACCTCCCCTGCTTCCCTCAAGGCCGCTGTTGCTCCAGCAGCTGGTCAATTCGACATCTCAGGTCTTTTCATTGCTGACAAGGCCGCTCGCGAGTCTTCCGCTGCCTCTTTGGCAGCTGTCGCCCAAAAGGATGGCCCCAAGGCACTCCAATCTGTTGGCTTCACGGATGCCGTCGTCAAGGCACTTGGCGACAAGAAGTCACCAGCTGCCCGCGAAGGCGCTGCCAACGCCGTTTCCACCCTGGTCAAGTCAGGTGCCGCAAAGGCTCTTGAGCCCCTATTCATCGACTCCGGTCTCTACGCTGCTCTGCTCGATACCTTTGCAGACAAGATGCCTGCTGTGAAGAACGCGGCCGTCGAGGCTGTCCGGGGATACGTCGCTGCGATGGACCCCTGGGCCGCTGGCCTTATTCTTCCTGCTCTTCTTCACGAAATCAAAACGGCTGGCAAGTGGCAGATGAAGACTGGTTCTCTCATCGTCCTGAACCAGCTCATCGCTTCTGCCCCAACCCAGACTGCTCGTCTCACTCCCGAGATCGTCCCTGTTCTTGCCGAGGCGATCTGGGACACCAAGGCCGACGTGAAGAAGGCCGCTCGTGATACCCTCGAGAAGGCTACGGCCCTTATCTCGAACAAGGACATAGAACGCTTTATTCCTGCTCTTATCAAGGCTCTCATTAACCCCGTTGAGGAGGTCCCCAATACTATCGGTCTCCTCTCGGCTACCACATTCGTTTCTGAAGTCGATTCTCCTACTCTTTCGCTCATGGTTCCTCTCTTGGCTCGTGGTCTTTCCGAGAAGTTGACCGCTACCAAGCGTAAGGTCGCAGTGTACGTCGTCTTCCTATGAATATATTGCTGAAATTGTACTGACTACTACTTTATTACAGCATCATTGACAACATGGCTAAGCTTGTCGACTCTGCTGTGACCGTCCGACCCTTCATTCCTAAGCTTCTGCCTGGTCTCATCAAGGTTGAGAGCGCTATGGGTGACCCCGAGGCACGCAGCGTCGTCGCTCGTGCTATCGCTACCCTCCGCCAGGTCGGTGACGTTCCCCACGGTGATGGCTCTGATCTCCCTCCTCTCAAGAAGGCGGATGAGAAGCATGTTGCCCACAACCTCATTGCCATCTACAAGAAGGCCAACGCCGACCCTGTCCCTTCCGTTGCAAGCGTCGAGGTTATGTACGTCAGCAACCTCGCTGCCAACCTCGTTAACGACAAGAACTTCGATCTCGCTGAGTGGCAAGCCCTCGCACCCTACCTCGCTTTCATCTCCACCCACCCCGACCCCATCACTATCGTCAACGAATGGGTCGTTCGTTCCGCTTCTCAAGATGACGACGATACTGAAGTCGCGGAGGACGAGGAGGAGGGCGAAGAGCTTTGCAACTGCCAATTTTCCCTTGCTTATGGTGCCAAGATCCTCCTCAACACAGCTACCCTTCGTCTTAAGCGTGGACACCGCTACGGTCTCTGTGGTAGGAACGGTACCGGAAAGTCTACCCTCATGCGAGCTATCACCAATGGCCAGGTTGAGGGCTTCCCCTCTCCCGACGAAGTCCGTACCTTCTACGTTGAGCACGACATCGATGGTAGCGAGGCCGAGACCGCCATCCTCGAGTTCATTTTGGCTGACAAGCGTATCGAGGCTGACAAGGAGGAAGTCATCGAGACCTTGGCCTCCGTTGGTTTCAGCGACGAGAAGCAGAAGCAAGCCATCGGCTCTCTGTCCGGTGGTTGGAAGATGAAGCTCGCACTTGCTCGTGCTATGCTGTTCAAGGCCGACATCCTCTTGCTCGATGAGCCCACTAACCACTTGGATGTTGTCAACGTCGCTTGGTTGGAGAACTACCTCACCAACCTCAAGACCTGTACTTCCAGTAAGTTCTACTCGTTCATTCTCATTAAGATCAGTATCTAACTTCGTATTCCACAGTCATTGTCTCTCACGATTCTGGCTTCCTCAACAACACCATCACTGATGTCCTTCACTTGAACCGCTTCAAGCTCAAGCGCTACAAAGGTAACCTTGAGGCGTTCATGAAGCAGGTTCCTGAGGCGCGCTCGTACTACACTCTGGAGGCCGCTGAAGACTACCAGTTCAAGCTCCCCGATCCTCCTCTGCTCGAGGGTGTCAAGACTAAGGAGAAGAGTTTGCTTAAAATGCGCAAGGTTGGCTTCCAGTACCCTACCCAGCCTGTACAGCAGCTCTACGATATCACTCTCCAAATTTCGCTCTCGTCTCGTGTTGCCGTTCTCGGTCCTAATGGTTCCGGCAAGTCCACCCTCGTCAAGCTCCTTATCGGTGATTCGGAGCCGAACAAGGGTGGTGAGATTTGGAAGCACCCCAACTTGGTCATCGGTTACGTTGCCCAGCATGCTTTCCACCATATCGATAACCATCTCGACAAGACTCCTCTCGAGTACATGTTGTGGCGTTACCAGACCGGTGAGGATCTCGAGGAGATGATGAAAGCCAACCGTCAAATCTCCGAGGAGGAGGCTCAGAAGATGAAGGATGGAGGTGTCGTTGTTGTTGAGGGTCAAAAGCGTATTATCGATGAGATTGTCGGACGTAAGAAGCTCAAGCAGTCTTACGAGTATGAGGTCTCCTTCAAGGGTCTCAGCTCTTCCGAGAACATTTGGCTACCCCGTGACGACCTCATCAAGCGTGGTTTCGAGAAGAAGGTCCTCGAGGTTGATACTCGTGAGGCACAACGTCTCGGTCTTCTCCGTCCCCTCGTTCGTCGGGAGATCGAGAAGCATTTCGCCGACTTCGGTCTCGAGCCTGAGTTCGTCTCTCACAACACTATGCGTGGTCTCTCCGGTGGTCAGAAGGTCAAGGTTGTGCTTGGTGCTGCAACCTGGCGTCGTCCTCACGTCATCTGCTTGGATGAGCCAACGAGTACGTTTTTCTTCATACCTTCTTATTTTGACTTCGTTTACTTATGAATATCTTCCTATAGACTACCTCGATCGTGAGTCGCTCGCTGCCCTCATCAAGGCACTCAAGGAGTTCGAGGGAGGTGTGCTCGTCATCACCCACAACCGTGACTTCTCCGAGTCGCTTTGCACTGAAGTTTGGGCCATGCGTGATGGCCGTCTCGAGGCTTCTGGTCACAACTGGGTTGAGGGCCAGGGCGCCGGACCACGTATCGACAAGAAGGCGGGAGATGAGGATGATCAATATGATGCCATGGGTAACAAGATTGAGAACAAGAAGCAGAAGAAGCTCACTGCTGCAGAGGCACGTAAACTCAAGAAAGAGCGTATCGCACGCAAAAAACGGGGTGAAGAGATCACTGACGACGAGCTCTAAGCTGTAAAAATTCGTACATTTATTTTTCTACTTGCTGTTCGTCATCCTTTGCCTTGGTTGTTGTATTGGTCTACTGCTGTGTTTCTAATCGGACGTGCCTCTATATCCTTACGTTCTACTATGTACTCTTGTACCCTAGCGTTCTAATTTACGACTTCATGACTCTGATCATATCACCTCGTGTGTGTGCTTGAGCGACTTCGATTCGGCTTGCGTGTGAGTCGGAGGGGAGTGTTTGGCAGAAACCATTCCTCGCAGTGTCCTTGGCTGATGAGGCGGTAAACGCGGGGAAATGGTCCGCAGCCGTTTGACTGACCACCAGCAAAGTTCTTAACCCTCTTTTGCCTTGCCTCTCTAACCCCGATACCCTCCCTCTCTCTTGAGGACTAGACGACTAAGACGATACCAACGCGGACGACATTCATGCCTGCCTATGACCAACTACTGGGATACCCTGAATTCGAATTAGACCCCCATCAGACATTTGCTTCGAACCCCGTGTATCTGATCGCGAGAGATGCAAAGGATTCGCTCACTCCGAATGAGACTCAGAGGAATACCCTGATCGCAGCTGGGGTTTATATTGTCGTTATTGCCATACTATGGTACGTCGTTTGAGCTTAAGTGACTTGAAGTCTAATTAAGTGTGCGTACGGAATTTTAGGCATGTCCCTTATATCTCATTTATTAGTGCGTATATGGTGCTTTTCGTTGCTTGGCTGTTTGGTGCTAAAGACATTACCTCGATCGTGAATGACTTTGTAGTATACCCATTCAAGTGAGTGTGTTTCGTGAGAGTGTTGTGTGAGGGTCGCTGAACTAGTTGAACGACTTTTAGACTGCTCACGGTCGGATTCCATGAGGTGAAGTATGTCCGGTTGGACTCTATCCTGTCAATTAACTAGTTTTCCTAGATGAGCCATGCCCTCGTGGGTGGTATGTGGCCCATCATCTTCAACGAACAAACCTTTGCTGAACGGATATGCAACGTACAGTGCTCACATGCGCAAAAATACACTCTATCGAACTTGATCGTACGCATTCTTCGCATATATCCTCCTCCTCCACCGTAGCAATAGCTTAACATATTTTATGTACAGCCGATGAGGGTGGCGCGACTCGTATGTCTGGTGGAATACCCTGGCTCACTCTTCCCGCCGGTTACCTCGGGTCATCCTTAATCGGAGCGGCACTGATCACTTGTGGGTTCAATACCAACGCTAGCAAGGTTGCGACGATTGCCCTTGCGGCTTTCTTTTTGGTTACGCTATGGTGGGCAAGACGGAATTGGATGTGTGTATAAACATTCATATCTTCATATCGCTGGTAGTGGAGGCTGAGAGTGTTGCTTTTGTAGTACTTGGGTACTCATATTGGGCATGTCTGGTTTGATCATCCTGTTCTGGTTCGTCGCTCAGAGTGTTGCACTGCGTTACCTCGTGAGTGCATCCGCTTTCTGAAATCTTGAAGTTCAGCTAACGAAAATGTACCTTAAGGTTTTGTTCATTGGCGTTATGTCCTGTTTGTACGTTCTGTGGGACATCGTAGGTCAGTCCTGCTATCTAACTTGAAATCTAAAGCTGTCTCTAACCGTATAATGGAAGATGATACGATTTCGCGCAAGGTGAACGGGTCAGACGCGTCTTCGTTCGCTAAAATCTGCGGTTGCTGCCCTTCACAAGGTACATATGTCCACATCCTCGACAACGATTTATATACTCACTAAAATGAATGACTTCGCAGTGTGGGGAGTTCTCTGGCTGCTTGAGGCCTTTGCCTTCTTCGCCGGCGGAATCTTAGTTGGCTTGGTAGCCTTCAAGGTCGGTTTGCTTTCTTCCCCCTTCGTTTTTATGTTTGGTTACTCAACCGAACGCATGTTTGTGTACAGCAATCTGCTGCTCAACAGAAGGAAGACACAAGCCACTTCCTACCCGTACCAGGGACCAATCATAACGGTGCGCTCAGCATATTCGTACCGCCCTCAAACATAGTGTCACTGTTGTCGGCTGCCATGTCGATGGTGGTCGTACTCTTAGCCTGATAGCCTTTAGCTGAGGTGGAAGGTTGAAGTAGGCACACGATGTGCCGAGTGGACGTTTTTCGTTTCTTATGATTCTGTTTGCTGTCTTGTTATATTGATTACCCCGTCGCTTGCGATACCGTATACCATGTAATCCCTTGATTCTTGATTGTAGCTACATAGAAGATGTCGGACCTTATCTTGTATTACATATCCTGCAACTTGACAAACACGATTTGAGCGCGACCACGGTATTGAAACTGCCATAGATGTTCATTTATAGCACTATAGAATTGGCTATATATTCTCGGACTCGACTGTTTCTCCCTTGGGCTCGCATGAGATATAATTCCACCTGTTCTGTTTCTTCATTTACCTTCTACTTGCAATACACGAACCTATTGACGGTTATAGCCCGAGTTTCACATGACATCAACTTCCAATCCTCGAGACGTACAGCAGGGAAGGACGTAAAGAGCGTCGATACAATATTTAATAAATACACACAAATGCAGAAACGTCAAAACCAGCAGTAGACACGAGAAAATGATTATCAAATAAAAATCTCCACTAGACTTTGACTTGTCGTCTTTTAACACTCATCCTGGCCTTGACTGGAATGACCGAGAGATCTCCGATTTGGACGTTCGGGGGTCTGGTGTCGAACGGTTTCACATCATAGTTCAACAATAGATGAGCGAGAGTCATCTTGATATTGTTACTGAACGTCGAGGTCAATAAGAAGCAATGAAAATGACTTCCTGAGGAAAGACACTCACACTGCGAAATGCCGGCCAGGGCCTGAGATCCAATTACAGTATGTGTTAGAATTGAAAAAACAGTCCGTTATGAAACAAACTCACAAGCATGAATTCCGTGGGAGAAGGTCAACCAGTGCGGTGAGGTGGTAACCAAATCTTCATTCACTCCCTTCTCATCATAAGATGGGTCTTCCCTGGGTCTGGAGAATCGGAAGGCATCAAACGTTAATGGGTCCTTGTAGAATTCCTCATCAAAATGAATGCCATCCATGGATACTCCAACAGTAGTGCCTTTGGGAAGCCAAATTCCATCCGGTAAGGTAATACCGTTGTCTGCCTTGACCTTCCTAGCCAGCGCTGTACCGCCAATTCCAGAGACACGCGAGCTTTCTCGGACGGCACTGTCCAATCGGTAAAGTTTGGCTAGTGCAGCCTTACTCCATTCTCCATTGTGTTCGGCAAGGACGCGGGTGGCCTCTTCACGCAGGAATTCGACGACTTCTTCCGCGTTAGGAGCGCTCCAGATGTCCAACAAGGCGTTCGTGGATGTGATAGTGGTCGTTGTAATGGCTGCAAATTGTAGCAAGACGATTCGATAGGCGAGGGCATAGACCGAACGTTCATCTTCGGTGTTTCTCTTGAAGGATTCACGAACCATCCAAGTGATAAAATCCTCCTATTGGAAGGGAACGGAAATTATTATCTTAGAAAGTGAGCAAATGGATAAGAACGTACTGGGGCTTCCCAGGCATAGCTAGGATCATGTTCCTTTCGCTGCATGTTCTCGATGCGTTCCGCAATGAGAGGTTCTAGGTATTTCATGCAGGTTCTGGCCTCTCTGCGGTTAGGATAACTGGCGAACAAAGTCACAAATCTAGTTTACAGATATGAGCTGTTGCCCAATAAGAGTTCATAATGGAGGACGTACGGTTTCATGAATTTTGGGAAGGCGTGAAGGATATAGCTGCTAACTGAGACATCTCTGGCGAAGCGGATGCCTGCCATGAGGTAGTTCATGTCCGAACCTAGATATATCGTCAGAATAAAATAACTTTCAACATGAAGCATACCCACAGAGCTCCTCGCCGACAAAGATTCGGTTTACAGCTCTACCGACGGTGCGGGTCAAAGAGTCGAATACTCCTACGTCGACCCATTCACCGCTGGTACCAAAGATATCGACCATAGAAGCGTCGATTTCTTCCAGGATCTCATTGTTGAGCGAGCCAATAGTGCGAGTCAACTCGCGCTTGATTAAAACATCGATCATGTCATTGGACGTGATCTCTGGGTGTCCAACGGTGTATGCGAACTGGGCTAGAAAACAAAACGATGAAGGTTAAGCTTAAGGCTAAGCATAGGTATTACAGTGACGACGGTCATACCGTTCTCAAAAGTGCAATCTTTTGCATTAAGCAAGGCATCAGGTGTTGAAGCGATCCAATTACCGTATGAAGGCGGTAGAATGACCTGCGGGCCTTTGGTCCACGTCGGTGCGACGTACGTTTGGTTCTTCTTGGAATACTATGCCGATGGTCAGTCAGCTAACACAACCTTCCGACAAGCCCATGGCATATCCCTACCATGCGGTATCCAGAGATATAAAGCTCCACAGATTTAATAAATCCCCTGTAGTTGGCTCGAATCGAAGCAAACAACTGGGGCCTCCTGCCTATCCAAGGCAGATGCTTTACGGTGGCATGTTCTCTGCTAGCCTTGATACTAGACACAGAAAAGAGGAAAAGAAAAAGGAGCGATGAAGGCGTCAAGATGCCAGCCCACAAAATGAACGTGAAGTAGAAACTGTTACCGATGTAGTCAAACATGGTAGGTAAAGTGAATTTGGTCGAGGATAGTTGTGGCCTTCATGTCCTGAAAACTGAGTCATTTATAAAGCGACGGTACTTCCAAGATACATTCCACAACATAAGGCAATGTATACAGGGACGCTGGGACCCTCGAAGCTTTCCAAATTCATGCATCCGTGCATCATGGTTCATATATCGCAGCTGAACATACTGGAGGCCTGTGCACTGGTTCCTTTCACGAGCCAGCCAATCAGAACATGGAGACGTAAGCATAGTCGCTTAATCTGGCTGCGTCAACGTAGTAAATCACCATCCGCAACACTACCTATTGATCGTTCTATCACGTATTCTCAAGGTATTGGGCGTACGAGCTTGTTCCTCTGGCGATAATACTCTGGTATATGTTCTTTTCATCTTTTGGAACAGCTTCCGTGGGTTTATGCCATACATTTCGGTTTCATGACATTTCAAACATCGGCAGTTGCATCTCGAGTGTCGAGAAAGATACGCCCAAGTTGCGCCGACTTCCTAACACTGCATGTCCTTCGAAACGCCTTGAAAATGCAATTCATTATCAGGCATGCGCACGGTATCCACGACGTCAATCACAGATGCGGGTGTCATCAATAAGGACTCTTTGACATAAATGCGATCTCAGTGTCCAACTGTGCATTTCTGCCCCTTCTTTATCCACCATGTCCTTTGCGACTCAATTCATCCTCAGTGCTGTATGTCTATTAGTCGCGGTCAGATTATGGCTGCGAAAACGGACGAACATACCCCGTGTAGGCGGACCTGGTCCACATGGCTATATTTGGACTGCCCTGCGATCCGTTTTCGACTGCAACAGCGTTGTTGAAGAAGGGTGCAGACAGTTTGATGGAAAGCCGTTTGTGCTTCCTACCTTAGGCGGTGACATGGTAGTTCTGGGTCCGGATAATGTGGAACTACTTCGCAAGTCGGATGACTCAGTGGTGTGTGGCGCCTCGTTATCACCGAGCTTTTGCTTGACCATAAATGATGCAGTTCAATGCGCCGGAACGTGCCCAACAGGTTTGGCCTCGATTTCTGGATTGTGCCATGTCATACTCATCCTTCCAGCAGTTATTCCAGATTAATCTTCAGTTTGGCGATTTCGCAAGTAACCCGTATCATCTTGAAACAATCCTGCGCTCCGACTTGACGAAAGCACTCAAGTCTTTGACACCAGACTTACTCGAGGAGGCACAACTGGCGATACCCGAAACTTTGGGAATGAAAGGATCAGGTAGGTAGAATATCATACAAGGTTTGTTCGAAATTGACATCTTTCGCAGAATCTGTCACTGTCCCGCTCTTCGATACTATGGTGAATCTCTTGGGTCGTGTGAGCAATCGTGCAATGATTGGTCTTCCCGGTTGCCGCGACCAACGATTTCTCAAACAACAAGTCAAGTTGGCCACGACGGTTATATCACTTGCTCAATTTCTGAACTGGTTTCCCGAGTTTCTGAAACCGTTGGTGCAACTTCGTCTGGGTTATAGAATTTCATCATGCTAACGTTCATGTTTAGTGTCATTTACAAAATAGTCTCCTTGTTTATAGGCGGCACCCGTGCTGTCGTTCCCCTCCTTACGCCACACCTTCAGTCGCGTATAGACTACGCACAACAGGCAAGACATTCAGTTTGTGCAGGGATGATTTTCGGCTAAATAAAGTTCAGGATAATCCGCAAACAATCACCGACATCTTGCTCAAGTTCACGCCTGAAGAGGATATCGTGAATCCAGAAAGGCTCGCCGTTCGAGTTGCACATCTTAACATGGCATCCATACACACTTCGTAAGTCTGATCTGGTTATCATACATGTCTCGTACTCATTGAGAATGAAGTGCGATTTTTACTACGCATGCCTTGTTCGAGTTGGCCCTCTTTACACCGGCACAAATGAAAGAAATTCGAGACGAGATCACTGCTGCCATTGATGAGGAGGGAGGCGTATGCAACAAGAATGCAGTGGGGAAAATGTACAAGTTGGATTCGTTGCTCAAAGAAATTGGACGATGGCATCCTCTCTTTGCTGGTATGTGTCTCATCAATTGTGCGATACGTATATTCAGTTTTTCATCATCACAGTCGGGATGTCCAGAGTCACCCTCAGCGACGCGGTTATTGCAGATGGGACGGTGATCCCAAAAGGAAGCGTCGTTGCTATAGCCCCCAAGGTCGTGCATTACAGCCCTGAGATTTACGACCATCCGGAGGATTTTGATCCCTTCCGTTTCTCGAAGATGCGGCAGTCTGCCGGAGGCAATGAGAGTAAACACGCCTTCACTGCGCTCAGTAGTGACTATCTATTATTTGGGACGGGGCGAGTTTTACATCCAACAAGATTATGCGTTCTCGCTGACATCATGATGAAGGAAACATGCATGTCCTGGAAGATTCTTGTGCGTCTAATATTATAATCGTTTTACGCTCAAATTCTGACCAGTAATCCAGTGCCGCTCTGAAGATCAAAGTTATCTTGGCCGAGATACTTCTGAACTACGATGTTTCTTATCCACAAGGCAAGGCCGAGAGACCGAAGGGGATGCCTTTCAACCTCTTCACCACTCCCAATCCTTTCGCGAAGTTGATCTTCACTCGGAGGAAATGCTGAGTGTTTGGGGCTTTTGTCGTTTGTAGGATGATATGAATCATATTCTATTTATACTCTACTGGCTCTCATCGACATTCATGTCTACATTCAAGCTTTCAAGATGCGTCTTCACAAAGCAGTGGATTTCTGCTCTCTGCATCATTTTCTTCTGCATACCGACCGTTCGCTGTCACATGCACACACGCCACTCACTCCCGGATAGCCATATCGCGGACAACGCCATCAATGGTGACTTGACACTGGCACTGTCATAAGCGGATATGGTCAGCCATTGGCGACGCCTAGTGGCAACACGAACCACATGCCGGCGGGTGTAAGTGTATGGAACGACCCCAGTCGGTGACTGGGATACGAGTAAGAAGATAATGAGTGGTATTCATTGATAATTGATGCACAAGGTTTAAGACGGTTCAACCAGCGTTAGCTATGTACTGGGAGTGTTCAAAATCAAAGAGTCTCAATGTGCGGTCAAAAGATCATCAAGTGATGACCGACGGGCTATAGGCGCTTATCTGCCTGGCCACGAACCTCAAAAGCTGCATGAACTTGAACTGTGTCCAAGTTATTCACTTTCTCACTACGGCAGATCCAAAACTAAATCATTTACAGAGCGTTACCTACGATCTTTCAAGGATCTTTCAAGGATGAAACCTCGCCTGCCATATGCACGAGTGTCGCACTGGTGGCCAGTGTGTGTCCTAACTTTTGTTGTCAAAGAACTTCAAGTCAAACGGTGATGCGTGAGTACTGGTCACACTCACTTTGACATTCCTGAGGAAAATGAGTAGCAAATCTTGTTGTTCCTCGAGGCGAGTGTGTATAAATATGGCCGGTTTTCGATTCAAGGAAACATCACCTCTCTCTCTCCTACTCCTACCCACCCCCTACTAGTACTAGACACAAGAACTTCAACGAATCCTAGTGCGTTGGCTAAACTTCATCAGCGTCTGCCTAAGACCCATACTGATCTTGCCATTTGTTTTCATCATCTTTGGCAGCGTATCCACTTATCTCCTTGCGATGGATCAAGATATTCACCTTCTCGACGACGAATGTTACTCGCGGTTGGTCAACAATTCGTATTGGTACAAGAAACACATAAATGCCAACCTGAGGATGGATATAACCCCGCAAGATCTCCTTTCATTCGACAAACCCGAACTTGATAAGACTTCGCTACTACACACCACAGTCCAGCGATGTCTCCCATACATTGAGCTACAGGATGCTATAATGAACCCGACCTCCTTCATAGACCCACTGAGAGCCGAGAAAATACATTTGGTCACTATATTTGAACAAGTCACAGTACAAATGCCGCCCCTTGTCCTTATCTTGGCCGAAGACTTTGCAGAGCTCCGCTCTATCCGCGAAATTGTCCTGGGTCACGTAGACTTATACTGGCAACCGACATCTCAACAAAACCTCCGCGTTCTCAAGATCTTGAATTTATCTCAATCTGATTCCGCTTCCGACTCATCGAGCGAATTTCTCAACATATTACGAGTATGTCCTATGCTCGAAGAGTTGATTCTGGCGAACATTCCTCCGATTCGGGACGACGTAGCAACTTGTTATATACCCCGAGCAAATCTCCCGAAGCTAAAGGATATCCGTATCCTCGGCACTGTCACTAATATTCGCACTCTGCTGGCCAATCTCAAGGTCCCCAGCTCAGCAAACGTCTACCTCATGCCTCACGTCGAGAAGAATGGTCAAGAGAACTTTACTGACTGCTTTGATCTCCCTGCGACTCATCAATTCTTGCCCTTGCACGAGGTCAACGGTGTTGTCATTACTTCGGGCCCACAACGCGGTGGTTTCATTGTCGAAGGCTTTCCCTATCCGGTTAGGTCATTCGGCATTGATCCATCTAGAAGTTATGTCGCACACTTTACCATTGAAATCCAGTACGAGGGTGAAAAAATCTGGCTTGGTTCTAGTATGCGAGGCTCGTATATCGTGGCGAGGGACATCGCTCAAGTACCCCCCATCTTTCCAAAGTCGTCCCATGTCACGCTTCGGTGCGATACTTCGACTGGAAACATCACCGAGCAAGACTGGAGAAAGGTCTATTCGAACTTCTCCACCGTGTTCCAGCTTTCGATTGAAAACATAGCCGACACTCGCTATGGAAAACCCAAACATCGCCAGCCAGAAGTTTGGCTTTCATCCCTTGGGGTACCAAAATCAATTGGTAATGTGTTATGTCCCGCTCTGAATAATCTTTTCCTCTGTGGCGTTACCGTGGATCAAGCACTTCTACGTCAGCTCTGCAAAACTCTCGGGGAGCGGGGCCTATCGTTCAAACTTTGCATGCTCACTATCATTCGTCGCAATGAGAATGAGGGTCTTTGTGAACAGGATTGGAAATGGCTCACGGGGTATTCTGGGCTGCTAGGTCTTGTGGATAATTTCGAATATTACCGGGATGTTGGTCCTTTCATGGCCGACGTGTGGTATAATGAATTTGGTGGGTCGGATTTCGAAGGTTTCTGACACCTAGAACATTGCGTCATTCTTGAACGTCCTCTCATGTAACCCTCTATCTTGTCACTTGTAGGCTATCGCGAGCCACAGCGGCCTCATATGTATGCACTGAAGTTCTTGACAGCTCATCATATCATTGAGTCCTCACTCACTTGCAATCGTAATACAAACCTCATAATAAGTTTCTGACATACAGTAAGAGAATAGGTTTACAAGCCAATAATACATTGTAACACTCGTATGTCACCGTCTCTCGCGAACTTTGAGCCAAACGATACCAATCACTCCGACTCCAAATCCCGCGATAAATGCGAAAAGTACAAGAACATCCCTGTAGTAATTGTTCGAACCAAACCCAAAAAGCTGTTATCGACGACGTAAGCTACATGGTCACATCAAGCCAAGACGATAACTTACAAGGTTCATAATCAAACTTGCCGATACGTTGACTGGCACGCCTTGCAACGTATCTTGAATCATCAACCCCGAGCCGACTTCGTTCACGGCAAGGGCTTCTAGGGTATATTTGAGGGGACATAACCATTGCAACCAGCGAAGAACCGGAGGAATGTCGTTCAGGTGTACGAAGAATCCGGCGAAAGTCATTTGGTATAATGCGGAAAGTGCACTGAGTAGAATGGCGATACCTCCGTTGCTGAAGAGGCACGCTAGGAGGAAGTTCTGCGCGAAAGTTATGGATGTAAGTGTGAAACGTCAGCGGGTAGAGAAAATGTACAAAGAGTGTCATAGCCAAGGTGTACAGGACGAGGATGAATAGGAATTTGAAGAAGTGTGCGGCGTCGTCGGCCAAGCCCGCCATCCAGTAGGTGCTATCAATCGTCAACGTTGACCATAGACCAATAAGTATTCGCACTTACATGCTGGATACGATAATGGTGGGAATGACGCGTAGGGGCAGCACATCGAAGAGGAACCGGGACAGCAGCCAGGCCGTCGGGCTACAAACGATGCTATGAGTCGAAAAGCGAAAACACAGGCCAGGAACAACACACCTATAGTATGACGCTGATCGCTCACGCAAGAACAGCGGCCGAATCTCTACTACATGATATAATGCGCTGAGAGAGGAGAATGCAATGAGAGCACCCTGCCGGAAGGTCGTTAAGAAAGTCCGGGTGAGCAACATGAGGTAGCAACATGAGGTGGCGACTTACCAAGAAGAAAAGACATCCAACGCGAGACTGGAATCCAGCGATGGTGATATCAGTATGGAAGTAAAGTCCACCTGAGGAAACACCTAAAATTCAGACAACGGTGCGATATCGTCGCTGAATCAAAACTTACCGCAGAATACACCCAGGACCGATGCAACTGCAACATGAGTGAAGAAAAGAGTATAATCTCTCTTCAGTATCTTCCACTCCCTCGCTGAAAGCACTTCCAATTGCGTCAAAAACGTTGCAGAATACTTCGATGACCGCTGCTTCGACCTTTGCGGTTGCACGTCCTTCTGCAAAGCGGGACTTCCATCGAGGTTACCAAGGACGATACTCCTCTGAGCGTGTCCCTTTTCCGAAGCGTTCACATCATCGTCAATTCGCTCCTTAGTATTCGAAGGAATAACTTGATCGTTGGATATCTGCGAACCGCCAGTCGATTGGAATAACGCCACTGGGGGATCGCTGGCAACGTCTAGGAGGTAGTCTGCCACGTTGTAGCCTTCTTGATAAGGTATGCCTTGTGCAGAGAAGTATTGAGCAGGAGCAAGACCGCCTGGGCCTGAGTAGAGTGCGCGACCGTGTGCTAACAGAAGAATTTGATCAAACGTCTGGAAGAGTTGAGAGCTAAGAAAAAAATCGATTTCAGTGACATTTGCTCATCAAAATATAGAGAGAACAGGATACCTCGGCTGGTGAATTGACGCAATGACGGCGGTGGGGTTCTCAGGATCATGAGCAAGCCCGTGCAAGACCTTCGCCACCTTAGACGCAGATACCGAATCCAACCCGCTGGTCGGTTCATCCAGAATCAACACGTCCGGACGTGCAACTAGCTCCAAGCCGATACTAACCCTCCTCATCTCGCCCCCACTGATACCTCTCTTCTCACCATCTCCAATCCTGGTATTCCTGATCTGTGTCAAGCCCAGCTTGTCAATAACGTCATCTACACGCGCCCGTTTCTCGGAGTCTGGAACGTTTTCGGGTAGACGCAGACGGGCAACGAAGAAGAGTGCTTCTTGGACTGTGAGCATTGGTGGGAGGACGTCTTGTTGAGGTACGAAGCCTATTCGAGGAGCTGATGAACCGGAGATTGAGGGGAATGTGACGATTCCGGTTGTGTACCCCATTTTACTCTTGCCTGCAAGAATCTCAATGAGGGTCGTCTTTCCGGCACCTAAAGATCACTTAGAACACTATTCAGTGAATAAAACAATATCAACCTACCGCTAGGACCTAGAATGGCCATCATCTGGCCAGGCTGAACCTGCCCGCTGACATTGTCCAGTACGACTTTCTGGTCAGCAAAGTCACCCTTTGCCTCCTTCCTCCGTCTAGCAAAGCCGCCAAACCAGGTACTCTGGCTAGCGCTAGGAACGAAATAGCTGATATCAGACCATTCTACAGCTGCACCGCCTGTCCGATTGGAAGAAGTCAGGCCAGTTCTTCGAGCCTTTCGTCGGATAAGCCAACCCCAGAGAAGGAATAGTAGGGCAAGGCAGATGAGGCTACCCACAACTGCTAAGCCTGCAATGACGCCTCCGCTGAGCGAACTCCCGCCGTTGTCTGTACCCGATGTAGTGGAGGAGTTACCAGAAGCTGCATCAATGACACTTTGCCTAACGCACTCTCCGAATGTGCAACCATCGAGGGATAGACCGGCGCTGCCAAACACTGAAGTGATGACGGCTTGCTTGAACGAACACGTCGCAGTATTGGTCGACGAAGAGGGCGCATCACATGAAACGCTCACAGTGCCGCTAAGCATATTGATTGTGCCTGTAAGGTTACTGAGGGGTATACCGCCACAGAAAGTAGCGTTGGGTATGCATGTACATTTCAGGTTATCGCAGTTCCAAGCAGATGCGCCTGAGCTAGAGTCAAGGTCTTGCGTGCAGCTATCTGAGGCGCAGTAAAACTGCTCCTCACCGTCATAGAACAGTTGAGCGTACATTGTTCCATTGGTACCAAAGCCGGTAATGTTGGGAAGAGGGGTTAGAGACGGGTCGAAGGTTCGTAAAACGTTGAGATTCGAAGTCAATGGGAATAGCGCTTGCAATGTTGGATTCTGACACCGTTGAACTGCGGGATGACACTAATGTGTATGACAAGACATACCTGAACTTGGCAGCTCATTGCTCCCACAGCATAGACTTTCGGTGCAGTATTGCAAACCAAAGTGTCATTCTGTCCGGTTGGCAAGCTTCCTGGTATAGAGCTTCCAGAAGATTGGATGACGGAGGAAAAACCCGCCTGGCATGCATTGGCTGTTTGACAGACATTACAACCAGTTCCCGTCCATCCATCTTCGCAAGAGCACCCAGCGGCAGTCAAGTTGGGAAACGAGTTCCCGCTTGGAAGTGAGACTAACGGGCGGCTAGTTCCCTGGAAGATGTTCCCGCCACATGCAGGTTGGGAACACGTTGAGCCACCAAAACCAACTGGACAAGCGCAAGATGAGCCGTTTACAGAGCCATAGTTTGTGCAGGTGGACGACATCCTGCTTTCGTGGTAGGTTGTAGGCTAGAGTGGCATAGTGAGCTTCTGCCGCACTTTGAACGAACCTTTTTATGCCGATCGTGTGAGAACCACATTTCAATAGACCAAACTCTATTTGGTGTATTAAAAATGAACGTTAGTGAATGCAATGCTTGAATTGTCTGATACAGGCTGGAAGAGTGCCATGTTCGTTTTCTGAGGTTAGTGACGGAAAGACACGGACGAATAGTCGACAAACAAAGGTGACATACCTTTCAAAATGCATCAGAAAAAGATTACTCATATCGTAGGTAATAAGCTTATACACAAATTCCCCCATAAAACACATAACTGAAATAATACGGTAATATTGGTGATTGTCCGAGTACTGTTACAAGTCGAGATTCTCAAAAGTGAAGGCAACACGATAATGTCATCGTATTCAACATCCTCGTCTATGTCGCAAAACAACCTGCACCGACCCTCTGCATCTGTATCTTCAGCAAGCCGGAACACTTACACTGATGTGAATATGGAAGACGCAATGTGAGAATTATGGTACGTACGACGGGCTGCTCGTCATATGGCAGAGCATCTCGATGTCGAAGAAAATACTAGAAATGGGAAAGCTCGCGCTCACGCAGGTCTATATGGGGTTTTCGGAAAGCTTAATCTTTGGAGGTTAACCTTCTATTACTTCGAACAGCTCCAAATGCGCGATTGTTGCTCATGGTATACTACAGAACGCCGTGGAGCCTCGGAGATCCAGAGGGCAAAGAGGTATGGGGTTGGCCACCAGTCGATTGGGCAGGCAGCCTAAACACACTGATATCATGGTACGATGACTCCACAACCAAGTCGATAGCGTTATCTGTCAGGTTTATATAGCCGCGCTAAAAGAAGTTATTCAGCAAGCTAGATGTAATGATTGAATTCATCAATTCAGCTCCCAAGGGCTGATGATAGATGCGCGATAATGAGCTAGTCGTGTTGCGCTAAATGTCCCCAATCGTCGTTGGACATAATATGTAGGCGATCAATGTCGGGGCTAACGTCACAAATTCGATACACGGTGACGTGGTTAAAGGCGCATCGCAAGCACAGACAATATTCTGAGTTTTCAATTACTTGGAACATACACACACCTTCAAGGATAAGCAGATTCTCGTATTCAGGATGCATGTGGGGTTACAATAGAACCAGGTTAGTCAAGAGGATAAACTCGTGCTGCACTTCAATATGAAGTAATGCATGGAGATTAACGGACTCTGTAAGACAAATGAACCTTTCACTTCACACATCGATATTCCCTAAGGACACCAAATGAGGAGTGGACGAAAACAAAAACTTGTAAATTCTTCTGCAGCCAATAATTCGCCGTGACAACGCTTTACGAATGATTCTAATACACGCCAATTTGCAACACACCTCTGGATTTGCGTTCGAAATGCCAAGGGCGACGACCTTGTACTCATGGTTCGTTGGGCACATGCATTCATGCATTCAGACGCCCCTGTAGCCTGTAGGACCGACCGTCGCACTAAGCATTACACTGCGGATGCGTACCTAATTGGCTTAATATGTGAGTTCGGTCAACAAGGCCCCGCTCACCGCTTTACAACATTGTCAGATATGCACAACCCAAGGAGAGTCAACGCATAACAGTGTAATAGACATCGTTAGGTACAGCTATAGTATGGTGCAGCCTGTGACATTTTTCTGCCACGTCCAGACCGTCAGTTGAGTAACAAGGTTCGGTGAATCGTGACCGCATTGCCTCAGTACGGCCGACCAGCGTGCGCTACGATAAGGCAATACACCGGGGCCTCAGCGGAATCGTGAAGTGGGAGAGAAAAAGCACATAATATCTCTGAGATGAAGCTCATAGTGGACAAAGTGGGCTGGTTAGTGGTAATGTTTGCGGATGCAGCGAGCATGGCCACTGTCATTGTACCATCGAGGACGACGATTGTGACGGGCGCTTACCGAGGAACGTTTGAAAATAAGATTTGAGAGTCGGACCGGGGCCATCCGGGGAAAAGAGAGCGAAGGGCATGGGTGGAGGATAGAGGTGTTGTGCACAGTCATCTTCTTATAGTCCGCGTCCTCGACATGCTGATACACCTCTCTTCCGTTCCTTAACCCACGTTCACCCCCAGGATATCCCTGTATATCCTCTTGACTCTTGGACGCGATCGGAGCTGTCGCCTTGACGTTGATCGTTTGTGTACTTGGTGAGCACTCTCTTCATGGCCCTGGAAGAACCGTTGTTCTCACTAGATGCGTCTCAGTTATTGATTGTAGAGATAGATCCTCGTTCTCCCGGTCGTCCCCATTCTGCCTTGTGGCCTCAGGCTCAAGCTTCCTCTTGTACCCCTATTCACGTCGCCAGGATGCTCGAAAGCTGGGGCTTGCATAGTCGTTTCTTAAACCCCTCCTCTTCCTCCGATGCATCATCATCCAATTCACGTTCTTCTCATCTCAGTATTTTGACTTCCACGTCGTCTATATCCTCCGCGCTGTCCGACGCGCAGGCCCCGTCACCTCCTTCCCCCACCCATTCCAACGCTTCCGGCTCGAGCAAGACTCATGCATTCTTTGGCTCACCGTTTGCAGATGGGTTTTCCTCTCCGCCTCCGCCGCCGCCACCGAAATTGCCTTCACGCGCTTCATCTGTAAAGTCTCAGTCACGCACCGCAGACTTCTTCGGAACGCCCACAGCAGACTCGCACCCCGGACCCCCACCGAATATCCATTCTCTTCACGGGAGTCCTGTAACTTCACCAGTCAACTCACCGCCATCCTCGCCACCTGCATCGAAGACAAAGGTTCTCCCACCGCTCTCTCGCATTTTCCCTTCTCGCATACCTTACGTCGCCATAGACGGCCTTCCTTCTCGGGAGCCGTCTTTTACCACCCGAAGAGACTTTCTCTACTTTGACAGTAATCATCCACCGCATACATACCATCCTGAATCGCCCACGTCTTTGGCAGACGCCTCCGCTTCTGGTTCTACCGTAGAAACACCGCCAACAACGTCTACTGCTACTACCGCTCCTTCTTCGACACCCGGACCGTCAGGATTACCCACTCCAATAGTATCTGCCACCGTACCACGCCACTTGCAGCCTCATGAACCCGAACGTCCACCCGTCCCGCTAAATGCCGGCGACCTTATCAGTGACTCGTCTCTCACGCTGGAGTTGGTGCGCACTTTGGGACAAGGTGCGTTCAGCAACGTGTGGCTTGCGAAAGATGCGAAGAATCAGCTGGGTGCGTTGGAGCTCTCGCGCAAGTCGAGTCTGATTCGAAGTCGGAGTCTGAAGCGAGGCAGGTCGAAACGCATGGATGGCACAATCCCCACCCCAACCCCGAAGCCAAGAACTACTGCTGCCTCGCGAGTGGGCAAGAAGAAGTCTTGTGCTTCTGAATTCGGATCCGAGGATAGGACTGATAGCTCGGAAAGTATATACATCTCTGCTGCAGATATCGGAGGAAGACCGGAGCCCGACTTGAAGAGGAAGCAACAAAGCTCGGAAGGCCGTCTCGTTGCGGTGAAGATGACAGATCGCACGCTGTGCGATAAGAACGATAGGACGCGAGTGAGCTTTGTGAGGGAAGTTGAAGTACTTCGGGTTTGTAGCCTATCTTGCATCTTCCACCCGAGACTTGCTTCCCTGACCTGCTTGTTTTTTTTTTTCCTTTTTTTTACCTAGCATATCAGCCATCCGTCTATCGTATCTTATCTCCACTCTTTCAGCACACCGTCGTATCATTGCTTAGTCCTGGAATATGTCGGAGGCGGAGATCTATTCGACTTGATTGACTCTGCTGAGAGTCATGCGATGGTGGATGAAGCGCTCATACGAAGAATGTTTGGCGAACTTTGCAAAGCTGTCGGGTGGATGCATGGTGTAGGTCTTGTCCATCGCGATATCAAGCTGGAAAGTAAGTTCTTCCATCCATTCTTCCCTTATCAGTCGCAGTAACTCACAAAACCGACCTCCCCTTCTTTTTGTGTCTCTTAAGACATCCTCCTCACCTGCCGTCCACTAACCGACCCTCTGCCTAGCCTCCCAGCCCCTCTAATCAAACTCACCGACTTTGGGCTCTCCCGCTTCATAGACCCAAACCAACCTCTCCTCACCACGCGCTGCGGCTCAGAATCCTATGCCGCGCCAGAGCTAGTTACAGGTCGGCCATACGACGGACGAGAAACGGACGCATGGGCTTGCGGCGTGGTCTTATACGCCATGGCAACGCGACGATTACCGTTCGACAGACCAAAGCAAGGACATCATGGACCCAAAGAGGAGGCGAAACTTTTTGCGAAGGATGGTGATCATAATCGGGCGGAGCGCAAGGCGCTGTTGGTCCGTATTGCGAAGGGAGAGTATTCTTGGCCTGTGGTGGATGATGTTGATGCGGATGCCGATGTTGGGGCTGTGGAGCCGTTGCGTGGTGTAGGCTTGTGTGCGAGTGAGGGTATTCGACGCGTGGTTGGGAAACTCCTTGTTAGAGAGGCGAAGAAGCGCGAGAAGGTCATTGATCTTTGGGAAGACGAGTGGATGAAGGGAGATGGTGCGCCGATTCCGCCTCAGCTTCCTATGCCTCAAGATGAACTTCCGGGTAATGCTGCTGCTGCTACTTCTCCTTCCTCGACAACGACGATGACGATGACGGGTGGTGACGAGGAAGCTGAAGCTCAGCTGCCTACCAATATCCTCCACAATCATGGTGAAAATGAAGTCTGTGCTGCTTGCATAGATGCGTTCGATGATGAAGATGTGGATGATGGTGTACTTGTTGATGGGGATGATATCGGACCAGGGTCTGTCGCTCGTCAGGAGCATTAGGACCTCCCGATCATCATGCCACTTTTCGAGTTCCCCCATTCTCTTTCTTCGATCTGATTTGGAGTTCTTTTTTTTTTCGTGTGTCGACGATGAAATTGTAGGAAAATGATTCCGTTGTCCTCTTGTTCCACACAAAGCTATATGGGTAATCTATATGTTATTTTGCTGTTGTTTTTATAGTCTAGTCTCCACCTCCACCTGCAGAGTCGTTAAACCGTATATTGTTTTCTTTTTCCCTTTCTCTTTCCACTCAAGCTCCCCTAGGCCTTCCCAGCATCATGTGTTTACACCCGTCGTCGCAATTTCTTTTTCGTCGTTACATACATCCTATATTTCTATTTGAAGCCATGGTCACCCCATCCATCCATCCATCCCCAGCTGTGTTTGCATGTGTATATGATATCAAGCTTATAGCCCTGTGTTTTTTTTTTCGTTATTCTATCACCCTGATTATGTCTGTTTTGTCACCCAATAATGTAATCATGTTATGACTGTTTCGTGGTGAATATTTCTTGTTGCTATGGTTGGTTTCTATTGTCTAGGCGCAACAATTCAATGTTCAGAAAGAACATTTTATAGCTACATTCAAAACGCTGAGCTCCTGCCAAAAAAAAAATCAGCTTCCGGCAGCATTGGTAACGCAACAGTGATGCTGAGTGGGAGGAATTCAATAGTCTCCCGTAGGCAGCCCTTAATACCGGTCTATTGGAGAGGAGGCCTAGGAGGGACGACCCGTATTAGGAATTCAATGCTAGTCAAGCATACCACCCTCTTCCGCCTCTGGGCTCCTCGTTAGCAGGTAATTCTTATGGTTTCAACCCTTACCGATCTGGGTGTAATTTTTGCTGAGGGGCCTATTGTTTTGAATCTAGAGTAGCTGTCAAACTTTCGTTTTGTCCATAACCGACAACCACATCAGGAACCCAGGAACGAGTCTCTTGCCACACAACACCAAACAACGCCTACCGACTCTACCTGCCAGCAGGCCATTCAAGTTGCCATTCACCGCTTTCCTTGTTGTTTCTCGCTTGCTACTGACCCGGTGAATCCGGTTTTCATGTTATCGCTTTCAGCTGCGGCAATTATCGAGAGGTAAACTGGTCCTGCTGCTGGGGAATTTGAATTGGACTTAGTGTAAGGTCGCAGTGGCCGCCTTGTCTGCGGCCATATGAATGATTCTGCTTATGCATGTTTAGGTCGCAGTTACTGATATCATGCGGAAGCCGAGCGTTCCATCTGCAGTGGTATAGAACGGCAGCAGCTGTTTCCGATCCACACGGATCGCATTTCTGCAGGTGCGTGATTTGTCTGTCAGATTAACTTGCCGCGCACTACTAGTCAAGACGTGAAGAGGAAGACCTCTTTGCATTTTTTTCAAACCGATCTCATTATGAAATACTCGGGAATACCATGAAGCGCGTTATAAGAACGATAATGTGCAAGGAACGGATAAACACATGACAATACAAGATTTTCCGAGAGGATGCTTGCTTCCTTCATGACGACCTAAGGTAGTACTCAATCTTGTGCATGCAAACTCACCGTACTTTAATAACAGATGGTTACCGCTTAAGGTGATGAAAGATGTCTACTTTCATTGCCTCCGGAACGCCACTGCATCTTTGAAAAACAGATAAGGCGGACATTCGCCGGATAGTTGTAAATCCCAGGGCGATAGCCACTACGCCTGTGTCGCCGAGGATGACTCTGGGAATCCAAACTGCGTTGAACGACCCTTGAGTAAGTGCATCGTATAGGCGATTAAAAGCTGACTGGCACCAGCAAACAGCAAGTCCCACTTATCATTTCTGGGATCACATCGATTCAAGCACCCACGCACATGTGTTAATGACAAAGCCCGCATCTGTGATTGACGTCTTGGAGACTGCGCCTTTCTTGACAATGAATTGCATCTTTAAAGCGTCTTGGAACTCGGCACAACTTATCTGAGCGCATCTGTATCCCCAGTTGATGTGCAACAATGGTGCGAGTTCCCGTAGACCCATATGCTCCTGTTGGTGCTCTATACACAGGGTACTTAGATTAAGACTCAAATCATATTAAACAACACATAGAGACTCGCACGACTGCCAATTATTCGCTAGTGCATGATACAGTCGCACACTTATAGAGACGATCAGCAGAGGTCTGCAACTGGTAACTGGTGAGTGGTGCTACCTAATTTAGTAATGAAGCTTACGCACTCGCGTTTTGATTGGATAGTTCTATGGAAAGAACTACACGTTCAAGTTACTGCGATGAAGTCTTCAGATTGGATGCCGATTTTCTGGCACCCGCGATATATGGACATGATGCTTGCAAGCGAATTTCGAAAGATACGTCTCTCTGCGTCTCTATCTACACTGCACCGTATGATGGATAGACAGATCCCAGCAATTTCCGCCGCTCTATAAATGATGAGTGAAATCGGAGTATCGAAGCACTTCGTCTATTCCCCGCCTTTCCTACACGGCTGTTACTATGCTTGACTACATAGGCAACAACAATTTCGCTTTCCTTCTATTGGCGCTCTTGACGCCGGCGTCCCTCATTTCTCTTTTTCTCTTTTCTGTGTTGAGTATCAAGGCTAGCAGAGAGCATGCAAGTGTACCATTACCTCTGCCTTGGGTAGGAAGGAAGAATCAGTTGTTTGCTTCAATCCGGGCCAACTACAGGGGTTTCGTTAAATCTGTGGAGCTCTTCACCTCTGGATACCGTACGGTAAGGAGTGGTCCTTGCCGGCTAGTTGTTGTAGCTGATTCACCGTTACTTGCAGTATTCCAAGAAGGACCAGACATACGTCGTACCAACGTGGACCAAAGGTCCACAGGTCATCGTACCGCCTGCGTATGGGAACTGGATTGCCTCACGGCCTGATGCGTTGCTCAATGCAAAGGATTGTACTTTTGAGACCGGTACGACCATCACAGCACTCAGGTTTAACCGGTGGAATTGACCTATATTGCTTTGTCTGTTTGCCAGCTCAGTTCACGTATACTGTCGGACATCCAGAGATCACGTCCAACGACATGATCGATATTTTAATCAAGCGCGAATTGACTCGCACTATTGGCTCGCTGAACAATGAGATCCTGGAAGAAGTCAACGCTTCTATGATTGATATCTTTGGGACCAGCGGTGAATGGGTTGACGTAGGAGTATTCGACTCCTTGACACGCACCGTTGGCAGAGCTGCCAACCGAGTTTTCGTTGGCGCGGAGCTCTGTGGGTCTATTTCGTGATCCTAGATGCACTAATATTCATCCTGACAAACAATATCTAGGTTCAGACATGGAGTACCTGATGGCCGGTGTCCACTTCGCCCGAGATATTTCCGTTAGCAGCTACATCCTCCACGCCTTCCCCAGATTCTTGAGACCGTACGTCCTCTACTACGAGCGTCTTCTGTATCAACGGCTGACTGTGAACGTTTAGATTTGTGGCTTTGTTCGCTACCTATCCAAACCGTCGACATGCCAAAATCTGTATGAGGTACCTGGAGCCTCTCATTGCGGAACGTATTGACAACATGAAGCGAAAGGAACGCGATCCTAGCTATGCCTGGGAAGTCCCAGTATGTCGTTGTCCATTTTCTCACTTTGAAGGGAGTAATGAGGTCCATTACGTTCCAACAGGAAGATTTCATCACTTGGATGGTCCGCGAATCGCTCAAGAGAAAGACAGAAGACGAACGTTCGGTCTATGCCCTCGCTTATCGTGTTGTCCTGCTACAGTTTGCGGCCATTACAACGAGCACCATCATGTCCACAAACGCCTTGTTGGACATCTGGAGTGCCCCCAACACGGAAGAACTCGTCGACTCCCTGCGAGACGAGGCCTCCCGTGTACTTGCCGAGCACAATGGAGAATGGAGTAAGGCTGCGTTAGCCAAACTTTATCGATTGGACAGCGCCATCAGAGAGAGTTCACGTGTCTCCGGCGTTGGTGGTACAGCGTTGGCGAGGAAGGTCAAGCCCGACAATGGTATCACCCTGCCGAACGGACTGTGGCTTCCTAAGGGCTCTACTGTGGGAGTATCTATGGATGGCATTCATTTTGATGAAGCTTTCTATGAGGACCCATCAACATTTGATGCCTTCCGATTCTCCAGACCCAGGGAGGATCCATCTTATGATGAGAAGGGAGTGAATGAAGATTTGGTTACGACCTCACCGCACTGGTTGACCTTCTCCCACGGTATCCATGCTTGTACGTGCATCTCTTAATGAACTATTTCAATCCTAATACATTATTGGATCTCAGGTCCAGGCCGTCATTTTGCAGTGTAAGTATCCTTCATTGAGAGCGTATCGCTTCTTACTAACTTCGACATTCAGTAACAACATCAAGATGATTCTTGCTCAGCTCTTGCTGAATTATGATGTGAAGCCATTCGATACGAGGCCCCCGAACTTCTCAATAGGAGACCTCTCAGTCGTCCCTGTCAAGGCCAGGATGAAGATTAGAAGGCGGCAGATCAAAGCATAGACGGACTCCGTGTTCTACTTGTCAATATTTTCAGATATAGCGTCGGGCAAGTTTTGCAGACAGGTCTGTAGAGGTTTATGTATTTGACTATTAGATATTTCATCCGCGCCTTTTACCTTCGCATTTGCAATAAACGATCATCCCGAGTATTGATCCTGATGTCGAGTTGGACTGCGGCACCCATAAGGCTACTACGATCCCATTTACAACGGGGGTAGTAGGGTGCGAGAATGTTATCGCTTTGTCCGACGACCGGAGTGTCTACAGACAGGCATATTCACATGAAGATGTGCCTTGTCAATTAAAGTAGCAATGTAGGACATGGATTTCCTGTATTGGCTACTTTATCGATGCTCTCTACACTGGTCTCAGTAATAAGTTAAATCTCTAATATTGATGCCCATGTCAAGCCAAAAGCACTACAACAGGGTGTGAAAACGTCTTATGATAAACCATCAGCAGCGTCTCGCCAACCATCAGGAATTCAAAGGCTCTGTTCGTCAACACGGACGTCGTGCTGATATAATGAACAACTAGCCTGTATCAATGGCACACCCTCTTTAGTTCCACCATGTCGAAGGACCCTACCCCTCAACCACATACAATGCGCGCATGGACGTTCTCATGTAGAGGCCTGCCTAAAGATGTCCTCAAACTGGACTATACTCACCCTGTTCCGCCTCCTCCCACTAAAGGTGACTTGCTCATCCGTGTATCCTACGTCGGCCTTAATCCAGGATGTGTCATAAATATGTCTTTCATACCTCCATTTCTACGCCGTTTTCTTTCGGGTAATCCTACTGCAATCCCTGAAGGTGAATTTGCCGGGGTAGTACATTTGGCTGGTCCTTCCGCCCCTCCAAACTTTAGTCCAGGGACTCGTGTATTCGGTAATATTCCAATGATGAGATTAATAGCGGGATTGGGGACGCTGGCGGAGTACATCATCATGCCTTCCTCAGGTGTTGCGGTTGTGCCCGCCAGTATGAGTTTGGTGGAAGCATCCGGATTGAGTGGCGCTGGCCAGACAGCTATGGACATGTTCTTGCCAATACGAGTAAAGGAAGGGCATCGGGTGCTGGTCAATGGCAGTAGCGGTGGTGTTGGTATCATGGCAGTGCAGATAGCGAAGGCGAAAGGCGCATATGTCGTCGCAACGTGCTCTGAAGCAAGTTTCGAATTGGTGAAAAGTCTAGGGGTAGATGAGGTGCGTATAGGTTACTTATCCTGTTTTAGGATTAAAAAAGATCGGGTTTTGCAGGTAGTGGATTACCGGGCCAATGTTCCTCTGCATGCACACCTTGCTGATAAATACGGCGGGAAGAACTCTTTCGATTTCATCCTGGACACCATCGGAACGCAGGACCTTTTCACATACTCGCCCAGTTATCTGAAGCCGGAGGGTCAGCTAATAAACGTAGGCAATTTCGAAGGGCCAGTCATAACCGTCTGGCGATCAATCACAAACAGGTTGACACCAGTCATCTTCGGAGGAGTTCCCCGAGATTACCTGATGATCAGCGTGGCACCAACGGAGGAGAAGGCTGCGAATTTAGCACGAATGGTGGAGGAAGGAACGCTTAAGGTCATAGTGGATGATGTTGTGGAATTTGAGGATGTTGTGCAGGTGCGTATTTCGATATGTATAGCCGACAGTGCGATACATTTACATTCCTGAAAGGCATACCATAGGTTGATGAGACGCGACGCGAAGGGGAAGATCATTGCAAAGGTCCATACAGACTAGAAAAATAGGTCATCAATACGACCGCGCATAATGCAACGCACCCCATTGCGAATCTGACCCGTCTGCCCAGGAAAAGTTCTCTCTGACCTTATTCAAACTGGGCGAGATGAGCGAATGTTATTCCACTGAGATGATGCACAACTCCACCTCTGATAAGTAATGACTGGGAGGATTGGAGTGGAGCTTCGATTCTGCCGGGTGACGGTACTGTGGAATTAGATGAGGAGCCCTGAATGGACGTATGGGGAGGCTCAAAAAAGGGAAGGAGGAACGTCGGTGCCGAAAAAAAATCCTGTAACAATGCGGAGATGCTGAAGTCAAATTCCAGAAACTCATACCAAAACGCAGTTCACTGGGTGATAAAAGAGATGATTCGAAACAACTCGGTTCAAGAAAAATCACGCCTTAGGCTATGGAGAAAAGTTTGATGAGTAATCGTGGCCAGAAACAAGTGATAGCACTCACAGTCACTTACTCGTACCCTCTTCACCTGCTTCCGCGAAAGAGAAACCGAGTCTATCCGAAAGTGAGTGGTGTGTGATCATGATACAGTGGCATGTAGGTATCCAGGACAAAACGACGACATTAAAAGCGAGTATCTAATGCTTGGTATAAAATATGAAGCGAGGTCAACAAAAAAGCAATAACTTCAATCACCAGATAGGGCAGCACGTTTTTGATCCCGCCGCACTGCAGTCATGCGAAGGAGCCATGCCAGGTTTTCGTAAACGACGAAGGTAACGCAAGTACCTGGAAGAACCCGTACGAGGTTTGTACCCAAACCGCGGTAAAAACCTCGGATGCCCTCCTCCTGCCAAGTCCGCTTGACGCACACTCGTATTGTTGGGTAAAGGTGTGCTGTTGCATTATTCTACAGAATAAACAAAATATGAGAAAGAAATGCATGAAGGTTGTTGGAGGCACTGACTTGAATCCTAGAACGAACTACTTGGTATGGATAAGTTAGGGTGAGCGCTATCAGTTTGCTTGCGCCAGACATTATTGTATATGCCGTATTAGACTAGAACGATTTGCTTCGTAAGACGGAGCTATTATTGTGAGGATGGAGGCGGTACTGACTAGTTTATCATCCCCAGGCGTCCATTCACGCCCAACTTTTGCGAACTGTCGTCGTTTTCGCTCAAAGCCCCATCGCTTGAGCTCCTCATAACACGTAAACTGTAGCGCTCCGTTGCTGACACCAAATAGAGCCAGCGATGTGCCTCGATATAGTCCCGCTAAACCCTCCGTTTGGTATATTGACCGAAATCCGTCTTTGAGCTCAACGTGTCAGACAAGGATGAAGACTCATTCCGCACAGAGACATACGTGTAAGACTTCTGTATGCATTAGGGTCATCCGGTCGGGTAGTGAACATTCGAACTTTTACGACCCATATTGGATTCGTCATTACCGCCGTTACAGCACCTGATGAAGAGGTCAGTCTCAGCAGAGACGAGGACTAGTAAGGTGTGCGAACTCGCTTCTGCGGAGCATAGTAGGTATGATCCTGGAGACATTTTGTAGTTGGGATCTCCACCAGAGGTGCGGGTCTTGAGCATGTTATAGCTGAATCAAACAGTGGTCGGTTTGTTGTACACGAGGAAGTAAACACAACTTACAAGAGGAAGTAAAGACCCCAACTAGACGCATTGCCTGCAATATTAGGCCCAACTCCTCTGTACAATCCTCTCCATCCCTGCGTCTCCTTGATTTCCTTCAAAGAGTTCCATATTGCTCGTCCGACATCACCCTTCGGATTATCAGTGGCAACCTGAAACTTGATCTTCAGAAGGTCAAGCGGGTGCATACATAACACCGAAACAACTCCGGCTCCTATGCCAGCGAATGCATGGTCCTATATGTTCTGGAACAGTAAATCTAATGTACGCTGCTTGTGTTGAAAGGCTTACCAAGGCGCCTGAAGGAAAGAAAGTTGGCGTAGGCTTGTTCATATACACACGCACGCATCCAAGTTACTTCCAGCGCTGCGTGCACGACGTTGTCACCGAACCCCTGACCAAGTTGACAAGTTGACCAGAAAAGCGAAGAACAAGTCGACTAACACTGGAATGGTCTGAGATGATGAAGTCAGAACGGGAGTATGGCCGAGGAAATCTAATCTTATCAACTTTCTCCAATGTGGCGGGGGTGACTTCCGATTTGTATAATGACTGACTTTTAGGCTTGACGGTTCCTTAGATCTAAATCATAGAGTCTATTCAGCATTGAAGTTAGGTTGGAATGCTGTGGTTGTTATGCTACATATATGTAGTACAATATTGAAGATGTTTCATCCTGTTAAACACATTTTAAAATCGGGATACATGGACATGAAAGGTCTCGTTATATGGCTATGATGTATTATAGTCACACTCTGCTATCGGAGATAGGACTGTTCAAGGTGCGGACGCGATGTGTCCGCTCCACATGGACTTGCACGCTCTCAGCACGAATGGGATGGATAGAAGCCGGAGATAAGCTAGAAGCATGAGTCTCCGAAGGATACTCCAGGTCAATGGAGGTGCGGAGACGAGGAGTATGTCTGATACTCGAGATATTGGTAAACGTCGAGTTGCCCGTAGTGATCGCCCCGTTTGTTGTGTCTTGATTATTCTTCGATCCACGAAGGATAACATACAAGAAAATAATGCCCTGCATGAAATGTGTCAAAACATATTGACACAAATGGCGAACTATTACGCACAATCATAGGAGGCAACTGAAAAGAGTAAATCAGCGAGGTCGTTCGAATAGTTGCATACCGACGTACCATGTCGAAGACAATATAGAGGCCATTGCTACCTGCGATCGCGAGTATCAAGGCTACAAAAAGTAGCAGAGAGTAGATGGCAGCTAAGAACGAACATTAACCCATTGCTCTCAACTGCAAGTCGATGACACAAACCAGACTCGATAATAAGAGAAAATGCTCGACGCAATCGCTGGTCTCCAGAGGCCTTGAATTTGTTCAAGACCCACTGTGATCTACCAATCTTGAAGGCGATCAGACCTATATAAACGAGAGGTGAGTAGCGTGAACATATCGTTATCAGAGGACCAACCGGTGCAAATAACATTCAAACCCCAGATCAGTGCAAAGAAGGATACGAGTTGCAACCGTGGTGAATCAACACCATCTGGAGCGACAGAACCGCTTAGGGAGAGTGTACAGATGTACCAAATTGACTTTGCTGTAGAATATCGATCAGATAGAGAGCAAGGTCCAGATATTAAATTACCTACCAGTATCAGCACAGAGTAGGACTCCAGGCACGATGATAATTTTCCAACTTCGATTCCATATTACGAATGTTCGAAAAACCTGGTATGAATTAATTATCGTCAACGACAAGGCTGTATGATTGGAGACTCACAATAAGCGCATCCATGACGATCGTGATGATAACATAACCAGCCATTTTGAGCAGGTTCAGGCTCGAGCTTGTTATTCCATAGTATTGGTTGGCGAAATCCACATCCCCGGATCGGGTGGTGAAGGCTACCTTAACACGAGCAATATCCGCGGCGACGTGCTGCAAAGGTAATATCAACCTCATGAAGACCGAACGGTATCAACGTTAAAACTAACAATGGTGATCGCCAAAGTACTTATAAGAAGAGTGGCAAAGAAATACTTGACGATCTTGCCTCTCAAGCCATTACCCAACAGGACGATCAAGCCCTGAGGGAGAAGGGTCAAGTAAACACCTAATAAATGTAGCGTATAGTAAGTGCCACAATCTAGGCGAGTTGTAATTGATTATACTAATCATATGCAGCAAGCTCCACAAGTGTTCCAATAAGTTCCCGAGTGGCAATCGACAAAGCCATAAGTAGAGAGCAGCGTAGAAAGAAACAAGGGAAGGAAGCAGCAGAGTCAACTGCTGGGGATCAAGCTATCAAACTCATGAAGGAAATGCATGAGATGCCTTTATGAATGCTTCTGGTAGCAAGCCCATCCAAGAAGTAAATGCGTCCGTAGGCATAGGATCCACTGCTCACACATGTCAGTCAATCGCTATGATCTCAGTTCTCAGTCAATCAGCTAGACCGTACAAATTACCATGTGAACGGATCGACCTTCTTTGGTGACAAAGTCTACCTGACGTCCATGTTAGGAAAGCTTCCAAGTAGATCATCGTGTAGAAATTCGAAACAGAAGAAAGCGGCCGCCTCGTGTTCCTGTTTAACCGGATGATAGAGTAGCTTTGGGCAAAATGAACATAAGGGGTTGACAGGAAAGTGATAAAGACGACAAGCAGAGATCAGCATTTGATGCTGATCCTTCCAAACCACATTACCACGGGTCCGCAAAGTCGGAGTACACAAGTGAATCCGTTCCGTGCCCAGTACGACTTGTGCCTCTAATTGTTCTATGATGCGCTTCAAACTTCTTGGGATGTCGAGAAAGTGATAAGAAAGGAGAAAACCTCAACCACATCTCAAAAAATCTCCGACAGTGGGAAGGCCGGAACATCGAGCTATTTCCGTCCACAAGGGTGTGTAAAAACGAAGAGGTGGTATCTCCCAACAGGAAGAGTTGCGAGTCTCTAAGAGATTGAGTTAAGAAGTGCGGCCGCCGATCCTTGCTGAAGGGCATTGGAAAGATACCTACGTTGCCTAGAATGTGAACTGAAACGGCAAATTTAGGCCTAGAGCCAAAATTCCGAATGCCTAGTGCTGCCGACGAATAATATGCATTCTTCGCTCACCTTCTGACTGAGATTCTGTGATCTTGAGAGGAAGCCGTGACAGATCGTCTGCTTGATCCTCGATCGGTACCTTTGACCTTGCCTTTGACAGAACACAAGTGGATGAGGGTATCTTCTAGAGCATGGTAATACGATGAGACGTAGATGATCTATATAATTCGCCGAAGGTGTATAAATGTCCACTGTCCGTTCTAAAGGCCGTCGTTCAGGCCTCTCTACTTGTCAGTCCGAGTGATTGCACAACGAAGCCCCACTTATCCGCAGCTTCCTTGATCCTATAATTGGCATGCATCAGCGACAACACAGAACATCAGAAGAAGCCAATGACGACGCACCTCTTCTCTGTGGATTTCCCAGCACCATGTCCTGCCTTCTTGTCGATACGGATAAGGAGAGGATGAGAATTATTTGGAAGTGTGTGTTGCAATGTCGCTGCGTGTTTGAAGGAGTGGAGGGGTACCACTCGATCGTCATCTTGAACAAAGGTGAGTCTAAGGTAAGCATATGTGTACCAAGAATACTCACGATCGGCGGTCAAAAGGATCGTTGGTGGAAGCACTCGGTCCGTAGGTACGTTGTGAAGTGGAGAGATTGGGTAAATGAAATCGAAGTCGTGCGGCTCGTGCGGGTCTCCGTAGTCTGACACCCAAGCGCGACCGATCGTGAAGTCCGCGAACTACAACATGGAAAGGTAAGTTTGCGATTGAAAGAGAGATAGTGAAGCACAAACCTTCAGGAGATCAAGTACGCCGACCTCGGCAACTGCTGCTCCAAGAAGACCTTCTGGTGCCCGGTTTACACATGCGGCAACAAGCAGACCTACGAAATGCAATTTATCAGAAGAAAAAAGGTAGCGGCAGAAACACGATGTTTACCTCCATTGGATCCACCATTGATAGCAATTTTACCACGTGCAGCATACTTTTCTTTTACGAGGAATTCGCTACATAAAGCAAAGCGTCGGAACATAGCTATCAGTGTGCAGTCTATGGGACTCACCTGGCCGCAATAAAGTCATTGAAACAATTCACCTACGGATTGTCAGTCAGCACATAAAAGCGGACAAAGATGAACGACATTTTTTTGAACAAGAAACGAACCTTGCGCTCCTTAGTACCAGCCAAATGCCACTCCTCGCCGAACTCACCGCCTCCTCGAATGTTAGGTACAGCCAAAACCGCACCGTATCGTTGAAGGAACGTAAGTATCGATGGACTAAAGAACGGATTGACAGAAATGGTGAAGCCACCATAGCCTGCACAAAAATTATATTGGTTAAGAGGCACATTGGTGAAATAAGCGCAACTAACCGTACTGAATGGCTGGCGCCGAGCCATCAAACTTAGTGTCCTTGTGTCGTACGACGAACATAGGAACCCTGGTACCATCCTTGCTGTCATACCAGACCTTCACAGAACGCGCAACAAATTAATGCTTGCTGAATTCGAGCAAAACTAAAGCAGCTACCTGATCTGCAACGAAATCATCTGGATGCAAGCCTTTAACGAGCGTCTTCCTGTAGATACTCCACCTTTTCTCTTCGTCCTTTTCCCTGAAGTCATAGCGCGCTACGATACCGGGAGTAGTGAAGCCGGTCAAGGTACTGAAGAACCAGGCGTGTGCACGGCGTCCCGAGAGCGTCGCAGCGCCGACGAAGTCGGAAGCTAGACGCGTCAGACGCTCACCTGCGAAGTTGTACACGTAGATTTCGTCTTTGACCTGAGGGGGAAAGAAGCATATCCCTGTACTCAGTTGCTGGAAGGACGGATAATCGGAGCAAACGTACGTTACGCTTGTACACCACAGCGAAGTGATCTCCGTTAACAGCGAGAACATCCTCAAGGTGCGCTTCTTTGTCCTCTGGTAAGACATCTTTGAAAACACGTTGTTCCGGTGGGTGCGAGATATCCACGCTGACGAGCTTGTACTGCGGGGCGTTCTTATTAGAAAGGAAGTAGAATGAAGTACTATTGTTGGCAATACTGTAGCCCGCGAGTATTCAAAGTTCACATGAAGAAAGTTTATAAGTCAGTTATTGATGGCGTGACGTATAAGAAGGAAAGAAAGGAAACTGACTAGTCATATCGGGAATCGAACTCATCAATGAGCTTATCCCACTTGAGGTCGGGGCGGATCGTCTGCTGTTCGAGATCCGCGATCCATAGAAGATTTTTCTGGTAACAGAATGAACAGAAATAGTAAGCAAGTTGAAATGAGTTGCGTGACAGCAAGATGGGGATAACTCACCCTGGATGTATCCCTGGAAATCGAGAGTATGAGGTACCTGCCGTCGACCTCGGTGACATCAGCGCCCCACATCCACTCTGGGTTCTTAGGGTCCTTATGGACGAGAATATCCTCCGCTGCGGGTTCTTCAGTGCCTCAACGGAGAATCAGACTGAGAAATACGGACTTTGCGATGTTCCGACGCGATGGTAATAGAGCATAGCGTCTTTGTCGCTCTGAGTTTCCGTACCGGCCTTGTCCTCTTCGGCAGCCCCATGGGATTCACGCTCAGGGAATCGCTACGCAGATAATTTATTTTGACCTTCCATGAAGGGTGGTGAATTTCTAACCTGATAGAAGAAGCCCTTCGAGTCATGCGTCCACGAGATAGCCGAGAACTTGACGAAGCGGATTTCATCGTGGAGACGACCGTCATCATGCGAGACTTTCTGCCCATTCACTGAAGCCAAAGGTGCGGAAGTGGGCCGAATATACACCGTGTAGAAGTCACTTCCCTGTTGAATAACATAAGATACGGATCATCTATATTTGAAATAGACATGCTTACAGAACGCGATATTCCGTAGGCAAAGTATTTTCCTGAGCGGGAGAAAGCTGTTGCAGCGAGTGCAGCAGTGCCGTCATCCGATAGCAAGTTTGGCTATATAACACATCATGTCAACATTGACGTTTCAAAACAGATGGCCGCTGCGCACGTCAAAGAAGATTTCTCCTCCAAGACCATCCCCCTTGGAGAAATCAGGTAGTCTGTCATCCTTTGAACGATAAATGACTTGAAATAGGTGTCAGTCCAAACTCCAACACATACGGATCGTGTGACAAACCGGACTGTGCTTGAAGACCGGTGTTGTAGTACCAGTACCAGCGATTATCGTCCTTCAAAGTGGGAGAAGAGAACTATTTTATGTTAGTATGTTCTTATGGCGTGTCAGTCGAGTTTTTACCTTCGCGTAGTCCGTGTTTTTGCGAATTTCGTCCTCGAGAGCCTGTCTGTCGGTGTTCTTATCCAAATATTCCTTAGTGAATTCTACCTGTGCAGTCGTCCACGCGTCCGTCTCTGGTGTGTTGTGCTCCAACCATTCATACGGATCTGCGACGCGTACTTCGCCCTTGGACTCGCTCTTGTACACGTCGACATGGTCTGAGCGACGAGTAGGAGGATAGCGATTGGTGACCCATGGAGTTGGCGTAGACATGGCGGTATTGCTGATTGAGCGTGTCAAAGAGGGATGAAACGCGCGAGGAAGAATATGGAGGTCTCTGACGAAGATAGGAACCGGCGTCCTAGCTTTAAGCAATTTTGCCGAATGGAAAGAGAGAGACAGCGGGGGCATGTGCTTTATATATATAGACACCAAGCAGCGCTGCCTGTATGTATAGATGTTCCGTGAAAGTCTGGTGCCAATCGATTGCGTGCCAACTTGCGAGGCGGACGAATCAATGCAACCGCCAGCTCGTGACAGGCAAGATACGAAAATCCTATGACTTCTTCACATGCTTCAGAGTAAGAAAGGAAAACTGCCTCTCGCATCGATGAGGACCTGAAGCTCGTGGAACCACATACCGCTCGACACAGACGTTTTGCCCCAGCCCAGCCCACTTTTCTTTTGCGTCCGACCCTAAGCGGATCGCGCGCTTACTTAAGGGCCTTAAGATTAGATTAGATTCATATTTCAATTGGGACGAAACTTGTAATTCACATTGATTCACCGTCTCTATGTTCAAGCGGTGTATCCAGGGCCTTCTGCTTCGTTGTGTCGGATTGCGTTAGCGAAAGCACCACCGCGGTCACATAATTTAGTACTTTTAACATATGAGGGGAGTAATAATGTCTTGGCGGGCATGATGGCTGTACTACTCCAAGCCCCGCACGTAGTGAACAAAAGTGCCGCAACAAGCTAAAAAGTACGTACTCTTTTTCCCCAACCACGATGACTTCTCAAACAAACTCAAACTCATTCAGCATTGTCAACGTTCCAGACGTTCACTTACGTCTAAGAGGCCACGAGGAGACGGGCACACTCTCACTCGAGTGTGTGGATACCACAGCCCTTTCCGCCACGCCTCAACAAGCAGGTCTAACCGAAGATACCAATAATCGATCTGTATACTTGGTCCTACACCTCAACGAACACGCCTTTCCTCTCGAACCGGTCACTCCTATCAATCTCATCATTTACCAAGATGGCAGACGGGCTTACAGCTTCAATTTCAACAATGCACCCGTCACACTAACCATCCCAGGATCCTTTCCCCATACCTTGACGCGAAATGTAGCCGAGGATATCGAGAACTTTGATCACATCCTCACTCAATACGCCGATTTCCGTTGGGAATCTCAGGGTTCTGCACTGCCGGATAACGATGAATCCGCGGTTCCGACCTACGAAGCTGGACCTGCTCCTGCCACGAGGGTAGAGGAGGGGAAGCGTGTACCCAACCCTGAGTTGCGAGGTACCCTCGTGTTGATGGACGAAGCTAGCGGCGAAGTTGTCGCAGAGGTCCCAGAGAGGCTAGGTGTCTCCATCAAGGAGGACCCTTCGGTCTCGGGCGCGAGCAGGGATGGAGCAAGTGCAGGGCCAGTTGTATTGGAGCTCCCGCCGGATGTGTATGATGTGTATACGGGTGCGAAGGATGCGAAGGACGTTAGAGAAGAAGATTTGCTTGAAGCGAGAGAAATATTTGTGACTGCGATTCCGCCAGAGGAGCAGGATTGGATAACGAAGAGTGCCAATCTAGTTAGGTACGCTGAAATTTTTTCATTTTATTGAAAGACGCTGAATGTTTTCTTAGTTATGCTATCTCAACCTCCACGTCCCTCCTCGCAACAGGCCTAACCACCGCGTCCAAATACTATATCGGACATTCCAAAGCATATACTCCCCCCGCCAGCTCACCGACGTCCACACCAGGCGTGACAACTCCTCCTACACCGCATCCATACCTCAGTCGTGCACACGCATGGACAAGTCAGGCTGCTCGCGCAAGTGCACGTACTGGCGAACTCGTCGAGGGTATCATCAGAAGTGCCGTCGGAAACAAGAACGCCCCCAGCAGTAACAAACCTTCATCGCTTCACCAATCTCCAACATCAACGCCTCCACGAATCAGTTCCCCTGGGTACAAAGTGTACACGCCCAAATCAAGGGCGACGACACCTGCAGGCCTTGCACCACCTTTGCCACCACGAACGTTGAGTGCGGGTGGTAGTAGATCGCCTGCAGGCAGTAGACCTACTTCCCCTAGACCGAAGACGACACAGCCAGAACAGCCACACAAACCTCTGAAAACCACTCATAAGATAGCGCTGTCGGCGAATTTGGTGTTGGCTACTATAGACGACTCAGCAAATAGGTTGTTTGAAGCTGGGAGTCAGAACCTGAGTGCTGTCGTTGGTCACAAGTCAGTCATTGTTGTCGCTTTTCCACTTCTGCCTGTGTTCTGACGTCGTTCTTTTCTTTTACAGGTACGGTCCGCAGGCAGGACACAATACTCATTCAGCCACTCAAACTGCGAAGAACGTCACCTTAGTTTACATTGACATGAAGGGCTTCGCAAGGAAGGCTTTGATTAGGAAAGCCGGAACGGAGTGGGTGAAGGGGAGAGTTGGGAGTCCGAAAACTTCCCCTGCTGTAGCAGGAAAGTCTTCATGAAGCGAACGATCTGGGTCTTAACTCGGAGAGGTTTCGGACTGTTGAAGGACATATACCACTTTAAGAACATTTTGTACAATAGAATGACAAAATGTACAACACAGCTGACATGGGTATCCTCCGATGTGAATGTTCGGTGAACATCGTCGTAAGTATTGCGCGAGAAGAAGGTACAGGATAAACTGTCTTTCTTCTACAACAGAACAATCTCTGGGGGCTGCATACCTTCAATCAGCTCGAACCGCAACGTGATCAATAGAGTATACTCACCGAACCCCGAGTCTCAAATGCCAGCCAGTCACCCGTTCCTGTAGGTAACAACCCCATTGACCGACACTTCCAAAGACCGAGCGCAAGCGTAAGCAGATTGCATATGATATATACAATCTTTTGTAGCGGCAGTGTTGTAAAAGCCTTAGGGTCAACCTGTGAAGCGGTCTTGTCATGGCTCGATGGCGTCGGTGCAAAAGGTGCGAACGCTAATAAATCACATCAATAACACAGGCCATTCGTAGAAAGTAGCATACACACCAGAGTTAATGGCAGCAAGGTTCTTGAACGGGCTCGAGAGCAGCATGAATACAATACCCATGCTAAAGATCTGAACCCCTCCTCCTGACATGTACAGCATGAACGCCTGCATAGGGAGAGACTTCGCAGGTGAGATAGCAAAGTCCCATGCTCGCTTTTCTTTCAGAGCGGCATATGAGGCTGCTGATGACGATGACGACACCTTGCCTGAGGTCTTAGTCTAGTTACATGAAGTGAAATGAGATGACTACATCTCCGACATCCTGTATGACATGGGAGACGTACTGCAACTGGTGTCTGCGCAAATCCTGGAGGTGGAGGAAGATGTTTCCATCTGTGAATTAGTTCAATTCATCTTTCCGTTTACTTGTTTAGAGATATACGGTCGATAATGCTTACTTGGATGGTTCTAGTGTGGTCGTCGACATCGTAAAGGTACTGAGGAAGCGCTCATGCATCGAAGCCACTCTGCATGCACATGATCGGCAAACGGTTTTGGTAAGTTGAGTCGTTCAGCAGCGTCCTATCCAGCACGTCTCGATAATTGACTCAGCGAATACGCTCTGAATTGCGTGCAAGCGGGAATTGACTATGACTGTCATGCTTCTAAAACACAAAAACGGCTTGTGGATATATTGAGAATCAAAGGAAAGCATGTATACAAGTACACGACACATACTAGAAAACGAGAAGACTAATGTGCACACAACATAAGCGGTCCTTCACGACCTTTTGCACTGTCAATATCTCCTAGAGTCGCGCCTAGGCGATCCCCGCCTACGCTCCCTATCCCGAGAATCATCCCTTCGTCGTCTATCATAATCCCTCTCATCCCTGCCCTTATCCTTCCTAGGCGGGCTAACACTGGGCGAAGGGGACCTACGTCCACCTCCAATTCGGGCTCTCGGTGGGGGTGAAGGGGTCCTCGAGGGTGACCTACCTCGGCGCATCTTAACGTCGCCATCTGGTGAAGGGCCTCGACGACGGTGCGGTGGAGAATCACGGCGAAGTCGGGGAGGTGGGGAAACATCACGACGAGATCTAGGAGGAGGGGACTCCCGACGAGAAGGCTTGGGAGGAGAGTCCCTGCGAGACCTGTACCTGTCACGGTCACGGTCAGACTCCCTCGGTCGTTCACGTTCTCGATCACGATCGACGTCGCGGTCGCGATATCGGGGAGGAGGAGAAGGCGTATTTCGTCTCCTTCGCGGAGGGCTTGGTGATTCGTCGTGTCGTCTGTGATCTCCGCTATCCTTCCTTGGGGGACTAGGAGCTCGTCGAGAACGGTAATGAGCACGAGAATCTTCTGAGCTCTCTGACACCGACCCTGATTCTGATTCACTTTCAGAATCGGAGTCAGATGAGGTATCAGATTCTGAAGATTCGTCTGACGAGGAAGACTCGGCTTCGAGCATGGCCCGTCGTTGTTCCATTATGAGCCTTGGTGCATTCTAAACAAAGCGAGTAAGCGCTTGTGGTAATTCATCATAAAAAAGGGAAACGTACCTTCAGATGTTCACGCATCTCCTCTGTGATGACACCCAACCCAATACTCGTCAGGTAATTGATCGCGAATCGGGTATTCTTGGGGTTATCCAATGGGAACATTCCTGCGCAACATCTCTTGACCTCCTCATCTTTGAATCGTTCTGTGATAGCCTTCATGCCCATCGCTTCCGTCATTTCGTTCAACATGATCTTTAAGAAGATACGACTGCTGGAAGTCGTGTCGTCTTCCGTCAACTTGACGCATTCCAGAGCAGCCCAGCTAATGGCGTCGGTGCCAAAGAGATGTCCAAAGAAACGAGCGATGTTGCGGAGGCGGTTTGTTTCGTATCGATGGATGGTGCTGTAGTAATTTTGGAACGCCTGCTCGAAACATTCGTTCCAGATGCGATTCAGCTTGCAGAATCGCTCGCCGATGAGACCGTAGAAGGTGGAGTAAGAACGTTCCTGCGAACAACATTCGATGATCATGTTGCACATTTCGATCTCCTCGCCTTCCTTGATCTGGACCTTGAGCAACTTGTGAACGGCCTCCTCGTAGCTAAGAGCGTTCATGATGGTCAAGTAGATCACCCGACGAAGATTGACCAAGTTCGTCTGCGTTCGGTCCTCGATGCCCAGTTTTTCTTCCATGGCTGCTTCATCCTCCTCCTCGGATTCTTCGGACTCTTCTTCGGATGACTCTTCTTCACCAGATTCTTCTCCTAGAATCTCCGCCTTGATTGACTTGTAACGTTCCTCGTTCTCGAGGTAGTCTGGGTCAAACTTGAAGATGTCTACAGTCAACGTCATGAGTACCAATTCGGAACCACGAGACAACAATAAAGACTTACTCAGTCCCTCCTGAACCTGCAACTCCTCCTCCAGCTGAATTTGATGGGTAATCTGCTCATCCTCCTCCACCAAGTCCAACCCCTCCGGGATAATTGGATTGTCTTTGTACTTGTCCTTCCTGACTTGCATCAGGACTTCAATCATATATTGAACACGTTGGCTGATTGAACCCTCGTTCAATACGGCCCTGAAGCGCTCATACACGACGTTGTTCGCCTTGGGAGAGTTTTCTTGCAGGAAAGCACCAACTTCGCGCATGAAGCCGACAGCAATTTCGATGGAGTCATCCGTCGGACGCTCGAGAAGGAGGAAGAGAATTTGGAGGGCGATGATTTCGTGTGCGACACCTTGGTTCACAAGGTGAGCGAGGAAGGTTGTCGTAGAATGGCATACAATCTGAGTAAGAGCATGAGTGAAGCGAACCTGCATGAAGATAGACTAAACGTACCTTGTCATTGCGCTTGAACGCCCGTCTGAATTGACTGATCAGTCGAATCAGCACCAATTCGCCCACCTGCGGCAACTTAGTGTTGATGATAGCGACAAGGGCTGCGAAGACGGGAGTGAAGGGTAAACTGGCGGCCTGTGCTTTCATGACGCTTCGCGCGAAGAGACCACGACCACGAATGAGGTTTTCCGAGAATAGTTCAGGCACCACCATCTTGATGTTTGTCACGTTGACTCGATTGACAATACCAGTAATGGACTTGCGAAGAGCGTCCCACGAAAGCCGTTGATACTCTGCACTGGTCTTGTCCTTCCCAGCAGCTTCTTGAAGGGCGCGCAGTCGAGCAGGGGGCATGTACACTCCACCAGAACGCGAACCAGCGAGCTTAGCAAACTCAGCCCTGGCATCGAAATCATCCTTCTTCTGAACCTCCTTGCCCTTCTCTTTTTCTTTCTCCTTCTCTAATCTCTCCAATTCCAAAGCAGCCATACGCGCTGCCAGCTGACGCTCTCGTTCTGCACGTCTCACAGGATCCACATCAGAGACCTTCGGGAGATCTACTGGTTTAGCTTTTGCCACTGGAGACGCAGACCTACGACGACTTTGAGGTGGTGCTTCTGAATCTGCCGGCGAGGGAGACCTGCGAAATGGTCAGTTAGTTTACTGACTTTCAACAACGATATTGAGTATGGAACATACCGTTTCCTCTTGGAGTACGAAGTATCAGCGGGTGCTGTCGGAGTCAAGGTCGCTGCTGTAGCCATTGTGGACGATACGAAAAGTAGAGAAACAGTAACGAGTGGTACGGAGACAAGACTCTCAAGTAGACTATGGTAAGAAAGGTAAGCGTAAGAAAATATGTAAGCTATTACTTATTTGGTACATTGCAATCGCTTACATAAACATAACTAAATAAATAAATAACTCACCAGGCTTAGCAATCCTCAATGACACCGACATAGAGAATGAACTTAGCCAGTCCAAAATTCTATGCATCATGTCTTGGGACGGTTAAAAGCAAGCCTTTAATCAAATCACACATTCTGAAGTCCCTTACACAGGTTCTCAGGCCATTGACCAGGTGAGAACAATAATAATGAGCAATAAGATCACTATCACAACGTACAAAGAGTTAAATACACTAAAGGAATATCACCAACGCCTACTGCTGCATCATGTACTGTTGCTGAGGAGCGCCAGGCGGAGGTGGGGGCATCATCGGAGGCATCATACCAGGTGCACCAGGCATACCTCCTTGCGGTGCAAACCCAGGCGGTGGAGGTGGAGGGTAACCCGCCGCAGGGTTGTACACAGGCATATTAGGTGGCGGAGGTGGCATACCCATCTGCATACCCGGCGGCATGCCACCCATCTGCATACCTTGCGGCACGATAGTCTGCTGAGGAGTGAATCCAGGTGGAGGGGGAGGTTGAGCGAGGGCACCAGCGAATTGACCCTGGTAAGGACCCTGGAAGCCAGGCATAGGTGGTCGAGCACCAAACGCAATCGGCGCAGGCGGAGGTCGTGCGGAAACCGGGAGGGCGTTATTTTTGCGTGCTTGAGCGGCGAGAAGACGTTCGGCCGGGGTACCATGCCGTTCACCCTTGCCTTCTTTTTTGAACGCATATTGTACGGTGATTGGTTTGTTCATCAGGAATTGTCCATTCATCGATTCGATGGCTGCGTCTGAGGACTCAAAGTCCGTGTAGGAGACAAAGCCGTAACCTTTTGAGACGCCGGTTTGGGGGTCACGGGCGATCTGTCAAGAGGAATAAGGTAGCGAATTAGCATGGCATGGAAACGGGTAGAATATGGAACATGTGGAGATTCGTAGATTGTACGGACCTTGGCTGTGGTGGCCATCACGCCGAATGCGCTGAACGTGTCATATAGTAAACGTTCATCGACGTTCTCGTCGAGATTACCAATGAACAGGTTCGCCCCTACGTCTAGTTGCTTCTTGTCCGATGATGCCTACGGAGAAAGAGGGTGTCAGTAATATGTTACAAAGCGGCAGAAAGTGGTGATTGCATGTGCGAAGAAGACTTGAAGGGTGATATACAACGTGCGTAAGAACCTGCTACAGACCTTGTTAACTCTTATGGGCTTTCCCCAGAGTTTAATTTGATTCATGATCTTACAGGCATATTCCGCATCCTCTTCCGTCAGAAATTCGCAGAAACCATAACCCTGGTGTGCCATGGAAATCCGATCCTTGGGTAGATGGACATTAACTGATCATATTGGCATGTCAGTTCAGCAATACAACGAGCAGGTTGGCAGGATACGCACCAACTGGACCCGCTTGCAACATGAGCTCCCAAATGAGTGCATCTGAACACCGTTCGTCGAGGTTTCCCTAAATTCAATTAGCCTTGAGTCAATTGGATGGCATTGTGTTAACATACCAGATATACCGTTGCCTCCTGGTTCCTATCGTCCTGTGGTCGTGACATTTTGAAAGAGTTTTGTGGGGAAGCGGTGAAGATCGAAGTTGTAACTTCAATAAGGCGTTTACAAATGAGCGCTGAGGCAAGCTATTTGTATCTGTTTGGTGACTCTGTTGAGTGCAGTGGCAGATCGCAGATCACCCTCCTCCCCTTCCGAAACTTCAATATCCATTATACTGTTGCTTCAATTCACTCCAATTCATGATGAGCAATGCATGTAAGGACCACTCAAACTGCTCACCATTTTTTCCGTAGATACCTGTACTACGTACGAGTCGTCATTGACGAGTCTTATGGCGTCGTCCTTGCCAGATCTCTCAGACATGGCTTGCGGACGACTGGCCTGTCAACGGTCCCGAGTTCCAAGATTCAGTGATTGAACCCTGTTATATAATGACTACCTCCACCAGACCATTATTTTCTTTTACCCTATCTTTCCTCGGTTTCCACTTGCTTCCAGGAGCTAGAACTCAGTACTCAGGGCCAACACTCCCCTGAACTCTAATCATCATATCTATCTCGGTTTCCTGATAACCATGATGTCTTCTCTCACTCCTTTCAAGGTAACTTCGCTGCTAATGCGTGCCCGATTAATCACCCTATCACGCAAGACGCAAGGCGGCGCCTTTTAGTTGTCGTTACTTATGATGACCACGGCGTCCCAATCTTGATAGACCTCCGTTCTCGCAACGAAGAATTCGGGAAACGGGTAGTTATGACCTTACTTGCTGACAGTCTGGGTCTATTCTCAGGTTTTCTAGGCCGTTTCTGCGGCATTCTGTGCTCCACATGTCGTTCTCTGGAGACTGACTTGCGGTGGTACATCGTATCTCAACATGCCGAACAATGCCTCCGACATTACGATCTAATGAACTACACACGGTGTGGAGTTATGGTGTGGAGTTATGTCGACCATGCCGCATTCAATTTATGCTTCTTGCCCTAGCTAGAAGCCCTGTGGCGGGATGTGACGGCTTATAAGAGTCGAAGCAACCTTCTGTGCAGATCAGTGCTCTTTGCCTCACTCTTCACTTTTCCCCGTTATTTTTTGTATCCCTATACTTTCGACTATCCTCACCATGCGCTCTTCCATCCTCGTCTTCTTCGCTACTCTCTTGTTTGCCGCCATGGTCTTCGCGGCTCCGGCCGACTCTCCGGCCATGAAGAGGAAGGCATTGAAGCAATACGACATGAGGCGCGCCACGCCTGTTAGGCGTGATGACGAGTTCAAGCCCAAGCCCAAGCCATCCAAGTAAGCGATCATTCAACGCCATTCCACTCCGTAGTACAGTGTACTCATCTGAGCTTTACAGGTACTACTACGCTAAGAGGGAGGTTGGCGCAGTCGAGTCAGTACCGCAACAGTTGTTTATGATAGACGTTCGTCTTCATTGTCCCCTGCTGACACTGTTTCCAGGGATGCCTGAGTCGATCTAGACGCCTCCGTCGAGGACATCTCTGTTGTACGAACTATCCCAGGTACGCGGGTGTAACCAGATATGTCGTGTACGGTCTCCCGTCTCACTAGAATCACAGCTCTGGACTTTGATGACGTAGCCGTGATCGTTGGTTGCGTGTTGTACAGTACTTTTGACGTGTATACACTTCTATGATTGTTGTGGAACGCTGCTCTTGGTCCATCATCTGAGTCGCAAACTTAAGCCTCTGCAGTCCTTGCCGGAATCCTCAGCTCAAAATGCCCACATCAAGTTATCCAACGCTCAGGGTATTAAACCCCATATACCCAATTCCGGCTAAGAACTACAGAATATCGAAGAAAGGACAAATGGAAAGGCGAGAAAAAGAACAGAATCGCGGTAGGAAACCGTTCTATCGCCTGGCTGTAGAAAGGTGAAGGTGACAAAACGGTAGTGAGGGTAAAGTGCAAAGGGTTGTGTAAGACCAGATAAGGGATCGGGGTTGATGTGAGTCTTAAGTGAGTTGGCTAAGCAGGATTCGACGAGAAAAGAAAGGAAAAGAATAGGATATATCGGTAAAATCGTAGTGTCAAAGGGCGCCGTTTGACGGTGATGTCATGAATGTGTGAAAGAGCCGAAGTCACGGAGGTTGTGTTGTAAAACCGTTGCGCTCGTGAAGTAACGTGTCGACTGGGGCGCGCAAGATGAGGACTGAAACATCCACATCGGCTTCGTTACACAATAATACACTTGTTTCTCTTTTTCACGACCGGCGGTTCCAGAGCTGCAACGATAGCCTGGAAGATTGTACAAAAGTATGAACATCCTAAGTCCTCGGAGGCGAAAAAAAAAGTTGAACACGGACCTCATCGAAAACATTCTTCAAGCCTTTCTGCGTCAATGCTGAACACTCTACATACTTAACCGCGCCCAATTCCCGAGCGAGACGTTCGCCTTGTTCAGCTGTGACAGGTCGTTGCTTCTGTCTTGCGAGCTTCTCCAAAACTTGAGGGTCATCCCGCAAATCTATCTGGGTGCCAACGATGAGGCAAGGCACACCCGGACAATGGTGGTGAACCTCTGGGAACCACTTCTCCTTCACGTTCTCAAACGATGCTGGAGACGTCACACTGAAGCAAACAAGGAAAACATCTGTTTGCGGGTATGACAGTGGACGAAGGCGATCGTAATCCTCCTGACCTGTATTGCGTCGCAGTTGATACAATCCTCAGTAAAACCGTGCATTCGGAATAGTAAGGTCGCTCATACCAGCAGTATCGAACAAGCCCAGCGTGTAAGGGTCGTCACCGATCATCACGGTGACAGCGTAATTGTCAAAAACCTGTTGTAAAAAGTATCAGCAAGGCAAAGCCTCCTAACATTGTGCACCCGAACTTACAGTAGGCACATATTCACTTGGGAATTTGTTCGTAGTGTAGGAGATCAGCAGACAGGTCTGCCACGAAAGACGTGACGATGAATAGGTTATCGGACAAGACACATAGGGAGCATACGTACCTTACCGACTGCACCATCTCCAACAACTACACACTTAATCGTCTGCATCGTTCTACAAGCGGTCTAGCGGCGTCGAGCTTGTAAGAGGCTACGAGCGGTAATGTCTCAGCAATTGTGGAAGTTGACGGACAGTGATGCACAGCCAGTGGTAGGGGACGGAACGCTCGTTATGGGCTCGGTGACAGTGGTAACGTACCACGATGGTCCTCCCCAACGAGAGTGCATCTGATATTCCAGTCCCGAATGATTTCAAAGCGAAATCTCACCTTGAAACGGTCAATGCCCCAAGGTAGTTATGAGCTTGCAGGTATTCTAAAGCACGAGGAAGTGACCCTAAAGTCAAATGTCTTTGGACAGTCGGGAATGAGTGACTTGATTGTGGGCGATGGACGTATCCTGGCGTAAGATATACCGACCTGAGCACGACGCACACGCTGTGCAAACGTTGCTGAGCACGCTGCTGACGACGGCGGGCGGGAATTCGAGATGGTCAAGTGAACTGCCTTGGCGTAGCCAACTGCCTCGAGGAGGCCTAACAACTGTCCCCGATAATGCGACCGGCCCTGAACACCCCGCGCCACTGCCTTACAATCCAACTATAGTCTCCAATACAATGCGTTTCTATTGGTTACCACCGTGTGAAAATAGGACTACTACGTTTATTATATCCAAATTGTATAGACTATACAAACATAACATGCTGTACAAGACCGGCCAAAATTTCAGCGAGATAACTTAGGAAACCAAACATAGCTATGTACGGGGGAAAGAAAATTAAGCAACTTTGACGCGCTTTCGCACTTGACCTGAAAACACATGGTGAGCTTTCCGCATAAAAGCCTATGCAAACCCACGCACCCTCAGCAGGTTGAGTAAACCAGGTCAATCGACCGTTCCGAGTTCCGGTAATGATCTGAATATTGGAAGTCTGACCTCCTTCGAAGCTCTGAAGGCAAATGAAAATCAATACGTATTTCATCTGCCAAGCAAGAAGACGTACTGAGATGGCTAGAACCTGGTCATTTTCTCCATGTGCCATTCCATAACTGACATCCGCAGTACTTCGGTCCCAGACCATGAGGCATCCTCGTACCGCACCATAGATAATGGCCTGACTTCGGTTGGCAAACAACGCACCAAAGTCGTAGAGCGCATTGCTTTGAAGCTCTGGGTCACCCAAATAGTAGGTCTGCTCGATAGTTCCTTTATGGTCATCAGATGATATAGTGAGTAGCTGACTACGACCGCCAGCAAGTGCAACCAGAGTGTTCCGGCCTTCAACGTCTAAAGACAAACTGTAGAAATAGAAACAATAAGATGTATAGTTCGCGATACCACATAAACAACTTACACTTTAGATTTCAAGAATGCTGATACCTTGAGGGTCCCGTTCGGAATTTCACAATGCCAACTAGCGGTGGGAATTCGATCAGAACAAGGCAGGTTATCCCCTGAATAACACCTGACTTACAGGACACCGTCGCCAGTCGCTCCTATGAGGGCATCGCCGCCGTCAACAAACTTGATTGCGGACACATTATGTTGAAGAATAGATCGCTGAGGGAACCACGTTCCTGAAGATCCATGAGCCTCCAAAGCGGGTATGGATATTCCTCTACTCTTACCTTTGACGAATAGCCACACCTTCACGCCTGCCTGCGGAAAGGCAATCGCAATACGATCACCACCGAAGGCAAGACAAGTCGGCTGCTCGTTGGAACCCCGACCACCAGCATCCAGAATTTTTGCCCATTGCCATTTATTCTGAACCTGAAGAACGATGAGTGGATGTGAGAAAGAAGGAAACAGGAATGCAAGACACACGTTCCGCGTCCAGGTACTAACGATACCATTATCGCCTAACGTGACAACTCCTGAATCATGATCCAACCAAGCGACCGCCAACACAGACATTGTATGTCCCAGTCTTGCGATCTCTAGACGTGTTCGATTATTCCATATACGAACTGTTCGGTCAGAACCTGAAAATGACCAAAAATTAGCACAAGGAGTCCGACAGGAATTTCAAAGGAAGGCTTACATGTCAAAGCAAAGAGAGTACCGTCCGAGTTGAACACTATCGAAGTAATTGCTATTTCTTCTTCACCCTTGACGCGTGAAGTGTGCGTCCCCTCAATTGTCGGCCAACTGAACATACTGTTCTGCTTATTATCTTGAGGGCTTATAGGCTCCAGCGATGCCATTCGCTTCACGCCCTGTCGTGGTGACCATGTCGCTCGACTATGATCATTAGGAAACGCAGAAGGCTTCGGAGGTAAAGGGTGAGTCGGCGTAATGGGTTGACTGTTGACTCCTGGTCGTGGAGGAGGTGGAGGTATGAAAGAAGTATTGATAGGCGGCGGATAATGAGGAGTGGGTGGACGATCCGGTTGGAAGTTAGTCGAAGAGACAGAGACATTGTCGGAGATAGAAGATGCTCTACTTGGTTGTCGTGAAGATTGAGGGGTAGAATACTGAGCAGAGATTAACTCCAATGATTTTTGCGGCGTGATATCTAGCAGAGGATTGTCAATTATCGGAGCACGGAAAGGCAGCATCGTCGGCCGTTTGTAACACACATGGGGAATGGCGACTACTTACTGGGTGGAGGGTACATATTATCTCGTGGAGGAGGCGGAGGTGGAGCGAAGCCATTCATAGGATTCCTAGGATCATATTCTTCTTCCCAACCACCGCGATCATACGATGCAGGTGGTTGAGGCCAAATACCGGGACCGGGTGCAGGAGGCCCAGGTGGTGGAGGTTGTGGCCAAGCTGCAGGTGCAGGTTGGCCCCAGGAAGCCCTACGGTTGATATTGGCATTTCTATCGTCGCGCTGTTGATTGTTCAAATTATCGTTACCACCGGGTGGCTTGGACGGAGTGGTGGCACTATTCCCTTGCCGATTATATGGCCATCCGTTTCCTACAAGCACGGGTCTTTTATTACCATTCTGCTGCAAATGGCCAGATTGGGAAGGCTCCATGCCTTGGTGCTGCTGCTGTTGCTGCTGTTGTTGCGGTTGATGAAAGCCGTTCTGTCTAGGGATGAACGGTCGACCGGATGGGCGAATATTCAGAGGATTCGTAAATGATCCTGATGGCAAGAAGGATGGAGGTTTGGAATCAGAAGGAGGCGTGTACGTTCGTCTGACTTGTCGACCATTTGGCTGGTCCTGACGAGAAGGGCCAGGGGGGAAGAAGCCGTGAGATGTCCTAGGAGGCATGAGTATAGGAATCGGTCGGTCTGTATCATTTGGTCCGTTCTGAGTTTCAACCGGACGCGGTGGTGGAGGCGGCGGCATCGATCTAACAAAGTTTAGTGGTGGCGGATGGGTCAGTGGAGTACATTGCAGGGGTGCTACAGCAACCTCTGCCTTCGAAGGCTCAGGAGGGATGTCTTCTACCTTCACCTTGCTGCTGCTAGCGGATGGTGGGGTCGGGGGAGAGTAGGCACGCGAAGTAGTAGTAGGGGATAGCGATTTGGAATGGCTGGCTCTGATGGGCGTGGTTATCGCTGGCTCTGGATTCGGAGAAGGAGAAGCCTGACAAAAAAGTTCAATCAAGCACATGAGGCGAAGATGAAGATGATCTTACAGATTTTGGTGCAGATTGCACTTTCGGCGTGTCAACAGCAGCTCTCGCAACTGATCCACTTACGAAGTCTGTTAGCAAACCGCCAGATACAAACGGATTTAGCACAGGCTTCCGCTTCGGCTTGTACGGCGCTGGTTCTTGCTTGACATTGGGAACAATAGTTACATCCGTACCTGGTGGAGTTGGGGAAGATTGCACTGGCTGACTGGTGGGTGTAAAGCTCTTTGTCGGTGTAGCTTCTACTCGTGTAGAACCAACCGCAGTGCCGTCGTCCGTTGGGGTGGACGACAGCACATGTGGTGGTCGTGACTCGTACGCAGGAATCGCTAGGCCAGGTGGATCTCCAGAGTCAGGAGAGAGGTGTAGGGGAGATAAGTGCACATCCAGCCCGGGAGGTGAAGAGGAGGACGAAGTCGACAAGGATAAACCAGGGGGAGAAAGCGACATCGACTTCGGTCTGTCATCCTCAGATTGTGTAAGGAGCCCTGTCGGTGCTAAAGTTGGACTACTTCCTGGAGAGTCAAGCTCCATAGGTGAGAGACTCCTATCCCGCCCTGTGAAGTTCATACCCAAGTTTACGGACAGCGATGGGGAGTACGTTTCAGACACTGGAGAGCTAGGGGGTACTTCAGCAGAGCAGGCCGTAACTTCAATTGTTGCGGCTTCTTCAGTCCGTATGGGTGAGGGAATCTTTGCAGCGCTGTAGGCTACTGCCTGCGACTCAATCACAGCTTCAGTTTGAACTGAAGAGGACACCTGCTGCACCGCAGGTTCCGCGGGGGTTTGTACTGAGTGAGAATCGTACGTATGATCGCATTGCACGCCAACTGACTGATGAGTACGAGGGATAAGAGGAATAGCAGCTATGACGTGTCCATGCGATATTAGACTTAGTATGCATGATAGAGAATAGGAAACATACGAGCAGGTGATGTTTCTAGTATTTTACTCCAGGTTTTGCGCATCCGAGGGGGCAAGGCAGCAGGTGTCGCTGGTGGTGTAGGGGGCTTCTCAGCGACCTTGGTAGGTGTCACCTCCATTGCTTTTGGTTCGTTTCCAGGTAATTCACCCGTAAACATCACAGGAGTGTCAATATATCTTCCATCCGGAGTTGCAACTGCGAGGAGGATCTCTTTGCCCGGCTTGACTTCTATCCTTTTTTGCGCAAACAAACTGAAATATACCATAGATTTTCCATCTCCTTCATCCTCGGATTCTTCCGAGAGATCTACTTGTCGGAGGACGACGTGCGCTTTTTGTGTAGCACCATGAGTCCGAAAGCGTAGAGGACCCTTTATACCTAGTATGGACGCTACCGTGGGTTCCGGGGAGTTACTGTCATTATCTCCTGACATATTTGTGTCCCGCATGAGACGGAAATTAGGTGTCGTCTCGCTTCAAATTGCGCGAGAGGAGCTGAACGAGCAATTTCCAGGTGGTAGGGAGGAGCAAGCAGTCTTGCATTTTTGACGCTCAAACACTTATTTGGCAGTGTCGGTATTTACCGTGGGAACTCGATTTCTAAGCCCCTACAGAGGAAGTTTGTACCAGCCTCCAAGCTCCAAGTTCCAGCTCGGTTTCTTCTGACTATTGGGTCTCATTAATCTTCCATGTACGGGTGCAACAGGTACTACGGCTACACTTGTGGTATTCTTTAACTGGTCTCTGCGTACAAACACCCGAACCTCCTTTAGATGTCTCCAAAATCCCCCAAATCATACCTCAGGAACCGCTTCAGTCCACTGTATACCGGCCGCGGACGCAACTTCCATTGCTATCTCTCTGACTGCTTTTGCTTGTTCCACCGTGGCGCCTCCGTGCCTAGCGTTCGCTAGGTGCCAGGCAATTTGACGAGGAGTATCCATGCAAATGTTTGCAGTGGCGATCACGTAGGAGGTCTCAACTTGGGACAGTACGTTTGTTCCCCTGTACGTTATACCATAACCAACGGTATTTGAGAACCACCCTGTATTCTCGTGATCGGCTCCAAAGTTCAGGCTGAAGGAGATATTGCTCAGTTGCTCACCCATATCTGGATAGATTTCGTCCAACAGAGTTTGCACATGTTCTGCGGTATCGCCGTACATTGCTTTGAAGAGACGCTTACCATTCTCTGCATAGTCAGTGATGTGCTGATTTGTATTTCTGAAGACGTCAGAGTCAGCAGTATTCCCGTCTCTCTAGTAGATACCCTACCGAATAGTCGTCTGCTCTCGCAGCTCCGGCGGAGTCACGCCGTGCAAAGCTACCAAGCTGTTTATGGCCTGTAAAACGTGTCTACTTCTTCTCTGCTACAGCGTTAGGCATTGAATTTACATACTCGTGCGTACCCGCTGAGTAGACCAGATTGTAAAACTGCCTCCCTTATTCTTCTAGCTACTGCAAGTCTCGCCGCGTGTCGATCCTTCTCCGCAGCAAATTCCACCTTTTCCAGGTCATTCAGGACGTACTGGAAGACTACAGCTGTAGCATCCGGCTTGTTGCTGGCACTGAATGCTACAGCAGCAATCAGATACCATGGCTGACCAACGATAGCGCTAGGGGTATCTGGACTTCCAGATTGGTGCGGATATAAAGATCGCAGATGCTGCAGGAACTGAGCAGTTGCAAGCTGAGCCATTCTGCAGCTGATCACTACAGGAAAGCTCGGTCGTTATACCTTCGATCTAATGTCGAGGTTTCTAGTGTGTGTTGGAAAGGAATGTACGTCCCCGGTTTGCGGCTATTACCTCAACGAGTAGCGCGCTGCCGTTCCGTCGAATAACTCCTGAGTCTAAATCAAACCATGAGGAAGCAAATATAACAATGTCCCCTTACCCTTGTAAGAAGGTACGTACATTTCAAAGTTTAGATGGTACATAAGAGTTTCGTAACTACAAGTACAAGTACAGGATAACATCGGGCGTTAGAGCTGAGTAGCATTTGGTACAGAAGACACATCTGAACATCATGATGATCACAGAGGCATAACAATCCGACATAGGCGAGAAAACTGACAACGAGACTAGCAGATCTTACCTGAAACACAACACTTGGAACTCGGGAGACTTGCCTTACTTCAAGGCTCCAGCTGCATGTCAGACGCGCCATTCTCTACGGCTGGCATCTCTTCTGCATTTTCTGGACTTCCTACTGGGAGGGGGCTATCATCCTCTTCCTCCACTTCGTCTTCTTTGGGTATCTCAACACCATCAGTATGTCCCTCCACTTCGCTAACAGCAATCTTCGCCAGAGCCGCGAAGCCTTCCTCCGTCTCATCGTCTAGTTTGCGCTCAATTACATCAACAACAATCTCAGGGACAGTTTCGTCAACAGCCATCTTTTCGTTGCAGTCGCATATCTTTGATAGCAGATACTGGCTATCCGGATCTTCAAGGACTTGACGTGCTCGCTCGGACGCAAGACCCTTCGCAAGAGATAAATTGGCCGCAGAGATAGGACCAACAACTGCGAAGTCGTGAACGATTATAGACACGCAGTCGTTTCGTCGCATCTCTGGTCGACTCTGCGACTTTCTGAGTAGAAGGTTAGCAAGGATAACGTAAGACATCACAAAATATGCTCACCTAAAGCTGATCTTGCGACATCCTGACCGAGCGGACCAGACCATCAGGGTAGAGACAGGATCCTTCGGCATATCGGGTTTGAGTGTTATAAGGAGTTCTCGGAGGACAGTCTCTGCAACCACTGAAGTTTTCTCAAAGTTGTATCCACTGTCCACGAAAACCGCTCCCAGAACGCTTTCCAATACGTCACTGATGGCCTTAGGAGGATCTTGCTTCCACCCATTGATGGTGATATCGTCGCCTGTAGTCTGCTCTAGAATCGGCACGTATCGACCGATCGCCATGCTCAATTCTACGTTATTGACGAGTAGCACCTTGTGCAATTGAAGGTGTTTGACAGCGACATATGCAAGTGCAGGAGCACACACTGCCTTAGACCGAGCCCATGATAATTGGCCTGAAGTGGCGGTAGGGTATTTCCTGTAAAGGTATCGCATGACGACTAAATCTATGAGGGCTGCATACATGAATATGATGAGCTTATGGCCACAACAATGTTGCATACAACTTACCATCGCCGACCCATTCGAGACGTTGATATGAAGTACAATCTGCGGACTTGAAAGATGGATGGGTGACAGCCTCGAGCAAGAGCATGCCACAACGGAATTGATAGCCCAGTGCTTCCTGAAGGTCGGCGAACAAGGGCGACACCGGAGCTTCAGGACGAAGTGGATATCTCAGTGTCCAAGGTAAAGGCCCACCCATACTGAGACCCAGCACCGCTCCTGAAAGCAAGGCCATATCGATGCCACCTGTCACAAAACTGGCACCAAGGGTGGCTTCCATACAGTCTTGAAGACTTCTTCTTGGGAACCGTCGCAGAGTTTGGCGAGGCGCTCGTTCGGGATGATCATATTGATCTTCTGGGAGGGTGAATCTCCAAACACGCATGGATCGGGGTTCACAAGTCAAGTAATGTTCAAGACCATGTTCCTTCGCGCGAGCTAGGAGGGTACGATTTGATACGGAATTACGTCGCAAAACGTCAAGTTGACCTTCATGACGATGAGGAAACTTGTTGAACAAGTGTACAACACTGGTCAGTTTCAACACGGCATCCCCAAGGGTTTCTAATCGCTGGTTGTTGAAGCCGGCATCTGCACTGGGAAGAGTCAGTGCCTGAACCATGACATCGTCATGAACCGGAGGAAGCCCGAGGTCAAATCGAGCCATTCGAGCGCGGTACACATCCGTGACGCGTTGACAGAGCTCTGGCAAGAGGCGGAATGTACAGTAGAGTGCGTAAGAGAACGGGAGCCAACGACACATCTTTTGTATCATGACTACCGTGCTGGGAGTAGATGTGGATTTGCTCCTATGGGAACCGTCCAGCAAATAGATGCTGGACGCTTGCCGAGGGCATGGTTGGGCTTCGACACACGGCCCCGTCGCAGGGATATCAGGAACAATCCCTTGCCTAGTATATCTGCGTCGGAAGTAGTCCCGATACGTTGCGTAACCTGATTCGCGAGCGCCCTCCGACGGAGGTGCAGACATAGGAGAAAGGTCAGTCCTAATGCGACGAAGAAGCAAAGGTCGACCATGTTCTCTGCTACACATAATCAAGAGGCGATCGTAGTGCTCTTCAGTGATATTCGACCAATCGAATGACCCATGAGGTTGTAGAACGGCTTGCTCCATAGTATCCCAATCGATCATCTCTGCATGTGTCATGGGGACCAGGTAACACGTCAGTGGGAGAGCTATACCTCTGCCAGTGATGCACCACCATAGACCCATCCTCATGAAGTCTTCCATGACTCGCCGCAACCTCCAGTCCTCGCCTGGGTCGAAGTCAACCGCCCGCGGCTCACCGAGAGAGACGTATTTCCCGTCACAGACGACGTCAACTGAGGGAAGAGGTGATCCGGTGACCAGACCGGCAGTCGCTTGCCCATCCATGTAGATGGTATGGACCCATTGGGCCTTGCCTCTCGTCCACGGGTCTTTGACCATGACGTCCATAGTATCGGGTATAGTGCTAACGTCGCCAATGGGACGACCATCGGCGTCCTCGTTATCGCCACTGTGAGCTTTCGCAGGGAGCAGGTAATCATCAAATACGTTCAGAGCATGGAGTCGTTTCACCGCCAGAAATGCGACTGCACGCTTGGCCTCTTTCTTGGACCGTTTCGGTGGTCCAGTGAATATAAGGTGCTCAGGAGGTAATGGAAGACTTGAGGGCAGTTGCAAAACGGATTCGAAGTCCCCAGAGTATTGGGGGACATGGACAGGGGTAAAACGATCGCGGGGAATAAGCGAACACAGATGGTTCAAGAGGCCGATTGCGGTATTATAGGTGAGCACGGCGTTGGTGGATGGTACGACGAAACGTTCTCGTTCTGCGAGGTCATCGGGATCTTCGAAGCCTTCTTCATCATCTTCTGGTTGAGCCTCCTTGCGATCGTCGCGAGTCTGATACACACGCCTCAACTCGGGTTCCGTCTCAGAGAATGCTCGATATCGTTCCGCATGCATAGCTTGTCCTTGCTGAATCATGACAATGAACGTCGCTGTCTTCTGGCGGGCACGACCCCGGGATTGGATGTATCCAACCATGTGTTGGATTGGATCGAAACGAATGACAAGTTCGCATGCCTGAGCGATAATTCAATATTGAAGTCATTAACCAGGACAAACTCACATACCGGGAAATCAAGTCCTTCTTCGGCGACGGAAGTGGCGACAACTGGTTATATGCTGTCAGAGATGCTCAAGCAGCGAACGAGTAATCACCTACGTAAATTTACTTCACCATCACGGAACATCTTCACGACGTCCTGTTGTGTCTTGAGGGCCATTCCTCTGACTTGCGACTTTGAGAGATTGCTTGCGCCATGACCAATCAGCTGAGCGCTTTGAATGTAGGACTCCAGTTGAGGGATACGCGGTAGGATTCGAGATAGGCATGCAGCGACGTGACGCTGTTCTACGAATACTATGCCCTGGAAGTCTCGGGTATAATGCTGGAACAGCAAATCAGCGAGACGCCTGACCTTGGGTGAGCACCATTGAAGCTGTACACGAATCGGGACAATGTCGGGGTTGGCTTCATCCTCGAAGTAGTGTCGGAATTGGAAGAGAATATCGCTGAGGTGTTGGAGTTCTGGTGCGAGTTTGATATCTATGTGTGATGGTATATCGTGGTCATTGTCCATGTGCATTAGTGGGTATTCCGCCTCCTCTTCGGCTTGATACATGATTTGGGCGATGCGGTGTTTGGTATCGATATACAGGAAAAGTTCGGCGCCGAACAGCCCCAGACTGTTGTAGGTCACTTCGTATCTGGTCTTGATCTTGCTCACCGGGAACCCGAGTTCTATGGGAAGTTCTTCCAGGTTCAAACATTCCCATAGCGTGATGGGTGCATAAAGAGGATAGACATCCGGGGGATTGTCGTATTCATCGACAATCTGCATCAAATGTCAGAATTGCAATAGGTACAGAAGAGGAAAGATAGGCACCTCCTGCGGTTTCGGGGAATGATCCATCAATTCGTCAACATGCTCTCGGACCGCAATCACTTTCGCATCCAGATTTCGTTCCAATGTCGCAAGCGATTCGACAGCATCTCTTGGATTCCAGATGGGTGACGCGGTCATGCCGAATACTCTTGGCCTGTGTTCAGCAGGAATCTGAAAGTATTCTCGCATAATGCCATTGTACGCATGATTCTTCCTCGTATGATGGCATTCGTCAAAGACCATTAGCGCGACCTGCGGTAGTTGAGCCAACGAAATGTATTCTCTCGAAAACGCACATACCTTGTCCATACTCCATAACGAATGGGTAAGAATATTGAGAAAGATCTGGGCTGTTGCAAAAGCTTGAGTAAAGTCCACAACAGCAAAGGTGATTCGCGAGAATGGCTACTAGCGAGAAGTCAGATTTTCCAAAACATATCGTGCCGCACATGTTTCTAGCATCATAAGAAGGACATTCACGAAGTCAATGACCTTCAAATGTTGCTCGAGAGAAAGCACATAAGACCCATGTTCTGGACATTATCTATATTCTCGTTAATAGCAATTGTCGCAAGAAGACATGCTAGCGGCCATCCGGCAATCAAGTCGAGAGATTGACAACGGCAACCGTATGGGGTCCAAAGAAAAAGTTACAAGCTCAACCTATGTGATCGAGCTTTAAGTAAGGGTGTAACTCGCGAGTGGCAGCAAGACCACTCAATCGCCAGTCCCAGGAAAGATGAAAGGCCGAATTGTTTCGACATAGAACGGGGGTGCATTGACTGGGGGGTAAATGCGCAATCGCCAGTCAACATTTTGAACGAGTAGATGATTATGTTCAGCCCCCCGGTGCGAGTACTCCGCGAAAAACTGGAAGGCCAAAGCGTACATTGGACAGTTAGGCTGAGCGCCCACAGCGCCCGGCCTTCCACAGTTCTGCGAATGTTCCCAAACAGGGAAGACGCTAAAAATGGCCCTCTTATAGGCCGCTCAGGCCATGAGAGGCGGCGTCCGCAGCCAAACGTATCCAAATGGGATTCAAACGGTGATCGTGGTCAACTTGTCGTAATTTCAAAAGTGATGCACCACCCACCACAATCGGGACCCTCAGAGGCTAGCCTCTACGCGGTGGAAGAATAAACAGCTTCCACGCACTAGAGACTAACCTCTGAGCCTAGCAAGGCCATACCAACATAGTAGCAATGCAGATATACCACATACCGGTCATTACAAGTACATCGTGGCTTTCGATCTCTTTCTTCCAGCTTCGCCTATCTGCGAGATCGATTGCGGTGGCGCCGTAGCATTTGCTGACACGTAAAGTCGTTTCCCTTGCAATAAAGTCGCCTTGCTGTTCGACCAAGGCGACTTTAGGGACCAGGAATACGATAATCTTGCCTCGACCAGCATTCAAGGTCACAATCCATTTGATTAGAAGGGTGCTAATATAGGTCTTTCCACTGCCAGTATCGAGCGCAGCGATAACATTTCTTTCTTGAGCTCGCGCGAAGATTTCCTCCTGGTAACGCCGAGGAAGAAGGACTTCATTGATTTCATTGAGATCTACAGTCATTGCTGTAAAGAAATGTTATTGCTGGAGTCGACAGAACATGGGCGAGGGTGCGCGGTTTTTTCAAGGAGACGTCTGTGCGCAGTCCCGGCTTATAAGCATTCTCTGGCGCTTATCATAACATCTAACGCCCATTTCCGGTTGTGGGTCCACTGCCGTAAACCTTGGGCAGTGCCAGGACTTCACCCCAACGTTGACACTGTCAACATGGAAAAGCTGGTCGATTTACCCTCAGTAGCAAGGGTAAGTCCGATGTCTAATGAGACAGGAACTCCCTTGACGAGCTTCTGTAGTTGAGTAAGAATGTCATCAGAATCCTAGGACAGGTAAGAGATGCATCGGATACCATTCCATTCTTGATTGAGGACAGAATGGAACGCAATAGAACCCAGGGAAATACACGCTTCAAGGCACGCGTTATTTTCTTAAATGCCTATGGATATTTGACGTCATTTTTTTTGCAGGGACGAACACGTACCTTGTGGGTCAAGGCAATCCTTACGTTCTCGTTGACACAGGACAAGGCATAGATTCGTATCCTTCACATTTAAAAGAGGCACTTCAGACGTATGCTCTTGACCATGAGAAACAGCTTGTCTCGGATGTTATCGTTACGCATAGACATCACGATCACATCAATGGTCTCCACTCGGTCCTTACACTGGTTCGGGCAGTTTGGAACGAGAGGCGCAGCTCTGAGTCTTCATCTATTCCATTCATTCCTCCCAGAGTACACAAGATCCCTTTGGATACCCCAGATGATGGCATCACCGAAGTTCTACAGTCCATTTCTGCTGATGATGTAACGCCTGACCCATCAGGCAACCTCCTACATGACCTGCAGGAAGGACAACACCTTCCCGTGACATCCTCAGATTCACAACCTGCACATCTTCACGTTATTCACACTCCCGGACACACACCCGATTCTCTTTGCTTATACTTCCGGCCTGATGAGGCACTCTTCACTGCAGACACAATCCTCGGACAAGGAACTGCTGTGTTCGAGGACCTTGGAGAATACATGTCGAGTCTCCGAAAGCTCCTCGACTTTTATCGAGGACATCATTATACTGTCTTGTATCCCGCACACGGTCCGGAGGTGAAGGAGGGCGCGAATCGGATCGCGATGTACTTGCAGCATCGAGTTCAGCGCGAGGAGCAGATCGTGAAGGTCCTCGCTTCGAATCCTGCCGAACAGCTGCGAGATAAAGACACGGTGTGGACAACGTGGGACATTGTCAGGACAATCTACAAGGATTATCCGCAGAATTTATGGGAGCCTGCTGCGCACAGTGTTGATTTGCATTTACGGAAGCTGGAGACCGAAGGACGTGTGAGGCTGCGTGGGGGCCACGGGAAAGACAGGCAGTGGCTGTTTGTACGATAATAAGGGGTTGTCATCGAGATCGGATTTGTACAACTGTTATCATGGAATGGAACGGACGGTTTCAATTGCGGGTATAGGAAATAAAGAATATATTAACAGGATCCATGTATGTATGTACCATTACAATGCGTCGAAATTGATATGATGCGAAGCTCGTCTTCTTTCCATTTCGTCCTCTCTCTGCAATCATACACATGTTAGTCATGACGTGAATGACAAAGATGGAGTGATCCAGACTCGCCTTCTCACTGAGATGTAATACGCCAACGATGACAGCCAACACCAACATCGCACCGACCACAGTCAAAGTAACCCAGACGATCCATTCTCCAGGTCTTAGATAGAGTTCTCGTTTCCACATACCGTCCTCGCCCACTGCAGGGATGATGACAACTTTCGAGTTAGGAATGACACCTTCCATGTTAATGTAATGCTGCGCAGTGTGCTTTGTTGACCCAACAAACAGGTTCTCGATGTAGTTGTTCGTCCGGCCAAGCCCGAAGTAGGCATATGGCGTTAAGAGGGATTGATAAGCCGTCTGAGGAAGTTGAGCCACTGGGAGAAAGGAGTTAGATAGCTTAAGGAAGACAGCACTAGCTTACCCGCAGCTGCCGATCGACGGCCTGAAGTGTCCAGAACGGTATATTTGTACGTCGCTCCTGAGAAGCTGACACCGTATGGCTGAAGAAGAGATGAATATAGCAATTAGTCGCGAAGGGAAAGAGATGACGTACGTGATAACGGCTTCCGCTTGGTGTTGTGCACAACCCACTGCCGCATGCTCCGTTTAGCACTGCGCAAAGTCAGTCAAGTCAATATGTATTCAGGCCACAGAAAGACGTAAAAGTCTCACCAATTGCTTTGAGGAAGAACGCATCATAGTAAAAGTTGTTCTGAACAAACAAGACGTTTCCTTGTCCTTGATCGCCCGTCCGTTGCACCATGATATCAAGCGTTCCCTACAACGATCATGAACCGATAAACAAGCTCATCTTGCACATGAGAACTGAGACTTACATCTTCGTCCATATCCAAGACAGCGATACCTCTGGCGTCCTTTACTTCCCGTAGCACTTCACCGCCTTTCTTCAAGACACTCCAACCTCTTCGTCCCTTACCATTATCATCACAGCCCGCTACGCCCCGTCCGCATGGAACAGAGTATGCAAGGTACGGCGTCTTCGGGATGCTAGATCCACTTCCCGATACCAAGATTGCGAGGAGGTCGGGGAACCCGTCCTGATTTGCATCGCCAAGTTTGATGGGAAGAGGAAGTGGAGGATTATGGGTGACATCCGAGACCAGAAGGGAAAGGGGTGTCGATGAAGACGAAGGTGCTGGGAAGATGGAGGAGATTGGGATTTTGACGAAATCCTGAACAATTGTTGGATAAAAGGTATAGATCATAACGAGCGGAACATACTGGGTTATCATTTCCTTCACTCAGATTGTATTGGAAGTTATCGTCGGCAGTGCACAAATTAGTCGGCGGCCTGCAGACCCTCTTCCCATTCTTGACACTAGGTGCCGTTGAGCTCTTGCACAGCGGAAGCTGTTTGTTATATGCGATGTTGAGCGCGCAATTCGAGCCAACACCTGTGGTGGAGGAGACAGAATCGCAAGTGACGAAGAGCATGTCCATGGTTCCATCTCGGTCTATACGAATGTTGATCAATAAAACACATACCACTTGAAACCACTTAACGGGGCGCACCAATGTCGCTGAATGTTACTGACTGGAAACCTTTTGGGAAGCGACCCAACTGAGCTAATGCGAAGCCATCATCTTTGTTGTTTACCCAGATCTGGAAGTATTTGTCGTTGCTGCCCTGCTCGTTGCACACAAGGAATATGTCTACTCGGCAAAGCGATGAGACATGCTATGTTAGTCGTGGACTTGGGTAAGCTTACCGGCAAGGCAATCGCCATTGAAGTCAACAGCAGCGTTGAAGTGGGGGTCTGACAGTGTGCATTGAGCGCCATTCAATTTCGGGTCCACCCTGAGGGTCAGTCAGAAATATATTGATGTACATGGGACAGACTACTACGCACATCTCGAACAAGGGACCAGAAGTTTGAGATGCATTCCATACATTCTGCCATACCTTGAATGTGGATGGCGAAGACGGCGTTACTCCGAATAGGTCGATTCGAAGGTCGCCGTTGATGTCCATAGGTATAGGCTGTGGTTTAGCGGAACGTGGAGCAGGGATGGGGTTGAGATCTGACGAAGATTGTCAGGAATTTAAATCCCAATATTCTATTGCTGAAACTGACCAAAGCCGCCTTCCGGTGAAGCTACGTATACTTGGATATCAATTTCGTTCGACGAGGGTGATTGGCTCATAACCAAGATATCCAATCGTCCGTCCTGAGTAAAATCGCCTGGGACGACATTGTATACTCGCTGAGGGTGTCGAAATACGGCAGCCTTGGTAAAGTGAAAGTCATCTGGGGGTCCAAATGCTCGGTAAAAGTGGACAACACGAATAGACAGCACATACCATGTTCCCATAAGTATACCGTAAATGTCTGTTGGTCGGAACCCAACGTTATAAGGTCCAGGCTACCTCAAACTCGATTCAACCCTTCAATGGTAACTCAAACTTCAAGGAAGCTTACAATTGATCCCCATTGAAGTCTCCAAAAGCAACGACTCGACCGTCCGTCTCAACACCCATTGAGCCAGCGGTTAGCAGAGCGTTTCCGCTGAACCTCTTCGGAGGGAACGGCCATATTGCTTGCGCAAATGAAACGAGAAGCAAACAAGTAAGCAGGCGAGAAAGTAGCCGCTGTGGCCAGATTGGCGATCCCATGCCTCCACCAGTTGTCGAGGACGTTACACGCCCTCCTTGGGGGCTATTAGATCAAGGACGGCTCCAGAGGCTTTCAAAATATCGAATTTATGCAACAAGCAGTTAAAAAGAGAGAAGCGAAATCCACTGAACAAGGTCGTAAACGTTCAAAAGCAAGTGTCTAAATGAAGCGCGCAGCGCTTGCTCGCTTTGACCATGATGGCACGTCGTTCAACCCAGCCAATTTTGTTCTTGTACTACAACCTACTTCTTTTTCTTCGCTACAACTCTATCCTCAACAGCCACGAATTAACGTTTTCATGAAACATTTCACTATACACAATCGAACAAACGAGAGCGTGTCTCTCGATGCTATTCTTGATACATTCCCCGCAAAACAGCGGATGATCATCTTACCTGGGAGCTCGACGACGCTGCCAGTCAGACGTTTCGGCGCCCCTTTAACACTTTACAGGCATGACGTTAGTAAGGGCTACTCATTATATGTCAAAGAGTTAGTGTCACCAAGTAAAATCATCGTTCATGGACCTATGGTGCTCGGCGCGAGCTGGCGAGCAGTCGAAGTCGGTAAAGATTGTCCATGGATAATATACCGCAGTCGTGTAAGTGGCTTAGAAACCGTTTCACGAATCAAAATGCCAACCCTACGTTACAGTCGAGCAGGCGGTATCGTAGCCTCTTAATTCTGCCTCGGCGAAATCTCGCAGCTTTCTTGCGAGACCTACCTGATTCTCTGTCACTCTCCGCTTTGGCTTTACCTGGTATGTTGCATATAATACCCTTATATCTGGTAATGAACACTAAGAGGAGATTTCAGGTACGCACGATACGTACGCAGTTTTCTTTCCAACGTCTTCTCTTCACGAATATTGATGTGACATTTTTTGGACTCAGCATGGCCCTCTATGGATGGCCAGTATCCCAGTGCCAGTCACTCGCCACGCCGCTTGTCGTACAACTGCAATCAGGCGTTCGCATTCTCGACATCCGACTGGCTCTTAAAGACTCTGGGCTCATGGCCTACCACGGCGTAGTCGCACAACAAGTCTCATTCCAGTATATTCTTTCCACCATTCATGATTTTCTCACCTCTCCAGAAAGCCATCATGAAACAATAGTGATGTCCATTAAACAAGAGGACTTTGCGGTTGTACGTCCACAGGAGTTCTCGCAACATGTGCACGATGAAATTGCTAACGGACCTGGTGGTATGGGGATGTGGTTCCTTGGCAATCGGATCCCAACTTTGGGAGAAGTGCGAGGAAAAGTTGTTATGTTCAGTCGATTTGGCGGCAATGGCGGCGAATGGGATGGCGGATTGGAAGGCCTTGGTATACATCCTACCACATGGCCTGATAGTGAGAAATTTGGCTTTACTTGGGAGTGTAAAAATACCCTAGTACGGACACACGACTGGTATGCATTCCAATTTAGTTTACTCTTTATCAAGCGATCTAACCTGCATTGAATTCTAGGTACAATATACCATCATTTTTAGCGATTCCCGAGAAGACAACTCTGGCGACTCAAATCCTCCTTCCGCCTCCGAATAACCCACCAGTGCCAACCCTCGCGATCACGTTCTTTTCTGCGGCCTCGTTTCCACTCGCGTTCCCACCAACCATCGCGCGAGGATTTGGTTGGCCTAGTATAGGGTTCGGCGTTGAAGGAGTTAATGCGCGACTTGCGAAGTGGCTCATCGACGAACTCGCTGGAGGCGGAAACGATTCAGAGAAACCCTATATGAATCCAGGACCGAGAATACGTGGTTGGGCATTTATGGACTTCTATACGGACCCGCAGGACAACTCTGTCATTCCACTGCTGATAGAATGTAACTATAGAGGCCGAATCCGTGGAGAGGAAGGCTGGTTGTAGGATTCAGAACTTTGACACTAGATTTTTTTTCATATTAGATCTATCCTCATGTATGTGATGACTTTCATGACAGTTACAGTGTGTACATATATTTTGCAGTATATCGCTCTTTTTTGGTGGACTCAATACACAAGAATAACACTCAAAAGGTCCAAGTGAGTCATGAAAGTTTCATCTCGATAGCGTCCTTGACAGCGGATCAGAGCTACTATTGAGCACCACAGAACCAGTTGGTGCTTTGGCTTGACCTTCCGCTTTCAACTGCCATACCTCTACTCTTAAACTGATTCTTCACTAGACATGACGAAGTCGACGAAAAAGACTATAGCTATTCCCAAGCCGCCCATCTCAGCATCCAGAAAGCCGCAGCAATTCTCAAGCAGCTTCCGGCTACGGGAGTACCCATTCCTGCCTCGGAGAAGCACGTACAATTATGTGACAAGTATCTGAGAGAATTGGAAGGTCAATTGGACACGGATGGAACAACCAATGATGGTGGGTTAAGTTATCTTATGCTGAGCCCTTCACATTCATACATTGCCTTCAAACAATATCTTGTAATTACAGCCACGCTCCGCAATACGTACGAAGATGCGAAGCGGTTCAGATTGAAATTATCTGAGCTCTACGCAGGTGAGTATATACTTCCTTGATATTGTAACATTTGTTCAATATGTCGTGTTTTCGGTTGATTTCTTAGATTCAGAGAGCGAGATTGATGTAGGAGGAGATGATGAAGGTGATGTAGAGAAGGAAGAAAAGAAGACAAATACGAAACCACAGGTGACACGCACGTATCGGTCGGAGGCCTCTTCGAGTTCGATTCCCACTTCGCAGAGGTCGGAGACGAGCATAGCCGTCAGAGTTAACTTTCCGGCTTGTGATCTCTGCGAGACGCGTGGTCATACCTGTATTTCATCTGACGGCCAGTCTAAGCGATGTGACAAGTGCAAGAAGAGCAAACAGAAATGCTCATTCAGTGATAAAAGCCAAAATGCAAAGCGATCAGGTACGTATGCATCGCCCTGCTATATATTTTCACGGACCCTGAAATTGAGTGGACATTATATTACAGTCCCCGACACAGATTCCGATGTCGAGGAGATATCTGAAAGCCCGCCGAAGAAGAAAGGACGTACATCCAACGTCGTCTCCATCAGTACCGCGGGCCAGAGCGCCCCTGGTCAGAAGTATGTAGAGGTCAGCATGCCTCAACCTACACCCAGGAATCAAGTGCCTGTTCAGGCGAGCACGACGACGAAATTTGTTGAGGATCAAACCTCCAATACTGAGGGCATGGAAGCGTTGTCTAACGCCCGAGAAGGGTTCTTCAGAGCGTTGGATTCCTGCAAGGCTAACTTAGGTGGCAGTCAGTCTGAAGCATTCCGACAATTATATGTGTCTGCCAAAATGTGGCAGGCACAAGAGGACCTTCTGCTTTCCAACTGAGCTTCATGCCTTCAGCAAGGTGAACATTTTCTTGATGCCGACTTGAACAAAGTTTCAAGGAATTCTTGACACTGTGATTACGGGAATTGTATTATAAATACGGCACATACCGCACGTACTCGTTTGTCAAAGTTGTAATGGCAAATGCTCTAGATATGTACTGTACATAACTACTACTGTTGCTCAGGTCTACGACAATTATCTAGATACTAACATCTTGGATCCAACGTCGAGAGGAAATCTCAGCTGCAGAAGGACTTTCTACTCCAATCATCCCCGAAGGTCGAACATACCTGCATAATCACTCAGGCTGGAAAGAAGTGAAAAATACGCTCCTATCTGATACTTATCTCTCACAGCGGCGTGTATTCCGGATCCACACCATCGGCGATGCGCTCGCCGCAGGAGGACGGAGGTTATGAAACTCCTCAGTTTGATCGGAGGATGCGGGATCAAGGCTCACCATATACTGCAGATAGGTATTTCGCCACACGGGTACGACAGCTCTTGAACTGCAACCATTCTCTATGATCATACTAAATCTCGTGAGTAATTCGTCATAAATGTATCTAGATCAACACAAAAAATACTAGTATCAGTATCACTGTGCCTTCGCCTTCGTCTTCTCCTCCTCGACAGCTATATTACCTCCAAAGTTCTTTGTAGCTCTAGTAGAGAACATCACCGCTAGCAAAGCCGCACAAACAGCTCTAGCAATTTCTGGGTCCACAGGCGCGACCTTATCAGCGGGAGTGCCTTGCAGCCAACCGGAAACGACATAATGTGCGTCAGCCCAGAACGGTTGGGCATGTGTGAGAAGGGCGAATAGGCCTGTAATTAACGGAGCACACCACAAGTCGGTGGTTGTCCAACCGTAAGGGAGGAATTCTGTTGGTGTTCTGACTGATAGGGAATGCGGTTGGAGGAATGAGAATAACCCAACGAAGAAAAACCCGGTATTAGCGGTCAACTAAGGCAAGGTCCAAAATATCAGCTTCTGGTAAGAGTGGAATCGTAGAGGCATCAGTACCAAAGACGTGAGTAGAAGGGTCCAAGGAGATGTAGACACGATTTCCGATGAGTGGTTCAGAATAACGGGCGGTATCAAGTTGCAGAGGAGGTATGCACGACTTAGGCTATCCATAAAAGCCAAAGGGAGTTCATAAGTCAGAGATGGAGTCGGAACCGACGGTAACTTGTCGACGATTGCTTGTATACCGGTATACAAGGCGGGGAAAACTCCAGATATCATGAAAGAAGGCGGGATACCCAACAAAGGACCTGTCCACCTCACCGTCTAAATAACATTATTATTTGCGATTTTCACAATGGATACTCACAAGTCACGGCCTCCCCTCCATACACGACAAGAAGAGTCGCAGAGATGTCCCGTACGAATGAACGTTCCTCTACGATTGCAGCTTGTCCAGATTTCGCTCTAGCAAGCTCATGGTCGATACGTAGCTTGTCCCTAATTTGACGAAGAGCAACACATAAACGAGTTGCTGCTGCAACGTCGAGAGTGGTGATGGGTAGACCAAACCAAGTAAAGGGCGCGATCGGCTGGAGGATATATCGGTAGAGCTCAACGATCGGTGTGACTGCGGAAGACATCTTGGTGGTCGTGTTGCGCCTGTTCGTGAGATGAGTCGTTTCACTGTAAACACACCTCTGAGAACACCTTGTCCGACGACGAACGTGTCAGACGATGATGAACAACGTCAGATAACCCCGGTATACTTAGTTGACATTAAGCACTGAACATGCTTGATCGGGTTGTCTTTCCGAAGCAGGCCTGCAGGGTTGAAAGTTAATTTGTATTTTCACAATAAATGTACTTTATATGTGGTGTAGTGGCTGTAATGGCCCTAAGCCGGGAATGTGAGGTGGTCTAACGCTCCAACGGACACACTCGTCTGTGCGCTGGTTCAAGACCGTCCCCTCCAGAAAACTTGGTGGCCCAACTACCGCTCGCCCTGCAAAGGGCGGTCCGGAGTGGGATAAACCGTCCTTGTCAGGCCAGGGAAGCAATTCTGCAACCTGCAGGACGCGCCGAGTTAGTCTTCGGAGATCAGGACGAGTCGTCTGTTCGCGCGGATGAGCCGTGCCCCTTGCAAACCTTTTGTTTTCGTTACTTATTTTGTTTTAGACCAGGGTAGAAGGTGCATATATATGATCGAGAGTCAATGTTCAATTGTCATTGTCTCAAACCCCACAAGATCAGAAAAGAAAGACGATTACGGACGGGAAAAAACAAAACAAAGTAAACGTATGTACAAGAAAGACAGAATCCGATCCATCACCACAAACCAGCCCCAGGCCATGCACAACAACCAATGAAAACACCTCGACTCTAGCAGCACTTTCCTCCCTGGTTCGCTGTCGTGTCCACGCTGGGTTGGACGGTGATTGAGTCGCCCGTAGGTGGTCTGATGGGATCTGCCGACTGTTCCAATGACTTCTGAGAGACAATGCGGTAGATATCTTATAATGAAAGTTTGTTATCATCAGATGGAAGGAGGTGAGGCGATCGATAATGTTCATACCTGTGAGAATGGTTTGGAAGGCTGATTCGACATTCGAAGCGTCCAGCGCCGAAGTCTCGATGAACGACAGACCGTTTTCAGCTGCAGTAAGTTATCCCAGATTCAGTGACACGGGTTAAACACCGACATAAAAATGGGGACGTACCAGCAAATGCCTTTGCCTCATCTGTCGGTACCGCTCTCAGATGTTTCAAATCGCTCTTGTTTCCGACGAGCATAATGACAATGTTTGAGTCTGCGTGGTCCCGAAGCTCCTTCAACCACCTCGTGACGTTGACATATGTTGCGTGTTTCGAGATGTCATAGACAAGTAGTGCGCCAACTGCGCCGCGGTAGTATCTATCCTTATTTGTGAATACAAGGACAATAGGAGGCAGACGGAGATCCGAGGCCACTCACGCAGAGGTAATTGCTCGGTATCGTTCCTGTCCAGCTATGAGAATGGGAATCGAGTAAGTCAATCGTTCGAAACATGCAGCCTGCTTGGGGAGCTTCGCACGCGTGTCATTGGAAGATGGCGATTGGTCCCAAGAACGACGATGGAGCGTATTCCAAACAGTCGAAGCATCTTAGAGAAACAAAACTCACCAGTATCCCATATCTGAGCTTTGATGTTCTTCCCATCTACGTTCAGCGAGCGTGTTGCGAATTCTACACCAATCGTTGACTTGGACTCCAAGTTGAACTCATTCCTCGTGAACCGCGAGAGAACTAGTTATAGTACGATGTGATATTTGAGTATTGGATATATATATAGCAGTGGAGCAGCAAGATCGTTTGTAAACGTACGGTTACTGGAAGACGCAAGCGAGATAGCGTGAGCAGGATGGACAAGGGACAGACGACTGATTAACGCACGATTTTCCGACACCAGAGTCTCCAATAAGGACGACCTAGAAACCACATGTCAAACATCAGACATTGACCCTACGAAAGTGCAGCTAGTGGACACACCTTGAAGAGATAGTCAAAGTTGGTTCCCTCGGTCATATCTACAATTCCCAGATTTTGGTTTGAAAGTGAATATAGCACAGAGAGAGAAGCACCAAGTCAAGATAAGACAGGAGGGAAGTAAGAGAGCTAAGGATAAAGGCCGCAGGAGGGAGTTGTGAGGTGGTTGGTATGTAACTGTTGGCGAGAGTGTGATGCGACAGCCCAAGACTGGCTGTTTGTCTGTGTTTGGCTGCCTCCTCCATACCCAAAGCAAAGCGGTGCTGTCCCTTTGACCTTGAAACGTCCACCGCAAGCTCAGGAATCATTGTTCGGACCTGGTGTCTTGACGCCGTCAGCTAGCGATACTTGTCGGAAGGGATGATTGTTCCATCTGCGATTGCTACCTCACATAGTGACAAGTTCGCCTAATGCATCTATTATTCAAGATCTGCTTTGGACTCCTTGGAGCTCTTCCATTTGCTGTAGGTGGTGGATGTCAATTGCAGCCGTCATTCATCTATTTCGAGATTGCCATGATAAATTTCACTCTGCATTTGTCTTTGCGATTCAAAAATCACAAACCTCAGGACCGTCGACGGGTCTCCCGGACCGACAGCTTCTTCGTTCATGGTCACGATAGCACTACTGAAGGGTATACAGTTGCGGACAAGCCAAGTCGACAAGTCTGGTAGCGCCAGAACGGCAGACTTTGGGGCGAAACTGATTTCGGATTCGAACTCAGGGAGGCCGAAAACGTCTGAAAACATGCTTCCGAAGTTTCTCCCGCGAGAAGTTGGGGTGGCCAAATTTTTCGGCCAAGAAATCTGAAGATTTGCTACACTACAACCACAATAAAATTGTCTACACCCCTTCCGCCGCGCTTCGTGAAGTGACAACTGGTGTGTCCTCACCTACAACAGCCAGAATTGACATCATGGCTGTATTTGAGACCTGGCGACGTTGCTTTTGCTTTCGTACTGCCCATGCCGCAGCCATCCCAGTAAGACCTCTCCGATATGCACTCATGAATCGATATGACCGATTTATGAACCGCCGTATGACTTCCACCGGGCATGCATTGAGTTTCAGACTCAATGTCCTTCCACCCGAGCTCATCAACGTCACCTTCCCAGTCTTCATCCTCTTCATCTTGGACAAAGGTAGGCCGGAGACTATCAAAACAGACCCCCATATCCAAGCCGTCCCCTTCATCACTGTCAAGCACGGCCTCCATTGGACTTGGTGCGCGAGAGCGGCGCAACGAGCCATCTGTTGAGTTTGTCGCATCTAAAGCACGGCTTTCAAACTCTACAGTTTTGGATGCATGCTTCAGTGTGCTCCCTAAAGCTGTCAGACTGGCTACATTTCCGCCTTGATTCTTTAAGCCAGAGATGTCTCTCCGAGCTCTTCTCTTTGGATATTTAGGGGCCATAGTGACAGAGAAAATACCTTCCCGGCATGCCGTTCTCATAATATGACCATTGGAATTGATCCTAATCACTAAGGGAGTGCATCGCGCCCGTACGAACTTCACGCCAGGTTAGGTGTATCCGTTATCATTTCACTCAAATGATGTCGTCAACATTCTATACTCATCGAATGGCGTCGAATACAATATTTTCATGATTTTAGGGATTTTTTTAGGGGGTCGGCCAAAATTTTGACGTTCCAAAAGTTAAAACTTATTTTTTGAAGAATCGGCTCGTGCAGTTCTGCTCATTGCAGTTCAGAATCATTGTACTACTGGTTTAAAAGCTTATCGGACATGTGTTGAATGCTACATCAACGGTCGACTGACTTTGTCGATTTGGCTTGTCCGCAACTGTATATTGAGCATGACAGACCGCACTCACAGATGTTAACCATACATCATGTCAATCCCTCACACGAAGCGAGTCTGTCAGATTATCAAGGTCCGCAAGCTCCCGCAGCGTGTTACTACGCCAAGTTCTGACTTGGACGTATTATATTCCCCCGCAGCTCAAGCCAGAGGCTGAGGCTAAATACAGAGCCATCCACGCCGCAGTTTGGCCTGGGGTACTAGCTGCGCTTGAGCGGCACCACATTGCAGACTACTCGATTCACTATTATCCTCCTTTGCAACTGTTGATTGCGAACTTCAAGTACATCGGCTCTGACTATGAGGCGGACATGAAAGGCATTTCAGAGGATCCGGAAACACAGAGATGGTGGGAGGTGACTGATGGAATGCAAGAGAGTTTTCAAACAGGTGCTACAGGCAGTGGAAGAGATATTCCTTGGTGGACAGTGAGCGTCCGTTTTTGATGATAGTCCCATGCTAACTAAGTGTCCTTACATAGGAACTAGAGGAGGTGTTCCGATTTGAAGGCAGCTCGATTTAGCTATGAGTTCGACCACTAACTTCCATTGTTTTGATCATTCTACGACCTCCTGTGCATTTGTTGTTTCTCGACATGGCCTTGTGGTAAAGATGCTTGAACTATCAGACCTGCCTAATGCGGTTGTACTTCGATGCAATCGTGAGCGTCTGCACGATATCCTCTTTACTCGCATTGCAGAGACCAGAGGGAAAGCCCTTCAATCGAAATAAGATATGTTTGAACATGAAGCAGTATATTCTCTGCCATGAACACCTGGAAGACATTAATGTAGACTGCGATACTCATATGCCAAGGTTCTATTATGGTATTGTTGGAAGCGCCCATTTAACTGCGATCGTCATCGAGTTATAAGCAGCATTCGGCAAGCCCTAGTTAGAGTCTCTAGACCTTCTTCTACTCCCATCATCTCCTGTTACCAACGAAGCGATGGCCGTGAATCCAGACGAAGATACTGAATTGTAAGACTTTCCATGTTGTTCCGATTCTACCATCTGAGATTCGTAGTAACGATGCTCTCCGAAAGCATGGAATACTTCCTCCAAAGGAAGCACCTCCACGCTCACCTTCCCCTCCTCCTCCGCCCAAACTCCAAGACACACTTGAGGGTTTGACATTGTCGGACCTCGAGGCACTGGGTGAAGACGTTAAAGATGATGAGGCCGAACGAATGATCGAGCACTTTCGGAGACAACGGCTTGCGGAGCTCAGGAAGCTACGACATGCGAGGTTTGGAAGGGTGTATCCCATCGGAAGGGAGGATTACACTAGAGAAGTGACTGAAGCGAGCCAGGTGGACTTGGATGAGGAAGAGATGAAAGGAAAGGGCACTGGCGTGGTTTGTTTCTTGTACAAGGACGGGTGCGCACTACTACTCTCCCGCCTATCCATTCGTTAATCACCATCGACTTTGTGCAGCATCCCCCGGAGTGATCGTGCATTCGAACATGTTCGTATACTCGCAGAACGACATCCGTCCACCAAGTTTGTCTCCATAGTGGGAGATAAGTGCATTCCGAACCTACCTGATTCCCGAGTGCCGATGTTCATCATCTACCGGAATGGGGAAGTCCTGAACCAAATCCCGTCATGGGGTGGGGATAGGGAACGGCGTATCGAAGGTATGCAGGTCCATTTGTCTGTCTGCTGCATGCTATTGCTTACATGAGGTTCTATAGAGCTGGAGGCGATCTTGGTTCTAGCAGGAGCCATCATCCCTGAACGCAGGCCGCGAGAGAAGCGTCGCGATTCAGACGAAGACGAGTCGGAGGAAGAGTCTGATGAGGAACCCTCGTCAAGAATGCGGTCTGCTTCAACGAGAACGAATGTTCGCGCTCCAAGGAATGTCAGAGGAAGGAAGGAAGAAGACTCGGATTCTGACTTTGACATATGATTTGTATCTCAGGGATTTGATCAAATGTATCCATAGTTTATCTCGTACAATCTTCCAGTCCGAGCGACATAAAACACTCGTTGTTAGCGCAAGTTAATCTCAAACAGCATCTTACTCAGGGTTCAAAGGAGGTAATGGTTCCTTCCTACCCTTAACAGGCCAAACTTCCACCAAAGTCTCCGCGTCCCATATACGCCCACCTTTCACCACATACTTGATATTCCTCGTCCCGCTGATATCCCCTTCGAGCAAGTCAACGCCAGGTGGGTAGACGAGGAGATCTGCGAGTTTCCCTGGAGTCAAGGACCCTAAGGATTCCCAAATACCCAGCGTCTTAGCCGCGTCTGAGGTAGCAGCACGAATAACCTATCAATCGAACCATGAGTATGGACGACAGAAGGGGGGATGCCAAGAACACTGACCTCGTAGTTGGAGAGACCACCTGCTTTAGCGAAAAACATCTCCTCATGGTAGTTCAGGCCTAATGGCGGTTCACCATGTGCGCCGATATGGGCACGAAGACCTTTGTGTACCATCTTTGCAGTAGAAGTAGAGGTGTTGAATAGAGCATATGCTGAGGAAGGCCAGTCAGTACGTTATTGCCGACAGAGGTCACCAGTAACTTACAATTCTTCGGCCTAGAAGTAGACTCAGACAGGCTTTCGAGAATGTCATGTCGTGTGAATCGCCTCAATCTGAAGTGTATTCAGCAGTCAGACTTGACATATGGGAAATGTGTTACGTACTTGGGATCATTGGGCAGATCCTCCGTTGCCCATACAGCCTGCTCACCGAACACGCCGCCATAATTGACAATATGAGTAGGTGTGGATCCAGTACCACTCAGAGCGAAGAGATTGATGATGTCATCGTGGAGCTGTGGAATAGGGAGAGGATGCTCGATGGTAGTCATGCCTGTGAAACAATGAGATATATTATACAGGATGAAGAACATCCACGTACCATCGACAATGTAAGTCTGGTCCCAGTCGTAGTTCATACCCTATGAGTCAAGGTTAGCAACTATAAGACAGATAAGGTATCAGCGTGATTGCTCACTCCTTCCGGTACACATAGCATGTTGAGTTTTCTTGCAGCAAGTAATAGCCTCTGCCTCGACGCACTGCAAATCGTCAGATGTCAGCTAATCTGTCGTGGACAGTAAAGTCCAAGACGTACCGGGAAGGCAGATTGTAGTTCTTGTACGAGAAGCTCGACGGTCCACCCTCTGCCTTGATACGCAGAAGCGCAGAGTAGGCTTCATCCATATCCACGATATCTTGGTGGATTCCAGGTGCACCTGCCCCGTATATGATATCTCCAACTTGGAAGATCCTAGGACCGACAGCTTGACCTCGCTCAACACGAAAACGTTCCCAGAAGCCTCTGACGTTGTCAGCACTCGGACTGCATCATAAGTAAATAGAATAGAAAGTTAAGTATAAGCAAGAGAATCACGCTCATGGGAACGCACTTGTGTAAAGTAGTCACTCCATAGGCTAAGAACGTCTCCAGTTCCCAAGAACGAGCGGGATAATAGTCAGCAAAGCCATTCCAGTGTGCATGAACGTCAATGAACCCGGGGACCACAAATCCGCCTTGAGCATCGAAAGTAGTCGCGCCATACGGAATCACTAAGTCATGAACGCCAACGATGGCTTCAATTTCTCCACTTCTGACCACAATCAGAGCATCATGGAGGATGTCATTTTTGAGATATCCGCTATCCATGGTTAACAAGGTAGCATTGTAGATGACGAGGAAGTCCGCATTGGAGAAGGCGGTTTCGTTATTGCCATGAGTCTTCATAGCTGCTACTGTTGCGTCCTGTTTGAGGCGATGGATGTCGGTAGGGTATTCGACCACAATTTCCTCATAGTGAAGCAGACTCTTCGTGCAATCAATACCAAAATGTATCGGGTCCTTTGTGACAGCGTTGGAACATTTAGAGAGATCGGAAACTTCAAGTGAATGAAGGTAGGGTCCTGTCATGATAGAGAGCGCGTCAGTGCCTGGAGAGATAACAAGACACAACGAGGTGATACATACCAAGGAACCAGAGCAGTGTCTTGCCATCGCCACTCCACACAATATCATGTCCGCCATCCAAACTGAGTCGAGTAAGATTCTCCGTAGCATTTCCCGGTTTACTCCACACTGAATCGTTCGCATTGACACCGGGCGCAAAGTAAACGTGGAAGAAATCCACGAACGCTACGTCTACTGACTTCGCATCCACAGAGCCATCACCAGTTGCAACGACTAGCTCGGTAGACATTCTTCCATTGGACACAGGTATTTCAGGGAAAATGCCATGCTCATTTGGTCTTGCTGCGAGGTCGATGACGTACGCATCTTGAGATTGTTGCACCAGAATCTTCTGATTCTTTTCCAGGAAACGAATCTTCGTCTTCGAAGGATCGTCAGCACTTGGGCTGGATGCAATGAATCGTACATCGTTGATTCTAATCTTCTTGAGGTTGAACGGCGACTTCAGTGAAGGAAGAGTGAGACTGCCCAGGTATAAGCCGGCACCGGCAGTCGCGACAATGTCTCCAGTAATATAATCTCCTGGAGTTTTGATGAACGCGATAAGACGTTCAGAACCTTTGCATTCGCACAAGACGGGAGAGTAGTAACGACCCAAAGGAAGGCCCTCTAGCTCGTACACGGCTCCAGATGTCAGGTTGGCCAATTCGAATGTTGTAAATTGCGTATCAGACCAACGCGCGTGAATGACCAGGTCGTTAGTACCATACACGAAAGATGGTGAATAGTAAGGTGCATTTGGATACAACGTTGGAACCTTCTCAGCTTTGGAAGCTTTCTTGTGCCCCAGACTGTGCACGTATGTAGCACCGGCACCTTGGAAGACCGCCTTTGATCCATCTTCGTTCACTCGCAAGTCAGTGAAAGCGTACACCCTCTGCGTGTCTGCTGTTTCCACACCCAGCACATCGGTATACCCAGTAACCGTCTTAGCGAGACGCTTCTCAATATGTGCGACGAACTTGATGGGCTTTGGAGAACCAGAACCAATTTTCTCGCCTTGACCATTGATTGTAAGAGGGACATGGTAAATTTGACCCGCTGCCCAGATGATTACTGCAGAGTCATCGGGAGTGAACGCGAAGGAAGGATAGGTTCCCATTGGTGCAGAGATAACGCTGAGGTCATAGGTCAGGCCGTGCCATATGTGGTGTATGGTTCCAGTGACCAAGTCTCTGAAACTACTGTCAATGCATGGAGTCATTATCTCAGGAGAGACTCACTTCAACACCAGGGCCTCCTTATCTCGTACGCGACGTACAAAAGCAAGAGTCCTGCCATCACGAGAGAGTTCTGGCCTAGTTGCACCGCCAGGGAAAGAATCGACGAGCGTGATCGTCTCCTGCGTGGTAAGATTCGTAGAGAAAATAGAATAAATTCCAGAGTGGGCATCTGGACGTATCACGAGTCATCAGTGCATCCTATTATAGCAAACGCAATTTAAGTGGTACCTTTGCTATAGGTGTAGTATCCGTTCGTATCCTTCACGTTCTTTGAGTAGATGAGAGTGTCGTTGCCATGCCATATGAACTGCTCGGAGCCGACTTGCTGGTCTCCATACCGATCAGGTCCCCAACCTGCAGGCAAAGTTCGTCCAACTAGTCGCTTTCCACTTCCAACTTCAATCACCTCATCCATGGAGGTGGGAATGGGATATTCCCATCCTTCTCCTGCACCTAGACTTCGGCTGGACGTGTACCACTTCGTCGCGATAAGCTTGGTACCAGAGGGGTGGAAGCGAGCGTCAGAGACCCAACGGTAGGTCTCATTGGTAATGCGCTGAGCTGTTACAGGAAAAATCCAGTCAACTCATCTGCAAAGTCTTCAATGCGCATCACCTCACGTACCCCCGATACGACCTTCCGTAGTAAGTCTCCTCTTTCTGCGTTCGTCATTCTCTTTGAGTGTACGAGCCAGTTCTTCGTCCTCGCGGTTCTTATCCCTGAGTGCTGCAAGCAGCTCCCCGTCAGGATTGTCAGGCCTGACATCCATTGTGTGACAGTCTCTCCAATCCACAATCCAGATATTCTCAACACCCAGTTCGGCATCGCTGCGGAATACAAGACGATCACCGTCTGGAGAGAAATGAGGGTCGGAATCATGGGGAACTCCAAGTAAAACAGGTTTCGCTCTCGAAATACTTTCAGCATCGAGGTTCCTTGGAGAATAAGCGTCTCCAGGTAAGCAGTAAATGTCCCCAAGGATGTCAAAAACAATGTCACCAGACTTGGGGTGAACATCAAGTCTGAGCCAGGTACCCTCCGTCACGTCATACTCCAGAAGCCGCGGAAACGGGTAGTCTGTCGAAATGTCCCAAGGTGTTTGTTCTCGAATCGGCCAGACGTTGTCTTTCCATTCATCCGCAGGACCCAACGATGCATATTCAGGCGCGATTGACTTAATAGACGTGTTGTAGTTCCTGAGAAATGTCCACGGATATGGTAGAACGAATGTCAATGTAGCGGCGATCGAAGCCAGCAAGACCACATTAAACAAACGGTGGACCTTGGACGGCTTCCGAGATCTAACAAGGGTACTTAAAGGTAACAATACCGGATCTTCAAGCGGATTTTTCATTGTCACTCGACCGGAACGACAATGCACGCCAAAGTCAGGATACTTCCTAGCGTGGTTAAGCAACTAGCAACAGTCCACCGGCGTAGTGGATGATCTTACCTTCACGGCGTCGAGCCTCAATCTCTTGAAGCGTGAAGCTTGAATTCAATCCTTAAACTTCTGGGAACGGTCCAACATTAACGAGTTTACGGCAAGTTCACAGACTAGTCAAGCTTCCATATGGATGCCAGAGGAGACGCCTTCCTGTTTCCCACCAGGGTGAGTGAGCTATTCCAGGCTATTCCAGGTTAGGTTGATCTTCGAAATTCGAAGGTTTGAATCGCTGTGACAGCGTGTCCAAGAATGCCAATTTGCATTGGAGGAGATCGCATTTAACGCAGTTCATAGAGGCTTCGAGGGCTTCGAGTTGCCAATTTTTCATCTTCGAAAATAGCGCTGTGAGCGCGTAGTACTTTCCTTGGCGAGCACAGTCCGACGAGAAATATACTCGGAAGACATCCGTTCATTGACCATTAGTCTACAGTACTTGGAGACGTATCTGTCGTAAACAGTCCGATCTCTCATATTAGGCGAAATGCAAATCCACCCTATTCGTATCCTCGTCTACCAAGGTATCATGAGAAGCCTGACCGTAACTCTCTCCATTCCTGCACATCAACGTCAGCATCACATCAGAGCGGCGCCAGCGATGATGGCCAAGAAGGCGGCCATGCCATTAGCAGCAATCGTGATGGCGCCACTGTTGTTTCCACCTCCAGTGGTGGTGGGCGCAGGCGCAGAACCAGTTGAGCTTGTAGCACCACTAGACCCGGACGACGCTCCCGCTCCTGAAGTGGGGATAGCGAAGCCGGTGATGCTACCAGAGAACGGCCCCGGAGCGGCAGTGGCTACAGCGCCAGCTCCGCTCAGAGCGGGAGTGGGGGTACCTGAGAATGCACTACTGCCAGCGGCCTGGGCTGCTGACTGGAACGCTTGGAAAGTCCTGCCGCCGGTGGTGGGTGGGTTGATAGCTCTGCAGAACATTGAGAGGGTTATCAAAAAGGAACATGAACATTGCTGGCTTACCCAACCATTCCGGAGAAGCAGTGAGGCCCTGGTACAGTTTGAGCGCAGTAGAACCACAATGCTATTGGTCATAACTTAGCACAGACGACATCGGTGATATTTACCACTGGTACTAACGCGTCTGGTCATTTTCAATGGTTAGATTCCAGGTTGGGAAGTCCTGCGTGGTGCCTGCAGGGATCTGAATGTAGCCAGAATCGAAACCACCCTGTGCCTGCGCACAGGGATTATCGAACGTCGACTGAGTCACGGTGTGGTTCCCAGGAGCGCCATTGAACACGAAAGTAATCACGGAGCCATTGGTGGCCGTGATTGTTGGTGGAATGAACTGGAATACTCCGCCAGGACTGGTAGCCGTTGCACCAACCTGAACCTGCACCTGTGATACGACAATCAGTCAGACCAACGGGAACGGTGAGGTGCACGAAAGCAATACCGTTTGATTTTGGGCTGCAGCTAGAGTGGCAAGGGCCAGTGCTGTGAATGCCGCAGTGAAATGCATAATGGCAGTATGGGAATAGAGGAGGTGGGAATACCGCTTCAAGGTTGGGAGTGAGAGGTAAGAATGTACACGGGGATGAATGAGGCATTTATATGAGGGCAGACCCAACCATTATTTCGGGTTCTTGGTAACCTAAGAACCCGAGGGAATGAATCGGCCAAGAATAGACACGGCAATTTTGTGCATCTTCTGCAGGACGTGTTTGCAATCGCCAACCAACCAACCTCAACTTACTCCCACGATGCGTCGAGAGTGAGGCTATTCTATGGCGGCTACGATGGTGACGTTGATAGAATCTTCTTTCAACAGTTATTGATGTCCAGAGCTGATGATCTTTGCTTTAGTAACTGGAGGTGTGCCATTTGGTGAGTGCTAAATCCTGTGCGTCAAGGAGCCGGGAATTCACCTGCAGATTATTCAGAGTCAAGCGTCTCAAACGCTGTTGCCCGAGGGCGGAAGTGAACCTCGCGTTTCCGGACGTGTCGCATCTAGTCTCACGCCTGAGAAAGCATAATCCGCAGTCAAGGTTCGCGAAGAGGTGGGTTTCTATATAAACAATTGCACGCGCTGCACGGTGTCATGGTGCAGGCAGATGGAATCGCTGCAGCCGAAAGGCATGATCATCTTAGTGGAGATGGCGTGGGTCAGATCATTAGTTCCTGTGAATGCGTGTTATGGTCTTCCATATTTCACGTAAAGCAGACAGTCAGATGCGCAGGTAAGAAGGGAACTTACAGAACGTGGATTGCATACTTGGGTTTAAGCTTGGAAGTATTCTTTCGCTCCGAGTCAATCGAGACCCAAAGTCGAGTGCTTAGGTAGATAGGGGCTGGAAAGTTGAACTAACTCTTCGAGTTAGGCGTCAGTGCTCATAGAATACAGCCGCTAAGGAACGATCTGCTGCAAAGAGAGCCTAGGTCAGTTGCAAACGGGAGGCAGGGTACCTTCACCGGAACTATAGAATAATGTAGCCCGAGGCTTGTTATGTACCTACTGGACAATTTCTTCATGCTAGTTTTCATTCTGGTATTTTTGGGCACGTCATGTGGTCACCTGAGAGATTTAGCGTCATCATTCCCGAAGATTGATGTTTCGTTTGCGCAGTCATCTTAATGAGAATCTAGCATCACATCGTGCACTCGATACTGAAGTCGCAGTCTCAACTCCCGGCGAGGCAAAAGCGCAGAGGGTGACCAACAAAAGCAGTTACTACAGGTTTGAAGTCATATACCACTGCAGTGTCAGACGGGGCTGTTACTGTAAAACACATTCACTCACCCGGTAATCGCCGTTCACAAAAACCTAGACATGCCGGGTATATTAGTCAAAGAGGACCAGCGGTTGGATACCCACAACTCAGTTATGAACGGAAGAATAAAGCAGAACAACAAGCAATAGCTGTATGACATTGCTCAAAGCTCAGACAGAGAAGTACAAATAATATTCCGACGGTCACGCCGTATCATGATAATTTCTTCAGAAAAAAAGCAATTAGTTATGTGAAACCGATAAAAGAATTTGGGATGCGAACCGTGATGGTTGATGATTCACTCGTCACCCTGTGACACTACAAACAACCAACCCAACCCCGTATTTGGGTGCTTGATGATCCCTCCAATGGCCGCTCCATCCGATCCTGAAATCGTCGAACCCGCTATGTATGATCCTCATCTTTTCTTCAAAACCGCAATGAAGCAAACCCCCTCCAACTACCACAGGCTGTGCACGCTCAGCCAACTGTTGCACGCCCGAGTCGACACCCTCGCTCTCGGACGAACACATCCCAATCACAACCTCGGTACTCGCATCGCTGCCCTCCGCCCCGCCCGACGTGCCCTCGTCAGGCAGGGCTCCAAAAGGTTGGAGCCGCCATACCCGTCAGATGTCTTCATCGTCGCTCATGAACTCGTCTTCTTCCTCATCATCGACGGTCGCCAAGTTCGTGAAGTCGACCTTGTAGCGCAGCAAGCCGCCAATGCCACCGAAACCTTTGACGAATTGCGCCCCCTCTTGCGACTTGTTGGTGACAAATTCCAGGTTGGCGCCGAACTCCTTGTACTTGTCGGCAAACCATTCAAGAAGAGATTGAGGCTCGACGACTTGTTCCATTTCGAGGCCGGTTGACTTATCGATGAACTTTTCGCGATCCTTCTCCTGTTCCTTATTGGCATGGACGATGATCTCCTCTGCAAAGCAGGTGAGTGAAAGAGCGGTTAACGTGCTTAATATGGGTACGTACCGCCTGCAGCATTCCGGAGAACATAACGAGTAATGTCAAGGTTCTCCCAAACGATAAGCGTCTCAACAGCTCCGAGATCGAGCGCCTTGAGGGTGTCCTCAACACCGAAGCAGTACTTGTTGGTATCTTGACTGATTTCGTCAAAGTACTTCTGGATGAGCCTCTTCTCTTGGACAAACTTGACGTTTGCCAATGACTCGGCCGCAAGCTCAATCGCCTACACAAGAAAGATAAGTAAGCAAAAGGCAGACGCATAGAACTGGCTCCAGAATGTACCTGATTGAAGCCGTTCTCGCCACCGTAACTGACATCCACTACCTTGATGATCTTTGCAGCCAACCTCTGATCGAACATGTCACTCAGACTCAACTCCGTCTTGAAATCCGCACTGCCCGCTAGCACTAAACCAGTCACGTTGACCTTATCGTTGGTAATGAAATGCTGCACAGCCAACTCGGACACCTTGCGGACGTAGTTGTGGCGCTTCTCGTCACGCAGACGGGCGAAACGCAACGCCGACTGTCCTCCACGACCGTGCTTCTTGGGCAGGTCGACGGTGAATTTGTGAATCACTTCACGTGTATTGCCTGCAACGGTACCGAAGAGTGTGCCGTTACCGTCCATGACAATGAAACCGAACTTGGAGTCAGATTCGAGCAATTCTTGGAGGGCTTCCGTGTGGAATTTGTTATCACAGAGGTAAAGCGAACTGGAAACAAGTCAATGAGTGTCTATATGCGCAAAAAATACGGTACGAACGTGTTGATAGGCTTATGAGGCTCGAAGTCGAAAGACACCTTCTTTTCCTTGCCTTCATCCGTGAGGATAGTGCCAACGAACAGCACAAGACCATTTGGAGGCACACGATTGTACAGCTTGAGACGTTGTTGCGTTGATGTAATTGCAGCCAGAACGGAAAGTCGATTTACTCGAGACTTGATGTTCGAGGCGGTACCGTATTCCTGAGTCAACATCGCAGAGACTCGAGAAATTTGATCCTGTAAACGAGCACGCACACGTTAGCTCTTTCTTTCCAGATCTGAAGTAATCGGACATACCTTCGGAGGGATGATCAAACTGATCATAGAAGTACCAGCACTGCACATGTCGATGAGTCTCCTCTTCCCTGATCAGCGAAAGAACAAAACTCACCCTCTGGCAGCGTCGAGACTCTTGATGAGCTTCTTCACCTTCCACATCTGAATATTCTGCTCCGCATTGTCTTGACTCATTTTGGTGGATTCTCGCTCTGTTGAACGTTACAACAGGAGAAGAAGGGAAAGCAAAAGAGAGGAGCAGCGCAAAGCGCGGCGTGAATGAGGGGAGCAAGCAAGAATCTGAATTTTGACTTTTTAATTGACGCTCGTCAGCATGTATGGGCGCCTAAAGATACCATATCGGGACAACCTTTTGGCGCTCATTATTTCTTTGTTCCGGCAATGAATACTGTATTCCAAACCCTAGTCCACATTGTTCTTCTTTGCTTGTAGGTTCTCGAACTCGAATGGCCTCAAAGGTCACAAGAAAGCGTAAACTTGATGACATGCAGGAGGCTCCCTCAATGAAGAAAGTCAAGGTTGCAGACGGCTCTGCTGTCCCCGTGGCCTCCTCTTCGAAAGCCGCACAGCAACCTGAGCAGGCTCCTGACCCGCCTGCACACGGTGGTGCCATACAAGAAGGAGAAGCAACTAAACAGACACCGCCAGCGAATGCGAAAAGAAATGAGAAGAAGAGAGCAGCATCTGGTGCTGATGGTCGAGAGGCAGAGCTGACGGCTAAGCAGCAGGTCCGAAAGCTTGCCCCGCCGCGCCCATTCCCAACAGTGCCAACATCTGTCTCAGCAACAGGACCTCGCTCTGCTCATAGTGAAGGCAAGAACTATATCTGTGTTACACGAAAGACCCCGCTTGGTGCATATTTGCGACGATGTAAGGATCTCATTCTGAAAGATGGGTATGTCCACGTATTTCTCCATTGATGATACATACTCAATGATCTACCTGTAGGTACAAATCATTGCACCTGAGCGCAATGGGTGCCGCGATTCCCCATCTAGTGACATTGTCAACGTCGTTACCGACGATCCTTCCTCACGCGCCGGAGGAGATCCATACAGAGATCCTGACTGGTACCGTAGAAGTGCAAGACGAGCTTATTCCAGATGATGAGGACGAAGATATCTCGTATCGAACTCGAGGCAAGTCTACCCTTATGGTCATCATCAGAATTGGCGATGGCGTCGACGAACTGCTTCGTGCCACTGGAAAGGGCAAAGGCAAGCAGAAGTCCAGTTCTTCAACTCCTGGAGCTGCCCAACAGAAGTCTGGCAAAGGCAAGCAGAAAGCGAACCCATCACGGTCGACTGATCCCGATCGTATCATAATTCGAGCGGAAGACATTGAAGACATGGAAGAATAAGCAATGGTTCAACTTCAGTTTTCTTGAAGATGACAGTCATCTTCCATCCTCAGTCCGACACGCGATCCCCCAAGTTTCTTATGAAGTCCCCGAAGTGACTTATTTCCAAGTGTAGTGTCATCTGTGCACAAGGTGTTCAGCAGATTCGTTTCTATGGATCCGACTACAATCCACGTCTCGACTCCAATATCATGCTTGTCGTCATGAATTCCTTTCTTTCAACTCTCTGTCCTAGCACGGCGCGTCCTGTGGGAGACGCGTCGCACCAAATCCTTGGGTCGCTCGAGCGTCTCAGCCACCGACGCGAAATTTGGGTAGGCGCGTGACGTCAATCGAGCCGAAGGTTGCCGTTGTCAATGCCAACGCCAGGGCCACTGCTCTGGCTGAATAAATAAACAAATCAACACTCCCTCAGGGTTGCGCTGCTCTTTTTCTCGCACGCGTCCCATCCTGTCCCTTTCTCCCAACCTTCCATCATCTCCATTCTACTACTTCCCTCGACTTCCGTTTGCTTGTAATTGCTTATTATCATGACTGGTAAGTCACAACCTGGAGGAGAATTGTATGTGTTTCATGATAGAGGGGCTGATGTCTACTATGTTCTTCGTAGGTACCCAGAAGAGAGCTGCCGAGGACGAGCCTACTGGTCGTCGTACACGCTCTGCAAAGGCCGCCAAGACCGAAGGGGCGTCCCAATCTCGCAAAGGCGGCAAGAAGGGTCCCAAGGTGGGTCACCACTGTCTATTTTTCTCGCTCGCGTACTGACTTTGCGCCCCCATTCCTTCAGACGTCACTGGGGGCGAACAGCTTCAAATCCCGCGCTCTTCCACTTCACGTCAACGTAACGCATACTCCTCCCGCCATCCCAGATGACGAGACGATTAACGCCACCTCCGCCGACCCAGGCTTCATCGGGACGACGGCTCTAGTCCCCACGGTGTTCAACACGGGGAGCTATGGTTGGAAAGGCAACAAACGCGTTACTATCGAGTTGCAGAATAATGAGAGTGGGGAGAAGGAGAAGGTACATGTGATGTTGACGTGAGCACCTTTAGTTCCATTCGTACCGTCAACCACCGGTGAATTGAATGTTGAATTTGGACGTAGGATCAATGCTACTGTCATGGGAAGCAAGAATGCAAAGGATGACGAGGCAGCTGAGGGCGAAGAGAAGGAACCTGAAGCTGAGGGTGAGAAACTCGCAGAGGAGTCTATGAGCAAGGACGCTGAGGCGGCGGAAAACAAACCCGAAGAGGGTTTAGCAGATACTGAAATGGCGACGCAAGAGGGTCAGGAGACAGAAGAGAAGACTGAGGAGAAGACTGAACAGTGATTGCTGGTCGAGTGCCTTTTTTGCTCGTACCTCTATGCTTTATCTTGCATTTCGCCTTGTGTTCTCAATGTAGCTACGGACTATTTAATCCTCAACGTTTGTCTTTATGACGAAGACAGACTTGACGGACAGCTGACAGGATCTGTTACTCAGCAAGTGCTTCGTGTACTTAGGATATTCGCAAGATACTCGATATCTGAAACACGTGTATACCCAGCTAACGTACAATACATTGACAGAGAAGGAAAGATAAAGAGAAACGAACGGAGTTATACCTAGAACAAGAATTCCCTAGGCTCAGGCATCTCATCCTCCAACCCCTGCACCCGGCCACTAACCTGCGAACTAAGCCCTAATCCTATCCAACCTTCCGATCCCGATCCAGGAGACGAGGGCATCGAGGCGCCGGGCTGAGAGACAGAGAACGAGTCTCCCCACGCAGAACCATTGATATCGTAGTCGCTGGAGGAGTCGACCTCGAAGTCAGAGTCCGACTCGCTAGCGACAGACGTCGCTCGAGTCCAAGCGTTATGGAACTCCAAGTCAGACAAAGGAGTGGACACCGAAGGCGGAGACGTCCATATATTCGTCTGAGCAGGGAACGAAGTGGAGAAGTCCAAAGTTGGGAGAACGAATGAACTCGAAGGATCGATCTCCACCGGGGTCGGCGAAATGCTAATATCCGTCAAGCTCATATTCGACATGACTTCCTCCATATCCGCCTGTTCCTTTATTTCTTCATCTTCGCGGACCTCCTCGAGCACACACCATCCCGTACCTAACTCGCCTAGGACACCTCTCACACGGTCTTGAGTCCATCCGGTAAACTTCACTTCAACAACGCTGCACAGGCCGCTTGGATCGCCAAACGCAGAGCAAGTAACTCCTGACTGGTGTAAGACACCGGAAGTGTCCAAGCGAGCGAAGAGGGTGGACACTCGCAAGGCATGCGTCCCATGGTCTCTGTGTACGGCAGATATTATTGAGAATGGGAGAAGCGGGTGCGAAGATGAATGTGTGGGCGGCGAGAGGGGAAGCGGAAGGCGAGACGTTGGCGTCGGCGCGAGAGGGATCAACAGGTAAGTCGTAACGGTGGCTTCAGCAGGAATAGGGAAGTAGTGATCGAGTTCCCGAGGCTGAACATCATCAATAGACGTGGAGATAGATGCGGCGGCGGTCTTCGCGATCTTAGGAGAAGAGTGCAAGACAAGCTTGCGAGTCTGCTTATTCTCCTTGTTCTTCTGCTCCTTTCGTTTCAGAATAAGCCTTTTCTTCTCCTCACTAATCTTCAGTTCCCAATCGGGTTCCCAGAAAGCACGCCCGGCAATGGGAATATTATCAGCAACGCTTTGGAAGATGGGACGAGCAGTCGAGAACTTCCTGGCAGTGCCTAGACCAACTTCGATGGTACTCCGTTGAATAGCGGGAGGTTTCGGCAGACAAGGAGCCCACATGGGTCGTGCAAGAGCCTGTCGTGTGGTGAAAGAAAGGCCTTGCTGGATTGACCGGCTTCGAGCAGCTGCATACCCAAATGAACGGGAGGCAGCAGGCATGTGCGCGGGTGTCGCATATTTGCCCGGTGCAGTCAACAATGTAGCAAAGCGGGATAGGAAGCTACGAGTTTGTCTGAAGATGGTTTGCGCTGTCGATGCGGTTGGTTTACTCGCTGGACGTGGTACGAAGGCTGGAATGTGTATGTTGCGGCTAGGATTGCCAATGCCATGTCCCATTAGATTGGATGCTTGGCGACCTGTGGAGGCCAAGCCCCGTGCGCCCGAGGACGCTAATGGCATCGTCGAGTGTCCCCTGGCTCAACGAAGGTGAAGATGGTGGTTGGAGGTTAGGGAGTGGGTTGTTAGAGGTTAGGAGTGAATGATCGCAGAAGGGCGGAGCTGCATATAACTTGGAGCCCTTGCCGAGAAGGTGCGTAACGAGCGCCGAGGCGCCGAGCGGCCCGCTACCATTGCCGTCCCATTATGGAAGGTCCTGTAAGTACTTGGAGTTCGGTTTGACCTTCTTCACCGAGCCCTTTGTCAGAATATTGCTACCTGATCCGTTTCTGAATCTTAGTGCTGACTCGTGGAAAGTACTAGCCTCATGACTTTCTAAGCTCCCAGATCTATGTTTGATTTCGGGATCCGTCCACTCACGTCACTCAATATATGATGACTACGGACTGGAGGACCGTGACGACGCAGGTTGTCAATGGCGCATTGCTCGAGCTACTAGGAAATACCACAGCAAAGGTCCGTCCAATTTGGGATCGCTTTGTATGATTTGAATCTGTGAATCGTTTCTGGCCGCCTCTGTGGTTCAAGTCGCATTCCGATTGCGAGCGGGGGAACACGCGATTTGTGCAGCCTTCATTTGTTGACGTGTCTCTTCCGATCTTGGCTTCTGACGGCTATGTATCCATTTCAGGGGACTTCTCTGAGCTTTGCACGATGAACTCGCGTTCTCGCACTTAGAAAAGCGCTGCCACAACCGTCTTCTTCCGCTTCTGGAGTACCTTCGTAGCACTCCGCCTGCTCTTGCTTATTTTTATCTGACGTAGCACCGACGGCAATAATAACGTCCATCAATTATCCCTACCGAAACGGCATATTCGAAAAGTATTCCTCATTCTGCCGAAATTACGGTCAGTTGTCCAGTATGTCCAAATGCACAACGATCACTGATGCAGTCGCTTAAGTTGTTCCTTGAGCTCTATATAAGCCTGCTATGAGTCGTTACCGTCCAGACTATCATTACCAGCATCTCTTTCCTTTCCTCAATTTTTCTCTAGCCCACTAAGTAGACATGCCTACCCTTGAACTCACTACCAATGTTAAACTGGACGACCCCAAGGCCTTCATCGAGGAGTTCTCGAAGGTGGGCAACATTATTTTTACATTAGCTCAAACAAACATTGATTATATTCACGCTCACAGTTCTCTGCGGAAGTCCTTGGGACACCTTTGGCTTTTACAGCCACATCCTACACATACAACGAGTACCTCGCTTGGGAGGGAACGTTCGAACCTGCCTTCATCTTACCTGTCGTAAGTGAAACCCTTTATTCTCTGGTGCCCGGTTCAAACAGCATGTCTTCGCGTGGTTCGGATACAGGTCTCGCTTCGTAACATCAACCCGGAAGCCAATGAGGTGTACAGTAAGAAGCTCTTCGAGTTCCTTCAGCAGAAGCTAGGTGTCTCTCCGAAGAGAGGTTACATGTGAGTGATGTTTCAACTCGTAATGAGCAATACGTATTAATCCCTGTTTTATAGTTCTTTCATTGACCCGGGAAATTCTAACTTGGGGTATGGACCCATCCTTCATTTTGTCGAACATCCGATACTGACTTAGGCTGCTTGTAGCTACAATTTCACCACGTTCGGCACGATTTTCGGTCAGAAGTGAGACTTGGGTTAGGAAAGCTCACCCGAAATTTGTATGCACTCTGAGAGTTTATGAACCTTCAGTGTAGCCCCATTGTTACCCCCGCAAACCACCCGAACCAGGTTATATGTATCCAGAAATAAGCCCAATAAACCCGAACCAGTTCTTGCCTATTTATCGGCGTCATTTGCCCCGCTTCTTGAGTCTAACTTGGATTCTAAGTTCTATGACGCAAACATGACCTGATATCTTCCCATCTCGATTGCTCACCTTGTGACATGCATGAGACGTAAAGCTGAAGGTACTGATGGTACCCATTCAATCCCATTGGCCAAGGAATCTGTTCACTCGGCAACTTGAACGATTTACCCGACGCAGTGGAGTGGATATGGCCGCCCCACCTTGCTTATTCAGACCCACTCTTATTATTGAGCTCCAGATTTAATTGCAACCAGAGCCCCCTTGAACCCCTATATAAGAGCCGTTGAACGGACGATCAGTCCGCACGGTACAGTATATCCGGTCCTTCAAACTATAAGTACCGCCGCCCACCAAGTGCTCGAACACCATCTCTTCACAACTTAAGCATTATTACTTTGTGAATCAATATGCCTACCCTTGAGCTGAAGACCAATGTCCAATTGAAGGATCCCAAAGCGTTCATTGAGGAGTTTTCAAAGGTATGTATCGACTTTGCCTTCGATCTTAAAGGGGACGCTGATCGACTTGGTACTGTCTAAAGCTCGCCGCTGACCTTCTCGGAAAGCCCATATCTTACATCGCTACCTCTTACACTTATAACGAGCATCTCGCTTGGGGTGGTACCTTTGAGCCTGCTTTCATCTTGAACATCGTAAGTGATGGGGAAGAAACATTGCTGCATCAATTACGACTTGGTAATGGTTGACTGATTACTATACTAACTGGTCAATTATAGGTCTCTCTTGACAATATAACTCCTGAGAGTACTGAGGTATACAGCAAGAAGCTCTTCGAGTTCTTCCAGGAGAAATTGGGTACCGCCGGGAACCGAGGCTACATGTAAGTACACATTGCTGCAAGACTGGGCCAGATGCTTGACTCCACTGCTTCTGTAGTACGTATGTTGATCCTGGAAGGCCATTCATTGGGTATGTACCCCGGAAGCATCGCAAATAGTGTACCGAAATACTGACCCAATGCTCATTCGCAGCCACAACTTTACCACCTTCGGCGCTATATTCGGAAAGAAGTGAATGTGTGATAAGTTGCAGTAGATCCAATGCATCCATAAAACCAATATGTATTAGTAGTACAATGAGCATGTGCAAATATCCCGAAAGCGCGACAGCAAATCCGACCAAACGCGAACGCATATAGCCAGGTACGTATAGACGTGTTCATCGAGCTGTTGCCTGGGCTCCTGCAGCCTTCTCCTGTAAGCGATCAATGACCTTAGCGTCGGGAGCGTTGGCAGCAGGAATGTCTAGTTTCGAATTGGCTTCTTTCTTTATGACTCGACTGTCGCCTTTGAATCCGATGTAGTATATCCTTATGGACTCTCGGCCAACAGCTTCATTCTGTGATACAAGTTCAGGATAATAATCAGTGGATAGCGAATGGTAATAATGAACGTACGAAGAAGAGTGATAGGGAATGCACATTCGCAAATGCGGCAGTTCTGAGCGGGTATTCTATGACGCCTGCTTCGCCTTCACGTAGATTGATATCCAGATGAGGTCTAAGGTCTTCTGCTTCAGTGAAGTCTACGATATATGGGTGGTTCGCGTAGATTCGTAGGTGACGGGGTGAGAATTCCCCTCTGGCTGAGTGAGGCGCATGTTGGCAGTTAGTATAGCTGAGGCAAGACGAGAACATGACATATAACTTACCAAACTTAAACAATACAGACCGAACGCGTACGTTCTCTATAAAGGGCACATGGATGATGATCTGCAAGAATACGGGTTTGTGGTAAATAGCTGCTCAATTTACGTCGGCTTGGACTCACTTCATCGTCATCCTGCGACTCAGCAGACGCAGTAGTATCTTCGCGTTCATTCCACGGTTTGATAACCGCTCGTGCGTGTTCTGGTACGGTGAGGTTTAATCCATGTACACTTCCGCTCATTACAGCATGATCTGCTTTGAATATTGGAACTGTCAGCTCACTTGGGTTTGTCTATAGACTGATACAATGTTGAAAAGTCGGAAATTTCTGTTTCGGTAAATACATCGGCCACTTGATGTGGTGGGGTGGTCATGTTGAAAATGGGTGGTATGAAACTCAGGGTATATCTGAACGTCAAGAGCAAGGAATGAAGCGCAAGTGTATTCGGAAAACATGTAGTGCTTTGCCTCAAAATCCCGGAAAAGTATGTTTTACCCACGCTCCATCTCGTACCAGCGTTTCCGAATCATTCTATCCTCTTGCCTGACCTCCGACTACCTCAATGTTACATGCCTTCCAACCGTTTCCCCCGGCGTGAAAAGACACTTTCCCTCGGACCCGCTAGATGTTGAGGGTGACTGCCCCTGGACGAAATCGCAATGACCCTGTCGCCGCCGCTGAGAGTCTAGGCCGCTAATTTGTGCAGATCGACGTTAAGGATCGCTTTGCAAGAGGCAGCCTCAAGGGATTGGTCTTAAAATGGCTCTATTCTAACGGAGGGAAGCCATCTCACGCTTTCCATTATCCTATAACCCCCACCGTCGCGCATATACCCACCTTCCGGAGCCAAATGAACCTCTACTTCTCCCCCAACGATCCCGGAGAAACCATGCTGGTTTCTGACGACGGGATCGTGCATTATAAAATTGTGACAGCAAAACGAAATGTAATCGGTTCATGTGCGAGGACTATCATCGAGAGGCCCGAAGAAGTCAACGGCAGTCGGGCTGTTGCCGTTATCAAATGGAGGCGTTGGTCTCACCCTTCAGTTATGACCCATATCTTCGATGGCATAAAACAAGAAATGGACCTCAGAGAGTTCTTGTATAAACTTGGGGGAAAGTTCACTGGGTAATCGGGTTCCTATGTGCTATCTTATCAGAGAAGGCTGACCAAATGCGTACCTAGGACAAGATATTTTCTGGGCAACGATGATCTTGAATATCGTTGGAAGGATGTCATTGGCACGGGACCTGTCGTTAGTAAATTATCTTTTGTCCCTTGACGTCCGACCTTACCTGAGGGCCCAGTTGACTAACCGGCGTACGAAGGGGGAAGTAGCCCGCTTCACGCAAGAAATCGCCCCGGAAGGTTTCACCCTTGGCGAGAGAAGGTGGTTCCTCCAGATCCTACCTTCTAGTCTCGACATAGATATGGTTGTTCTCACCTTCATCATCATGGAGATACGTCGTAGAGCTCGTCTTGCGAACCCTAACGACACTCTCCATGATGAAGAACCTAATGAAGGTGGTTGCGGTGAATGTTAGCGGTGGCTACTTCTATTGGAGCTGAGCTCACACTTTTCCTTTTGGGTTTTAAGGACTAGACAGGGTCATCTTTGGGTGCATGTGGTTACATGCGGGCTGTCTGTGGGCGTGGATTCGTACTTGTTTATCGGCTAGGACTTGTTTTTTGGGTGCTAATCGTGGATTTTGCTATAGACCGTGACATGATACGATACTGGGTGACGCTCTCCGTGCTTTGTTCTCATCATCTTCGTAACCTACATCCTCAGGCAAACATCTTCCTGCGCTGCCCAAGTCTTGGCCGAGACGTAGAGATCCCTGAACGCCTTCCCTGGCTTGGCTCCTAGGCCCTCCTTGTATGCGTTTAAACCATCCAGGAAGACCGTGCGACACCTTCTCAACTCCTCGACCTCCACTTCGTCGACGAGGATACGTGCCGCTGACGGTTGCGTATTGCGATCGGGTGCTGCAATCTCAACGACAGACTCAGTTGTCATTTCTCGCACGTTAGTGTTGTGCCCCTCTGTGTGCTCGGATATGGATTCGGTTGGGATTTTCGATTGGTTACCGCGTTCCGAGCATCCTACACTTGTTTCTCTATTAGCTCCACCAAAGAACGCGTCGATATTCAATTGAGTCTCGGTGCGCTGTTTCTTCTTGGATGTGGCATTATGTGTGTCCCCATCTTCTACATTTTGCGCTGTATAACAGACATTGTAACGTACGGGACAATGTTAACAGATAGACCGACTGACTCACCCTTGCGCTTAGGTACAAACGAGCAACCTTTCCGGTAACTAACAATATTATCACATCTCTTCCTGGTCGTACTTGAAGTAACGCAGGTCAATTTCCGCTTTTGACATCCTTCACAAGATGGCTCGTTCAAGGAGACAGGAGCAGATATTGATGCTTTCGGGTCAGCATCGGATGTTGTATCGATTTGCTCCTGATCCAGAGAGGTAGCGCTAGCATCTGAGAATGGTTAATATATACCTGGTCTGCTACAAATTTAGATGTACTTCAACTCACTTGTTGCTTCACTATTTAGACCTTCCTCATAATCGGCTGCCTCATACACAACACTACTTGTGTTTGTGGCGACAACTTCAGCGATGTCGAGACCAGCGACACGTAATGCGGCTGCCAATTGTCGCGCGGCTGCGATAAGTGAAGGATTCACCATTGACGTCGTGTCAGACATCTGAAAAAAGTAAAAGCAACTTCGATTTGAAGAGACAATCGACTGAGGACGCGGATATCGTGCGCATAGGCGAAGCGGGTGGAACGACCAAGCGCCTACAGCAAATGTCCAATGAGTGAATTATTGGAGCGTCGTATTTACTGCATATGTACAAAGTATATGCGAGAAATCGAAGGGTACAATGGTGGGATGACGAACGAGTACGTGGCGTATGTGCCGCATTTCTGATACAAATTCTGTAAACTAAGTGTCAAGAATTACCTGGAACTTTGTTCAAGTCGGCATCAAGAAAATGTTCACCTTGTCAAAGGCAGGAACTTTCGAATGTTATCCTTGTTTATAAGCCCGCCGAAAGAGAGTCATATACTACAGGGTATATGTACACACCGTAACCGTCATGAAAGTCATCACATACGTGAGGATGGATCTAATGTGAATAAATGCCAATGCCAAACTTATGAGTCTACAACCAGCCTTCCTCTCCACGGATTCGGCCTCTGTAATTGCACTCTATTAGCAGTGGAATGACAGAGTTGTCCTGCGGGTCCGTATAGAAGTCCATAAATGCCCAACCACGTATTCTCGGTCCTGGATTCATATAGGGTTTCTCTGAATCGTTTTCGCCTCCAGCGAGTTTGTCGATGAGCCACTTGGCAAGTCGCGCATTAACTCCAACGCCGAACCCTATACTAGGCCAACCGAATCCTCGCGCGATGGTTGGTGGGAACGCGAGTGGAAACGAGGCCGCAGAAAAGAACGTGATCGCGAGGGTTGGCACTGGTGGGTTATTCGGAGACGGAAGCAGGATTTGAGTCGCCAGAGTTGTCTTCTCGGGAATGGCTAAAAATGATGGTATATTGTACCTAGAATTCAATGCGGGTTAGATTGCTTGATAAAGAGGAAAGTAAAATGGGAATGTATACCAGTCATGCGTCCATACTAGGGTATTTTTACACTCCCAAGTAAAGCCAAATTTCTCGCTGTCAGGCCATGTGGTAGGATGTATACCAAGGCCTTCCAATCCTCCATCCCATTCGCAACCATTGCCGCCAAATCGACTGAACATAACAACTTTTCCTCGCACTTCTCCCAAAGTTGGAATCCGATTCTCAAGGAACCACATCCCCATACCGCCAGGTCCATTAGCAACCTCATCGTGGACATGTTGAGAGAATTCTTGCGGACGTACGACCGCAAAGTCCTCTTGTTTGATGGACATCACTATTGTTTCGTGACAGCTTTCTGGAGAGGTGAGAAAATCATGAATGGTGGAAAGAATATACTGGAATGAGACTCGTTGTGCAACTACGCCGTGATAGGCTATGAGCCTAGAGTCTTTAAGAGCCAGTCGGATGTCGAGAATGCGAATGCCTGATTGAAGTTGTACAACAAGCGGCGTGGCGAGTGACTGGCACTGGGATATTGGCCATCCGTAGAGGGCCATACTGAGTCCAAAAAATGTCACATCAAAATTCATGAAAAGAAAACGTTGGAAAGAAAAGTGCGTACGTATCATGCGTACCTGAAATCTCCGCTTAGTGTCCATTACCAAATATAAGAGTATTACGTGCAACATACCAGGTAAAGCCAAAGCAGAGAGCGGCAGAGTATCAGGTAGGTCTCGCAAGAAAGCTGAGAGGTTTCGCCGAGGTAGAATTAAGAGGCTACGTTGCCGCCTGCTCGACTGTAACGTAGGGTTGGCATCTTGATCGTGAAATGGTTTCTAGGCCACTTACACGACTGCGGTATATTATCCATGGACAATCTTTACCAACTTCGACTGCTCGCCAGGTCGCGCCGAGCATCATAGGTCCATGAACGATGATTTTACTTGGCGACGCTAACTCTTTGACATATAATGAGTGGTCCTTACTAACATCCTGCCTGTAAAGTGTTAGAGGGGCGCCGAAACGTCTGACCGGCAGTGTCGTCGAGCCCCCAGGTAAGATAGTCATCCGTCGTTCTGTCGGAAATGTATGAACAATAGTATCGAGAGACACGCTCTCGTTTGTTCGATTGTGTATAGTCAAACGTTTCATGAAGATGTTAATTCGTGGTTATTGAGGAAGAGTTGTAGCGAGGAAAAGAAAGTAGGTTGTAGTACAAAAACAAACTGGGTTGGGTTGGGCGATGCGCCATCATGGTCAAAGCGAACAAGCGCAGCTTTCAAGTTAGCGCCAATGTGTCCACGACCGAGAAGGCTAATACAGGCGATGGCTCTCGAACAGCTTACTCTAATATTCACACTAATTCTACACGTTCTCGGATTTCGTCAATGATCATACCTGACTCGTGCTGATCAGTCCCTGGTTGGACGCAAGTGCGGCGAACTTCGACGCTGGAAGGCCCAACAATTCCTGTGGGGTCCCGCTTTCCACGATGATACCTTCGTGCATAACTAGGATCCAGTCGTAGTCAATAATAGTTGCTGTAATGAACAAATGAGTCCGGCTGCGACTTGCAAGCTGTACCGAACATACCAATGCGGTGAGCAACAGCAAGAATCGTGCAGCCAGCTAACTCCGTATTGATGACCTCATGCATCTTCTCATCCGTCTTCACATCAAGACTGAAATGGGACACCTTTAATGGGAAGGGGAGTTCTGATTATGTTAGTACTAACCTGCTGCTGGCTTCATCAAGAACCACAATTTTCCTCTTGTGCAGGAGAACTCTGGCAAGACAAAGTAGTTGTTTCTGCAGAACATGGTAAGTCGCAAAACTCTGAAGCTGAGAATCCCAGAGATACATGCCTGGCCTTTGGACAATGAACCACCATCCTCAATAACAGTGTCCAGCTTGTCTGGAAGTGTTGTCACTGCATCCTTCATACCCACATGCTCAAGAGCACTCCAAATGTCTACATCAGATAGCTGTCTCTCTGGATCCAAATTGTCTCTCAGAGATGCATGCCAGAGAAAGGCATCCTGTACAACCAGACTATACCAAACTAAGTTACCTAGCTTCTGGTCATGAAAAATGAATGAATTCACCTCATTGCCTGCCGCCATGCTCTCAGAGAGGTTGAGCTTGCCTCAAGTCCATCAATTGTGATCTTGCCAGAAATCAAAGGAGTTTGAAGACCATGGAAAAGAGCAAGTATAAGACTGCTCTTTCCAGAACTGAACCAAATTATTCAGAAGGAATTAGAAAGAATTTGAGAAGATATTTACCCTGACTGTCCACAAATTCCAACCCTCTGTCCAGCTTTAACATGGAAAGAAATATCATGCAGAACAGGTGAAAGATCAGGCCTAGAAGCATACATCAGTATGGATAAATGGATGAGAATTGCAGTGATTACTTGTATTGCAATTGGACATTCTCAAATTTGATCTCTCCAGTTGAGGGCCAATTTGTTGGAACTGACAAGGAGACTTTTGTTGATGTTGAAGTATCTTCAGGAGGCAAAGAAACCACTTCATGAATCCTAGAGACAGCAACTGAACCATTCTCAAGATTGGCAAATGTCTGGAGATGATATTTCAAGACTGAAGACCCAGATTCTGAGTTTTAATGACTTACCATAAGAAGAAGAGATAGCTGAAGAGCCAGGTTGGTTAAGTTAGATAATCCCAGACCCAGACTGAATACTTGTCAGCACAAGGAACACTCTGAACACTGAAAGATGAAGAACTTACAGTGAGGGATCAGTGGAGTGCCTCAAAGCTACAGAGAGAATAGCAAGTCCAACAGCCACAACAAAGGAAATCAGAGAGAGGACTGTTCTCCTGCAGCAAATGATGAGCAATGTACTCATGGATATATTCAAGATGAGGAAGAAACTTACAGGAATCTCATGCCAGCAAATCTAAGATAGAATGGTTTCTTTCCATGGTATGAGTAAGGCCTCAGTGTTCTTCATAAGAACTGACATACCTGGCTTCGATCTAGGTACATATCATTCTGCTTCCAGAAGTACACTTCAGCGCCATATGCACTGGATGAAGAGTGAGGATCAAGACTTAGATGAGACAGTTTGGATGCCTACCGGATCGTCTCAAGCCCAGTCATTGTGGAGGAAAAGAGCGTATACAAAGGAGACTTGCTTGCGATTTGTAGATGCTGAAGCTGTGTAGAGGTTGCCTAGAGCGACTGAATTAGCTTTCGTCTGATCTCTGAATCATAGATTCGGAGCTTACAGTGTAGAAGACAAGTGTTCCGTAGTACAGCAGACCAAGCGGTATGACAGACAATGTTAACCATGGCGTCTAAAGGGAGCATAAGTCCTGACGTAAAGGACGAAGATTGCAAGGGACATACGGCGACAAAGATAAAGACAAGCATCCCGACTATTCAAACTCAATCAGAGAGAACCGCAAAGCCGGGGCATCAAATCTACTTACGCAGAGTGACGAGTTGCAGAGTCCAGTTGATCAAAGCCAGTGTAAATTCGTAGTCCATAAGGAACACATCCTAAGAAGGGGTTCAGCGAACGCCGCATATTTATCACAATATTATTACCTGGGACAAGCGGTTGATAATTGTACCAGCAGGCGTAGACATAAAATATGTCGGCAGCGCAGCAAACAGTGACTTGACTTCGGCGCTATGAACGGTCTTCCCAGTAGTACTGTTGGCAAACTGCTCGTAAGGGGAAATTCGGAACTCGAGTTGTCATACACCCACTTCGCCATGATGCAGGTAAACTGCCAGATCGCAATGATACTAAACGACTCATCAGTTTATTCCGTAGAAGGAGAAAAGAGCAGGAGCGTACTTTGTAACAACCCAAACAAAGTTGAATCCAGCATAACCGCCAATCCAAGCATCGGCATGCGCATCATTCGTTGTAGACCACTCTTTGAGGTAGACCTAAAAGCAGATAGATGAGCGGGAAATGTTCTACCGTTAGTGATCGTAGAATGTATACCTGTAGACCAAGTTTCATGACACCAGTCAGTGCGACGAGAAGCTGGAAAACGATCCATCAATATAGGCACAAAAAAGCTAATCAAGATCTAGGCATACCAAACCCATAACGGCCTGCTTCCAAGTAGCCATCTGTGCATAGAAGATGTAGGGTCTGAAGCCAAGAGAGGTTTTCGAGATCACACTCTCCTCGGTTGAAGACTTCTCCTCTGCTGATTTGTCCTCGAAGGTTTGATCAACCGCCTTAGAGTTCTCATCACCCGAATGGCTAGTTTCGATGACTTTCAAGTCATACCCTGCGTCAACGATCTCCTGAAGTGTACCGTTGTGCCGTAGCCGGCCTTCTTCCATCACAAGGATGTGTCCAGCAGACCTAAGGTGTTTGACTGGGAAATTGATCAGCAGTCAATTCTAAGTACCAGGACAAATCGGCTTACCGTTGTGAGTTACCAGAATGACCGCACGCCCTTGTAACAAGCCATTCGGGCCAAAGAGCGATGAGAAAACTACGTCATAAAGAAATCAGATATTTCCATCATCGACCAGGACACACGTACCACGGGTCTCAGTATGAGCATCGAGCGCACTCAGAGGGTCATCCAATAGGGTCCAAGGTGCATTAGCATAAACTGCACGAGCGAGAGTCTATACCGATCATATTGAGCATAGCGGGACGTTCTAAGACACATATCACGCACCACACGCTGTCTCTGTCCGCCGCTCAACCTACTACCTTTCTCCCCAAGCATCGTTTGATCCCCCGCTCGGAACTTTTGCACTTCTGAGGTTAACGCACATGCTTCAAGTACCTTAAGATATCGTCTCTCGTCGAACTCGGTACCAAATAGGATATTGTCTCGTATTGTCCCGGTGACGATGAGCGCATCTTGAGAAGCATAGGCGAAACGAATGGGAGGACGAGCGTAACGACCGCCCCTCAGGACTGTCTCACCAAGAATTGACAATAGCAAGAGTGATTTGCCCTATTGGCGCATGAGCTCACGGCACTGCCTAGACTTGATGTACTCACCGATGCGACAGATCCAGCGCAAATGTGCAGTTGAGACGTGTTAAACTCCACAGTTACGTCCTTGAGAAAAGCGTCTGCTTCGGGATCCCATGAGAAAGACGCAGAGCTCATGATAATAGGAGTAAAGTGATCATCAGGCTTCAGAGTTTGCATTGCTTTCTCATTTAGAGACGGATCCTTATCAGAATCATCCTCGAGTTCCTCATCTTCATCGTCACTCTTCTCATCGAGAAGCAAGAAGCTTTCGATACGCTTGAGTGAAGCATACGACGCGACAAGAATAGGCAAATATTGGCCTGCAACAAGACATATGAGTATATAACATGACATGCAAGTCAGCATACAGTACCGAGCATATTCAACGGAAAGTTCAGCAGGTTTACAGCTGTCACGATTGTGAACACGTGATTGACGTCGAGAGGTCCGTGTCCGTGATGCCCTGCAATCGCTGCGTAAGGGCCAAGAACAGCGAGTGTACATAGCGAGCCGGAGGTCAAGGACAAGGACGCGACAACGGTAAAATAGACACTACGTAACAAAAGAAAGGTTAGTTGTACACACCAGATATTGCGGAAAGCCAAGTAAGACTGACAAGAATGTATTTGCCTCCTTCATTTCCTTGGCTCTCAACTCTGCTACTCGCTGCGCCAAAATATCCTCATAGTTAGCCCACTTGATCGGTAGGAACTTATTGATAATTGAAGATAGGAATTTAACACGTCTGTCTGTTGCTGCGAGCCAAGCGCTTTGTTGCGCACCAAGGTGTTTGCTGATTCGCGACGCTGCTGTGATCAACAATGTTGTTACCACCAGAGGTAGGAACGCCGGCCAGGTTGCCTGGGAGTCTCTCAGTTCATTTTACGGGCCCACAAAATAAGACAAGTACACCCACCTGAGAGTATACGACGATGACTGCGAGTATGACAGAGAGGAAAGAGGCCCACATCTCGTGGAAGAACTCTGTACCTTGGCATATCCGCTCGACATCCACGGACCTGTACTCACTGCTCAATGAAACAAGGACAACAGGCGAAGAGTATACGCACATGTAAGTGCTAGCGACGCCGCTACCTAATGATCGGGCCCTGTATGATGACAACCTTAAACTCTTTGTGTAAATGTTGCGAACAAGTGCGCCTCGATACAACACCGTCAAATCGAAGACCTAAAATTAAAGTACTGTTCAGTATCGAAGGGCAGGGATAATTATACCCATACCTTCTCCCAGTAAAGTGATGTAGCAAGCGCCATTATCCCGTACACACAGACAAAGCCACCAACAAGGGCCCATCCTTCCTCAGCAGACCGATTGGAATCGGAGACAAAACTGATCATCTGAGTAACGAGCAAAGGCTGGGCGAAAGTCGAAAGAAGTAGGATGATACGGGGAATAACCGGAGAAAGGAAGGAGGGTCCAAAGGCTCTGAACGACGCGCGCAACAGGAAGAAAGATCCCTTGCTGCAAGACAGAAACATCTGATTAGCTCCGGTTCGTGAGGGAGCGACGCTCAAGCTGGACACAACATACGGAGTCTTCTCTAAAGCTTCCTGCAAGCGTGAGCCTGAAGCGCAAGCACCGAATTCTTCCGGAATGGCGTTGCAGTCATCTACAGTCAAGACTTTCGTTCTGCCTCTCCATAAGAACGGGAGCAACCATATGTATGCAGAACGCGTAAGGAAGCTTGAAGTTGATTCCTTGGGTAGATTCTATACGCGCGAGCCCGTTCAATACAATACTGCTCAATGTGCAGTCCTTCCTACCTTCTGTCGCAGTAACCTTCGTTTCTCTAATATCTCGACATAGAAAAGAATACCATACGATGCTGTAGTAAGAGTTGAAAATATCGCAGCATTTCGAGCATTCGTGAATAGGTCTATCTTCGCATAGGTCCGCAAGGTAGTTGACGTGAATATGGTCTTGATCAGAGTATAGCTGACGACAACGGAGCTAGGAGTGACGGAGCGGAAGTGTTCTATAACAACGAGAACGCCGAGAGGTATCTAGAGAAGTTGCGAAGCACCGAGGCGTGAGAATTGAGAAGCGATTCGCTACAGAATTGAAAGAAGATCATACTGCAGAAACCAATTGAATCGCCGGTCCAGCGACCCAGAGAGACATGACTCCATCGTTACGGGCACGTAGGAGGAACGGAAGACTCGTTGCGTTGAACACGATCGTCATGACTATCATAAGTATCTTGAGACAAAGATGAAACCATCCCGGTGACTCTAGTTTTGAGGCTTGTCGCGAGAGATACACGAGACGAGTAGCACAGAGGATGAGAAACACGATATCTGCAGCGAAAGAGAGAATGCTGGAGCAACATAAGAAACAATATGACGAGAAAGAGAAGGAGGGCATACATTTGTTCGAACTTCAGAGTGAAATCAAGGTCTCTACAAGTCGATCCTGGCCCAAACGCTGTGTCTTGAGTACAACCCGGCATTGTGAGTGTTGAGATAGACGGAGAGGCACTGGGGAATGGTCACATCTTTCCGATACCTCTCGGGCTAACTCAAGTAGACTTTGCGAGCGGACCCCATCTATCGGGTGTGAGAATGGCTGGAGAAGCCATACATCCGGTATGAATCTGGCCCTCTCCCAAAGAGGCTATCGACAAGCCTCCATACTGAAGCTTCTGTAACATGTGGGCCATGGTTTTAATTTAGATTCCTCTGCAGGGACGGCCGTTATACATCGGCCAGGATGAATGCCTTTCGGAGCGGTCCTCGGTGGATATCGATTGTCGGCGCTCTTTGACTGGTGATGAACAAACTTCTTTGGCCATGCCGGGCGCAAGAGGTTCAGTAGTGACATATACGGATAGGTGCAATCGTTACGCCACAACGGAACATATCAACTAGATGTCCCTTGTCTCCACAGCCGGCGGAATGACGGTGAAAATGTCTAAGCCTGGCGTGTGCATACAAGCACCGATTTCTGATCGTTCTGATTGTTTGTCCTTTAAGCAATCGAGAGGGTCAGCGAGGATTTGTACCTCGGCCTACTGCATGCGACTGCCAACGTAGTAGACAAGAATTCCTTTTCTCACGTTACACACGTCATGGAGAGACGTTCACAAGACCAGGGCCTGTCAAGTACCACGGACTCTCACCTTAAGAGCTCATATAACAACAATTACCAACCTACCATCTGCCGCCGTGACAGAATTGTAAGTCAATGATCATTCAAGAGCAATCGATTTATGATAAACAGCAATCGCACTCACGTCACGGTCCTGGCCTACAAGATGTTTCCGCACTGCGCAGCATTAGGCCTTCGCTGCTTCCATCTCGGAGTGGGCCATCACCTCTAGCGTGTGACTAGATTCCGGGGAGGTATGGCCAGGTATGTCATGAAGCTTTGAAGAACGGGAGAACTTGATGCACATAAGCAACATGGTTAGTCACAGCGGATCGCACTTACCTTCGAAGCGCATTATTCAGATATCCGTAGAATGAGTATGCATGTCCCTAGAAATTGAAAAAGTGCACTAGTTCAGTCCAGCAATTGCCTTCAATATAAATCAAGTTGTCGTGGCCGTTTATGACAGCCGGCGTTGGGCCAACGCTTCCCGTGATTTGCCAATTGCCACAAAGGCCATTCGCTAGAAATGGAAATTATAGACGCCTCAAAGTAGGTTCGCAAACGAGTTTCATTCCTTTACGGCCAACAAATAACGCACCTTTCGTACCTTTCCGCAATCTCACTATACACATCGAGGCTCTGATCCAGGCGTGCTAAACAAAGAGGTCTTATCTTGGAATGTCTCAATCGCAAGCTACGTCGGAAGAAGAACCTTCGCCATTGCTGGTCCGTATGACAATAAGTGGCTCAAGGAATATTAATCATGAAGCTACCACTCAATAGGTGTTGAGTGCCTATACTACAGACCTGCGACACTTCACAAATTTGCTTAGAGGTGTCAGCTTTGAAAAAGTGAAACACTTACGTTCATTCTGTATTGTATATCCGGTAACGAACACCCGTCTTTGATTACATTCAGCGTGCCCTCTTCGACCTCACAGCAGGCGGCATTGTCGTAACTGTGGAAGAGGCAAGGACGTTACTAGGTTAGTCTCTTTCGCGTCTAGTACGCGTCTTTACGCTAATGGCGCCACTCAGCGTTCGCGTTTATCAGGAACGACATATTCGACGAATACATTTACATTCCTATGGAAGAGCCCGAGCCCGAGCCGCAATCTTCACAAGAAACTGTGGATGAAGACGAAGAACCTACACCACCTCGACCCAAACGAACACTGTTCGAAGTCAACCTCTCAACCGTGATTGACTGTTTGAACCTCTTTGGAACGGCTGGAACATCTGCAAGTGCTGTGAAAAAGCATAGATTCAAAGGCTGGAACCAATCTGCTCAAGATTCAGACGGGGACGATGATGGTACAGAAGATGGCAGCGCATCCAGAAGAGGTCGTACTAGCAAGAGTGCGAGTGGAATGAACGCGTCGGCTTCGGCAAATACTAAGATTGATCAGTTCATGAGTGGAAGTACGAAAGGTACAGCGTTGAGGATGACATATGCTGGCCCTGGGCATCCTCTAGTATTGCATTTGTGCGTATCTTCAGGAATCGCCATCGCATGTTTGTGCGAACTCACTTCTGGCAGAGCTGAAAGTTCTAGTGGACCCGCTGCGACGTGCGAAATCGTCACTTATGATCCTGAACCTGCACTCGAGCTTCCTTTTGACTCTGACGCGATGTATGCTCGGTTTTATCTCTACCCTCTCTGTCATTACTCACTGGAACGAATAGGATTATGAAAATGATTTTGAAGGTACATACAATTCATAGACTCAAACATTCATCCTAACAAATCCTCAGTCGTCATGGCTTCAAGATGCACTCTCAGAACTCCATCCCTCCTGCGACAAACTAACAATTATAGGAAATCCCCCGCCTGCGCCGGGTAGAGGTCCTACTCTTACTGCACCTCCAAGACTACGCATAAAGGCAACGGGCACGTTCGGTACAACCGAGGTAACTAACTATAACCTTTCACGTTCCATTTTGTTCCGAGAATCGCGCTAACCTTATCGCGTTCAGATGGACTACCCAAATGACAAAGAAGTTCTTGAGTCATGCGAATGCGATACCCATGTCTCTTTCACGTATGTGCCTTCCACATTCTTCACCTTTTGTTCGCCCGAAGGCTTCCTCGCCCTGTGTACCTGTGTTCGTGGGGATAAGACGATATTAGAAACGCGTGTTCATGCGATCCCGGTCTCGTCGGCATGCTCAGATACTAATGTCCCCGCTGAACAGATATCGAACTTCGCATGTTGTCCGAGTAGCACGGGCTTTACAACATTCCACCAAGACGTCGGTGCGAATAGATGAAGGAGGTTTGCTAAGTTTACAACTCATCATTCCTTCACCACGGATGCGAGGTCCGAAAGCGGCAGAAGCTTTTACAGAGTTCAGGGTAAGCCACATCGAGCATTATGGACGACACGAGACTTTGTCCTGACCATGTTGCTTGGATAGTGTCTTGCTATTGACGAATCATAATAAGCAAGACTACTGATTTCTTCATCCTGTTTCAGTTGCTGTAGCATGCTGGTTCCTTCTTGACGGAATAGAGTGGAAATGTATGGTATGTCTAATGGCAACGCAGTACCATATTATAGTGGAGCTATACTCAATCAAAACAAGTCGTCCAGGGAACCGGAAGAACTAGTCTTCGTTTTGGAGGACGGGGCGGGTGAAGAAGCAGGCTTCGGCGACGGAGGCAGATAGTCTGCGATGATAGAGTCGAAATCCGGCGGAGTGGCTGACGCTGCGATAAATGTGAGCAATAAACTAGAGACTCTGATTCAATGAGACAGTACCTGGTGGTGTGCGCGCTTTGATAGAAGAGGCTAACATATTCGATACGATGAGGCGACGAATAGCGAGACCATCTAGCGGTGCTGGCTCTGGCTTCTTCTCAACCTTCTCAACCTTCGCAACCTTCGCAACCTTCTCGATCTTCTGTTCCTCCTTTTCCGAGGCAGCCTGGTATGTTCCAAGTGGTCCACTTGCCTTACCCAAGTAGGCCAGGACGTCACCCTTAGTGAGCATGCCACGAACACCAGTTCCCTTGATATCATCAGCCTTCTCGATACCGCTCTCAATTAAGAGACGGATAACCGAGGGGAACAGAGGGCGTGAGGATGAGGGTGTTACGTGTGGGCGGGATTCTGGAGTAGAAGGCGTCGGCTGGGGAGGGGCTTGTTGGGCGGGCGAAACTTCTTCTTTGGCAGGTTTTGAAGGTGCAGGCTCGGCCTCTTCTGGGAGTTGCAAGTTTGAAATATCATCACCCTCCTCGGCAAGCAGTGCAATCGCCTTGCCGACTTTAACGTTACGAGTACCGTCAGGCGCCTGAGAATGGGTTTTAGGATCAGCAACGCATGGACATAGGTGAGAAGACGCACCAGAATCTTGCCCATCACACCATCGTCCTGTGCCTCCACGTCAATAGTAGCCTTGTCCGTCTCCTACAATGCTGGAATAAGCAATCCGTTCGAAAGCAAGCATGATATTCTGTAGAGCTCACAATTTCGAGGAGGATATCACCAGTAGAGAAAGGCTCACCCTCTTTCTTCTTCCAGTGCGCAATTGCGCCTTCGGTCATAGTAGGAGACATAGCAGGCATTTGAAGCTTCGTTATAGCCTGACGTACTGCTGACGTCTGCATCCCTAACAAATTACAGTGAGTTCAATAGACAACAACAATGAATTGAGTCATATACATCGTTGACTACATCTCTGTCGCGCTACAGACCGCAGAAGATCCCTGGCAGACATACTGGAAGTCGTTGGGGAAGAGTGTAGCGCGAGCCAGCTAGTCAACTCTCGACGTCGGCGCATGCATCGTGGGAACTTCCAAATGCGGCGGGTCAATAAACGCCCAAGGACGATATTAGAGTTCGCTTCCGTTCATTATGTAGGATTCGACTCAACCGGTCGTTCCATGGAATTCAGGAATCATCTCAACTACCACCCGAGAAGTTGCATCCTAGCTTAATTCTCTTGAATATTTAGGACTGGCAATGTCACAGAAACCGTCGTCATCATCGTCGAGTTCAAATGGCCGCCCATCGAGAACAGGTGACAGGTTGATTCGGAGGTTGTGTGCGAACGAATCCACGTTGGAGAAGGCTCTCGCGTTGTACGAGTCTTTACAGGATGTCTTCGCTCATGGCGCGTTGCCAAATGTGTGTGCCTACATTGCGTGCGAGATGTAGGTCTTTATGTGACGACGCGCAAGTTGATACTCAATTAAGTCTATCGTTTTTCATAGGCTAGGCAATACGGATGTCAGCTGGGAAGCAGCATCTCTAGCCTCCACCGTAGGCCCTCCAGAGTGTTTGAACTTGTGGCAACAAGTTCGACGACATCTCTCTAAGTTTACGCCGACTGTATCATACTTATCACTCGTGCGGACGTATGATCTCACCGCACCTCAATCCTTCATTACTGTCTTACAGACAGTCGAAGACATAGCCGGTAGAGACAGCGTTTTCATAAATGACGCGTCGCGTGATTCGGTGCTTTTTGCGGTGTTTACATGGACTGGATCGCTACTCAAGGTCTGCTCATCTCTCTCCGTTAGCTGAGGTTCTCCGCAAGTAGCTGATCCTTCTATTGACCAGATTGAGAATATTACCCCAGAGGTAGTCGCTGATGACTATGATCTTGACGAGGATGAACTAAAGAGACACATGGAGGTGATTGAAACCAAATGCGATGACCTCGCTAGTATGATTACTATGTCATACGAAGCGGTAAAGATGCCAAGAGGCGGAACTCTTCTGAATCCTATCAACGAAATTTCACCGCCGTCCTCGCGATCTGCGTCTTCAGGTCCAGGCTCCATCGTGCCTCTCAAACGTGGAGCAGAGACCGTCACCGAGCGCTCACCCGGGTCGAAACGTCTCAATTCCGGTACTGCTCAAAACGAGGTTCATCTGTCGCCATCCAAGCCACCTCACCAAACAAGTCATATCCCCGTGACATATTCAAGGAGTTTGAATGAAATCCGTCGACATCCACTTCCACTGAATTCGGAGGCGAGCTCTAAGAAGTCAGATGTGGCTGAAAGCGCATCTGGAAAAGGTGTAATTACTCCCCCTGTGAAACCGTCCTTTGTCGGTGAAAACCCTTGGAAACGTACTAAGACGTTGTCGCCAGAGAAGGACATGGTAACGGAAACTTCGCAATCCCGTATGGGGGCGCATCTAGAGCCTCTAGAGTTGGAGTATATCGGTGTCAACAGGTCAGCGGGTAAATATCTTCACATCCACACCTTTGTGCGGATTTGTTCTCACGAAGGTGTTAGGTAAACCCTCCGACCAACAAGCCTCAACATCTCAGAGCGCTAGATCCCCCGACACTTCACCTGTTGCGATTGAACCTGGCCTGGATGCTGGGCCTCCCGCGAAGCGGAAACGTGGGCGCCCCAACAAATCGAGTCAGCCAATTCCTTCCTCCTCCTCATCGTCCCGCAGCACCCTAGTTAACAGCTCAAGCGCGAGTTCCTCATCCACTCTTCCTAGCACTATAGTCAAACCCACCCCCATCGTAGCACCAACACAAGCGACACAAGCCCAACTCCTCACGCATATCCGCAAAGCCGACTGGGCTATCATAACCCACACAGAGACTTTTCCCTGTCCCGACGTGATCCTCAAACTCAAGATTCTTGATCTCAAGACTCGTATCTTAGAACGCGACAAGTTGCCGACTAACCCTGGGAACCCGGATGTGCTAAGTAGTGCAAGCGTGGCCTCAGCGACGAAGTTGGACGAGCTGATTCAGAATGCGAGAGAGGATGTTGTTAGGTACGTTAGGGGTGGGAAGGATGACAAGGGAAATAAGGTGGGAATTGGAGAGGGAGGTTATGGAGGCGACATCGAGTTGAAGTTGAAAGTCTTGGATTTAGAGACGAGAGTGTCGGAGTGGAGAAGAATCATGGACGGTGTGAGTGCTTCACTCTCATGATCTTTTGGATCTGCCTACATCAATACCTTGCTTCTGTATTATACCTCATTTATCTTGGTCTAGTGCTCATGATATTGGATTATCTGCCATTCTTTTGGAATTCCTTTGTGTGCCTGGGGAAAGGAGTATTGATATGAAGTCCACTATGAGCAAGCTGAATCCGACCCCTATGACTGGGAAGTCTCGACATCAACAGATGGAGTATTGAGGCTCTCTTTTAAGGACTATATCTTGACGCGTCGAATTAGTGCACGTGATATGTGTTTTCACGTGATCGCGTTGCTTGAGTATTCCCAAGGTTCCTCTTTGTCAGTGTTATCGGCTCGAAATTTGGACCGACTATTGAATCGAAAGAAAGTACTGAAGTCTGAGGATGATCACGATATATTCTTGCGGGGTGAAATCTACGTATTACCAAGTAGCGACCGACGCAACCTTGAAGTAAGCGCTAGTATCCCGAGGTCAAAAACGACTCTCATCTAAGCCCGCCAGCGTGCTGCGTTCTAGGTTAACTTTAAGTGCGTATATGCTACGACGTGTCTCTTCTTTCTCATTGCCCATAGTTTCGTGAGTAGATCCGGGTTCACAAGGTCTTTAAAGGAGCGCCCATTGAGCAAGATATTGCGCCGAATTGCGACTCGAGCGACTGAGCAATATTCAAAAGAAGTTGACACGGTTGTGTGACCAGTGAGTGCGCTTAGTGCTTACTGCTCTCCAAGTCACGTACTTCGAATGCAATTGGTAAGCCTGCCTCTACGGTCTTGCCAATCGCGCCCACAGGTAAGCAAACCTTCTCCTCTCTTATCGTCTACCGCCGGGTATAAGAGTATTTCTAACCATCGCTCTCCCGCCGTTGAAATTTCTCTTGTCTTTTCTCTCGGTGTCTAGCTGGCTTCCCGTGCATTTACCACACTGGTCCGTTCCCCGAATTCGACTTCCAGCCATCGCTCTTCTTCAAGTGCTGCGACCACCATCCAAGGCACCGCTCTCCGTAGACTTTCCCAGGTTCGCCGTCTTGATCCCGCTGATGAACTCTATGCTCTTTGAGTCCGGAGTGTCAGAAGCATAAAGCTAACAAGGTCTACGGTTTTGTTTCATATCAGATTCGAAGGTCATTCAGCGTGAATACTGCACAAATGGCTCCTGTAACGAAACCCGGTCAAGAAAAGTACGATATCGTGTTCATCGGTGGAGGAAGTGGAGGTGTTGCTGGATCGGTACGTTGTCGTTATTTGTATTTAACGGTGTTTGCTTGACTGAAGACATGGTAATGGGTGTTGTGTGTAGCGTAGGGCTGCTTCGTATGGCAAGAAGGTCGCTCTCGTTGAGGCCACTGGTCGCCTTGGGGGAACTTGCGTTAACGTCGGTATGTTTCAATAGGTTTTCTGTCCTTCAGACACCAATTTCTGACGCATATATGCAGGTTGCGTCCCCAAGAAGGTACTTTCCATTACACAACATACCTTCCTGCCTCTCATTCTAACCAATCATGTATCAGATAATGTGGAACGCCGCAGACATCGCCGAGAAGATCCGTCATGCCTCCTCATATGAATTCACCAATGTCCCATACGAACCCAAGTTCAACTGGGCAGCATTCAAGCCTAGACGAGATGCATATATCCAGCGTTTGAACGAAATCTATGAACGGAACCTCGAGAAGGATGGAGTTGAAGAACATCATGGTTTTGCTAGAGTCGTTTCTCCCAATCAAGTCGAAGTCACGCGTGCAGATGGCGGCGAGAAATACGTCTTGAACACAGAGTACATTTGTATTGCGACCGGTGGCCGACCAACTATCCCGAGCGAAAAGGACATCCCTGGTGCCGGTCAAGGCATTGACTCGGATGGGTTCTTTGATCTGGAGGACCAGCCTAAGAGAGTTGCGGTTGTTGGTGCAGGTTACATTGCAGTCGAATTTGCAGGCATGCTTCGTGCGCTGGGGAGTGATGTCCATGTGTTCATCCGTGGTGAACGGGTGTTGAGGACCTTCGACCCTGTGATCCAAGACACGCTCACGGACTGGATGGAACACACCGGAATCAACATTCACAAGAGCTCGCACGTCGTCAAGGTGGAAGGAGTGAAAGGCCAGACACCGCTCACAATTCATACCGACAAAGGCGAGACGGCGGAAGTAGATGAGGTGATTTGGACTATTGGACGACATGCCAACACCGAGGGTCTTGGATTAGAGGAGCTCGGAGTCAACTTGCACAAGAACGGCGATGTTATAACCGACGAATACCAAAATTCCAACGTACCTAGCATTTTGTCGATCGGAGACGTCAGTGGAAGAGCCCACCTGACCCCTGTGGCTATCGCTGCGGGCAGACGACTGTCGAACCGACTCTTTGGTCCATCAAAGTTCAAGAACGACAAACTTAGTTACGAAAATATTCCTACCGTTGTGTTCTCGTGAGTTATCTCAATTGAGAAGCGCAGGTGTTATGACTGTCATGACTAATGAACGCATGGCGTAGGCACCCAACTATTGGTACAGTTGGTCTGACAGAACCCCAAGCTCGGAAGAAGTACGGCGACGACGCTGTGAAGATCTGTACGTACCATTTGTTTTTCGTCGCTGATCATGGACTCATGTTTTTCCGCCCTAATCCTATTTTGTATTCCGTCCCTGGCCTAGATAAATCTTCCTTCCGAGCGCTCTACTTTGCCATGATTGATGAAGCGCACAAAGAGCCCTCAGTCTACAAGCTCATCTGTGTAGGCGAAGATGAACGCGTCGTCGGTGTGCATATCATTGGTCTGGGCAGTGACGAGGTCATGCAAGGATTCGCCGTGGCTGTCGTTATGGGCGCGCGCAAAGAAGACCTCGATAACACGGTTGCGATCCACCCTACATCCGCAGAAGGTGCGTCTCGTGTCTCTTTCCTTATTGTTGTGCGTCTGGGGAGGCGCAACCCACCTCTACTTCGATGGCGAACTCCGCTGTACTGAATTTGACATAACGGGGGGTGAGGCAGCGTTTCTGGAGGAAACATTCCAGAAATGAGAAACTTGCATGGTTATGTCCGTAAACATGCAAGAAGTATCTTCAATGGCTGCCTTATTTGGACATGTCTACACATTCTGCCCCCATCTTCTGCATGTTTTTCGCACATCACTGCTTGCAGCAGACGGATGCAATATGTCTTCCGCTGTTCGATGAGGTCATGCGAGAAACATATCATTTGTTTCTTCCATGTTCTCTTTCAGCCGCCCGCTGCAAGAATAACCACTGGTCCGCGATGTGATAGGTTGATCTCCCGGAGACATCTCACCAGAGTCCAGGCGCTATTGCGCTTGGCCTGCGTCTCTGATTCTATTTATGTCCATCTTCTAGGTGACACGAACATGAGGTGGACATCAGGAGCATTGAGATTGGTTGCACTGCTGCGCCGTCACGTTGTGCAAAAGCCATCGGGACCCTGATTTTGTTGCTGGAATGCCATTTCATCCTTTGTTGGGCTTAGTGCTTTGGAAAAGAGGAAAGACGCTGATCTATCATTTTTTTGGTGTTCTAGAGCTGGTGACGCTCCGGTAAAACCGCCGCCTCGTTCACGAGCACGTTATAATCTGGCCCGGGGTCGCTGACTCGGTTCGTTGCGAAGAATTCTGAAGAGATGGAAGCATGACGTTCTAGCCGGGATAGGCAGGATGTCGAGTGCCGTAAAGCTAGACAATTGAAGGAGAGGCTTATATATGTAATGTGAGGACACTAGGAGGGGATGTGTACACTAGAAGTGTCAGCGAAAATGAAAGAGGATATACAAATAGAGGAGTCTGGGAGTGAGAGGAAGCCGGGAGGGGAAACAGAGGCCTGAGATTGAAATGAGAAACGCGTGAGATCTGTAGACTGTGGCCCAGGCCAGGGTCCGCCACCGCACTCACCGCCTGCACTTCGCGATCACTTAATACCACCAGCGCGGCCTCCAATCATCCTCCTACCTCCCTCCTCTCCCTTTATCTCTCCATAACGACCGTATTCTCGCGGAGTTGCTTCCTCACACCGACCACGGTAGCTGCCACCCCGAACAGGCGTGCTACTGTGGCAACCATTCAGTGGTCGCCAATTGAATTCGAAAGAACTTGACCCAAATAACAAATACGCAAAAAATAACTTGTCCTTGTACACACACCATGGATGCCCAGGAAGCAGAGGAGTGGGCGACGTATGCGAACGAGGCCTTTGCGCTCTCGCTAGGTATGTCTTTCTGGCTGACAATGTGAATTTTACGTTTAACGCGTCCTTTCGCGTTTTCGTTCGGATCCCTACCTTTGTCTGTAGTTCGTGCAAAAGAGGACGAGGAGAGTCTAAGTCCGGAGGAGGCCTTTGACGGATTCCATCCTACGTTCACATATCCAGTACGTCTTTGCTCTGACTTTATTGACTTGCATGGAGGAGCGGGAGGATCTGATGTTGATACAGATATTTGGAGAAGAGCAGAGGGTATATGGATACAAGGACTTGTTGATCGAAGTAGGTTACACGTCTCCCTTTCTTACGGCAGGTATACTCAAACCGCATCACAGCTGAAGTTCTCGTCTGGGTCATTACGGCAATACTTTAACGTCAAATACTCAGAGCGACTACCCCCATCGCCGGCAGTAGATGACATCGAATCTAAACTACTAGAAGCCAAAGTTCTCCTTCCAGGTTCGTATGCGAAGTCCCGTTTCACACACCCCACACGTCTTATGAATCCCCCAAATCCCTATCAACCTATATCCATCTTTTCGGTATATTTCTTTCCTTAGATCACTACACAGATGAAGATGCATTCTTGAAACAAGTCGAACTTGATTCGACGGCATTCAAACCGCTGGGGACAAAGATGCATTCATATTCTCGTCGCGTGAGCCATGCGCTGCGGCCTGATGGTGCGAGTGATGTCTCGTGGGATCGCAAACCTTCCTCAAGTATGAGCAAGACGCCAGAGCCGGAGGAAGAGACTGAGCTTGTCGAGTATGAAATATTCCACGTACGTTATTGATCTTTTCCTCCCGCTGTCTTACCGTCGTACCTGAACTCAAATATAGTGCACATGGAAGACCCCAGGCTTCCGGGAGTACCACCGACGTATACAAATATTCATCCTGCTCTACATAGAGGGCGGCTCGTTTATTAAGGAGGAAGAGGAGGAATGGGAATTTATCATTCTGTAATTGGTTTCCGCCTCTGATTGCCCTGACGAAGTTACTGACGTCATGTTTGCCCTGTTACTCGGTTGTATTTCATAGATATGAGAAACGACAACGGAAACACTCGCCTGAAGTCTGGACATATCATTTTGTCGGATACTCGACACTATTTCCATTTTATTGCTATCCGGAGAAAGTTCGACTACGAATCAGGTACGCATCTTGTTGAAAAGGTACATTGTCGAACGAGACCTGACTATATGCGTGTTTTTATAGCCAATTCGTCATTCTGCCCCCTTATCAACAAGAAGGCCATGGCTGTACGTCTCCCCTCTCCCCTTTTCTATTTTAATTCGTATATCCATATCCCTGCCCCTTTAGCCGCGCTCTACAGCGCAATTTACCAATACGTCCTCGCCTCTCCCCATATAGCGGAACTCACGGTCGAAGATCCCGCGGAGGCATTTGAAGACCTCCGAGACCGCAATGACCTCAAGATGCTCCTTAATCATCAAGAGTTCATGCGTGAAGCGCTAGGGGAAAGCCATGTTTCGACAGGTGGCGGACCGGCGAGACATCAGAGACATAGACATGGCGCGGAGAGTCTTACCAGTAGGACAAATGGTGTTGGGGGGAAGAAGAAGAAAAAGAATGAGGGGAAGTTGATGCCTCCGACGGATAAGGCGTTTATTGCCAAGTGGAAGGGCAACTTGAAAATCGCGCAGGTGCGTGTTGCTTCCTGACGTCCGTCTTTGGATCGGCCGACTCATATTTTCATTTCAGAGACAATTCCAACGGTTGATTGAGATGCTTATTCTCAAGCATATCGATGATACGGATCCCATTGCGTTGAAGCAGTACCGAATTCAAGTAAAAGATCGATTGTTTCGGTTCAACTTCGTACGTCCGCCTTCTTCTTATTATCTCGTGTCTTATCCCTTCCCTCGTCCCTCTATATCTTTATCTTGCTACCATTATCCGTCTACGTGTTCTGTCTTACCTCCTACTCACCGCATATACTCACTTTCTTCTGCAGGAAATCCTCATGCAACTTGATCAGAAGGAACGGCAAGCCAAGCTGGAAGAGACGTTTCAAGCGGTCAAGAAGGATTATATCCGAATACTCAACCTCATCCACTAATCACCTCACCTCTGTTATGTGTGCATGCATCTCCATGAACCCTACTTGCACCGACCACAATTAATGACTACCATTGGCGCCGCAATTTCGTGTGGTCGTCTACCGTCTTATTCAGTTACTGAAGCCTCCTTTTGTTGTGTTTGTTTACTTGTTGTCGCCTCGATTGTTGTTTGCTACTTACTTGAACATTGTATTACTGATATATTACAGACTACTCACATGGCCACTGATTTGTCCCGTTGTTGAAACGCGTGAACGATGACTTGCTTTAACTCTGTAGAGGGTTCCTCTTAGCTCTACACTCCGACTAAATTACCTTCATAGAGCAAGATGATTGTCAACATTGTTTATGACTTGGTGGTCTATATGTTCAGCACCTCATTCTGGTCATACATGTTCCGCTTTTGAGAGTAAATTTCGGGAGCACTGTGGACTGCGAACTCAGGTCTTCGACTTCGGAGTCTCCCGTCGTATCGATCCACTTAAACCGCCGGATCATCGTTCGTGCTGAAGACGACTGTCGAGCCTATACATACTAACGTCGCTAGGCCAGTCGCAGTGTGACCATACCCGTCTGGTTAATACAGAACCGTGCAAGCTCCCACGAAGCAGCGGACATGAGCCGGAAAGATCTAAACATACACTTCTACCCTTCTAATTGACAGTTTCATGTTACGCCGACCGATAAACACAGGTAGAGATACACAGTATCTCAATATCGTCCATCTTCACCTCATGCTCTAGTGTAAATCGAAACGGGGGCCTTCATAGCATTGTATCAACGATCAACTGAAGTGCGATATTCGAAGATGTCGAATGTATCCTTGGCGGCTGCATATTCTTTGCGTATCAACTCCGCTTTGGCTGCACTTCAAGGATGTATTTCGCACTCGAATGGCTCCGGCACCAACACGATACCCTGCGTAGGGTAGTTGTCAAAAATGTGAATACAGCTTCCCCTAAGGTTATGCTTACATCAGTTATGGCTGTTAAGTTAATTTGCTTCAGTTTTCCACTAACGAGATCTTTAGTTGGAGTGAAGTCGAAAGCCCAGATCATAGACATGGCATTCAGTGCCTGATGTCGTAATTAGAACGTAAAGTCATGTTGCCCGTATGGGGTACTTACAATCGAATTGGATGCGAGCAATGAGCCGGGACAAAACCGCTAGAATGTGAAGTTCAGTGTGTAACATTCGGGCTACTTAGCATATTCAATTGAACTCATTCGTCCTGCTCCGAAAGCAAAATCGTTGCGAAATCCGGTAGGGTCGGCGCCAGACTTTATGCCAAACTCTGAGCGCAAGAATCTTTCAGGATCAAATGAATCTGGGTTATCGAAATATTCTTCGTTGTGACAGATTCCCCCTAAGTAGAACAGTCCTCTAAGTCGCATGATACCCAAATTATTACATCGACACTCACATGTATTCATGAAGATCATGGATCCTTTGGGAATGACATATTCACCAACCTGTGGTTATCGTGAGCGAGTAAGAAAGCATAGCATTTTTTCGGACGTACCCGGACGTCAGCTGTAGATGCGTGAGGAACAGCAGCAGGTGTGACTGGTCGGAACCGGTGAACCTGGTACTATCAGTCAAGCCACACCCGCTGATTGCTCAAACACCTGCCTCGTTGATGACTGCTTTCAAGTACGGCAAGTTCTCCAGATCATCAAGTCCCAGCATCCTGTCTGCTCCCACTACTACGTCCATCTCCGCTTGGGCTCGCTTCAGGACATCAGGGTGAGCAGCGATACACGCCACGAGGAACCGCAGATAGACGGCAGTTGTGTATGAGCCTGCTTGGATGAGTGAGCCACCAAAGTACCTGATGCATCCGTTAGAATACGAAGCAAGCGATGAGTGTGTCCATAACATACACAAGCTCTTCCTGGTCCAGACTGTATTGCTCTTGATGATCTAGAAGAAATTCCATGAAGCAATCACTTCGTTTGTCATCCTTGATACGGTCGATACAAATTTGAACGGAGCCAGAATAGAGCTTGTGTTGCATATCATGCGCCTGTTTGCACAATGTTTTCCATGGAGCCCATCGCTCTGGTATATACTTCAAAACTGGAAGAATATCAATTGGCGGCATTCCACCAGGCCTCATTATGCGATTCGCTATGCCGATGGCAATCAGAAAATCTTGAATGAAGCTGTCGTTGAACTCCGGACAATGGATCCCAAAGACCACCGAAAAGACGACCGAAGCGGCATAACGGTAGATGTGAGTGTAAAATTGCTTATGATCGTGGGATTATCAGCCGTGCAGCCTGATAGTATCGCATCTCACACACCGTCGGTCGTGCCAAGAAATCGTACATAAGCTTCACAACCTCCGCGCGCTGGATAGGCAAGTGATTCATACAAGCATCTCGTGACAAGATATCGTGCGCTGCGCGACGCATATTCTTCCACATTGGGCCTATCGCAAGGTTCAACGATGTTTTAACAACCCACTGGAGATGGACACACCATATCGAGCTACAGCAAGCTCTTTATCTTCCCATATCAGCTTCGCTGCGTATACCGGAGGGCGATCAGAGGTCACCCCGCCATGCAAATCCATACATTCTCGGAGAAGTCTGGGATTAGAGATGACGACTGCAGTACCAGAAGCCATCTTGAGCTGATACAACATATAAGTTTTGAACATCAGAATCCGGGCGTGCTTGCACACTACAGACTATACGCACCGAATATATGTCGCCATAAACCCTCGCCCATTCAGTAAACCTACAAACTCGAAGTCAACAACATTCTGGATATCAAAACGAATAAGCAGACTTTTCATGAGCGCGCGTCTTTGGGAATATGTGTAGGTTGCCAAGGAGCGGTATCGTAGGGGGTCCTGGAGGCAGACCGCGTCCTCTTGATCCAAGCTTGCGTAATCGGTTGAAGACCCATGCGAGGAAGATCAAAGCTAGGCTAGAGTACAGGCTAAGCGTCATAGTAGCGATGATCACAGAAACCGTATACAATGGGAAAGGGGAAGTTCGGACTGGTTGAATAACGAAAGGGGTGATGGATATATAAGTGCCCTCCCTTGACATTCCGAGGGTTCCATAACACCTGGACATATAGACGAAAAGTGGCACGATTCCCGCCCAGCTAAGTAGTAGCGGAAATGACCTTATGTGCCGGCCTGAGAGCCGTGATTGATTTAAGGACTAGAAGAGAAAAGGTATTACCTATTGAAGTCAAACAGAGTGTCAGTATGCTCTAAGCGGTACTTATGAAGATTAAAGCATACATGATAAATACAATGAATTCCGCACGTCAGGGAAAGTTGGCGCGAAGCGAACGGGCAGCATCAAAAGCGGCAGTTATGAACATATAAAAGCATGACGCTTGCAGATGTCGTGTCATGAGTATGGAGGAAAACAGCAAGCATAATTCGCGTCCACCCTGGCACTAGCCAGGCTTAGGAAGGCAGACTTTCTGACCGTTTCGTGTTCAGGACTTACTAAGATCAATGTCAACTAGCCTCTGCTCGTAACTTCGTCACGGGCATGCAAGAGCACGCAAAATATCCTGTATATTCAAAAGGAGAAGATAAGGTCGAAGTTTTGCGATACAAGTCTCCAGTGAGCCACCCACTTTCGTACGCCGTACGTCTGAGGAAGTACAAACTTACACATGTAGTCGTCGCATAGGGTTTACCGCTAATAAGCAGAACATAGTAAGCCTCCTGTTGAAAAGTTGGTATAGCATAGCGGCATCAGCGCCGGCTAATACCAACAGAGCAGCATCAGCGCAAAGGGCAAAAAAATAGTGCAATCATGCCATCCAGTGGAATTCCTGAGAACATTCAAAAGGCATTCGTACTGATCGAAAGAAACGAAACTGTTTGGCAAGGATGGGCCCGGGTCTGCCTGTCGTTTCTGCGTTTAGCTGTAAGTATTTAATATCTAAGATTGTCTGTCCATTAATACTTACGTCTGCCGACCGGCGCTCTCAGTCCAGCCAATCAGAAGTGTCACCTAGTCTGGACGTGACCGAGCTCTTCGTGCTGTCCCACAAGTCTCATTGTATAATCGAACTTGAATCCACCATGGACTGGTTTGCTTGTCGCGTCTCGTAGATTGAAATACTTCATGTGAGCAATTACTGCATCTTTCTCCACCTTACGAGAGGTTTTGACACTAACAAGTACTCGTGCGTACAAGACGGATCCAGGCTTACCCAGGTATTTAGGCTACATGCATTCCTCTATGGTTAACTTACCTCATGATTCTGGGACCTTGCGTAATATACAGGCGACGGTCGCAACTTTCCATATACACATCCAGTTTTGTTATGTCAAGGAGCACGCTCTGTGACGAGAACCGGCTGTCGGACTTCCTTCATACTTTCGACAATTGCTGCAGACTACTACATGCCATAAGGTGTTCGCCCCACCGGTGTACCATTATGAAATGACCTCACGACGCGTTCCTCCGGCTCTCCTTGCAAACGGTATTCAATTCCACACAGTCATAGCAACGATGCTGTTAGCAGGCGCACCTTTTGCTTCAAAAGAGACGTCATACAATGTGGTTGAGCAATCGTGGGAGATGGTTTTACTGGATCACCAGTTTCATCCAGGATTATGTGGATGGTTCATGTGATATGTTCGTTCACGTTCAGCTGGCGCTTCTGAATCTACCGCTCCCTCACGTCGTTAATAATGGGTAGTTGGAAATTTCTGATGTGGATGCGGTCTAGTGCAAGCTAAACAATCCACTTGATCACCACGCGCTTTATTCACGCGATATAAAGGCGTATAGCAATGGTCTCGGTCCCTGTGGAGGATTGACTTTACCACCCGTCATTACTGCTTCATCGTCATCCCGACATGTCCAACCCTTTGATATTCCTCCTCGGTGCAACGGGCTACGTTGGCTCCGAATTTTTGATCCTTCTTGGTCAAGAGCTGTCTCATCTTCCCGTCGTTGCTCTCGTGCGTGCTCCAACAACGGAAAGACGCGCTCGGCTCCACGAGCTTCATTCCAATCTCTCCATTGTTGAAGGAACTCTCGAGGACGCCGCCATAATAGAAGAGCAGGCCGAGAAAGCAGACATTGTCATTAACGTTGCCAGTTGCGATCACGGTCTTTGTGCAAAAGGTAAACTTTCCAGTGATGTACTTGCAGATTGACATTGATGTATACTGATATTGCTGGATGACAGCCGTATTGGCAGGATTGGACAAACGATCGGTAAATAACCCTGAAGATCCGCCTCTGCTTCTCCACGTCTCTGGAACTGGGATCCTCAGCGACAACGCGCGCGGAGAAGTCATCGATAATGTTACGATCTACTCGGACCTTGATCTCGATTTGAAATCGCAAGTCTTGCTGTTGTGTCTGTCGTTATCATGTACTAACATTTATTTAAGACTTCCTGCCGATAATGCTCATCTTGAAATCGACCTCTCTGTGCGTCTTAAACTCGGGACGATGCTCAGGCCTTAATGCTGCCAACAGATCGTCGAAGCAGGCACTCGAAAGGAGAACCCGATTCGAACTGCCATCATATATCCTGTCATGGTCTGTGAAACTTAGTGATTAACAGTTGAGTAGAAACTAACATACCTCTAACCAAGATCTATGGCGTCGGGGAAGGCACGTATATATAGGATAGTCTGGACATCCCGCGTACTCATTGTTCTAAGCTCTCTAGGCGTCCAGAAAACCACTGCTTGGCTCCGTGCATTCCTGGAGTTCGCCAAATTGAATAAGCACGCGGGAACGTGGGGTCGGGGACTCAACTCGATCAACAACGTACATGTCAAAGACGTAGCATCGGCAATCTTCACAGTTCTCACGGCTGCCCTCGAGCACCGGGCTGATGAAGGCGCGCAAGGACTATGTATGGCATTCTTGAGGATATCCCAACATCATGCTGACACTCCTCAAATGTAGACTTCGCTGCCAGCGATGAACCGAAAGTATCGTGGTATGAATGGATGGCGCCAATGGGAGATGTGAGTTTTCCGCTTCCTATTTCTGACGTCTATGCCGCATGACGTTGACTGTGTAACGTAGTATCTCTACAGCAAAGGAATTGTTGCAAAAGCTGGCAGCCATCCATTCTCTGATGAGTTCATAGAATCCATCAAGGCAGATAACTGTACGTATATCGTGTTGATTGACACTTAAGCTTGTCCAACTCATTTTGTTGTAGTATCTCGTGGTATTCATTCCGATGGTTGGTCATTATTCGGTGGGAACCAGTTCTCAAAGCCCCAACGCCTGGCACGCTTGGGCTGGGAGCCTGTCGAGACGAAGAAACATCCCATGCTAAGCATTCTCAAGGAATCTGTTGACGCGGCTTTAGAATTCTGACCGACCCACAACGACTACGCTTTTCATAACTGTACAACATACTGCTGAAGATTTTAGCAAAAATTGTCGGATGTCTTTAACATGTCACGTGCTTCGTGTTCACCTGTCTGGCTCTATTCGAACACCCACGTGAGACATGATCAGAGAGCACGTGGCTTGGTACGCTGGCAGAATATTCCCAGTACGTTCATAACTGTTTGTCATTCAAGCGAGCATACTTCACAGGCTCGTAAGTAATATGTTCGGTCAGCAGAACAGCGATTCGAATATTTCTCTTTTCCAAGACAATACCGTCACCTCGCAAAGTAAGTGCACAGTTCTAATACATGTAGGTCTTTTGATCAGCCAATTCCTCATACGTTCATGCAATTGCCGCATCGTAAACAGTCTAGCCCCAGGTTCATAACATTCCTCTAGATGCACTCGTTCGCATCTTCGCATTTTCGGGAGAAGGTGGTTTCGATTGGACATCTTTACCAACAGAGATAGATCCGGCCAGGTTATCTGAAGCGGCGATATTGCACCAAGGAAGTTGATGCACCCTTTATTCATCTTGACGCATGTGAAGACGTGTGAGAAGCCTCTTTCCCATAGCAGCTTGAAGTTGGTTACAAGACCTGCGCTAGTGCATTTCCGATCCAATGCACACCTCACGCTCTTCCCATGTGTTGATAAAGTTTTCAAAACAATGGCATAAAATCATGTTTGTCGTCCTGTGAAAACAGTCTGGTGAGTGTTCTTGTATGATGCTTGCTAGATAGGTATGTGTCTCCATATATCGATGAAACGTAGGCTGGCTAGCGTACGGATTCGTCAGAGCCATGCCAAGATATACAGCGAAGGTCCTCTGTTTGAAGGTTGATGATGCTGAAGAGTCTATGCTGCGGAAGCTTTTAGAAACAGCTTCCCAGACGGTAGCATCAAGTGCTTCCATAAAGACCCGCCTCCCCGCTGGACTCTGGTCAAAATGGCATCCATCTTTTCGGGCCTCGTGCAACTGTATAGGCCGGACCTCGATGATCTTGCTGGAAAACGTCAGATACCCCATATTATCCATGTGTCCCCCTTTCGGTCCTTCTCTCACAGACCAAAGCCTCAAGAACTCATCATCCACCACCTTAGCTAGCTCTTTTAACTCGCCTGCAACCCTCACTCTTGCCTTTCCGTCCACTTTTGTCTCGGGAAACATTGGAAACGTCGACAGTCGCTTTTCGGGCGGAACCTGCAGGGATGCTACCAGCCAACTCGCGTTACCTCCTTTACGTAGGATCTCCTGCGCTAGTGCGATTGTGACACCCAGCCGGTCATTGGGATCAGGAAACGCATTGGGATCAAGAGAGACGTCGAAGAGACCCATGATGGAGAAGACCATATCGACAGGTCTAGAAGATACACGCATGAGAGCGCTACGCCATATCGCCTGCGGGGTGACGGGGTCGGCATCGCGCCCCCACAACACTCCAAGTAACGCGAGCACATGACTCGGTTCGCGGCCAAAGAGTATTGGTTCCATTTTGATGCGCACCTGCGTCGGTTGCGAATCGTTGTCCGTCTCATCGTCGTCCCGAACAAAGTAAGTCTGACCGCCCATGACGCCGCCTAAGTAAGGCAGACAGAGGTCTATCACATCCGCCATCGCAGACTCACCGCGAATGACAACCTCCAAGTCGCCATGCGCTACAGGACCGTGGAACCAACCATCGCCATTTTCCCACTTGAAGAGTGCCATTGCGTCGTCAGGTGCCATCACCTCCTGCAGAGTCCACGCCCGCTGAATCCATTCCGTTTCTTCGCTGAGCCCAACGAGGCGGCCTATTCCGCCAGGCAAGACCAAGCACAGCGCGCATTCCTTATAGATTTTGTACATACTCCGGATCTGCCACATCTTATCGTTCCTGCTGGTTTGAATGATACAAAGCCTATCAACCCAGAGATAATGCACCTTTTTCTTAAGAGATGCGATGCATGCGTGAAAGAGTACATCTAAACTCATCGGATCGCCATCCTCCGCTCCCTTGACGTTGAACGCACCGCGAGAGCCTTCTGTGCCGTCAATGGGTTTTCCTCGCCAAATATACGAGATGGCGCAGTATTGCTTTGCAGGGAGCTCATCGAATTCGCATATAGTAAGCATCTCGTTTTCGATGTACTGGTCGCAGTGGATTAGCCGATATTTGCACAATGAGGCTCCATGGTCGAGGATGTTGAGGGATTCGCCGGGCAAGGATAGCAAAGGTATTCTGCATACAGGTCTGGATGCAGTAGCGGCCTGCATCGTTAGCCTGGGATGTAGTGGTATAAACAACTGGAGTTATAGAAGCGCTAGCTGGACATTCTTTGCATAACCACTTACTAGGAAGGTAGCGGTAATTGTAAGTAGCAGAATTTGTGCAGCCCTCTTCAGTTCGGTTCGCTTTCGACAACTACAGATATGCACAGCTGGTCGCAACGACGCGAATGCAGTGAAACAGCGAGGATGTCGATGCAAAATGGTCATCATCTAATTGAGACTTATATCTCCTCTCAACCAACCTCAGCATGTCGTTCTCCCGGGAGCAGCAAAACTTATTCAACCATCTATAGGGAGATGAAGTCTGCTCTATACTCTGTACACAGATCTAAGGGGATTATTATACAAGATCGTACGATGAATGGCCAAAATGCCGGGAATAAATACAGAGAACGAAAACAGATACGCAACATATAGATACCACGTACAAGCTTGGTCGGATAGATCATAGCACAGAAAGCATACGGTCGGAACGGCGTTTGCGGGGGGGGGGGCGCAGGGTAACATATGCCTGCTTAATATGTCTCGAGAGGAATGGGACAGACAATCAATGGAAATGATGAGATGCATCTCGAGGTCCGTCAATAACCACCGATTGCTTGTTCCATACTGGAACAGACAAGGAAAGACTGGAAGAGAAGTCGAATAAGACGACAGCGTTGCCAAAACCCGCCGTACAATGTGATGTGCCCCCCACGACAGGCGACACCCTCGTGAAATGTAATCGCGGGATCATCTCCCAGCCCGAACGGCGTCGAGGACTCGAAGGAACCATGCCACCATTCGCATTGGTCTTGCCTCTTGCTTGTGATGATGAGAGTGAAGGGGATCGATCCCTCAAGGTCGACATAAGAGAAGCTTCCAACTTAGAATCCGACGGGTTAAAAGTCCATAGTTCCCATCGTTCCAAATCTGACGGTGTTAATCCAGACAACCCTTGGGTTCGCAGTATTACTTTTGGAGGGGTATCTTTGGTAGAGCGTCCCTTTGGTCTCACAAAAGACGGTCGTGGTTTTCGTCTAAGTCCTACGATTTTGTGGCCTGAGTTGGACTTGATGACGTCCCAACCTCCACGTTCACACGTTGTGTCCGCTATACGCACTACCACGAGATTCTGCCATAATGATGATCGAAGATCTGACGATAGGAAGATTGAGGATGGGTTGGCGTCTTGAGGTCCAATCGGTTGGTCAGACTCGTCTTGATCAGACGCGACGAAAGTGTCTAAATTCCGTCTGAACAGCTCTTTATCGGATGATCTTCGCGAATGGACACCATGAGCGGACACCGGAAACATGGGCGTTTCGAAGTTTGGAGTTGCAGAAGATATCGATGGCATTCGAGAACGTGGATGAGTTGGTGTCATAATGCCACTTGTCGAAGCAGCACTCCCGCTGCGAGATCGTCGACCCAACACACTGGACCGTAGCTGGGGCTTTGGTTGGTTATGTACGCAGGAACATCGACGAGTAGGAATGGATAAGTAAGCCCGATAAAAGAGGACGAGTTGGCCAGTGGATAATGTTAGGAGGAAGTTCTCGAATGGATATTCCCCACATGTCGAACAGATCTTAGTGGGTGAAGGAACAAGTCGTAAGCTGGATATATCTCCGAAAGGTTCGTCCAAGATGTAAATGCACTCCGCGGTTCGACCGTCCCAGATTGATACGACACCTGCATGAGTGGAGGCAGCGATGATGACTCGAGATTCCCCTTCCAATTCCACTTTGCATATTTGAAGCTTATTGACCAAATCTGATGGATTTCCCGCTATAATGCAGAGATCGCGATGTAGTAGATCATCTGGACGTTCGGCATCTACGATCTCCAAAGACCCGTCTTCCAAAGCAAATCCAACAATGAGCCGATCGTCACCGTGCACACTCTCCAAAATTGCCTTCATCACTGATGCCGAACGATAGGGAAGGACATAACCAGGTACCGCGAACGAGGTAACAGTCCACTTGATGACTGTGCCATTCTCGTACGTAGCGTATATACTGCCCGGCGAGGGGGGGTGCGCACATGATGAGGTAGATAAGGAATATGTTGGTGATGACTGCCCGGAATCTACCGCTGTAGTGGATGCGAAGCGGATGTTGGTCACGGCTGAGACATTGGTGTCAACAGATAGACGTTGCAAGGACTTGACGCCGTCTTTGGAGATGCACCATAGGGCTATAATCCCAGTTCCACTGCCGACAGCACAGAATGCGCCCTTATCATCAACTGCAAGGGCGGTAAGAGTCGACGCTGCAGAAGCGAGGCTACCGCTGCTCCCTAAGACGACATCAGACGTATCGATCGTGGTAATCGTGACGTTATGTTTCTCCTTTCTCCACAACACCAACTCGTTCTGCAGTCCAACTGCAATCACGATGCTGCCGTCTTGATTCGAAGCTACGAGATCGATATCAGTCGGGAATGCACGAGGCAGGGTACTGAAAGAGACGGGCATTTTGACAGGCGGCGTAGTTTCCTCTTTGACGACCGGTTCATTGGCCTCTGCGCGATTCCTCTGAGCTTCCAACAGTTCTGCATCCTTCAGAAGGTATAAAAGAAGACCGTATAGGGCGACGAGTGTGAAAATCATCGGGAAGACGACGATCTTGACGAACCATGCGACCGGACGCATCATGCGCGCAAAGAGCAACGAAAGTCCCGATCGCTTGCTTCTGTCGTACTCCTTGATCGGAGCCCTATCAAGAACGGACGGTTGGTCAATGCCGGTGTGGTCTGCAGGGTTGAGGATCAGAATAGCGGGAGACTCCATGCGAATATGCACCAGGTCGTCTCCTAGCGGATTGAGGACTTGCCAGACATTGTATGCGGGTGATGTAGAATCCGGTATGGAAAGGTTATGATTCTGTAGTTTAACCTTGCGAGAAGACATGCCCCGGATATCGGCTTTGATTCGTACAGGGCCAGGCAGGGTGGCATAGTATAGTGTTGCAGTTATCGCAAGTAGCTGTGTCTGCGGTAAGCCAAATGGTTGTGCAACGAACGTGATTCACATACAACGAAAAGACTGATGTTCTTTGCCGGACGGCCCCGGATAGTCGCCTTGAACTTGGCCCATCTCGTTCGGGGTATTTCCATGGTAGTCTGCGAAATGCCATCGACGGCATGAGGCGAGGCGTTACTACCCTGTTGAAGTAGTTCGTCAAGCTGAAGACAGGTCAGTAAGGCACCATCACGAATATGGAAGAACGCAAGGATGACGTCCTCACCTCTAGTCGCTGAATATCAATAGATAGGACAGTCACGAAGAATGTATGAACGAGAAACCAATGAGCCACGAGTACCACGATCGCGAAAGCGCAGAACTGTTGAATAGCACCACTTGAAAGACCGGCAATAACACCAAGAATGGTATTGTATGAAAATAGCTTCAAGCTATTTGAAGTGCCCGCACGGCTCAAACCTTCAGCTACTCGGAGCTTCACGGGGAGTGCAATAGATGTTTTCACGACGGCGTCAACCTGTAAAACATAAGAGTTTAGCTAGAGACGAAAGGCTCAACAGGTGTATCGGCAGTAACTTACAATGCTGAACATGTTCTCCACGCCAATGAAGATAACAACAATTGGAAATATTTCCCTTAATCATCCATATCAGAACACGTAGGTAGAATGGCGAACTTGAGTGGAATTACCATGGGACCATTGTCAATTTGAATCCGGCGAGGGCACAGACGCTGACACTTGTCAGGGTACTGACGACAATTTCAACGATACCAGTGAAGGCGAGACCGATTCGAGAATGCACCTTGTCCATGCGTCGCATTGATCGATAGAAGTATACTACAAAAGCAAAGTATGCAGCATAGGAGAAGAGTGATAGAATAGACGTCCGCGAGCGTGAGTTCACTTTGTACTAATGAATGGAAGATAAAGTCAATTGAAGGATACAGCATCCAAAGGCATACGTACATCCAATGCAATCAAGGTTGGTACGCGAGCTTGGAGAACGAGTTCTCCCTTTGAGGATGCGGCATCTTCCAGTGCATGAAGCCAGGCAAAATGGCCGACATTACCAAGGCAGTCGGTGTCAGGAAAGAAGTAGGACAATACAAGAAACATAGCGGAATTAACGTCTCGTCCTGGTTCGTCACTTGTTTCTTGTCCCGCCAATACCATTTCAGGCTCTATAGAAATGCCTGAGCTGGTTACATTCCGGGTGGAGCTTATGGTATCCAGGATGTTGGTATCGCTCATCAAGAGTTCGGGGTCATGATTCCAATAGGCTAGTGGACTGATAGACAAGCAAGCGCCATCTCGACCACGCAAACATGGTATATTCCTTGTGGCCAGAACGTCGGAGATCCTACTCTCCAGTTCGAGAGTCGCAAATAGGGTATCCTTATTGAGCGCACTGGAGGGACCGTCATGGAATGGACTGTGCACCAAGACCCGCTCCAGACGAAGAAGACCTTCTACACCACATCGAGCTCGAGCCACGTAATCCTCGCGGACATGAAGGTCGTCATGTCCCTCCCAGATACTTCGAGTGTCTTGCTGTGAAAAATAACTTGAGATATCGTCCGGGGTAAGGAAAGAGTCGAGTGCATGCAACCTAAGAGCAAAGTTGTGAATCTGAGAAGGGAAGTACAGATGTATCGCAGGAAAGAGCAGGGATGTTATGACGACTGCAGAAATCAGAATCACGCGGATTTGATGTGTCGCACAATGTCTGGAAGTGTATGTATCAGAACACAAAAGGAAGCTAAATAGTACGGAGTATCCTCACATGCCAAAGAGGTGAAACCAACGCTGCCCATAGAAGCGAATACGTTGTAATAGAGATTCCGGTACTGTTAACATTCTGTGCTTCAGAATAGTCAGGCGAAGGGTGTCCGACTTGGAAGCATGAGTTGACGGCACAAGCTGGAGTACGCGAAGACATTAGGTGACGAAGCAATCTTGGAGAACTATCCCCTACTTTCTTCGTCTAACCAGCGATATCACCCAGCCTAGTCGCGCAGATCTTCCCTCTCGTCACAAGTCCGCCAAAGCCGAAGAGAGCGGTGGTGGAATGAACTTCAATGAAGAGTTGAAGACTCCATCATCTAGCTGCGGGTAAATGGATGTGACAGTCACGGTGATGCGTGACGCCTGTGACAGTACTTGCGGGGAAAGGCGGTTGGTGTGTAGCGTTGAACTTTACTTGCATGTCGTTCTTGCTGTTGGCCAAAAGAAATGCATACTTTTTGCGTCGTCGACCTCATATAGCTCACCGATACTATGCTACCGAAGTATTAATAAACGCTGGCATTAAACCTACGCCTTTTGGACAACCTTTATATCCTTCACATCCCCACCTACGTCAGTCATCAAACATGTGTTACGTGCAAACTCTGCTAAACAAACCTGTCGTTATGTAGTCCAACCAGGGGAGACTACGCCAGGAATACCTGAAGAGGAATATGAACGTCGGCGAAGGGCATTGATGGACAGCCTTCCGGACGACAGTTTGGTGGTTTCAGTGGCTGGCCAAGTGAAATATATGAGCGGTCGTAAGTCGGAGTTATCCATGTACAATTGTATCAGTTTCATTAGAACACGGAAATGCAGAAATATTGTATGTGGCTCTCATCTTTTTACGCTGCGGGTAATGACCGGAATACAGCTACAAATTTCGTCAAGCATCAGATTTCTGGTACCTCACTGGCTTCGAAGAACCAGATTCTGCTGTTGTCCTTGAGAAGAATTCCTCAACCAGGGGGTATCGCATGACTTTATTCTCCTCGGGCAAAGACTCCGCGAAAGAGCAGTGGGAGGGCGCGAAAACATCTTTCCAAGATATCATGACCAACTTCAAAGCGGACGATGCCCAGCACATATCTTCGTTCGCCTCCGCACTAAAGTCGCTCGCATCTAGCTTCTCGAATGTGTATTTGGACATTCCACAGACATCTGTAACTGCGAAGCGGAACCGTATATTCCAGAAGACTATATTGAAGGTAATATTGCTGTTCATAGCGTGTATTTGAAGGCTGATTAACTTCACGCGCGCAGTACCTATCTGCAGAGGGGTTTAACAACAAGGTGGATTACGAAAGCCTGATTGACTCGATAAGTAGTTCAAAACGAAAATCGCTTTTTCCCGAAGTCTCGAAGCTGAGAGCAGTCAAAAGCAAGGTAGAACAGAAGGTGATGCGAGCCGCTGCAGATATTAGTGGTCGTGCGCATGCCAAGGTGGTCTATTTTTGTTTTGTTTTTCTTGGAAATTTCCACTTACGTTTCTGGTTGCAGGTCATGCGTTTCACTGAGCCAGGACAGTCAGAACATGCAATAGCCTCTCATTTCGAATATCTTTGCACAGTGAATGGCGCACAGCGCCTAGCTTACGTTCCCGTAGTTGCCTCTGGGTAAGTGTTGTGGGGTTTACTTGTGGCATGACGTCATAATACTTTCTTTCTTACAGGCCTAATTCACTAATTATTCACTATACCTCCAATAATCAACTCGTTGAAGATGGCGAAATGGTGCTTATAGATGCAGCTTGCGAGTATAAGTGCGTTGTGAACTTTACACGATTTGGCATCGCTCAATGTGACAGCCTGTCTCAGAACACCGCGCTGATCATGACTGTTTTTCTGCCAGCGGTTACGCCTCAGATATTAGTAAACACATTTCCACCCTCTCATGGAGCGTATTCTGACTAGCACTCTTCTTAGCGCGCACGTATCCCGTCTCTGGGAAATTTTCGTCCTCACAAGCGGAACTCTATGGCGCAGTTCTAGCAGCACAAAAGTACCTTATTACCCTTTGCTCAGAATCCTCCAACATTTCTCTCGCACAGCTCCATCGGGAGTCATGCCATGTCATTCGCAAGGAGCTGAATCGGATTGGGTTCGACCTTCAGGGTATGACGGGTACAAGCGACGTGGAAGCCGTGCTTTACCCTCATTATGTTGGACATCCTATTGGCATCGGTATGCCCTTTATTCTCTTCCGTCAGCGTGAAACAGAAACGAGAGTTTACGTCTTGACAGACCTTCACGAGTCGAGCGAGCAGTATCGCAGTCGACCGTATGTCGTTTTCGTTTCAGCATTAATGCCGCTTAACATACTAACATACTTGAATAATCAGGTTACAAGAAGGAATGGTCGTGACAGTGGAACCAGGTGTCTATGTACCGCCTTCGCCCAGTTTCCCTACCCACTTCCATAACATGGGGATTCGGATAGAGGTTTGCTCCGTTCACGTCGTTTGTACCCTTGCAAAGTCTCATTGTGATGTACAGGATGAGGTCCTGGTTGGTAAGAACCACCCGACGATCTTAAGTGTGAACGCACCGAAGGAGGTATGTATTCGGATCAAGACGTTTTGCATTTCCAGGCTGATTTTGGTGGTGTGCACAGATCGCTGATGTCGAGGGTGCATGTCAAGGATTACTAGGTCTCGAACCTCTCTAGCATGCATGTACTGCGACTCTCGTGCGTTATAAGCCGAACGACATTGTGTAGCGTATTACAAATTGCAACATCGTGATATCGCGACCGCCATACTGTTGTTTGGGGAACTAGAAATCTTCTCCAGATGACAACGTAAATTGATGTTCATTTGTTCAACGGGTGCGCGCAGCGACAGAGTTCAGAGTTCAACCACGGACACGCTCGGCTCCTAAGTTGCGTTGAATGCTTTTAGACTGTATATCGGCTGGCCTTAGTGCGTGTCAAACATATTGTCGGCCCTCTCATCCAAACGTCGATCTTAAGGGCAGCATAAATGAAATTACACTACTCAATAGAAATACAGAAACCTCCACAAGCATGATTATCGTTCAAACAAGATGGAGGTGCGGTGGTAGGGTATAGCGGCGAGAACAGCACAGCAAAAGAGCGAATGACATAGGTACAAAAGAGATGCACATGGGACACAATCAATGGGGGGTATCAGGATGCGCCTTCTCCCCATATGGCCATTCGAACTTGAACCCCTGCTCCTCCAGCCAATCGCTGTACTGCCAGTAGTAGCACTGTAGCCAGTACTTGGATCTCGACACGGCTTCCTCCATGGGTATCTTCCAATTCTCGTGGATGTAGTTCGCCAGCTTCTGCGTAGTATCTGCCTTACGCAAAGGGACCAAACTACCCGAAAACATGACGCTGGCTGCAGTGTGACAGTCCAGTGGACAAGCGTTGCTATGTCAAATCGAGAAGTTGCTTACCTGGGATCCATATGTCGAGGAGGTAGCATGCACGATAGATCTCGTCACATTTGCACAGCTCCGGACTGAGCTGAAAGGTTTTCGGTACAATTTCGTACTCCCTTTCGCATTCGTGCTTCTCAGCGCAGTCGAAGTCGATGATCAGATGTCTACCATCGTGATTTGACTTAATGACATGCCAAAGGTCAAAATCGCAATGTTTAACGCCGACTTCGTGGATCATTAGAATGGCGTCTTTGACCTGCATTCTAACGGATATATAACATGAGCATGATCCTCACGAGGATGTAAGGAAAAGGTACGAACTTTGCTTCCCAGGGTAACTCACTAAGACTGTCGGCGTCGGCGAGCTCACCATGTTCGATGAGCATGCATGTTAGGTTATAAGGCTTTCCAAAAGCTCGAAAAGTGCCTTGGAACGCGCCATAGAAACGCGGAACATGTAAGCCCTGCAACCAGTAAAGCTCTCGCGTGTAAAATCCGGCCTCCTTTCTCAATCCGCTCGCGACCTCACGGCCAAAAGTCATCTTGCAGACAATCTTGGGTTCATATTTGTAGGAAGGCTTGTCGTCACGCGTGAGCGTGAGCTGACCCGTCCAAACGTCGCACATAGAATCCATCCGGTGAGTTTCGAAGGCCCGTTGGATGCAGGTTTGCGCAGTGTACAGGAAATTGAACTTCTCCCAGTGAACGAAGGACGGATTTGCGAAACATTCTAGTGTTTGTACTTCGTCAGAGTACTCAGGAAGCGAGAATTGTAGCGTTAGCATGTCGGTACGATGATAGTGTGCATGCGCCACAAAGTTGAGAATGATGACAAGCGCTCGACAGCTCCCTTGGCTCGAAAAGGCAGTTATATAGTAACTTCAACTCATCGAAAGCTACTTCTTTATGTACTCGCATCTGCAACCGACAATCACCGTTACAAAGCTCCATGACTCTCGAAGAACAATAGACAAGTATCTATCCCCTTATGCAACAATAAGGCTCATTCCATCATGGGAATGTTCTGCAGTACTCTACCCCTCATCGTGATACTATGACACCTCGTGGCACATTTCTTCACCTTCTTGGCATGATAGCTCATCATCAATCATTCTACATAGATGCATGAACAATAGACCCAAGATCAAGTATGGCTATTGATATCATGGGCCCTTTTGCTCCACTTCTCTCCACCGTCAACCGACTTAGCGAGAAGGATGCAAGAGAACAGGAAACAATGTGATGTAGCCCGGAATTCGACAACAAAAGGTAGCGAATTGAAAGTGAAGAGCCCACTATTCTGCATTTTGCTGTCAAATCACTGTTTCCTTATACCCTATATGAAGTGGTCTCATCTGGGTACGAGACCAATATGGAGGCAACTTTGCCAGATCAAATTTAGACTGTGTTCAAACATTGCACCTACCGGTTTGCATACTCACAGTTAGGTCCGTTACTTTCATCTAACACAATGACTGGCATGCATTACAAACTCTATCATGCTATTCTCCTCACTACCAGCAGCGTTCAAGACGACAGGCTTCCACTCCATCACCAACATCATATAACAAGAATACCCACCTGACATGACGATACATGTGTGTCATGTATTCGCGTGGGAGTCCAACACAGTGATGCCGATTATGAAGAAACAAGAACAATGAGTTTACATCACTCCTCTCTATTGTGCAGTGTGCGACATTGATGTTCTCATCCGGAATATGAAAACAATAAGTTCTCACCATCCAATCGCTGCTATGATAATCCAGATCCACATGGTGACCTTGGGGCCGCTTCCTAGGCGGGTTTCGAGGGCGGTATAAAGTGAGGGCCATAGTGCATTGGCATCCAGCAAGAGCCCACTTCCCTCAACGATCTACGAACTCGATTACACAATGCGACGTGGTCAGGATCCTTCTCCTGCGACTCCGACACGGAAGGTGCTTGCCGACAGTGATGACGATCCTGACGCAACTCCAGTGCCCCGCCGTGTGCTTCGTCCTTCCACCAAACGTGCACCACCTGTACAGACTTCTCGTTCTGGGCGTGTAGTCTCGTCCTCTGCCACGACGACAAAGGCTGTACTTCCTACCGCTGAAATGCAGGTTTCTGTGAGTCTATGCATGCCCAAGGTGTTTATCTTCGCACTCATATTCATCTCAATGTCAAGGATTTGCCCGAGTTATCGAAGCCCAATGGCGAAATCAAAACTATATATGACCTCCTGTACACTCAGCTTCCTCAAGCGCCTCGTATCTACAAGAAAGGGTTACTTAGGAGTACGAGAGACGTCAGTAAGGCCGACAGCGAGCTGTCCAGGAACGCTTCGACGTTCGAGCAATTGGTGTACGCTCCTGACATGCTAGCCCCTTTGATTTCTGCAGCGCAGGATCGTCTGCGCGAGAAGATCATTGATTGGTCCCACGAGGATACTCGAAGCCTCGTTGTCCACCTTCATCCATATCATACCACAAGAAAGCTTCCTCCGGTTCTCTTCAGTGAAAAAGACACGGAGAGGTGGTTCATGGAAGTAATTCTACAACCCGCGTTAGCCTTGCTGCGTGCCGATGTCCATCCATATAATCAAGAATATATGACAGAGTCCGAGGAGCACCCATATGTTGCATCCTGCCCTCACGATACTAGCTCAGTTTCCGACTTCATCTTTGTTTCTGACGAGCCCGAGAAGGAGACGTATACCGTCGCTGCTACGCTGGAGATCAAGGTTCATAGCATCTGGGGCAAGGCTTTCTACAGGAGTAACGACGATGATTTGTTCCTTCCTTTACAAAACGGCAAGTCCGGTTCCACTATGGCATTCAGATGGCCGCAGTATAGCGGTGCTCTGAAGAACGACCATCGAACGAGGCTACTAGTTCAAGTAAGTCTCCTTGCTCAATTTCTACGCAATTCTATAACTGGACACTCTTCAATCGTAGGTCTGGGCTCAGATGGTCCGCCACGACACAGACATGGCAATGCTCTCATCTTACGCTGGCACCATGTTCTTTTATCGTGACCGCGAGAGCCACACATTGTATTTCTCGAATACTTTCACAAATCGGGATGCTGTGATCTTCGCAACCTATGCTTGGCTTTTAGAGGCGTTCAAACGACAGGATAGAGACTACTGTTTATCCAACCCCTTAGATTTGCCGGAGCCTAGCACGGAGCATTGGCGTCCGAGGACCAAAGGTGAAATGAGAGCCGAATTCCAAGGCGTACTACCATGGTATGTCGGTTGTTTACACTCTCATCATAGTGAAGATGCTAGCTCATTACAAATGTGATCAGGACGATTCCCCCTGCGATAGACCCTTCGTTAACCACGATTACTTCCAAGAATGCACGGGCTCTCAACGATAGGCAGCCAGGGCCGTTCCTAGTCCCGGAGTAATGTCAAGGTGTAGAATTCTTTGTCTTATAAGTCCACTGTTTTAAGAATGTCCTGTATGACCAGTTGTTCTGATTCCTGTCTTTTCTGTTACGTGTATGTAGTTAGTAAAATGTCCTCTCCAGGTAGAGCCGTATTCAAATGAGCAAATTTCCAGTCACACGAGGCGATAGAGCCATCATAGGATTGTCGAGCGGGATCCCGGAGCAGTAAACTGCGCTGATGGCTCAAGCTACAGCAGGAAAGGAAAGGAAACACCACTTAGCCATTTGTTCGCGTATCATCTTATGATTGCAACGTAAACCAGAAGCCAGCCCGTCATTACAATGACTCGCATCGTATGAGTTGCACAGAAAAACCAGCATCGGCTCGCTTCCAGCCTCCAGGTAGTGTGGATTCACAACTTCGGAGCACACTATAGTTATTCACGAGAACCTTCTAGAAGGCCTTCCGGTAATGCAATCGTACTCGCAGCGTCCGTCATTGGGACTACGTAGATGGCGTCATATATTTGAGAACCATCTGCCAGTATCTAGTATGTCCCCACTGTACATATCCACTTCGAGGCGCTAAGACGTTCTCTTGCAGGCACTGCGTACATCCAATCAATCCTCCAGGGTACAGGAGATATTGATTTGCGGCGCTGACCACATTTATCAGCACCTCAGACTTGGTATAAGAATCAAACCACCTTGACTTTGTGTAGTCCAGTCATAACAAGTCCAACTGCGATTTTCTGGTCATTATGACGATTCCTACTATCTTTCTCTTAGGTGCTACAGGTTACGTTGGAGGCGAGTTCCTCATCTTGTTAGGGCGGAAGCTGCCTCAATTGCCTGTTCTTGCCCTCGTACGTCACCCAACTGCCGAAAAGATCACCAAGCTGCACTCTATGCATGCAAATGTGTCTGTAGTCGAAGGATCTTTAGATGATCTGGAGATCGTGAAGGACCAAGCTGCAAAAGCGGATATCGTGATCAACATTGCAAGCGGCGGCCATTCTCTGTCTTCACAAGGTCAGTCCACTGCCTCTTGGATAGGTTCTAATCTAAAAAATCCTGTAGCTATCCTCGAGGGCATGACAGAACACTCTGCCCGCAAGCCCGGAGAGCCGCCTCTGCTTATTCACATCTCTGGTCTTGCTGTTCTGAGTGACGACGCCCGAGGGGAACTAGTCAAGGACGTGAAGGTCTGGTCGGACATTGGGTTCAATCTCAAATCGTGCCTAGCTCTCTGCTTCCAACTGTTGATTGCAGTCATTGACGATGGGCTAGGGTACCTCCCGATAATGTGCATCTCGATGTGGATATACCCGTATGTGCATGAGCTATGGCATATTTTCTCAATCTCACGATAACTTAGATTGTTGAAGCCGGCACCCGCAAAGACAACCCAATCCGCACTATCATTTTATTTCCGGGACTTGTAAGTCTGCAGACCACCCGTGTCGCATTTATGAACTGAGCGCTTCTTTTTTCTACAGATATATGGTGTAGGACAAGGTGAAAGAGTTTCATGATTCCGCACTACTTTCCGTTTACGAGCTGCTTTCTTTTCTGCCAAGGCGTACAGAGAACTACGGTTTGGATTCGCACGCAGCTCAAGCTCGCCAGAGACGCGGGATATGCTGGGACATGGGGCCCTGGATATAATGCTATGAGCCACGTCCACGTGAAGGACGTAGCCTCCGCTATACTTGTCATCCTCAAGGCTGCATTGGAGCATAAGGCCGACGAAGGTGCAGAGGGTTTGTGTACGTATCTGTGTAAGTGGGCTGAAGAATGCTGGCCTCAATTACTTGTTTGCAGACTTCGTCGCGAGTGACGCACCAAAGGTGACAAAGCGCGAGTGCCAGGCTGTCATAGGTGATGTGAGAATCCATTTCTAACATGCATACGCGGTGGCGAATATCTGCTTATGCCTTCCTCTCAGTACCTGTTTAGCAAGGGTATCATCAAACAGCCCGGCTCTCAGCCTTTCACTAAAGAGTTTATTACGTCACTCGCATCCACGGATCGTGCGTGCCATGTCTGCACACTTATTATGATTGATACTGATCATATTCTTTGTAGATTCCAGCGACATATCGCACCTTGGATGGCGTACGTTTGGAGGGAACCAACTTGCGAAGTCCGAGCGTCTCGCAAAACTTGGTTGGGTACCTGTGGAGACGTTCAAACACCCTATTCTCGATACTCTTTTTGAATCTCTGGATGCTGCTCTATAATCACTCGTGTACATGTGACAAACTGCATGGATGTAATTCTAACTGTATGCTACTTGTCGATAGTTCGCAATGATGGATAGCATTGCTTGAGATGCTACGTGTTCATCACGTCATATATCTACTTAATTTATGTGCTCATCGCCAACTTCGAAAGAGGAAGAATTGAACTACATAGCATGGGGTTGGAGCAGTACCGAGCAGACTGAAATGCGTGAAACGGTGCACTTGCCAAGCAAAAGGAACGACTGTTTTCTGAAAGTGTCGGCGAATCTTCGATCGCTCGTAAGTCAATAATTGCAAGCCGAATAGGTTACTTACCAAGCCCTCCGATGTGAGTGGGTCAGGGCGAACTGGTGAGCAGAAACAGAAACAAAGAGGAATAGATAAATAAGCACACACTACATTGTTACTACCGCCCATATCATTGGTTTCCTCCGCAAGCCCGCGCCCCTCAGGGAGATTTCTTTGCCCTCACATATCGAATACAAAATCAATCCAACAATGAGGACGATTCGTGTGGAGACAAAAGTTTCAGTAAGACTGAATGAAGGATGTTGGATGATGAAGTGATATAGCAAGCATTCTGGATATCTTCCGATGAGTCCGTGTATCGTGTACGACTAGCGAGAAGCAGAGTAGATAAGAAACACAAAATGAGGTACGCTTCCGGCAGAATGTCCATCATAAGTAGCCAACATAATATTTCAATGCAAAAGAAGCTGACGGTTTTGTGCAACCATTTCTCGCAAGTCCCCAGCTAGCAACTCCGGAACTTCGAGGGCAGCGAAATGTCCACACATGTCTCCTCACAAACACGAGGTTCGGGCTCGTCGCCTTTAACCAAGGGAGAGGGTTGATGAATATATCGTAGGGAAATTGAGATAGTCCATAAGGCTTCGTAATAACATGCTTTTGGCCGAAGATTGCGTTCTCCTTGTAGGGTAGATTCGAAGTGGGAAATGAACCCGATAGGTAGTAGAGCGAAATGATGGCAAGCATGTCGTGAATCCGATCTGGGAAAATCTCGGGGTCGACATGTTCTTTGTACTTTTCCCCTATCCAAGCTAATAATCCAACTGGGGAATCATACAGTGCATAGCCAATCGTGAGAGGTCGCGTCTGGTTCTCTAACAGATACCCCAGGCCGGTTTTGACGAAATGTACACTGCGGGAGAGGTCTCGCAACTCCTCCTCACTGTAAATGTGACGGTACAGCCATTGACGCCACGAAGTAGGTAAGAGGAAGAATGGCAACGTGAGCAGGGCTCCGATCGTGGGCGGTCCATTGAGCATGTTCAAATTAATGAGTTTGCAAGCGGGAAACGCGTCCGAGCCCAAGATACGCGTGACGAACGAACCCCAATCTCCGCCTTGAGCCATGTAGGATGAATGGCCTAGGACCCCAGTCATGAGGTGGTCAAAGATTCGGGCATTATCTCCCATAGTCCATCCTTGCTTGATTGGTGGGGATGAAAACCCAAAACCAGGAAGGGAGGGAATTACCACGTGAAACGCGGGCTCATCGGCAGGAGGGTTGGTCAAGAGTTCGATAATGCGATGGAACTCCCAGAACGAGCCTGAAAGTGGACAACGTATGAGTCAACCATTATTCAAACTTGGAACAGGTTACTTACCAGGCCAGCCATGCGAAAGTAAGATAGGGACAGCGTCCGCACGAGGAGACCTCTGGTATATGAAATGCAAGTTTACACCCTCGATCGGCACATGGAAATGCTCGAAAGCATTCATGTCTTTTTCGACCTCCTTCCAATCAAAATCGTTCACCCAAACATCTCTCATCTCCTTCAACCACTTCAGATCCAGCCCGTAATCCCAAGAAGCATCCGAGAGAAACGGTTGGTCGGGCAGTTTTGTCTCTTTAATGAGACGCATCATCCGAACAACGTCTTCATCTGGAATGCTCACTTTGAAGGGAATGGGTGAAGAAGGATCTGCAGACATCTATGGGTATTCGACAAGTGACAAAGAATATGAGTTTGAACGTGGACGTAGCGCGGGTTATATAGACTTAGTACATCAAGAAACTGTCCCGAAAAGGCTGGTGTGAATCAATTATAAGATGTACCGTTGAGTAAGATGCTAGATAGCGGGAGCCATGAGTGGAGCCATGAGTAATGCTCACAAAGCAATCCGTAAGCCAATAAAGTCGGCAAACTACTCGTGTGTGAGTAACTCGGGATCCGCATGTATCGGGACACCTTATATCGTCCTATAGCTGCAGGAAATGTGTTTGATACGACCCTTATGCACCATCTATGTATTCGCATCTTAGGCTTACAGGGCGCTGAGTAACGGTGAGCTGACACTGAATGAGCAGGGCAGACGTGTATTGAAAAGGGAAGCGAGTCATAGATATTCAAACAATAGTCGGAGGGAGAACCAGCAATGGATCCGCAACCTGAAGCACAGGATTGTGCCCGCCTTTCCAAACACCTGCTCCGAGCGAGACAAATCAAATGAACGGCATCAGTCGATACATCATAAGGGAATCATGAAAGTTCGTATGTCATCTTGACACCATATAGATGCACTTGTAGAACAGCCTCAATGCCGACAATAACTTGGCAAATGGTAGACTTAGATGGTGACGAGCAGGTTTGAATGCGGCTCGGAAGGGTACCAAGGCACTGAGCATTGTACAACGGCAGTTCAGATCTAGGAATGTAGACGGCAAGAGATATCTTGCATATATAGCACTGACGCCATCAGGTCGGGACAGGTAAGAGGAGCTCGGGTCATCGACCGTCCGAAGGGCATATTCCTACTTGCAAACAAGAAAGGTCCGAACCCAAGATACGTGGGAGAGAGCTCGCTTTGCCATACAAGATTAACCCTAGACACCTATCGCGAGCCAGAGAAGCACCTAACCATTAGATAGTATGATTAAACCGCTTGAGTGGCAGATACGGGAAGGGAGGTCAGAGCGGGTTCGACCTCAACGTTGATGGTCCAAGGGGGGATGGCACGATAGAACTATCACAGCATGCTTGAATACGGGGAAGTATTCTCTCAATCAACACTCCGTGATAGACTGGAGTACGTACCTAGACATCCGAGAGAGAGTGGAATGGGCACAGCGTCCGTATGAATTTGAGCAACGACGAGTACAGTAGAAGAGAAAATGTGGGTGTGAGCGGCCATTTTGAATATACGCATTAAAAGATTAGATTAGATCCTACAGCAAGATCTTTATCGACCTGATCATTTGCTGTGGCTGGAGTCAAACGGTTTACACTTACTCTCTCAACACTCGTTCCGACTGTCGGCTTTTTTCTTTTACAGACTCTGTTCATTGTGTGGGTGTTTCAGACAAATGGCAGCAGATCCCACTGCACCTTCTACCCTGCAGACAGTGGTAGATGCATTGACGAATGCTTCGATCGCAAAGTACGCACATATAAGTAGCATCTATCTTCAATTGTTTCTCAATGTCCTTGACATCCTAGAGAAGCTTACGAACAACCGGCGGTGTCAAACCCTTCTGCGTCCGTGTCACATAAATCCACGTCCAAACATGAACCTGTGAACGCTGCGACCTCTGCACCAGCGATCAAGCCTGCGCTGGCGTCCGATGCTCACGAACAAGTCGTAACGCCTTGGGATGTCCACGGATCTGTATCTGCCGAAGGACAGCAGCTCGCCATTGATTATGAAAAGCTTGTTGTTCAGTTTGGTACTAAGAGGATAGATCAAACACTGCTTGAGCGATTCGAACGTCTGACAGGTCGGAAGCCACATATTTTGCTGAGACGAGGGATGTTTTTCTCACATCGGTAGGTGCCTCGTACTTCTACGATCTATCTGTTGTTTATTCTGATTGTACATACCATCAGTGAGTTTGACAAAATCCTGGATCGATACGAGCAGGGGAAGCCATTCTACCTCTACACAGGTCGTGGTCCAAGTAGTGACAGTATGCATCTTGGTCATATGATTCCATTCATGTTCACAAAGTGAGTTCTACGCAGCAATGATATTCTTGTGAGAGACTGATTGGTCTGAAGGTGGCTTCAGGATGTCTTTGACGTCCCGCTCGTGGTGCAACTGACTGACGATGAGAAGTTCTTATTCAAGCACGAGCTCAAGCTGGAACAAACATATGAGTTCGCTAAGCACAATGCTCGTGATATCATCGCCGTTGGCTTCAAGTTAGAGAAGACTTTCATCTTCAGCGATTTTGACTACGTTGGCGGCGCGTTCTACCGCAATATCTCGAAAATCTCAAGACAGATCACGATCAATCAAGCGAAATCGACTTTTGGTTTCAATGACTCGTGAGTAGTCTGCGTAATGACATAAAATCACAACTAAATTCACTTCCTCAGGGATAACATTGGCAAAATTCACTTCGCAGCCATCCAAGCAGCACCCTCTTTCTCCAATTCTTTTCCTCATATATTCGGCACAGTATCCAATATTCCCTCCCTCATTCCCTGTGCCATAGACCAAGACCCATACTTCCGTCTCACTCGCGACGTCGCTGCCAAACTCAAATACCCCAAACCCGCACTTCTCCATTCAAAATTCTTCCCTGCTCTTCAAGGTCCTCAGACGAAGATGAGCGCATCAGATGTGAACTCAAGTATTTTTATGAGCGATACCCCTAATCAAATCAAGAACAAGATCAACAAGCATGGGTTCTCGGGTGGGCAAGAGACTGAAGAAGAACATAGACGATTGGGCGGGAACCCAGATGTCGATGTTTCGTATCAATACCTTGGATTCTTCTTAGAGGATGACGATGAGTGGGCTCACCTGGCCGAGGTACGTTGGCATTTTATGGACGTCAGTACAATCATAACGATCGCGTGCTGTAGGAATATCGTGCGGGCCGTCTTTTGACAGGCCAGCTGAAGGCAAAGTGTATCAAGGTTCTGCAAGACTTTGTCAAGGACTTCCAAGAGGTATGTCGCACATTCTGTGTATGGAAACATTGTCCCATACTTTCCATTCCTTTCAGCGCAAAGCAAGTGTCACCGAGGAGCAACTAAAGGCCTTCATGGACAGTAACCGTAAGATCGAACCCACATTCGGCAAAGCGGCCAACGTTGCACCCGCTCCGTCTGCATAACCATTTGAGTTCAAAACCGTGAGAGGCAGTCTACGTGGGGAAGGACAACAATTTGCTGTAGCATATATATATTCTGTGCGATTACTTAGGTTCCGGGTGTATGCAATGTATAGAAATGCCGAGTGTATCTGTTTTCTTCAGCTTTACCATCATCCCCCAAATGTACGAGAACGATTATGTTGTTATGACGTTGAACATACCGGCATTGCCACGCCCATATAGACTATATGTAAACCAGCAAATTGGTGGCGAAAGATCCGAGTCGCTTGACTCACCAATGTTCGCAAAACTGTAAAATATGAGCGTGGTCAATGAACGTGTCTCTAACACGTTTACCCATGCTTTCCCTCCAGTGCTCATCCTGAACTTTCACCTAGATCCCCCTAACAGACATTCTAAACACTAGAAATCCATGACGCATACACAAAATAGCAGAGGGGTCGCTGTGTACTGTGCATCATCACTTGGAAACCGTAAGGCATTCCAAGAGGCAGCCACAAGTACGTCTGAAACACATTACATGCATGAGTCTTTGTCATGGGCGATTGCAGGTCTCGGTTTTGCTCTCGCTGAAGCAGGACGACCACTCGTGTATGGCGGCGGCAATAAGGGCATCATGGGCGTCGTCTCTGGTGCAGCCCTAGAGAAAGGAGGTAAAGTCACAGGTGTTGTACCATACGCTATGGTCGCCGCAGGAGGAGAGGCAGAGCAGATGAAAGGAACGTCAGAGTCAAAAGGAGCAACGGTTGCTTTAGATGAACATGGGCGCGAAGCGGTATGTACATGTCAAACCCTAATGAAACGTGATGTCCGAAGCTTAAGCCTCGTTGTGAAATACTTAGATCGAACATGTGAGTGGCCCTTTGGTGACGGAGGAGCTTGATTCCTGAGGTGTTCCCGCAGATAGTGGTTGATTCGATGCATGAGCGTAAGAGAGAAATGGCTCTAAGATCATCCGGTTTCATTGGCCTGCCAGGTGGATTCGGCACTTTTGAGGAGGTACGAAGATTAAGTCATGGCTGAAGTATAACTCAACATAACATGCGTATGAATGATATCATAGGTATTCGAAGTTATTACTTGGTCCCAGCTGGGTATCCACAGGAAGCGTAAGCACAGAAGATATCCCCATTCGAAACCCATTCAGACGCTAATTAGTATCCGTTCGCAGCGGTTATCCTACTCAACATTCTCGGTTTCTGGGATCCATTCCGCGAACTAGTTCAAATGGGTGTACGCGAAGGCTTTATCCAACCTCAAAACGCCCACCTAGTGCGATATGTTGACGGACCTGCAGACTTCGCCGAACACGATACTTTCGATTGGGGTAAAGCTGCACTAGAAGCTCTCGATTCATGGAGTGCGCCGGAGCGACCTCCAGTTTACGATTGGACGAAGAGAAAGGAAGGGCAGAAAGGTGACACGCTTAGCGCAAGTTGAGGCGTTGAGGGCCTATATGTTACAAGACTATGATGCTGCAGAACTAGGTAGAAGTCCGAATCACATAGAATTGAATTTTCCTATTGCAGAATGACTGTCGGAACGTATTTAACCTGAAGCCTGAGTCAGGGGCCAAAAGAGGCGGAAGTTGGCTCCGATTGCCCACGGACGTTCTTCGACATATATTCGGGAGCGAAGTGCATTTTGCGTCGAGAAGCGATGGGACGTGTGGAGAAACAACCGTGTAAGATACCTAACAAGGTAACGGAGTTAGGGAAGCGGATAGCAAGGGACAGTTGAATTGTTCGAAGGGACCTGGATAAATGAATATCATGAGGGAGGCGGGAGAAGTAGACGGAGAACCTAGAAAGCATTCGATCAGGGATAAGATCTAAGAAGTTGCGTAGACTTGAGGTGATATGTGGTGATACGGAGGGGCAATTCATCGAGAATAACCACAGCCTACCGGGAAAAAGGTTGTGCGTCTTCAGCGTGAAGAGCCTTATCGAAGACGAACGGGCCACGTACAATCTTGGCTACCAGCTTGCCGCATTACCAGGGTCATCCGGCCAGACGATTCGAATGATCTCGTCCCATGGACTGGGGGAACATCTGAGCGGTACCGCATTGTCGGCTGCGCAGCGACTGCGCCCAGTGCATCGAGGGAGGTACATGAATCGACTTCGCGATGTTCATGTGGACCTGGGGATATAAGAGTATTGTTGAGCCCCTTCGAGTCCGGAATGAGGATGCCATATTTATAAGTCGTGAACAGCCTGCTGGTAAACATGAAGTTGCTGAAAATATCTACCACAGAAATAGATGCACGTTCGCAGGCAGTCACGGGAGCTACCATGCAAGCCCTGAAAAGATACACGTCGTCATATAACTGAATGGAGAAAGCGACAGATGCTTCTTGCACATCTATTCATAGACATCAGGCTGTCACTGTTCGCCATCGTTTCCAGCCCATCCGGACTCTCAGAGTTGTGACACCGGCATGAGAGTAAGTGGCTTAGTGTGAGCGGCGAGATAATGTACGCGGGGTCGTGACAACTCCGTCATCGCAAGCAGTTGGAGGTATCTTGAATGACAGCTCTGCATAACGGATCGATGTGCCAGGGAGCCTGGCCAATAGCCAAAAGCGAGTAGACAGCATGCCAAGTCGCCGCTATACAAATGCGAAGAGGCACACATTCAAGGCAGTGGACTTCGGCCAGAAGGAAGCCAGAGAAATCGATGGCAAGATGGCTACTAGAGGTCGCATGATAGAGCCAAGCCGCGACACAGTCAACGTAGAAGGGAGAGCATGGAAAGCGTTGGACAAACGTGGAAAATACACACGAAGCTGCAAAGCACAGACGCCATATTCATTAGTGCTGGAAGATGAAGAAACCCTCATATGTCTGCAACAGAACCTGTGCCCCCCAAATACAACCTACGGGTCGTGCTTGAAGCGTTTTTCATTCTAGGTGCATAAACACACCGGTCGTACCAACAGCCGTCAAGAATATGCCAGTGAAAGCACACACGACAGTCAAGTGGTTTTCACATCTTGTACAGGCCAGGATGTCCGGGGTCCATCGAACAGTCTCAATGAAGGGCAAAGCGTCACAGTATCGATAGACTCCAGCGGAAATGAATGGCGGCTTGTAACGGGCGAGTAAGCGAGAAAACTACCGTTGCTTCCGATGCGTCCTAAGCATCGTTGAATTCAGAGTATGCCCCTGACCTGAGAACTGCGGTCAATCACTTCGAACGAACGCTTGGGGAAGCTTCTGTGTACTTCTTGAGCGCGGCCAAGATACAGCGCAGCATCATCACCTGAGCGCAGATGAAGAAGCTCGCGGCAGGACATCAGGAAAACAAACGGAGAGACTTACGTGATGGCCGTACGATGCTGTCTGAGGATCGATCCTTGGTGGGTAGAGAAACAACCAGAGGCCAGCAAATTCGTACAGCAAGACCGTGCCTTGCCGTCGGTGGTCTGACATGAGTGAGAAAGTCCAAGAAAACTTGAGAAATAACGAAAGACCGACTGTGAATATTTACGTACAAAGACCAGGGGATGACAATGACAACGAAGGGTTGATCAAGCAGATAATTGCTCCACGATCCCGAATGACTGTTCCTGTGACACTCAAAAGGGCGAGATTAGGTTCTGCAAGTCAATTGAGGTGGTGTATTCAATACGTACGCATCAGGATCGAGTGTGTTAGCTGTATTTGGCTAAGTAGGAACGATTCCTCTTGTCTGTCTGTAGGCTTCCCGTGGATCTTTACAGGTGTAGGTGAAGGCAAATAACGTACATTTTGAGACTTTGAAAATTTAATAGCTGAAACATACTGGAGCAGGAGAATAAGACGCGGAAGCCTACAAAATTTCTAAATGAAGAAAATTCGGAAGGGACGTTACTTACGAAGAGCGATTCCATTCTGAACCTCAACAAAAGTTACTGAAAGACCCCATACGAAGAAGGCAAGAACGTGCCACCACATCGATATACCAATAAGGAATCACACACACCTTCATTAGCGTCCTCAAAGCATCCTCAAAGCTCCGACAAATGGGCACAATTGCGGATATTCGTCCTGCCCATTTGTAAGCTTGAACGGATGCTACTATGCACCGAAAGCACGAGGATTCCGCTTACAAGGGAGCGAAGAACCATACACGATTTTATTTCCGCCACGGAGAACTGTGCATTTAACCGTTAAGCAATCTCGCTATTTCGGAACAGCGGAATAAGATTGACAGAAAGCTTACCTCGATTCGGGTGATCGTCGGTACACAGTGTACATGGGAAACTGCCGCATCGAAATAGCTACAAATAACGAGCTATTGGTAGTGGCGTCCTCTGGGCAATAGCTGCATGTTCGATCTGTGCCTATTGGAATAACGATACAACTGACGAATGTTTACCTGACATATTATTAGAACCACGCTAATGAAAGGGGTTCATAACGAACCTAGGACTCCGGATGCACCTTGGGATAAGGAAGAGAAGGCACGGCTCCATAAGTATCCGTGTGGAGTTGACCAGATTTCCTCTGGTCTCCTTCCAGTCTCCAAGTCGGTCCGAGTAACGGAAAAGGCAGAAGTTGCATCAGAAATGGGTAGCTGTATCACAGCAACAGAATTACCACCGCGACTTCCCGCGGATGACGGCTCGATAACCATTGACAGTGACAGTGGTAATCACCTTTAAGCCTACTCCATCCATTGAAATGTGTCCGTCGGCTCTCGACGAATCAATGCGATTCACAAGAAGTCCCGAACAAGATCTGAGGGAAGGCAAGATGTCGATTGAGGAAAGGATGATTGAGGGCGATTGAATAAGATACGATGGTCGATGAGATAAAATGAAGGAACAGAAGGGACGAAGTGTGTGTTCGCCAGTCAGAGTCCGGACGCAATGCTTCAAACTTGTCAAGCTCAATCTGAGGGAAGCGGAGAAATACGCATATACGCATTCATTTCCGGCTGACGGGTCTCGAATGCCTACCAAGTATCATATGCATAACGGGTGCGCATCCTTTTGGCTTGGCGGATCCGAGTTGCGGAGGACGGATTGCGCGAGAAGAGCAAACGGTACCTGCATCCTGAGACCTGATTCGCGAATGCTTGTTTGGTGTAGAGAGGATCGGACCAACCCCGGAGAAAGAAATTCCCTGCAGACGAAAGGGCTTATTTATTTCGTTCATCCACGTTCGCAAGGGATAGGTGTCAATGGGTCTCGAGATGCATTGGCCAAATGATCAGGGCTCGAAATGGGCTAACCACCGGGGAGGGTACATTCAAGGGTGCAAGATAAGACATACTGTTAGTCATCCTGATCTGGAATTCATGAACCATTGAATCATGCCGGAAGCCAGAAAAATGTGACTCGGTACCCAATAGTCAGTAGTAAGCAATCAGTCAGCGAGTAACGGGTAGAAAGAAGAGTGGCGGTGACGAGGCATGGGTGCCAGTGGTGCCCGTGGTGTCTCGATCGAAACCTCACCACACTGGCCCAACGAACGTTCACCAGTAAGTTTGAAACCCTGAAACGTGAAAGCCAGAGATAAGGATAAGAGGAAACACACAGACCATTCGTCGACTTAGCTATGTCCGACCCATCAACAATTTTCCTCGGAAATAACCTTTTGTTCCTTGTTCCCTATGATACAAACCCTGCATTTATTAACATGCCACATTGCCACTTTCCAGTCTCCCTGTATCTTTGAAACACGGAACACCCCGAGAGGAGCCTGAGAATTCCTAATGATGAATTTTTTGCGAGCGTTTGATAAGTCCCGTCTTCTCTCTCATGCGATTCCTGCCAATTCTGTCATTTCTGTCCATTCTATGGGTGAGGAAGTGGATAAAGGAGAAAAAGGCTCCGAATCGATGGGTCTGTATTGACATTTCCGCTCCTAACAAAAAAAAAAGAGTTTGATGTTGGCAAAAATTGAACATATTGGATTCTAGATAAGTGAGAATAAGCGGGAGGAAAATTACTATAATGCTTACTGTGTGGTTCAGAGGCTGTCGTGAATTGGGCTTGGCAAGCACTAGTGAAGACTCGTGGTGTTGTTATCTAGGGTTGACTTTCACGTTACATACAAGGATACGTCCGACACTCGCGTACACGATGGTACGCAGAAAGACTCGTCGGGGCACTAACTGCTCCACGATCCACGGATTCGAAAATGCCAATACTATTCGGCGTGGTATATCAACAGATAAGCACTTGAGCGGAAGTGACGCTAACAGATGTCTGGCAAGACGGCATGTCATGTCGTAAGTGCTAGTGAGTGCTTACCGGCTAGCTAGCCTCAAACATAGCAATGAGGAAGAAAAAAAAGAGAACAACGAATCATGAAACGCACGCTCCTCCGAATGGCTACGTCCACGTCCAGGCGTCAGGCGATAACTAAGAATCATACAAATCGTCAAACGTTCAACGTTCGAAACCCTGCGCTCCGATCACGGTTCGGCGAACTGGGCAATTCGAGTTGAACACACAGTGCGATCGCTGGGAACCGGGGAAAGTAAGGATTCGTTTGATGATGATCATCATACTGGTCCATCATCGACAACATCATCATCGAGCAGATTGCATCCTGAAGCCGTTTGAAAACGCACGACGAGTTTGCAAAACAAAAAATACGAATTGCGTGACATATGAAATATGTAGAGGAAATACCTTTGAGGCCACTAGAATGGCCGCCGCTGGTCTCGCACTCACCTAGAGGGCTAGCCGCCCTCGTCGATGAAGATCCAAAAACAGAGAGAAACAGAATTGGATTTGGACATCGAATAAGTGCTCTTGTTGCTATGTTACTTTCGCGAGCAGAGTCTCGGTGTGTCTTCCTCAATCTAGAGATATCCTGGACACAGCGGAGTAGAGGGTGAATGCAACGACCGCATGCAGCAAGAAAACCAACTGTAAGTAACTTGTGTATACGATGTTCGGAGTGACGTTGCTTGAGTGACCAAAACTTCGATGTGTTCTTCTCCGATGTAGAAATTTCAGCAAGCGTGCATGTGTAGCGGGAACATCTGGAACCTGGACACAGCGGATGGGAGGGTGAAGCACGTGCATCCAGAAGCAGACACCGCGGTATACGAAGTTCGGACTGACGTTACTGTAGCATGTTGCTCGAGCAACAATTTGAACAAAAGCCTCGATGTTGTCTTTCCCTGGCCTAGCTAAGGGACATCATCCAGGTGAGCACGTTCGATGTAGCGCAAGCGAGCGAGCGAGCGAGTAGCGAGAACATTGCTACCTATGTCGGCCATGTCGGTATATCGGCCTCGGTGTATCGGTATCGGTATCGGTGACTATGGGTGAGAGTAAACAAGTAAACATAACATGTAGCTTGTAGCCTAAACCCAGTTAGTAGGCGAGATGCCAAAAGGGAACTATCGTGTGCATGTTATAGTCACCGGGAATGTAATGAAAAAATCGTTCCTGAACTAAGACGGAACTATGAATAATTACGAAAACACTTTTTGGACGTACCTTTAGGCAAACATGACTCGCGTAACAAACCGGAATTCCCGTGCTGCGGTGGGTGGCTGGGTGGGTGTAGGTAAGCTGTCGAGTAGGATTCGGAAGCGTATGACTCGTCAATGACGCATGCACTTCGGCAACCTCTCTGTTCTACGTCGCAGACTCCCAATCCATGTTTCAGCATTTTACAGTTTGTCGCAGGCGAAAATCAGGAGCTGAGTCAGATTGCGCATACACTACATATATGCCGATGACCTGAAGAGTCCCATCAACAACACCAGAAAAAAAAACGATTACAAGTACAAAGAGGTCTGAATGTAGTAAGACTCGTACTCTCGTACGGATTGAGACATGGTCGGGGCGTCGTATTTCCGGGGTCTTCCACTTGGCAGTTAGGGTCACGGTCGGCAGGGAGAATACGGGGTTGAGTCGAGTTCTGTGGGGGTGCCGCCGGGGAGTAACGTTTGATCAACCTTTGGTGACTAAAACATACGGTTGTTCGGTAGTGAACTTGAAGACAGTAAAAGTGGCTTGGAAAGAAGACTGAAGGGATGTTTGCAATCTGGGAGAGTTAACTTGGTGATAAGATCACACGAGTCACAAAATTGTATGTAATCGAAAACGGGATCGATGACACGATCGACGACAAAGCAATATCATCGAAAAGCGCGACGCGTCTCGGACCCGCGGGGTGTTTGTGGGGAAACGTACATATGTACTTACGTGCCTCGACATCAAAAAACTGGAGGTGGGATCAAGAAATACGAAACATCTCATTGGCAGAGATCATTCAGAGTTAGACCTTTTTGGAACCAAAGCTTGAACGATTTAAGATTTCATCGACGATCGATAAGTAATCGACAATTGGATCCCTCTGGAGTAAGTATGGGGAAAAGGGGTCGGCAATAACGAGCCCCGGATTTGTTGGAATGTTGAGTCCAGGGTTCCAGAACATAAGTAACGAATCAGGGGATTTGCTTCCGTTGCGGGGTACCGATACCGAATACGAACAAGAGCGGAAGTATAATCCACGAGCGAGACGCGTAGAAATGAAGCTCACTAGAAGAGATGTTGTTGTTGATAAGTCGAGGATGCGCAGTAGTGTCGAGGAACAAGGGTCGTTTCTTAGATGAGAGGCGGAAAAGAGGGCTCAGAACCTCACGTGTTTTAGATGAAAAGTCATTGGATAGGGGGTTTCTGGCTATGGACGGTGCTTACCCGGGGGGTTCTGGACGTCCTAGACAGATCGAGTCAACAAGGTGTCAAACAGCGAAAAGAGCGTATGAGGGAATAGAGCTATTAAGGGGAGAGCGTCATACTGCGGGCAAAGTACGGCGGGAGGCGGTGAAGCGAGGATGATAATCGAACATGTAGGAGCTGCGGATGTCGATGGATAGCTGTGGACGGTCAAACAGAGGCGGTGAGTAGAGAGCGGGCGTTGGAGGAAAGGGTTTCGACGCGTATGCAGCTCTAGAGGAGGCCGACAGGGGGACGTCATGTAAGATGCCGAATATGGGTGCGAAACTCCTGGATATGGCAATGGACAGCAAGCGGAGAGAGCCGATGATGTCGAAGAATCGAGGAGAGATCCGAGAGCCGGGAATGGTTTTGTGCCAAGAGCAGGAAGTCGGTCACCTGGATTTATCGGCGGCAGAGCAGAACTGGCTAGGATGCCGACTGGAGAAAGCGAGATATCGAGATGGCTCAACGTTGGGGGTGGGCGCGCAGGATTATCGATTTGGAGGTGGGGGAGGGAGGAGAAAGAAAGAAGCAAGCGTGCCAGCAGGCGAGGGTGGAACGGGGGAGGAAGCACGTGTTTGAGATGTAGAGGGACCCCGGAGACTGGGGCTGTGCCAAGAATTGGGATTGGGATTAGGAGGGGGATGACAGGTGTTGGAAATGGGAGATGCAGAGATTCAAAGGATGATAATTCATCTTCGTCTCTCATTCTGTCAGGATTTGTATACGTTCTTTCCTTTTCATCAGCCACACACGCTTGGCTCCCCACTTCCTACGCCTCTCCTACTGGCTTGTCCTTGACCCATTCTAACTTGAATACGCTTCACCCTCTTCATCCTCTCTCAATATGGCTGCCACCATGGCCCAGCCTGCTGCCCTCTCTCCCCCTCGCCAGGGCATCCTACTCAACCCTTCCCCGACTGCCTCTCCATACACTCCCCCAGTATCTCTCCCCGGCACTCCACAGCCTTCATACTCTTCACTCTCCTCCTCCTCCGCCTCTTCCCAGTCACACTCGGACTCTGACAACTACTTCCTCACTTCCACCACCACCACCAACCACTCAGCATCCGTCCCCGGTACACCTAACCACCGCTCATCGTTCCCTTTGAGCGGTAGTGGGTCCTTTACTCCTCCCAATGGTCGCTCAAAACCGAGGCAAGGCTCTACACCCACCGCGACCCGTCCTCTCCGAATTCGGTTCGCTCCCCTACCAGATCCCCGTCGTGACGATGTCACCACTGACAACGGCCTCGAACTCCCTTTCGACAAGTCTGAACAACTGTCCTCCACCCTCCAAGCGCAGCCTACCGCCGTCTCGAGCTCGCGTGCGATCGATGCTGCGGGGAGTGTGGCTGCTGCGACCACTACGTCCTCTGGCTCGTTTGCCAATGCTCCCAATGGGGTTGCGTTGATCAGGTCAAGTCCGCCCGGTAGTAAACCTTCATCAATCTCTGGCCATGATACGCTTGGAAGCGCTTCCTCATCAGGGCTTAACATTGCAGTTCCTAATGGCTCAAGCACGATTGACAAGGAGGGTGCTTGTGTTGAACGCTCTTCGGACGAATGGACTGTCGTCCCCCCTCAAGCCGTTCCTCCAAAAGTCCCCTCTGACCCGTCGACTCCCAGGATGGGCGAGTCACCCCCTGGTGGTGAGCGCGAGTGTCACCACTCATCGGGCAAGAGCAAATGGACAAAGAATATCCTTAAACCACTCTTCGGCGGATCTCGCAAGCATTCGTCTTCCAACGCTTCTCATACAGACGATGATCGTATATCTGGTGTCAATGGTCTATTAGGAGAAGATAGTGAAGACGATCGATGTCTCTCGCGCACTAATTCTCGGAGCTCTACGAAGAAGAAACGACATGATCGACCGGGATCGTCTAAAGGCTCAGAAAAGCCGCCTGGTGTCCCACTCACCCGAGTCAACACACGGAACGAATCTACCTCCTCATACGGTGTCCCTCTCGGTCGATCTCAATCAGACACTCTCGCCCTCAAACGATTCTCCTCCTCATCCTCCCACACAACGAAAACCAAACGCAAGCTCTCTACTTCGGCTCTCTTATTCTCATCGCCAACGTCTACTTCGCTTTTCTCGTCGAAATCAAAGGACACGCCGTTGAGTCGAAGTCAGAGCTTGAATACAGAGTTGGGTGGAGGGTTGGCGACTGGTGGAGCGAATGTCAAGATGGGTCCGGGAGGTGTTAGGAGGGGGCAATTGAGGATGCTCAATGGTCGTGTTTATGGTGCAAGGAGAGTCGATCCATTCGCTAACGTTCGGTAAGTCTTCATTTGCTTGGCGTGTGGGTGGTTCTTCAGATGCTGACTGTACTTGTTGCTTTGTAGGGATGAGGAACCTGAGTTTGTCGAGTGGGGGTATGGAGGGATGGGTTCTGTGAATAGTACAAGTCAAGGCGTCGGCGCTGGTAAGTCTCCTCCCATCATCACCCCTTCCCTCATTCACATTCATATCACATCACCAAATACTAACCCCCCCCCTTTTTTTTTTCTATAGGCATATGGGCGAGAGTCCAAGCAGGCGCAGGCGTCTCGATAGGTGCACACGATGAGTCATCCTGGGGAGCTTCCTCTGCTCGTTCCCGCTCTTCTTCCGCAAATACACCTACAGGTAGTGGGGAGAGTACGCAGAGTGGGTATGTGGCTAGTGGGGGGAGTGGACGCGGCGGGGAGGAAGATGATGATGGGAGTGGGATGGCGTGGGTTAAGAGGAGGAGGGAGATGAGGGAGAAGGAGAAGAAGGCGAAGGAGGAGAAGGAAGCACAGGAGGCGAAGGAAAGGGCTGAGAGGGAGAAGACTTTGGAGAGTGAACAGATGGGGAGGCAGGAAGAGGCTGGGGAGAAGATGTTTGGGGATGAACTTGATCTTTCTCCTTCTCCTGCTCCTGCTCTGACTGTTCCACCGACGACGACCACCACCACGACCACCACTGCTGCTGTGACCACCGAGGAACCAGAACATATCACGACGGCTATCAACTTACCCGCTCCTCGTCACCTAAATCACCATCACTCCCATTCCCATTCCCATCCCCTCCCTCTACATTACAACCACCCCTCTCACCATCACCACGCCCACACCGCTCAACACAAACGTACCGTCTCCTCATCGTCTGTTCATTCTCATCATTCCCATATCAGTCATAGGACGATCATAGCCGTACCTGCACCGGAACGGAGGGGAAGTGCTGATACTGCGCGTGGGGTGCCTTTTTCGCCCGTTTCCCCAGGGATTGGGATTGGGAGTGGGAGTTCGGGGTTGGCGTCGCCTGCGTCAACGGTGACGCCTACTGGGAATGGGACTACTAGTACGGCGACGTTGACTATGTCCCCGCTACCGTCGTCGACTATAAATCCCATTGAAGGGAGTGAAGTGGGGGTGTTTGGCACGATGGAGGGTGAAGATGAGGATGTTGAGGTTCTGGGGAACGACGAGGACGAGAACGCTGGCGTTGGTCGCGGTATTGGTAGGAAGGGGGCGGAGGTTGAGGTTACTTTGAGCTCGAGTGTCTCGAGTAGTCTTTCTTCAGGGGAGACATTGGGCGAGGGTGAGGGTGAGGAGGGGAGTAGCAGTGTGCCGTTGAATTCGAGCGTGACCGAAGATGAAGATGGCGATGGGGATACGTTTGGGGAGGGTGAGGGTGAGGATGAGGAAGATGAGGATGTTGGTGATGAGGTATGTGTATCCATTTCTTTTCTAGTTTCGTGGACAGTAAACTGACTTTTTTTTTTTTGTAACTTAGGACCAGAATCGAAAGACAGTAGCAGGCGCCGGAGTTGAGAAGATTAGCAGGCATAAGGAGAAGACACCTGTGCCTGCTAACGCTGCGAGTTGAAGGCCGATCATGATCATCCTCATCTCGTATCGATGACGTCTACTGTGGAATAGGTGGTCACTCACCAAACCAAACCGATCAACCCAAAAGGGATCCTCGAAGCTTTCGTTCTAACCCGTGTGGTATAAGAGGGATTCAAGCAGCCCGCTGTATCTCCACCTCCGCAGTTTTCGAGCTCTCGTACTTGCTCCGATTGCAAGAATGATTTCTCAGGCTGAACAGAGTGCTTCATCTTTATCCCACCCACATCCACGGACGACGTTTTCGCTTTCCCCCACTTTCTTCGGGTCTTTCTTATCTCCATTTCTTTTCGACATCACATCCTCCCTCTACTCCCAAGATTCGCACCGATATAACACGAGGTCCCCTCCGCTGGAGTTGTCGACGCTCGCCCATCATCCACACCACATTTTGTTTATTCGTTCTTCCTATTCGTCTCGTATCTCGTCTTCTCTGTCCAAACATCCCGCACTCCCATAGATGTCGTCCTCAAGAATCTCGTCGCCGTCATCCTCCACAATTGTATATCATACTCAAGCCTCATCGATGCTTCCTTCGTAATTTCTTTCGCTGTGCATATTTCCATCTTTCCTTGTTCGCGCCTCTCACAGTTCTCGTCCAAAAGCTCTCCGTCAGATTCCCAGATGCTCCACATTGCGTCACCCCGGTCCCGCTTATCCACTGTACAATCCCGCCCGTAATCGACTCTCCGCACTTTTTCGTCGACTCTCGGTCGCTCGTCTTACCACGGAAACCTCCTCCGTTGCTCCATCTATCGTTATCGAGTCCATATATAACGCCTATGTATATGCCATGCCGTGCCATGCCATACATGCATGGATCCATACGTACATCCATACATCGTCCTCGCTATCGTCTGTTAGTTTATCGGTTTCCTATCATCAAGGTTCATTCCTATAATCAAGTTATGCAACATATACTATCATCATTTATGCGCCCTACGTCTTCTCCACCACCTCCACCACCATCACCACCACCATCACCTATTGCACAGATTCTCATCCCAGTCATCCGGCGCCATCGCTTCGTCGTCATTAACGCCTTGCTGTCGTGGTCGCCTTTGCTACGTTTCGGTTTATCGCGCAGGTGACGGTTCCTTGATCCCCCGTTTCTTTCGTGTGCTGTGTTATATTTTTTGCCCTTTCTGGATGGGACGGTCACCTGTTTTCATTGTTTCTCTCTTTTAAGAACCACCCACACTCGTACTCCTCGTTTTATCTTTTTCTTTTCCATTTCTGTTTTGAATTTCAATCCCAACTTATAACCCCCGCTCTGCTTCACATATACATACATAGTCCTGGTATATTGTTACCTACAAGGTCATGCATCATGCATCATGCATCTATGGACTTTGTCTTTTGTTTCGCTCGATATCGATCTGGCCGCATCGTTCTCTTCATTTTTCTTCTCGTCGCAGGATTCTGGGTCTTTCTCAATTTTACAATTGTTTGTATATACCCTCCGCACGAAGCCTCGTATCGAATGCATTTTTTTTTAATTCTTCACTACTTTTGTTCCGTGCTCCAATCTTCTGAACTCGACGCGCGTGTATTGGTGTTTTTGCGTGAGTGCTCTAAATATCCTTCAAATTTGGTGCTGCTAACGGTGACATGGCATTCAAATATTCATCGTTGGTCCTAACTACAGCTACCTGCTAGGCTAACCTATGCATGGTAGTAGTCGCGACACTTCCGCTACCACCTCCGTCTCAACGCGTGCGGTCATAGTGGTCAACCTTGTTAACACTCAGATATGGCCACAGACTGTCCTGGACGACAAAACTCAGCCAGAAGGACGGAGTGTAAATCTATTGCCAGCGTTACTCGCCGTCCTGGTTATGTACATGTAGATAGCGAGACAAATAAACCTCTGGACGTGAAGTCGAGGGTTGCCAGTACAGTACCGGTACGGCGTCGGTACCAGGGTAGAGGGCGCTTATTTATTTATTTATTCCCCTCTGTTTCTGTTCGCCACCGGCAGTTCGCCATGATCGAAACCTTCTGTTCAACGCATGCCAGCACATGGGTCAGACAGGATATCCTGAGGCACGAAGGTTTGCGTCTCTGTCTACTCTGCCTTAGGGAGACTGGCACATGGGCACTCCACCAGGTTCTCGCGCTGAAGTTCGCGTTTTCTCCTACGGTACATTTTCACAGAATTGGCTCAAAGCTCCAGCACAAAACTTGAAGAGACATGCAAGGGGCGGACATTTGCACCTACTTGGATTTCGAATTCCAGGAGGTTGGGAAGTTGCGAGAGAGATTCTCGTAGCATCGCCAGCATCCTGTGATTATTACTGACGGCCATCGTCCTGCATACACATATACTTTCTTCATCATTGTAACGGCGACCTTTGCAGGAGGACATGTCATATTCCGAGTGACATCACGAATACCGCGGCATTGTTGATTCTGCCCCTGTTTCTGTTATTCCGGCTTGTTGGAGTTGAATGTAAACAAGAATCCATGGTTTCACTCCATTTTTTTTCAGCTATCCGTACAGCTCCACACACTCTTCTTATGCTTTAGTACATTATCCAGTGAAGGTGAGCTAACCCTTCGGCAATACCGTGACTGACTGACTTCATCCACCCCACCATAGTGGTATGGAGAGTCCCACAATCGTCTTACGAGGAGCAACTGGCTACATTGGTGGCCAGTTTCTTATTTCACTTGGTCGTGAATTGCTCCTATTGCCTGTCACTGCTCTCCTACGTTCCCCGACGTCGGAGCGAGTCCTTAAACTTCACGAATCACATCCCAATATATCCATTTAGAGGGCTCGCTCGACGATGCTGGCTTGATTCAGGAATTAGCTGAAAATGCAGATATCGTAGTGAACGCTGCGAGTAGTGACCATCCCTCTGCATCTCGAGGTCCGTCTCTATTCGGTTCCTTTCTTACCGAAATCTCAAAATTTCGACCTGACATTGGCTTGGATGCAGCAATTCTTGAAGGTTTGAGCAAACGATCTACATACAGGCCTAGCGATCCACCTTTATACCTTCATACATCTAGGATGGGAATCCTCAGCGATGAAGCACGCGGAGAGTTTGTTGTGGACTGGATCTCGTACGTTCAACCTCTTTCGAATACAACCTACTTCTTCTACACAAAACCAATAGGCTACCTCCAGACAACGCACATCTGAACGTTGATATCCCTGTATGTATAGATAATGGAATTAACTCCGTACGAGCATGGACTGACAAATTCGTTGAGATTGTCGACGCAGGCACGCGCAAGGTGAACCCGATCAGAACATCGTAGTATTTCCCGGAGCGGTGAGCATAGATGCGTATGAAGGTCTCCTACGCTGATTCGACCGTCATAGATCTATGGTCTTTCCGAAGGTATTCCATATTCTAGACCCACAAATGGTCTTGCAACTCACATGTATGCCGTTGTCAGGTGTTCAGAGGGTCCCACTTGGTGTTCGCATGCACCTCGGCTTCACGCTGGCCGCTGGGTACGCAGGGACTTGGGGACCTGGACATAATGCCATGAACAATATCCACATCAAGGATGTCGCCTCGGCCATGATCGTCATGCTCAACGCAGCTCTGGAGCATAAAGCCGATGAAGGTGCAGAAGGTCCGTGTAAGTATTGCAACCGACGCTGTCCAGTCTCGGGTCTCAATACCCCCACACTATGCATCTCATCTTTTAGATTTTATTGCGAACGATGCCTCGAACGTGACGTGGAAAGAATGGCAGGGTGCAGCGGGTGATGTATGTAAATGTATCTGCGTCTCTGCAGAACGATTGCTCAACGATTGTTCTTTATCACTCCAGTACTTGCTTAGCAAAGGCATAAACAAGGAACCAGGTACACGACCATTCACTGACGAGTTCCTCAAGTCGCTTTTCGGTACCGACCGTGTGTTCTATATTCTGCTTATATTTCTCCAAATTCTGGGGAGATACCGTATCTGGGTTGGCGGACGTTTGGAGACAAACAATTTGGCAGATCGAAGCGTATTGGAAGACTCAGTTGGAAACCAGTGGAGACATTTCAGCACCCTTGCTTAGGTACGCTCGCCGAATCCGTGGATGTCGCTCTGCAAGCATGAGCGAAGGAAAGGCAAAAGAGGAGGTATGGTTATGATGACATATTTATCGGACCTTTCTGGATCCCAATAACATCCCTTGAGCTAATACCTATTCGTCATATCACCCTGAATATTTTGTGTGAGTATAGCTAACTCATACAGCGGTTGAGACTACTCCATGAGGGGTCGCAACTGTCCAGCTATGGTTTCCTTTTCAGATCATATCTATGAGCAGGTCTGCTTCTAAGACATCCGTGTATACTTACGCTAAGGCATCATACATCCTCTTGTGTTGCCCATTTTGATAGGAATGCATCAGCTACGGCCTCTTCGATCCAGGCTAGTCTAACTCGCTGATCGCCATAGTTCTCAAAAACATCACCGCTGCAAGAAGACAACTCGAGCATCGGAGAGGCAATTAGTACGACGTTGACTTGATACGAAAGTGTGGGGCAAACTGGTGACTCGTCTCCGAATGTGACAGTTCGCACGGCTGTCATACTGTATGTCCACACTATTATTCTGGTCCAGTGTGCATAGTTACATGTATTGTGCATTCCGAAGAAACGACTGTCGCCAGAAAGTATTGAGAGGACTCGAGCCCTGGAGTCCTGCGACTCGTCCATGCGGAGTTCCCCGAACTGCCTAGTTGAGCCAGACGTGCGTATAACCTGTTCCCGACTCTACTTCCTTTCACCCCTCACCGTCTCTAACGACAACGATTTCCCTCACGATATTCTCAGTCCTTCGTACCCTAGCAGCTCCCCATCCGGCACACCCCAGAGCCTTCGTGGCCTCAGGCTGGTCTCTCCCCCACACTAGCACTCACGCTGTAAGGACAACCGTCTCCTCCGTCTCCTCCCCTTCCGGAGCAAAAGCACGAGTCTTTCGGAATAGTACAAACGAGCGCTAATAGTTGATCGAGACTGACCAAGTTGACAGTTGTTGGTGCCGCGTTGCGACTGAACGAGGCCTGGAGCTTGAGGCCCTGAGGCCTTGAGGCGTCGAGCTTCAAAGTTGCAACGTTCAAGCTTCATACACATTTCCCAAGCTCTTTAGTCAGTCCTGCAGGGTTACAACGATTCAGTTGCACGGCAACCTAACGGTTGCGACTTCATATCGAACACTGCAGCAGCAGGATGCTTCAAGCTCGAAACATGTTAGTGCCTTCTGAACTTTATCCCTTCTCATGAAGGTCATAGTTCAGTAATCTATCTCTGTAGAGAAGACGATGCGCTCAAGGCCTTAGAGCCTTTCAAGTGCACAACACAGTCTCATTTCCTCAGCGAGTCAAGGTGTGGGCGAGTTCTGACATGAATGCCTCCGTCATCCTCACATCGTCCTGTTGCAGATTCCCCGGATCTCGTTTTGGTTTTGGCGCCCTCAATGCTGATATGCGTACGGCATTAACTCGCGATATACAGGACCTGAAATCCTTGAGGGAGAAAGCTTTAGACGATGTTCGAAGTCACTTTGAGCATATGCTAAAAGCCGTTCAAAGCCGAAGGGAGAGTTTAGCACCTATCCATGGTCTCCCACGGCTCATTCTCGACATGATTTTCCAAGATGCTGGAGAACAAGGCCTGGACTACCGCACTTGCTCTACAGTCACCCACGTATGTGGTTATTGGAGAAATGCGGCTCTGCGGAGTCATCGGATGTGGTTTCGGTTAGATTTAAAAAGCATTCCAATTGCCTTAGCGAAGGAGTTCATTGCCAGGAGCAAGAAAGCACCACTCATATTCTCCATCGCAAACTGGGATCCCGCTCACCGACAGCTTTGTCGATCTCATATTTCTCGTATCAGAGAACTGGTGATTGATAATTGTCGTTATTATTATCGGTTGGACCCGGAGTGGCTCCGAGACATCTCGGCGTTGAATCTGCATGCTTTCACTATCAAATATGACGGAGGACAAGGTCGACATCTCTCCGAGTTCATTCGAAAAGCTCCCACTCTTTGCGAATTAAGGATGCATGGTATTCTCCGACTACCACGGGTATCTGGTTCCTACAAGAACCTCAAAATCCTGGAGATTGTCTGCTCTGAAGACTATTCGGATGACGAGAACAACTTCTTGGTCGTATTTCGTCAATCACCACTTCTTGAGGTATTTCACTGCTCGTGCACGGCTACAAGATTGTTTCAGATCACTTCCAAGGTGTCGGAAGCCAAATCCAAACTTATTCCCATGCGGAAGCTTCGAACTCTACATCTGGCACTGTATTACGTGGAGATAGCCTTCATTCTTCGACATATCGCCACACCGCTGGACATGAAATTGACACTGACAGGTATCATCTCAAGAGAAACTCGCAGGCCTCCGACTGCCGAATTTCTTCCCCGTGATCCTCGCTGTCTTCCATGTCTTAGCAAGACTAGTCGATTCAAAGTTGATGAAGAGGGCATAAGGGCTTTCGCAGACCCGATGACCGAGTGTTTTGCTGCTATAAGCATTACAGATAACTACACGGGAGACAGCGATGCGATTCGGAATCGCGTGGAAGATGTTGCAAGAGGGTTCGAGATAAGTATCCTCAGAAGTTTCTGTGTTTCGCGAACTCCGGCTTCTGTCCGTGAGCTCTGGGTAGAACGCGCAGATGTTACAGACCAGGAGAGCTTGAGCCTCCAAGTCAGCGATATCGTACAGACACTGTGGCATCTTCCACAGCTTTATAAGCTGACTGTGGATGACTGGGGCCAGGATCTCCTCCAGTGCATTCAACATCAGAGTGCACAATCAAGCATTTCAATTTGCCCCGTGGTCGAGGTCCTATCCATTCGAAATATGAAGATCAAAGCTTCACGTCTTGAACGGTTCTTGGACAGCTTTGTCAAGCTTCGAACATTGGAAGACTTTGCAGGTAGCTTCCTTCAAACAGCGTCTTCGGAGCTTCCTATCTCCACCCTGGAGAAAATGAGGAGAGCAGGATTTGATTCTTCTGTGACAATAGTCTCTAGGGATGGCAAGCGTAAGGTCGAGTATGACTCTGAAATAGAAGAGTGGAAGCGCATTGATGCGTAAGGGGGTGTGTGCGTTGCGTATTTGTAGAATCAAAGACAGTGGTAAATGCCGGTGAGTAATCAACCTAAGTTCACTAGTAAATACTGATATCAAACGGCAGAGATGTTGTGACAGTAGTGAGCCGTGCTACAGCTAAGTATCTGCGGAACCATAGGACGCTTTAGCAACCAAAATATATATTTATATACAATACAAAGGCTTTCGGGATCCGCTCGCGGCTGAAGGCACTCACTCAGGCTAAGATGTCGAAACTCTCCCGCTCGATGAGTGCTCCAGACTCTGTTCGTAATTGGCTCGAGAAAACCTGCAATCAGTCTTCGGATACTGAGATGAGGATGTCTTGTTCAATGGCAGCGGGGAAGACGCCAAAGAGGGATAGTCGATGTGCTCGTCGATCAAGCTGGTGTAGGCGTGAGGAGAGATGTTAGAACTCGTGTGCTGAATATTCTCAAGAGGCAGCTTATCGTTCCGAGAATAGCTGAAATACAGCAAATATATTGATCTAAAGAAGGTGCATGCTTACATGAGAAAATGTTGGTGCTGAAACCACTTCATTAGCTTGATATCTATCAAAATGTCGTACTCAACTCCACGGAAGAACGGAGAGGAAAAGTATTTACAATCACGCCAAATGCTCAAACCTCACTCTGAGTACTCAAACCGAAAGACAATAGGTGAAACACCAATCTATTTGTACAACTACGCAGCAACAATAATGACAAGGTGAAGGTACAGAAGTAAGATGATTTTATCGTAGTGCCGAACCCGTAAACGACAAGAGAGAAAAAAGAAGGATGACTATCATGAATCTGATTTCACCCCAAACCCAACACGGCAAGTCCAAAGACTTGCAACCCCAAGACCTATTGAAGATAAAGAATGACACATGTAACGAACCCGAGACTCGACCTCGGGAAGAGTGTGATAGAAGAAAGAGTTCGTGGTAGGTTTTGGGCTAGTGGGTAGGGGCAAAGGGTAGGGTGAAGTAGGAAGGGGGGAACCTGGAAAGAAAGCCGTGCGCTACATATGTTCCTCTCCGGATATCAAGCGCCCTTCTTCACATTTTCTATAACACCAATCGACGACCAAACGATCAACCGCGACCACTCGCTTCCAAGCCGCCGACACCAGTAATGATGAGGAAGGAGAGTAGGGGTCGACGACGGGTGCGAAGATGACGGAGGGTGAGGCGCTCATGGCTTGCGGAATTCGCAAAGCACGGTGTATATCGTATTGAACGCCGTGTAAATCTCTTCTCGAACCTAATAATAGGTCGAGGAAAAGATGACGGGGTTAGCATCATGTTACACGCGAAAGGTGACGACATCGAAAACATCCCGAAATAACGAATGGGGATGGTACACGTGAAAAGAAAGGAAATTCGGTCATTACCTTTGCGCCCGTCAGCACGATCTTGCCAGACACGAAGATCAGAAGCACAACTTTGGGCTTAAGCATACGGTAGATGAGACCGGGGAACAGCTGTGAGGACTGTCAGTCGCCAAACTAGATAAAACAGAAAGATTGCAACGTACCTCGGGCTCGTAGCTGCTGAACTGTCCGTGGCTGTACGCAAGACCCTCAAGACGAATGGGGAATTTCACATCACAGCTGCCCACGATGTTCTGGATCTTGAACTCGGAGAATTTTGCATCGAAGCCGAGCTTCTGAACGATACGCGCATACTTGCGCGACGCCAGCCTCGAGTCGTCTTCGGACTTTGCACCGGTGACGACCATCTTGCCCGAAGCGAAGATGAGTGCGGTCGTCTTGGGGTCACGGATACGCATGATAACCGCGGCGAAACGCTATAAAGGTGTGACGGAGAGAAGTCCCGCGTTCACACAATAAAATAATTGTCATCAGTACCAACCTTAGGATTATACTCTGCATTGCGGGCATGCAGCGCAATCGTCTTCAAATCCAGTCGACAGTCCAGGTTTACAGTCGCAACGATGTTCTGCAGAGTAGGGACGATACCCTCTACTGCAGTGATATGCTGCTGCTCGAGAGTAAGAGGAGCAGGCGTTGATGGAACAACAGTGGGTGCGGGTGTAGAAGGACCAGCGGAGAACTGAGAGCTAGCAACTAGTGTTTGCGACTGTGACAATTGCTGTTGTTGCTGCTGCTGCTGTTGTTGCGCCTGCGGATGTTGGGGGTAAGATGGTGCGGTTGGGACAGGTCCCGGAAGCGCAAGGCTCGACGGCCCTGGAAGATACGGGTTTGACCCGAAAGGCAGCGCGAGGCCATTCGTCTGTTGGGCCTGTGGCTGCTGCTGTTGTGGTTGTGCTATGTACGGCTGAGACTGCGACTGGTACTGCTGCTGAGTCGTCTGGGAGACGTGGGTTGAACGACCAAAAGTGACTTGACGTGCTGGGAGCAAAGACATGATGGATTTCGTGAAGAAACTGTAAGTCTATATGCAAAGTTGATGCAAAGATACGAATTCAGTCTTCGACACCAGAAAACAGAACAAGCTTGGCCGTGGGAAAATAGGGTGCGGAGGGGAAGGGTGTTGGTCGGACGCGTCCAGGGTCCTTATATATGATCTGGTTCAAACTCCGATTGAAAAACCAATCGCCGGCGCTGACTAATTTCCCACATCATCGCTTCCTCTCTGACCACCACCTCCGCCCCTTTCTCGTCTTCCCGCACTCTTATCGTCCCTGTTCACAGCTATCGGTGCCCAAGAAGTGTTATTGAGGACTCTTTCATTGCTCTCGTCAATGCTGAACTCCTGAATGCCCCTCCTCAGCTGCGCGGATCTACGGAGTCCTCTTATCTGGACTGACTCGGATGGGCGCCTACAACTCTGGAAGGCTGAAAGAACCTTCTTTTATCTTCTCCACGACAACCTAGCGTCTACGACCTCGGTCTCTCTTTTTCTTCCCTTTTCTTCTCGTTCCTTGTTGTCGTGTGGATCGCAAGACACTGCATGGTTTCGCTCAGGGTTCCTCTGGAAGGCTGTGATATCTGGTTCCCTTGTTTTTCTAGCATCAAATGTCAACTGTCCTTGTCCTGTGCGCTCATCACGCCTTCACATCGATATCCACACCGCTCTGGAGCTTGTTGCAAAGATATATTGGTGTTCTCCCAGATTGCCATCAAATAGATACAGTCCTACAATCACATCGAGACATAGAAAATCATGACGTGGATGATCGGTGAATTTGTCTTGTGCTTCAAGATCAACAGGGCGTCAAGCCCATCGAAACAAGCTCATTGGCGGCACGGATAAAATAGTAGTCACCTAAAAGTCAACTTGAGTAATGTCAACGTGAAGCTTTTGTAAACGCATGACGTACCGTAGACGATGCCAGTTAAATTATTACGCGCAGGATTATTGACAGTTCCGTTTGACAACAAACTCTGCCATGACGGCTTCCATGCCAAAGTCGTTGTCTTCTTGATGATCTGTAACATGGTATTCATCAGTTCCCCGAGCTTCTCCTGTCATTAAGAGAGTGCCAGACGAGACGGGAAGAGAAAAGACAAAACGAATAGAACGTACATCGATTGCAGAAGCAAGGTACGTTGTAGAGCCTACGATGTTTGGTGGGTGAAGCGTCAACTCTTGCTGAGCAAGTAAGATGAGACCATTCGCAGCGATCATAGCTGCTGAGGTATCAGCCGGACGGGGAGGGTTTAGCGGCGCGTTGAAATCCCTACAAAGGAACTCACAGGTCCGTAAGTATTCGATGAACGCAAATGAAGCATGTTACCATGGCACGATTCCGTCAGAAGGCATATTATCGAGAAAATATTGTGCCATACGGCGCGCGGTCTCGAGGAAGTCGAAGATTTGGGTGTTCTTGTACACTGACAAATTGAAGAGGTGAACTTTGGTCGATCATAATAAAGGCAGCTGTACCTACTATTGGCAAACCCGTAGATGCCCCAGGCTTGACCACGGCTCCACGTACTACGAATATAACATCAGTATACGAAACCGTCAGAATAGTGCAATGAAGCTTACCTGTTGTCAGCGAAGCCCTGGGAAGTTCTCTGATCAATGACGGCGCCAGTCGTAGAGTTATAATCGACAACATGGAATGATGAACCTAAATTAACGCAATTTCAACGTCAGCGTTAAGCTAAAGAACCATGATGTGGAAGATAGACTTGCCATCAGGTCGAAGGTGGTTAATCATAGTCTTCTTCGCGTGCGAGATAGCGATATCACGTAGAGTTTCGTTCTTCGTCAAAGCGTATGAAGCGAAGAGGACCTGAAGCACAAAACAGCACGCGTCAGTTTTCTCCCTTCCCGTCCACATGAGGATATGTTTATCTACCTGTAAGTTCATCATGTTGTCGATGATGACCTGGAAGTCTGTAGGATCTGCCGCATCCCAACTTCTCGTGCAACCCACAATTGGGTTATAGCGTGCAGCAAGCGCCGTAGCAAACTTGTTCACTGCGGCGATCGCGGTCTGGTTATCTGGGTTCCTGCAAATGTCGCGTCACGTTCTAAGCAAAAGCTCTAACGGATTCAGAAGTCCAAGGAACCCACACGTCAAGTTCATCCATGAACGGAAAGCTCAAGAACCCAACATCATGTCCGACTCCAGTCTTCGTCTCAAGCGGAATCTCTGCCGCACTCCACCTTCTTGCCAACCCCAACCAATCTGTACCATCCAGACTCCTGTCACCCTTACACAACTTCGCACGCGTACTTAACGCGTAAAGAGTCGAAGGGAAGAATCCTGTCGTCCAAGTATCGGGAGAGAAGAACTGCCAAGCGCCGACACCGCGATCAGTATATTGAGGATACTTTGACGGAGATTGAGTTGATTGAGCTGTGGCCAGGATCTTTTGGGCTATCAAGGGTGAGAAGGCTTCCACAGGTAGTACAACGTTATCAACTTTATGTGGTATTGCTGAAGTGAAGCTAGAGAATAGGGTAAGTGCGCAAGTGATCAAGACAAGCATAGTGGATACAAGGTGATGTTGCGAGGGGGGGAGTCCTCGAGTGTCCTATGAATTATCCACCCTTCGCATTGCAGACGTATAAAAGCGTGTCGGGCATGCATGGACGCGTGCGGTCGACCAACAGGTGACTGTATCACGTTGCACCATTCATACCAAGCGCATAACACGAATGGAGATGAATGCATACGACGACGGACCGCTACGACGCGTCAAGACAGGTCACCATAAGCAGGACGAGGTTCTTCGTCTCTCCGTCCTCGAGGATATGAGACCCTCGTGACGAAGAGTGTCTCAGTCCGACGACTCAGACAACCATGATTAGCCATGTTCCTCGTCCTTCGCTGCAAGAATTACTGGGCTTGTTCGGGGTTCGTTGTATTGAGGCGTCATCACGAGCCCCCTGAAGTGCGTTGCTTGAAGGTCGTTGGAAGCGTTGAGTCCATATGCACAGGGGCGGTGAACGTCGTGGTCAACGCGAGTACTAAATAGACCAGAAATGGACGCCTTATGGGTGTGCGCTTGGAGAGCGTGGGACATTAACACCATTTATGGACAGCCTCGAATTTGAGCTTAAACTTCAAATTGGATGGGGTGCACCACCAGTGCTTTCGTTGATTTAAACCTGCTTTGTTGTTATGGGACACGGGCGCCAAAGCGCCGTTGGCGGGAGGGCGTCTGAGTGCGTGTCCCGGGACACGATGGACCCCAACCACTGCGGCGGGGGAAGGCGGGGACGCGTCGAACGGTGATCGGGAGGGCGGGGAGCGGTCGGGGGAGTGCCGGACAATGTGCAATAGGTAGAGATAGTCGAGAATGAATTAGTGATGAAAAAAAAAGCGCCGGAAAGTGAGGGAAAGTGAGGAGAAGCGGATGCGTGTCCCATGAAGAGCCAAAATGCGAATTCTTCATGGGACACGCTCTGCGCCAACACTCCAGCCAAAAAATGCGTGTCCCATGAAAAGCAAAAGCCCATTTTTTTCATGGGACACGCCGCTTATTTCTCGGAGATGCGCTGCGCGGCATCAGGGCCTCTGATGGAGGAAACCCCATCCCAATTAGGCAGGTATGTAAGTAAATGGCCTTTGACCGCTTTCTCCACCCTCTACAGTCACACTAAAAATCGCACATTTTGGTATATAATACTATGTACATAGGAATTAATGTCTAGCACAAAAAAGGAGTGAAAAATTCACTGTTGAGCATACAAACTGGTGAGGAACATTCACTTGGGCAGAATGCCTCACTTAGGCGCTCCGGGGTCCGGCCTCCGGCATTTCCCTTTGCGTGTCCCACAGCGTTTTAAAGGTTGCTTAGACAGTCTTGAATGACCCATGGCTTGCACCTTCAGCTTGTGGCAATTACATCCCATGCTATCTGAAGGCTGAGGCCGAAGTCATTATAAACCTCTTCTCTCGAATGAATAAGAAGAGACGACGGTCTCAGGTCTAAGGAGATGAATGTACGCCCTGCAGGGCCGACCTGACATAAAAGCTCTTGCCCGTTGCAGCATCTAGGAAAAAGAGATGGTCTCTATCGCAGAGGTGTGTCCAGTCATTTCTTTTGTTACGGGTTCGACCTTAATACCATACAATGCACCGATATACATACCCTCAGACTTATCCGTGGTCGAGATCGACGGTCGTGTCGAACGCTCGTCTAAAGTAGGAGAAGCGTTCCAGATCGCATGGAAACACGGTTATGGTAAGTGTGGATGTACTTCCAAACGAAATGCTACATATGATATTCGAATTTGCCAATGGGCGGGGAGAAGACCGACGGTCTTCATTCCAGAAGCGTATTCAATAAACTGGACGTTGTGTCTCTGTTTAGTGTCTGCAAGACCCTGAACAGGTATATCCCAATGGTCTTGAGTATGGTCTGCTATTTCACGATGATATTTCCAGGTAGTGAGAAGTTCAGATTGTGTTACGGGAATTACTATTATGTCTGCCGGCCTGTGGCGAGTCCGACTCTTCTGAGTTTGTTGCTACGCTCGCGTTGCTGCCTACAGATCGTATGCGTTTTGAGTAGTTCCTGTTCAGGTCGTGAGCTCTTTGCATCACTGTTTTCAACCTTGCGCCCGCCTCATTTACCGTATTTACTCAGATACCTTCCAATTCCGGCCTTCTTTTGTTCCAGGTCAGCACCATGGCCTTCTCCATATAGGACACCGTAGAGAATTCCATTCTGCAACTCTGTCGATTTTACTCGCCGAGTTTGGCAAGCTTTGAACCGTGGATGATTTCTGACTTGTAAGAGCATAGCCCGATCGCACCTTACTTCCAGTATGACACCCGAAGATACACTCGTGAATATTGGGCCTTAATATGCTACCTAAGCGTAATGAGCTTGGACTGCAACTATGAGGCATGTACAACTAATGAAAACATACCCTACCGGTAGGGTACCGCGTCCAGCGTTGTAGTTCGAATCGTAAACCTCTTCAAGATGACGTGGGAAGAATCACCAAATTAGTATACTCGCATAGCGTCGCGTAAGGTCGCGTAGCGGACATGCGTGACAATACACTCACAACTTGTTCCGGGCACCTCCCCAGCGAAAAATAACGCAACTGCACAACGTGAGTGATGAAACTGCATCTCATGAGCGAGCATCGAAGACCTCTTGACATCGCCAGAATTGCATACTCTGTTGACTTCAAATTCAAAAGATGAGCAGTCAGACCAAGAAGCGGAAGTTGGCAATGGAAACCGACCACCGTACCTTCATGTCGTCTTTAAAGGAGGCATTTCCGGACACCACAAGGTAAGCTATGGAGTGCCAATCATCACGTACCCAGAAATTGCATCTCAATCCAAAAGGTTCCAGCGCATTGGTACACAGCCTCTTGCGTCCTCCGATGCTCTGTCTGCGATTGAGCGTGACATAGCAGATGTTGAAAATCTTCTTCAGGAGACGATTAATACGTTCCATGGTTCCCTTGTGCACCTCCGTTCGCGACGCAACAACGCTGTGACTGTGAACATTCTTCCGGACGAAATCCTCTGTGCGGTATTCGAGACGGCCAATGATCAAGGCTTCGACCACAAAACCACTTTGGCAATTTCCCACACATGCGCACGGTGGCGTTCCGTGAGCCTGGCCGACGCGTCGTTTTGGTCATGCATTGATATGAATGCCATTCCTTTGAAGCTCGCCAAATTATATCTGGAACAGAATACGATAATCCCTCGCTCCCTGGTATTCATATGTGACGGTTACGAAGACCCAGTCTTAGAAAAGGCCAAGCTTTGTGCAGACATCACAGTATTTGCAAGGGAGCTGGTGCTCTGCACGAGAATCCCGATCTCCTGGCTGGCCCCTCCCTCAGAAGCTCCGTTCCTCGAGATCTTTACACTAGACGGCATAAACATCAGGAACTCAGGTCCGATAATCTCAGATCCATTTGCGTCCTATCCCAGGCTGCACAGCTTGACTTTGCGTGAAGTGCTGTTACCCAAGCACTCGTCCGCATACAGAGGTCTTCGAGAATTGAGCATCGAAGTTTGCACAACGGCATCTGAGAAGTTTAACTTCTTTTCTCTCCTATCAGCCTCTCCTGATTTGCAGGTACTGAATCTCTCCATACGGGAGATGGATAATGTATTTGAGAACCTTGCCGAGAACGAGTGGCTCAAGCTAACGCAGCTTCGTAGCTTGTCGCTAGTCCTTCCCATCGTCGAGATCAACGAAGTGCTCTCTTCTTTGGAGATCCCGCCTGGTTGCAGGATGGACCTAAGGGTCCCCCCAACGTGCATGACCACAGAGAAGGCATCTTTAATCGACTTTTTCCCCGTGGATCCACGCTTCCTTTCTCGCCTTCAGGATTCATACAAGCTTTGCATCAAGTCCCGTTATTCCCAAGCGATAATCTATAAATCAGAGTCCCCACGTTCATTCCCAGAAAGCCTCCCGCGGGTGGAAAGCCTGCCATTCATCACCCTTTCTTCGGTTGGAAATATCTTCGACTCCACTAGTATCATTGGCCTTCTTCAGCTGCTTTCATCTCTTCAAGACCTTGAGCTTGGCTCATGCAGTGCATACAGCGCCTCCGATATCATAATATTCATGAAGTTGGTCCCCGCTTTACGACGGCTTCGCATTGATTGGTGTCCCATTGAGCTCTACAAGACACTAACGACCCTGGTCGAATATTCCCCTACACCATTCCTTCCCCGGCTTTCCCATATCGTCCTGTGCCATTCCAAGATAAACACATCGTTGACTGCTCTATGTCGCAGCCTCGAGAAACAACTGTGCAGTATTCAACTTGTAGGGTGCAGATTTGAAACAATGACGGAAGAGGAGCGAATCCTGGGAGAACTACAAGGACTGGACATACTGGAAGTGATGTCTTCTAACGCCACGTACAGGAAACGACTTTGAGGCTTGGAATCCAGGAAGCTCTGCTAGAACAAGTATAGCTTATCTCAAATTCTCACTTAACTCACAAACGAGAGCGATAGCACCCACCATGTAGATACCCTTTCGAATCGAAGCCTAATCTGCCGTCAAAGACACGCGGGGTTTACTTTAAAGTGTCTTCAATGTGAAGTAGCTTGGTACGCGTGTTTGAACGATTGGCTCGGCAACGGAATGAAGTTTTGAGTCAATCCAAAGTCCTACGCTTAGGCTGATAGTAACATTGACCAGAATCGGGAAGCAGTGAGAATTCATCATGGACAATCCAGAAAAAAGGTATTATAGAGTACGTATACTCAAAACAGGAGTGTTCATAAACGACAGGAAAATGCGAATACAGAAAAGACATATCTATGACCTATCCCACCCAGAACATCACACACCAGCAACGATCCTAAAAACACGAACATCAGCATCAAAAACCGCTCTGACATGATAGACAGATGAGACTTACTCCTCGGCCTTGTTGAGAGCCTGTACCATCGAGACAACCTCCTTCCTCCTGTTGACGACATACTCAGACTCCTTGAGCAAGTCATCGAGGACCTCGGGCTTATACAGCTCCTGAAGAAGTTCGCGTTGGAGGTTCTCCTTTGAGTGGTTCACCAAGGTCAGAGAAATGGCCTTGGGAACCATGTCGATCATCTCGCGCTTGACGATGTTGAAGTACGAGTGGATGAGGAGTTCTATAGATGATTCAATAAATTTCCGCATGCAAGCAAATATAACGATTGAGAGAACTCACTTATAACCTCGGTCTCCATCGTCTCCCTGTCATTGAGCGCAGCCTGGGGACGGATAACCTGAGGAGGCTAAAACACAGAAGCGGTTCGCAATCAGTATTTTTCATCTCCAAAAAAAAGACTACAAGCGAGGACTGACCGATTCCATAACAGCAGCACCCTTCTTCTTTGGGGCATTCTTCGCCGCGGAGAAGAATGATCCGAAGAAGCTAGGTTCCTCCCTCCTAAGATCGACGTCGAGGTCTCTGTTGTTGTTGATCTGTCCTGGCGCAAGCTTGCCGCTCTTGGGATCTGGGGCAGGAGTAGGAGGCTTGCTTGCGTTGAGACGCTCTGTAACAATAGCCATCGCCTGCAGATAATATGAGTAGTTGCATATTATGTCAAGTGACTAGAACGAACCTTGTGGCCGTTCAGGAAATCCGGATGTGTCGTGTTTACGTAGCATGCTTGCATGCTATTAGAAGTGCGTGAGATTAGCCTTTCAAAAAGGCGGATATAAAGTGTACTTACGCTACCATGTCAGATACCAGCTTCGTCGTCGGGTTCATCGATGTCTTGAAGAAGTTCACTACGACAGAGTTGAACCGTTCTCGAAGAGCAGGGTACCGTCGGAACGCAGGCTATAGAAATGCCGGTAAGATAAAGCACCTGAATAGAACGTCAATACTCACAATCTTCTGTAGGAGCTGTCCGAGAATTCGGATAAGCTCATCATAGACAAGCTGGCAACATTTAAGAGTTGGGTCCTCCAATCGCTTGATTTGCTGCTTCACGATGACCTCGAAGGCTGTCGTTCCGACAAACAGTGAAGGTGTTGAACCCTGCAAGGGATTCGCGTAAACACAAATGACACGCGGATTAAAACAAATGATTCACTCACCGAAGAGTTGTAGAGAATTGTCCTGATATCTCCATCCTTCACTTGGTCAAATGGATCGATCGTCTTGATACCCTGGTTGAAGAGTTCATGGAACACAAAGGAGATACGAGCACCTCCTGACAACTCGTTCAACGACAGATCATTTGTATTACCGTCGATGGTTGTTCGGAATTCGGAGCAGAAGTCGGTAATAACAGAAAGGACGACACTTGAGGAGCTTGTATCACCCAACGCTCCACCGAGCGATTGAAGTTCCGTGTTGAACTTCTGCAACTGTTGTGTGATGCGAGCTTTGATATCGGGGAGCGTTGCTCGGATGTGGTGCATAAGGATCTGTTCAAGTTGAGCAACTACGTTTGATAATGGATGTTTCTGGTACTTACCATGTTCAGTTTGCGCGCAAGGAAAGGAGTACCACAGTATTGCGCCTTGCTCTTGTATGACGGGTGGTTCTCAAAGTACTCCCGCTCGAACTCCAGTGCAGCACTAATGGGCTTATTCGCCTCGATATCCCGCTGGCCACGATTCACGACTGGGACATAACCCAGTCGCAGGGGGATGATTCGGCCTGCCAGGATATCGACAACATCCGTACCCGCGTCCATGAGATCCACCTTCGTCAAGACACCGATCGTCCTCTGACCCTCCGGATCCACCTCTCGCGCCAACTTCAAGCCATCGGAGTTAGCCAAATCAGTGTTGGCAGCGGTAACAGCCAGGATGATACAAGCAGGTTTCGTGATGAATTTAAGGAGCATATCACGAATCTGTTTCTCGATATCCTTCGGTTGGTCACCAACGGGTACTTTAGTCAAGCCAGGAAGATCAACGAGGGTGAGGGTAAGGACATTCGGGGAGTAGATTCGCAAGTTGATGGGTAGTGGTGAGATACCAGCATTGCGACCCGTCTTAGCCTCGGTATCCCGGACGATCTCCTCACGAATCTTGTTGAAGTCATAAAACTTCTGACCTGGAAGGTGAAGGAATTCACCCCATTCGTTCTCATTTGCATGCTTGTCACCGTCTTTGGCTATTCGGAACATGTCAGAGACTGGATGTCGACAAAATGAGGCATACATACAAACAGCATTCCCATTTGGTTGTGGTGATGATGGTACCGGTCGGTTTATGAGTTGCAAAACCTGTAAAGGGCATTTAATGGGGGCTGAAAGGGCTGCGTAATCGCAAATACTTACAAGTGGTCTACGAGTCACGATACCAGTTCCTCTAGGCAAGAAATCCCGACCAACGATGTTCTGTAGTACGTTAGTTACTCAGCCAGCAAACGACAGAGTTCTAAAATATGCATACCTCGAGCACACTACTCTTTCCACTACTCTGACTACCGAGTACGCATATCTGTGGCAAGTCTATTTGTGATGCAGATGACCCAACAGCGGTAAAGACATCCTGAAGCTTGTTGACGACTGATACGATTTCAGAACCGAGTCCAGCGGTCGCCATGATGAGGGCGAGGTCGTAAGAAAGAGGAGAAAGGAGAAGGAAGGATGTGGTAGATGATAGAACAGTGCTGCTGGTGTCCTGCCGCAGTGTTGCACTCCGGCGCCAAACGCGTTATTACATGAGCGTCTCCTCGCGCTGCGGGGCTTTCACATTTTCAAGCTTACAGCCTCCAACAAATTTTTACTACCGTGTCACCAGCTATCATACTGCGGTGGATTGTATAGACAAAGTTCCAATGTGACACTGAGCAGACATTCGTGACAGATATGCCTTGCAGCCTTGCATCCGAGGAGAGATCACCCAGAATGGCTCCAACAGCAGAGGTACAGTATATAGCTCATGTTGCAATTGAGTGTGATGATCAAGGGAGAGCAGTTCCGTGTATATAGCGGATGTTAGACGAGATACCTGATCATTGGTCGGTCGTATTACATGAATTCCTGAAATTACAGCTTCTCTACAGCGGAGGTACCTAGAATTTGGGCCGTTTGTCGAGTGGAACCGAATAATCGCGCGATTAACCGTAGTTGAGACGGAAGATGTCGTTGTATCTACGATACAGGAGAAATTATGAGCATGAACCCAGGCAATGAAAGGATAATACCTACACATAATAGCTGCTACCGTCCGGAATCAGCTGGAAGATCTGACTGAATTGCAGGGGATTCTCGCTGTCATCGATCTAGGAGATGACATTAACCTAGCCATACAAACTCAGGGATGACAAGGTCCTTACAACGAGTAGTCCAGTCACGCTGACGATGAGACTCGGGATGGTTGGGGAAGATGGCTGAGCGTCAAGCGTAGTGACCTTATGCTGCACCTTCGTGAAGGGAAGGGACTTGAAGAAGCAACATAAAAATCCGGCTCAAGCAAAGGAGTTTGCAACGCACAGTGATCTTTTCAACAATAGCAGCAGCCCCCTGGATCGGCGAGCCCTCCCATGTCATCATAGAGTGGTCACGCTGTATCGAGTCGCGAACATGTTGAGAAACCCTCCTACGAGTCAGGGATCGAGCGGTAGCAGATATCGACGCACGTAGAGACTTTGCAGACCCTGACGGTTGGTATCGAACGTCGTGTAGTAGAAATCAGTGAACTGCTTCGCGATCGCCTGGATATCAGCCATATCGAAGACGAAATGAGAGAGAGACAGAGAAAGATGCGTGAAGACAAGTTGAAAGATCCGTTTGAAGCACAAGATCCTGTGTTTTGTTGATCTGACGCCACTGGGCGCTCACGATTTCTACGTGGGTCCTACAAAGTGTTGGTTATCTTTTATTGCTCCCTTCAAAGATTCGAATCGTAGTCGGGTAGAGCTCGGTAAGATCTTTCACCCTTCCCATCGTTACGTTGTCCACACGGTACACTATACACACGGTCTGACTGTTGACCGCTGACTGGCTGCCAGACAAGCAGAAGGGAAATAATCAATAAATATCCTCGGCAAAACCTTGCTGGCGGCTCAGTTGGCACGCGAAACAGAGTTCTCGAGATGGCAGCGTTCAGCAGTGTGATGTCTATGGCACCGGCCCAATCCATAGACATTCAGATGCAACGTCCATCCATGCGCCGGAAATCATCAGCTCAGAACCTCCTCTCCTCCTTCAAGCCCAGTGCGGTCAATGTCAACCACACCGGTACTGTTTCCTCCGCCACGGGACTACCATATGCTTCTGCTCCGACGCCAACGTCTACAGTGCCTCTCTCAAGAGAATGGGATGTACAGTCGTTACAAGCGGACTCCATTGCTTCATCTTCTGGGTCAATGCCGATTGTGAACGGAGGACCACAAGCAGGACAGGGAACCACAGTTGAGATTCTGAGGGAGGTGGTGAAGAAGAGGATCATTACCTTGACATATCTGCGGAATGTGCACGAGGGGTGAGCACCACACATCTCATTCTAATTACCTCAATATCAACGAAGCAGCTAGGCGAAGCCATTGGTTCCATACCATCCTGATCACTCGCCCTGAGCTCGATCGTGTGTTCAACAATACTGCCATGAAGACTCGGTACGTGAGACTCTTATCAACGACTCTCCAGACGTGTTCAAACGCGCTCTTCCTTCAGAACATATCGATTCGCGATTCTGGGCATGTCCCTCGCAAATTCATTTGACGTCAAGGATCCTCAAGACCTTCTGAGAGCTTTATCAAATGCATTGAATGAGTATGATCAAAACAAGGATGATGGTGAACGGCCGAAGATGGTACGTCCGCCTTCTTATTACCGCAGTTTGGGTATTGCCTTGGATTCGCGACCTCGAGACGAGAATACGTCAGTTGCTCCGGCCTAAGACCGTATGGGCGGAGGAGTGATCCCCCATTTACATCACCTACTCTCATGTCCGGGACTCTGTGTTGAATTTTATGATGGTCGCCGAGGCCAGCTGTATGATGTCAACTAGCTGGGGATACGGACTTGTGTGACCCCGCTTAGGGTCCTGACACGCTACACGTGTAACGTGTACTTGAACTGGCACGGTCACCTCTGCCATGAAGCAAGGGTACCATGAGCCAGATAATCTTGTCCTGCCCTTGTCACGCTTACTCTGAAAACTCATTTCCACTCGCAGCGTTCACTATTTAGACCTGGCCGATCAAAGCGACCTCTAGGAGCTACTGATTACGCCGTGTCATATTCGGATTCATCAGATGCATCATTTCTTGTACTTCCCCACGTTGTAAGTCCCTTCTTCTCTTACAGGAAATAACATACTCATAATATCGTTCCAAGCCATTCCCTCTTGACTACCACCAAACTCTCCTGTCCCTTCTAGACGTCCTGTCGGAGGTGTATAATAAAATTTCAAAAATCCTTGGACCATCGCCGTTTCCAAGTTCAGGGCAACACATGATGGGTCCTCTGGGTTTGCTTTCGCCACATCCTGGTGTATCATACTTGTTCTCAGGCGCAGATGCGGCGCCAGTGAACGATGTTGAAAATAGTTTGTGGGGCATCGCACATGCCAACCCGCCCAACGCGTCGTTGTATGGTGGTACCCTTGGCAGCCCGCCGCCTAGCTGGAACTCAGCCATTGGCGACTCTGTACGGCAAATTGACGGCAGGTTAAAGGTACGGGCTTCTTTTTTCTATCCGGTCTTGATCTTTCTCATGTGTCACCTCCCGTCCCGTTGTCTCTCTTTCAAACAGAAAATCATAGCCATGTTACTGAAAGAGCTCGACAACTGTGCTCGCAGGGGTATCAGAGACGAGCTGGCATCTCTAGATCCCTTACTAAGGAACGTTGCTGTTCCTGAAGACGTGTATGATTTCGACGGATGACGACCGGTGACCGGCTATCCTGGAATATGTGTTGGATGATGCGCTCTTCACACTCATCACTGCTTCATGCTTTTGTTCACCTTGTTCAGAGGATGATGACTGGAAGGGCTCGAGGATAGTATCTCAGCTAATTCTATACCGCTAACTCACTCTCTAACTTTATTCCTTGTATGTACGTTAGTAATTCTTTTTTTGGATCCTCCTTTTGTAATACTAGTTTGGGTACCCCTTTCTCTTGATACAGTACCCGTTCTGACTTGTACAATGGATAGGATCCCCAGCCACAGCAAAGTCACAAGAACAGAAGCCTTTACAACCAGTGCGTCTTCTAAACAATAGAGAGCATCATGACTCCGTTCGGAAATCCATTGAACTTGCTTCTAGAGGATCAAGATCAAGTGACGCTTTGTCGGTATGAGCACCGAGATGCACTCATACATGCTATCTACGACATTGCCTCACGCTGTGTGGGGTACAACAATTCTTCCCCACGACACTAGGGTAGACCGAGCTCGAATGAGTACGGTTCGCAGTATACACTTCCCCGAACCAAATCAGCGCCATCACTTGCCTGTCTGTAATCTGTGACTGTGCTTCAAGTGGGGCCTGAGTCACAACAACGCTTGACAACTGCGAGAGTTCCTGATGAGGTACTTCACTTGTGCGTACCGGATCAAGTGAGCGGCATGGAGAGAACATATGTAGAACATGAGGACGAAGAATTCATTCCACGGAATGTTCAAGGACATTGCAAAGCGGGCAGAAAGACAATAGGAGTCGCCAATACGGACACGCTCGAGCGCCTGCATTGTCGCTTTACGGCACGGAATACCCAGGCTTTCTGTCTTCACACTGTCCTTATTGTTTTAACATTTGGAGACCATCGGGAACAAAACCACAGCAAATACCTGGACCAGCCAACGGAAGAAACATGAGGCAGTGAAAGTTGTCGCAGTGGTAGCGAACACTGCCGACTGAATCACGGTCTGTCGGCGTTACAGGTGTGTCGGCTGCGCGACGTTGCAGGCAACATCAAACACAGACCGATGCAAGCCAGTCAGGAAGAGGTGGATTATTGTGTTTCTAACAGTACTCTCCGTCTGTACTGGAGCCGGTCGTCAGCAGATTTGTCCATTCTTTCGCCGACCGCGTGTGCTTATTGTTCTTAGTTCGCCTATTTGGGACAATGCAAGACAACAGTTGCCATATCAAGGACCTGCTAAACCCGGCACAAAGTGTTGCCTCGCTTCTTGCAGCAAACCTTTTTATACCCCCAACTCTTGCCTATTGATGTTTCCCTCACTTTTCTTCCAGTTTCTTCTATACTGTACGGGTCCACGAACCCTTGGCAATCTCGCCATTTCAGTCTACCGCTGTTCTTCGATCAATCTTTACGATGCCTCGATTTTCCTCCTCCGTGGTGAGTATATAAAACCTCGTGGCAAGAAGCTGCACCTCATGTTCTTCTTTCTCTTTGTAGGACTCGCACTACCCTTCAAGTATGGAGAGCTTGCTTGAACCGCCCTCTGGCTCACAGAGGGTCAAGTACAGAGGCGCGGGTTCACACTCTGCCTACGACTTCTCGCTCGACACAGAACACAGACCGATTGATGTCTCCCTTGTTCTACCCCATTATCGCGCGAAAAACCAACCCATTGACCATCGTCTGAGCATGTATGTCGGCAATGATTCCAGCGAGTCAATCAAAGTCAAAGTGGTAAGTAAGACAAATAATCGGCTTGATCAAAAGCGGGTCTGATCGGGTACCAATGTAATGACCTATTCTCTCTTTCAGTGTCGCAGCTTCACTCCTTCGAGACCGACGAAGTTTCATCTCGAGGTGCATTCGTCATCTTCTGCCGATATCACTATCTGGCTTCCATCCGATTTCAAAGGACACATCCACCGATCATCCTCATGTAACAAGGTTTCCTTCTCCGCTGGTTTTACAAATCGTATCATGAAAAACGTTTGCCTCACACAATCTCGTCGACCCTCCGTCGTCTCCGTGTCATCAGGGATGTATCGATACTCCGACATCTACATCACCGATGCCAATCCACACCAGACGGAGAAGTGGGGAAGCTCAGCGGAGGAAGATAAAGTGATTGTACACACATTGGGTACCGTCACCTTCAGGATGTGGGACATCCATCGCGGCGAACCCGAAGCGTGGTGCAAGGAAGCATGCAAGCGCATGTTCGGACTTGGTTGGTGCGCGAAGCGCAGCAACGAGGTCGAGATTGATTGGGATTTCTTGTTGGAGGATTGAGCATTTTAACTCTCCTCTATTGCTTTTTTACTTCGTGTCGTCGTTTTCATCCGTTATCATTGTTCTCCTCTGTCATCATCGTCATTGCTCTGATATACCATCATCATACCTCCTGCAGGTCTTCTTTGTTTACGTCAGTCATCGTTCTGTAGCACCAGCATCTCTCGCAGTTATTTAGACTTCTATCCACGTCATCCACTGTAGCACTAGTTTCACGTCTTATACCTTATTAAGTACCTACACATTTTCTTGTTATGCTCTTCATCTCTGGTAGCTATGCGGTAATATGAACATCTATGCTTTGAAATGACACTTGAAAGGCGTAATAGCCAGCGCTCAGGTTGAGTCGTTGACCCAATTTCGGACGCGTCGGGACCATCCAAAGACGCGTCTCAACCATCATGTATCATATCAACGGGGTCAACAACCCCAGTCATTCTTTCGAGACTCTCAAGTTGCATCTGGGAAGTTACAGCCTGGTCTTCGTATATTTCAGTTGACCTCTGCGTTGACTCAAAGTGGGTCTCGAAAGTATTCAATTGTGAGCACAACTTGAAACTCGTGCTTTGACACGGAACCAAGCCCGTTAGCAATATTAGGCCATTGAAGAACTGACTGTCGTCTTAGCAAGTCAGAAGGCCTTTTGTAAAATTGGAAAGACATTCGACACGTATGGAATCTATAAAATCTCCTAAGGAAGCACTGGACGTCTTCCTCGGTCACGTTGGCAAAACATGGCCAATTTCGAAGAGGTCAGCTTCTCAACGATTTTGTCTCCCAGCTCAATTATTAATACATTACGTGCAGGTTTCATACTGAAGCGTTGGATTACAAGTCAGAACTTCGAAACATGGAGCGACTGGAGCGGGAAGTTTCCAATGCTATCTCTAACGCATTTCGAGCTGCAAGCAGCACCCTCCGTGTGCAACGCAATTGCGCGTGGTTTCCGTTACTGAGAGCGAGCACTCAAGATCTCTCGTACATAATTTCGCGTCTGTTACTTGCGCTTGAGAATCCGACCGATATATGGACTCTTTCACAAGTTTGTGCGAAGATGCGACAAGCCTGTCTCTCGGATCCAAGTCTTTGGCGCCATGTGGATCTGACCAGGATGTCTCCAAAACTTGCTACAGAAATGATTGCACGCGGCGGACACGAGGAGCTGATCATCGACCTGACGCAAACACCGTCCGGTGCTGTGGCCAAGAAGCCTGCACGACATAGATATGGCGTGAGGCCGCACCCTCAGCCTTACGCAGATCGAAACCGACATGCATTCATTAAAGATAACTCAGCAGCAATACGAGAACTCCATCTCACCGTTGAAGGCATGCAATCATGCCTCGAGAACTTGAAGATGCCTTCATTAGAAACACTACATGTCGATTCGGATGACAGGACGTCGGTCAATTACTTGATGGACGTTTTTGAACACGGCCAAAATGGCGATACGTGTTCCGAACGCAAGCCGTGCACCGAACATGTACCCTGTAGGGAACACCATCCCTGTCCTCGACTAAAGCAACTCTTCCTACAAGGAGTTTTGCTAAGTGGATCGCCTGTGGCACTCGTTGGATTGACGTCGCTATCCATTTCGTTGCCAGAACCTGTCGGCGACTGCATTTCCACGTTGCTGAAGGCTTTGCCAAACCTGGAAGATCTGGGTTTACATGCCTCGACTTCAGGCATGTTCCCTACGTTTCCTTCCACCGACCAAGACAAATTTACTGTCTTCGCAAAGCTGAAATGCCTTCACCTGGAGCTAGTAGCTTCAGACATATACAATTTCCTCTCTTCTATCCTGACCTCGGAATCGCTCATCCTGGATTTGCAAGTAGGACGCCCACGCACTGGTAAATTGTTTCCCTTGGACCGCCGATGTCTCCCCTGCCTCAGTCAGGTACAAAAACTCTCGGTCCACAAGGAGGACGATCTGGATAGTCGCATCTGTGGCTGTCGCTTAGTACCCCAGAGGGTGTGGTTTCATCTTCCCGACCCATTATCACAGTATCATATCCATTGAGCGCAATGGAGTTCGATAAGGTGACCTTCAATGTTGCCAGCGTGATACGGCGTCTTCCGTTCCTAGAGCAACTCGATTGGACCAAGGATCACAGATACACGGACCACGATGTCATTCAAATACTCCACTCGTCTCGGTCCATTCGCAAACTCGCACTTACATCTGACGCGGCTCTCCCCGGATTGACTAGTCAATGCGCCCATTCCCCCTTGCCATTCTTCCCCGACATTCGCGAATTTAAGTTCAAACAACTTGGCCTCCACCGTGACTCTAGCAGAAAGCGGCTCAGGAAGTTCTGCCAAGCATTCTCCACACGTCTGGACAAAATGCACCTGTCGAAATGCATATTTACTGACGCTGATGATGAGAAGACATGCCTGAATGAGTTAGGTGCAATGGGTATCGCACATGTGAGAAGCACGGATGCCAAGTTTTCGAGTATGTCTCTTGTTCCTTCAAGGTTGTAACCTTGCGTCGCTGACCACTGTCCATATGAAGACGATATACGAAAGCGAATACTCGATCTGGAGTCTGAACGCGTACCTTCTAGCAAGCGCAGAAGGAATAGATATATTTAGATTGACCGTACAACAGCATTTCGCTGCTGATACGTACCAACCCTGCTGATGTAGGATTATTTTCGGCCATTTACTGATTTATCTAACACTTCATTACTGCAGGGTGATCGCGTAGTCTCGAGAAGAATTTTTGGTTCGTGTTTTTGTGAAGTAAAGCACATCGCAAAGGGCCTTCTGCGTTCTGTAGCTTCGCCTGATAATTGTCAATTGACGGAGATGGTGCGAGGCTCCTCAGTGTGATTGTGCGACGAGCGTAGACCGTTATGGATATCTGTATATTGATACATGATGTAGTGCACATATGTCTATTGATACAATGGATTATATGAAGAATATCTTTCTGCGGAGGTTTCATGGTGTCGCCCCGGCGAGACATTGTTCCAGGACTTCAAGAAGCGCTGGGTTCTCCAAAGCAGCAGCAACACGTTCCTTATCATTCAACTGTTTATTCACTACGGGAAGCAATCAGCCAGGATGTTAAAGAATCAATAAGAAGTCAGCGCACAGGCATGCTCGCTCTGATGAGATCCGGGCTTGACACGGATGTCGACTTTAAATCGATTTGGCAGACTTCGCAGAAGACGAACGCGAATGCTCAGACCTGTCCAAACACGCATCAGCTTTCACCAATATCTCATTGAAGGACTCTGGGAGGCGTACCGATAAATGTGCTCATACCGCAATGGGGCACGGTTGGCGTGAATTCTACTGTGACCCTTCGACTCTGCCTCTGTGCGTCCGCTGAGTCGAAGGATATTTGTGGTGCTGAAACTACGGCAAGCTGCTCGAGCGTCATGCTACGATGCTCCGGATCGGATATTGACCTAATAAGTTCTGGGGGAGGGACGGTCAGTAATTACCAGTGAAAGTACGCTGTGTCCTCCCACCAAAGATTTCATCTTGGTCAATCTCCTCAACCTCGTCTGAGTCCTCCTCATAGTCTTCCGCATCCCCATGACGCTCCCCGTCGTCCAACCAGAGTGAGTTACTCCTTAAAAACGCTGCAGCAGTTTTGGACTTTGTAGGTACGAAGATAGTGGGATTGGGGTTGAAAGCCTCAGAAGACATATTTCAAGTATGCAAGCCCAAGTGCAAGTCCTTTGAATTGTAGTAATAGAGAAAGATTTGATTGGACAAGCACCATTGCACCAGTCATCCACGAGGAGGCGTCCGGACCGCCGAAGAATTGCCTTTCTGGGATGTGATCGGCCACAGTGAACCGATTGGAAAGTACAGCATGGCCTGTTGCACAAACCACATACTTTGTCCTTCTCCTGCAACCACCAACAACTCAACTCATCGTCTCGGACATCTGCAACAATGGCCCCAAAGGTTCGCCCAGAGATATTGTAATGGTTGTGCGGACTATGCTGAAAGCTTTCATCAGAGAAAGCGCGCTGGAGACGTTACTGTCACCGAAACGACGACAACACGAGCTACTCGTAGTTCTGCGCGTTCGAAAACAAAGACTGCGGCAGCTGATTCACCAGCAGCGGGAACATCTGTATCTGCTATGTCCAAGGACGAGGACATAGAAGAAATAGTACGTGTCACTGTATGTTTGGCATTGCCCTAGATATTCAGGTAGATCATTTAGGAAACCCCAGTAAAGAAAACGCGCAAGACTGTGACCAAGACCAAGGCAGCAACGACCACGAAGAGAGGGACAAAGAAAGAACAAGCCATGTACGTTAACCCCCAGAGATTCATTTAGAACACCTAACCCTAACGCCCATCCGTCAATGATTAGACCCGAAGCTGACGTAAGCAAGAACCCTCCTTGAGGAGCCAGGCTGCCTGTTTTGGTATTGACCCTTCTCTGCTTTAGGCACAGCCTGCACCGAACGGCAAGCAGTCTCCCTCGTAAGTGTTCTTGTTTCCTCATTGTTCACTTTCCTTCGTGTCCCCGAGAAGAGACGTGCAAGTATTGTGTTCAAATACTTTCTGCTGCCACGTTGAACAACCTTCTTGGACCTGTCGGTTCGCACAGCAACACTGCTACTGGCTGGCGGTGCTCGTGGTTGCCATTTTCATACCCGTTCTTCTGTGGACCTTTCGATTCATATACCCTCACACATGAACTTAAGATCTTTCTTGTGCTGTATTTCTAACCACGAGCATCACACTAGCGACAGCGCCAAGGAGGTGACGAGCAAACCCGTTGCGAAACCGACCACGAGGAAAGGTTCCAATGCAAATCCAGAACCTTATTCTCCTGGCCGCGCCTTGGAATTATTCAAGAGCTATGCAAACCAAGACGATTGTGACGTCATAGGACCTGGCGGCTTTGAACGACTATGTAACGACGCGGGAATTGCGATGGATGGCGCAGCACCGCTATTGCTGGCTTGGCAATTGGGCACGAGTGAATTTGGAAAGATCAAGAAGTCGGAATGGGAGACGGGTACGGGTGAATTGCGGTTCGTTCCATCCACGTTGTTGTCTATCCTGCTTTTTTATTGAGCGTGATACAGGATATCCTCAGTTGATGTCTTCTCTGTTGCATTGCGCGAGCTTGAGGACATGTTGCTACTAGACAAACCTGCACTCAAACCTGCACTCGCACCTATTGGTAGCAAGAAAACTGCGATGCCCGAACCTTACAATCGCGCCCGATATTACCGGTATGCTCAAGACAAGAAGAAAGCCTACAATGAGCTCTATCTCTTCTGCTTTATGCTAGCGAAACCCGAGTAAGTTACTGAAGCATGCACACTATCTCTTTGTGCCATGTGCTAATAACATGTCGTAGAACCAGTCGAAGTATTGATATGGAGGTAAAGCGTTTACGTTCTATAACCACTACGCATTCGCTGGTGCTGACATTTATTTTCACCAAAGACCGGCTGTGCTTTCTGGTCTGTGCTTGTCGCGCCCAAATATTCCACGATGAAAGACATCCTCGAATTCATTACTGTACGTTCATGTGTGTGATCTTTGTCTATCCAATTCTAAATTTCCCTCCGGCTTTAGGAGAAAGGCACCTACAAAGGTGTAAACAAGGACCTGTGGACGATGGTATGTCTTCATATCATTCATTTTTTAGGTCTCAGTTCCACGTGTGCTCATGGCTATCCGTCGTAGACACTTGAATTCTGCCAGACCATTTCACCGAACTTGGATGGATATGACGCTGATGGAGTAAGTTTCACTTTCACCTGTTATGAATTGTTGACTATACTTAACTTATATTCCTCAGGCATGGCCAACCATGTTGGACGAGTTTGTCAATTGGAAGAGGAAGAAGATTGAGGATGTCAAGTCTTAGGTACTGCTCATGAATGCTATTATGAGATAGACAGACAGATGGACTCACTCTCGGGCGTGAGCACCTTTGGCTACGACTCGGACATGCCTAGTATGTATTACATTCTAATACTAATCGTAGTCATTTGCTCGCATTTGTTTTGTGGTGGGTTTACTAGGGTTTTCTTAGAAGCAATGACTTTCCTTGAGGGCTCTCAAGGAGAACATCTATCTTTAGCATGACAAGGGTTCCGATATATATAGTTAAGGTTGCACTATGTACTGACATCGCACATTGTTCTAGTCAAGAGCCAGCTGAGATGGTACATATAGGATTGGAGGTGAGCCGTCATTTCCTCTAGCTTCTCACATGTTCTACATCTGGTCTTTTGCATGTGCGTCTAGATCCTTACTCAAAGAAGTCGAGAATGAGCTCAGCTCGATTACCTCCTTGTCCTTGGCTCAGCCCTATAAAATAATTCTCAGCCTTGCAAGTTAGCTATGAGGCTAGTATTGAGGCACTTACGTCGATGCCATTTTCTATGTCTCGCCTGGTGAATGTTTCCTGATGACTGTCGACACAAAGCTGAACAGAGGCCAGAATTTTATCAGTCATGGAGAACATCTAGAGGCATGGATACTCATGAACGTTATACAGACCTGCAGCATGCATTGTGGAGACATTGGACCAGCTGATAAATTGAACGTGCCTGTATTGATCATGACTGACTGAGTCAATTTGTTAGACAGGGCACTCCGTCCGTTCAGCCTTAGCACAAGTCAACTTCATCTCAAATCGCGAAACGTGGCTAATGAATAGGACTCACGCTGCAAGGAGGGAATTGGCGTAAACTGGAGGTACACCTTTAAGCTGATATCTCCTGTACATTCAAAGGGAATACGTACGCCTTCCCCCAATTGCTAGCAGACTGGCGAAGAGGAGGCTATCGGGCAACATCAGATACTAGAGTACAGATGCAGTGAGTTTCGTGCAATGACAGATCATCGTTGATGACATACGGTGACTAGAATGGATAGAGATGTCAGCCTAAAAGATAGAGAAATGGAGAACTGTCAACATTCGTCAAGGTCGCAAATCAGAAAACTGGTCACCAACACGAGTACAATGCCGGTGTTCACGACGAATATAATGATTCAGGTAACTACATTTCGAGTTCTGTATACAAATGCAAAATATAATTGATTCGACATGGTTGGACTAGAATATTGCATTAGAAGTCACACCTTTGGAATGATGCGGAGGAACGAAGCAAGTAGAACACCATGGTGAGGGCCGTGATTCCATCTACGGAGACACCAAAGGATAGTGAGAGTTGAGTCGCAATCTGCAGGGTAGCTCTCATTAATATGTTCAATGTAAAATGGAAGGACACCTTTGTACTAACTTTCATGTCAGATCTGTCCCGAAAGGCAGCCCATGACCCAAACTTGAAGCTGCAGAAAATGCTTAGCACTATCCAGAACGTGATTTTTTTTTTTTGCTGTGGACTCCATCACGTACACTCCATTCAGCACATCTTGTCAACCAATAAGTTATAGACAATATTAAGACCATATTCGGACAGCAAAGACCCACATAAACAGGAAGCTATATGCATCGCCAAATGAGAATCAGATCCAAAGCCCTAAAGGGATATGCTTACCTGCCCTAGCTAATATGAGTACGGTCTGTGCACATCAAGTATATTTTAGCACACTTATACTGTTAGTCGTGCCGTACTCACAGTTCCAAGTGCCAACACTCAGTTTCGGCTATCTGTGGAATAGGTTAGACTTGTCAGGGATTGTTCAGGTGCAGATGGCTTACAGAGCCAGACCCGACTGAGGAAGTAACTAGGTTCATTTGAAGAGGTGAGTAAGGCTCTCATTAAGCATAGAATGAGAACTTACCTCTCGACTAGAACCTGAAGCAGCAGCTAATACAAGCTCTGAATGATGTCCAAGAGACTAAAAGGATGTTGTTACCCACTGTTGCTATTAATGCACCCTACAAGTGACAAATTCAGTTTGTTTCAGGCCCTAAACTAGAAGGGAGGAGCCTACGCTGATACTCCTACAGATGCCAGCGGGGAGTGATCAGTACCACTTTCTCATGCTGAAATGAATCAGAATACTAACCAGTCAAGGGACAGGATACTGATGGGATCTTCCAGTGCTATGACTGTGTAGATATACAGGCCTCGTAGTCCAAAAATGGCATGTGCTGTTTCAATGAGACTAGATTGGAGAGTCAGTACTTGATGTCTCGCAGGTACACTGTCAGATGGTTCAGATAAGACTACACCGACAAGCCATTTCATCCACTTTGGATCCTGTTCACAAGTGAGTGTGTAATAATAGCACTGGGTGGCCATTGTACCATAAAGCCTGCCCAGCATAGGATGAATAATAGGGCGGCAGAGCTAGGGAGAATCTCAGCATACTTACATTATTGATAATCCAATTGAGATTACGATGTCTCCTAGAAAAGTGGGGAGGGGTGAAAATATGGCCCTCATCTCATTATGAGGAGGACGGTATACCTGGATTGGAGTAGGACCAATGCCCAAGGATGCATGTATTTAGGCGGCTTCAAGAACAATCAATCAATCAAGACCCTTCTCTTCACATTTTTAGTTATGCGGGGGATACAGAAATGGGAATCACATATCTCACCATGATCAAGAAACCCTGCAGAGATAAGAACACAAATGCTGCATGAACGCCAGTTCAACCACTGAGGCTGCCTGATGATGATCTAGGACAAGGCTTGAGTTCTCACAAACAGTCAGAGTATGTGAGATAGTCTACTGTATGCCTAACTGAAGGGCCCATTTCCCCCATCAAAGATGGCAGTTAAGTTGATGACATCTTCATCAGCTGATTCAGAGAAGGCCATCCATGTGAAAGTCAAATTTAAAACTGTTATAGATGAAGCCCTTAACTCAGATTCAGGGTCAAAGAGTAAAGATAAGAGTAGATTGCCTAGGTCAGGTTAAGGATTTCAAGTACATGTATGGGGTTTTTATACCTAGGCAGAGAAAGAGATCATCCAATGAGAAAAAGAGAAAGGGTATGGTACAATACGAGGACTCAGCTAATAGGAAAAGAGTAGTATCAGTAAGTGAGTCTGAAGTATCAGAAATTGCTAAGTAATACTGACTACTGAGATATGACTAAGAGGTCATGTGATCATTGTCTATAAAGAGTAAGAAAAGGATATGGGAGACAAGTGAAATATAAAGGAAAAGGTTATCAGTGTAAAAGAAAAGAAAAGTGTAAGTCCATACAACGAGTTGTAACATTACCCCTTTTTGAGGCATTTAGTAGCTCTTAGCTACTGAGTCTAATAGTCCCCTACTGGTTCATCCATGATATTGGAAACTTCTACATCATCCAAATTGTCATATTCATCATCATTCGTACCTCCTGCCAAGTGTCTCCAAGTAGGTTCTCCTGCTTCTCAGCTGCGTCGTAGGTCTTCCTCATGATTGTAATAGCTGGCTTCCCAATATTCATGGGCTGTAGTAAAATGCCCAGTTGATGTAGTAAAACCAGCATGAGAGAGAGGGACAATAGAGATGGTGGTGCCATGACAGTTGCAGCATTGGTGATGGACTTGGCTGGAATGGATTCCATTGGCATGGCCGGGTATTCCAGGACCAGTGAGGTGATTGGGTGAAGGGTTACTGGAAGAATGAGAGTCAGATGATAGTGGTTCATTGGGGGGTGTTTCACCAGGTGGATACCAGCAAGTCAGGATAGGTGGGTAGATGAGTTGTGGAGCTGGTACGAGTGATGGGGGAATGGATATGAGTGGCAGCATAGATGGAGAGTTGGGTTGTTGAGGAGGTGGAATGGGAAGGGCATTAGCAGTGGGGCTGATAGAATTGTCAGGAGGATCAATGACCAGTTGGGCGAGAGGTGATAGAATGAGTGGAGGATGAATGGTTCCTTCTTCGAGGGCATCAAAAGTGGCGACAAACTCATATTGAAGGGTCTCAGCTTGGGCAAGGAGTCCTTCGAGGTCAGCATTGACTCGATCGACTCAGGCCTGAGTGTCGCAGATTCAGATGTGGAAGTCAAGGGCAAGTCAGTGAAGTCTATTAATACATTTGGTGGCAGTGCCATTGGCATTATTGAGAATGATGATGGTGCAGAAGCGGGAATCTTCAGACATGATGGCAAAGATAAATTGGATGATTTGACTGAAGCGGGTTGTGAGGAAGATGCGGATGAGTGTATGGAGTAAGTGTCTGAGGGCTGGTTCCATTCTGCTCTGTTCAATCGAGACAATGCCTCTTCTTATAGGCTTGCAAGATGGTCTTGGCATGAGTCAGGTGGCTCTCAGGCTCCAGGGAGTTCTCCGATGTCGGGTATCCTTTCCATTTCACAAGGTACTTCCATCATCCTGCAACCTTGCAGTGTGCAATGATTGCTTCTACTTCATATTCTTCATTGTCCTTGATAAGGTCAGGAGGTGGTTGGAGATAGTTCGGTCCATGTGCTTTGGTCTCACAATAGGAAGTTAGAAGGGAAGCATGAAAGACATTGTGAGTTCGCCAATGTCTCAGTAGCTTTAGATGGTATATAAGCAGTCCTAGGACTTTAGAGATTTTAAAGGGTCCTTCCCTTTTTGGTTTTAATTTCTGATGTTCATATCCGAGCTTGAGGTTCTTTTCTTCTAACCATACTTTGTCCCCTTTCTTGAATGGTGTGAACTTTCTTGTGATACAATCTGCCATCTTTCTCATGAATAACTTGTGTGCTGCATGTGCTTCATCTCAGATCTTCTGCAAGTGTTGTACATGCTCTTGCACTGATGGAATGTTCATCTTGGGGTAAGCAATGGGGATTGCTTTTGGGTGGTATCCCATCATGATGTAAAATGGTGACATCCCTTGGGCTTCATGGACACATTAATTGTGTATGAACTCTACATTGGCTAGAAGCTCCGGCCATGTTTCTGGGTTGTTTTCACAGAAGATTTGAAGGTAGCCTTCTAGTTCCTGGTTGACTCATTCTATTTCCCCATCAGTCTGAGGATGATATACCATGCTTAGCTTCAATTTGGTTTCCAGAATCTTGAGAAGCTCTTGGAACACTTTCAATGCAAACTGCAGTCCTCTATCTGATATCAGAAAGTTCATAAGTCCAAATCATTTGTACACATACTGATGTAGAATTCATTCAGTGTCTTCGTGATCAATAGTTTTAGTATATGCAGTGAAAATTGCCCCCTTCAAAAGGTCTTAGTCTACCATGACCATGATAGAATCAAAGCTGCTGGGGGTAGCGGGTAGATCCATTGTCAGTCAGAAAATGGGTTTCCTGCAAAGAA